TGATGGTGGAATGGGGAAGTTGGAAATATGGAGCGGACCGGTACCATGACTCTAGGTCTCTATAGCAAACCGTATGGCACTGAGATATCGTTCTTGTTGACAACCGACACAACGGTGAAGTGGCACGATCAACTGCAGCGTATACCAAAGTGGTCATTCAGCCTATCATCGCAAAGAGATCAATGATTAAGCTTCAATGAAATGGATGTCTAGAGATTTCCGCGCCGGCGAGACTGAATTCGGCTTAGAGCGAATGTGCGTCTGGCCGGTTGAACTAATTCTTCAGCTAGTCTAGTATGCATAAGTTTACGAAGCGTCTGGACAATAAAGCTTGGCATCGGCAGCTGGAACCTCTTCTGGACGTGCGTAGTGCTAAATGACTTGGCCTGATTCTCTCAAGCTGACTACCCCGCGATGGGGATTCAAGCTGTGGAATCCTCGATGACGATGGCAACGACTCGACTAGAACGGATGTCTGTCTTGCTGTAGCCATAACATATTGCCTGTACCGTTGAATCATCTGTCTCTGCCCACGTATGGTAGGTGCTGAGGGCGTACCCCATCCGAGATCAGGATGTTCATGTTCATGCTGTGCACCTAAAAAACCAGCAGTCAGCCACATGCAGAAACTTATTGAGCCTGATCATGATCGGCTTATCTGCACTGCTAGTCGTACGGGTCGTCAAGCTAGCCTTTACGGCTAATAGAGGATGTCCACATCCCACCTTTCTGTTTCGATGGCTGTGCGAAGATTCATGTGACTGTCCAAAGAGCTCTCCACAAGTAAGTGACGACGATATGAACAAACGTGAAGGTTCGTCCTTTTCCGACACTGTCAAGTGTCGTATGGGCCACGCATGATCGATGAATGTTGCGACCCTATGGTAGAAACATGTCTTGTTGTAGATGGCTTCAGTCTACAAGATCTTCCATATTGACATGATTCCTTATACGTTCTTGTCATTATACCTATACAGTGGACCTTGTATCTACCGAAGCGATGGTATAGATATCTTCGAGCACTTCGATCGGTCTCAATGTTCTGACGATGTACTGTTTAGATCTTAGTAGCATTCTACTTTTACCAAACACGAACTTGTTTCTACGCCGTGTACTCATCTTGAATGCCATGGCAGGTTTTTCATGTATCAGCACGTACTCACGTACTGATATGGTACCAGAGGCATAGGGCAGAACAACTGCTGGCGGTAAGTTGACCACTTCTCTTCACTTCCTTTCATCTCCATTGCTCTTGCTCTCTCTTCTTGTTCTCTCCTTCCTCCTGACCTACTTAGCCTTTGCCTTTTCCGTGTGAATAGTTCCATATATTAGCGATTGTACGTAGTCCATATGTGTTTTTTTCTCTTTCGCTGCTGCTAATAGAGCTAGTGTCCAAGACAACAGGCTTGCATATTTTGATATCGTTTGTGTGCGCTGCACTTATGCAAGACTGAGGTTGATATACTTGAGCAGGGTAAGACGAGAGCGGCGAACTCACCGACTACCTGGCACTCAGATGGCTTCAAGCGCCCGTCGCCCGAGTTCTACTCTCCTCCGTGCTTGAGAATCGGAACTGGTCAAATCCTTCACCGTTCTGGTGCTAATACTCAGCGCTCTGTGTACGAATCCACTATTAGAGGGCAACGATAGTGCCTCAAAAGTCTTTTAAGATCCGCGGGCCACTGAGTGAAGACACGGTTGGAGGGTCTAGATGAATTGCGAGAAAACCTATTTATTTATTGACTAGAATCGGCGGAGTCGTGTACTGTTCCTGATTCTGCTCATGTTCGTTTCGGAGACGTTATTCGCGACCCGGGAAGGGTCAAAAACATGCCGTATGCACGTGGGCAATGTTACATCTCAAATATTATCTGGTCAGAACGGAGATCGCACGTTGCGGTCAGATAGAATTGGCCAATTGCACTCACGGTCTATAATCAAGTTGTTGCGTCCAACGCGTAGTGCACTGCAAATCATTTTGAGGGAAGAACAGGTAAGGAGGCGATGCCAAATCTCTCTGAATTTGTGTCCTTCCACTGTTTAAGAAAGAGCCTACCAATCAAAAGGAGATAAGCAGATTGACGTCAATGCTGTGGGGTCATAGTCTAAATATCATATATAGCGCTATCCGCAAATCGAGCAAAGCATGGATCACCCGAGAAACGTCTAAGCACTGAGTAACATTGGGGATGCGCTTGTTTCCGGGGATACAGACACGGAAACCATGTTGTTAGACGCACACGCGGAGTATTTATGGTATACTTGGCAAAATTTCCAAGGATCCCTGCAACAGCAACAGCACGCTCTGAGTCGACTCGTACTGGAACTGATATAAACTAAGCTCGCCTGAATAAGCGTCTTTTGGACTATAGTACCTCAAGCTACATTCCCTTTCGTGCTGCTAGTAATAGCAAGCTTTATATCTTGACTGGCGAGGTATTTCCTGGCACCTCCGCACTACCATGGGAGTCATTTTACTGTCGCTACACACGTCAGAAAAGAACACAACTTCTATCGAGAGCAGCTAAAGGCTCTCCTCGAACTATTGTGATCATTCAATCACTTCATCTGCAATGCTTGAATATTCAACTATGGTAACCATGAGCTGCTCAGTATCACAGCTCAATCTGTAGCATCAGACGATAAGTTGAGCAAGGCACTACTGGCTCTCCACAAGCTATCATCTAGCCATGCTACTACTCAGTGTCCTCCTCTCTTCTTCAATACCATTGTCGACCATGGAAACAAGCGGAAAGTCGGATTGATCACTTCTGATGACGCTACCTGTAACGACATCTTGATGCGCCACCCTGCCGCTCCACTCAGCGAGCGCCTATCGATCAGGAGCATATACATGATGGAAATCGCTGCTTTAGACGTCGTGTCAACTTCTTTGCTCAAGCATCTATTTCAGCAAGCTCAAAAGACACTGTGACTACTCTTAGGGGCGAGCATGCTCGGGCAAGGGTCTACCCTCGCTGATCGTGAAGCTATTGTTTATCATCGTCGATTTTCTATGCGAAGCATGATGTCAGCTCGTCGTCGTCGTCGTGATATCCAGGCAGTCGCTGGTATATCTGCTATGCCCAACAATACCACAAGGTGGAACAGCTGGCTAACCATGATCAAGTGTGGACACCAATGCCTAACGATCATACTGAATATCCAGCAACCTCAAGACCATATGGATGACACCATCCTCCAATAGTGTCACTGACAAGTCCTTGAAGAGCTTGTTGAATTCATAGAGACACTGCAGGAGATGACGAAGTCATGCGAAGGTGACAATGTTACCCTGAATCAAGTGCTGATTTCAAAAGGCTCCACACGCAAGCATTGTGGGAAACATTTAACTCATCATGCTTCTTCAGATCTAGTCCTTACTACCGCTATACAGACTAGCCGAGTTCGACTCGATGAATGGCAAGCCATGAAGAACTACGTCCCTGCCTATACTATGACGCTTCACATCCACACGAGCTATCGCGAGGCCTACTGGCTTCAGTCTTGGCGAGTACCAGCTATGACTGCCGTGAATGCTCTTCGGAATGCTACACACAAGCACAAGGTTCAGGCTGTTCAAAGTATAGCCATGTGGAAAAGTGCGCAAAGCAGGTACCGTGCATTGGGCATTTCGTCCGATTTCATTACTTGCAACTTTGACAACACTTGCGACCGTCATTGCGTTTCCCACCTGCAAATTATATGAGATAGCGAGCATGTCGATTCTGTATCGGTGAGCAACCGGATGCGATCCTGCAACTATTGCAATCCGGTACTATGGTACATTGTTCTGTGGTTCCCGATCGACAGTCTCGTGCTTCCATGACGATTTCTCTGGTTGTGGACGGTTTAGGCCGCGACTATGGTATCGTTCTGGTGAGCTTCGGCCTCCTGCTGCCAATTCTGCACTTCCTGCCCGTGTTCGCGAGCTCATTGCACAACCCGCCGGTCTTCCCGCTTTGTAGAATGAGCTTGCCACGTCTCTGTCTCACTCTGCTCGCTCCTCCCTACTTCGCATGTCAAGAGCGTGTCCCTTCATCAGCTGCTTGGGCTACGACCCATGGGAACGACCGCTCACAGCTTTACGTCTGGGAATGCACTGATTGGTTCGAGACGGACGAAGGAAATAGAGCGCTTCGCCTTCCTGATGGGAGGTCCGTGCGCCATCGATCCATACATGCGACATTTGCGGCACAGCAACCTTGAGAGAGCGCTGAGAACTCGTGAAGGCAAATTTCATGGTGCCGACACGATGACCTGTCTTACTCTAACCCATGACATGCTGCATGTATCAGGGAGGTAGTGATATATGGGGATACTGTAGCTTAGGCAGGGGGGTTAAAACCCATGGCAAAACCTAAGAACTGAAAAACAGGAGACGGACCAAAGGAAAAGTGGAAAGCGGACCTCCTAGCCGCAGAACTTGTCCATTGTTTCCTCTGCAACACTGGAAGCTTCACTGCGCAAGCAAGGACGGACGAGGAAGGGGAAGCTAGATTGGAACAGGAGCAACGAGGACGATAAAAGTAGATTGAGTGGGAGGTGGCTCATAGGTTTGCTGTAGAGCCAAGTAGCTTGATCAATCAATTAATCATGGGTGGACGACTTGAAATTTTGCGAATGTGCGAGATTCAGCCATACTACAGATGGAAGAGATACATGCTAGTGTGTTGAAGCACGATATATAGTTGCCCTGTCTTATGTGACTCAATCACTTCTCCCTCAACAAACTTGTCCCGCCGTGTGCTCATTAACACAGCGTCACAATTGCAAGCAGACGTCAATGTAACAGTGCAGAGCTCGTATCAGCCACCACAACAGTAATTATCCCAAGTAAGCTTAAGTCATGTCGCTCAATATGCACAACAGGTAGAACCCTAGGGTGAACTTCGTAGCGCAGAACTGCATAAAAGATTCCCCAACTGTCGAGAAGGAAAGTCGTTGGCTACTCTGCAGTCACAAGCACCTCGGGAGGCGCTTCTGAGAAGTGACTCCGCTCATTGAGCAGGCGGATCGTTGGATGACTTTGGAAGCATGATTACATCCGGAACAGCCCACAACTGTTTGACGTCATTAACGTTACGACCATCGACCCCGATAAGCGCATTCTGGGTAGCCTGGTCAGCCGGAGATGCAAAGTCTCTTATCTCCTCAGGCGACAGGCGACGGTAGTCAAGCACGACAGTATGATCAGCGTTGAGCGAGCGTAGAACCCCATCACGGCCAAGATGGACGACGCCATCTGGATCGATGCGCATAGGTGGATGGGCATTGGAGCTAGCCTACTTGCAGTGAGCGACTGTGTTTGCTTTCGAAACATCGTGGACACTTACTAAGCTGCCTTCGACCGGAGTTGCCATACTGAAGGCGCGAAACAGTATTATCGGGGCAGCAGATGATGTGACTAACTTTCTGCTAAAAGCAGACTTGGTAGAGCCAGCAAGAGACAGGTGTCTAGATTGGCTTGCTAGGTGGAAGTCGCACTGCAAACTGATCCTCGATGGAACCAGCACGATCGTGGGAGGGTACGCGCTTCTTAAGTATTTGGCGGATCGCTTCAGTATTCTGTAATACCCCGCGCCTTGTTGTTTAGCCTCATCTCGGATAAATCCTTTAAGAGACCGCTTGTATGCAGTTGAGCTAGAACATTCACCTTCCCTTCCGGGTAATGCTAGCAAGTCATTGTTTTCTTTTGTTTTCTTATCTTTTGGTTGCTTTTCCTTCCTTTACATCTTTTCTTTTTTGTTATTCTTTCTTGTTTTATCATCTTGTTTTCTTTTTTCTTTATTCTCTTCTTTATTCTCTTCTTTGTTTTCTTTTTTTGTTTTTATTACTTGCTTAGCTTTCTATAGCGTAATGTATACGTTACCTATACTAAACGGCCCCTAGGAAGAACTAGCAATAGACTTTATAACGGATTTACTTCTAAGTAAATTCTATAACGAAGTATTCGATTCTATCCTTATAGTAGTAGATCGATTTACTAAAATAGCTAAGTACATTCTAACTACTAAGCGTTATAACGCTACTACGCTTATAAACCTATTCCTTAAGAATATTATATACTACTTTAGAGTCTCTAAGCGAATCGTATCTAATAGAGGGTTAGTGTTTATAAGCTAATTCTAGTTAGATATATATTACATAACGTAGGTAAAACGTAGGCTCTTTATAGCCTTCTACCTATAAATAGATAGATAAACCGAGCGATAAATCTAGACACTTAAGTAGTACTTACGCTATTTCTATAGTAAGAAATAAGATAACTAGGTATCTTAGTTACTACTAGTAGAGTTTATAAGTAATAATAGTAAGAACGCTACGTTATGTATAAGTCCTTTTTATACGCTATATAGATATAGTTTAAGATTATATATAGAGACCTAGGACGGGCCTTAAGAAGGGAAGGTGCTAGCGATATTAAGCTAAGTATAGGAACTATAAAGGATACGTAACTCCTTTATAGATACCTTATAGTAAGTAAGTAAATAGTAACCCTATAGCTATAATAAACGGCATATAGAGTATACGTTTAAAGTAGGAGATAAAGTAATACTATTAGTAAAGAACCTTTATATATACTAGCTAAGCTAAAGACTATCTCTAAGATTTATTAGACCTTTTATAATTATAGAAGTAGTTAGATTATAGGCCTACTACTTAGGTCTTCTAGAGAACTACTAACGCCTCTATAATATATTCTATATCTCTCTTCTAGAACCGTACTACTAGTAAGATAGTTATAAGACTCCTATATTTACTATACTAGAACTAGTAGAAAGAAAAGAATAATAGGAGGTTAAAGAAATTATTAACTATAAGGGCACTAGTAAAAAGAAAGCCTTCTTTATTAAATAGATAGGCTAGCTAACTAAGTTTAACTCCTAGGTACCTATAGTAAAAATAGATAATATAGTAGAGGTATAAAACGTATATAAGACGTAAGGCTATTATAAATAAAGAGGTCGCCTACTAAAGGCTAGGAAATAAAGACACTAAAATAATAAAAGACTAAATTACTAGTATAGTTAGGCTTAGCGCCTACTAGCTATAGGGGTATTATAAGGTACTTATAGGTAAAATAAGTGTAAAGAGTAGTAAAGGAGATTAAGCCTTACCCTTATTGTCCTTACTACCTTTACTCTCCTTATTATCCTTATTATTAGATAAGTAACTATTAGAGCTATCCTTAGAGCTATTACCCTTACTAGGACCGGCGCTAGCTAGAGAAGTACTAGTAGCGCTACTAGTAGGAAGTAGGGCATCTATATTATTATTACTATCTAGGAGGTCGTTATTAGAGTTCTAGTAGTAGTTATTAACATTAGAGCACTTAGTATTAGAGGGGTAGTTAGAGTCGTTATTATTATCGTCGTTATTACTATTACTAGGAGGGGCGCTACCTATAGGGGCGTAGCTAGTAAAGTGTATAGTAATTATATCTAGGGCGCTAGCAGTATACGTAGCGTAGTAGTTAGCAAAATAGAGCTTATAGCGATTCTTAGTAGTCTCCTATTAATAAGAATCCTAAGTTAGTATTAAGAAAAATAGAGACTAGGCTACGTATAGTATAGGTAAGAAGTAGGCGAGAAATAACGTACTTAGGTAAGGTACTTAAGAGCACTATATATATAGATAGACTTATAAAGGTAAGCCACTTATATAGGTAAGCGCTTAACCTTATTACTCTTCTTAATAAGTGAGACGGATCAACTACGCATTGAATTTAAGAACTAATAGACGATATAGAAAGAGAGGAGCGCGAGGTGCGACTCGGTATTATGGCCGCGTGGGAGGTCTGTGCGCTAGTCTTGGCACACGGACCAAAGGACCACGGTTCGAATCTGTCCGAGGTCGATCCCGTGTCATTACCCCCCCCTTTTTCGAGCGAAGCTCCTGCGAGCTCTGAAAACTCCAAATCTGCAGTTTCCTCCAAAGTATCAACTTTTTGCTTGTTTGCCTTGTTTGCATACCTCCTGGCCGTCTCATGGCTAGAGGGGAGACCTTCGTTCCCCTCGCACAGATTACCACAACCGCGCTAAGCAGCTCGTCCTCCAAGGCAGGCGTAGGGCGCGTGAGAAACGCAGTGGTCTTCATGGAAAGCCTAGAGGGACTGTAGAAGCGCACTCAGCGTGTGACAAGGTTGCGTGCAGTGGCCCACAGTCTTCACAGAGTCCGCATGCAATGCGTGACGCTCAGATGGGGTTAACGAAGCTGCCAGATCTGAGGCGGTGTTCTGTAGTTCCACACTCGGTAAGGAGTCTCCAGCTAGGGCCTTGAATCCAGGCCACGGACCAGGGCCCTACGCCTCCTGTGATTCGTGGTAATCCGCAACTGCACCCTCAGCTCCATCCACAAGGTTCTGCCATGGTTCCCATTGAGGCTCGTATCCGGTGTACTCCACGAGGTACTGGAGTTGTCTGCCTCTGCCAACTTTCTTGTACCTCGAGGCGTGGACCTTTTTCACTTCCCAAATTTCTTCCCCCTCTTGATTGATGTCGACTGGCGGTGGCACGGACGGCTGCTGACCGGGCAGAGGGTCGTTCGCGGCAGGCGTCAGGAGCGAGACATGGAAGACGTTAGTGCCAAGTTTCCAGGACGGCGGCAGGTCGAGTTTGTACGAACGAGGGTTTAAGGAAGATGCGAGGCTGTCGATGATCTTGAAAGGGCCGAGGCGCTTTGAGTCGAGTTTCTTCGCGGGCCGCAGGCGGTTAACTAGGTGGCGGCTGTCTAGCCAGACGAGATCTCCAGTTTTGAATGCCGGCGCTTCTTAAGTCTTGTCGCGCTCTGCTCGTTGCGCCTGGATGAGGGTGAGTTCGTCGTTGAGTTGAGAGTGAAGTCTGCGCATGTCTTCTGCGAATTGATCTGCTTCCGCACGAGCCACCCGCGCCGGGGCTGGCACGTTACCGGCCTCCGGAGCCGGAGCAGTTGAGATGGCCGTTCTCATGTTTCTCCCACAGTCAGCGAAGAAGGGCGACATACCAGTGCTTTCGGAGTCCCTGTTGTTAAGGGCGAATTCGGCAAGAGGCAACCAGTTGACCCAGTCGGATTGGGTGAAGTTGACGAACGCACGAAGGTACTGCTCCATCTGCTGGTTGGTGTTCTCGTCCTGCCCATTTGTCTGTGGGTGCCATGCGGTGGACATGGCCTGGTTGATGCCCAATAACCGGCATAGTTCCTTAAAGAATGAGGACGTCCATTAGGTGCCTCTGTCCGTGACAAGCTCTTAAGGGACACCGTAGAGCTTGATTACCTGTAGCATAGCGAAGGCAGCGTCCAGGGACGAGATGGCGTTCATGGGTATGAAATGTTTCCTCTTCGTAAACCTGTCGGTTGCAGTCATGATATTGGTGTACTTGGTTCCATTTCGGCTCTTGCTCTCCGGCAGCGCGACGACGAAGTCCACTAACCAGGACACGCCCGGTCCACTTGGTACGTGCAAAGGCTTTTGCCTGCCGTGGGAAAAGCGTGGTGATTTTGTTCTGGCGCAGGTGTGGCAGTTCCTAACGAATCGTTTGACATCGTCGATCATTCCTAGCCAAACGTACTTTCTCGAGAGGAGGTTATACGTGCCAGTTCGTCCTGGGTGTCCCGCGAGTGGAGAATCGTGGGATAGTTTAATAGCTTCCGTTCGGAGTAGCTCCGGTACGTAAAGTTTGTCGGCGATGCAGAGCGTGTCTTGTTGCACGGTGCAGTCTAACAACGACAGAGCAAGGTGGACCTGTTTCATGTGATTCGGCAGGAAGGGGTACAGCTTCGGTGCTCCTGCCGCAAGGGCTTGTCGGATGGCTTATGCGAGGGGGTCGTTGACTTAAGCTTCTCTCAGCCTATCTTCGAATGGTGCGTCCTTAGTTTGCACCGGATAGAGAGCGGTATCTAGCCCGCAGAGAGACAACATCAATGTCTCTGTTCTAGATAGGGGCGCAGAGTGTTCGAGGGAGAGGTAAGCCAGAGCAGGGCCGCCCGGAAGCAAGCGGTTGTCGTCTAGGTTAGCAGGTTTGATTAACACTTCGTGGCGATCTAACTCCCTTTCGTCATTGTCATCCTAAGGGAAGTCGCTCGAGCGTCTCGACAAAGCGTCTGGTTTGATAGCTTTGGCGCCAGGCTAGTAAGTGAGCTTCTAGTTAAACCCGCTCATGAATTCGGACCAACGAGCTTGCCTGCGGTTTAAACGCTATTTGGTCGTAAAGTATTCGAGTGCCTTATAATCGGAAAGGACAGTTACGGGTCGGGGAGTGCCTGTCAATTCGGGTTCCCATTCCTCGAAGGCTTTGATGACGGCAAGCAGTTCTTTGTCGTGTATCTCGTATCGGCACTTAGCCGGAATCATCTTTTTTGACATAAATGCCACAGGTTTAAGGACGTTCGTTCCATCAGGCAAGACATGCCATTGCGACATGACGGCGCTAACCACCCAGTCGGAAGCGTCCGTCTCGACGACAGTGTCTTTTGCCCAGTCGAAGTGGGCGAGGATCGGGGCCTGTGTGAAGCGGAGCTTAAGGTCGTCAAAGGCTAGCTTTGCTTAGGGTGTGAGGGTGAATGGGACTCCCTTCTTACCCGCAGTCTTTGTCAAGTCCGTTAGGGGCTTCGCCACCTTTGAGAACTTCTCGATGAACCTTCTATAGAAATTGGCGAAGCCTAAGAACCCTTGGACATCCTTTAGGACTCTTAGTGTGGGCCACTCCTGTACTGCGGCGACCTTTTGTTTGTCCATAGACAGACCGTCGGTGCTAATAATCAACCCGAGGTACTTGACCGATGTGGCTTCGAATTCGCTTTTGTCGATGTCGGCATAGAGTTTTGCTTCCCGCAGCCGTTAAAGGACTTTACGCACGTGTAGTCGGTGCTCTGTCAAGGTTTCGCTAAAGATGAGGATGTCATTAAGGTACCTAGTGCAGAAGTCATCTAGGTAATCGTGCAGCGAAGCGTTGATATAGGACTAGAAGGTCCCCGGCGCGTTGCATAGGCCGAACGGCATGATAAGGTACTCGTATTGGCCGTAGCGTGTGTTAAAGGCTGTTTTCCATTCGTCTCCTTCCTTAATACGCATATTGTTGAAGGCCGCGATGATGTCCAGTTTTGAGAAGTACTTCGCACGAGACAGCTTGTCTAGCGTCTCTCTAATCAACGGTATGGGGTAGCGGTTCTTTATCGTCATGTCATTGAGTCCTCGGTAGTCTACGCAGAATCGCAGGCCACCTCCAGGTTTGCGGACTAGCAGCATAGGGGCTGCGGCGGGAGAACTGGACCGGCGTATGAAACCCTTGTCTAGGTTCTCGTCGAGGTATTTCTTAGTGGCAAGCAGCTCTTCATGCGACATGCCACGAGCCCGGGAATACGGGGGCTGCTTCCCAGGTTGCAGGTCGATACCATGGTCCTGTGGCCGGTGAGGGGGCAGCTGGTCGGCCGACTGCCGAGAAAAGACGTCCACATAGTCCATGTACTGCTTTGGGAGTTTCTCTCGCGGGTCCGAGTAGGCTTTGTTTAAGAACTTGTCCATGTCTTCTTAACTGATCGCCATGAGGTTGACCAGGTCTTGGGGGTCGCCTTTTGCTTCGCAAGAAGCACTAGCGATGACTCGGTGGATGTAGTCTGGGTCCTTAGCGCTGATATGGCAAGCTTGCAGTGGCGGCTCTTCGTCCTGTATCGGGACGTACACGAGGGCGTGAGTTTCGTATCCCGCGTGTACGAGTCGTGCAAACTCCTCAGCGGTAGCTTTAGAGATATCCAAGTCTCGGTCTTTCTTAGGGCGAAGGTCATGGGTGTTCGCACAGGGGACCAGCATGGTGCGGCCTCCTTGGAGACAGTGGATTCGACAGTGGTCGGAGTTCAGCGTGATCGTGCGGTGTATCCAGTCTAGCGAGGCGTTATGCCTCTCGATCTAAGGAAGGCCGAGAATGAGGTCGCGGTTGCCCAGGTTAGTGACATAGCACATAAGTTGCTCCTTGTGATGTCCGATGTCAAGGAATACGCGGGCGACGTGGGTAATGACTTGGGCGACGACTCCTGTGGCCAGTCGGAGTCGGCGTGGATTTTTAAGTTCAATTAGAGTATAGTTTCGGTTTTGCGCGGTGGATTAGTTGATGAAGCAGGCGTCTGCTCCGCAGTCGTAGAGGGCTCGAGTAACAGTAGGGGAATTATCGTCATTGACAGGGGCTATGTTACACTGGATGAGGAAGTGCTTGCTAGTCAAGTCCTTCTCGTCCGCATCTATGCTTGAAAGGTGAAGCTCCTTTCCTAATGATCCCTTCTTCCTCGTACTCTGCTGCTCGTTTAGCCTGTGTTTGTTTTCCTAATCCTCGTTCAGTCCTTAAGAGCGTCTTTGCTTAAGGACTACTCGTTTTCCGACTCCGCAGCGGCGCCGACAGGTTTGTTAGCGGGGGGTTCTAAAGTGTCGGCGGCGGCAAGGTTGGAAGTCTTGTTCTTGCGCTCAGGGCAGCGGGCGAACGTGTGCTCAGTGCTGCGGCACTCGAAGCACTGTCCCTTGTCTCGGAACTTCTGGCGTTCGGCGGCGCTGAGCTTGAGGAAGGACTCTGGACGGTTGTCGTTGGCACGAGGCTTAGGGGGCTTATCGGAGCCTGAGGCGGAGCCTGAGCCACGGCCACGGTTGCCAGAGCCTAGGTTGGGGTTGGCATCAGTGCGGCGAGGGTTGTCGCTCTTAGTGTACGAGTCGACACGTGCGAAGCCAGCATCCAAGGCGTAGCAGCGTTTGATGAGGACCTTGACGCTGTCGATGTCATGTCCATCGTTCAGCTTTGAGCCATAGCGGGCGCTTAGCTTGTCCAGAATCTGTTGGACCTAAGCTGCTTCCGGAAGGTCGACATATGCCATCTTTTCTTCGTACTTTGCAAAGAAGTCGGCGAAGCTTTCCTTAGGACCTTGCTTGAGGTTGTTGAGCTTAGTCCAGGCGCGTGTGGCGCGGTGGCGGTCACCGTACCAGTCGCTGAGTTGGTCGAAGCATTCATCGGCGGTTCTAAAGGCGAGGGCGTTGTTGGTGACGGCCGTGCCAGGGATACGAACCTGCAGTCTCTCGAAGACTGACTGGTCGGTACGTGTCAAGATGTAACGGAGTTTGACGCCCTCGGACTTGCCGTCGAACTCCCCTGATTCCAACTTCATGCGCATCTTGACGAGCTAGTGGGCGAACTTGACCTTGCCAGTAGTCTCGTTAGAGAACTCCGGGGGTTCGGGGACCTTGATGGCGCGGTGAGCGAAAGAGGAGGCGTGAGTGGGAGCTTCGGAGAAGTGGGCACGAGACGAAGGTGCTTCGGAGACACGGGCGCCTAAGCGACGGAGTGGTGAGTTAAGACGACGGGGAGACGTGCGACGGATTTGGCGTCGAGGGTAGGGCGAGACGGAACGTGGTCGAGAGATGGACCTGTAACCACTCCTGTTCTCAGAACGAGGAGACTGGTGGGTACGGCCTCTGGCGTTCAGCTCCTGGTTCGCGTCCTCGAGCTGGCGGCGGAGCTCTTCAAGATCGCTCTAGGCTTCCTGGAGTTGCTTCTTGTTGTCGCGCATCTCTTGTTCCTAAGTGGTGAGTCGGGCAGCACGGCGTTCGGCGGCGGTGCGGTTGTGATCAGCAGCAGCGCGACTCTCAGTCAGGGCAGTCTCAAGTTCCACAACTTGCTCTTCCAGGACCGTAAGGTCGTCTAGGGCCTCCAGGTCCTTCTTGCGGCGTTCTTGCAGTGCGACAATGGCGGCGTGCCACATGGCAGGTTCAGCCTGGACCTTCTGGGCAAAGTCGCCAGCGTCGAAGGCCGTCAGGTCAAGGTGGTCGGCGTTGAGGGTGTTGTCGGTCTTGGACTGCATGATGTCCATAATGATCTCGTTCAGGTTCAGCTGGTGGCCTGCGGTGATGTCGAGGAGGGTTTGGTCAAGCTCAAAGTCGTTGTCTTCATTTGAGTGGGTTGTGTTTTCGAGTTCGGTGGTCTCGTAGGTGCTAGGGAGACGGGGACGGGCATCGGCGGAGCCATTAAAGCGAGGGCGGTGGTCGTCTTCGTCGCGCTCAGGGACGGTACGGGCCGGGCGGTTCTGTGAGTCCGTGGCGACAGTCCGCGACTGCGTGTTCAATTGCGAAGAGGCGGTGTTGTATGTCTGTTAAGTGTCGTCGTGCAGCGGGGGGCGAGGAATGCGAGGTCGATCTCTGACGGGCTGCAGACCGGTGGGCATCGGTTGACGATGTTCCGTGGTGTGCGACTGCGAGCGGGATCTGGTCGTACGAACCAGGGCAGACTGATCGGTGATGGACTTGTCAGCGCTCATGCGAGGAGCCTTACCTGTATCTTGGTTGTTCTGTTGTTGAGGGAGGCGGCGCTCTGCGGCAGCCTTTGCGAGGAGGCCTGCGCGGCCAGGATCGATGGGAGCAGACATGCTTGTTGATACTACAAGTGTACCGGCAACTGCTGCGCGCTGTTGCAATGACCTACCAGGTCGACCTACGGGGTCAGAGATTGGTCTATTAGAGTGAGACGGATCAACTGCGCATTGAATTCAAGAACTAATAGACGATATAGAAAGAGAGGAGCGCGAGGTGCGACTCGGTATTATGGCCGCGTGGGAGGTCTGTGCGCTAGTCTTGGCACACGGACCAAAGGACCACGGTTCGAATCTGTCCGAGGTCGATTCCGTGTCAATAAGGTAGATAGGTATTATAGCTAACTATTCTCTTAGAAAGAATAACTAGTTATAGGGTTAGACTTATAAAGAGGAGTGTTAAGTAAGTAGTAAAGTAAGTAGTATAATATATAGTAGTATATACTAAAGGGACTATTAGAATAACTAATTAAGTTTAACGTAGGACTTCCTAGTAAAGACCTGCCTACCTATATACCTAATAGAGAATAAGTATATATATGTTGCTCTATATGCTCTATAGTGCTCTATAGAGTAGAGTAGTAGAGTAGAGTAGAGTATATAGCGTTTTTTTTTATATAAGGTACTCTATTATACTAAGGTATAGAGAATAATAGAGTAGGCTATACGACCCCATTATTAGTAGGATTATAATACTATCCCCTTCTATACTAGCGTTATCCCGACGCTAACGTACATAACTAGCTACTACCTCTAGCTTTCTACCTTAGTAAGTAATGGACCTTTTCTACTATGCCTAAAGACACTAGCACTAAACGTCGTAAAAGACTCGCCGAATATATCGAATCTAAAGGAACTATTATAGTAAAACCCTACGCCATATGTTCGGGTTTCATGAATGAAGTATCGTTCAGTCAGCATAACGTCGACTTCGCTCACCCAATTGATGCCGACAAGTACCCCGCCAGACAAGGTGTAAACGGCATGCAGCCATCCGGATGGTAGGTACACCATCTCCTTGTGGTTCGCAACCATGTAGTATCCGCGCTCGAGGGAGTTCGACAGTGCGATGAACTTATGCTCGCTGTCCTTGGAACGGTATATCAAGTCGAGGTTATACGGAGTGGGGGGGTAGCAAGCCCATAATCTGACACATGGTCCTAATGTCGAGCTTAGTACATGAGTGTCAGAATCTGGACACAGCGATGTGGTAGTTAGTGTAGAGCTTGAAGAGATGTAGCGCCTCGAATACTAAGTACCTATGTGGAGATCTGTAAATGAGAATTTGGGCGTCAGTACGGCGGTCATCGACTCATACTCACCCATTGTATTACCTAGGCTCATCTTCAGTTCTTCTGGGACACGCATGACATACATATCAGCTTCTGCGAAAGGAATGTTGAACGCGTATGGTGTGTTTGAAGGGTCAGGCTCAGAAAGACATCGGAAGATATCGGAGATCAGCTCGTAGGCTGCGTTGCCAGACACAAGACACGATTCTCCCCGCCGTCTCATCTCCCCTTTAGCCACATTCGCAATCGCTACTCCAATAAGTATTCGATCGTTTGGTCTAGCCAGCCAGCATTCCTCAGCAGGATACAAGCGCGGGATATCAAGACGAAGATCTCCCTTGCTGTTGCGTGAGATATGCCGGAGGTTCCCAATCGATATTGCGTTCCTGAAAGATCCGGCTATGGCACTGATAGGGCCATCAGTTGTTGCGAGGAATTCAGCCAGTAGGACATCAGATGTGTCTGATCGCTCTGAAGTTACAGCTGTAAATGATTCGTGCCGGCTCAATGAATGTTGTGGAGTCCCCCGTGATCCCACGTCATATTCGGGTTTCTGTCGTAAAGCTCCCATCTTCTCCCGCAAGAAAGGTTGCTTCTGGATACAACTAGGAGGAACTCCATGTATCGCTAAAGATCTTTTACGCTTCTGAAATAGTCTGCCGGGTACCGGGATGACATGGAAGTGTACATTGACAAAACCTGCATCACTTCCAACCAAGGGTTCGTGATATATCTTGCCAATTCTCCCCTTGGTCTTCGGTATGAGGTCGTTCATCGTTGAAGTGCAATCGTGCTGACTTGTTGGTAGCTTGTAGCTGAGTAAAAAGGGTGTTCACGCAGTAAGCCTTTGATTTGGATATGTGGTCTGACCCATCCTGATATGGGGCAGCGGAAGTCTCTCAGGAGCTCTGAACGGTTCCTAATGACAGACGACGACAAGCGAAGACAAGTGATGACAGCCGACGTCAAAGGACAGCAGACGCCGGTAGATGATGGCAGAGAACGAATACTGAGGAGACAGCACAGTGTAGGTGGGAGAGATCGGAGAAGACAGACACTAAGAGCACCTATCGTGCTCCTGGAACACACCATGACGCACTGCGAAGTGCACAGACAAGCTCGCGACAAAGCACTTGTGTTCATCAACTTGACAGACCTACTGACCAAAATCTTGGAGGTGGCGGACACAGTTACAGGCGTACCTAGACACTGAAGTTTGGTCAATCGGCGGTCTGACGTTTAACATGGTCTCACGGCTCTGGATCGATGTTTCACCGCGAATTAAATAGGCAGGACTGGCCGAGCATGTTCGGATCCTTTTGAGACCGGAGTCGGCGCTTGGAAACAAGGTTACGAAGATGTCAAGTAGGGCGCAAACCGCTGATCCCAGTTTTCATGCGATCCGCTGCTGTATGCATTCTGGTCATAACGGTTTTTCGCTTCGGTACACTAGTCCCGATAGAGACAACACGCTGGTTATACCGGGTATGCCCAGCGTTTTGTCGCGATACTTTAGCCAACCTACAACTTGCACAACAATTCAGTGCTTATTGATAATCGAAGACAAGATACATGTAGCCGACTTCCAAATCTCTTCCAAGTTTTGTGATGTCACGTCAAGGTTTAATGGTCCTGGATCGATGCTAAGAGTGCAGATGATGGATTACTGTCCACTTTCTCTGGCTGGGTCAGGTAGGTCATGTAAGATGTCAGGTAGGGCGCGCCCCTGCGCCTCGACTGCAGTCTGCCCGGGTAATCTCGGGGCCCTGCCGCAAACGCAGCTCACTGCGTTATCTCAAGATTGCAGATCTTTGCCCGCTCTCTGCTCCTAATCTACAACGACTTTGACGAGACCCGCCGCCAAAGATGTGGTGCATGAAGAACGAGTTGGCTCTTGACAAGATTGTCCGCTCTGCACTCGTGCCAATCTTCTCCAAAGCTCCCCTGGCCCCGAAGAGACTTGGTAGATTCTTACTGAGTTGGTCGATAGGTTTCCTGCTCGCACTTCCTTATGGAGTCATGGGTACGTCCACCCAATATGCTACACTGGAGACATGCTGATACAATGTCGCCAAAGCGGACCGTGTTGGCCGTAAGAGAGTCCTTCGCCTCTCCATCATAGGCCTCGTCCTTTGCGACACGTTCAAGCTTATCGTCAGTAAGTTTCGACCTCCGCCAATCCATTCATATAACTGTTTTACTGACAAAGTAAGTATGGCAATCGGACTACATGCCCTTGCGGATGATCTGGCTGGCTCCTGTGTTTAGGATAATAGGGGGCGGGGATGCCGTAGCTGCAACAATGGTACTCGCGGCATTAGCAGATGTCTACGAGGACGAAGAAAGGTAAGGAGATACAAGTCTGATCGCCATCATCAATTCTGACTCCTGCAAGAACCATCGTATTCACTAGAGTTGCGTCCATGGCAACGGTTTGCGAGCTTTTATCTCCTCTGATCGCTTCCGCATTCATGCCAATAAACCCATGGATACCAATTACTCTGGGGACCGCACTGTTCTCAATCGGGGCACTAATCACTTTGACTCTGCTGCCAGAGACCTCTCAACATCGACCAAGGTCTGACGCTGTGTATCATCATGACATCGACTCTGGATCTTGCACAACACAATGTCAGACTCGTGGCGGCTTGATTGCCAGATCAACCTCGATACTTGCGCGGAGTCTTGCCGCCATCTTCGCCGATAGAAACGTCCTCTTCTTGCTGTTTGGCTTCTTCGCAACTACCGTCGGCACAGTGGCCGCCGGATTCGAGTTGCAATACGTTCACAGGCGATATGGCTGGAGCTACGCACGCGTACGTCCCATGATCAGCTTCTTTCTGGTCCGGAGATACTGACCCCCGTATAGGCGAGCTCTCTTTTGGCCATCCGGCCATTTGTGACAATCATTGTGCTTTTGATAATCATTCCTACATCCAGCAAGATCCTCCTAGTGGCGTGCAGCGTGTCAAATGCTCAGAAGGATCTCATTCTGGTACGTGGCAGCGCCACTCTTCTCATGATCGGAACATTACTTCTCGGCATCTCAGAGGTATCTTCTGTTGCAGTGTTCTCTTTCGTCGTCTTTGCACTAGGCAACGGGTTTACGACTGTGAGTAAGAGTCTGCTTACGACTTTCGGCCCGCATGAAATGGCCGGGACCCTGCTATCCGCGATGAACGTCAGTGCAGCCCTGGGAGCAGTCATCGCTGGGCCATTGATAACTGTCACTTTCAACCTAGGTCTGGAGTGGGGCGGAGCCTGGATAGGTGCACCTTTATTCTTTGTAACTCTACTCTATGCTTTGACTCTAGCTTCTGTGTGCCTCCTGAAGGCTCCAGAAGATCTCAAGCATGATGTCACAGAAGATCTGGCAGCATGAACTCGAGCTTATGCAGCTGCTCTGAAACATGCACTAGAGGTGCCCTTGGATATGTTACGAGATAGGTCTTTACAGGTGTTTAGCAAATTTTTCGCGTCCTACATCAAGATAGGCTTTCGCGTCCGTTGTGCAAGCAAGTAAGCCATCAGGAACGCAAGCAGGGTGATCAAAATGGCACTCCTTCTGTGAACCGAAGCCTGTTCGGAAGGATTGGACGCCAACGGCTGCGGAGTGAGGTCCAGTGTATCTCAAAGCACTAGCGTCGTTCACGTAGACTTGTTGACCGCAACACATTACGAACTTGAGGCTCAGAGTGTCGTTGCCCCTGGTGAGGAGCGTGGAGCTTGTGTTGGAGCATTCGATGTTAGGGGACACAGATGGTTTGGCGAGTGCTTACAGGCGTTTTCTAGATTACGCTTGTGGTATCATGATCAACAATTCAGTCCGTATCGAAGCGCCGGCCCAAACAATCTTGTATCTTTCTTGTATACCATAACTTTCGACCAAGGCGTCCCTCGTCATTAACAACTTGGATCGAACTCTCAGTGATATGAGTGCGGTCGATTGCCTAGGGTTCAGGTTCATTCTCGTGCTATGTGGCAAAGATGTGGTCTGCATCTTCCACCTTTGCAATAAGATACTGGTGAACGATTCTTTGTCGACGAAGGCAAACCGACGACGACAGTCTAGCTAATGTTGCAGCTTTCGCGTCAGAGTAGACACGCCTTGGGGACGGAGTCAGCCTGGAAATCATTGGTTTCTGAACGGAAGCTGGTAGGATTATTGATTGTGTTCGAGTAAGATCCTCCTCTTCAGATCTGGAGCATCTTGGCAGATCTCTTCACGTCCCAGTCTTTCGGCTGGGAAGCCGCAGGCCGCAAGGACGCGCTATCACGCCCTACTTGACATGTTTCGCGGTCCGTTTTAAGGTTTGGACGGAGCGTTGTCGGCACCGGTAGCTTGCCGACATTGCGTCACGCATCTCGGCTAACGGCGTACGCCCTACTTGACTTGGGCCAACCCTTTCTGTCCTCGGCCGCATGCCGTGATGCGAGCTATGGCGAATGAGAGACGAGCACAAGACACACCTCAGGTTTTTGACATCGTGATTCCGACTTTACACCACAGTGCTCTAGGTTGAATTGATGAATTCCAAGCCTGAATACCAAATAGATAGCGAGTCTCGACTTGCAAATCTGAAATCTCATCAATGCAGACTCTACGAGAGACCTTAGTCTGGTACTGAGCTTTAGTCAAAAGCCTGAATGACGACGGAGATTATGGACAGCAGGATTCCGTCGGGCCACCGAACAGGATCACATCAATCAGGATAGTAAACATGTGTACAGATTTTTGACTGTGAACGGTGCTGCTAGCCGACAGGCTCATACTACTGGTGAAAACTGTAATTTGACGGACAATGATGGATGTCCCGAGATAACCAGTCAAAGCCGTACCTTCCTAAGACGATCTAGTTGGAGCCCCAGGATATCTATAGAGGTGCTAAGCGCTGGCTTCCGACTCGCTGAACCTTAAATTATTCCCACTTATCAGCAGGCTCTAAAGCCTCCAAACCTTCACCCTCCCTCCCCTGAGGAATAGTCAAATCATCTTGTTGTTTTCTCTAACAATAAGACCTAGGAATATAGATTCTTTTGATTGTCTCAAGCTCAACGTACAGAGTCGCAAGTAAAGACCTTGTCTGAGCAAACAGCCATGACTCTTCACTGCCCGAGTGGTGCAGACTGGCATTTCGGACCTCGTGTGGTAGCTCAATGCCGGCGCTTCGACTTCACCTTGTTCTTCGAGCAAATCTTCTTCACCATTGTTCCCAATACTTTATTCCTGCTTGTCTGTGTCTTGCGGATTTTTCAGCTATTCGGTAAGCCGAGACTGGCGCGATACGGAGTGCTCCATTGGACAAAACTGGTAGGCTATACTCGCCAGCGAGGATATCAAACCTATGTAGTGCTAATCCTTTTATTCCAGTCCTTATTGTTTACCTATGTCCTCGCGAACCTGATACTGCTCATACTGATGAGCTCCTCCTCCATACCGAAGACACCTGCAACAGTGACTGCCACTGCCCTAGATCTACTCGTTGCCGCATGCATGTTGCCACTTTCGCACCTTGAGCATGTCAAGAGCTTTCGACCTTCAGGACTACTGTCCGCCTTCATTCTCTTGACACTCCTTCTTAACATTGCACAAGTGCGCACCTATTGGCTTCTCACAGAGGATTGGAGAGGCTATGCAGCATGCTATACAGCTGCTTTTGCCCTCAAGCTACTCATGCTCGTCTCCGAATCCTGGGACAAAACCGAGCTGCTGGCCATGAAAGATCAAGAACGATGCGCTGAGGAAAGAGCAGGTATACTGAATCGAGGAGTCTTCGCTTGGCTAAATGCTCTCTTTCTCAAAGGTTGCAAAGGACGCCTCATCTTTGATGACCTATATCCTGTAGATGGCGCCTTGAGTTCCCATGTGCTCTCCAAAAGCCTTTGGACATCGTGGAGTAGTGGTAGTAAGTACCTTATATCTGACGCTGCACACAATCTTTCTCCTCAAGCTGACTTTTCAGATCACGACGGTCGGTATGATCTGGCTTTATCATTGTTCAGATGCTTGATGTGGCCATTGCTGATCCCTATCACTCCACGACTTATCCTTATCGCCTTCAAATTCTCTCAACCTTTTCTCGTTCAACGGGTGACAGAGTATGTCAGTAATAACAATGCAGTCAATGATGATGACATTGGCTTTGGTCTGATAGGAGCTTATGGTCTGGTCTACATTGGACTCGCTGTGAGTTTTGGGCATCGAGACCTGATTGACGTTCACTGACGTTGCTGGAAGATTAGTAAAGGATTTTACTGGCACTTCCAATATCGCTTCATCACCATGGTGAGAGGAGCATTAGTGACGATAATTTACCGGAAAACTCTTTCTGTCGATGCTTCTTTAGTCTCTGGATCCCAAGCGACTACTCTCATGAGTGCAGATATCGAACAGATCGCTGTCGGATTCCAATACTTACATGAAATCTGGGCAAACACAATAGAGGCTATTGTGGGTCTTTGGCTCTTGGAGCAACAGATTGGCTTATCGTTCCTCGCAGCAGCTGTTATCGTTATAAGTAAGCAATCTGACTTCAATATCTGACCCCGACTGACCTTGATTAGTCTGTGCAGCTCTTGCTTTGTATACCGCCGATGTCGCTGCATCTCGACAAAAAGTCTGGCTAGTAGCAATGGAGCAAAGATTGCATGAGACTACAAGGTTCCTAAAGTCTAGTAAGAGTATCAAGATGCTGGGACTCGAGTCAATGGTTTTTGAGACCATCAGCAAGCTGAGAGCGACTGAGTTGGGTAAGGGCATGCACTGGGTAAGTCGCGACCCTTATCAATGCTATGAGAAGGCAGTGTGCGCGCGGGCAGCGCGTCTCATGTCGACAACCCCTTTCCCATCGTGCTAATTCATGTCCTCCAGTGGATTGCTGAATGCAGTGCTGTAGCAATTGGTAAGAAAGATGATTCATTCTTTGAACCAAATTGACTGTGGGCCCTCAGGCTTCACACCTCAGCTTCTGAGCCCCCCCGTCGTGTTTGGGATTTTCATCTTCACACATCGGACTAATGGCACAGCGCTGGAATCCACTCGGTTATTTGGATCTATAGCGATCCTATCGCTAGTCACAGCACCCCTCGCCCTCCTTTTCCAAGCTCTCCCAAGCGTCCACTCGGCTTTCAAATGTTTCCATCGCATACAGACATATCTCCGGCTACAAGATGTGAGAGATCCGAGAGTAAGACAGCAGAGTACCCCCAACGTGGCAGTAGAAGCGTCAAAGACAAACGTGACAGCGGGGCATGTGATGATCCCCACATTCACAGTCACGGATGCCTCATTTGCGTGGAAGCTCGATGCTCTTCCTGTCTTGAGGGGCATCAATTGTTCTGTCCCGTCCGGAAGATTGACAATACTGATTGGGCCTGTCGGCAGCGGAAAGTCGACCTTATTGCAAGCTTTACTTGGTGAGATAACTCAGGTAAAGGGAGAGGTAAGGCACTTGACTTCTGAAATCGCATTTTGTGCTCAGCATCCTTGGTTGACAAACACAACAATCCGCTCGACTATCATTGGATCTTCGGAGGCAAATGATACATGGTATGAGACTGTGTTAGCAGCCTGCGACCTTGACGAAGACATCAAGAATCTGCCGGAAGGTGACAAGACTGTTGTTGGAAGTGCAGGCACGGCTTTAAGTGGAGGACAAAAGCAGAGATTGGTGAGTGACGCTGCTTGAGATTCATGGGTCCCATGATTCTTGCCTCGACAAGACGTATGGAACAAAGACTGAAGATGGTAGACACTTGCACGAGCCGTATACTCCAGAGCTCCCGTTCTCCTGCTGGACGATATCTTCAGTGGGCTGGACAGACGCACAGAAGACCGCATTTTGGACAGCCTCTTTGGTGTACAAGGTCTTCTGAGAAAGACTGATAGAAGCACAGTTGTCCTTGTCACTCATGCAGGTAAGATTCTCCGCTTGAGTAGAGGCTCAACTCGTCTAAGTTTTGTACAGAGAGACATCTCAAGTTAGGCGATCACATCATTGCGCTGAATGCAACCGGAGAGGGGTGTAAGGAGGGACCCTCGAGCCTATTCATGGCTCAATTGGCTGGGTCTTTGGGTCATGAAACAGTCAGTAACCGCAACCCCACTCCTACTCTCGATAATACGGGTACACCTCATAACCAGCAAGGATCTTCCGAGCCTGAGCCTCCACGCAGAGCAGTACCGGCCGGAGACACGACCATAGCTCTTTCAGATCGCCAGGTATTCACTCACTACATGCGAGCTGTATCTCTACAACATTTTGTCTTGTTGATCATCGGAGTGGCGGTAGCTGGCTTTCTGCAACGCTTCCCGAGTGAGTAGTCGTCTGGCTTGCCTCCATCCTGACCTATTGTGCGTGGTACATATGTACCAGTCAATACGTTGATTCAGAAGTCTCCTCAAAGATCATACATTGCTAACAATTTACTCCCTGATAGCCTATTGGGCAGAGCTCTGGGGCGAAGCTAATAAGAATGGTAATACATCCCCAAATAACGACTATTACTGGGGCATTTTCACTATGCTCCAACTTCTTGCTTTAGTCACAATCTGCTGGGCGGTATGGTAAGTGAAGCTCCACTAGCTATTCCGGGTCATCTCCCTGATTTTGTCACATCACTGATTCCAAGGAGGCATCTTTTCATGTACGTTATTCCAACATCAGGTAAACGTTTACATTGTAAGTGTTTCCCACCAGAGCTTCTGCCACCCCACTGTTGCTCCTCTTATAGTGACTCTGATCTAGCGGAAGTGTTGAAAGTAACCTTGGGAGCGTCATATGCGTTTCTCAGCAAAACGGATGTTGGCTCCATTACGAACCGGTTTTCACAGGACCTGCTGCTCATCGACATAAGGCTACCATTGTCCTTCCTGAACTTTGGTCTTTATCTCGTGACGGCTATTGTTGGATATGCCTTGATTGCGGCGGCTTCTGTGTTGCTGTTGGCTACAGCCCCTATCCTTCTGACTGCCATCTACTTGATCCAGAAATTCTATCTCCGTACGTCGAAGAGCATGAGGCTCTTCGATCTACAGGCCAAAGCTCCCCTCTACTCACAATTTACTGATGCACTCGGCGGTTTGGCAACTATCCGTAGCTTCCAATGGATGGATAAGCTCCAGACGGAGAACGAAATTCTGCTCGATGTCTCACAACGACCTTATTACCTGATGTACTGCATTCAGCGTGAGTATCAAGGCAATAAGCTAGCTTTGGAGTGCTACTAACGCAACTGTCGTGTTATAGGATGGTTGACATGTGTTCTGGAGCTTATGGTCGCCGGACTTGCCGTTACCGTCGTGGGCTTGGCAGTCGCGTATCGGAACACATCGAACGCATCGGCTTTCGCTACGTCGATGGTCAGCCTCATCACCCTTGGAGCGACACTTGAAACCGTAGTTACCGAGTACACGCAACTTGAGACCTCGATCGGGTCTGTTGCAAGGATCAAAACCTTCGTTGAGACAACGCCACAAGAGGATAGGATTCTGGAAGATATCAACGCATCCAACCTCATGGACAGACAGTCAATCGAGATGCACCCGCTGGCTAGCCAAAATGTTGTCGAATTCAGGAACGTCTCAGCAAGCTACGGGTAGGTACGTCCCTTTCGAGTACAGCTCTTATCTGACGCGCTTTTTGCATAGGTCTAGCAACAGAAAGGTGCTCGATGATGTGTCGCTCCAAATCCGGACTGGTGAGAAGGTGGCCGTGTGTGGTCGAAGCGGCAGGTAAGGCTCTCAATTCAGTATTTTGGAACACATGTCATAGCGCTCATCTCGCTTTAGTGGCAAGTCAACCTTACTTTCAGTATTGCTTAGAATGCTGGACGTTACCAATGGAAGTCTGATCGTTCGAGGGGAACACACGACCCACACTGACCTCTGCGCCCACCGGACCAAGTTCAATACGATTCCACAGGAACCCTACTTCTATCAAGGCTCCTTTAAGGCTAATCTGAGCCGCGGGAGTGCCATCACAGAGGAGAAGCTCCATGAAGTGCTCCGCGAAGTGGGTTTGGAGCAGAAGATCCTTGATCTTGGTGGACTGGACCAAGAGTGTTTAGCTGAAATGTTTTCGTCTGGTGAATGCCAACTTCTCTCTCTCGCCAGAGCGATCCTCCACCCGAGAGGGATTGTGTTGCTCGATGAGGTGAGCAGCAAGTAAGTCTTAGCCCCTACTCGCTCTCCTCGCGGAGCTTGGAATTCTTGACTACCTCTAGCACGCGAGACCTTGCTGACAAATCAAAGCGTCGATTCTATAACAGACGAGAAAATGCACGATATCATGTGGAAGGAATTCAAATCTGACACAATAATAGCAGTGGTTCACAGGCAAGAACTGCTTCACCGCTTCGACAGAGTAGTTGTCCTTGATCAAGGCAGGGTTGTACTCCAAGCACGACCTTCGGACCTGGAGTTTGCAGGACGACGATACAATGAGTAATCATACCAGGCGACCCCAATACTTCCTGATAGATGTAGATGGTCAAACACTATTGATTCTGATGCAGGGATATCAACTAGCTCATGCTCCTCTTGCCTGTACAGAATTGGCAAATGCTGGAGAATAATCCATTAGTGATAGATGACTTCTTCACAACACTTTGAGTGACAGGGTCCATTTTAGTGGCCCGTCCGTAGATCTCATCCCTGTTGATACCATCGTACTTGATGGCATATCCATCTTGCAATCGAGGGAAGGCTGAATGAAGGGGCTCCCGTAGGGGTTCTGAGTGAAATTGCGAAATAGATAGTGGAGCGCGTCGATAGTCGTGGCCACGAATGGGCACAGCAGGGCGCTGTTCGGAGTTGTGGCGTGAGCTAAAGCGGTTGGAGGCTGGAAAAGTTGTCAGGCGAGAGGGAGACTGGTCTGGCTCTAGGCTGAGCGCGACGCTGCTCCAAGAGAGGCAGGACACTGTCTGGGGGGATCCGGAGTACTCAGCTGTACCAGTCGCGAAACCCAAAGCTTCTTGAGGTCCTCTTAAAATCCATTCGACAGAGATCGCACACGTGTGCAAAAAGATGGACCTATCGCGGCTGGCAGATGCGAAGCACCAAAGTTCTACAGCCTCGAGCGCTGAGAAAGGACTAAGGATTCATTGACGGTTCAGATCTTGAGATACAGTGGCGAAATGAGAGAAGCCAGAGGATTACGCAACATTTTTTTATGTCCAGCAAAAGTGGCAGCTGTTTGTCGGTTGACGAGGACGGAATCAACAATCATTGGGCGATGGTGGCGAACCGCCACCGAGGGTGGACATTTGTTGATTAATTACATAAGAGCCAAGGCATTACATGGACTAGCAACATCCGCAAGTAAAGTGTTCAATATCTGTAGTGCATCTAACTCCTCTATCGACACGTTTCCCTTCATACCGTGCCCTGAGTCACAACCTCAAAAAGAAATCATTGCAATCATCAGCGTCAAACGCGATGAGTAGCATTATAATCTGTCAATCAAGCCCATATGAGCCACTCGAAGAGCACTATGGAGCCGAGGCGTCGAGTTCAACCGGCTTGGCGACATGGAGGATGAGCTCTGGAGGCTCAAGGTACCATGCATAAAACACAATTACTCCGTGGTCGACAAGCACTCTCAACAGAGGCTTAGACATGTTGAATTGCTCTCGAGAGAATGGGACCCTAATCTCTCTCACGGGTGTCTAATCATCGGGGATCCTTCAGTTAGCTTTCGAGGTCAATCCATTTTTATTAAGTCGCAATGAGGCGCACATCGTTATACTCAAGGATTCTCGCTTCGGATGGGTTTCGAGTGTCTGTCATGTTGCTTTCAGTGTGTGTTAAAGAGAATGCGAGATATCTTGCGAAGTCTTTGTGATTAGGAAGAACACAAAAAGAAGATAAGGACCACACCTCAGACTATATGTTTGCCGCTTGAGACATGGACAGGTTCGGGCTGGGAATGACGTCACGTACATGCTCCCGCATTACCAGAAGTCAATGCCCGGTGCGTTATCTGCCAAATGATACCTCTATTTAGCAAAATCGTTCGTATCTACGGTCCGTCGGCCCCGTCCTTCGCCCCACTGTATCTTATCACAATAACCTTCGTTGGCTCTCGCCCCACCGCTAGAACACCGTTTGTGAAAGAGGGATGACTATCATAGTAGACTCCTTATTTGATTATAAAGTCGGAGCGAAGGACTGCTGGAGCGAGGGACTGCTAGAGCGAAGAGGCAGGATATTGAAGCCTAGAGAGACATATATATGCCTCGCAAGTCGGTCAATCTAAAGGCACGCGCGTCCAGAACAAGTCAAGTAGCTCAAACTCCCATCTCTAAGGTACAACGCATCTCTTGAAATGGTCGATGAACAGGTACCAACAAGACTTCTAGCCTAGATCACTCCAGCATTCAACTTCAGCTTCCTTGTCCCCAATACCTACGAACGAAGGTTCCCTCTTGCTAAGAGACTTAAGAATGACACTTCTACTCCTCATCAGTCACCTTGCTGCTCTTGGCGCTGCCGCACCTGCTACAAATCCGTATCACTGGGATGTCGGGTTCTTTTCGGACTTGACCTGCGGCACAAGCATTGAGACCGGAGGAAGCTCGAGCGCAAAAAATTGCCAGCCTGTTAGCAAGGGCGGTGCTAAGTCTTACAGTTGGCATGCTTAGAATTTTGGCATTCGTCTTCATCCTCAAGTCGATTGTGGTGGTACTGCGAGAATCCGAACTTCGGACACTGATTGCGATAATGCAGGCTTCAACATCTAGAGCTACGAGGTCATTGGTGTCAGATAGAATCCGGTTGGTGCGTGCAGACTTTGGACGATAGGGCCTTGAAATCGCTTGCCTGCCTCAAACAGAGGTCTAGGTATTTCAGAGTCTTGGGGACCAAGCCTTAGTCATACCTTGTTAGCTAGTCATCAATAAGCAAGGGCGCCTTTTTCCAAGTACTTCATCTCTCTTGACTTTTCTCACGCATGTGAGTTCTGTTTAACAACCACCTTAGACGCCGATATCTGGCCTATCTGTACTCTCCAGTACAGATCTGTTTGACTCTCATGATCACGCGTACAGACCCTGTAGCCCACGAGGTGCTACTTCACCCTTGATACAAATGATTGCTCCATCGTTGTCGGTGCCCACAGCTGTCGAGGGCTTGTAAAAAAACGCTATTGCTCAGAACTCAAGTATCGTTAGCCATATCATGAAAGAGTTGAATGTTAGGTCCAGATCTATGGGATCATCATCCTGCTGGGATTGGAAAGTGTTGACCTAGGATACACCCTCACTGAGCTTCGCTCAGGATACCTTTGTGCCGTGGCCAAAATCATTGCCTCCGGCTTGATCGGCTGTGAAGATGATTGTCACAGATTCAAGATCAGACGAGCATTCAAAATAATTCGAGACATTATTAGGGGAAAGGGGTTATATCAGTATATGGAAGAATATAGCTTCGATTTCGTCAGGTTTCTCGGCCTCTCTGCAGCCTGTCCTGACTTTGTCTCTCGTTTGGAGACACAGTCCAAAACTGCTTGGCGAACTCTGGCGAGGTTTCGAATCGTCTCCTTAAGCGACTACAGCCTAATAACGCTGCGCCTTGCGATATTCAGGGTCTTGGGATCTTGGACAAGATTATATGCATCTCTATCTGAAATTATCTGCTTACTATCGCGTGTAAGTTTCGAGCCAACAGATCGAGGCGACATCCTGTAGCGTCGAAGGCTAAGATCAGGGTCCTACGTTATTCTAACGGCAATAGCCCTGTCATGACTCAAGTCCCTTCCTGCAACTGAGATTAGCATCGGATCCATGGAATCGTAGGATCCTGAAGGATTGCCAGTTCGAAGTTTTGCGTTGATAATCTAACGTTTAGCTGAATAGGCGTTAGAGGCTGACAGCCGTTGAGCTGAAGTTTGGAAACAAATTGACTCCCGCTGCAGGCCAAGAACTAGCAACTCCGTCTCCTCCGCACATGACCGCGCCTGACTTTTCCATATCATTGGTGTTGTGTGTATCATCGTTCAATTTGGAGAAGCTACTACCGTCGGCTCTGACAACCCCTGTAGCGCGTTACAAAGTTACACCACCGCCTTCAGAGAGAGATTGATCTCGAGGTAGAGAAGCAGCACAAAACCATCCGAACGCCTGTAGTCTGGCTGAAGCGGAATATAAGCGGCTGTTATCGAAGGATGCAACCCAAGCGCGGTCATTTTGAATCTCATCTCTCTTTGGATCCGCCATGCATGCGAGATCTCGTGCTAGTCTCGGTGAACCCGACTTACGAGACAACTTTCCTGAACGGTACACCCCAAGGGGTAAATTGTCGACAGCTTTGGTAGGAGTTAGCAGAACCAAGACAGCAGTGACCTCTCTCAGCTGAACATGAGCATAACGGTAGTATATGATCCTTCTATGAGATTTTGTTCTCGAGACGTGACCGCTATAACTACTTGATGACTTCCACCTCGTAAAGCATTTCTTTACCCACCATCGCTCTCGCTTCTTTCCCCTTTGGTATACCCTTATACAACGCTTGGGATCATGCGTGCTTCTTACATACTGGCCACAGCCTCGATTCTAGGGATTACGAACGCATTGGCATATTGTCGGAACGGCACCGTGGATGCTGTCACCGTCACTGTAACCCACACGTCTTGGTCGACGTTGCTCTCGTCCCTCTCATGCCCTACTACCACTATAACTCTGTGCAATGCTCAGTGCACCGCTGCACCTGCCGCAGTCGCCATCAATGCTGACGTTGTCTACGAGACATTGTCAAACTTCCAAGCTGGACAGGTCGTCACCATATCTGGCACGGAAACCACTCTTGCTCAGCCGACTATCCTGATTGTTGAGAAGACCGTCAGCGATCTGCTGCTACTGCCTGGCTCGGTCACTGACAGTGGCCACACATACGCCGCCGCGGCAACCGTCACCAATGTCGTTTACCCTTCGTCCTTCACTGCCGATGAAGGTCAAGTCGTTACATGCCAGAAGGATGTCACTACAGTCACTGGTGGTAGAATCGTTCTCACAAATTGCCCGTGTACGGTGCAGTCAACTGTCCTTGAACTGACTGCGACCGGCTACGGACCTCTTCCAACTGCTCTGGTACCTTCACTCTCAACCAAATATATTGTGAAGATTATCTATGTCTACATCATCGAGTATATCGTTGATCAGGCCCCGACGACAATCACGCGAACGGCCACCAGCACTCTTACAACTGTTCAGACAGAGATACAAACGGCGACAGCGACAGCGACACAGACAGATCTCACTACGATCACAGCCGCGCCCACAAGCTCGATCTGTCCTTCAAGAATGGCAACCGTCAACGATGTTGTCTTTATGTTAGAATGTGACACCTCATATACCGGAGTCACCGGCAACAGTCTACGTAAACGTCAAGCTTTCAACTTACCTGGCATATCTGAGGCCCTCTACTCATGCCTATCACAATGTTCCAGTCGAGAAGACTGTGTAGCTCTATCGTTTGACGATACCACTTCTGTGTGCAGCATCTTGACTCAATTTGATGTTCCAAGCCGAGAGATCGCGCCTGGAAATATCTTTGCGACTGTTGTCTATAGGCCCACAAGCCCCTCGACTAGCCTTTCCGTATCAGCACCCTCTACAAGCCCCGCGAGAAGCCCCTCAACGAGTTCTTTGACAATTCCCTCAACAGGCCTCTCGACAAGGCCCTCGACAAGGCTTCCCGTATCAGCAAGCACTTCAAATCTATCAGGTCTCTCATCATCGGCTAGCGCTTCGATATCATTCGTGTCGGAGGCACCTACCAGTTCAAGCTCAGCAAGCACTACTGGTGCCGGCGTCAGCTCTACCTCAACATCTAGTAGCAGGTCTCGCTCCAGTAGCGTCCCTTACCCTATCTCGAACTCTTCAGTCATTTCGGCAACCTCGACTTCCCGTCGAACATCAAGTGTGACACTGCCTGTGACGAGCTCATCTCTGGTTGCGGTTTCAACTTCAAGCACTGTTCCCTCCTTGGACACCACATCTGTCGGTCCGATCTCAACTCCCAGTGCTATCCTCTCCCTGAACAGCTCGAGTTTCGCCACGAGCACGCAGTCATCAGTGTCAAATTCGTCAGTCACATTCATCACCTTGACCACGAGTAGCAGCTCCATTTCGAGCACGATCACACCCATGACCAACTCGTCAGTCACGTTCAATACCCCGATAACGAGCAGCAGTTCCATCTCAAACACGACAAGATTAATTACCAACTCATCGTCTATCGCTGCTCCAAGTAGCACGATCGTCGATCCTATGACCAACTGTGAGGTCGCAAACGATTTGTTGGACTACGGCCCAGCTAGCTCGTACTGCTCCTCTGTCTACCCAGTCACTGCCTTCACAAGTGTATTCGATGCCACGATCACGGATGTCGCCACAGCTACAGCTCCAGCTTCGACTGTCATCATGAATGTGACCATGTCTACTCAGACAATCATCCAAACATTTGAGGAGTCTACCACCACTACAGTCGTCGTGCCGAGTGAGCTTACGATTGTTCAAACTGTTACTTAGTAAGTTTTGCGTAACGACTGCAGGCATATACAGGCGAGCTAATCAGACTTACAGTACGATTACTGAAACAGCTCAGCCAGAGAGCATAACCTTTGCGAGGAGACAAGCGCTGCCGTCGGTTCAAGCCAGTGTTTTCTCCAGCATCCTAGCACGTCCATCTTCAGACGTTGCCTTTATATGCTCCTGCTTACAACCTGTACCCACAATCTTGACCACCAACGTCCAGACTGTCCTCAGCACATCCACGATCACTCCGGTCGTTAGCAACAATGTGACAATTGTGCCATCGGCTGTCACTCTGCAGACGACCGAGACTGCCACGATCACTGAAAGGATAACAACTATAGACAACACTGTAACGCAGATCTACGAAGTGGCTACAACTACTACTGTAGTTCCTGTCCCCTCAAGCTGCAACAACGGGGGTATTCGATGGGTCAGTATTGCATCTATAACTTCCCTATACATCACATCTGCTAATACTAAACCAGGCGATCTATCCAAACGAAGTGTATAACGACGTTTACTATAACAGCTTCTACAGCGACTATGACCCAGCCGTGATCAAATCGACACCTCCGTGGTATCAAGCTACAGCTTCTGTGTGTGGCGGACTAAATCAAGGCGCCGTCGGCCAGGTCTCCATCTACGGAAGCACCCGAACCTTCCAATCTGACTACTTCACCTTGAACCATGTTGGATACATTTTCGCACAATCCAGTGGCACGTACACCTTCACCTTGAGTGAACCTGACGATATCGCTCTATTATGGCTCGGGTCAAAGGCATACTCGGGATGGACTCGTGGTAATGCCGATGCGACCGCTGTAATTTTCGGCAGTCCTTCGGCTTCCGCTACTGTCAACCTCGTTCAAGGAGATTACCTGCCATTCCGTATTGTTTTTGGTCAGGCCCAGGGAGAAATCAGCTTCTACCTTTCCCTTACAGCTCCGGATGGTACCGTGATCCTGGACAGCACCACTCCTGACTCGAAATTCCTCGTCCGGTATTCTTGCGATGGCTCTTCCGCACCTGAATTCCCTGCCTTCGGATCGGAGACTTGAATGGAACGTTCTTCTCTGTGAGCTTCTTGTGTATGGCAATATTTGAGTACCCATCTCTCGCTGGAGCTATTTGGTCTTGACTTTCGCACAAGTTGACGGACCAAAATTAGTGTCATGGGGAACGAGGACTGTATCAGATGTGATGGAGGTATCTCTCACTTGAAATCTCTCATCAAACCTAGTTGTATGGTCACGATCAAGTTCATCGCTATTCTTGAGAACAATCCTGCCACACAGAGGATTTCATGGCGAATGTGTAGGGGTAGAGTGAGAAGGCGACCAGATCGTCAGGCGCATCCTTTATATCGTCTTCAGATTGATGGGCTTCTCCTTGGAAGTCGCGAACGTCGACGAAGATGATTGCTAGTAGGTGCATGGAATTTGCGCAATCGTTTGCTTTACAGCAAAAAGTCTAGCACCAGTCGATTGAACTTCTCCGGATCTTCCCAGTAACACCAGTGACCTCCCCATTCAATGACAGTACCCTGAGCGCGAGGGGTTTTCGCTTTCAGGTTTGCAAAAGAGACCGCCGCCATTGGCCCACTTGCAGGGAAGCATCCACTTCTATTTGTGGCTACCACAAGCACATCAGTCTTGTTCTCTGCCCTCCCTCCAAAGTTCTCCACGATACTTTGTCGCCAGTCGAGAGCAGTGTGATCGGCCATCAAGTTGCCATACCATTCTGCATTGCCCTGCCTTGCAATAGCCAGAAAGAATTCCTCATCGGCGTCTCTGACTTGGTCGCTGATGGACTCACCCTCGACAGGATGGCTTCTGTAGCCCAAACATCCAGCGATCGTGCCCTTATACACACTGTCGGGATCGTACTTCAACGTCGCCTTCAAATTCGCGACAGCAGCCACAGAATTCATGCCGCGGTTGCCTTCTGCACTTCCCCAGCTTCCGTCGCTCGCGTAATTCTGCATCGGCGCTTGGTCTACCCATATCATATGTGAGAAGACTTGGTTACCGAACAGCTCCGTATAAGACCACAAGATCGAGCAGCCGAGGCTTCCGGCAATACATCTTACGGTGTGGGGTTGAGAGATGTTCAGGTGATCGAGAAGGTTGTGCAGATCCATTGCCAGACGAAAGACGTGGAAGCCATGAGTAGGCTTGTCAGAAGCACCATGACCTCTCAGGTCGGGTGCTATGATACGAAAATGCTTCGATAGAGTGGGAATGTTGCGTTGAAAGACCTCGGATGAGCCAGTGAAACCATGCAGCTACGTGTCGTTTGTCAAGATTCCTCAATGTGGCGATCGTACGATGGAACACTTACGAGGACCAAAAATGGTTGGCTTTTGTCGCCGGCGTCTTGATAGGCGATCTGGCAGCCATCGTTTGCCTTGAAAAACTCCATGAGTACTGCCCGGTCAGGGTAAGAAGCGATGTTGCAGGAAGCGCTTGTCTCTTGTCGCATCCTTCGCCTTTCTGTAGGTGGTCCAAGCTCCAGCCATCCCAACAAAGCTCGCATCCCGCGTCTTCCGGGCGTGGACAGCTTGTTATACTCCGTCCGTCTCGACTTTTTTCGCTACACTTCGACATCTTGTTTAGCCTCGACAAGTTTCTTGTATCTGCGCTGAATATTCCTCAGGTTCCACGAGTGAGCACGACGACCACAGCAGACAACGCTTGTTGAGGTTCATGGATGTGAAGTACTCCTAGGGTTTGTAGGGTTCTTAGGGTTGCTGCTGCGCGCTTCGGCGGTCGAGACAACACCGAGTAGGCTTGCTGAACCTGCTACGAGCACGCAAGACTTTCTACAGTCAGCTCGTGATAAATTGATATCCTTGCTGTTCCGGCTCTCGATATTTGACTGTGGGATGTCCTGTCTCGAGATGCGATGGGCATGTCCGAATGATGACATTCATATTGAAAACATGCTTCAGATAACCTTTCGATCATCTGATGAAGCTACTTCTGTTCTTTATACTAGCTGTCCGAATGACCCTTCGATCCACATCGATGAGACAGCTTCCGAGGTTGAATTCAGTGACGAGTTGGTGAAACCGAACATGATCGCAGGAAGCTCATCTCCACGGACAAGCCTGGCCCGAACGCAGTCGCAACGACAAATTCTTTGCGCATGTCCATGGATCGCAGTCTATCGAGGACCCCTAGTACAGTCGGGCTCGAAGAGTTGCTCCGTGTCCTGTAGATCTCGCGCGTTGCGCGCAGTCGCTCATCGGCAAGACCCATCACTCGTTGGACTCCGTCGATGATCGCTTGACCGCCAGGATGTAAAGCCCAGTCGCAGTCTGCAGCACCAAAATCATCGGAGAAAGCCTGAGCGCAGATCGAGGGAAGTAGACTCCGGACCATCTTGTCGACTGCACCAACGGCATGTTTGGGAAGACTTCTGCTAAGCGTAGTACGATATCCTGTGGCAGGTCAGTATTGGATGCTCTCGAGTCAGGTCTGCCTTCCATCCCGTACCAGTTGCCTCTACAAAGAATTCTAGATCGTTGCTTGTATCGGGGATAAGCGTGTTATTCCAGTTCAACAGCTCATAAACTGGCTTGACGGTCTTTTGCAGACCCAAGTCATTGCAGAGAACGAACGCAGCTGCAGCATCAGAGAAAAGGGCACCTGCGATACAGACTTGTGATGCATCGAGACATCTCGCGGCGGCATCGACTTCGTAACGGACATTAGGTGTGCTAAGCTCACACGCAAAGCAGAGTATTCTGGCAGGCCGACCTCGCAAGGTGGCTCCGCATGCAAGTTGAGCAGCAGTGCGCATGATAGCAAGACCTCCGGCGCATCCGACACCGTGGAGAAGAGTACGATCCACAGAAGGTGACAGTCCCAGCTGCTTGTTGACAAGAAGATCGAATCCCGGGTTTCCTCGATTCGTGCAAGTAACGGCGACTGTATGAGTAATATCCCTGGGATCCCCATTCCACTCATTGATTGCCTTTTCGCAGGCTTGTACGGTCAAGGCAACGCCAGCTGTACGGAACAGGGCATCCATCTCTTCAATCGATGGAGGCTTCTTTTCTGTGCCCCAACCCGATTCATAATCCATGATTGCTGATCGTGTCTCAATACCGGTAGTGTGATTGATCCTCAACAGTCTCTTGATCCTAGACACCATGTCAGTTGCTATTCAGCGAGAAGGAGCAGATGTCGGACCCTGGTATTTCGACATCGTACAAACGTTTCACGAAAGAATCCAGCTTTTCGGGTCCGAGCAGATGGCGTGGATACTGTGAGCCAAGGCCTACTATCCATAACCCAAGCGGCTGGGGAGAAGCATTCCTCGATCTGTCATTGACACGCATGATCGAGGGAGACCTTCGGAGTGTGGCACTACCACTGTGAGGGGAATTTGACAGCGTTTTTATCGACAGTAGCGGCACATCGAGAAATGACAGCTCGCGGACGAGACATGGCTACTATATTCTTAGCTTGCAGATAGGGCCTGAAACACAGCCAGGTGTATGGGACGAAGACTGATCTCGTCATGAGAGTTGGGCGACTTGCATGAGGCTGCATAGCCATCAGGCGGCTTGCAGAATGTGTCGTCGATCAAGGGCACCATGAAGGAATAAGCCTCAGAGGAGCAGCGGCGAGCGTCACAAATCGTCGAGATGCGAATAACTTTCGAACGGTTCGAGCAATCATGGCGATATTTTGGGAGTCCCCTTGTGCCATGCTTAGGCGTTGGGCATCTCTGGTCAGATTTAGGCCACGAAGGATGGCGCGACGCGAGCCGCACGCTGGATGCATGCAAGCTGCATATTCACGGCTGCGCATGCGTTTCGCCCTCGGTGGGGCCGACAAAGATCAGAGGCAGGATTTTGCCAAGGACGTCAGGCAGAAATTTCTCGAAGTAGGCATTGGTGAGACAGGGGAATTGATGACTGATCAGTCGCTGATTATTCCTCCTAAGGCAGACACTTCTTCCAAGACGAACACTTATTCCCTGTGACTGTTATGCTCACGTACGCGCGTAACTTGTGGGGAATAATGTTAGAAGGTTATAGGCTTCCACCCCGCGTCTCGTTATTTCCGTTCCGGGTTCAAGCAGAGCAGATCTACATAAATACGAGCCTTCTAACAGGTCACGGGACATTTGTTGGTATGGTTTAGGTTAACAGCACATTTATCACAGCGAGCACACACGTCTTTCAGCCGAGCATTGCTCAAATGATCTCCTGGCCTCATTACAATTCCTGCCTGCCGGCTCCGGAAGATATTGATCTCGGCACATGACAAGCACCTCGGGTGTACATTATGAGCACCGTTCCGGCAGAAAAGAAACCTTCTGCTTCCATCGACCTGCAGGTTAGCTTTCGACATCAAGAACTTGTTCATGTCAAGGGAATCATGGTGAATTTGCAGACGATGACACATGATATAAGAAGAGGCGACGACCTCGTGTCTTCTCATCAATCACACTCCACAACTTATCTGACCCTTTTCAAAGTCCTCACCCTCGAGTAACTATGCCTTCTAGAACGACCTTGATTCTTGGGGTTGCGGCCTCTGTCTCCCTGGTTGCAGCTGCCCCTTGCGACATCTACGCTTCTGGCGGTACCCCTTGTGTCGCTGCTCACGCTCTCACTCGTGCTCTCTATGACAATTACGATGGCGCTCTCTACCAAGTCACACGTAACTCGGATGGCTCAACCATGGATATCTATCCTCTAGAGGCTGGAGGTGTCGCAAATGCTGCTTCACAGGACGACTTCTGCGCCAGCACGACCTGCGTCATCAGTCTCCTCTATGACCAATCTGGCAACAACAACGTCCTCTCTCGAGCCCCTCCTGGAGCTTTCGATGGTCCTTATACTAATGGTTACGATGACCTGGCGAGTGCTATCGGAGCACCAGTGACTCTGAATGGTCAAAAGGCTTACGGCATCTTCTCTTCACCTGGAACTGGTTATCGCAACGACCAGACAACCAATATCCCAACAGGTGGTGATCCTCAAGGTATCTATGCAATCATGGATGCGAACCACTTCAACGACAACTGCTGCTTCGACTACGGCAATGCCGAGACCAGCAATACTAACACTGGTAACGGCCACATGGAAGCTGTCTATCTCGGCAACTGTAGCATTTGGGGTACCGGTACTGGCGAAGGTCCTTGGTTCATGGGCGACGTAAGTTCCTACAATTTGGTCTGATTCCACCAAACACTGACCTTGTCCCATATTAGCTCGAAAATGGTCTCTTCTCCGAGCAATATCTTGCCGAAAATACGGACAACCCTACACAAACCGAGCCTTTCGTCACCGGTATGGTTAAGGGAATGACGGATCAATGGGCCATCCGTGGCGGTAACGCTCAATCTGGAGGTCTGACCACGTACTGGAACGGTGCGTTCGATCCAAACGGCTACAATCCCATGTCCAAGGAAGGTGCCATTGTCCTTGGAATCGGTGGCGACAACAGTAACGGAGCTCAGGGTACTTTCTATGAGGGTGTCATGACCAGTGGATATCCCTCTGATGATACCGAGAACCAAGTGCAGGCCAACATTGTGGCTGCGGGCTATGCATCAGTGGACCTCAACACCGCACCTTTGACAGTCGGCTCGACCATCACCATTCGCGCGACCACCCCAGGCTATGACACTCGCTACTTTTCTCACAATGGCACCAAGATTGTCACCGAAGTGACCACGACTGCCAACTCGACTGCTGAACAGCAGACCGCTGAGTGGGTTGTTCGCGACGGTCTGGGCTTCAGCGGGTGCTACAGCTTCGAATCTGTCGATCAACCAGGCAATTTCATTCGCCACTACGGCTTCGAGCTATACCTTGAGAGTGGAAACGAGAAGCAGTTCTTTGAGGATGCTACTTTCTGCTCCTTGACTGGTCTCCAAGGACAGAACACAAACTCGATTCGCTCTTGGAGTTACCCTACCCGTTTCTTCCGCCACTATGCAGACGTTGGTTACATTGCAACCGAGGGTGGTGTTCAGTTCTTCGATGCTACTGGTAATTACAACTATGACACCAGCTTCGTGGTCAGTGATGGCTTCCTCAGTGGCTAGGAATCTACACAGGAGGATGGTTTAGCAAGGTGGGCGGAGATGCAAAAGTATCTGTGGATCTCGATGATAGCGAAGGAAGAGATGTGGAAAGAGAAGTGTACCCTACCAACACCCTCAACTTCGCGGCATGTGCAGGTCGCATGGGCTTCTGGAATCAGAGTGGGGACAATATCAGTATACAAGCATTATGTAATGATTAATCATCACAGCTCGATCCCTACCGATCAGGGAGGAAATGTATCATCCAAGCTTAAAAATGTCCAATGACGTCCTGCGGCCTTCCGTCCATGAACAAAGGTCTACTTGGTTTGAGTCCATCGAGTTTCCATATACCCTCCGCATCACGGCGATAGTAATGCTTCACATAGTTGTAAGCGTTCCACAAAGCCACTGTCCCATCAGCCAAAGTTCGCTGGTGAAGACCTTGCACTTGCCAATTCCCTACCACCGTATCCTCATCCTCCTGCTCGAACATGACTGAGCCAAGAAAGTGCTGTGTCTTGACTGCACAAAGCGTAAAGTTTCAACAAATGACGTGTGTCCAATCTGTGGATATCGTGTTCGACTCACGATGAGAATCTCCCAGAGCCGTTTGCGACGACATCTCAGCCACGTAGTCTTGTACAGGGACAATTTTGTCGCCGCCAAGTCGAGGGTCAAGATCTCCGTAGTACATCTTGAAGTCCACAGAAGAACATATAGATTCGAGCTTTACAAAGTCCTGTTAGTGCTGACAGTCAATTACATCTATCATACCAATGGAGTGTGGTGTGTTCTTGTTGGACCTTTTGATCGTAGCAATACGCCCATAGCCATGAGAGCCGGCGAAAGTCCTATTCGTACTGAGTGAGATCAGACATAGTCGTTTCTTTGACGGTGTTTCCCGGGGCAGTCCTGAAGATAGTTTGAGGTGTTTGATTAGAGAGGACGGAAACCTTGCGCGATATATCTAGTGTGGTGTTGATCAAAGTGGAGGACCCGGGCCCGAGATCAGCCATGATACCCGTTTCTCTCCACATAACACATTACAATTAACGGTTTTCTGGATTTCGACATGAATGCCGAACTGATGTGGGTGCTGCAAAGCCGAAAGTGCTGGCGAAGCGGCACACGGGGTCCAACGCGAGGCTTGATCTAGCTTGCGAACTACAGGCTGATCATCCGGTACAGCTTCACTATCACACTGAGACCCTCCATTTGTCGGACTTCGTTCTGAGGATAGATCTATGAGTGACGAGACACTTGCAAGTCTGCTTCAAGACACTAGCGCTCATCTCTATCAATGGTGATGTGTTGCGATTGGCGGTCAGGTGACAAGCGCAAAAGTCAAAAGGGCTTTTCACCATGATCCAGAGCAACACAGTGTGGAGTTTGAGATCTGTGCAAGTCGACGATCGTGCCAAAAGAGAAGCCCCGGCCAGGTCGGGGCCAGATACACAGGTTATAGGCAATATGCGACGGTCAATCGTCTCGGTCGAATTGCTCGTGACAGTAGTGATACTACTACTGACCGTGATGGTAGTCGTCGGCAGGATCACGAGATCGGCAATCCTGTTTGATGTCAGAATTTCCAAACGCCATAAAACCAGAGGGTACGTACCTGTTTGTATATTGCGTGTGAGCGTACAAAGTGATAGTGGGAACGGAGTATATAGTTGGTGGTCCGTATCCAAATATAGACGTCGGAAACCCAGAGGTAGAGGACGAGGGGCTGGATGTAGGATTAACCAGGCTTAGGCTAGAAGAGTTTGTCACCGAGAGCGCTACTAAGCTAGCAGTCGCCTGAGATGATCTCTTACCAGCGGAATCTTCGTCGGCGTGCTGCGCTTAGTTTTCGAAGCTTTAATGAAGCAGGAACAAGCACTGGACGATCGTGATGCGGGTACGACCGAAATCGAGCTTGGGAATGTCTGTTTGGTTCTTGAGATCTCCTGACGAAGACGACTCGCAACACCAGGATAGTCTGACAAGGCCTTCAGATCAGAGCCATTACTGCAGACTGGTGCAGGTGTCGTCTTCCTCAACGTAGACGAATATGCTGCACTTGTAGAGCTCGATGCTCTCGATATCGTTCCGGGGCCTGTTGATTTCGAGGATGCTTTAGAAGTGCTAGACTTGACGTTAGCACTGCGGGATTCTGCAGATGACGATGAGATTTCGATTGGCGTTGGTGATTTGAATGATGATGAGGACGAGAGGCCGAGCTTGTCTTGCGAGTCGAGGTAACGGCCTTGGAAGAAGCACTCGCTTCGGTGGAGCTTCTGCTAGTTGCGAAGGATGATGAGCTAGTCTTTCTGGTGGACGAGGATAACTTCGACACATTCGATGATGAAGTTCGTGTTGGTTTTGATGCTGATGAACCGGAAATCAAGGAGGAAGGCAAGCGTGATGACGACGAGGATGATGCTGAGACCCTCGTAGACACAAGGAAACTCTTCGACGTGCTAGTTGAATGGGCAGAAATCTTCGTCGACCTCGATAATGTTGTCAGCGATGAGATGGGCAGACTCATGCAGTGCGTAGTCTGACCGGGGACTACGACAGTCATTGTACTCACTTCCTCATGGACTGTGGCAGTCGTTGGACTAAAGTCAATGGCAGATGTAGACAGCGGGCCATCGAGGAGGGGAACGATGGAGAAGAACAAATGTCCAGCGCCAATCTGCGTGTTCGCAATCGGACACAAGAGACTTGCTGATGGGGGCGGCCCAGAAACCCGCTTCGAAATCGACGTAGTCATATGATGCAGAGCACGTGACCGTCTGTACATGACTGACAGTATCAGTGTATTGAGCCAGAATATTATTGCCAAAGAGCAAGCTCGCAGTGAATCCCAGAGAATTGGTGTCGGCAGCAGCAATACTGAAAGCAGAACTGAAAGGGCCTGGTGCCTCAAGGCCTGGTGCCTCAGGACCTGGTGCGGCCAACATACCACCGTCCAGTTGTGGTGAAGAGAGTGTTGCACCCATATTCGTATATCGAAATTCAAGCAGAAAAAGTGCAGTGGCTCCCAGACATTCACGAAAGGTGGACCACGTTGACTTAGACGTAGGGCTCTTCCTACAATAAAATTCATCTTGGTATGCCATCGAAACTCAAGCGGCATACTGCGAGCATCTCAGATCTACGGAGTTGAACGAGGGAGCCATTTTTCAGCTGCTGTTGTCGCGAAGTTGAGGGTGCTGACCGTCAAGATAACGTCCGTGTTTTCGGACGGTCAGCAATGCGGATCAAATGGCAACCAGGGTTTCGGCGCCAATGTTCTGATGAATTAGGCCATTGACTAAAGAAGTCGAGGATAAACGTTGACGCTAATGAAACAACTCAACGTTCTTACAGCTCGAAGCAACGGCCCCGAGGTGTGAGTCGAATTTAGGGCTGCGTCGCGGGATAGTCTCACCACAGCTGGACGTTGAGAGAACAGGTGGAATGATGCATTCCGCATTGTTTCGGTGCTAGGACATCTCAATGGCACATCCTGCCGATCGAGTGAAGCCTTTGCGTCAGCGACCTTGAGAGTCAGAGGCGTACTTTAAGTAATAAGCATATGTGTTCTAACCCTAACGACCAGCTCGGCGTGGTGTCTATTTTTGTTTGGCACACAGCCTGCAAAGCTCTTCATTGGAAAAAAGCTAGACTATACATGACATCATTGCAAAGAGACTGCCTATAACGACAGTGAAAAACCAACTGGACGCATTTTTGGTACCGGCAGAGGTTGATGTAGTAGATGCACTCGACGAGGTTGAGGTGCTAGAGCCGTTGTCCGGACTGGTCGGTGTGCCAGTGGCAGCACTGTCTCTTGTAACAAGGTAGATCTCGCCTGTAGCATCGGATGAGAGGAAGATTCGGCCATGGGTATCGATGGCCATCGCAACAGGACGAAAACAATTACCAGGACAGGCTGAGTCGTCTTCGTTTCCAAATATGTCGACAGCTGCTGTCTTGCTAGTACGTTGGTCAACTGGCTCGCCAGCATCTGTAAAGTTGACCAGGGACAACTTATAGCCAACTGGGTTAGGACTATTCCAGCTACCATGGAACGTGATCCAAGCTTGTCTGCCTGTATCATTGAATTTGATGTCCAGGGGAGCCATGTGTGAGTCGAAGACCAGTCTACTCTGTGTCTGATCTGCGCAAAACGCATCTGTCCTGTTCTGATTGCCAAGTGCAGATGTTGAGTCAATAGCGAACTGCGTGCCGACTTGGATGTTCTCATTCTGTGGAAGTGCCTCAGGATCCCACGCTGAGAGGCACCAAGGGTAGCCGAAGTTTGAACCCGTGTTACTGGAATTGGTCCCATTCAGGTAGCCGAGAAAGTTAAGCTCTTCACCAGGATTGTCTGCGTGTACGTCTACATTGTAGCGAACCACTTGATCGGCAGAATTCTCGACGCCCCAGATACCGCCGGTGACAGGATGCTCGGCCAGGCCGACTTCGTTTCGCAGACCCCAACCCAGAAGCATCCCGTCAGTCTGGTATGTGTATGTGCTGGTAAGGTTGGTCAAGTTGAAGGCTTTTACTGAAGCAGTGCCAGAGTCCACGTTTGTCGCAGATAAATCGAGATTGCTCAAGCTACCAAAACTGACAACCATCATGCCTGGAGCACGCTGTGCCAGTAGGAGGGTACGTGTACTGTGGTCTGTTCCTGACATATTGCTCACTACGGTCTGCTGATCCGAGATTGAGATGGCAGCGGAGTCGTATTGCCAACCGTATGTTTCATTGGTGTTGGATGCATAGAGCATACCCTGTTTACTGTCGAAACCAATGCCATGATTCAACTTACCTAAATTAGTGACTTGTCATATCTTCTATCATCGCAAAACTCACGCTCATGCCTTCTACCACGGTCTTCGACGAGTTGATTGTTACGCAGCCGCCGCCATCTTCGTTCAGAGTATGCGCCGACAGATCACCTGAGCCAGACTCGATGACAAGCAGTCTGCCTCTATCATCGAAGGCTAGTCCTCGCGGGCGAGCAAGTCCGGTTGCGACCACCTGCCATTTGTATCCAGACGCCACCGAGGGCTTGACGTTTCCTGAAGGCGACAGTCGACACGACGATTGTGCGGAGGCCAAATTAAGCAGCGTTGTAATGATATAAAGACTCCAGAACATCATGGTCACAACTCTAAGTTGTGCTTATATAGAGGTAAGTAATATACATGATAAGAAAACAGGCGCATGGCAGCGCACCTATAGTTTTGCACTTCGCGACATCACACGTCATGATTCTCACCCCTCCTTTCGTGTATTGTTAGATCCTCTCGGCATCCTGCAGCCAAGTCCTCTTGGCCAAGAACATGACACTCTTAGGCGCTGTTCGCGCTTCCGTCCTTTGCCGTACTCCTCGACTCTATCAGTCATAACCACTACGACTGAGTTCAGGATTGCTTTGATGCTCAGAGCTCCGACTCCAAAGTCGCGCTGAGTTCTTGATCTATTTCGTGGTTGGGCTGATTTCGATGAATTTGGACGTCCTTCTCGCGGCGTACACCCACATGATATCAGTCCACACTTCTGTTGTCGCTCTCGAGGATTTCAAGCTCAATCGCCTCAATCAAATGTCATCGGTCGTAAAACTTGATCCCAGATCACGGCTCTCAATCAACTTTCGTTGTCAGGTGGTCTACCACAATCGCCTGGGCAAGCTCGTCGTCACTGGTATCTGGAGTGACTGGTTTCGTTCGGTCATCGAGCTGGAGTGACATCAGCAGAACTCATCTGGTTAGTAGCGAAGGACATACCTTTTTGACACCATAGCCAACCGCGATATAAACAAAACACACGACAATCATGGCAATCGAGCCCTTTTTCCAGTAAGGAACATCAGTGGCAGGATACATGACAATGCCCCACCAAGTGTACAGAAGCTGACCACTCATGGGCATGGTGTACAGAATGACCGACCGAGCAGCATCATCGCCTGTCCTTTGGAGAATTGAATTGGCCCAGCCGTACATGACGGGATGCGCGATAAATGAGGTACCACCGAGGTAATGTGCGGCAAAGACTCCGCCATCAGGAAGACGAGGATGCAGGAGAAGTGTGGCTGTGACCAGTTGAAATGCGGCAGCCAAGACCATCATCGGAATTCTCTGGCCAGTCTTGTCGATGAATATACCAGCACCGATCTGAGACACAATCGCGACCGATTGAATGCCAAGAGGGTAAGTAGTGATGGCAGTCTGGCTGAATCTCCTCTTGTTGTATTTCATCCAGAGCAGCAACATGCCTTGGACAGCAAACGCCTCGAGCATGCCTGAGATGACAGCCAAGGACGCAAAAGTATAGATGTACGGGGTCTTGAGAACTCTGCCAACCAAGGTTCTCCAGTGGATACTATGGCTGTTTGTTTTCCTGGGTCCACGTCTGCCGCGAGCGACTTGTAGCTCTTCCTTGGTGAAGTAAGAAGCTGTGGTGGTTTCGGGAATATTGGGGAAGAAAAGAAACCCAAAGATACAAAATGGGACGCCCATCAAGCCATTTATGATGAAAGCCCACTGATATCCTGCAAGTCCAGCGGTACCGTGGAGAGACTTGTTCATGGCAGTCATCATCAAGCCAGAAGATAGACTGCCAACTTGTCCGACTGCAGTGAAGATCGCGGCTCGCTTGGAAAGTTCGGATGGGATATACCACGAGCCAAATACATACATACTGCCTCCATAGACACTTGCTGCGAGAAATCCATGGAAGAAGCGGGCGGCACACAATGCTTCAAAGCTTTTGCACGCGGCGAGGCACATCGTGACGCCCGACCACAAGATCAACATCAAGGGAAGCCAGATCCGGGGAGCGACTTTTTGGATAATCAAAGCGTGGGGAATCTGAGCTACAACACCGCCTGCTGTGTACATGGACAGCAGAACACTGTACTCGTTTGCGACAAGGCCCAAGTCCTCACGGAGACCCGAGACATAAGCGTTGGCGAACGATTGACGATCCAGGGTGTTGAAAAAGTAGCTGGCACAGCAATAGAACTGGACCCAGATCAGGAGCTGTTCACATGCGAAGGTGGCCGATTGTCTTTCTTACCATAAGAAAAGTGTCTGGAGAGGGATCAGAAAGGGTCATCGATCGCATATGTCATGGAATACAAACCAAGTTTTCTCACAAGCTTCTTCTCATCTTCGGTCCGCTGAGGACGGGATGGGTCCCCTGTTTCTCGATGTCAAGATCGGTCGAATCGATGCGCCGAGCACCAAGACTTACTGCTCAAGAAGCCCATCTTTGTAGAGGTCCCGAAGACCTGGGAGGGTCGCGCGAAAAAACATCAGATCGGGTCACATTGGAAAGTTCAATTGATAAGGGATCACCTCTGGTTTTGACGGCGGCAATCACGAGGATTAAGCTTTTGAGTTGCAGAAACGGTCAAAGACTGGAATGCTGGGCACCTCTGGGCTTCTTCGAACACCATGCGTTCACCAGCACAGTCTGAACTCCAAATTCCGAGACCCAATCTTGGCTGTTGGTCAATTCTGAACTTTCGCATCTAGATGATGCAAGAGAACCGACGGAAGTCACATCGTAGAGATCCGAGCTGGGTACGCTCGACGTGGAACTTTCACAAGAACCTCGGCAGCCGGATGGGACCGGATGAGTTTTTTGGCCCAAGATCACGCGTGTCGCGACCCGCGACAGCACCTACGAGACATTTCTGATCGCTTGTGATTGCATTTCACCACTTCGTCTGTGTTGACAGGTGATATTGCACTATGTGTACGCTATCTTGGCCACTGGGCAGATGCTAGGCAGTCGAGGCGGTGATGTTGCTGCAGCTCATAAGTTTCAGAAAAACTCCCAAAGAGCGCTCGAAACCTGGACAAAATGTTTGTCCCTGCAGGCAGACAAGCAACTTGATATAGTCGTAGTCAAGCGCCAGATCTGAACGGTAAGAAGAACGAATGGACGTATTGGACACCTCACGCACGTTAGGAATGTCCGATGGTAGTAAACTCTAGGACCAAGAATGCAACATATCCGGCAAGCATCACCACACCCGCAAGACGGCTAAACCTTGCTCCAAACCAAACAACCAATGTCATGAAGAGCGACGAGCCCAATAGCACACCCACCTCGACAACATTGACCGTATCCCCATTATAGTCTCCAGCTGTACTGACCCAAAGTATACCCAAGCACAAAGTGAGCAAAAAGATATTGCTACCAACAGTATTTGCGACCAAGATACCAGTTCGATTGCGACTTCCGCTCATGACGGCGATGAACTTTTCTGGCAAAGTCGTCGCGATGGAGAGGAATACGACGCCAAAGAGGACTTCTGAGATGCCGCTTTCTTCGGCGATGTACGAGGAAGCATTAGATAAGACGAAGCTGCTGAGGAGAATTGCCAGAAAGCCTAGAAGTAGGATCGCTACATGGTACGGTATGCTGTGCTTGTGTCTCGAGGCAGGGAGAGCTCCATCGGTTGCTAAAAGAGGTGTTGTCGAGTTGACTTGACTGCTCTCGAAGTTCTCATGGATGCTTTCCTCGTCGCTCTCACTGTCGCTATCACTGTCACTGACTGACTCGGGTGCAGTCAGATGCCCCTTGAAAATCAAGTACGCGACAGAGCCAACGTAGAGTACAAAGATCGCAATCAGTATGCCGCCGAAGACTGTCGACAGACGTGATGGGTTAAACGCTTGCAGGGCAACAACCAGCCCAGTCACCAGAAGCATAGCCAGAGTGTACGCTCTAGCACTGGCATCAAAAACCATAATCTCCTCATCGCGGCGAAAAACCAGACCAAGTGAGAATGCGCCCAGGATATTCGAGATCGCCGAACCGATGATATTGCCCACGGCAAGCGAAGTGCGGTTGCGGAGGATGCACACGACCACTACAGCCAGTTCCTCCCATTCCGCGCCTGCGGTGAGGAGTCCGACGACAGATTCCGGTATGCCTGTGCGTTCGGCGACGATAGCGGTATGATCGATGAACTTGTCGGCGCCGAATTCGAGGACGAAGAGGCCGCAAATGAAGCTTGCCACACTGTATGCTATCAAAGCTGCATTGGCCATCGGTGCGCCTTTCCAAGAATTACGAGTCCAGTTGTTGGAGGGAATAAATCAGACACAAGCCGCGAGGTCGCTGCTCTTCAACAGTGAAGTCATCGGCTGCTCCAAGCTGGCCAAAAGTCGTATACTCGCTCAGTGACATCCTATTCAAAGCTTAGGAGCAACGCGTCCATGTTCGCGACATCAAACAATCATTTTCGGTCGTGGACTGGTCAGAGAGAACTGTACCGCAGTGGTTGCCAGTGTCAAGCTTCATGAAGAGTTTCCTATCTCGCGGTAATGCCACCGTCAACACTGATCACACCGCCCGTGATAAAATCGTTCTCCAGCAAGAAGTCCACAGCCTTTGCGACATCAGCGCAGGTCCCTATCCTGTTCAGCGGATGCATAGCAGCAGCTTGTTCTCTGGAGTATGCACCACCATTGTAGCTCTCCTCGAGAACAGGCATACCCGAGTCAATTACACCAGGCGCGACAGCAGATATGTAAATACCCTCACTGGCGTATTCGAGGGCTGTTGACTTGGTTAAACCAACGATCTAAGTAGCTGTCAGTGGCAATTCAAGTGAACGAGATGTAGGTAGGGACTGACAGCATGCTTCGTGGACGAGTAGGGAGCGGCATATGGCACACCGATGAGACCAGACATGCTAGCCATGTTGACGATAATGCCTCTTTTGCCCGCGTCGCCTTGTTTGTCCTGATTCAACATGAGCCTGATCTGCTCTTGCATGCACAGGAAAGTGCCTTTCTGGTTGACGTTGTACATGAAGTCCATATCGGCGAGGGGGGTGACATGGAATGGCATGAAAGTGCTTGACATGCCAGCATTGTTGACAGCTGCATCGAGGCGGCCATGGGTGTCGAGGACAAACGAACCAGCCCTTCTTCGCAAGATGCTCAGCTGTTTCTTTGCCGATGCCGGTTGTGGCACCGATGATTAGACAGGTTCTTTTTGTAGCCATGATTTCTTATGGGCAGGTCGTGCAGGGGACAAGGAAGAAAAGGTGTCAGCATTCCACATGCGAACCATCACGATAACATAGATTCAACAGCTGCAAGTGGGGCAGGGGTCCAATCGACTTGCTTGATAATCAGGCGGCAGTCGCTCTTCGACTACAGATGGATGAAGCCAGGCTGACAGGCTGACGCCAAGAAAAATATATTTGTTGTTAGATGAGACTCGGCCGTGATATACAGGGAAAAAACTTCCACAACCATGAGACATGCAAGAACATGGCAGAAAAAGAAGATTAAGACGAATGAAAAGCACGCTGTCTGCAGACGTGGAGGGGTATACAGAAAGGATCCACGTTCTGTTGGCCTGTTGGGACCGGATTGAGTAAGGTGAGAATTTTAGGGCACAGCAGAGACTTGAGTCAAGACTAAGCAGCAGTCGCAGGTTGGCTCTTTGCTTTCGAGTCCATATTCACATCGCCGTCCTTGTCTCTGGGCGCGGCCGTGTCGACACGCTCGGGGCGGTGTGACTGGGCGCCGTCCATGATGCCCATACCGCCACCTGCTCTGAGTTGGTTGATAGCGCGAACAGTGTCGATGGCTTTGTGTAGGGTTCTTCTGGCGTTGAAGTTCTTCTTGACCGTGGGCAGCAAATCCTCGGTGCCTCTGTCGTGGGCGGGGCCAGCGATCCAGTCGTGGCTGAGAGCTTCGTGCGATGTCATGCGTTTTGTAGGATCTATGGTCAAGCAGCGCTTGATGAAGGCCCTGGCAGACAGCGAGACGCCGCGCCAGTATTCGAGGGGTGTAAACGAGTAGTCGGCAACGAGGATCGCTTGCATCTCTTCGAGGTTGCTGTCGCGGTCGAAGGGCGTGTAGCCGCAGAGAAGGAAGTAGGTAATGACACCGATGGCCCAAACGTCGCTGGCAGAGTTTAGCAGCTGGAGAGTGACATGGCATGGTCGGCTATGCTTACACAGGCTTGCCGTGGCCGCTCTTGTTGAAGATCTCGGGGGCCATGTAGCCAGGGGTCCCGCAGGTCGTGGTCAGAACGTGGAATTGCTCCTCGTCCATGATGCGCGATAGACCAAAGTCAGCAATCATGAGATCGGCATTGTCTTCGGGGGTACGGAAGAGCAGGTTCTCGGGTTTGAGATCGCGATGGACAATGCCGTGGTCGTGGAGGTATGCGACGGCTGACAGAGTGGCACGGATGAGATCTGCGGCATCGCTCTCGTAGTATGAGCCCTTGCGACAGATGCGGTCGAACAGCTCACCACCCAACGCCAGGTCGGTCACGAGGTACAGATTGTTCATCGTCTCAAAGTAGTCGACCAGGGTGAGGATGTTCTGGTGGCCCATGGACACGCGCTTGAGAACGGCAATCTCGTTGCGCACCATGTGTTCGCGACCGGCCATCAGGCGCTTGTTGATGACCTTGGCGGCATAGTAGCGGCCAGTGTCGATGTGCACGCACTCCTTGACGACCGAGTATGATCCAGCGCCGAGTGTCTTGCCCGTCTTGTAGCGACACGGTTGGATTTGTGCTTGTGACATGGTCGTTGGACTGAGACGTAAGCACGTGGGTGAGACGCTCTTTCTATAGCACTCGGCGGAGTGGAGTCGAGATCAGGAGACAAAAGCGGGCCAGAAAGTCGTGTTTCACTTGGACAGATATGCGCGTGTGGATGAAGGAGCTGAGATTGCTGTCGAGCTATCGAGCCTTGGTCTGCTGAATTCAGAGGCTTGTCCGGCAAACAAGACGTCTGTTCATGAAAGTGGAAGGAACGATTGACACGGCTCGAAAGGTCGGCGCTTGCTCTTTGCTTGACGGGCGTCCCGCTTTGCTTGGCTTCTCCGAACCCGCGGGGGTCGCTCCTGCCAGAAACACGACCCTGTTTTGTGCCCCGCCACTCGCTGTCTCTTTCCTTTTGTTCTTGCCAACCTGCAGCTCCTTCTGCAAATCGTCCTGTCCTTGATTTGTATCTGTCGCAAGCACATGACTTGTCGCCTCTGATGTTCTGCTTGACAGAATCAAGGCTAAGTCCTTGGCCAGCTCCTGCACAGCTGTTTGCGGACCATCACTCGCTGCATCACGAGTGCCAGAAAGTAGCCCGTAGGTGGTCTAGCCTCAGCTCTGCTATGCACACTATTCCAGGTACAGTATCGATATGACTTCCTGTTCCAGCCACATGGCTGCCGCATCACCGCTCCTGCCTCATCAGCGATTCATATCCTCTTGGCTCATCGCTGCCTGCTGTTTCCCTCCTTCTCAAACACTGCGACATGCGAGCACATCTTTCCCCTCTGCCTAACACCAGTCTTACCTTCGTCCTATCGTCACGACCGGATTCCGACTACAAAATTCCATCATGAGCCCTCTAGAGTCTTATCTGCGCCCCGCGCTGCAAACTGCCCAGGACGCTCTGGTCACCGTTGTCGACAGTCTCCAACTTCGCAAAGACGCGCCCTTCTCTCCAGACATTCCCAAAGAGCTTCTGGAATTCATGCCTGACCTCTCGGGACGTCTTCTTCTGACCTTCCCATGGACCAAGCCTAGAGCCGTCGACACTTCGCAGCACAGCGTCTGGATTCTGGACAACACTGCCTATCGCGTCCAACCGTACGCTCCATCCATCAGCTATCCACATCTCCCATTGACTGATGCCAGGAGTCAAGACAAGAAGGTCGACAAGCACAAGGCCGACCCGCAACTCACCGCCGCTCCGAACGAACCACTGCCTCGACCGTACTGGGAGGTTGAGTATGTGGCCGCCTACTTCTCCCGCGAGACTTGCCGTGACGCATCGCACGTTATTGCCGACATTGCTCGCCTGGTTGGTCTGGTCAGGGGAACAGCAAGCGAAGAGGAGTGCTTGGGCGAGATCAAGGACAAGCTTGACATCACACCCATCAAGAAGCGCCTCGAGCCCTTCCTGAATCCCATTCTACCTCGTCATACCATCCGCGTCAACATTGCCGATACCGAGACCCAAACACTTGGCCCCTCGACATCGTCAGGCATATCTTCTGATCTGCTCCGCCTGCACTTTGATGCGCCCACTGGAACACAAGTCACGACGACGGCGAACACAGACCCATCGTCTTGCTTCGTCACACCTGGTCGTACCGTCTTGGCTGAGCCTACAGGCTGGGGCGTCATCTCGGACATCGACGACACGATCAAGATCACCGGCACCCTTTCTCCCATCGCCGTCCTCAAGTCAACTTTCCTCGAGACACCAACGCCAGTATCAGGCATGCCTGAGCTGTATACCGACCTGGTCAAGTACCTCGCCGATCCCATCTTCTTCTATCTGTCCGGATCTCCGTACAATTTGTATCCTTTCTTGCGTAGCTTCCGCAAAGAGCACTTCCCTGATGGCACCATGATTCTCCGTGATGCTTCCTGGCAGAATCTGGGCGGTCTGATCAGCAGTCTGTCCATCAACGTCCAAGAGTACAAAGTCGACAGACTTGAAAAGATGCGTACCTGGTTTCCTGATCGTCAGTTCATCTGTATTGGCGACAGTACACAGAAAGATCCAGAGTCGTACGGTGATATTGCGAGACGCCATCCTGGCTGGATCAAGGCTATCTACATCCGCCGTGTTCCTGATGAAAATGGAATCCAAGGCGCTCTGAATCCTGACCGAAACTCGAAGAAGCGATTTGAGGCAGCCTTCAAGGAACTGGATCCCAAAATGTGGCTGGTGTTTGATGAAGCTGATGAAGTGCGAAGGAACGTGCAGTTGCTGGTGAGATGAGCCATCATCATTCTTCTTTTGTCTGATTACTGAGTCTATCTTCTCGTTCGCGACTCGCTGCCCTACATGATTACCGCTTCAATTTTACAGCCTTCGAACACTACATCCACCAGCATTTTCTCATGTCTCATGTACTGTCATCACATCTGCGATGATGTTTGGCTGTCATCACTACCCTGCAAAGTGCCCAGTTGATCTGTCAATTTGACTCCTGCCTCGGCCAGCCTTTTCAACCAGAACCTCGTCTGCCGCTGCAGCTCATCAATGCCGATCTCTGCCACCTCCTTCGTACGTCGCAAGACTTGCTCTCGGTTGTTTGCGTTTCTCAGTCTCTGACGTGCAGCCTCAACATCTGCTTGAGCTCGTGTCATGGCTACCCCTGCTCTTGTGTACTCGGCACGCACCGTGTCGACCAGCGCCCGAGAAAGCGATGTGCCGATGTGACCATACTGTATGTCTATCACGTCTCTTGCTGACTTCGCCTGCTCTAGGTCGTGCTGGGCGCGTGCCTCGTTTCTCTGTGCTGTTCTCAGTCCCGCCTCCAGGTCGCGATCTCCGGTCGTGTTGATAGCGCCGGACGCGACGCTAAGACCGTTCTTGGCCATGCGGTATTGATCGAGAGCAGTTCGAACAAGTTGCTGCTGGTCTTCAATCCGAGCCAGCAGGTCGTCGAATGCGGTGTTGAGGTTCGACAAGATGCTGCCGGCATGCGGGTGTATACTCAAAAGTGCCCTCGCAGGACTCTGAGATGATGGCGATCGTGGTGAGACGCTGCTTGGCGAGGCTCGCATGTTCATGTTGCTCTGCTGATGATATCCTTGAGGCACGGCTAGATTCGTCGTATGACTCAACTCATGCTCTGACGTGTCGAAGCGGAAGTCAGTATGCTGACCCTCGAAGAAGGTGTCCATTCGAGGTCGCTTTGGTTCCACTGGAGATACCGACATGCTCTGAAACGCCTCTGGACTCGGTCGCTTGAGCGCTTGCATTGAAGTTCCGATCTGCAAAGGTAACAGACTTTGATCCAGTGTGAAGTTGTTCCAATCGTCCAGAGGTTGTGCCGTGGACGGATAAGATGGTTCACTCTCGTCTGCCTGACTGACCACTGTGCTCGCTGGGGCAGAACTGGATCCTCCTCTTTCCCTGGATTGTCCTTTCCTTGCCTTGTCGAAGCGTGTTGCACATTGTTCGAGGTCCTTGAGACTTAGTAGCCTCTCTCCACCCTCTGTCAGCTCTTTGAGAAATCTCAAAGCTGTGTCAAAGTCTGTCGATACTGCGACTCGCTCGATAATGCGCAATTTCGTGTTTCCAAATTCTGTCACTTTGCCGCTTTTAGTAGTTCGCATTGGGATGGGAATACAGGACGGGAAGTTTTCCCAGCCTGGCTGTTTGCGTATGGTCTCCAAATTTCCATGGCGGCGAGCTGCTGTCACTGCTTCGGTCTTCTCTTCGATGGTCGTGGTTGAAGACGGAGAGATATCGAATGGCGAAACTTGATCAGGCTCGGTCATGGTACAAAGGAGTTCGTGCGTATATATTGTGTCTCGTATGTTCTAATTCCCGAACCGATCACGAAACCTCGTGTTCGGGAAAATCGACGGGAAGGCGAACGCATTTTGTACGCTCAGCACGGCGAGCGATTGACGATAGGGCTATCCTACACCGGCTGTGACGCCCGGGAGATCGATTTTGCTTCAGCAAACCAAACGACCGAGATGATCGGCCCATGCACCAACAGTTGACCGATCTACTGCTCCCTTACTTCACTTGCCCTTGGGGGCTCGCTGAATTCGCTATGCATCATCGCAAGATCAATCTCTTTTGAGAAGCATACGTACGTCAACGCCGGGGCTGGCCCGCCTCTCGTCTTCGGTTGTCTCGAAAATGACTGTGATGTCGACGCCGCAAAACCAGCCACGAGATGCCCTAACATCCTGAAAGAGCAATTGCGTCGCGTCTCGAGTTGCGCTGTTCACGAAAGCGACGGAATAAGCGTTCGGCGAGAAAAGGACAAGCCCGTGTTTTGCTGCGCCTCTGTTGTTGTGGTGGAGAAGTCTGATATCGAACGCGTGGGGACGATAGAATCGATTCTGCGAATCACCTTCAATCCGGATCTGATTATCTACACCGGATCAGAGCGAGCAGAATACGAGCACGATGCTTATTCCGACCTTTCGTGTCGCTTGCACCTGCATTCGCGTGTCTTTCCATGCCTTTCGCATTCATCGTAATGCTCTCCTTTAGCTCGCAATATCTTCACTGCCTATACTAAACTCTGACCTCTCATCCGAGATGGCTGCTTCCGATACCGCTTCTTTCTTCTCACCACTTTTTCGAGTCAGGACCGCGTGGCCTTCTGCGCCTGTATGAATGCGATTAGGGCTGGGAAAAGATAGGCGGGAGCTCTCTGGCCGTCAATCTCCGCCTAAACGAACGAGCCAATCATATACCATGGTCTGACTGCGCAGGACACCCTGGCAGGAGTTTTCCATCGAATCTCGCGAGTAACAGGAGGTTATTTTATCTTGCCAGAGATCTGGTGTGAACGCTGACAGAGACTGCTTCTCAACAGAATTCACAAAGTGCTACGGCCGTCAATCACGAGGCAAGTAATTGCAAGTCGATCATGTAGACTCACGAATTCGCGAACCGAAAGACAAATCCGTGCTGCCTGGAAGTCCTTTCCGTCCAGTTGACGCGATGTACATACCGCCTGTCGCTTCATGATACAATCGTCCATCTGACTTTGAGACATCGTCTGTGGGTTCAAAAGTCAATCGCAATGATGCACAACCTCATATGATGCCGCAGCTCAAATTGCGGAACCACATACCGCTTCCCCATACTCTCGTTGATGTCCGCATGGTGTTCGGCTTGGCAGAAGAGCGAAAAAGCTTCTCCTGACAGCGCTACTCGAGTACCGAAATGTCCTCCGGAAGATGCACCGCAGAGATGACGACTGTCTGTCGATGAGCCTCCACGCCGTTATATCCTTATGTTGACACAGATATCATTCGCGACGTCCGAAACGAGCTTTAGATCCAGACTGCGCCGCTTTCGTAATGCTGTCCGTTTCGCTCGACACGAGTCAGAACCATCATATCATGCCAATCTTTGCACAGCCATACGACCAGATGAGAAGCAAGTTCTTTTTCAGCTAATGGGTGAATTCGCAAACATCCAAATCGATCTCCCGAAACAGTACTCCCGGATACTCATGAAGCCGACACATCATGATGTCTTGGCTCGTTCCACATGCCTGTGGACCGCAAGTGCAAGTAGGTATCTGCGGTATAGGAAATGTCACTGCCACGTCGTCGTCAGACCCACACGTACTGCCAGACGAGGCCGACTCTACTTCGATAACATGATGGACATCTGCTTTCTCTTCTACAATTATTTGCGTTCATGCCTAGATTGTTGCTTCTAGCCGGGCTTCTTGCTTTGTCGCACATTCATCGAACAGTGGCCGAAGATGTCGGCACAAGCTTCGATACCAAGGATTTACAAGCTTTCGAGCATGACTTCGGTTCTTTCCCCTACAAGACTTTCGTATCTTCGGACCTGATATCTCCGATATTACGACGACCTTCCGAAACAGTGCAATGTGATGATGACAACTACATCTTCCTGGCGCCTCGAGGAAATCAGGTTCCACATCCGGCGGTTGCGATCATGGATAACGCTGGTGAGATGGTGTGGCAGCACTACGTTGAGGGTCAGGGCTATAATCTCAAGGTCCAGGAGTATCAGGGCGAGCAGGTTCTCACGTTCTGGGAAGGCAATGATGCAGTCGGTGGACATGGCGAGGGTGACTATTATATGGTTAGCTGAACGATTTGCTTCACAAGTTGTACAGTTGCTAATAGAGGCACAGTACAATTCCAGATACGAGCAGATTGCAAAGATCTCGGCTGTGAAGGGACTGCATGCCGACCTGCACGAGATGACCATCACACCTCAAGGCACTGCTATCATAACAGTCTACGAGATCTATCCCGTCACAGTCCCTGGCTTTGTAGATGACACAGACGTACTCTGGATCTGGGACTGCCTCTTTCAAGAAATCGACATTGCGAGCAACGAGCTGGTCTTCCAGTGGCGTGCATCCGAACACCACCACTTGAACGAAACATTTCGGAACATCCATGATGAGGGACGAACGCCCAACCAACCGTGGGACTGGTATCATATGAACAGCATACAGAAAGACGAGCTTGGCAACTATCTGGTTTCGGCGAGGTACACGCATACAATCACCTACATTGATGGAAACACTGGCAACATCATCTGGATTCTAGGCGGTAAGCGGAACGAATTCGCGGATCTGAGTACTGGCAAAAGCAAAGCTGTGAATATTGCTTACCAGCACTTTGCACGCTTCCACGACTTGACAGAGTTTCCGGTGCTGCTGGCAGATGAAATTGCTTTGCATCCGGCAAAAGATGTGGATGGCATGACGAAGATGCTGGTCTCTGTCTTTGACAATGGCGCAGACAACGGAGGGACAGGCGAGAGGCCTTCCAGAGGCGTCTTGATCGAAGTCACGTATCCTACCACCACGAGAACTTGGCCAAAAGGAACCACTTACATGGCCAGGCTGATCCAAGAATACGTTCATCCTGCCCAGTTTGTCTCGTCGAGTCAAGGCAGCATGCAAATCATAGCCTCAAATGACACCTCTGACCCACGAGTGCTACTAGGATATGGCTATGTAGGTGTTTGGACCGAGTTCTCGGCCGATGGAGAAGTACTCTGCGACAACAGATTCTCTGCAATGTCGTCGTGGGGCAACGGAGACGTGCAGTCTTATCGTGTACTCAAAGCTCCTTGGAAAGGCGAACCGAGCTGGCCGCCGGCAGTCGCATTTGGACAAGGCAAGCAACAGTCTTCTGTGTTTGTGAGTTGGAACGGAGCAACTGAGGTCAAGACGTGGAAGTTGCAGCAAGCGAGTGAGAGTGCATGTGCAGATGATGACTGGGAAGATGTTTCGACCACGCAGAAGAAGGGCTTTGAGACCAAACTCGACGTCGAAGACTGCGATATGCGATTCCTACGAGTTGTTGGACTCGATGCGGATGGTGAGGTGCTTGGTGTCAGTCGGACTCTGGACATTGGATGGGAGGTCGGAGCCAATGGCGTGTTTGATGGCTTGGAACTTCGTGGGCACAGCGAGCTGCAGTTGGCAATCATTTCTGTTGCAGCGCTGGCTTTGTTTGTCATTGGATATGAGAGCTTTCGCCACGTCAAGAGCTGGATACAGGCAAAGTGGCTGGGGTATGAGCAGGTGGATGAGGACAGTGACGTGTCGTCTCTGGCTTTGGTTTGAGCGGATGCTTCTCCTCTTTAGTTTACTACTGACTACGAACAAGCAAGTCATTGGAGACACTTTACGATAGCCACAATGAGTCAAGCAAGCATCTTTGTTCTGATGCATCTTTCCGAGCAGCAATCGATTCCTGATACATGATTGATTATCCCAGAAAGTTGAGAATCGATCCGGCTGCAGATGCCCTTGTCTTGTAGGCCATGAGGCGTTGAACCACCGCGTGGCACTCTTCTTGGCAGGGGAATCGTATGCAGGTGGAGTCGTAAGCTTTGTACGTATACCACAGCTTGGCACAAGACAGATGCTTGATGGCAGAAGCTTTATCACAATGACCGTCGATGATCCTGACGGCCGATGCAAGAGGCTGGGCATTGCTTGACGGAGATGGAGTTATGGGGGACATGTCGAGATTCCTTATCAGCTTATCGCGATGCGGTCAACAAAAGCAGCGGGCCGAAAGACGGAGTGAAGTCAGATGGTCCAAGCTCGTCCGAAAACCAAAGCCCCTCAGCAGTTGGGCGGGCTCAACGACACCATGTGCATCACCTTCAACAACCCATCAACCACACACAACATGGCCCAGGTCGCACAGAAAGCAGTCCTCATCTGCATTGACGGATGGGGTGTCGCCGGCGCAAACTCGCCCGACAAGGGCAACGCCATCCTCAACGCCGACACGCCCTGGATGGACGAGTTCGCCAAAGAGGGCAGCAACATTACCCAGGGCTACACCGAGCTCGAGGCCTCGTCGCTCGCCGTCGGTCTTCCCGAGGGCCTCATGGGCAACAGCGAGGTCGGTCACTTGAACATTGGCGCCGGCCGTGTCGTCTGGCAGGACGTTGTGCGCATCGACCAGACCATCAAGAAGGGCGAGCTCAACAAGGTCGACAACATCGTCAAGAGCTTCAAACACGCAAAGGAGGGCAACGGCCGCCTGCACCTGCTCGGTCTCGTCTCTGACGGCGGTGTCCACTCGCACATCAACCACCTGCTCCGCCTGCTCGACGTCGCCAAGGAGGTCGGTGTGCCCGAGGTCTACATCCACTTCTTCGGCGACGGCCGTGACACCGACCCCAAGTCGGGAGCTGGCCACATGCAGACCGTCCTCGACCACACCAACAAGATCGGCCTCGGCAAGATCGCTACTGTTGTCGGTCGCTACTGGGCCATGGACCGCGACAAGCGTTGGGACCGCGTCGAGCAGGCCATGAACGGCATCTTCAAGGGCGAGGGCGACGAGTCCTCTGACCCCGTCAAGACCATCAAGGAGCGCTACGAGGCTGGCGAGACCGACGAGTTCCTCAAGCCTATCATTGTCAACGGCAAGGACGGCAGAGTCCAGGGTATGTCTGCTTCTTTCCTCCTCCCACCACGACCTTGACTGACATGAGTCCCCAGACAACGACACTCTCTTCTTCTTCAACTACCGCTCCGACCGCGTCCGCGAGATCACCCAGCTCATCGGCGACCAGGACCGCAGCCCCAAGCCCGACTTCCCCTACCCCTCCAACATGCACGTCACCACCATGACCCGCTACAAGACCGACTACACCTTCCCCCTCGCCTTCGCTCCTCAAACCATGGACAACGTCCTCGCCGAGTGGCTCGCCAAGCAAAAGGTCCACCAGTGCCACGTCGCCGAGACGGAAAAGTACGCCCACGTCACCTTCTTCTTCAACGGCGGCGTCGAGGTCCAGTTCGACAACGAGCACAGAGACATGGTCCCCTCGCCCCGCGTCCCCACCTACGACAAGGAGCCCAAGATGAGCGCCATGGCCGTCGCCGACAAGCTGTGCGAGCGCATCAAGGAGGGCAAGTTCGAGTTCCTCATGAACAACTTTGCTCCCCCGGACATGGTCGGCCATACCGGTGTCTACGACGCCGCCGTCATCGCCTGTACCGAGACCGACGCTGCCATCGGCAAGGTCTACGAGCAGTGCAAGGAGAGCGGCTACACCCTTTTCATCACCGCCGACCACGGCAATGCCGAGGAGATGCTCAACGAGAAGAACACCCCCAAGACCTCGCACACCCTCAACAAGGTTCCCTTCGTCATGGCCAACGCCCCCAAGGGCTATAGCCTCAAGAAGACTGATGGTGTTCTCGGTGACGTTGCTCCTACCGTTCTCGCTGTCATGGGTCTCCCCCAGCCCGAGGAGATGACCGGTTCCAGCTTGTTGATCAAGGCTTAGAGATCAATGTAGATATGGATTTGGACACATTTTTGGAAGAAGAAGCGAATAGATATCCCGGCACTATGGCACGACTCATAGACGAAATGACAACTTGATGTACAATATTCTCTGAGTGTCTCTGCAATCTTCGCCAACACGGAGCGGCCTTGCCCTTGGCAGCTGCTACAGTCGAACCAAGGCACACCCAGCACGTTTTATGTACCAAGGTGAACTTAGATCTAGACCCATCTGCAAACCACGACTTGCAAGGTTCTCTAAGCGAACAAGCTCGGGTGTTCTAAAAGCCACAGACGTTACTTTGCCGGAAGCTCGCCCAAATCCAGGGATGGACGACTTGATATTCCAGTGGTACCTAGCCAGGCTATCTTCTTCGAGTCTCAGAGGATCCGCACCCTTCAGCACACAGCAGACTTGTAAGAGGTAAAGTCAAAGGACCGCCGCTTCTCATATCGTACTTTCTCCTCCCTCACACGAACTCTGGTTCCTGCTCCGCCCCCCCGCACATTGTTGAGCCATCCTGCTCGCTCTGCACCCACAAGTCCGCGTCTGGGCTCGCCTCTTCTAATGCTCCTTCCCTGTCAACTGTTCCTGCCTGTACTACCACAACAATCCTCGAACCGCCACCGCCCATCCCCGGTCTTCTGCACCGTCGTCCCACACGTTTCGCAAAACGTGAAAGTTACAAGCAGGTTCTCCACTGCGTCGCCATGTACGTTCGCGCGCTGCTGCGCTGGGTGCGGTGCGTTGCGGGCACTATCAGGTTGGTTGTGAACGCGCCGCCTGTATGGTGAGAATCCCTGCATATCACTTCCGACTTCTCCACTGTGGGAGAATACAGTAAGATCTTAGCAGATTTGGTGACATTCTTCCAGCTCAAGTGGTCTCGTTGACCTGGTCGGTGGGTTGTATCGCCCGACGACCCTGCCGAGCCATTCTTTACCTTCGCGAAGCGGCATGGGTTGCTCCATATCGAACTCGCTCATTCAGCTCTGGAATTGAAGCCATTCGCATGTCTTTGTGCTGGCCACGAGCCATCAGGCAAATCAAATGCCGCTCTGGTCTGCTCATGTCGCTCTCAAGTCTATATAATGATATTCTCCCTCCCTTCATGGGACCTCGCCTGGCCCCATAGATCTTCCTCGCACAGTAGTCTCAGCGACATGTTGGTCCAAGGATTTATCTCGCTGGTCTTTCTGCTCTCTGTGGCAGCAGCTGCACCAGTCGATAACGACCTTGTCCAGCGCGCTGTAATCTCAGCATCTTCCTTCTGTAAAGCAGTCAATGCTGTCGTGACCGCAGTCAACGAACAATCAAGCGCGAGCGCCTTCTGCTCCTCGTACCTATCCATCCCTGTGGTCACCACCGAAACGACTTCTACACGCACCGGAACCAGCACTGCTACGACCGCGGTGACAACCCGCGTTACGACGGTATGGGTCTTTGTGTTTTGTTGACTTTGTAGATGATCATTAACCCATGAGTCCAAAGATAACTGTTACCGTAGCAGCGACTGTGGCTGTATCTTCCACAAGCAGTATCACTAAGTGAGCTTTCGTTGCTTTACTGGTAGACAAGATGACTGACCAAGTATCAGTACGGTTACTACAACTGCAACAATTCCGACTGGAACGACCACAGTTTTGGTCACCCACGATGCAGCGGCATGCAAGAATCCGTACTCAGCTAGCACGGTTCAGAAGCGTACTGTTGCCGTGAAGCAAAAGCCCGCGTGTCTGGGCTCTTATAGTATCGGCGCAGTCCTTTCTTCGGCATGTAGCTGTTTGTCCGTGCCTACTTCGACCACGACGGTTGTCCTTTCGACGACTTCAACAGCCACGGTTACCATAACCGCGAGCGTGAGTTGCTTTCCTGCCTCAAAGTAGCTCTCGCTAACATTCACTAGATCCTTGGAACGACAATCACGACCACGACAGCCACCACAACGACCACCGATGTGGTGTTGGCTACTACAACTCTCACAGTCGGCACTACAGTCTTGGTACAAGGTGTGCAAAGCAAGGTTAGCGGACGAGTCAACAAGCTGACAATGTGCTCTTTCCTACCGTAGCCACAGTAACCTCCACCGCAGTCACTGGGACTTTCCAGCTCGTTGCTACAGGCGATCCAACAGTCAGTGGCGCCTACGCAACAAACACATATACCTCTTCAAACTACGTCGGCAACAACGTCGTATTCTCTGCCACACAAGCCAACGGAGAGCTGTTCTCTATCGCTGCGAACGGCAATCTTGTCGACCAAAGTGGAGGTCAGGTTGGCAACATCGCGGACACAGCCACCACTCCTAATCCTGCCTATGTTTTTATCAATCCACCGTCGACTATCAGCGAGAATGGCTTCACACCACTGACATGCACCATCAGCGTCAATCCAGCAGACGGTACTTGTCCTGTCTCGTGCACGGAGAACGGTAGCAGTATTAGCTACGATGGTAGCACACCAAGTGGTGTTGACGGTCCCAGCGGGTGCGGGAACGGGTTCTGGACGCTGGGACAGGCTGGGTCGCTAGCTTGTCCTATCCTGACGATCCTTGCCGTGAATTAGGACACTTACTACATGATAAAGACTTCCAGTTCACTACTTCATATCCGTGGCCAGAATCTTATCAGCGGTCGTCGAGTACATCGGGAGGTAAAGAGTCCAAGCTGATGGAAGATGTGGTTTGCGCTGACATGGGTCTATTTTCTTCTTGCGATGGGCTTTGAAGTATGATTCTCGGCGCGGTCTGGAGTCTGTTCGGGAAGATGCTCTTCCATAATTAAAATGAGTGTATAAGGAGCCGGTGTTGGAACTGTGCATGCATGCATGTTCGCTAAAAGAACGAGAGTCCGGGGCGAGATTCTATTCCAGACTGTCAATCATTCGAGTCGCCTCTCGTTGTTAAACCCCAACAACCATTTAACCAACCTGTCTAGCAGAAAGAGCCTGCATGTGTTGTTTCCGCTGCATAATATCATCGATGGTGGCCTTTGTGAGGCTCCCCAATGCGACGAGTGCTTCCAGCTTCAGGCTCCGCTTAGTGGCCTGACTGATTGTTATACGAGCAGACTGAGACGGATTGTCCAGGGCGTCGGGATGATCCTCCAAGATATTGTCGAATTTCTTCTTTGCGGCCGCATCAACATGTCTCTTCAGACGCCCCACGGCAAGATCTCTGGCTGCCGCGTGATGTTGATCGTACTCTGCTGACATCCACTACCATCACTAAGCCAAAACAACAAAGCAACATGTCTTCAATCAGTTATGCCATCTCGGCTGTAGATGTATCTCATGTGACCATCAAGATAGTGCTCAGATCCGGCGCCAAAATCTCGAACGATCAACCGGCTTGGACTTCTGGTGCATACTGGAACAACCAGATCGTGGGTCTCTATAATTCTCAGGATTTCTGGAACCTGACTCCCGACTGGGCCGCCCATTCGTAAATTGCTGGAGATCAAACGAAGATTCCAGAACCCATCACAGAGCTTACAGCTACCGAACAAGGTCCCGTTGGTGTGCGAGCCGACGGAAGATTGTGGAAGCGCATACCACCAAGGCCAAACTTCAGGACTCTGTCGACGACCTCATAAAGGTGCAGCCGTTCTCCAAAAACATCGTCAAGGGTGTTGGCGCCATCACTGGCACTGTCGAGGATATGACCACATCTGTCCAACGCGTATACGATGACTTGACCCTGTGGCAGGTGATTGCTTTGACCGATGATGATGTCTCGACAATCCAGAAGAGTTGGGACGAGTTGAGAGATGATTGTTTGATCTGGATGGACATGGTGCATGCGCAAAACATCAATTCGATGACGGCGTCCCAGTTCCGTTAGGTCGATGGCGTATTGCAAAAAGAGAGACGCTGAATAGTATAGTCTGTTTTACAGTGTGATTGAATTCTTCGTATCGATTCTATGTCAGCATCTCGGTCACGGCAGCCGTAGTACCAAGTCACCATCGGTCGCCCTTCGGCTTGCATAATTATACTCATAGCCAATGACCCGAATTGTGCCTCGTATTGAAAGCGGTGGACCCTGGACGCGCAATCCATCCCTCCGGGTTCTCTTGGCAAACATGACACCTGCCATTTCCATCACAACCCCCTTCAATGTCTGTGACTTCCGACAACGATCATGTTCCTTTTCGTGAGATCTCGTCGCTGTACGCCACAGAGTACCTCCTGATTCTTGGAGGTGTCGGAAGTGGAGGAAGAAATCAAGAGGCGACTGGAGAGCGACCGTCCCCGGGGCGCCACATCGCCCTCACTGGGCATAATCCTGGCTTGACATCACTACAAAGCTGCTTTGGATCAAGACTATCATGTTTGAGGACCAAACCCCTGCAAGCAATATCGACTCCGCCCTGGACCTAGGAAAAGAAGTCTTGCCCGAAAATGTACATCTACAACAACACAACCGCCCGTCCACCAATCTGACATTCACTCGTAACAAGAATAGCAGATACACTCTTTGCCGGCGATCGCGCATCCGTGGCATCCCACCGCTGGGTATTGGCTTCCTTGACATAGCCAACTCAGGCGACTTTGCTGCCAATGTCTTCAACCACGTCCCGGTCCCAATCTATGCCGTCGTACTCATGGCCATCGGAGCCACTGTTGCTCTCGGCATGTCTTTCTTGGCTTTCTCAGATCTGAAGACCAGCTTGAAAAACGTCAAACTTCTCAGGAAAGAAAGGACGCTGCTAAAAGCAATGGACAGCGACAGGGCTGCAGAGCTGGAACTTAACCATCGAGACCTGGGGACGGAGATTTTTGATCGCGCGGGTGTCGACATTGCTATGGGTATTGGAGCCTTTCTCATCGCCATTGGTACTTATATGGCCATTGGGGGCGCGAACCCCAAGGTTTTTGTTGCAAGTAATCTGCTGTCGGGCTATATTGGAAATGCCCTGCCTGCTGTCTACGGTCTCTGCAATATCGGGTGGTCCATCAATGTCTGGATTCGCGCACACAAACAAGTCAGTGCAGTATATATACACCTGCAGGATGGCGTTCCAAAAGACCTTCTTCTGCGTCGGGGAAGGGGGGTCCAGGAGCATGCGATACTGACGGCTGTCGTTTGTCTTGTTTCTGGTGCACTTTCAATGGTCACCCCTACTCATTGGTGGCCATACCCCGTTCTTCTCGTTTGTGGTCTGGCATTCCTTTACAGCACTTGGATGTACAAGACTCAAATTGGGTACGAGCGGCCTTTACTCACACATGACGTTCATCTGGAAACAGCTACCCTGATCGACGAGATCTGCTTCCTCCAGCTTGTGGAAGCAGCCTTGCGGGAGGACCACAATGCTTGGCTGGCACTTGAACTGGCAGATCTGTCCATGGCTGATCTGCTGACATTTGTCATGCGGTGCGGTCTCTTCGAATCTCTCTGCTGCCAGCTGCTGAATGAGTCATGCGTTGTCAAGCAACACTTTGATGCTGTGTCAACATCGACCATGGTAGTCTCTGAACAAGTTTTGCTCGAACTCAACAAGCTTGACCAAGTCACTGAGATCACTGATCTCGCACGACTCTGTCTCGAACAATGCGGGCTGGAACAAATCACTATTCGTAGACGATATCTGCTGGAAGCGCTTGGTTCTTGCCTGTTGCATCATATTGAACCTGACAAAGACGGTTGAATCGATGTTGCGGCCGTACAGCACTTCGCAAGATGTTCAATACCTCCCAAACAGGGTCTGATTGTCCATGGCTTTAACAACTCGCCCAAGCAGGGTCTGATCGCCTATGATCGCACATCAATCAAATCCGACCTTGCCTGATTTGGGCTCTGCATCCACGTTTTCACCCCTCCGCACAGAGCATTCCGCATCGCAATGAGCGACGTAGATCATTGTTTCGCATCTTTCAAGCTCGGACACGAGACGGCCTTGCGCCTCTCCAATGGTTTTCTGCCATGTGCGCCGCATCCCGTTCCTGCACGCCGTTACGCAACGCTACAGTTGACCGAGGTGTGATCTGCAGTCAAGCGTGGGAGTGGCTTCGCACCGGGCCGACGCGAAGATCGTCATTCGCAACGTCGGGCCCTTCTTCCAGGTTAACAATACGGCGATCCTCTTGTTAGCCACTTAGACTCCTTTGACACTCGCAGATCTCATTCATGCATTGACCCAGTACGGCTAGCTCTTATGACCGTTCGAGCTGTGAGATCTGTGAACATGGACACGAGCGGAAGGTGCGTGCATGGTGTCTTTGCAAATCCTCCATGCACCCTCTAGGCCAACGATACCGCACATCCACTGACTGTTCTGGGAAACAACGACTGGACATCCCAATGTGACCGCTGGGACTTGTCGCTCTATGAGCTTCACGATGACCATCGTGTGTCTTGTGCTATGGAAGATCTACTCCAACGATGGCACTGGAACTCTTGCTCACCGCGAGATGAAGATATAAAAGGAAGGTCAGGAAGCTGCTTGTTCCCTCATCATCAACTCCTCAAACCAGCTTCTTCACCCTACCGACTCTTCCAATCTTCTTCCAAACCACTCTCACAATCAGTCCTTCGAGATGCACTTCTCCTCACTCTTCACCCCCATCGTGGCCCTCCTCGCCACCACTGTCTCGGCCAGCCCTATCGAGAAGCGTGCAGTCACCGCAGACCAGATGGTCACAACCATCAACAAAATCACTCAGCAGTCAAAGGCCCTCACCACCGTCGCCAACAAGATCAACCCCATGAACGGCGTTCCTCTGCTCGGCCCCGGCGCCGGCAGTGGTAGCACCAGCTTCAACGACGTCATTACTGGCTTCCAGGGTATCATCCAGACTGGCACGACCGCTATCACCAACATGGACGGTACCGCAGCCTACACCGACGCCACCGAAGAGCAGAAGGTCTGCGATGCTTTTGCCAACGTGAGTTTCTATTTTACACACGACGAGTGAACATTGCTCGCTCTAACATGTTGCAGTTTGTTGTCGTTCACCAGAACCTGCTCCAGGTTGTCATTGGCAAGTCTGGTCTTCTGCAGGGTGTCTTCCTCGACCCCGTTGCCGCTGTCCTCCGCTCTCTCGAGGGCGTTGTCGACGTAAGTATCCATGCGAAATCCCACGATGATCAATCTTGATACTGACCAGCTGTTGACAGACTCTTGCTTTTGGCATCATCGACTCTGTTCCCGTCTGCGCCGACAAGGCCACCTCGCAGAAGAGTGATTTGGACGATACTCTTGGCAAGGCCATCTGTGCTTACACTCCTGCCGGCACCCTTGGCCTCAACCTGTTCTGCTAGATTACGGACCGCAAGCAAGTCTGACCGGGGCAGAGAGACTGCGGAAGGAGGTTAGAAGATACGTTATGTAATGAGATAGTGCGAGCCATGTGGATGAATGTTACCCTCTCTTGATGGTTCGTTAGCGACAAGAGCACCAGGTAGTATATAAGACAGCCAGGTCGATTGTTTTCCGCCATGTCTTTTTCTTCCAAAAGACGAAGCCCTGCTCTCGTGTATATGAGCCTTGAAGTATGATTCAGGCACTACTGTATATGGTCTAGACAGCATATCGGTCCCCGGCTAAACGTCAAGCAAGGCGGTCAAGATGTGCTACCATGGAGACCCTATAACTCACAATCAAGACTTTGTCTCGTGCCGGCTTACAAGAACGAAACAATCTAACGTCTGGCTCTGATAACGCTGGCCCGAGGCCTGCCAGAAGAGCAACCACTGTAGGAGTTCGCTTTGCCCAACAGGATTTGCAAACGAGATGAGACTTTTTTCTTTGTCGTATCTGTCAACAAGATATAGCAGCTCTGCAGTTGGTTCCAATGACAGTATGAGGTGGCCATTCATTGTTGTCGATTATGACTGGTATACGACCATTCAGATCCAGTCGTAGGAACCAAGTCTTGCTTTTGTTGATCGGTGTCAATGTCGATGAGGGCCGTGGTGAAATTGTAGTCCGTATACCGCTTTTAGCTCTTCAAGAATGACCTGAACTTTCTTGCCATTGGGAGTTGATTCTGCAATGAGTTGCATTCCCAGGCGGTGGTTAGTGATGGAATGAGATTCGAACCGATCGTCATTGGTGGTACTCTTGCATTTCTGAACATTATATGGCGTCCCCTGCAGTACATATAGTGGTGCCTAAGTCGGACGTTCCTTCCATACCTGACCTTTGCTCATTCATAGTCTGTTCAATCTCGGGTCACCGTAGCATGAGTTTCTTGGTCCTTGCAGAGGTGTGGGATTTGGTATCACTCGTACTTGTATACACGAATACGTCGCGAAGACGGAAGATGGCGAAGGCAAGAGAACAAGCGGGCGGAGGAGTGTCCCGGGTCTTTCGATAGCTCGGAAAACGCATTGAAGGATTGATCGCTGGGTATCACGTTTCCGGCCAGCGGTGTCGTCTAGCAAGTGGTACGTTCGCTTCGTTCGCTTCGTGGTGGCTCTCGAGGTCTGGGAGGGTTGCAGGAGAAGACCTGGTCCTAGATAATCATTCCCGCATTCGCAACCACTTGATGTATTCTGCCCGTAAGTGAGAAACTTTAAGCTGTTACAAAGAGCTTGGCCTAGTCTTTCCAGGAAGTGGTTTCGCATTCGACGAACCTCACTCTAAGACGAGGGCTAGTTGTGTGTTCCCATGAACTACTTCGCGAATGGATACCATTAGTATACGCGCTAAATAAGTGACTAACCTCTTAAATTTGTGATACGTAACAGCTAGTATATAATATGTCAGTTTTGAGCTCGTTTAGCTATAAAGCGCAGAGGTGGTTAGAAGGCTGAGCGTGTGATATCTGCAAGCCATCTGCAAGCCACGGCGCTGTCCACCGGGTGTGAAAACACCCTGTATGGTGTTATCAAGCTCAGACTGAGCGGTCTGCAAGCCTTTGAGTGATACACAGGCTTACCTCCAGCTCGGGAGCGGGGGTTTCTGTGGCGATTTGTGCAATCTCCGAGCATGGCAGGTTCACTTCCATACTTTGAACAGCTCTTTGCATTGCAGCCTTTGGTTCAAGTCACAGTCATACCTCCCGTAACAGACGCAACCCATAATGACAATGGATCAGCCTGTCGTTAGATTCTCGACTTGCTCAATACTTGATTGTGGAGCTCCTGGTGTGCGAGGCATGAGTTGTTCGACTTGCCAGCAGCATCTTTGCGTTCGGCATTCACGGGCGACTTTCCACAAGTGTTCGGCAATCGCGGAGGTATCTTCTACTGTGATGATGAGCAAGAGCTTGCAGCTTCCTGCTGACCATGTAGCAGCTTAGTGATCAAGAGTGGGTGAGCAGGGTCGAGAACGAAATGTCGCAGACTGTCAACCGAATCAACGTCCCAGAGTTAGAGAAGCGAGCTTCTGCGCTCAAGGGAAACATCGCGTGTTCCTTCAAGCAGAGCAGTCTCCAAGACAGGATGATGGGAAATGCCATTTACCACGCCTGGTTGACCTTCGACGACGGAGATCGATGGCTTCTGCGTACACCAATCACAAAGCTCTGCGACATTCCAGATAACATGACCGAGTACTTCATTGCAAGCGAGTACGCAACCCTCAAGTTCTTGGAGCCCACCAATGTGCCAGCCCCTAAAGTCTTTGGTTATGGGCTTGCCTCCGATAAGGACAACGTCATCGGCGTGAGCTACCTACTCATGTGGTAAACCTTTCCTTGACAACGAGCTTCTCGGAGTCGATACACAACAGCGTCGAAGTATTCTTGCACAGATTGCGGAGATCTTTGTCGAGATTTCAAAACATCCCGTCTCATTGGCAGGATCGCTGACAACCAACGATGGGCACAGCCATGTCGCAATGATGGCTAGCAACCGTTTCATTCATCTCGACCTGTTAGGACCCTTCTCCTGTGCCTCCGACTACTTCACTGCTGTGTCTGAGCGATATCTCGATCTCATCGCCGATGGACAGGTGCACGCTGAATACCCTGTAGAAGCATTTGCATTCTACTCGTTGGCTCGCGCCAAAATTCATACTTTTACCCATCCGAACACCGTGCAGAACTTCTTCCTAAAGCACGTCGACGACAAAGGTGACCATTTGCTGGTCGATGAGGACGGCAAGATCTCACGAATCAGAGACTGGCAGTTCGCGCGTTTCGTCCCTGCCATCGAAGCATTCGGTCCTTCCTACCTGACTGCCAACATGGACCGGCTCCACTCGCGCGATGCCGGTGTTACCGATCTCGATAAGAAGCTTGCAAAAGAACTACGCCAGCAAGGCGCGAATGATCTAGCTGGATACATGGACAGCAACGAAATTGCAAGGCGTTTTCACAATGGTCTGAGTGATGGTATCTCGAGAATTGAGGCCCGGGAAATGTTGGACGCTTGGCGAAAGACTTTTGGGAGTATCTTACCGTCAGATCTGGATGCTTGGATATCTCAGACCTGCGACAAAGACGCTCGATGGGAAAAGGTATCGCAACTCGGAGACGATGTTGATAGTGTGAAGTCATATGATCGTGGAGGCTTGAGATTGCTCGCTTAAATACCGGAGAGGTACATGCGTCCAAGAGGGGGCGCGAGTGGCCAATATTAAGAGTCCGTTATAGTGATAACGGAGACAGGCGCGGTTCGACAAGCATCCTCACTGGATGCAGCAAGCGTTCGCTAAAGGAAAGATAGGCTCTCTGTGCCGACTCAAGAGTTCTTCTTTGCCGACAATGACCACCTGCATTTGCCACCGCCAGCACAATATCTGAGATCATGATGTTACTGCCGACCCGACAGGGATGCTCAACCTGTCATTTGAGCAACAGGATAGAGCGCTGATGCCTGTGACCATTGGCAAGACCCACTATTCGCTGGAACTCAAGAATACGGACGGAGTACAGGATAGAGACGCATCCGGTGGATAGTGTGAGGCTTTCAAACTGCCTCTTTCGAGCTTGGTAACACCGTGGATTCGCTACTATTCTTGAATATGCAGACGCACAGATGTGCGCGCACTCTGTCAAGACCGTGGTCATTCCAGACTCTGCTATTGAGCAGCCAGTCGTGCCCGTCGATACTATCAGCGCTAGCGCTCGTTGCGCCAAGTGCACCGCGTGGGCCATGGCTGGATAACGCTTTTGCAAAAATCGTATGTTCTTGCTCGTTCTACCCTGGTTGCGTCAGAGCAAGAGACATCTAGTTCCATAACCCCTCGAGACAAACGAGGAATATGACATCCAAGAAATATGCGAACACGACATCTAAGGAACTTGCTTGCATCGACACCAAGGTCGCTCTTACGCACCAGTCTTCACCAATTGATCGAGATGCCCATAGCCTGCTAGGTGCATTGCCTTCCCTTGTTCGTGACTCAGAACACCATGGTCCGGCTCAATCTGATCTGCAGAGTCATGGCTTCTCTTCACGAGGGTATGAAGCCTTCAATCAGATCCTCATCGCTAAGGGTCTGCTGCCAACCCCCGAAGAGGATGATTGGACCCTGCTGGGTACTTACGAGTCAAATGAAGAGACTTTAGAGCCTTCTAGTACTACAACCACCTATAGCATCGATTAATGGGACTTTGTGAGTAGCTCCTCCGAGCTTGAGCAACCTGTAGATGTACAAGCAGATGCGGTCTACGGTGCATCTTCGACACCATCATTGGATTAGCTATGGTGGCATACATGGCCAAGCAATAATGAGTTCCGTCAAATTGCATACATGCGCACGCGATAGTCGGCAAGGCAAGGAACCATGTCAACTTGCCGCCTCGCGTTCCGCTTCTGATTCAGTCACTCAGATACCTATGCTTGAGGCCGCCGGTAATGATCAAAGTCTGCATCCTCAAGCTTCATTTCCCCTTCTCTGTCAAGACTCCAGGCGTTTGTCTCGCCTTCGCGGTCCAATCAGGTTCCCAGCTCTCCACGCGTATCCAGTACGACATGGCTAAAGCAGTTCGAAGCAAACCTCTATCCGCCCGGGCCCTCGTCTCAGGATGCGCATCATACTAGGCGTTGAGCTTGCATCGAGCTTTCGATCTGCTTGCAATCAGTCACATTATTTCGACGAGAATCATATTTTGTCGTTGTTCGTTTGTTGTAGGAAGTTGTGATGATGTTGAAGAGAAAGTTTTGGATTCGGAGCAGGTTTGCACTGGATACATGGTGGCTTCCACAGGATCAGCAAGACATGTGTTTCGCTTGGCATACCTTATTGCCCATACCGCCCCTGCCGTAAGATACATAACGAGACCAACAGGCGGACTCGGTGGGCATGCATAAGCACCTCAACCTGCTTGAGAGAAATGCGAACATGGTCCGATGGGATTCGTGTAGTATTCAGTGAGAGTAAAGTCTACACGCTCTGGAGATGGAGTCCTCTATATGTAGATTGGAAGATCTTTACAATGACACCATACGCGATACAAGTTCTATATCACTCCGCCAAGCTCACAGCCTGACATCTAAGTTGTGCTCCTCTACCTGGCCCTCTTTGCAAGCACTATGACCTTAAACTTTATAGCAAAGAGACTGACAGGGGTGACCACGCAATCGCAACCACTTTTGGCATTCTTGGTGCCGTACTCTGGTCACTTCAAGTAAGCTATCTCTTCCCTTAGCCACCTTCTACGCCTGTTCTAACATAGATGTTACAGTTGATTTCTCAGATCTGAAAGAACTTCCGTCGTCATTCAACCGAAGTCACTCTCTGCTACCTTCTTCCTTCCATGGGCCATCGCCGGTTTACCCCTCGGTGTCTACTATATCGTCAACAACCTCAATATCGCCATCCAAGTACAGCCAAACGTGCTTATTTTGCTCGGCTTGATCACTTGGACGCAATGTAGGCACTACGGCGACAAATGGAGCTGGGCAAAGACGTCAATCATCAGTGTGGTTCTTGCCCTGGTTTTCATCTTTCTTCCGTGCCGCTCCAAAGCTATCTCAATTCGGACTTAAGCAGGGGCAGGAAAGATTTTGTGTCTTGCCAAGTTTGTTCGACGCGCGGCGATGTCACTGCCCTCGTCGACTTGGTCGTTCTGCGCGTGGCGAAGATCCGCTTCCATCCTTGGTATTCTCGGTTTCAAAATTCATTAGAATTTGCCACTGTGTCTTCGAAGTCAATGAACGTGGATTTCATCGTGTTCTGAAAGATTCATACGAATAACACCACAACCGCCTGTTATACTTAGCTATAAATTTGCGCACTAACATAATCCATCTACATGTACTAACCTAACTAGTTATATATAGTATAAACATAATGTATAGGCTGTAATCATAGGTTTAATAGCTAAAATTTCGATACTAGAAATTTATACATTATACTAGCCACTGTTTAACAACCACTTATTGTATAAGCCTATAACTTTAGATACTAATAACAGGCAGCTAGTTCTATTGTTCCATATGAGCAGCATCTTATATAGATAGTTATCATAGAAGTTATTAGCTGTTTTGTACTTCGCAAGATTTAAGCTTTGATTTTTGATTTAATCTTTTTTTACAGGATAAATAAATGGCAAATCTTTCGACAAAACGCATTTTGTTTTCAATATCTAGACGCTATTATTGCGCAGCATATATAGATTTACAAATAACTATCTCCATATAGTCTAACAGCATATATCGTTAGCTATGAGCCTATCTACTATATAATTATATAAGCCACTAGTTGTTGCGCAAAACCATGAAGAACGTCGAATTTTATGAAGTTTTGCGACTTTCAATTGATTCAAAACTTCGGGTGGCGAATTCTAATGAATTTCGAAACCAAGAATAGTCTTGGTAGTCTTGGCAGTGCTTGGGCTTTTCCGCTGTGAATCGTTGGACCTATATTACATCACAACGTCCTCATTGTTATTTACTGATCCTCAGTCTTTGAAAGGTCATACGTCTCACGCCTCCCCACTCAAACAACATGGCTGGATCGTTCCTCGCCTACGAAGAGCCTTCTAGCAAGTATCTCATTCGCAACATCACATGCCATGATCGCTGATCCGCTCAACAGTCGTCCTGATCCTGGTCCTGATATCCTTCTTCTTCTTCCTGTCTCTTGCAGAATGGTTGTCGTCGATAATTTTTAGGGCCGGCATCATTGGACCTATAATCGTGGGAATAAGTTACGGCATGCCTCTGGCCGACATACTCCTCGAAGTCTGGCAAGAGACATTTCTGGCCATTGGGTACATAGGTCTGATCCTCATCATCTTTGAGGGCGGTCTCACCTCGCGTATGGATCTGCTCAAACAAAACTTTGTACTGAGTATGCTTGCTGCAACCACTGGTGTCCTCGTTCCTATTGGCTTGTCGTACCTGCTTCTCTTTCTTGGATTCGGCTATGGCGCTGTCGAAACATTCATCATTGGTGCTGCCCTGTCGACTACTAGCCTCGGAACCACTTTCGCAGTCATAGGTGGCGCAAGCAAAGACATCGATCTGTCGCAGACCAGAGTAGGTACTGTTCTGGTCAGTGCAGCAGTCATCGATGATGTATCCGGTCTGGTCATGTCAAGCGTCATACATGATCTCGGATCTATATCTGGGGGCGCAGACGTCAACTTGGGGTGGCTCATCGGCAGACCGATACTCGCGTCTGTCTTGATGGCTGCATTGACGCCTCTACTCTGCAAGTACTGCTTTGCGCCCTTGTTCCGGCGATACATCGAACATCATTTCGCACGATTCGATCACTTGTCCAATGTCGTCCTCATGGTGTTGGTTCTCTGCGCTTTCATCTCGATAGCCGCTTTCGCGGGCACAAGCGTGCTGTTCGGGGCTTTTCTAGCTGGCTCTTTTCTCACGTATCTGCCTTCAAAACACCCCGAAGGTCCTTTCGTGGTTTACTCGCGAGAACACGGCGAGCAGAACGAAGACAAGAGCCCTACTTTTGTTCACACATTTGAAAAGTACTTTTCGGATGTGCAAAAGTATCTCATGGAGCCTCTGTTCTTTGCCAGTATTGGCTTTGCTATCCCCTTCGTCGACCTTTGGACTGGCTCAGCCATCTGGCATGGAGTCGTGTATACACTCTTGATGCTTCTTGCAAAGGTAATTCCGTTCAAAGTCGCTGTGTGTTTGCAATTGCTGAGTTGACTTGTAGGTGGTAGTCGGCATATGGGTCCCTGTGTGGGATATTGCTACCGGGCCCTCCAAGGGTCACCCATCGAAGCCATCGCTGTCGCAGTCACTTCCATCCGCCGGTCTGCTCGGCTTCGCAATGGTTGCTCGTGGCGAGATTGGTCTGCTCATCGTCGAGATTGGGTACAACTCTACTCCCTATGTGAGCGATGCCGGCTTTTACACTGCTGTTTGGGCCATCTTACTCAATACAGTCATCGGCCCGATGGTCGTTGGCTTACTAATCAAGTTCAGAGGCAAATCTATTGGTGAGGGTGCTTGGGGCATCCAGAACAGCGATGAAAGTGAGGCCCAGGAAAAATCAGAAGCAAGCTCTCGGGATCAAGCTCTAGAGGAAGGTCTGGAGGGTTCTGCGCAATGACAATGATGAGTATGCAATAGTCATGTCCGTGGTAACTAATGATCAAGACTTGAACTTAGGGCTGGTATTGGTATGCGAGATGGTTAGAACACTTAGGCGTCGGGATCGCATCGTCAGACATGACGCATATGGACTGAAGTTGCACGTAAAGCCTAACAGATCGAGACAACTTGTTGCTCACCAGACTATGAGTTATCGCCAGGATTCCCTTATCTCAGGCGTCTTCGTCGGAGGAAAACAATGATGGCATATCACTTCCGAGATCAAGACAACAAATCGAGTGCTTGTGGCAGGTTGTCTTGCGCCTTTCTATCTATCCTTAGACTACGGTTTGTCTTGCTGTCATCGCAGAAACAGGACATGCAGGATAGCTGCTGACAGGCTGTGATGCTCAAAACATGAATGTGTGATGGATTCTATGTCTCGAGCACTTTGTCAGGCATATGGACCGCTCCTGACCAGATTTAGCCGGCTTCTCAACAAGAACGGTGACAGACTCGATAAATGGTTTTCTGATACATTATTAATGCAAGAACAGCTTGTCCTCGAATTTAGAGCCCTTCAACTGTTCATTCGTGATCTCCTGCAAAAGATTGTCTTTGTAATCCTCCAAGCCCAGATCGATAAATCCTCTCGCCGCCCATTTTCTGGACGACAAGAAAAGGGTATGTCCATTGACACTCTTATCTGCAACAACCCTCAGCAGACACTCTCCAGTATCCTCCAACGTCGCAAATTCAACTCCCAAAGCTCTTGACGTGATCAAATGCTTCCTTGGAAAGAATCTTGGTCCCCACATACCTATTTTGATCTTAGTACACTGTGATGCAAAGGGTTTGCAGACCGAACGAGACACACTTACTAAGGCGCTATGACATTGACACGACGGCCATAATGGTGAGTAGTCCTTCGCAACGAGTGCAAGATCCCTCTCATTCCATACTTTGTCGCCTGATACTGCGGCGAGCGTGGACAGTCCAAGAACGCAGCACCACTGCCGATGAGGATCAGACAAGTGTCTTCTTGCTGCTTTGTCTCAGTCTTACCATTCTGACTGATAAAATAGTGCGTGGCGAGCTTCGACGTGTACAGCACGCCCTTGAGATTTACGTCCACTACTTTGAGATCTGGCTCCCGAGGTCCGGAAGCGTCGTAGGAGAAGACCTAGTCTTGACTTATCATTCCCGTATTTGTAACCATATAATGTATCTTACCCGTAGGTGAGAAGTCTTTAGCTGTTTCAAAGAGCTTGACCTAGTCTTTCTAGGAAGTGGTATCGCATTCGACGAATTTTACTCTACGACAAGGGTTAGTTATTAGTTCCTATATAGATCAATTCGCATATAGGCAGATCGCTCGCCTTGTCAATTCTTTCTCTAGTTTGCAACCCCCTTTAGTGTCTAGATTGGCGATGCACGCACTGACTCTATAGTATGTGTTAAGTTCTGTCGAGCCAAGATGGATTTAAAGACGATACGCATACCTCGATCTGACAAGCGCGCGCACATACCGCTCCCCGATACCGTTTGCACCTTGAGAAGCTCTCTGTCAGAGTAGTGTGAATGTCTCATGGTTGCTCAACATACCACCAGTGACGATTGCAGTCTTGCCTTGCAATCCGGACCTGTCGAAATCGACGTCGCAGGAGATCGGCCCGTTATACTTGTAAAGAGGCATTTGGACCGAGTATAACAATTCAATCACGTTTGCAAGATTTGGCCTTGGTTGAGTCATAGTGGTCGTTGACCTGACTGTGATATGCTTTCGGCCGACAAATACACGACAGCCGTCGGCCGATCTGACGTCATGTTATCCGATAGAAGACTGTGGAAGAAGGGAGATCTCACCTGCCTTCATCAAGGCTGTGAGTATGTTTATTTGGATGGCATCCTCGAAGCTGGTCACATCGAAGCGTTCACTACATTGCTCTTGATGTGCTCAAGTGCGAGACTTGACGACTTTTGAATCCCAGCTACCGCCGAGATTGTCTTGCAGGGGACACCATCAACTACTGAGACTTGCTCCGTGGGACCCCTTGGCGATCTATAAAACGAAGTTTCCCCGGTGACACTCGGCCTTAGTTCGAACACATCGTGAAAGCCACCACTCAACTCAACCACGCCATTTTGCCGGTCTCCAACTGCGGCAGCATCAATAACGTGCCAACACTCTTGTCGGATGTCTTGCCTTTGCTCGAAAAGTTGAAGATCTTCGCCAGGTTTGGGCACGTGTGCTCTCTGAAGTCCCAAGTCATCTGAGAGGTCATCAGGATGACCATCGTTGATAAGAACTCCGAAGGGTATGGAAAAGGGACTTTCGATCAGTGCATTAAATAGCAAAATGTATCCCAAGTCACGCGCTCATTGAAGTGATAGAGATAGAGGCATTCAATAGATGTATTGACCTTCCTTGAGAAGTAACGATAACGCTTCGGCGTGCCAAGGCTGAGCCGCGGTCGATTTTCCGGCGCTAGAGGTCCTCGTCTTCTTTTTACGCTCACAAGAGAGACTTCGTGCCATGTATATCTCTGGGCGCTGTGCTATCGTATCGAACTTCTAATAACATGTGGGTCTGTGAATTGAGCACTTTGTCACCTTTGTAGTCGATATACCGAATTCTCACGGCTTTATACACCACCTTGATGACAAGCCTTCTCCACACTTCATCCTTGCAACACTATACAGGCTGACGAGCTCTGAACGTCATGACATTTCTACATTGAAGATCTGCAACCATGACAACAATGATGGACGGTGTCGGTAAATCACACCCGAGTGTCAAGGCTGAGTACAAGAGCAACACTTTCCTTCTTGTGTCAAGCTTTTCACGTTCCTTGGTTCCTATCCATTTTCACGCCTTGCAAATATGGTTCTTGGTTATTTTGAAGAAGAAAAAGTGTATGACTTTATTGTCGTCGGAGGTTCGTACAATGCAATACCTAGTGGAAAGGCATACGCTGAGAAACACACAGGTGGAACGGCAGGAAACTGTGTCGCAGGTCGTCTGGCAGAAAACCCTAATCTCTCTATCCTCGTCGTTGAGGCTGGCACCGAGTTTGTTCTTCATCCCGCACACTACACCCTCAATTACTAAGTGCTGTAGCAATCCTCTCAAGGAAGAGAAGATCTCGACTCCAGCTCTTGCATTCCAACTTGTCGAAAGCGAATACGACTGGCAGTACCCCATCACTTTCTGGGACAGAGGTGGAGAAAAGAGACATGAAGCCAAGAATACAAGAGGCAAAGTCTTGGGTGGGAGCAGTTGTTTGAATTACTATACCTGGTTACGTGGTAGTCGCCCAACTTATGATGAGTGGGTCAAGTATGGAGGTAACGAGTGGAGCTGGGATAAGTGCTTTCCCTACTTCCAAAAGGTGTGTTTTGGGACTTGTTGTACGCACGATCGTGCTGACATGAATAGCCTGGCACTATGCACGACAAGAATCAAATCTTGGATCATGACCCTGCTCATGTCGCTGCGGATGGACCCCTTACGATAAACCCTGCCGTTCCCATTCCGCTTGCCGAGAAACTGCAAGAAGCGTGGAAGTCTCAAGGCCATCGGCTCAACGACGACATATACAACGGTACTGTCGATGGTCTCGCCCACGTGTGCCACACTATCGACTCCGGGCATCGCGTGCCCTCGACGGTCTTCCTCGACGGCCACAAGAACATCACCGTCAAGCCTCGCACAATGGTGCACCGTCTATTGTTCAGCGGCGAAACCTGCGTGGGCGTTCAAACCCACGCAACGAACAAAAAGCAATCCTACTATGCACGCCACGAAGTCATCGTCTGCGGCGGTGTCTTTGAGAGTCCTAAACTGCTTATGCTGAGCGGTATTGGTCCATCTGGTGCCGACTCCATGACAGACTTGACCGCGATTTCTTCTGGCATCGGTCACAGTATTAACTCTCCGCATGTTGGGCAAAACATCCAGGATCACCCCGTCGCACCTCACGCCTTCAAGCTTAAGGATGGCCATAGTCTTGATGAGGTGCTCCGACCAGGTGTCAAGAACCTCGAAGCAAAAGCTGAGTACAAAGTCGCCAAAAAAGGTCCTTTGGCATCGAGTCTGTTAGAAATGAGCGGGTTCGCCAGAGTCGACGACAAATTCAAGAAATGCAAAGAGTGGAGAGAAGAAGAGGAACAGAGAGGTCATGATCCCCTAGGTCCTCAAGGACAACCGCATTTCGAGTTTGACTTTTTGGTTTGTTTTTCACATGACCTGTTGTACTGTCGCAAGAGCTAATCTTCGAGACAGCCGTGCTTTGCTTCGCCTTTTTTCCCTCATGTTCCTGAACCAATTGAGGGAAGTTACATGACTATTGTCGTGTCTCTGCTTCGCCCTCTTTCTCGCGGCTGGTTAACGCTCAGATCAGCAGATGCTCTCGACTTCCCAATGATCAACATGAATTACCTCGATCATCCTCTAGATGCAGTTGCTCTACGCGAAGGCGTCCGTTTCGTGGACGAAATTGTGCTTAGGGGTGATGGCTTGAAGGACATCATAACTGGTGAGTATCCCGAAGGCCACGGTGGAGTTGTCAAAGGCGAGTCCAAAGCAGAGGGAACCAGTGATGGCGTCTATGGCGCAAAGAAAGGTCAAAGAGATGAAGACAAGAGCGTCGAGGGTGACCCCAAGCATATGTTGGGTTTGGATAAAGTACGCGAAAGCGACGAGGGCATGGCTGAGTGGTTGAAGGGACGCGTGACCAGTGGATATCGTAAGTTTTCCCTCTTTCCTTCATCTAATTCACTACTCCTTACCTTTTTGCCCAACCTCTACTCCTCGATGGCTCTTCACTAACCATCTCACAGATCCCTGCGGTTCCTGCAGAATGGGTTCAACCATCGACGAAGGTGTTGTCAATGGTCGCTTGCAAGTCCACGGTGTACGCAACTTGAGGGTAATCGACGCCAGTGTCTTCCCGATCATACCTGATGCACGCATCCAAAATCCCGTCTATATGGTTGCTGAGAAGGGAGCAGATATGATCAAAGCGGATCATCCAGCTTTGTATCAACAAAAGGAAAGCTTGGTGGAGAGGGTCAAGGGGCTTGTTGTTTGAAAGTTGTACAATTGAGTTAGATAATCCAAAAGACATCCACAGAGATGATAGCAAACAATGTTAGATTGGCTTGTGGGTACATTGACTATCTATCCTTGCGAAACTGAATCGAGAGTCAAGTATAGCAGATCACAAGAAAAGCTGGTGTTGTACGTCTGACAGCTGGAAGCCTACACCCTGAAAACTTCCTCATGCATCGAGATGTTGTTCTTCTCCATAGCGATGGCAGCTCCCTTAGGATCCTCGAGAGCATGAGGTACCAATTGATCACCAAACAGCTCGTCCATCTGCTCCAGGGTCTTGCCCTTGGTTTCTGCAGAAGCTCAGTTAGCAAGTGTCTCTCACTTCCTGGATGGCCATACAACGTACCAGGGTAGAAGAAGATGTAGCAAAGCATAGCAATCATGTTAAACACAAAGAAGACATAGAAGTAGCGAAATCCAATCGACTTCAGTGCCTGGGGACTGAACTGAGCGAAGATGAGGTTGAGTACCCAGTTCGTGAACGTCGTAGTCGCATTGCCGAAAGCGCGAACCTCAACGGGGAAGATTTCAGCAGGATATACCCAAGAGATGATGCCAAGGGGAGTGTAGAACAGTGAGAAGACAAAGTTCATGGCGACCATGGCGCGAAGCATGTTTCCGTTGCTGGGGTCGAGGGTCTGGGACATAGCGGCGTTGCAGACGAGAGCGGCTCCAAGGCCGGCGGCCGAGATAATGAGGGGCTTGACACGGCCGAAGCGTTCGAGTGCCCAAAGGCCGATGGTGCAGTAGACGATGGAGAGCGATCCGCTGATACCAATGATCATGAGCGAGGTTGAGTTATCGATTCCGAGGATCTTATAAATCTCAGGACCTGAGAAGCATCAGTGAACTATCTTAAGTGCAGAACCTCAGATGAACATACCATAGTAGTTGATGACGTTGATTCCACTGAGAGGACCGAAGGCTTGTACACCACATCCAAGCAGGAGACGCTTACGCCAGCTGGGTTTGGTAAAGATCTTGCTGATGGAGGTCGAGTTGTTGAGGCGGTCGGCTTCGATGACATCCCTGATCTCGCGGAACTCAAGCTCGATGCGTTGGTCGGTCTCAGCAGTTCCATCGTGGTGTAGCTTCTGAAGAACAGTTCTGGCTTCGTCCCAGCGATCTTTCTCGCAAAGCCATCGGGGACTTTCTTGCAGGAACCAGATACCGCAGACCAAGATGACAGCGGGAATGCACTGGAATGCTAGAGGAAAGCGCCCTGTTTTGAATGTCAGACTGGTTTGTAGACTCATCATCGACTGTCGCTTACAAGAGAAGGGTCCTTTGACATGCTGGCATCCATAGCCAATCCATTGAGCAGCGAAGAAGCCCCAAGACAAGAACCACTGGAGGGCACCCGAGAGAGCACCTCTGTACCTAGACTCGGAAATCTCGGCGGCATACATGGGGATAGTCGAGGTGAGCATACCAACAGCAGCGCCTGCGATGAATCTGTCATTGATCAGTATCAAGCCAGCCTTGCTGTTATGGAGTAATTCACCTTCCAACCATCAGCATAGCCATATTAACGGCCGCAGCCTGCAGAACACAGCCAATCAAGGACACGATCGAACCTGCAGCGATAGTCCTCTTGCGACCGAGGCGGTCGGCGATGACCATGTTGATGATCGTACCCAAAACAGCTCCACCTTGGAAGGTCGAGACGATACCACCGGTGACTGTGCTGTTGGGGTTGTCGAAGTACTCGATAAACTGAGGGAAGGAGATTACTCCTCCGATGATACCAGAATCATAACCAAACAAGAAGCCTCCGATAGCGAGGAAGGCACTCGACAAGATGACTGTTGCTTTTCCCATGGTTGCTGGTAGGGCTAGGCAAATGCGAGGGAACTGACTGATCTTCTAGACCTGAGGAAGGATCTACACGGTCTTATATACACCCTGCATGGCCTATCGCTCCCTGTTCCCCACACGATAATCTGGAGTATGTGCCGTGGGGATCTTTGCGACTAGGCGGGGAGAGCGTTGAGAGACCACCAAGACTTCCAGGGCAGATGTTGATCATGGGGCACCCAGATTTTCGGACGATTTACGCGCTGATGAATTGTAACTCGCGGCTCGAAGTCTTTGCCCTAGTCGTACATAGCTAAAACGAGACAAGTCTGGACGCGTTGTTGAATTCAAAGTTTTGAGAGAGGCGGGGTGCCCTAAAAGCACATCCGAAAATGGTAATGGCGTCGGTCCATCTCATGCGAAGTTTGAGACTAACCTTCAATTCGCTATATCTCGAGCGAGATGAGGCCCGCAAGTGCCACTGTCGGTATGTCTTTGGCCCGGATCAGCCGACTCCAGACTTCCTCGCTAGACCTTAACATCTGGAGCATGGAGTACAGTAAAGAAAGACACCTTCCCATTCGCCACATTTTTGTTATCCTTCCACGGCAGTTTTCTTGAAGTTCGGCAATCAATGTCGGCCACAATGCGAGTCTTGAACTGCGGCATTCACGGTTTCCACGAAACTCTCGGTCTTGATGTCGATGAGGTTCGAGTCTTCTGGACACTAGAGGCTGACAAGTATGCTGTGCAAGCCGCATATCGTGTTGTTGTCTCAACATCCGAAGAAGATGTAGCTGCTGAACCGGCTTCCAACATCGATTTTGCCTTCGATACTGGCAGGATCTCAACGGACGAACAGCGGAACATTCTCTGTAAGCCAGGCGGCGGGTTTCGATCAACATGCAACTACTACTGGCGGGTGACAGTGTGGGATGGAGATGGTGTCGCTACTCATTCTGAAGTTCAGACCTTCTTTACTGCCTACCCACGGTCTCAGCTGCTGCCACCGTACTCCATGAACCAGAAGTATATGCCACACTCCAGTCTCATCTTTCGCACGTGGTTTGAAGACATTGAAAACAAGTGGAAGGCTGTCTGGATCGGAGATGGTGGTGACAAGCCATTGTACATCCGTAAAGGCTTCAATTTGGCCCGCAAGCCATTCAAGGCCATAGCTCTTGCGTCTGGTCTGGGTCACTTCGACCTTCATGTGAACGGCGAACCTGCATCTGACCATGTAATCGATCCTGGTTGTAAGTAAGAAGCCGCTCCAATTCACTACGTTGTGCTCACCATGCTTACAGGGTCTAACTACCACCGCACCGTCCAATATGTCGGCTACGATCTGACAACACACCTTGATGCCGGGAAGAACGTCCTCGCAGCACATCTAGGTAACGGATTCTACGCTGGTAGCGGTACTGAGGAAGATCGCTTCTTCTGGCCAATGTATGAAGACAATACATATGTACGGTATGGCAATGAGCTCTGCTTCTTCGCCGAACTCCACTTGTTCTACGAAGATGGCACTCATGATATCATCCACACCGATCCTTCGTGGAAAGTCCGCAAGAGTGCAACTACACTTGCAAACATCTATGCTTCCGAGACTCACGACAAGCGCCTGTTACCTTGTGGCTGGACTTCTCCAGGGTTCAATGAGGCCGACTGGAGTCCTGCGAAGCCTTTGACTGGACCTCGAGGGTTGCTTCGTTACCAGAGTCAGCCGCCTGTTGTACTGCATGACAAGCTTGAGCCAGTTTCCACCACGAGCCCACGTCCGGGCGTTGTCTGCTTTGACCTTGGACAAAATGCTTCGATTATGCTCCATCTCTCCGTCGAAGGACCAGCCGGCTCAAAGATCATGATTCGCTATTCCGAAACAGCAAATGCAGATGGTACTGTGCTGATGCCTGACCCTTTGTTCAAGGACTTCGAAACAAAGGTGTTCTCGAAGATCTACTTGGCTGGCACAGGTGCGCCTGAAGATTGGCGGCCCGACTTCTCGTTCACCGCTGCTCGATACATCCAGATCGAAGGTGTTGCAACAGAAGAAGGGAATGGACTACCCGTCGTTCGTTCTCTCTTTGGTAGACACATTTCATCCGCCTCTCAGCGTGTGGGCTCGATGAAGACAGACAAAGACGACGTCAACGCCTTGATCAAAGCTTCACATTGGTCGTTATCGAGCAACATCTACAGTTACCACACCGACTGTCCTCAGATCGAGAAATTCGGATGGCTCGAAGTAACACATCTCCTTGCTCCTGCCTCACAATACGTGTTCGACATGGAAGCACTCTACACAAAGATCATCTACGATATGATCGATGCTCAAGAGCCAAGCGGTTTGGTTCCTACCATGGCGCCCGAGATCAGATACATGTGCGGCCCTCTCCACGACACAATCAGTTGGGGTGGAGCATTGTGCTTGCTGCCTGAACTGCTTTTCAAGTACTATGGCTCTACATGGGTGATACCGCAAGTCTACCCTGCCGCTGTGCGATACATGGATTACATCAAAACGAAGGAACGTCTCGGAGGTCTTATCGAACACGGTCTAGGTGACTGGGGTCGAGATATCGCTTGGGGTAACCTGCAAGCCAACATTGAAACTGCGTACTACTACAAATGTCTCCAGAACACTGCAATGATGGCCAGACATCTGGGACTGTCCGAAGAAACTGCCAAATACGAGAGCTGGGCAGCCCGTGTACTCGGCGTCTACAACAAGGAACTTCTCATCACAGACGACGAGTCTTCACCTTACGCCTACTACACCTCTCGCGACAACATCGGGCAAAGAGATTGTCAAGCCGTCGCTCAAGCCTATGCGCTACAATTCGACATGGTGCCCACCGAACACATATCCTCAGTCCAAAACGCCTTCCTCGCCAGCGTCAGCGACAACCGCATCCGCTCCGGCGAACTCGGCCTCAAATGCATCTTCGAAACCCTCATCGACCTACAACGCCCAGACATCGTGTTAGCGATGGCCAGACAGGAAGAACATCCCAGTTACATGCGTTTCCTGCGTCAGGGCGAAACCACATTCCTTGAGTTCTGGCAGGACGAGTGTAGATCTAAAAGTCATGATTTATTCTGTACGATTCATGAGTGGTTCTATGCTGGAGTGCTTGGTATAAAACCAAAGGGGAACGCATATAAGACTTTTAGCATTGAGCCGCCGTATGGTTCCGAGTTCAAGAATGTGGAGGGGCATGTTGATTGTCCCTACGGCAGGATCGAGGTCAAGTTCAGTCAGACTGCTGAGAAGGTGGCTTTGGGAGTGACTGTTCCGGTCGGAACGCGGGCTTCAGTCAGAATTCCCCATAGCTCCAGCACCTCGATCAAGTTGTCGCGGAGTGGCGAGACTATGACACCAGAGAAGGATGGGCAGTATGTGGTGTTGAGAAACGGCAGTTACTCTATCGAGTTCGAATAGAGTATTCAAAAGCTATGCAGATCTCAATCGGAAGAACACGTTTCGAGTCACTACACCGTGTCTTATGGATTTAAGAAGGTTTTGGTGGGCTCTTCGTCGCTGTTTGATTCGCTCCCGTCCTGGATATGAAGTGCTTCGGCAGCATTCGCCATCTCCTCCAATCCTGTCGCCTTCGCATCAGTCCCAAGAACTTCCTGCTGCCAGATCATCTCGTGAAGATCACGATTGAGACGAACATCTTTTCGACCTTCGTCAATCTGTCGTCGAATCCAAACTCGCTCCAGCGGCTGTGTCAGATGGGTAACAAAACCAACCAGTCGCGTAAATCCGTTTCGCCGAGTCAGATACGTTGTAGTCAATTGCTCCAGAGTTGCACCACCGTCTTTCGATTCCAAAATGCGTGTTCGGATCTCAATACAGTGCTCCCTGATTATACGATCCAATATGCGATAGAAGTCTCCCGGGTTGAGGCCTTTTTGCCCGGACATGGTAGCAATGCAGAAATCGTGGATCGCTGTATAAATGTCCAAGTAACTAGCACGGTCGAGAGTTGAAAGCTTGTCCTCTTGTTGGTCTGCTCTCGCGATTTCATAGATGCTAGTCAAACGAGTTTGAATCCACGCCAAGGTCGCAGCCGGGTTTGAGGTTGTCTCCTGGCGATTCGGAGGTTTTGAAGTCAGCAGGAGATACGGGGACGATCGAGACTCAGACATTCTCGCAGATATGAGGTTTTCTTCTGCACAGTTGCGCGGAATGATGTCGTAATATATGTGCAAAGGGTCAAGAGTCACAAGCGCCAGGCAGCAGCAGCGAGATGACATCATAAAGACACAGTGCTTGGGACAGATGAATAGCAGTTACTCCATCAACTTCTCCTAGTGAATTGGATCTTCAAATATGTTAACAATCTTCTTGTTTGTCCCCAATCTTCCATCCCGCGTAAGTCTCTGTCGTTGATCACTCAGGTACTGGACAAAGATCATAGTTTCCATTGACATTGTTGCCCCACCAAGATCTGTATCGTGAATCAGCTAAGATAGAATACACCAGAGGCAGGATTACTCACGGGAAAGGCTTAGCACTTCCAGCAGCGCCAAATACTGCAAACGACAAGATGAACAGAGCCAAAAGACTAGCACCATCCCAGGCACCAGTGATGAGATACGAGTAATCCTTGAAGATTCGAGGGCGGTAGTTGCGCAGGTAGAACTGGGTGAAAAAGCCAGCGATTATCTGACTCAGAAGAACACAAGTCTGCGATTGGTTGTAAGGGATATAACCGGCGTATGCAAGCAATTGAGGCATGTTGAGGTCGTAGGTGGAGAACCTGCGAATTCTGGGAACGAACTGCAGTGATAAACATGTAAGCCAGAGAGCATACTAGACAGATCGAAGTAGTTGATACGTACGTGAGCGAAGATGCGATGGACGACGACAAACGCGGCACCAATGGCAACACCGTAGGGTACAACTGCATAGGTCTTGCCGGCCTTGTAGAGATACTTGGCAAGAGCCCATGAACTTGCGTTGGTGTTGTAAGACTGGATGGTTGCACCACTCCATGAAGAGTTACCATTGCCGTTTGCTAGAAGCTCGACATTATCGCTGACAATTGAGATCATGACAGCGTAATTGAGGAAGCCGCCCAGGATTGTACCGTAGATCTGGGTGATGAACATGACACGAGGAGGGATCTTGACTGTACACTGGGTCAGATCATGCTTAGGACGGCTTAAGTGGACAGTACTTACGATACTCTCCCATCTTCAGGTCGTTGGAAAGGTTGACAGTGTTGGTGATGACGTTGTGGGACCAGGCAGCGAAATACATGTTGCCAACGGGACGGCCGGGTAGTACCAGACCTGCGATCATCTTGGATAGGTTGTTGGTGGCAATACCATTACCGAAGCGTGAGTAGATCAAGACACTCTGCGTGGACATCGTTAGCTAAACATTACTAGAAAGCACGACCTGATCGAATGCACTTACAAATGGTGCAACAATGATACCGACGATCAGAGAGACAATATAAGCCCATACCGGCATTGTGATGTTCTGTGTGATCGCAACAACAAGGCCAAGGACGAAAGCGAAGACAAGAACACCCATGTACCACCACCAGGGAACTTCCTTATAGTTCTTTGCCATGTGAACATGATGTCTGTCATCGTACCTGCCAGCTTTGGCGCTCTTGTATGTACGCTTGATGTCACCGCCCCAGAACAAGACAGTGTGAGCAATGAGGGCTCCGATCTGACAACAGGATTAATTCAAGCACTGGAGCAGAAGAATTCGGCGTGCTGGTAACTCACTGCAGCGTTTGCCATGAACAAGGCGTAAGCGAAACTTCCAGTCAATTGTGGAATGCCATACTTTTGCAAGGCAGCTTCATCCAGAACACCGCCCACGAAGACTTTCGAGATAGGATACTTCTTTCCCTCCTGAGATCTAAGCTGTGTAGACATGAAAGGCTGTGACTTTGATCCCCAGGTGTCCGTGTAGTAGATGCCCAACATGGCCATCATACACACGAAGACGCCGATCGCAACATGCGTTTGGAGAACCAATGGAAGAGAAGTGTTGAAGGAAGTGATCTGTAAGTCTGGAGGTTAGTGATACTCTTCCTGAGCGGTGAAGTAAGTCTTACGTATTGCCAGTCAAATGACAGGTTGAACAATCCCAGACCTTCGTTATTGGTAGCACCACCGAAGAGGTTGGTTAGTACGGCGGCCTTCTCACCAGTGGCCTTCATTGAAGCCAGACAAGGTACAGAGACCGAGTTTAGCCATGGGAAAATGTATGCGGGGAAGAATTCGTAGATGAACATGCTGATGAAAGCATACCAGAAGTATCGCAGCGGTTTCGAGTTTTTTACTTCTTGCCAATGCAAGCCTTGCAGAGTTTTGACTGTGGGCAAACTACTCCAGTACACGGCGTCGACGTGCCAAACGGCGACAGGGCGCAACAGACCGCAGAGGCCATAGCCAAACAATCCAATCGAGATCATGGTTAAAACGACTGTTGTGGCACTGATGGGCAGATCGTAGAACAGATTTTGTGCCGCAAAGACCATCGAGACGGCGGCAGCGTTCGACGCGGAGGTAGCGGTGATGGAGCAGATAGCATGCTCTTTCAGACCCCAAGGTCCTGGGTTGAGGAAGACGAGTGCCGATATCCAGAACGGTGGCTTACTGTCGCCATTGTTTGCTCTCCATTTAGCCAAGTGGCGATCGCCGCGTGGGAGGAATCGAGCCCAAGCATTGCCGACGAAATAAGCTATGAGGACGATGAAGGTGCCTTGGATAGTGACTAGTGTAGGTTTGAACTGAGGTTCATCAGCATTCGCTCACGTCGAGCATTCGAAGTAGTTACTGACTGTGTAGATTTGGTTCATGACAGCTTGAAAAGCTGAGAGACATGACGCCAGGAAGATACCACGAAAGGTCACAGAAGGGTCACCGTCGTCGCGCAGTGGTAGAAGGTGGACTGCTGCATCGGCTCCGGTGACGATGGTATGATCTGGATCGTCGGCCTTGTCGAAGTTGTCGCTGGCGCTGTCTGGAGTAGTTGGCACAGCGGTGATCTCTGGTTCCAGTGCCCCTTTCTTCCCAGTCGCCTCACTGTAGGTCGGGGTCGCATCTTGATAAGGTGCGAGTTCATAGTCAGCTCCCGACGCTTGAGGACCATCAATAGGCTCTATCGAGACCTGGTTGACACTTTTCGTCATGGTGCAACTCGTGAACTCAAATTGCCGGGCTTGAAGAGATAAGAGTTACGAGGAGACCGAAGGCTATGAGAAGCCTTTATCCCTCTCCCTACGGTGTGTCTCTCAACATCTCATGATCGCGGAACTTGCTTGCCGTATTCGCCATTGTGCCTCAGGATAACGTATAGGGTGACCAGACATTGGAAGCGAGGATTTGTGCTTCGTGATAGGGCGTTGATGGACGTGATAAGAAAGAGGGTCCGGACAAAGGACCTTGATCGACAATTCAGAGCTTGCAACTTTGCTGGTAGGGCGTGATTCGATAGATGGCGTGCTTTAACCTCGGGTAATTAAACATTTCCAAAGCACGGTCGGTCGGTTTGCCTAAGTCAAGCCTGCTGCTAACCGGATCAAGAAGGTGTCTGCCCGGTGGAACCTGAGGATTTTTGATTGAGAATAACGACATATCGGAGAGTTATTGTTCAATCGTACGTTGGAGGTGTTGGTTGCTTGGATAGACGAGTATTTTCAGCACATCATTGCCGCAGACCTCATGTGTCAATCAAATTTTCACAACACCAGCATCAAGCTCAAATAAGCTTCCCGGACCAAAAGGCTTAGCGTTCTTGCAGAACCACACACAAGCAAGCAGATCGTAACGGAGACTTTGTTCCATGTCGCTGACCCCCGCTTGGAACAAAGACAAAGCCCGATTGTCTTTGGCGGATTGTTCTATGCTCAAGATCAATCTCGGAGTACTTCCGATTCGACGGTACTGAAGAGTAAAGTGTCGAGTTGCAACCACAATTCAGGGTCCAGAGGGAAGTCCATTTCCAACCCGTCCCATTGCCTTGCCTCAAGCGCCAAGCCTGCGCCTTCCGGTTGGCAATGATCATCTGCAAATCCCTCGACTGCAGCTCGTGTATAGTCGACCTCTGGTCTGTTCAGTATGCATTGTAGTTCTTGCTGCAGCTCTTCAAGAATGATACTATAGCGTAAGTTGGGTGCATTCGTATGGGTAGCTCTGGCCAGATGAGCTTGTACTGATTTGGCCAACTCGAACATGCTCGTCTCATCGTACTGGGTGGAGACAATGGAAAGGCGACCTTGTTTGCGCTGCATGATCCAGACATAGACGACGGTCAAGGCGTTGAAGGTGACGTACTGCGTGTTCCAGAATGCCGGGATGAGGTTATTGTCTACTGCGAGATCAAGTACTAGATCGAGGACGAATTTGGCGGCAGACAAGCATTTCTCGATATGCGGCTGCATCAGAGCTGGCTCTGTTTGTTGGCCCGAAAGTAGCGGCCTGGTAATGATCATGATGGCGTGCGCGCAGCCTATCTGTAATACCGTGAGTTGTCTACGAAAGATCGGGACCAGACTCGAGGGATGAATCCCGCCCGAGAGGAAAAGTGGTAGCTGCTTCTGCCATTGCTCGACTTCGAGGCCCAATCGTTGGGCTGTTGCGATCATGTGTTGATCGCGAGCAGGGTGAGCCAAAGCCTGCTCTTTCAAGGCTTCCTTGACTATGCGTGTGAGCTTCGCATGCATGACCGGAGCGGCTTGTATGCAGTCCTTTGGAATCGAGCGAGTTATCGTGCCAGCTGAGAGAAGGTCGCTGTCATCGACGATCTCGGGATAGCGTTGGTCGACATATGTATCATTGATGTAAGGAGGTCTTCCAAGCATGACGCTGAGGTATGTGTCGAGCATGTGGACAGCCCAGAAACTGCGTCTTTGGCATTCTCGGACAATCTTACTGGGCTCCCCGGAGGTCGGAGCTCTTGCTCGATGGATGCCTATGGACAGAGCGAGCTGGTATGTGCTGCCTAGGGTGTACCATGCTTGGTTCAACCGCGAGGTATTGAGTTGGTAAAGAGAAGTGGCCAGCCGCGCCTGAACAGATTCTAGACATGGTCTGCCAGCCTCGCTTGTTATCTTTTGTTGAGCCGCTTGATATAACGTCTCGCCCATACGCAGGTGACTGTCGTTTCTCTCGGCTTTACGTGACTCGGCTGGAGTCGAAGGGGGTGTGTCTATCTCACTGATCTCAACGTTATACAGACATGCAGTGGCAAGTACCATGAGTACGATAGCTTGGCGTATAGGCTGTGGACCCTCCTGATGCGAATCCTGTTGCTCGTGGTAGCGGAGTAGCCATGACTCGAAAGTCGGTCGATGTAGGTAGCGGTATGTTGGAGCCGCGAAATCGAAGTATCGGCTGGTCATAGCACTCGTGACATCTCGATTTGGAAGCTGAAGTTCGTTGGTGTTGGATAGAGCTGGAGCCCTCCTGTCACCGTATGCAAATATCGAGACTTCCTCTCTCGACTCCTGGTTCGGGTCAGACAGCTCTGCCATACCAAACCTCCGCCAGGCCCTCCGGAGAAACTTGTCAAGCAATGTCAGTGACCTTTTGGTGGATGTCTGAGGCATGGGGACTCACTGAAAAAGTGCTGGTTGGTCCCTGATAGCCTGCAGGCGTGATGCCTTCCCCATCTGGCGAGGCAGCTCGAGAAGTGTCGTTAGTGTTGAACGCGTCTCCCGGCCTCGTCACAGATACAGTTCGTCCTGGCCATTGAGATTGGGTATCTGAGCCAAGACTATAACTTGATGCACCAATGGCAAGATGATTGGTAGGTTGAGCCGTTTGGTGCCTTCCATGAGGGGTGATGTAAGTACAAATCAAGCCTTGCGAGACGCATAACGGACATGGCTGCTCGCCCGAGCACTTCCGCTTGCGTGACTTGCAACTATCACATGCGCGCTGAACCTTGCGTCTCTTTCCATCGCCGGCATCTGAAGCTGCATCATGACTCTCGCGACGTCGCCTTGCAGCAGTGACGCGTGAGTCGGGATGCGTTGACGGAGTGAGAGCCATGGTGGAAAGATGTTGCGGAAGATGCAAATCTCAAGTGGGGTAGTGATCGGTTGAAGCTTGCACGTGCGGGACTAGGCGAGAGTGGGGCAGCACACTCGACGGAACATCTGTGTCCGCATGTCCCGCAGCGTCCGCATCTTCCGGACATCTGGCGGAGGTGGAGGTGGAGGTGGAACTCCTTCCGTAGGCCATCAAGGTACCGAAGAGAAGATGTAGTTAGGATCTCTGGAAAGTAATCCAGTACATAAGTAGTCGAGAGCCTCTCTCCAGACGATCTGCCGCACCATCTCACTACCTATCTACCTACCTACAAATATGCTTCAAGAACACTTCACGCTCAACACCGGTGCAAAGATTCCCGCCGTGGGCTTTGGCACCTGGCAAGCCGCTCCCAACGAGGTCGAACGCGCTGTCGAGGAGGCTTTGAAGCAAGGATACCGCCACATCGACTGTGCTGCAATCTACCGAAACGAGAACGAAGTCGGAGCTGGTATCAAGAAGTCGGGAGTCAAGCGTGAAGACATCTTCATCACTGGAAAACTATGGAACACAAAGCACAGACCCGGAGACATCGAGGCTGCCCTCGACAAGTCCCTCAAGGATCTCGACACCGGTTACCTTGACCTCTACCTTATGCATTGGCCGTGTGCATTTGCTCCCGGCGACAAGTTCTTCCCTCTAGACGATCAAGGCGTTTTCAAGCTTGACAACATCGACCCAGCAGATACCTACAAAGGCATGGAGAAGCTTCTCAAGACCGGCAAGGTCAAGGCCATTGGAGTGTCAAATTTCACCATCGAGAAACTCCAAGACCTCTTGAGCAAGACATCGGTGGTCCCTGCTACCAACCAGATCGAAGCACACCCCTACCTTCAGCAACCCGACCTTCTCAAGTTCTGCCAAGACAAAGGCATTCTCGTCGAAGCCTACTCGCCTCTCGGAAACAACCAGACCGGGGAGCCACGCACAGTCGACGACGCCAAAGTACATGAGGTCGGAAAAGAGCTTGATATGGACCCTGGAGTTGTGCTTGGAAGCTGGGGCGTACAAAGAGGCACAGTTGTTCTGCCAAAGAGTGTCACCCCTCACAGAATTGCTTCAAACCTAAAGGTCAAGGAGCTGCCCACCGGAGCTTTCGACAAGCTCAACGCGCTGGAGAGACACAAGCGTTTCAACTTCCCAGCCCGATGGGGATACGATATCTTCGGTGAGAAGGGCGATGAGGCAGTGAAGAAGATCGCACAAGAAGCTGGGGAGGAGAACAAGACAAAGTTTGTGGTGTAGAACAATACCTGAGAACACATAAAAAATGCATGAAATCTCCAATAGACCCAATCTCAAAAAAAAACACATCTCTTCCAAATTCTATGACCTTCTTTAACAGTCGAGATGTCTTGGACCCTTAGCGCCTTCTGGCAGCGGCGGATTGAATCGTTCCATGGCGGTTGGCGAGCAGTAGGATACCCTGTACAAGCAATTTCGAGTCGATAACGATAGCACTGCAGTATGATTGACTGGTATGGCCTTTGTTATGGTTGAGTAGTTCTTCGTTGCAACGACAGTAGTGCTGGCTGGTAGATTGGGTTGAGTAGGAGCTAGCCGAAGGAGATATGTTGGAACACGTTGTCCAGATTCAGATGTGCTCCATGGAGGTCTTGACCTGGACGTAAAAGCTAAGTTTATCGACTTAACAACTAGAATAGTTATTACTATAGCTTCTGTAAAGTTAAACATCATACTTACAGCACAGTACTGGAAAGTTCGAGAGTCGATACTACAATGGGGATCCGACATCACTTTGCACTCACAGTCAAATGCAGACTGTAGAATCAGAGCATTATGAGGCGGATTGTTCGTTCACAGGTAATGTGATACACGATAGAGTGACAAAACAGCTTGATAGAAATAATAGGTTGTACTATAGAACAAAATACTCGTAAAACATCATATCCCTTCGCGTGAGATTGGGGCCTTTCACCCCTAATCATATGTACAAAGTTCGGCGTGGCCCATCATCTACAGCTTGTATTTGAACACCAGGTCTGCCACCGAGACCGTCCATCTTTGAGATAGCGAAAGCCAAAAGACCTGAACAGGCACCAGAAAGAGCGGAAGCACAGTAGAAAAGCGCAAGACGAGTTTGGACTTGTCTCTGTGCATACCAATGAGTGATCAGGTACACGGCGCCTGGGAAGAAGCCTGCTTCCGCAATGCCTAAAAGCACTCTGCAGACCATAAGACCGGCAAAGTTCTTGACAAGACCAGTGAGGGTCATGATGGTACCCCAACTGACGACGAGCATGCCGATGTAGTGAGAAGGGCGCTTGAACTTCTTGAGCAGGACATTGGAGGGTACCTCCAGCAGAATGTATGGAATGAAGAAGATGGACAGACTGTGTTGAAGATCAGCTTACGATCATCAGGTCGATTCGATGAACATACACGATGTTGTACTGAATGCCAGACATGCCAAGATCCTCCATCATGCCCTCAATCTTGGCATTGCCGATGTTGGCTCTGTCAATGTGAGAGAACAGGTAGAGTACAGCAAGAACAGGGACAAGTCTCAAGTCGACTTTCCTGATCATGGCCTTTCTCTGATCCTCGGGGAAATTCTCGTAGAAGTCGGTCTCTTCATGGGTGAGGCCCATGCCAGCATACTTGTTGTGTTCATAGACGTTAACTTTCTCGAGATCCTTGGAGATCGAGGTTGACGATCCTCCGTCATGCTGGGTGCTTAGATGTTTGGACATGTTTGCTGAAGGAAAAAACAATGCCTCGATGAGGTTTCAATGAATTGATAAGGAAGAAGCGAACTCCTGTGAGATGATAATAGCGATATTGGTGTCTGGGGCAGCAGAGATATATCTGGCAGATGGAGGCGCCCTGGACTCGATTGTCCACTTTCAGACACTACTCGGTCAATACCGGATACCTGCCGTGCCCAGCAACCCCGCATGGGGTCCCCACTGGGGATGAGAAAATCTGGAGCCACTCTGTGTGGGATGTCGAAGATAGGGCTTGGGGGCTGAGCTCACATCCGCACCAATAGGAAGCACCAGAGTCAAAATTGACGTTGCACTCGACTCAAGGTCGGCGTTGTCTTGTATCTTCCGCACAACTTCCGCAAGTAAAACGTTTGCGGAAGCAGACTGCTCAGCTGACAACGCCACTGTTTTCAACTTCCGCTCTCCGCTTGTACCCCCCGGAAGTAACGTTGATCGGTACGTAGCCGGAGTCTGGTCGTGCCGGTTCCACGTCGCAAAGATGCGTTTGTATATATGCCTTGAACACTGTCAGGACTGAAATCTTGCACATTCATACTCTCAACCACTCAATCACTTACCTCACAATGGCCGACGTACTCTCCCTTTCAAGCAGATCCGGCATGCTTGACAGCAAGTATTCAAGCATAAAAGTACTGGAAACAAGAAAGCAGAAAGTTCTCCCTGCGAATACACAGACACCTTCCACCGTCGACGAACTTGTTAGGTTGAGAGCTTCGCAAGAAGGCAAAGACGCCCCTATCATCGCTTATCCTGAGCAAGGCACATCCTACAACGATTACACACCTAGCCAGCTGGACAGATTTGTTGAAAGGGCAGCATCGTTCTACGCAACCGCCATTGCGCAAAGATGGACATCAGATGATCCAGTGCAGGTCATTGGACTCTTGGGTCCCTCAGACTTTAGCTATCTGGTAGCTTTCCTAGCAATCTCGCGACTAGGACACTCAGTTCTGCTGCTTTCAACCAGGATAACCGATGAAGCTCATGAGTCTCTCCTGTCGACAACAAAAGCCACTGCACTCATCTATAATGAGGCTTTCGAGGCCACCGCTTCTGCATTGATGAGCCAAAAGCCCGGTTTGAAGATCATGCAGATTTGTGACACCACATCTTTGCCTACCACGAGCAACAACCTCAAGCCTGCGAACCTGGACGCATCGAGAGAATCTCAGAATATCTCCTTCATAATTCATTCGAGTGGTTCGACAGGTCTTCCAAAGCCAATTTTCCAAACACACAAGGCTTCGCTGTATGCCTATTCACAACACTTCAACCGCGTTGGCCATATCACTCTGCCGCTCTACCACAACCACGGCATCTGTTGTCTTTTCCGAGCGATCTGGGCTGGCAAGAAGATCTACATCTACAATGCTAAGCTGCCTCTCACATCTCAGCACTTGCTTGCGACGCTAAAAGAGCATCCGGATATCAAGATCCTGTACGCTGTTCCATACGCCCTGAAGCTTCTCAGCGAGACCGAGGAAGGTCTGAAACTGCTCAGCGACCTCGACATCGTCATGTTCGGCGGATCTGCATGCCCTAAGCCTATCGGTGACAGACTTGTTGACTCTGGTGTCAATCTTGTGGGACACTATGGTGCCACGGAGCTCGGTCAGCTCATGACTTCGTTCCGTAATCACAAGGAAGACAAAGGTTGGGATTGGCTGCGTGTGGGTCCCAACTTGGAGCCATATCTCAAGATGGAGGCCCGGGGTCCCAATCTCTTCGAGCTGTGCGTCATGGAAGGCTGGCCTTCCAAAGTGGCGACCAATTGCGACGACGGTTCATACGCAACCAAGGATCTCTTCGAGCCTCACCCTACTATCCCAAATGCATGGCGCTACTATGCTCGTCTGGACGATACATTGGTACTTGAGAACGGCGAGAAGGCAAACCCTCTAATCGCTGAAGGGGTCATCCGACAAAGCGAGCATGTAGCTGAGGCCATAGTCTTTGGTGCCAACAAACCTCGACTTGGTGCATTCGTAGTCCCCTCTGCTACAACACGACTCTCGGACGGGGCTTTGTTGGATGCAGTCATGTCTTATGTCAACGAAGCCAACCAAGTTGCACCTTCATTCGCCTATCTATCGCGGGAGATGATTAAAGTCTTGCCTCGCGACGTTGAGTTCCGTAAGACTGACAAGGGTACTGTCATTCGCGCCGCTTTCTACCGGGACTTCTCAAGCCAGATCGAAGCCGCATACGCCGATGAGCAGTCAGGAACTCTTGTACTTCCCAAAGACGATCTGCTCGAGTTCCTTCGCAAGGAGTTCTCTCAGAGAGTCCAGCTCAAGCAAGGCGAGAGCTTCGACAATAACACAGATCTTTTCAGCCTTGGTGTCGATTCTCTTCAAGCTATTCAAGCAAGGAGTAACATCATCAAGACGCTCAAAGTCCAGGCGAAGGACATCGGCAGAAACTTCGTCTTCGACTTTCCCACGCTGGACGAGATGGCTAATGAGATCCTGCGACTTCAACATGGTGCACCCAAACGAGTGAAGCTCAGCGTTGAAGCGCGCATGGCCGCTATGGTCGAGAAGTATGCCGTATTTGAGCAGCATAAGCCAGTCGACAAGCCAGCTGATGGCGCATATATCGTAGGTACATCTCATACTCTCGTGACCAGCTCCAGCTAACACCTCGAAGGCTATTACGGGTGCTACAGGCTCCCTGGGCGCACATGCTGTCGCCATCTTGGCAGCACAGCCAACCACGAAGAAGGTTTACTGTCTTGTCAGGGCCAAGGATACCGAAGACGCTGATGCAAGAATTCGCCATTCTTTGCGCGAGCGCTGTGTCCTCGACAATCTTTCTGAAGCTGCTTTGTCCAAGATCGTCGCCTATCCTTCCGACTTTGCTGACGAACACCTCGGCCTTGGTTCCGAGCGATATGAAGCAATCTCGCAAGATATCACGCACCTAATCCATTTGGCATGGTCTGTCAACTTCAACAAGAGCATTGAGAGCTTCGAGGCAGACTGCATCCGGGGTGTTCGCAATCTCACGACACTGTGTTTGCGAGCCAAAAGACCTCAGCCTGCGGCTTTCAACTTTTGCTCTTCGGTCAGTGCAACGGCCCGTACACCCGGCGGAATCGTTCCCGAGGCCCTTCCTAAGTCCTTTGAGTATGCACAAGAGATGGGCTATGCGCAGTCAAAACTGGTCGCCGAGAACTTGTGTGATCGTGCTGCCAAGCAGACCACCATGAAGTGCCGCGTCCTGCGCGTTGGTCAAATCATTGGCGACACTTGTCATGGTGTCTGGAACGAGACAGAGGCGATTCCGCTAATCTTCCAGTCTGCAAAGTCGACCGGTGCATTGCCTGCACTCGACGAGAACCCAGCATGGCTTCCTGTTGACATTGTCGCGAATGCTTGCACTGAAATCGCACTCAGCAACGCAGACAGTGGTGTCATGAACATTGTCAACCACAACTCTTTCCACTGGACAAGGGACTTGCTACCTCTTCTCTCCCAGGCCGGTCTTCCTTTCGAAGCAGTCAGCCAGCGTGAGTGGATCCGACGTCTTCGGTCATCCAATCCCGACCCATCTCAGAATCCTTCGGTAAAGCTTGTCGACTTCTTTGCAAACAAGTACGATAACGACAAGCCTCGCGAATCATTGAAGTTCGCAACAGACTCTGCTCAACGTCATTCTCCTTCCCTCACGAGCGCTGGTGTCATCGATATCGACATTATGCAGAAGATTGTGAGCTATCTCGAGGCAAGATATACACAGTAAAGTGAATCTTGTTGGTGGCGCTGGCGTCGGATTCGGTTCTGGATGCATTTTCAATTTCCAGACTCCTCGATGAGTTCATTGAGACCAGGAGAGTAGATTTGAAGGTTTAGCGTAGCATAACAATAATCACACAATGTTGTTCCAATGCGCGTGTAACACCAATGCAAATGTGAGCTGTCGCTTGTGCTCATTCCGTGACTTTGGCGTACACTGCAGCACCACGAGCGTCTCGTCAAACCTTGAGAGCGAGCGTTTCCTTCATCATCTCCATGCCATACTTTTCGTCTTCCAAGGAGTATGCTGGTTGCTTTCTCTGTAGTCCATCGCACGTGGTATTTGTGTTCTTATCTTTTGGTTTGGCTGGCAAAGACGCGCCGCTTTCGCGCGCAAAGGCGTCATGGAGGTGGGGGTCTCGATACCGGCGCGTCGGAGTCTGGTCACACAGGCCCCCACACATTGTGGATCCCCTCCCTGTTCGTTAGGTATGCTTCTTCCCCAGCCTGTCGACAACCCACGCTCCGTCGACGCAAACATTCAGAGCACTCGCCATTATCTCCCTGGTCATGCCTGCCGGTCATAATCTCTGTAACATGGATTTCTAAGGCACAGTCGAAGCTCGCGACTGCGAAGGATCGAAGCACGCCCCTCAGAGTTATTTAGCGTCTTCTCTTCTCGTCAATCTACCTTTCGGTCAACTACGCCATTGACGACCCCACCTGTATCCCCTCTTTGGCACAAGCTCAGTCGTATATCTAATAACAGATCACCCTTCTTCCAAAGAGGAGCAATCCCGCGCAGAGAAGCTCTGTTGGTGATTGCGGCATGAAATCCGAGCCAAACTCGATGTGGGATTCGGAAGGCTGAGATTAATGCCGCTGTATAGCCATATTGCCATGGCGGAGCAAGGCCCCCCAGCCTCAATATGCAGTGCACTATACTATTAATATCAGTTCGCGATAGGCTAGCTACTACACTCTCGAGGTCGCCGACTTGAATTCTATGGAAAACCGGGCATAAGGCCGCATCTAGCTATTTTTGCTTGACCATGTAGGTCTGGATTTTTCCTGTCTATTCTATCTTTTCCTCTTTTCCATCTCTGTACATTTTGAATCCATTGAGATGTCTGCGCTCGTCCATTCACGCCCTCGTACAGCCATGGCCACCGCGATACTGTGTGCGATACGCGTCACCACGGCACAACAAAATCTTGCGGTCAATTGGAGCTCGAACACTTATGGACCGGATGGACCATGGAATGCGATAACCATCAATGTGGGCGGAAATCAAAACAGCACTGATATCGAATCGGAACAGGTCTCAATAGACCTTCTGGTGGGCAGCTATTACGCATCATACATACCATCGAGTTCGGCTTGTCGAGCCTACGGTCCCCAATGCGGTAACGGAGGAGTGTGGGATCCAGACACAATCCCCATCAAACAACCTCCGCCAAATATCTGGGATGCACCTTCTTTCATCAACATCACCGGTACAGTCTACCCAGGTGCCGTTACCATTGGCACTGCAGGAAAGCAACAGACCGTCTACGATGTCGATCTTGCTAGTATCGATACCTTCTCTGTCAAGTATCCGAACGAAGTCACAGCTGCTCCCGAGCTTGGTTTCTTTGCACTCAACAGCGGCATGGACAAGGAGATCCGAGCTCTGAGCGATGCTAAAGGGTCTGAAGATCCATGGATCGTCGCTGGCTCTCTCTACAACCAGTTCATCATACCCTCGTACTCCTATGGCTTGCAGATCGGATCCGCAGCTTTGAATTATAGCGGCTCGCTCGTTCTCGGCGGCTATGACAAAGGACGGATCATCGGACCTTACACGAGTTGTGCCGGGTATATGACCACATTGCTGGATATCACAATGGATGTCGAGACCGGCCCGAGCCCCTTCTCCTTTGGCAACGCATCGAAGCTTCTCACCAATGTCCTCGGACAGCCAAGTTCGCTGAGCGTGAAACCGGATCCGATGCCGCCAGGTCTCCATCTCCCTGCTCAAACATGTTCAAATTTAGCTCAGAAGCTGCCAGTCTACTATGATTCAACGACCAACTATTACCTTTGGAATACTTCTGATCCGTCTTATGAGCAGATCATCAATTCTCCGGCATACCTAGGTTTCCAATTCACTCCGGCTCCTGGCGATGAGGCCAACGTCACGATAAAGGTCCCGTTCAAGCTTCTCAATCTCACCCTCACGTCTCCGGTCGTGACTCGTCCAGTGCAATATTTCCCGTGTATTCCATTCGATCGCACGCCTGCGGATCAATGGCGTCTCGGTCGCGCTTTCCTGCAAGCTGCTTTCTTAGGATACAACACCCACACAAACACAATGTGGCTCGCTCAAGCTCCCGGACCGGGAGTCGCGAATGAAGGACTTGGACTGGAACCTCAGGACATCGCCAACAGCGCGACAACGCTTGAGGTCTATAGTGACAAGACTCTGTTCGCGGACTCCTGGGCGGGCCATTGGACGGCAACAAAAGCTACCGAGGCCTCCAACTCAACCTCTTCAGCCCCTGCAGACCCAACATCGACGACCACAACAAACGAACACCAACCCGGCATTTCTGGCGGTGCAATTGGAGGAGCGGTGGTTGGTGTTGTCGCGGGCATTGCAATTATCGCCGCAATCATCTTCTGTCTGGTCAGGAAGAAATCAAAACAAAGCACACTCCAACAATCATCAGATGAAGGATTGGAAGACACCGAAATCGGTCCGGAAAGAGGCTTTCGAAAACAACAATCGACAAGTGAGGGCTACACATTTCTCGAAATGCCAACTGATCATGAAGTGGAAGAGTTGCCGAACCATGCAGAAAGCAAAGAATTGCCGACTAGCATGAGGGTATATGAGCTCGAATCGCCCTTGAATACGCGTCGTTGATCCGTAGGCTTGAGTCGTGTTTCTTTCTACAGTTAGAGGGGACTGTGGCTTTTCTTCTGGGAGTTATGTGCTAGAGGCTAGATTGATGGAGTCTAATGATTTGGAGAAGTTTGGTTAGAGTATACAATCACACGTAAGAAACACGGTGTTCGTACGTAGATTATGCCTCAATGTTCGGTTTCTCCTGTCCAACATTATCGTCTTCGATGCGCGGATCTTTGCTGGGATCTTGCGTGCATGTTTGATTGCTTTCGCTGTTGAGCGTCTTGCTCAGCCCCAGCTGAGTTCACGAGAGCACAATCTTGAGAACAGTCCGCGCAAGCTGGTTCTCTCGCGAGTGAATCTAGGTGACCGGTGGTCATCGGGATCGTTACTGGTGCCAAAATTGAACAGTGTCAGTTGACGTCGCAAGATAAGGAGGTGAAAGACGGAAGACGTGTCGAAAGCACGCGGTGCTCGGGCATGACATCAGGGCTTGGCCGTCAGCCGAGGCCACATGTCTGACAGGGTGGTACCTGACACAACAATTTTCGAGACTCTAAAACTTCAGGCCGCAACGACGAGGTCAATATCTCGACTGTGTGGGCTCATATACTTCTTGACTATTCTTAGAGTAGCAAATCATCTACCTTCGAAGTATCAAGTGCTTACTCCTATAACACGTGAAGTTATCCTCGATTCGCGATATTGTTTCAAGCTTTGTCCAAAGGACGACTCCATGTATACATCTATACCACGACTTTTCTGCTCGAACCTGGATCAATGAAAAATGACGTATCACGGATACCATAAGCGTCATGATTACAGAAGAAGCAAGTATTTTCCTCCCACTTTCGACACGCGCTGGTGCTTTTCGTCGTAGCATATACTATACAGTAATGGCGTCGATACGCGGGGCTTTCGCTATCGCTCTGTTCAACAAGCTCCCATCCATCGATACTCTTGCACAAGCGCTGTGTCGAGAACCAGAGAGACGACCCATCGGCCGCATTACCCCTACAAAGATCGCCGCTCAGACATTTCGCATGATAGCACGATGGCAGTTCGTACGCACGTAAGTGGAGAGCAAATGCGTTATGTGGTTGTTGATTCTGGCCCGGCGCCTCTCCGCTTGATAGCGCAGCCTCGACCCAGCAGAACGCCTCCATCTTCCCTTCCTCATTCTCCTGCCAGCAACTTTTTCCCTTCGCCATCAAGGTCGGTCCTGATCATCAGAGACAAATCCGTCATCGGCGTTTTCCATCCGAAGATCAAGTTCTACCTTTGGAAGCAGAGGCAGGCGTGCCTGACATCAGCCACGGCTATACTCACCGTCTTCATTTCCTGTCCTTCCGAATCTGGAAAAAAGACTTTGCTATATGCAGCGACGCCAGGGTTCCTTTCCAACGGCGCATGCCAATCTCAACTTCTCCACATGCTTGTCCTCTTTAAGCAATCTCTATATTGTGGTATGCAATTGTCATTGGTGCGCGTGCCTGATATCGTTTGGATGGTGCCTTGAAGGATGAAGAGGCTTCCACCTGGTCTCGGGAAATTAAATGTGGCGAGTTGGTGGAAGAGTACAAGTACGACGGTGAGTCGCGTGTGTCTTGCTATTTCGTTTCTGCCATTTTCCCTTCGCTGCAATCACTCCCGTCTACACCGATTGTTCCACAAAACAATACAAGAAAACACCATAATCATGAAATACGCACTCGCTCTCGCTGCCTTGGGCGCCGCCGCTACTGCCTCTGACAGCCCTCTCCTCGTCGCTCGCCAGACCGACAACACCGACCAATACATCCGCGAAGTCTGTTTCCCAAACACCACATCGCCAGTGCCTCCCTGTCAAGAAATCATCAACATCGAGTCCGCGTGTCAACCCAACGGCACCGAACCTCTCGACTACTCAGCCCACCAACAATGCATGTGCAACGGCGGCAGCTACTTTAGCAACTGGCGCGGCTGTCTGAACTGCCAATACGTCCACGGTACACGCAGTGAAGCCGTCGCCGAAGCCAACTACGCAATCCTTTCTTCTGCATCTTCGCAATTCTGCTCGACTGCCACGCCCACGGCAAAGTTCGCGAGTTACTTTTCTGCTGTCAGCGATTCAAGCCCGCAGACTGCCACTGGTGCTGCTACGACACTCAGTGATCAGTATCCTAGCCAGAGCGCTGTGAGTCTGTACTACACCGCCACTGGCAACCAAGGTCCTGGTGCCATCACTGGCAGCGCAGCACAAGCTACCGCTGCAGTCTCGTCCAGTGGAAGTGCATCGAGCAGTGGTTCTTTGGCGGCCAGCGCTGCAACTTCCGGTGCCAGCAGCAGCAGAGCTTCTTCTTCTGGCTCCAGCAGCTCTGCCAGACAGTCAAGCAGCTCGGCAAAGTCTAGCAGTGCGAGCCAGACTGGTTCGTCGTCTGTTGCTGCTTCGTCTTCGGCTGCGCAGACTGGTGCTGCAAATGCTGTTGTTGTTAGTGAGGGCTTGCTCGCTGTTGTCGCTGGAGCCATGTTGATGCTGTAACATGCTGGTGGTTAGCGAGTATGAAGGATGCAGGAATGTAGTCAATGTCTTATTAATCAGAAAGGAGTGTAATCAAGGAATAATGTCCAAAAGACCCCAGTGCTGTCTTGTTAGTTTGCCATATTTGATTACGAACTTTCATTTAGGCTCGTAGGAGGTGATTAGGTAGTAGTTTGTGACTTGGCTTCAAAGGCTCAAACAAGAACCTTTTGGCAAGCTCATCAGGGCGAACCGAAGTGGGGTTGGGTATGGACAGTGTGATTCGGACAGATTATGAAGAAATCATGATTCGCTTGAGTATATACGAAACGCTTAACAAAAGATCTTTTGCAGAAGATGCAATACCTTCAAACAGATTATCATCTACCTGTTTGCCTCGACCTTCTTGACCAACTCTCCACCCAACCTTGCCATCTCAGCAAGAACAGCAGTTTTGTTGATCTCAGCGATAACCTCCTCGCCCTTCTTGACCGGCACAGTCGAGTAGGCGAGATTGACCTTCCAAGCTCTGGCAGCAGTGACAGGACTCCAAAGACCAGCAATAGTAGTGCTACCAGCCCCGCCATAGAACAGCGCTAGTGATTGACCGTAGACGTTTTGTAGTTCGTGGAAGAAGGCGTCAGTGGGTGCATAGTCGACAAGCTCTGCATTGGTCTCCTCTGCGATGGCAAGGTTCTTGTACTTGCCGCTCGCGGCCTTCGACTTGTTGGTGGTATAAGCAGGGTTGAGGTGAACGACAAAGTCGTAGTCGCCAAGGGGCGAGGCGAAGAGAGTCTCAACATCCAATGAAAGTGACTTGGACTCGATCTCTGCGGTTGCGGCCTTGGCTAGTGCGGTCATGCGACCACATACGACTTTTGCGGGATTGCCGTCTGTCCACGTCGTACCTTCAAGATCGTCGCTGCTGGCGGCGAAGAGGACGACACGGTTGAGTGCTGGGTCCAACTTGCGCCAGGCTTCGAAGCGTGTTGTTGCTGTTGCTACGTTGTCGGTGTTGAGATCACCGCCGAGATCCACGATCAAGGGGTCGGCACGCCAGTCGAAGCGTGAGAGGAAAGAAAGAGTGCGGAAGAATGCAGCTTGTGTTGATGAGGGAGTATTGTACGGCCATGGGCGAGTGAAGGTGTGAATAGCGAACAGTTCGATGACTTCTTCAGAGAAGTGATTGCTCAAAAGATGCTCCGAGAACCATTTCTTCAACAAGCGTACAGTCGGCGACAGAACAGGGTATCTGGTGCAGAGTTTCTGCAAAGCCTGGGTGTGTGACGGCGACTTGATGAACACACGCTTGTATGTGGCGAGAGCGATAGCTGCGCTCTCCTTCTCGCTGGGTGCTGCCGACCGTGATTTGAGTATACGCTCTACCAATGTTTGCTCTCTGTCATGGTGAATGCGGACACGGAAAGAGAAGCCAGTGGGGTAGATGATGTCGAGGAAAGCTTGGTTCAGGATATCCTCACCCTCGTTCTCGAGACCAATGCGGGAAGTGACGCCTTCCTGTGTCGACTCGAACAGTTCACCGATCTTGAGCAAGAAGGCAATCTTGGTGCGTTGAATTGCGACAAGATCATCTGGCCAACGACCAGAACCTTCGAATTGGAGAACAACATCGGCAGGACGCTTCATCTGTTGGTGAGATGACATGGGAGGCTCCACTGAAGAGTAGCGGAGTTGAGAGTCGGCAGCCAGAATGGAACGGATAGTAAGAGGCAAGTCGTCCATGCCACGAATATCACTCTCCAAGGTCTTGAAGGCCTCCATCAAAGGTTGGAAAGCGGAGAGACCATTGCTCTGCTTGATAAGTTTAGCACACTCATCGCCAGAGAAGACAGCACTTGCGGCTGCATCTTGTCCAAAGTGACGGTATAGCAAGAATGTCAAAATCTGCTGAATGATGGACATTCCGCTGTTGGTAGCCCATACCAAACTCTCCAAGATGCTTCCATCTCTGAATCTACGCAATTCGGCCTTCTCACCCCAGAACTTGCGGAAGGCAGCGGCCTCCTTCTTCTGTTCGGCAGCCGGGCCATGGTCAACAGCACGAGAAGCGTTGGCAGAGTCAAGGTTGACAGCTACCAGCAGCTCACCCTTGCGCTCCGTGTTGGGTCTAGCAGATCCGAGTCCCCAAGGCTCGTGATCAGGAGATTGAATGATGACTTGAGTGGCACGATCACCCAGACCTTGACTGAAGACGTTGTGGATCTTGGCGTATCTCTGTGTGATCTGGCGGTCCTCGGCGACGTCGGAAGTGAGGGCAGAGCAAGGAACACGGACAGCCAAATCGTATCTCTTGAGGACGTTGTCGGAGCGGAGAATGAAGGCAGCGTCGAACTGGTCAAAGAGGTTGTCACCGAGCATCTTGAGAGTGGTACGTGCCTCGGCACGGAGGTGCTGGTAGGACCAGGAAGTCATCTTGTAGAGAATGTTCTGTCCACGAGGACCGTCGTAGAAAACGGGCTGACCGTCTTCCGAACCGAGGATGAGACCAGCAGCATCGAGCAGAGCAGGTTCCTTTGCGAGATCCTTGACAGCAATGTATTGGAGCGTGGCCTTGAACAGTTGGTAGCTGCTGTAGCCGCTCGACAGGACAGGCTTGCCTGAACCGGCACCGGTTCTGAGCAGATTTGCCATGGTCGCAGCCCACTCAAAGTTACCGAATCCGCCCTTGTTGGTGTCGGAACCAAGGCCACGCTGTCTCAGCCAAACACGACCCAACATGCACGCATCCGTGTATCCTTCACAGGCGGTCGAAGAGGCGTGCAGCAACTTTAAGTAGGAGGTGATATGGGTATCGGCCTGGATAGCAGCGTTGTAGAAGGGTGTAGCGGCCAAGTCCTGGGTTTGCTCATCGTCAGCAGACTGTGCAGGTCGCACGCAGTTCTTGGTTGGCAGCAATTTGTTGTCGGCAAATGTGCCCTCAGGAAGGCCGGGGATGATGTTGATGCGCCAGTTGTTTTCGGAGGTCGCCTCTCTGGACTGAACCAGCAGAACGGGGTGGAGAGGGTTGTTGCGGAAGTTGACGAAGTGGAAGGTGAAGGCCTTGAGCGATGACTGAAGACCAGCAGCAATGCAGGCGAGATAGAAAGCACGCTTGTAGAAGTAGCGGTGGTTGAGGTAGTCCTTCTCCTGGAACAGCGACTTGGGCATTGTGACGAGCATATCGATGGACAGAGGGGCCTGACGGTCGCGAAGAGACAGCTTGAGGGGGAAGCTGCCGACAACGTTCACGTTCTGAGGCTTCTCGTAGGCCAGCTTGTACTTGGCGTCATGGGCGGGGCGAGGCTCGGGGAAGGGAATGGCGACCTTTGACTTCTTGATCATGTCGCGTTCGGCTTGGAGCAGAGGAAGAGCTTCTCTGTTGGGGATGGCGTCGATTTGCTTCTTGATCTTGTGCAGGGCGTCGGCGGCCGTAGCCTCTCTCTTTCCTTGTCTCGGGCGAAGGTTGGACAGCATCTGGTCGACCTGCAGCTTGAACATGTTGCTCTTGAATGTGCCTCCGGTGTATGCGGCGCTGCTTGCCTCGAGCGAAGAAGCCTGCGACTTGTTGCTCTTGGCCTTTGTCTTGTTGTCCTTGGTCTTGGTGACTTTCTCTTGTATCTCGTCTCCTTCTTCGCTCTCTTCCTCACCATCGTCCATGTCGTCGGCGCTAAGGTTTGCGTCGTTTATATCGTCGTCCTGGTCGATGTTCTCGACCGGGCCACCGGAGGCGATCGAGACGTCGTCGTCCTCGACAAGAGATGGCGAGTGGCTGAGCTTTCTCCTCTTGCTTGACGGAACTGCCATGTTGTGTGTTGGTGGTTGGAAAGAAGGTACTGCTTTGACCGTCGCAACTTCCTTCGGCGGCGCAAAGTCTCGCTTGGCGTTGGACTTTTTTTCGAGAGAGCTCATGCTTGGCGGAGTTTAGATAAAGCAGGCGCGGCGATAAGGTGAGACGTTCAAAGGGCAAGTGCATTCGACATGCCGACAGCGGCGTGGGGCGTCAAGATCGAGTCATTTGTCCACCAGCACAATGCCACTCTCGCCATGTGTTTGCTGACCTTTCTCCAACAACTTTCCCTCGCAACATCATTTACCAATCATGCCCGTCCCTCTGGCATTCAACGACAATGTCGGCGAGACAATTCCCGCAGACACGCCTCACGTAACCAATCACCGACTCTGAGCTTCCTGGCATAGGCTAACTCTCCACACAGGCCGTCAGTGTGTCGCTACCAACATGGGCCGCCAATGTAGGCTACGAAGAGGGCCAGAAGTGGGTCATGGACAAGATGAAGTGTGGCTACCCACGCTTCTTTATTCACAAGAGCATCGAACGCCTTGCCACTGAAGTCGTCAACCGCCATGGCAACCCTTGCCAAAAGGCCATGCTATTCCCTACTCACAAAGCCGCGAACCGCTTGCTCGAGTTCATGCACCGCATGGCCCCCGAATCCCAAGGCACCGCTCGCATCATCGACTTCGTACCGAACCCCAAGACCGAGTCACACGACGAATCACAACACGTCCTGCCCCGCTTGTCCGCTGTCTTATACCCCGCCGAGCTTTGGCCTGTCGCAAAACAAGTCTGGCAACACAGTGGAGACGGTGTCTCCAGCAGAAGAGCCGAGTTTGCCGAGAAGCACCTTCTCGACGGTACCATGGTCGACAAGGCCTCCATCTACGATAAACCACGCAAGGGCCCTCGCAGATACCAGCGACAGATGTCAATCGACACTCCTCACCAATCTCCCACCTCGGAAAAGGATGATAAGGACAGCACAGATCCCTTCGCCTTCGTCGAAGAGCGTTTCGGTCGCAACTTGAACGTCCAATTCGCCCAGCAAGCAAAGCTCGCCATTCGTCGTCGCATTGCCGGTTCCTTGACTTCAGACGCTGACCTAAAGGAAGCCCTGAAGCACCCTGAAGATGTCGAACGTACGAGAAGTGCCGAAGGTTTCTCGGTAGACGACGTCTTCCTCTATCCTACCGGTATGAGTGCTATCTTCAACACCCACCGCACTATGCTGGCAATCCGCCGCAAGAACAAGAGCATCAGCTACGGTTTCCCCTATGTCGACACCTTGAAGATCCTGGAAAAGTGGGGCCCTGGAGCTCTATTCTACGGAAACGGCGACCAAGAAGATCTGGATGACTTGGAGAAACGTCTCGAGGCTGGAGAGCGCTTTGTCGGCTTCTTCTGCGAATTTCCTGGCAACCCTTTGCTGAAGTGTCCCAATCTGCAACGCGTCCGTCAATTGGCCGACAAGTACGACTTTGCCGTTGTGGTCGACGAGACAATCGGAAACTTCTTGAATGTTCACGTGTTGCCTTACGCCGACGTGGTGGTGAGCAGTTTGACCAAGGTCTTTTCCGGTGACAGCAATGTCATGGGAGGATCGGCCATTCTCAACCCCGCAAGCCGCTACTACGATACTCTGAAGAAGTTTATGGCTCAAGATTACGAAGACAACTTCTTCGAAGAAGACGCCATGTTCCTGGAGCGCAACAGCAGAGACTTTGTCTCCCGTATTGCTCGAATCAACACCAACGCCGAATTCATCTGTGACATGTTGATTGAGCACCCTCGTATCAAGCAAGTAAATTACCCAAAACATTCACCGACCAGGAAGTATTACGATGCCTGCAGGTTGCCCAACGGCGGCTACGGTGGTCTGCTCTCTGCAACTTTCTACTCTATGGACGACGCAATTGTCTTCTATGACAATATTGACACAGCGAAAGGTCCCTCATTGGGAACGAACTTCACCTTGACGTAAGTTGTGCTCCCCCATGTATTGCCTTCCATGTTACTGACCCATCAACAGTTCACCCTATGCGTTATTGGCACACTACACGGAGCTGCCTTGGGCCGCGACCTTTGGTGTCGAAGCAAACCTGATTCGTTTCAGTGTCGGGCTCGAGGACACGGAGACCCTCAGAAAGGTCTTCCAGACAGCGCTTGACGCCATACCTCAAAGCGAGCCGAATGGAAACGGAGACAAAGCATGAACGCCTTTTACGAAATGAATTATCAGCATGGCATATAATTGGATATATTGTACATATGTAGCGAGCAAAAGCGTTAACGTTGACACGACAAGATACATGAAGTTTCGGCATTTGTCAGGGCGGCAGTCTATGCTCTCCGGAGGGAGATGAAGAGTCTGTCGACAGAGCGGCTTCACATGTGATACCCAAAGCTCTGGGACAATAGCTTCGATCTCGCCAACCGAGACAAGTTGACCGGAAGATGTAAAGATCAGTGGTTGCACAAAGCACGATCAGATGTCAGATGTGGTGGACAGATCAACCGAGATAGGTACGACAGAGGTACACGCGACAAGATACAGACGTGGCGCGAGACAATAGCGTGACATGCAAGCAGCCATGGTTGCGGTGGTGAGCACAGCAGTCGGAAATGTTGAAAGCGAGATCAGATCATCAGTGACGTTTCGTGTGTGTTGCATGCATGGTATGCAGGGAGATTTGATTGGAGTGCTGCAGTTGACACGTCCTGCGGTAGCTTTGTGCATTGCAGAGCCGATGAGTGGGACATGCGACAAGCACGCTTGCCGCCAACGGCGTGCCCAAAGGCTTTCACCTCAACGACATTAGACTTGAGATGTCATTTGGATAAGCGTCAGAAGGTGGAGTGATGGCAGTACTGAAGTTGATGGTTTGGTGCAGACATCTGATAGGATCTGCGCAGATACGAAGGTCGTGGCCAGCCGGGAATCAAGCGAGATCTGGCAGGTGCTCGATCTCTGGATCTTGCATGATGGCAGGGCGGATCAGTGAGATGGGCGATGGCAGGGCTTGCAGGATTCCGACGACAGCATCTGTTTTGGACGTTCAACAGAACAGCCTCTGTCGTTTCGCTTGGGCTATAAATGCTGCAGGGTCGTCTTTTTACATGGCAGCAACTGACGTCCAAACACAATTGGAAATAATTAGCATTTCTTATACTCGTCATTTTTAAATCCGGCAGTTTGTTGTGGCCAGTGCACTTCGTCTGGATCGGTCCCCGCAAAAACGAGCAATCGATCGGGGAATTTTCTCTCGGGAAAAGAAAGATTCCAAAAATTGTACCAGACTTGAGTTTTGTCTTGGTAGTTCTCTGTGGGCGTCATCGTATACCGAACATCACCGTCACTCTCTGTTTGCCCCGTCCGTCCATCCACCTTCGACTCTCTCAGTTGATCTGGACGAATAACGCACACGATCATCTTGCATCACCGTCGACCATCACCGTGCTGCCAAGATGCCTCGCGAAATGAAAAAGAGAGGCCGCAGAGGCGAGGAGAAGAAGAGAAAGCTGGAAGAGGAAGAGGAGGCAGTCGACCAAGAATTTGCGCAACCGAAGCGACAGAGGACCGAAGACGGTGGCGACGAAGCAGCCGACCAGCAGGACTTTGTTGCCCTTGCCCAAGACGGCGCATACCCCAATGGCGACTACCAGAACGGCGAGGGTCAGGGCCCGCCTGTTGAGCAGGTCTTCTTTGGTATGCTGGACGAGGAAGAGCAGGAATACTTCAAGCGTGCCGACGAGATGCTCGAGATGAACAACTTTGCCGATGCTGAAGAGAGATCGCTGTTCCTGGCCAACGTCTACCGCGAAGCCAATGGCAAGGAGCTCAAGATTGCCAATAGCCAGTCGTGCTCGAGACTGATGGAGAGGCTGATCCAATTGTCGACACCGGCCCAACTCAAGACGCTGTTTCAAAAGTTCAGCGGCAAGTGAGTAACTTCCATCATATACTAAATGCATCACGGGACTGACCATACCGCAGCTTCATGCACCTGTTCCAACATCGCTTCGCCTCGCACTGTTGCGAGAAGCTCTTCATTCAAGCCGCCCCCGCCGTCACTGACGAACTCCTCCACCCTTCCAAGCACCAAGATCAGACAACCGACGACGGCGATGTCTACGTCAGCATGGAGAACCTCTTCCTCTTCACCCTCGGAGAGATGGAAGGCAACGTCGGCTTCCTCATGACCGATCGCTTCGCCTCGCACACCCTCCGCGTCCTGCTCCTTGTATTGGCCGGCGAACCTCTCTCGGACTCAACCAACAAGTCCTTGATGCAAAGCAAGAAGAAGGAGCACGTCACCGTCAACGGCAGTACCAACGACAAGGAGGATGCTACTTCCAAAGACAAAGAAGACAAACGTCCCGTCCCCAAGTCCTTCACAGAAGCCCTCGAGAAACTCATGACGGCCAGTGTTTCTGGACTCGACACAACCAGCCTTCGCGCACTCGCCACACATCAACTTGGAAACCCTGCTCTGCAACTTCTCATCAGACTCGAGCTCACCCAATTCGGCAAGTCCAAAGCAAAGGACGAGAACTCCATCTTCCGCACTCTCCTCCCCGACGACCCAATCACGCCAGAGTGCGATAGCGCTTCTTTCATCAATGGCCTCCTCTTCGATCCCATCGGTTCTCATCTTATCGAGTGCATTGTCGAACACGCCCCCGGAAAGATGTTCAAGAGTCTGTACAGAGGTCTGTTGAAGGACCGTATGGCATCACTAGCTCGCAACGAGATTGCTTGCTACGTTGCCTGCAAAGTCCTCGAGAGATTGAGCAAGGACGATCTCCTGGAAGCACACGAGCAAATCTGCCCGCAGATCCCCAGTCTGCTGGAGCGCAACCGCTTCGCAGTCATCAAGACTCTGATCGCTAGATGTGCAGTCAGAGACATTGACTGCCAGGCCATCGCCCTCCAACTCAACGAAGCCTATAACGGCCCCGAAGGCTTCGACATTGAAAAAATGCTCAAGTCCGACACTGACAACACAGCTACCAACGGCAACACCGCACCACCGCCAGAAGGCATGCCCGCTCACATCGCCGAAGAGCGCGCAAACCCACACACCATCAAACTTCAAGGCTCGCTGCTAGCCCAATGCATGATTCTTGTCCCTGGCGCCCTCAGCGCCCTAGTTCTCGAAAGCCTGGCTTCCCTCCCACCCACCACATTGAAGAAAATGGCCTCCGATACCATCATCTGCCGTACCCTTCAAGCAGCAATGACATCCCACAACGCCTCTATCATCTCCCGCCGAAAACTAATCCAGCAATTCTTCGGGCACATTGGTGAAATGGCCTTGGATTCCAAAGCCTCCCGCGTGGTTGACGCCATCTGGGAAGGCACGCATGGTCTGGCCTTCATCCGTGAACGCATCGCTGAAGAACTCAATGAAAATGAAGCCCAGCTCAGAGACAACCCCTGCGGACGCGCCGTATGGAAGAACTGGAAAATGGACTTGTACAAGCGCAGACGAGGCGAGTGGGTCAAGCAGTCCAAGAACAAGGCATCCAACGACGGATTCCAGAGTTTCTCAGAGGTGGATGCGAATCTGAAGGCTGCGAATGGTGGCAACAATCATGCGGACAAGAAAACGTATCATGCTCAACAGCAACAACAAGCTGCCACGAATGGTGCCGCTCAAGGAGGAGAAAAGAAAAGTGCTATTCAATTGGCTAGAGAAAGACATGCGGCTAATAAAGCAAAGACGCAGCAAGCGAGGGAAAAACATGTTGCTGGTGGAAGTAGACCTAGTGGCGGCAGCTCGAACTCGAGTAAACATGCTTCGGGTGCGAATGCCATTAGCAGCACAAAAGCTTGAGCAAGAGTTGTAGAGTCTTTGTCGATCTGGGATCTTGAAAGGAGTTAAGGGTAAAAAGGAGTTCCATTGTTTAGAAGATTAGCTGTCGAGATGAGGATCATGGAGACCCTTTCAAGCTGGTTCGTTCTGATGTGCAAGATCGCTCACGGGCTCTTGGTTCCAAATGATGGTGTGATTTTGTGACGATAAAGACAACTATGTTCGGAAGTGTTCTACCTACTATCTACGAGCAGCGAAGTGAATTACCGAACTGCCCAACAGGGCACATCCCCATCTAGATCATCGTCTCGAGCTTCGCAATACTCTGCGGGAAATAGCCATCTACACCGTAATCGGCCAATAGGTTCCTAGTACGCTTAAGATACTACAACGTAGCCTTAGCCCAACTTGCAGCACTCCCAGCGCTTTGCTTCGCCATCTCTCCATTTCTATCTCAAGATTGTGCACAACTAACCGCATCCTACAGGTCAAGTCTAAGCTTAGTGAATATCGTTAGAAGAGAACGACTGTGGTATGAATGTCGCCGATCTTCAAGCGCGTCGAACGCCGATGAGCACTCGGCGATATTCGGTGTTAAGGCTAATGTCGTCAGCTACATTTTTTGTGGTGTCATTCTCGAAGGGATACAGAATATAAAATACTTCCAGTGTGCCCCTTACCCTCTTGCTTGTATATCCATTGAGCATTCTTATCACTCGCTATGACATCTTTGCCCACCAGACCGGCCGAGGAGAAGCCTTTGCAGAGAGCAGACGAAGTCAATGATGTGAGAGTAGCCCCGAACGCAGTAGAGAGATCGCAATTGACCAACGAACACAGCTTCTCAACTCGATCCAAGACCTGATCATCCCATTCATCCGCTCCGCAGACGAAGATGCAGCAACAAAGCACACGGGCCACGGCCTCGCCATCCAAGGCCAAGGACCCCGAACCGCCCTCGTCGAATACCATCCCCCGAACAAGCTAAAGTCGCTCTTCGATGTGCAGCTTCCCGAGGCTGCTGCTGGCAAGAGTGGATTACTCGACGTCGTGGAAAAGCTGCTCAAGTACAGTGTCAATACTTGGGATCAGGGCTTCATGGATAAACTGTATGCCTCCACCAACGCGGTGGGTGTGGTGTCTGAATTGCTGCTTGCGGTGTTGAACACGAATCTGCATGTCTATCAGGTTTCTCCTGCTTTGACGATTGTGGAAAAGACGACGAGTAAGGCATTGGCAAAACTCTATGGCTTTGGCGGCGCACATGGCGGTGGTATCTCTCAACCTGGTGGCTCGGCGAGCAATGCGACAAGTATTGCTATTGCAAGAAACACGCTGCATCCGGAAACCAAAACCGATGGTATCAACGGAAGACGGTTCACTCTGTTCACCTCTGCGCACGGCCATTATTCTTTAGAGAAAGCAGCACAGATGTTTGGATTTGGCTCTTCTGCTGTCATTGGCGTCGCTGTCGACGAGCAAGGCCGCATGCTCCCTTCTGCTCTCGACGAGGCAATTCAAGCTTCAAAAGATAAAGGCGAAGTCCCTTTCTACGTCAACGCCACTGCTGGAACCACTGTACTGGGCTCCTACGACCCCATCGCTGCCATCGCCGACGTCTGCGAGAAACACAAAGTCTGGCTTCACATCGATGGCTCCTGGGGTGGTCCTGTGATCTTCTCTGCTGCTCACAAGCACAAATTGCAGGGCATCGAAAGAGCAGACTCGATTGGCGTCACACCGCATAAAATGCTTTCGGTACCCATGACTTGCTCGTTCTTGCTCGGAAAAGATATGAGACAGTTCCAGAGAGCAATGACATTACCCGCTGGTTATCTCTTCCACAGCAACGAAGACGAAGACGCTTCCTCTGCAAACACCAACGCAACCTCTCCTCCCGATGTCGAGCGCCCCGAAGCAGAAATCTGGGATCTGGCGGACCTAACGCCTCAATGCGGTCGTCGCGGTGATGCGCTCAAACTCGCCCTCTCATGGATCTATCATGGTTCCTCTGGCTTCGAGGCCTCCATCGACTCTGCATTTTCCGCTGCTGCTACGCTCGCAGACTTGGTCTCTTCGAACGCTGCGTTTACGCTGGTATCAGAGAACCCGCCGCCGTGTTGGCAGGTGTGCTTTTACTACAACAAGCAGGCAGACAAGGAGAAGAATTCGAAGACTACAGAGACGATTGCGAAGAAGTTAATCCCGAGAGGCTTCATGGTGGATTATGCGCCGGGCGAAGTTGGCAAGTTCTTCCGCGTTGTGGTCAATCCTGCTACGAGGAAGGGTACGCTGGAGGGATTGGTCAAGGCTATCGAGGAGATTGGTGGTGAGACTCAGGTATAGAAATAGAGTAGACTTACAGGTAGAGGTAAATACACAAATGCAATACTCGCCAGATCCACCAACTGTCATGTATATATCTGGAGGAATTTGTGCTCAGGGTCTCTCAAGAAACCATGAGAGAATGCAACTGCCGAGGATCTCGGCGTTGAAGAATTGAAACCTAATCTCCCCCACATCGATAGTTTACACCCTTTCGTCCACTTTAGAACAAGGCAGAGCACGCGGTTTAATCCATAGTGAAACATATTCAGTCTTTCTCTTCCTCTCCTTCTTCGTATCGATCCTCGGTCTTTTGCTCTCCTCATAGTCCTCTAAAGCTTCAATCTCGGTGCTGGCTCTAATTGGAAACCGGAGGATCCTCACAAATACCTAGTCAATCATATCGACATATCCCTGACGAAGACCATTTCAGGCTCTGCCCACGATCGACACCAATGTCAACAACCATGGATCCAACCACTGTGGCCGCCAAAGCAGAAGCCAATGCTCCAGCACCCATGACCCCAAAACCGCTTTCCGCACGCATACGCCTCTGGCTGCGTCTCTGGATGTTCAAACTCACCATCCGCAGCTTACTGGGCACCCTACGCTTCTTCCGCTACAAAGGCATGGGTTCTCTTCAACCCACCTATCGCAAAGCCATTGGATCTGCTGGTCTAACCCACGATATCTGGATGCCTGACAATGTTGCGTCAAGCGACAAATTGCCTTTGTACATCGATATCCACGGCGGAGGATTTGCAATCGGTGACCCCTTCCACGACGAGACTTGGTGCGAGTTTTTGAGACAGAGGGGTATTGTGGTGATTAGCTGCGACTACAGAAAATCTCCCTCCTATGCTTTTCCCACGCAAACTGAAGATCTGACTGAAGTGGTCACTGCCATTATGTCCGACTCTTCATTACCTGTGGACAAGACCAAGATCGCCATGGGAGGCTTTTCCGCAGGAGGCAATCTATCTCTGTCGGTTGCGCAAGAAAAAAGTTTACAGGGTAGAATCAAGGCATTGTTGCTTTGGTACCCTTCGACGGACTTTTCGGCAAAGTATAGAGGCGAGATGAGAGATGCGCCGGATGGAACTCCTGATGTGCTTGCCAAGAGCGGAGAACTGTTTACCTATGGTTATCTCCCTCATGGCGTTGATCTCTGCGATCCGCGTCTCTCTCCCATCTACGCCGACCGCACTCTGCTGCCTGAAAAGCTGCGTTTCGTGGGTGCCGAATACGATGTCTTATGCAATGAAGCGCATGAGACGGCGAAACTGTACTCTGAGCATGAGAAGGGAGAGCAAGAGCACGGAGATGTCTCGGAAGATAAAAAGCAGGGAGTGCAGAGTTGGAGGAGGGGAAATGTCTGGTGGGAGGAGGTATTGGATGCGCAGCATGGGTTCAACTATGTGACGAAGAAGGAGCCAGAGGCTGAGAAGGAGAGAAAGAGGGTTACGGCTTTGGCTTATGAGAGGGCTTGTGCGTGGTTGAAGGAAGAGGTGTATGCTTGATGTTTGTCTTGGTCATGTGTGTTCGTAGTAGAGGGATTGGACATCTCATCGAGCTCAGTGAAAACAACCAGCAGAGTCTCAGTCCCACTGCTTCACCCGCATATTCTGCCTTCACACGAAAGCCACAGGATCTCTAGTCTGTTTACGATGGGAGATGTAGTTGAGACAGATGGCGCAGGACTTTGCCTGGCCGAGTTGAATGATTGCTGAACTCATGCACATGCCTTATTTAGCATCGCGATACCTTAGTCTAGTAATCATTCCATCTAGATCAATGAATGCCTGGGACTTAGAGTTACATGGATTTAGCCGACATGTAGGCGACATGCATCGCCAAGGTCGCGAAGACTGTTCAAGTACTTTAGGCATCTTGTTGGGTAGAGGGGTAGTTGCATGATCTACTCATCATGGTGTCTGCAGGTCACAAGATCCTCGGTACAAGAAGCATTGTTTCTCTTTTCCAGCCTCGTGTTACATGGATAGTGATGGCTTGACTGTAGAGAAGAGCCATGTATTCAATTACCTGACGGATTGCCGGGCTGGCAAATCTGCATGCTCCGAGATGCCTGTATCGTCATATGAGTTTAACCAAACTTTTATTGGAGTTATGTGCATCGGCGTCGGTATCAATGCTACTGTGCGAGGATACACTCTTCGCTGAGTCGCGGAAGCGAGAACGATGGGTGGATGATTTGAAGAGGACTAGATCCCTGCCAAGGCCAGATGGAGAAGGACCCAGCCTCGGTACTTCTGCGTGGCCGTTGGAAGTATGTTTCAGGTCCTCCCAAATATTTCACCTAGGGCTTCTGTCGCATGCAGGCCTTTCCAGCGATGAACGTCGTCTGGTATGGAGTTGAGTGATCGACTCGCCACAGTCACAGGATGAGATTCTGTCAGAAGTCTTGACAAACCTCGGCCAGAGGGGTCTCGGCAGTTCAGATCATTGTGTCGCTGACTCGGCGATATACCAAGGACGTGAGGAGGTTTGCCTGATCCAGCCAGTGACTGCTGATCGTCCAACTCGAGTTCGATTCGCCTATAAGCTTTCCCTTGCCCTTGCAGCAAAATGCACCAGACAGCAAAACGGCAAGTTTACTGAGTCGTGGACATCTGTCTACCAGAAATCGTTAGCGAGTAGGTGAACACTGACAGAACGCTTTTGCGACCAATACGTGCGTACATGTGGCGTGCCCCATCAACAAGCGTAGGTTGAAACAAGGTTAAACATCATCCGCTGCGATTGATTGGTTCCCGATGCTTGACATCCAAGCACGTTCTCGCCAAGATGAGGCATCTTCCATGGGGGATCTGCACGGCATGGAAGGTGATGGCGATATCGCTGCCGCTGTATGCTTCTTTGAGCATAGAACAGCATTCGAGACCAGTGTGATGCGACATGGGTTGGTGGCGTGGAAAGGTGAAACAATAACCTTGTTCTCCATGATGCAGGTTATGCTTGAATGGCTTGTTTACCAAGAGATTTAGTGCCAATAGGAAGCACCAATGACTTATAGGCATTGATGGACACTCGGCCTGAAGAATATATAAACACCTTGGTGTCTCCAGGAAGGATGAACCGTCATCAACTCATCTCATATCTGCAACACTTTCGTTCATACCCAACTCATCAATCCTATCACAAACATGCACTTCACCAACAGCATCATCGCCGGAGCTTCCGTCCTCGGTCTGGCCACTGCCAGCCCTGTCGACCTCGAGGGTCGCCAGTCAGCCTGCTCTTCATACACCATCATCAACACCCGCGGCACCGGCGAGCCCCAAGGCCAATCCTCCGGCTTCACCACCATGAACAGCAACATCCGCTCTCAAGTCTCGGGCGGCAAGATCTACAACACCGTCTACGCAGCCGACTACAGCCAAAACTCTGCAGCAGGCACCTCAGACATTGTCAACAAGATCACCACCACCCTCCGCACAAGCCCCAACGAATGTTTCATCCTCGAGGGATACTCCCAAGGTGCTGCTGCCACTGTCAATGCTCTGCCCAAGTTGACTGGCACCGCCAACACTGCTGTCAAGGGTGTTTTCCTCATCGGCGACCCTCTGCACAAGAGCGGCTTGACCTGCAACGTTGACAGCAACGGCGGAACTACCACCAGAAATGTCAACGGTATTTCACAATACTATGGCGCCAACAGCATCCCCTCTGGTTGGATCTCGAGAACTCTTGATGTTTGCGCTTACGGCGATGGCGTTTGCGACACCACCCACGGCCAGGGCATCAACGCGGCTCACCTGTCTTACCCAAGGGACTCCAGCGTGCAGAACCTGGGTACCCAGTTTGTTGTTGGCAAGCTCCGTGGTACTTCTTAGATTTACCTTTTGGAGAAGATAGTGTTTCTTGTGATGGCGACGAAGACTACTTCTGAGCCTTGTTTTGTGTGAGGGACGGAGTACTGGTGTTTTGAGGATTAGGGTAGGGAACTGAGAACAAGCCAAGGAAAGGCAGGATATAAACTAAATCCCATGGAAAAAGATCTTTCAAGTCATTGTTTATGAGCCATCGTGCCAAGTCGACCTTCAAGGCGTGCGTGAAGATGAAGAATTTGCGAACGACGGATCGAACTGCATGTCCTTCGCTTATCGCGACACGTTGTGAACTACTTACCTCGTACTCATCCTAGGAACTTGGTAGGCCCATCAGCGCTTCTTGGGTATACAGGTAATGCCATATCTACAGTCGTTGTGATTGTGATGAGAGATGCCAAGTTCCAAGACTGGCGTGAAATCTGGCAACATCCCACGCACAGCACAGCCCCGCCTCTGCCAACACTCACACCCTTCCCTACACATCACAACACTCAACATATCCTTGAGAAATGGCAACTAAAACCTCACGAAAAGCTCCAGATGTGCTCGTCGAAATCATCGACAACGAACAAGATTTCACAACAGCCTTTGCCATAATCTCAAAATGCTTCGGCCACCAAACCAACGATGCCTTCTGGCAAGCCATGAACCCAGGCTGGAACACTTCTAAAGGAGCAGCCGCAGGAACCTCTCGCATGGTCAAGCGATGGCAATCAGTCTCCAGCAACAAATCTGGAGAACCGAATACAGTGCATCTCAAAGCCACTGTACCTGATCCGCAGAATCCAGGCCAACGCATTATAGCGGGCATAGCCATCTGGGCACAACACTCCATGATCGATGGCATGGGCGACAAACCATCTACTGACATCAACACTGCAGCAGATCTGGAAGAACTATACCCAGGCAATGAAGCAGAGCAAAGATTTCTTCGCCAATGCTTTGCATCGTTCGTCAGTCAACGCGTCAAAACGCTAGAAGAAAAAGCAACGACTTCATCACCCGCAACATTTAGTTTGGATCTCTGTGTTGTGGATCCTGAGTTCCAGAGAAGAGGTATTGCGAATAAGTTGGTGGAGTGGGGGTTGGAAGAAGCTAGAAAGAGGGGAGGGTTGGAGTCGACGACTGAGGGGTCTGCTATGGGTAGATTTGTTTATCAGAAGCTGGGCTTCAAGCCGGTGGAGGAAGTGGTCTACCATGTGGATCCCGAGTTCCAGGATCGCAAGTTGCCGCCGAATTTGTTCATGCGTACTGGTGCGAGCGCTTAAGCTGCTGATGCTGGGATATGTGGTGGGCGAGATGCATCAAACAAACAAGGTAAATTATGGGAATCTGTCAGACTTGGTTATGTCCTGCTAAACAAGTCGTTCATAGCCTCGATAGTTGCTCAATACCTGAACAACCTTTCTGCTCCTTCTCTTCTCAACTGTCTGTTCTTAAACTTATAGAAGAACAATAACGAAATGCAACCAACAGCCACAAAAAACAACAGCCCAGCATTTACCCAATGACCTGTCGGATATCCCTTTTTCTTCTCCTCCGCCTTGTAGATCCAAACTCCGGTGATCTGGCCAGGGGCGCCAAAGGAGATGTTCAATGCGATGGCCAATCCAGCCGCTGCGGTGCTATGCAGATTGGAAGACAGCCATCCCAACAGAGGAGGAATGCACGAGAAGGAACCGGCAGCAGCGACAATCAAACAGCCATAGCGGGCGTTGTATGCGTCAGGAGGAAGTACAGCTGAGGCCAGGAAACCAATAGCTCCGACTGTGGCGAAGATGGCCGAATGCAAGGCTCGTCTGCTTGGTGTTAGCATCTCTTGGGCACCCTTCACTGGGAGATACACGTCGAACTTACGCGTCGAAGTGGTCAGCAGACCACGAAACCAAAAGCGTAACAACATACGCAACTGCATACGGTGGCACGGTCATGAGTTGTGCAGTAAGGTCCTTGAAGCCCAAGCCAGCAGTGATGGTGGGAGTGAACAAAGACAAACTCGAGAATGGTGTCGAGATACCAAAGTAAATGGCATAGTGGGCGTATAGTCTCCAGTCTATCAGAGTGACTTTGGCATCTTGCCATGTCATACTCTTGCTGTTTCCGTGCGAGCCTTCGAACTTGAGTCTCTCTGCTGCAAGAGCTTTCTCCTCGGGCGAGAGCCATTTTACCGTCTCGGGATAGTCGGGCAAGAAGAACCACACCAGAGGTGCAGAGAGTAGAGACGGTAACCCTTCGAGGATGAAGAGCCAGCGGAATGCTGACAGACCACCGGTACCGTTCATGTGGCCCACGCCATAGGCTATTGCTCCGCCAAAAGCTCCGGCTAATGTTGCACTAGCAAGAATAAATGCGACTCTAATGCTGCGCTCGTCTGTACGGTACCAGAATGCTGATGATGATGGTCAATCTTTGTATCTCTTGAAGAGTTTGCAAGACACTTACTAAGGTAGTATACAAGTCCAGGAAACAGGCCAGCTTCGAACACGCCCAGCATGAAGCGTAGAGCTGTCACTCCTGCAAAGTTGTGGACGCCGCCTAGGCCCATGGTCATGACTGACCATGACAGCATCAGGAATGCAATCCACTTTGATGGACTGAGGCGTTTCAAGAAGTAGTTCGATGGCACCTCGAAGACCATGTATGCGATAAGGAAGACCATTAGGGCGATCGTGTATTGATAAGCCGTCATATGGGTCTCTGAGAGCAAGTCGTTATGGGTCGAAGCATTCAAGACCTTGGCATTGCCAATGTTGGACCGGTCAAGATAGCAAAGAAGGTATATGCCGCATGAGATGGGTAGGATCCTCAAGTCTTGTTTCCGGACAAGGGTTTTGTCCTCGGCGGTGCCTCCTCGAGTATAGGCTCGTCGTGAGTTGTCGGACTCGACATCGTTGACGAACTCTGGCCCGATATCCTTTTCGGTCATATTGGTCATCTTGCTGGGGATGAGATTGATCATCTGGGGTATATCTGGGGAACACACTCAGATATATATTGTCAAGGCTCGGACCCGGCGAGTATCAATGCCGTGTGATCCAGAGAAGATGTTGAGGGATGCAGAGAAAAACAGCGAGACGTGTATTCGGTCGCCGGCCCCAACTACCGCTCCTGCGAGATGCAGATCAGACCAGATTAAGCGCTGCTGCAACCCCCGCAGTCTCCACATAACCAATCCTTCGGCCTCCACAGCCGATATTTGGCCTTCCCCATATCTCTCTCGTCGGCCCCGTCCACCGCTACTTCCTCCATTCATCATGCAGACCACCAACTGCGATCGGTGTTATCGCCGAAAGAGCAAGTGTGACCGACTCCAGCCCTGCACCTCCTGTAGCAAAGGCGGGGCACAGTGCCACTATACGGACCGGAGCAAAGAAAGGACGGTCCGACCGGATGTCGTGGACCAACTCGAGAAGCGTCTCGCTCAAGCGGAGAACCGAAACAGATCTCTGGCCGCCGAGCTATCCAGGATCAGATTGGCCAGGTCACAGAACGTTAACGATGAGACCTCAGGTAGCATGTCCCAACAAGCAGAGCCAGTCAGCAACACGAGTAGAAGAAGTGATGTTGCGGCTCAGATCTCTATACTGTCGACTAGTGCTGCCGGCGAACGGCAATACTTGGGCTCTACCAGCGGTGTGCTTTTCGCGGATCTCGTGAGAGCCAGTGTCGACGTTCCTCATTCGAGGCATCCATCACCACCGACTACAACACATACCGAAGACTCTCCAGACGCTCCCGAATATATCCGACCAGAGATACCACGGGAGCTACCTTCGAAGAATCTAGCACGGAAATTGGTTCAAGCCTATCTTGATCATGACTTCCTTTGCTACCCTTTCCTCATACCATCAGAGATCTTTAGGATTCTGGACTGTCTATATAGTTCTGGTCTGGCCAGCTTATCATGCTACGAGCTGTTCGTAGTTGATATGCTTTTTGCTATCAGTACAGCACAGGTCTCTAAATACGACTGGAGACAGCTACCTAGTGCCGAGAGCCATCATGCTCGAGCCATGTCTACCATTGGTGACGTGCTGCGACTAGGTGGTTTGCAATCCTTACATGCCATCCTCTTGCTTTGCCAGTACAGGACTGGTAGTTCTATACAGGACAACTCAGGATCGATGTGGCTACTAGTCGGTATAGCTGCTCGGATGTGCTTCGAGATGGGATTGCACAAAGAGTCAGCCTACCAGCTGAGTGGACCTGGAGACGACGACACTACAGCGAAACCCTATCTGCTACAAGAGTCGAAAAGAAGATCTTTCTGGAGTGTGTTGTGTATGGACAGAATAACTTCGCTCATACTCGGAAGACCTTGCGCTATACGAGACGACGATTTTGACCACGTCTGTCCGACTGAAGATCCCACTGTTTGTCCAACCTCGAGTACCGATACGCCAGCCGCGCATTTTGTGTTCAGACATATTGTGTCTTATCGATTACTCTGCGGACGCATCGTGTCTGCTCTGCATCGGAAGAAAGCTCCGGACACCACAGAACAGCACGTCCTTCGAATCAGGCAAGAACTCTGTGCAGATCTTGAGAGCTGGAAGCACGATGTAGAACAGCTCCATCTGGAGCACAGTTCGCAGATCTCCTCATCCTGTCACTTGTCCACAGAATGGTACAATCTGTTGTATTCCAATGCTATGCTCATACTCTGGCGGCCTTCACCACTCTTACCCGACATCTCTCACGACGCGAACTCTCTACAGCACATCTTTGACTCTGCAAAACAAAGCATCACAATTTATGCCAGCCTTCACAAGTCTCGAAAGATAAACTACAGCTGGATCACTCTGCAATCCGTGTTTCTCGCTGGCCTGTCATATGTGTATGCATGTGGCCGTCACTTCCGCTCGCGCTGGCGAAACCCTACCGAACCATCATTACAGAAAGATCCAACGACCATCGAAGTAGTCAACGACACCAGAGCTTGCTCGAACGTATTGGTAGCCGTTTCCGAACGCTGGAACGCACTCAGAAACTGTCATGAAGTGTTTGACAGACTGTCAGATGCGGTGTTGAGTGATGCGATTAAGCTACAGACAGCTCAAGCACAACACATGGCTCAAACTATGATACAGCAACCTGTCAGTATCAACAATGCCAACTTTGGCAGCGGTAGTCTGATGACACCGCGGGACGCGACCACTTTCTCGCCCTTGGCCGTGGACACCGAATTCTTACATTGTTTCGATGATTTGCAGCAGCTGTACAACATGCAGCAGATTGAAGATCCGATTATGGAATTGAGTCAAGACTGGCTCGGTTACTTGGGGAATGGCAGCGAGTTTCCTGAGCCATCTTATCACATGTCAGGCTATTGAAATACCTTTTCATATAGAAAAAGTGGCCAGAAAGCCTGATAACTCTCCAAAAGATATTTATCGAACTCATATCGTACCTCTCTGCAAGAACATAGTTGGAACATCCACATGCTTGCAACGCAAATACTCACCCACTCCTTTACCCAACCCATCTATACGAGCACTCGACGCAATACCTCCATCGAGGAAGTCCATGATGCGGCTATCAAAATCGTTAGCAATCACTTCATCATATCTTCAAATTTAATGAACTCACAAGTGTACTGCAAGAATATTCGGAAACTCGCACCGCTCAATCTCGTGTCCAGCATAATCATCCTGTAGCAGTTCCTTCAACTTCTCTGCAGTGAGCAAGGATTGTAGCCAAGGGTACTCATCGGCATGACGGACGAAGAAGCCGACATTGGAATTGTTTGCCTTGTCGCCGGAGCGCGCGTGTACGATACTGCCCAGTGGTCTACGCTCAGTGGGTCCAAAGGTGGCTAGATCGACGGGATGTGACGTTTCCGCAGAAGGCCTCTGCACGGGATAGTGCTGTGTCTTTCTCGGTGGGGCGATGGAGATTCTCTTCTTATCTACCACAGCTTCGTGATTGATAGCTGCTTGTGGGATCGTTGCTGGGAAAATCTCATAGAACTGTTTTGGGTCCATGGTGCGGAAGTCCAGATTCATGTGATAGCCGGGATAACTCTGCATGCGTAGCGAATACAGCGGTATCTTGAACTTCTCCGCTGCAATATCTTCCTTGTTTCGCGCCTGAGCAAACACTCGCAACATGACTGTACCAGCTTGTTGCGAAGATGGATTGTCGACTTGAGTACCGTACAATTCTGCAGAAAACTTTGAGAACTTGCTGCCGCTGAAGATATTTTCGAGTTGCTGTTGCATCATTTGTGCTTTTGCGTAGACGTCGAGACCGTTGATGTAGTATGTTGTTTCTGCTTGCCAGCCTCCGGGTGCTGCAATCATCACTTTTGTGGTCGGAGGTGGGGGAGAGCCTTTGCAACCTGATACCAAGACACAATTTTCACGATTGGCGTCCTCGATGTGAATGCTGGCGATGTCTGCAACGACATCGGGGTTGAGATAATTCTGTCCTTGGAGCTCATACAGCAGTTGAGAGGTTATGTTGAATTTGTTGATCACTCCATTCATGGATTCTGGTTTGGTGATATAGCAAGCTCCAGAGGGCATGATCTCAGCGACTGGGAATGCCAGATCTACAAGCTCTGGCAGAAATTCCTTGAAGCCAGAAAAATTCGCTCCTGTCGCATATGGTCCGCATTCGATGAGATGACCTGCTATCAGAGCCCCGGCAAGTTGGTCATAGGCTTGCTCGGACCAGCCGTACCACCAAGCAGCAGCGCCAATGACTGGAGACGCATCTGTGACACGACCGCAGATGACGATATCGGCGCCCTCTTTGAGTGCTGCAACGATACCCCAAGCACCTATATATGCAGCAGCACACGTAGGCTCAAGGTCTGAGTCCCAGTCCTCCAAGAGCTGTTCTTCATGATCCAGATGGGGGAATCCAAGCACTCGATGACCATGTTTTCTTTTCTTCAGAAGATGACTGACGTCGTCTCCGAGTATGGTAGCAACAACTAAATCATGACCACGAGTTTTACACAGCTCGTCAACTTTGCGGGCTAGTACTGGAGCATTCATCGCTCCGGCATTAGTGACAATTTTGATCTTCTTCTCCGCAATGTCATCGATGCATTCGGTGAGTTGTCTGAGAAATCCCACGTCGTAGCCAAGTTCTGGGTCTTCGGCTTTCCTGATTGATTCCCAGGCTATGTTCATCTCAGACAGCCTTTCGAGCGTGTTAGCCAGGGAAGATGCATTTTAGGTTATGGACTGACCAGTCACCAGTGATAACGTCGACGTCTGCTTCTCGCACCATGCGAGCCATCGCATGAGGGGCATCTCCTGTTGCACCACTGCAATTGCCAATGCGTAAATTTCTCTCTGCGGGCATGATTTCCTTCTGGCTTGAACTGTTTTGCTTGATGTTGATGACCGGAAGAGATGAGTTCGCATATTTACAAGGCCAGCTCCTGGATCAACGGCATCCTGATCCGAATACGATTGAATCCGACCGCCTACCTACCGTGCACGATAACACCATAGTCACACACATGGTTGAGGGATCATCGGTAGAGGGCCGAAGGAGTGGAGGTTGTAGGTGGTAGTCGGGCGTTGGGCGTCGGGCGTCGGCGCCGAAAGCCTTCAGCAATTCAGCCGCTGACGACGCATGGCGGGGACTTGAGCGCGGAGTGAACGAGGTGACATTCTTCCACCACAAGCTAGACCACGTCGTGGGCTTGTTGCCGATCATGCCCTCCAGTAGTCTCGGCAAGCAGTCTTCCAGAGCAAGAAGGTGCGCAAGTGGGGACTGTGCGATGCCGGTCGTCCAGCAACGCCCTCAGCGATCGTCTGTCGTATAAGAACAAAGATATACCCCTTCGAAGAGCAGCTAAGTCTTTGCAATCTTAACATCCAACATGAGGCTCAGTCCTATCGACTTGATCCTTGGGTCCCTCTCTATATCCAACGCCCTACTCACGATCAAGAACAATGACTGCAAGACTTTTGTTTCAAACCTCTCGCTACCAGAAAACACTACAATCACCAATGCAACCCATCACGCACCTCACACCGTCAATGTGACCAGTGGAACGCAGAACATCTACAACAAACACGCCTTCTGCGAAGTCGACGGCACTATCTCCTACGGCAAAAACTCATCCCTGCACTTTTCCATCTACCTCCCAGACGCCCTATCCTACAATGGCCGTTTCATGGCCGTGGGAAACGGGGGCATGGCAGGGACACTAGACACGGTAGCACTGATGCAACAACTAAACTCTGGCTTTGCCTCTGCAGCTGGCGACGCCGGGCACCTTGCCAGTCTCAACAACGCAGGTTCAGGTGCTCCTGACACTTATCTGCCTTATTTGCACAACGCAGACGAGGTGCAAGCTTGGATACACGATGCCATTGCTCTATTTATGCCATCCGCAAAGGACATCATAAAAGCGTATTACAACAAGCCAGCAACATATAGCTATTACTCTGGTTGTTCGACAGGAGGAGCCCAAGGCTTCGCATTGGCGCAATACCATCCAGATCTTTTCGATGGCATCATCGCCGGGTGTCCTGGAAACTGGTACTCTCATCTCGCTCTCTCATTCCTGTGGAACGCGCAACATGCTACGCCAAACACATCTTCCTACCTTTCACAGGCAGTGCTAAACTTCACGGCTAATGCAGTGATGGAAACCTGTGATGCAAATGATGGCGTCAAAGATGGAGTCATCGGAAACCCTTTGGCATGCAATTTCTCCATCGATTCTCTAGCTTGCAACAAGAACGCCGCCGCTTCCAGTAGCAACGGCAGCATATCCTGCCTCACTCCTGCCCAAATCACAGCTGCAAAAGCAATCTACTCGGGTCCCAAAACCCCTGACACGTGGAAACAACTATACCCCGGCTTTGCCCACGGCTCAGAAATCCAATGGATACTGCAAGAAGGAGTCCTCGCCGACGCCTTCTCCATCCCTATCCTGCAGAACTTGGTCTACAACAATCTCTCCTACAACACTTCTTCCTTCACCTTCACATCCTCCGAAATCTCCACCCTCGACGCAAACGCCGGCGCAAAAATCGACGCCATCAGCACAAATCTGACCGCGTTCCGCGACCGCGGTGGGAAACTACTGGTCTACCAAGGCTGGGCCGATCCTTTCAATGCGCAAACTTGGCCTTTGCAACACTATGAGGACGTCACTTCCTTCTTCGACGGATCAGACATTTCGGATTTCTACAATGTGTTTATGATTCCAGGGGGTGGTCATTGCGGTGCTGCGAGTTTTTATCCGCAGGTGCCGGCGACGTATCATACTGTGCCTGCGTTGATGCAATGGGTGGAGAGGGGAGAAAAGCCAGAGGAGGTATTGACGACGGACCCGAGCGATGGACAGGTGAGGAGTAGGAAGTTGTGTGCTTGGCCGATGATGGCGATGTATGTGCAGGGCGACGTGGATGATTGGACATCTTATGTTTGTGAATAAGCATACTGAGACCATTGCTACAAGAATTAAAAGTATGGATATCAGACGAAGCGTCTATCTACTTGAACGCAGGAACAACCTTCTCCCCAACCAACCTCTCCAAAGCCCCCTCGATACTCTCCCAACTATCCCTATACCCAGTCCATCCAGCTTTCCTAGCTTTACTCATGGAAATGACCAAATCGAAATCTCTGCCCAGCACAAAGTTCAAGAATCCCCATGTCGCATGTTCCAGCGCTTCTCTGTCCAAGCCTTCACGTTCGGCGATCTTCTTCCAGGCTACCTTGACTTCGTTGCGTTGAGCCCATTTGCTGAGATCAAGTTTGCCGTGAACATAAGATTGTCGATTTACAGGTGAGCCTACTAGGCCGGCTTCTTTGGCGAATTCAGAAATAGGCGGGATTTCTTGGAGAGGCATAATGAGGCCGTCGTCTCCGAACTCGTTGGCGAGATCCTTGTCATTGAACATTTTGTCAGGGACGTTCAAGCCGAATTTCGCAGCTACTTTGGGCCAAAGGTTTTGCCAGGACTCGATGTCGCCGTTGACGACATTGAATGCATTGTTTGCCGCTTTAGGTTCGAATGCAGCCCAAGTGTTGAATTGCGCGTGCAAAGTAGAGTCAGTAAAGGAGTCGAACATTGTGTAGAAATGGGGGGAGCCTGGCCAGATCAAAGGTTGATTTAGCTCTTTGCAGACGGTGGCATAGATTCCAATTGCAGAAACGAGGTTCATAAAGTTTCCTTTGGCGACACCGATGACATCGTTGGGGTAAGTCACTGCCCATTCGAATCCGACTTCTTCTGCTTCTTTCTTCAGAATCTCCTGTTGGCGATAGTAGAAGTTTGATGGGTAAGAGGGATTTGTGAGCCAGTGGTCGGATTCGTGCATAGGGTTCTTGGGACGCCCAAAGTGGACACCGTATTGTTTGCCACCAGTGGTCAGAATGAAGCGTTTGATCTTCTTTGCTGCACCAGTGAGTTTGAGTGCTGTGATGAAGTTTTGTAGCATGTCGCCGTTGACTTTTGTCGCGTCGTCTTCGTCGTCTTGAGCGAGGTATGCCGTGAAGAAGACATATTCGGCGTCGACATGTTCGAGTTCCTTTGCCATTTGCTTGGGGTCTCCTTGGAGGTCGAGGTGGGTGTGTTTGACGTTGAAGGGGTAGTCTTCTTTCTTGCTGCGGGAAAGAGCATAAACATTTGGCCATGTTTTTGGATCCTTGCCCAGCTCAGAGACGATCTCGCGGCCGAGAATACCTATACCAAAGTCAATCCTTGGGCCTACACGGTATGCACATGGGTGACCAGGGCTCACCAGTAGCTCCAGTAACAATGGCGTTTGGCATAATGAGTGTTGACTTTTTGCGGTTCGTGATATGGTGTGGGATCCTGAATGTGAAGATTGATGTGTGAATATGGGAGAGTTATATCACATAGCATGACGAGCATGTTGTAAGCATGACGCAAGTTTAGAGTGGGGTGAAAGATACGAATGCTTCAGATTGCTTATATACCCCTGTCAAGTACCACAAGAGTCGTTCTCGTCTTCGTCAGGACGGGTATTTGAACAAGAGTCGTCGGATGAATGTTCAGTCGAGGCATTCGAGAAGTTTTGGATGTTGACAAACTGCGGCAAGCTCAGCCGACTTGCTACTGGTGTATTGTTGGTGTGTCTAATTAGTGACTGGAAATCAGGTGCAGATGATCAGGAATCGATATGAGAGGAGAGAGGCGTGGCGTCGTGATGGCGTGAGTGCTCGAACAATTGTATCCCAGGTATTGAGTGAGTGCTTTGGTGCAGCGTGCTGTAACGAGTGCTGATTGCATCAACAGGCCTGGATCGAGTCGAGCCGATGGAGCGGTGACTCGGAAAATATGTACCAAGATCTTGCAGGGGATCAAGGTGGAGATGAATAGAATAAAGCTGTCTCAAGGGCGCTTGTCGCGGCCACGGGATTGCGAGCGTAATTCGTCCATAAAATGTGACAAAAAGCTTTCGTTTGCTGGCTGGGGTTCAGGGTTGGTGTTGGAACGAGTGGTTCTGTCCTGGTCGGGTTGAGTCGAGGTGGGCTTGTGTGATTGTGTTGTATGTGTCGGATCCGACTTTTGCAGCGGATTGTCTTCCTTCTTGTTGCGACCGAGTTGTGTCTGGATCTCGTCCCAGAGATGCGATCCAAAGCCCGGGCCTTGTCCTGGTCTTTCTTAGCATGTAGCGAATAGTATGGGCGTGGTATCAAAGGCGACGCACTTTCAAGGTTGGTTCCGCCTTCATCTCCTTGCAGAGGACCATTTCGTAGGCGATACCAGCTCTTGTGGGCTTTCCGGACGCCTTGATGGAAGGTGTGGCTTTCGAGTAGCTGAGTAGAGTAGCGTCAGTGTGGTGTCGTCGTTGAGTATGGTGATGCACATACTTTCTTGACCATCATTGCCTGCATTGCAGTTAGCGACGAGTGGCGATACACAAGGGTATACAACGGACGGACTTGCCTCGAGGACTGCTAACCATGGCTTCATCTTGGTGATGTCATCAAATACACAGCGAGCACTCGTTGAGAATAAGCAGAAGTGGTTGTATGGAGGATTGTCGTTAAAGGAAGAAGGTGCGATGGTGAATGACGAACGACTACGGAGGTATGCCGGAGTTTAAGAAAGACTTTCCAGGGAAAGAACAAGCGCGTGTTTCGTAGCATGCAGCTGCCCACTGCCGACTGTAGCAACACGAGCTGTCTTGGGAAGTTGCAAAACCGTGACTGCGACGTCCTTCTCTCCTCTTCAGCCTTAGGTAGACCTCGTTGTATCCAAACAGCTTCTCAACCTCCGACCAATGGAATCTCAAAATCGAACACTGTCTCGTCGGAAGGAAGAGCCGATCGAGGGGCAGTCGGACTTTGTCATGGCCATGTCATGTTTCGGCCGAACAGCCTCGAATCTCTCCTGCCACAAGACCTGAACAATCTCGTTACACTTTCACTCATACTAACGCCTACACTTTCACATCCAACCTCGCTTCTAGCTGCTTCCGTTCAGCTTGCACCCGCGAACACAACCATATACATCACGCCATCCCTAGCCACGTTGGCTCACCACACATCGCCCCGGCGCATTCGCCTACTCGACAAGCAACAAAAGTTTCTCGAACGACGATCCGCTGGAATCAGACGAGCCATGGCCAATCGCTCTGCCTCCCACCAGTCACTGTCTGATCTTCCTTCCGACCTGCCTCGATTCCTGCGACAAGATCGTCCGACCCTCGTCCACAGCTTCAATTACCTCGAGAATCTGCAGCGCCAACGCCTGACCGAGCAGTACGAGAATCCTGAAACAGAGTCGGAATGGGCGCGTTTGACAGGCGACCACATCGCATATCGCAACCGCTACGTTAATGTCGAGCCCTTTGCGAACAACCGCATCAAACTGAATGTCGCCGAGCATTTCAACGACTACATCAATGCTTCCCCTATCGCACTAGGCCCTCGCCGCTACATTGCTACACAGGGCCCCAAGAATACTTCGACTTCTCAGTTCTATCGTATGCTGGCTCAAGAGTCTACCAATGACTCTGCTACCGTCGTCGTCATGCTCACTCAGACCCATGAGGCCGGTCGCGAAAAGTGCTTCAAGTACTTTCCTGACAGCCAAGATACTCCTCTGGGACTCCTCCCGGACCCTGATCTTGACGATGGTAAGCCTGATGCATATCTTTCTTGCTTGAACTTTGCTAACTTCCGGTCCCAGGATTCGAGGGCACAGTTGAACTTATATCGTCCGAAGAAGACCCCACATGCCGCTGTACTGTCCGCCACTTGCGTCTGCGCTACAGACACTCATCAGCCCAACAAGAAGAAGATGGCCAGTGGCACGAAAAGGAAATCAAGCACTTGCTGTTTGTCGGCTGGCCAGACTTCTCGGTTCCCGAGGGCGAAAATCGCAATGCCATGCTCAACCTCATCAAAAAGTCTGCCACTTTGAACTCACCATCCGCCATATCCGCTGCCTCATCCTTCCCCCTGGACTCGTCCTCAGCATCACCTACGACAAACACACCAAGTCCGCGCATCGTTCACTGCTCCGCCGGTGTTGGTAGATCAGGCACTTTCATTGCCTTGGACTTCCTACTCGCCCACCTGGAACGTGGCAATCTCGACTCTGTCCCTGATGATGTTGATCCCATCCTTGACACCGTAAACGCCATGAGGAAGCAGCGCATGATGATGGTCCAGAGTGAAGCTCAGTTCCTCTTCCTCTACGATGTTATGCGCCTCGCCTGGTTAGAACATCATCGCTGCGAGGAAGCAGTATCTTGAACAGTCAAACCCTTGATTGTATATACATGAGCTTCCAGAGACTGCGATCATTTCGACTTGATTGGCGATATACCTGGGAAGCTTTCATCGCACTGCACCTCGACAACGCACTATTTACTGAGCTGCTCCTTCGAGACACACCTCTATGCATACGGGTTGGAGCAATGCAAGCAAGATCCAAGACACAGCTCAATCTCTCCCTGTCTTTTCGACGCCACGGGATCTGTAATTGCCAGTGGTCGGAAGTGGGCATGCCTCTAGCCCATTGAAGAGCACCCACAGGTACAGACTGTGATGCGCGAGACAGGATGTACCAGAGATGTTAGAAGACCGCATGGTCTAACATATAGACGCACAGATAGAATGCCAGTTCATAATACCCTGTTTCACGGGCGTATAGCTTCCCTAGATTCTTTCTTCACTGCTCAAATCGACAACATCAACGGCAGAGTCACATGATCCAACCAGCTTGACAAGTCGATACATCATGTTTCCCGTTCATGTCTAGATTTGAACACCGCCTCTCATGACGCCTCACTCCTCCTTGCCCTTTTACCCATTGCGATATGCTAAAACACAGCACCACCAATAATAAACACCCTCTCCTCCTCCCTCTTGACCCACCTCACCACCTCCTGCGCCGCCTTTGCCACCTTCTCTCTACTTACCCCAGCGCCAGCAACACCATAAAACTCGTATTCTTTCGTCTCCCAACCCAACGCCACCGCATCCTTAGCACACGCATAGTGAACTTTCAGATGCGCGGTTTTGTTGTGCATGGCTGTGTGTAAAGAAGAGTAGAGAGATACTAAGCGGCGATGGGGGACTAATGAGGAAAAGTGAGGAGATAGGGAGGGAGTGAAGAATTGGACGTTCGGGCGGGATTTGTAGATGAAGTGGAGGAGGGGGGAAGAAGGCAGGATTTGAGGGATTGAGGGGCGGCCGGCGAGGATGGAGGTGCGGAGGATGGACATGCTGCCGTTTTGGTTGAGTTGCTGTGACGAAGCGTTAGCATATCGTAATTCGGTTGCGTTGCTTTGCTGCAGTTTGGGTGTGTGTTGCGTGAGAGAGATAGAGAGGAAGTCGAAAAAAACTCACTTCGATCAAGTCATCCCTCATCTGGCGTAACTCGTAAAAAGCCTCTTTATCGGCACTGATGAGTATGATGGCCAATTGCTCATCATCCCTCGGCGAAATGCTGCTCGACGATTGCGGTCTCTCCTCCGACACTTTTGCAGTATCGGCTCCGATGTCCAAGAAACTGACGTACATGTACAGGAATCCAGTATTGTTGAAACCAGGCAAACACAATGGGATCCAATTTTCTCCGCCTCCGGCTTTGACGCTGCCGGCTTCGAAGAGCATGTTGAAGATTAATTGCAGGTCACCTGGATGCAAAGAGTGTTTTCTAGGTCGCACTACGCTGACGAGACGGCCGCCTGCTACCATGAGTCCGTAAAGCAGGTTTGGGGATTTGACTTTGAGGAGGGTGGAGTTGATGACTTGACGGTGGGATTTTCTGATCTTGAGGCATTCGAGTGCGGAGAGCAGGGTAGGTAGAGAACCCCTTGTGAATCCATCTGCTAACGCTCCAAGCAGGACTTCAGTGCCTTGTAGCGGTCGTCGCAGATCCGTAGAGGGCCGATTTGAAAACATGCGTTGCATACTCGGCAGCGTCAATGTCGACAAGACCTGCATATACAGAGATTCCAGCTGCGTCTTAAGCTGCAAGTCACTCTCGCCCAACCTACTGATAGCAGCTAGATTCAAATGTCCCTTTGAGAGGATCACAAATCTAGCGTTACCAGCAGTAAAACCTCGTAGATTGTCGTCAACGTCCTGATAGAACGAAATGAGCGTCTGCAAGATACCGATGTGATTCGCAATAACCTGATCATCACCATGTCGACTCCAGATCGGTTTCCCCGCCGAAGACAAGATGAAGAAATGTTTGAGTTTCGAGGTCCACGAGTTCATCAAAAACTCTTCGTTCGTACCGTTGGCTCTGAACTCCTCAAGCTCGTCGAATTCATGATGCATGCGTAAGCTGAAAATATCGTCTTCGTCAAAAACATGATCCATGGGGTTTTCCTTTTCCAGTTGCGCAGACAGTGATTTCCATGCTGGAGAAGTAGGAAAGGGGTCGCCGAGCAGACTTTCCATTTCTGCGCCTGTGGTTGTTCCTACGGTGTTTGTGAAACTGCGGATGCTGCTTGTTTCAGCTGCGTCGCTGCCTACACGACTGCGAAACCGATTGATCGTTGCCGAACTTTGTTTCCGAGATACTGGACGGCTGGGAAGAGCAAGAGGTGAGGAATCATGGTCTGCAAGGTTGTTTGATGTGTGGACATCAGTCAGTGATACCGCGGTTGTTGGTCGAGCTTGCAGGTTCGGTCGTGAGGCCATTCGTTTTGGCAATCTCAAGGATCCACCAGAGCCGCGTTCATCCAGTAGATCCAGATTTGTTGGCCGAGGAGGTAGTGGAGGTCTGATTTCTTGTGAGGTTTCCATCATGTCCTGTTCATGCTGTTTGTCTTTGGCGTTCGGGGATGTCGTCGAGGCATCGTTGGGACCAGCGTCTCCTGTTACAGCCACAGCCTCGGAGGACGTCTGGTTTGCCTCATAGGACATGTCAGTGCGCGTGTTGGATCTCTTTTGTGAAGTGTCGATGTTAATCGTGTATATCAAATGTCGCGCATCATGTCTCCATCATTCACGTGTGGACGGGAGTCGTGGCTGGAGCTTGTGGCTGTGCGGCTTCCTTGACAGGGTCACGGCGATTACGGCATACGAGAGGAATACTGCTCGTATAACACTAACGCATCTTGATCGGATTGTAATACAGTGCTCAAAGTTAAGAATTCTGAAGACTGCAGCGGAAACCGGACCAAAAATGTCAGACTCGGATCATACAACTTTTGTTAACAAGATGGTAGAATTTGTAGAAACAATCACAGCGAGTTGTCACGCAATACGACGCGAATCCGTGTGACGCTTGACAGCACTCTAGAAGAACTCGGAGAAGAAGATCAATAGTTCTACACTTTTGACATGCTGTACATACGATGAGAAAAGAACGCCGTCATCCTAAACATGAGCTCCGCGCATGGTATATGCATGTAAAACACTTTATTTCGTCGCCTTCTTCTTGTCCTTCTTCTCGGCCTTCTTTCTCGCCTTTTCCTCTGCTGTCTGGGGTACCTCAGCTCTGGTGCCTTCAGCCAGCTTCTCTGCAGCCTGTGCAGCCTTTTTCCTCTTCTTGTCCTTGGGTGTCTCATCCCCTGCCTCCTTCTCGTCACGCTTACGCTTGCTGCGAGCTTCCTTTGCAGACTTCTCGATTTGCTTGTTGTTGGTGTCGCTCTCGTCTTCGGATGATCCAATGAGACCGGGATCCTCATCACCGAAACCTGGGGGCTTGTATCGCATCTTCATGCCTTTGGGTTGAGGACGAGGAGCGCTGACGGCAGGAGTTCTGACGCTTGCAGCAGCATTTGAGCCAGTGTTGGGGTCGGTCTGATAAGCAGAGAGGTTGGGTAGGCGGATGGTTTGTTGCAGGTGCAGGGTCTTGGTGACAGGGACTTCGACGGCAGTATATGCGTCCGACTTTGACGAGGGTAACAGGACACGAGCGTTGTTGGTGGGCTCCTCTGCCAAGTTATAGTCGGTTCCGTCATGCGAAAGAATGGTTTGGTGAGACTGAATGGCGGAAAGTGACACGGACTTGATCGAGGATAGCGGGACTGATGAGGGAGCGGTGATGTGCCAGATTTGTTTCGAGGAGATTGTGGAAGGGTCGAATAGCGAGTTTACTGTCTTTGCGAGGGCGGACTTTGTGTTGAGTGCCTTGTAGCCTGGTGGAGGAGCAAAAGGCTGAGGAGGGACAATGGCTGTTGCTGTTGTCTCCGAGGCAGAAGCTTGACCAGCGGCTCTGGGAGCTGGAGCAGGCTTTTCAGCCTCAACCATCTCGACATCGCTGTCGCTCTCTTCACTGCTGTCGTCGGACTCGGAAACCTTCTCGGAGCTCTTAGACGCCTTGGTCGACTTTGATGTCTTCAATGCGGCACCATTGGTTGTTACAACAGCAGGAGCCTTCTTTTCAGCATCCTTCTGTGTCTTTGCCTGTGCGACAGCACGATCCAAATCGGCATCCGAGTCCGAGTCGTCGCTGCTGTCGTCGGGGACCGGGGGGCTGTTTGGTTCCGTCTCTTTGACCTTCTTTACTTTTGGCTTCTTGGTGTTTCTGCGCTTGTCGGCATCGCTCTCGCTTCCGCTGCTGTGACCACTGCTGCTGTCGCTGTTGGATTCGTCGCTGTCGCTGACAGTCTGAACTTCTTCGGAGTGCGGAGGAGCCTTGCGCGTCGTCTCGGACATTTTGGCTGCTCCCAGAGCAGCTGCACCCGTCAGGGCAACTCTCGTCTCTTTGACCTTGGGCATATTGAATAATGGTGTTTGTCGATGCTAACCCAGCATGCGAATCTGGGACGGGGTGTTGGTGTTGCTATCGAATGGGATATTGATATTGGCGGGTGTAGTGAGTCCGGTCACAGTATATGGACGTTGTGTACAATCGACCCTCGCGAGTCTGGGGTTGTCAATGGTATGCAAAAGAAAAAGACCATGTCGAGATAAATTTTGGCGGTTGATCAAAGCTTCGCTGCTGCCAAGCGTCCCTTCTCCGTTCTCTTCTCCGTCGCAAAATCCCCATTTGGCAAGAGCCATCGCCGTCTTTTACTTTTTTATATCATCAAATATAAACCATCTCTTTAAGAATATGCTGGCGAAGACGACTTGTTGAGACATCCTGAAGCATATCGAATTACGCTGTAAACCAATTTCCTGGATCTAAACCATCCAAGGCGATCGATCGGAAAAGAAACACCGGAAAGAGACAAGACTGGTTATGCAAAAAGGATTAACCATGCAGCAAAAAAGAAAAGCCCAAGAAGCTTTCTCTGCAAACACCACACAACGTATGTCATCGTCTTGTAATTCTCAGTAGACTCTCCCATGCTATCATGATACTGACACATCGTTCAGCTCGCCTGAGTGCCTTCGCTGCGGCCAAAGCAAAGGCAGCTGCAAGTCAGATCGCTTCTGATGAGTCCTCGGAAACGGGTATCACTACTCCCCCGATCGTTGCAGGAGGACCTCATACCAATGGCACCGACAACCCACAACTTTCCACATTGTTATCAAGCTTTCCTTTGACAAAGGCTCAAGAGCTTGATAGCCATGCATCTAGCGATGATGAGCAAGACGATTCTGACTTTGAGGGCAACTATTCTCGCGGCCACAACGGAACGACATCTTACAAGATCGATCAACCAGTCAAACTTTCCAACTTACCTCCGGATGCACAGTGTGTCATTGCAGACACTCCGGAGATGCTCACTTTGAAACTGGAAGCTGGAGAAACCGCTACTTTTGTTGGAGAATACGATCTACGCGTCAACTCTGGTTATGTCATGATTTACGGTGCTGTGCTCAGATCAGGGCCAACGAGACACCGCGTGTATGCACCAACTACACACGCTCTACCAGTTGTCACTGCAAAAGGCGGTCCTGTTGAAGTCGACATAATCTCAACTGCTCGCTCGTTGGGTATTCTGAGCAAGGTTTCTCCTCTCTGGACCAAACTTTGGTATGCCCAGACTCCCAAGGATGCACAAAATGCAGAACCCGAGTCAAGGTCATTTGCGCTGCTTCGAAACTCCTCTGACGATCCTCTGAAGCGAGCTGTCACCGCGCTCGAAGTCGAGCAGGACTGCCAAGTCACCCTGAATAGGGTGCTCAGCAAGCCAACAGCGACACATCCAAGCTCGGTAATCATGGTGTCCGGCCCCAAAGGCTCTGGCAAATCAACAATCTGCAAGTGGATAATCAACACATTCTTAACTGCATCAAAAGCGACAGCAGCCACGTCATGCTTTTGGTTGGACCTAGATCCAGGCCAACCCGAATACTCGGCGCCTGGTCTAATGTCTCTTGTGCAAATTCGATCGCCTGTTCTCGGACCCAACTATACACATCCGTCTGGTCACGTCAGTTCGGCTCACAGAACAATCCGATCACATACTGTCGCGGCCAACTCACCAAGAGAGGACGTCTTTCACTTCCTTGCTTGTGCGACGGATCTACGTGACGAGTATTTCCGTGCATTGGAGGACTTTGCTGGAGCACCATTGATCCTCAACTGCTCTGGTTGGGTACTTGGATCGGCCGTCTCGGCTATGATGGAACTGGTACAACAATTTCCCCTGACAGATGTGGTGCTTATGGAGCCTATGGAGAGAGACACTGTTGCATCCATCCAAGCCACGTTGCCAATGGCCAAAGTGTTGATGATCCCACCCCGATACAAGCCGGCTCAATCCCGTACAAGCGCCGAACTGCGGTCCATGCAAGCAATGTCCTACTTTCACTCATTGTCCCCAAGGAACGGGGTTTCACAATGGACAAGCGATCCACTCTCGCACATTCACCCTTGGCACGTCAAATACAACGGCCCTAACGCTGGTATCTCAAACATCATGTCGTACGGCGAAGCAGTCAGCCCAGAGTTCTTGGCAACAATCATCGACGGCATGATTCTAGCCATCTGTGAGATTGAATCTGACGAAGCATATGCAACTGTGCAATATAGACCTCCTCATGCACCCTCGGCGTCAGCGGTAGAGATGGGAGAGACCATGACGGAAAGGATCGGCAGAACACCAGAGGGTCTGCCCTACCTTCGTGCCGACAACAGTGGGTTGATCCAACCGCTCGACCCACGGTTTTCGTGCTGCAAGGGATTGGCTGTTGTCCGTGGCATCAACGTAGCAAAACAGGAGTTGCAACTTCTTACACCCATGACGGTCAAGCAGATCAAAGCTCTGCAAGGGTCCAAGACTGTGTTGGTCAGGGGTAAATTTGATTCGCCTGGATGGTTGTTCTTGGAAGATACGTATAGTGGAGATCCGCAGAAGGTCAAGAGGCAAGAAGCGTTCAGCCTGATGAAGAACAAGACTACCAAGCCATATGTTGCGCAAAGAGATGCGAATGAAACGGGATTGGGGCTGGGAGAGAAGGAGTGGAGGGTCAGGCATTTGCCGAGGAACTTTGGAGGCAGAAACGCTGTATGAGGTGCACGCTCGCGGCTGTATGAGGTGTCAAAGTAGAAAAAACTGAAGCCTCATTTGTACATATATGTTTATCGGAAATCCGCCTCTGTGTGAATGTTTGGGGAGCCGCTCCTAACGGCTTATATAAAGTGATTGACCGGGATCTCTTTTTACAAGAGCATCACGGAATTTCGAGACACCGCACGCGTTCTCTCTCTCTCGCTCTCTCGCTCTCTCTCTTCAGCGTGCACTCAAAATGCAGCAACCCCGAACTCAATGCTTCTTCCCAGCACGCATACCCAGCACATCATTCCTTCTCCAAAACCCCCAATCCTACTTGGTGACCTCGTTGGGAGTAACAGCGAATGTCGGGCGAACAAAACTGCATTTGCACCATTAGCATCACTTTCCCTTCAATCATGTATTGCATTTTCTACAGCTTTTTGGAGGGGAGTCTCTTACCGATCACTGTGGTAAACCTTGGTCTCTGCACCCAACAATTCTCTCTCACGAGCCTTGTCGGCAAAGTGACGGCGGACCTGATCGCGGTCTTCTTCTGCTTGCAGCATGGGGATCAAGTGGATGCGCGACCACATCTTTTCGCGGGCGAGTTCGCTGTGATGGGTGTTAGAATTGTGGGAGTTGTGTCTTCTCTTTGCTGTCGATGCTGCAGAGGTATGCAGTGGTGGAGAGGTGTAGAGGTGTGTAGAGGTGTAGAGGTATGCAGAAGGTGTAGAGGTGTGTAGAAGTGTGTAGGCAAAGCATACTTTTGTTCGCGGATACCCTGGCCCACGCGCCAGAAACCGTAGGTGCAGATGGCGCCGACCATGAGCAGGTAGGTGGCGGGACGGAAACCGCGGGCGGGCAGGTTGCGCTTGTATTGGACGGGCTCGTAGCCGCCGGTGGGCGGCATATCTTGAGGCATGATGGTCGAGTTGTTTGTGGATATGCGGGCTGTGGAGAGATGTTGTCTAGTCGGTCGAGGCGCGGTGGAACGGGCAATTGGTGGTGGAAAGAGCGGTATGGGACTGCCTTTGGCTATATGGCTTGCTGACCTTTGAGAGGTCGCATTGAAGGTCTTGGCACAATGGCTCGAGCTGTTCGCTGCTGCTTCCGCTGCCCGCCAACTTTTTCCCCCGCCGCCAAAGGACATGGTCAAGCAATTGCTGTTTCCTCATTGCGACTGACTGACGCTGGAACACACAACAATGGAATCAGACGAACGACCAGCAAAGATCCGCAAACTCAGCAGCCATCATGAGCGCGATACGCTGCCTGCTCAGTCGCCCACTGCTGTCGGCGACAAGGACACGGATGCCCTCATGCAAGACGCTGCTGCTGGTACCGCATCAACACAACCACCCGCCACCGACTCCCTAGCTGATGCCTCCGAGTCCACTGCCTCCGCACCACCAAACCCTTCCTCCGCTGGCACAACAACCGCAACCTCCCACGCAACCAATGCCACCATCGCACTCAACGACCTTCCCTCACAACCACCCACAACAGCATCCACCACAACCTCCACTGAGGATGCTACCGCAGCCCCACCCCTCTCCAAATCCATGCAAAAGAAACTCCGCAAACAAGCCGAATGGGACGCCAAAAAAGAAGACCGCAAAATCTGGCGCAAAGAAAAGAATATCGCAAAAAAGGAGCGCAAACGCGAAGAAAAACGCTTGAACCCAGAAGCTTGGAAGGAAAAGCAAAAACAATGGGTCAAACCCACCATGCTTCCTATAACGTTGCTCATCGATTGCGATTTTGACAATCTCATGAGGGATGGTGAACGTATTTCTTTGGGAGGGCAGCTTACGAGGTGTTATTCGGACAACAAGAACGCGCCGTTTAGAGCACATTTGGCAGTGTGCAGTTTCAATGGGAAGTTGAGGGAGAGGTTTGATGGTGTGTTGAACAAGAGTTATCAGAATTGGAAGGGAGTGAGGTTTCTAGATGAGGATTTTGTGGTTGCCAGTGAGAAGGCGAAGGAGTGGATGGCTGATGATAAGAAGGGTGGCAGACTGGCTGGTGTTTTCGAGAAATACGTCCCTGCTGCTGCTGCTGCTGCTGCTGCTGCTGCTGTCGTTGGAGAGGAGCAGAAACGAGATACCACCAACGCCAACGAAACAAAGATCGAGGATGATGAACAACAAGCCGAGGACGCCAACCCCGACGATGCCTCCAAGCCCGACACCACAACCTCAAACTCGAACCCCAAACACCCAGTCTACACAAAACCCTCCTCTCTACCTCCTGCGGATTTCGAAAAGCTAAAAGCCCAAGCCGAAACAATCTACCTCTCCGCCGACTCCGACTACACCCTCACCGAACTCCGCCCCTTCTCCACCTACATAATCGGCGGCCTCGTCGACAAGAACCGCGAAAAGGGCATTTGCGCCGCTCGCGCCGCAGCCGCTGGCATCAAGACTGCTAGATTGCCGATTGGAGATTACTTGGCTATGGCTAGCAGGAAGGTGTTGACGACTAATCATGTGCATGAGATTATGCTTAGGTGGTTGGAATGTGGAGATTGGGGTGAGGCGTTTATGAAGGTTATACCCAAGAGGAAGGGTGGGCAACTCAAGGGGTATGGTGGTGAGGGTGAGGATGGAGATGAGGGTGATGCAGACGAGGAGAATAATGATCACGTCGAGGAGGGAGAGGAGAGAGACGAAGCGGAAGAGGAAGCGGAAGCGGAAGAGGAAAATGAGGACGACGCCGTGCAAGAGCAAAATGCCGGAGCTACAAAGACCGAGTAGGAAAAACTCGAAATCTGCAGACTTGTCATTGTGCATAGATGGGAGCAAAAAGGTTTCCCTTACAAAGATGAAGCAACTCTGGTATAATGTGAGATTGCGAGAGCAGAGAAGGGAAGAAGAAGAGAAACAAGTATCCAACGCTATGCATGAAAACAACAATGACAGTTATCCATCCCATCTCCTGTATCCTGCACGACCGCGGAAAAGTGTAAGAATGCTAGATCACATCACCACGCACTCCTGCTCCTGCTTATGCTTAGGCACCCCCATTTCCTCAAAAGTCTTTGGTCCAGCTTTCGCAGGCTTGGCAGAAGGAGTGGCGGGTTTAGGCGTACTCGCCGCAGATGAAGGAGTCGCAGCAGCCGAAGGCGTTCCTGCCACACTACCGCTGCTATCCGCAGAAAGTCCAGGAGCAGGTCTACTCGGCGTCGCAGAATCAACTCTCGGCGGGGGCCGTCCAAGATTGGGATTACTGTTCGAGGTCTGCGGTCTCGCTGAGTGCCTGCCTGACACGGGGTTCTGTGGTGACGAGTAGACTACACTGGGAGGTGGTCGTGTGTCAGGGGGAGCAGTGTATCCGATATCCAAGCGAGAGTTTACAGGCGGCAGTTGAGAAGTTGCGCTCACGCGAGGCGAACTTCCTGGTGGTGGGCGAGGACCGCTGACGGGTCCTGAGGCTACGCGTTGGCCTGATGGTCGTGTGCTGGCAGGCATAGGGCGCATGCCTTGGGGTGCTGAGGCGGCGGAGTCGGGACGAGGCAGAGCGGATTGGGCGCGTTGGCGATTGCCCATTGGTGTGGTGGTTGCAGGGCGGGTGTCTAGGAATCCGCCCATGGGTCCGGGTGTGGGTGTTGGTCGTGGAGTCACGTCGTCTAGAGGGTAAGGCGCCGTAGAAGATGATCTCGGAGGAGCCACGCTTGGAGGTCGATCGTCGAGAGGATACGGTGCTGGCGTGCTGGAAGGAGGAGGACCAAGAGACGATAGACGTCTAGGGTGAGGAGAAACAGAGCCTTCAGAGATGGCTTCGATACGAGGGACCTGGGCTGAAGATCTCGTGGGACGCTGGCCACGCATGGAACCGTGTGTCGACTTGATGCGGTTCAAGGTGACATTTTCGTGGTCCTTCTTGGACAGAATGTGTCGGTGAGCGATACTATCGATTCGACCTTGAGCATCCTTGTTTCCGTTCGAAGCAGCCTTGTTGTACCATTGTAAAGCCAGATCGACATTCTTTGGCGCATGGATGCCCAGCTCGTTGAAGTAACCCATGGCGAATTCAGCGGTTGACAGACCAGCGTGGGCAGCTCTGTTTGCATAGATATACGACAGCTCCTCGTGCTTGGGGAACAGACCTTCATGACCGACAAGGAACCACTTGCTGATAGCCATGTCGGCTTCAGGCTCGCCCTGCTTCGCAGCCAGACGATTGTAATGAAGGGAAAGAGCGGGGTCGAATTCACAGCCAAGAGAAGCCAGTTCGTAAGAAGATGCCATCTTGAGCTGAGCCTTTGAGAATCTGCAGAAAGCCGAGTTCTCAATGTATCGTCTGGCCTCTTGCTCGTCGTACGGCATAACACCTTCGGGAAGCTTGATCTGGGGTAGTTGGCGGGCAAGCAGCATACCATAGACATAGGCTCCCTGTGGTGCATTCTCATCTATCGAGTCGGCGGATCGTCTGATCAGGTCGAGGCCAGTAGCAAAATCCTTAGGTTGGCCATATTGTCCTCGTAGAGTAATCATACCCAGACGGTACAGAGATGCGCTGTCTTGAGCACCGACACCGCGTCTATAATTGTCCAAAGCTCTTTCTTCATCGTTGGCATTCTCGTACAACATGCCGAGGCGGTAACAAGCGCGGGCGTAACCTCGATCGGCGGCTCTGGCATAACAACGGAAGGCTTCGCGCTTGTCGTGAGGACAGCCAAAGCGACCAAACTCGTTCCACATGCCGCGCATGAACTCTGCTTTGGGATGATGTTGGTCGGCAAGGAAGGTGACGATGTTAATGGCATCAACCATGATTTGGTGTTCGACTTGTGGTTGTTGTGGGCGTGGGGGTTGCGTCTGTTGTAGTCGCTCCTCGTTCTCCAAGCATATCGTGACGTATTGCAGAGCATCCTGAGCCCAAGCCAGCTGCATATCCGGGTCGTTGGAGTTCAAGACTGTGACCCTTGCAGCTTCCAGAACAGCCTCGAACTCGCCATCAGTCTGTGGGATATGGCGACCACGGTAGGGGACCTGAGGGAAGGCGGCAGCTTCGTGTTGTGCCGTGTCGGATAGCTGCATGTTTGCGATTCCTTCTTGGATCTGGTCGCTCATCTCGGGCATGTGTCTGTGTCTGGTTATCAGGAGGGAGTCCTACAGGGCATGCAGGAGGCAGGGTGTCATACCGTTGAGGGGCAGGTGCGACGACTGAGACCGGACTGTTGGGCATGTAGTAGTCGTCCATACCGCCTGGCACGAAGGTCGCACTCGCGAACTGCGAGTGGTACGCCATTTGAGAAGGAGACTCGTGGTGCGAGTATTGTTGTGAATGAGAGTGGTTGTAGTAGGGATCCTGGTGTTGATCTGTGTGCATGTCACAAGTCTCAGCCTCGATCCAACTGTCTCTGCGATGGCGCTACCAGCAATGAAGATGGATGGGTAGGCATGATGAAGGAGAAACAGGCAGAAAATAGTCAGGCAAACAAACGAGTTTCGTACCATACAAAGTCCCCCGCTGTCGACTTCCCAAAAGCATCTCGATTCCCCGCCAACTGCTCTCAAACGGCCAATTTCCTGCTTTTCTTTGTTGAACAATTCAACAACTCGTCTTGCTGACTGAACAATGACTGTAATACCTCTCGACTCTCTGCTCTCTTGACCTCTTGTCTCCTTATCGCTTCTCTGAATACCTCAAGCCGTATATCCGCCCGACGCGTGTCTCAAATTACAACCTCCCATCTCCTGCCGAACCTTCTATAACTATTCAGGGGCAATTGCGAACCCTTGGCGTCATCGCCACAAGACTCAGCCTTGTCTGCTTTCTTCTTTGTCCCATTTGGCGCACAAAGACACAACACAGGCCTGACTTCGGGTTTTTCCAAGCCGCCTGAATCTGCTGTGCCTTTCTCAAACACTAGTTCCAATCCATGACAGCATCGACACTGCCATGTTGGATTGTTCCGAGCAAAAGTACCAAGACCACGAGCTGACATTGACATAGTCGATGATCTCGTCCTTGGCTAGTCCATCTTCTTGGCCCGAAGGTGCGTGTTGCAATACGGTCAACCATTCCTCTGGAAGCGGAAATAAGACCTCGTTTCGCTCTTGGCCGAGGTTGGTCAGAATCACTTCTTTATCGTGCAGATGGATTCCAGCCGTCGGTCTTGAAGCCCTTTTCCAACTCACCAGGCACCGGTTGCCATGCGAGATCATCGCCCTGTGCTGACTGAAGTCACTGCCAGCTCTTACGCATAATGGCGAAATTCAGCTGAGACAATATTGATCCTCAGGTAGGTCTTGTAGTTTATGTCACCACGTATCCAACCACTCGAGACAAGACGAAACACCGTCTTGGTTATCTATCTGTCTCTCCTTCTCTTGATCCTCCTAGTGGTGATATATACAGCCTATATCAAGAGTTCATGCCCATTCATAAATTTTCTGTGATCAAACAGGAACACTTCCAAGCAAAATCAGGCCATGGCTAGCTTCTTCGAGGACATTACACAAAGCTTCAAGGCTCTCGCTCTCGGAGACTCGACTCCCCAGAGCACTGATGTCCAAACCACCACTACCAATCCCAACTTCCCGAACTGGTCAACACGCACTTATGCCTTGCGTGGCCGGGACTTCAACTTCTTCCCAGACACCGACAACCAAAGACGACCAAACTACGTTCCACCTTCTACTAGTGGCCGCGTTCCTCGTTTCTACCCTACCGGTACTTCGGAACAACTTTACACGGTCGGAGAATACAAACGGCTCGAAACAATTGGTTCTCTGAAGAAACAGACTACTGTGGGCAGATGGCAGGCCATCTGCGATAACGATTCGTGCCTGCAAGACTGTGCCGAAGGATTCTGGGAGAAGGCCTGCCAGGTCAATGTCGATACCAAACATGTCACTTGCTCGACCCAGTTCATGGAACGTTGCAACAAGTGCGGTCGAAACTTCCATCAGCGTGTACCTGGAATTTGAGTCTGATGCCCGAAAGGTGAGTACGGTCAGTCATGGAGTCGATAGCATTCAGGATTTAATAGTTACCTTGACAGGTTACCCGGCAGGGACACCGTACTCAATCTCGCTATTTCCAGCTCCGTGCAGTTCATCAAGGCTGACTTTTGAACAACCCACGTTGGCTTTTTGCTGACCACGTCGATGTCGTCTTTGCGATGGCTAGGTGGACAATTTCTTTGTTCAAGCACCTCTCTTCGATCAATGCCATTGTTCTCCTACGAATCTCCTTTGTTCTTGTTTGTTTCCCACTCACCTGTCCTTTGATCTTTGCCGGGTCCTTTCACCATACTTTAAGCGAGCATTGTTCTCTTGTCTACTTCCTCTTAACAAATGCAATACTTAACCCCAGTTCCCTCCATTGTGCTTTACTCTGCCCTTTTGCTTGTCGCTCCCAGATCAACAACACGTCTGGAGCTGAGGAAACAACATAAAACATAATCAACTAACACGGCAGGACCTTTCTTCTTCATCCTCATACCAATCGACATGTGGATTCATATCAATTGTTACTGCCGTATTTGCGCTGGCCGCAACGTTCCTTCAAGCTCGTCTGTCAGTCCCCTTTCTGTTTCTTTCCACCACCGTACTGCTCTTGACACTCCACCCAGTCCTCTTTCGCCGGCTCTGTCTTTTACGGATAGCTTCTATCTTCCTAGCCCTGTCTCGCCTGTTGTTAGCTTCGCTGATGAGCCTTTGAGCCCTGTTTCTCCTATCGCTCTCGAGCCTCTCAGTCCATTCAATGAGTCGAGTACTGCTCCTCCTTCACCTGCGCTCTCCATTGCTGAGTTGACACCTGAGAATTTCCCTTCTCCGGTTTCTCCAATCAACACTGAATATGTTTGGGATCTTTGTATCATTCCCTCCGTTTCTGCCAAGTCCTCCATCTTTGCAGCTCAGTGGCGTGACGAGACTTCGCTTCCCTTCAACGCTCCCGCTACTCAGGTCAACGATCAAGAAGTCAGTCCCACCACTCTCCCCAACGGCAAAAAGGCACCTCCACCACTTCCTCCAAGACCTATTCCCCGTCGCCCCAAAAGATCTCCATTGCTCACCTCCAAGTTCTCCTGGGGCAGCACACCCACAGCATCGCCTTCTCTGCAATCTCCCCTGTCTTTTCGTTTCACTGGACCCATCTATACTTTTGTTGTCGCCGAAGAAGTGAGAAGTCAAGCTGGATCTGTCTCTCTTACTTCTTCACACAGCGATATTATTTCTGCTCACACCGTCAAGTCTGAAGAAGCACCACCGAAATTCGGGAATAAACCTTGGTGGGAAAACATTGCTCCTGTTTCTGTTCTTCCTTCGCCTACACTCAGTGCTCACTCCTTCAGCGGATTCTCCGAAGCTTTTGTTTCGCCCACGACCTCTGCATTCGACTCCCCTTGCTCTTCTTCACCCACTTACCCACCATTTACTTTTTTAGGATCGAGGGATGTTCGCAATATCTACTGGACTTTTGCGACTCCGAGTACTGCTGCTGAATATTTCTCCATCTTTGGCAGTTTGCCCTCTGAAGATGCTTACGCTTGGATACGTTACCCGGTGCCTGGTCCTCATGGCTTGTGTGACTATGATGATGAGGAAGATAATACCGACGATGACGAATCTGCTCATTATGATTGGGATGCCGCCCTTCATGTGAGGAATCCCACTGCTGGTGATGTGTTTGATCCGTTTGCTGAGGTTGACGAGTTGTTGGCTTTTTATTGCGATGATTATGAGGATACTTCTCTCATCTCTTTTGAGTCCCTTTCTGATGATACTTCTTACCTTTCTTTTGACGCTGATGAGTACTCTGGTATCACGGCAGATGCTGGTATCGCTGATACCGCTGAGATGCAGAGAGCGAGATATGTTGAGAGCTTCCTTGTTGGGTCGGTTGTTAGTGCTGTCAAGGAGGTTTGTGTTGAGGATGTGAGAGTTGGATCACTGGATGCAATTCTCGCTGGCATTTTCTAAAACATTGATAAGTTCAAGTTTGTATGGAAGAGTGCAAGCGGCTGGTCTTGCTGTACTCTTCCCTCGTCAATACCGACGCGAATGGTCTCCTTTGTCTGGTGAGGTTTCTTTTGATTTCCTTCTTCAATATACAAACGACTCGGATTCTGATATCCTTCCTTCGGTAAGTCTTTCCTTCTCTTCTTTTTTCCTTCTTATGGGTATTTCAAGAAGTCAAATTTTGATACGTTCACTTTGACTCGGACCTCTTTTGCTCCTGATGAATTAGTCCCTGTGATATCCTATCTGTCGTAGTTTGATGTTAGATGTCAACTTCGTCTTTTGTAGTGCTTATAGGCGAGTCTCGCACAAGCAGTAAGATCTTTCATATAGAATCAGAGTGTTCCTGACGCCTCGGGCTCTTCGAGGACGCTTGTAGTGAGACGAAAAGATAGTAAGAGTCCGGGATTGCTGCTTGTACGAGGCTGGCATGGTACAGGTGATTGACATCCGGGTTGAGAACCCGAGAACTGTTGAAGAGAGGTGTACTGATAAGATCTTGTAGCCGTAATGTCGAAGAGAAGGGATAAGAGAGAGAGTAAGATAGCGCAGACATGATGAGACTTTTCATATCATCCAGAGCAGGAGATAGTATCAAAATAGTGCGGCAGATACTCGAGATCAGAGCAGCGGCCAGTGAGAGTCCCTGCAAACGCCGCTCTCAGTTCAAGACACTCTCTACTCTTCTGATTCCTGCAGCTTCACAGCCTAGTAGAGATACAGCAGCAGAAGCGGAGATGGTGGTGGACTTGTCATTTCGTTCAAGGGCCTAATACGTTCTCAGCAGATGCTCTAAGTGGTGTAGGTGCAAGAAGTGCCATCTTCTGCTCGTACCTCTTGGTCCTTCTCTCTTTCTTCATACTCGAGATTGACAAACCATTGTGTTGAGGTGACTTGTTGCTTGAAGATCGTAGATAGAATGACAGGTGATGGAAGATCTTCATCAAAATGCCAGATAGTGAAAGATCTTGATGTTCCGCAAAGGAACACGATGCGAGACTTTGTTTCTCGAATTGACTTTAGTTCACTGTTGTCGAAAGTTTGATATTAAACCAGACGGCTTTCTGCGACTGTTTTCACTCACAACGCCCAAGAAACAAACATCCGCCACACAAGTCAAAGTCCTCACACCCGTCAATACATCCACTCATCCATCACATACAGAAGCTCTTCAACACCTGCAGTGTCACTCTGTCGACCAATCATTCCACCATGACCAGCAGAAAGATTCGGGAGGCTACCAGGCATCTCGCCGCCCTCGCTGACGAATTCGAGGTCTCGAACCCCGAAGAATATCAGAACCAAATCATCGAAACAGTGCGCGGTCCTCTTGAGGAGGCCATCAAGGTGTTGCAGAAGCCCGGCGACGCCGACTTGTACTACATGGTCAATCTCCGCCACCACAACTCAGCCGACATTATGGACGTTGACAAGGACGTCATTGATGCCGACGACGATATGGCCACCGACGACCTGGACAACGTCGCTTCTGACGACGCATTGGGTCCCGAAGATCTTGTCTACGATGCCGAGACCGACGCAAGGGGTGATGGAGATATTCTCGTCGACGGTGAACTTCTCTATGTTCACGAGTATCTAGGCGAGAAGTGGACCCAGATGATCGTAAGTTTACAGGAGACAGTGCATCCGGGTCAGGTTTGTGCTGACTGGCGAATTTGTAGATGGATACGGAGGCAATTTCACCCTTGACCTTGACCGAAGAAGGCGTGATGGTCAAGCTCCCAGGAATGTCTACGGAGCCATACCAGCATCAGCTGCAGAGTGCACCCAAGCTGTGTCACATGTGTGACGGTCCTTTCAGGGGAGCCCTTCTTGCTGACGCAAAGGGACTCGGTAAGCGTTTGACAGTTGCCATGACTGTCATGCTTTCGGGAAAGACCCGTAATCGCTACCATGGCGCACCCGCTCTGATCATCACGAGAGTCTCACGTATGGACCAATGGGTCACAGAGTTGGACAGCCATTGGAAGAAGGTAGGTCATGGTGCAGAGTCACACTGGATGCTGTCATCTCATTGCTAACCTTTTGGCTATCCAGGACCATCGACCCAGGTGCTTGAAGCTGCGTGATCAAAGCGTTACTGCTTCGACCGTCCTCGTTGGCGGTTACGACTTCGTGATCGTCAGTTACGAGTATGTGGCTGCTCAATACAAGAGGCTGCTCGAGTACAAAGAGTATCATGCGCTCGTCAAGAGCAAGGCCATCACCATCGCCAATGCCACCCGGCCCGACAAGAAGATGCCCGCGCGTCCAGTGCTTTCCTTGTTCTCCGAGATCTACAAGGACACTGGCAGACCTTTCCCTTTCCTGATCCTCGACGAGGTCGAGTATGTCAAGAAGCAGCATTCGAAGGCACACATTGCCATCAAGCAACTTCCATACATGGCTGCCATCTGCATGTTGGACACCATTCTCCCTAATCAATGGACTGACATCTACGGTGTCATTGATTTCCTCAAATGACACCCTTTCGTCGCTGAGGAAGAGTTTGTTCGAGTGTTCCTTACTCAGTACGGCAACCGCGTCAAGGACCCTCCGCCGACACTCCGCAACAGGCTCATCAAATTCTTGATGGTGATGACAGTGGGCCATCCAGCATCTATCCTGAAGCTACCCGACGATTTAGAGAACACCACTAACGTCGACCTTACTGCCTCAGAGAAGGAATTTACGGATGCTCTTGTGCGTGAGGGTCCTCCGGTTATCCCTTACATTTACCCGATCAGAGTACCTTGCGGCACAATCAGGGAGAGTGACACTGTTCAGGTCGAGTGAAAAGACAGGTTTATTGCTCATTGCGATAAAGAAGAGGTGTGATTTAGGGAAGAGGCGTAATTCAGGTAGAGGGAGTGGCTCTGCTCGGGTCGCAAGAGGACGCCGTCACAGTTGTTGTCGAAGGAGAGACGAGATATCTGCACATTAGACACCACGAAGAAAAAGCCCAAGCAGTCGTGTACAAAGTTTTACGAGTGCCTTGGCCGTTTGTACATCAAATTTCTCAGAGCTCGAGCGACTTGTGGTTGGCTCCCGTCGATCGCATGGACTCGATGACAAAAATCATGACTTTGAATGTTTAGTATGGAAAGGTCTCGCAATTTTATAACTATTTGTGCCCGGAAATGTTCATGTATGGTAAAAGCTCGATGATGTGGATCTACGAAGAGAGATATCGTGCATGAATCGATGTTTTCCTACTGTACTGTCAGGGTGACTCTGCACTACCATAACCGTTGGTCTTCGCATGGTGTATCTACGCAATTGCCCTCATAGGAAGAGTCTTCCTGCTCGCCTCAATCGTCTTCTTCATCGTCCAGTTCCTTAAGGCCCACACTCATCTCCTCAAGTTGAGCAACAATCTTCTCCAAGCGCTCAGAAATGTCCTTGTCGCGAAGCATGATCTGGGCAACATTGTATCTGTGGTATGATGTTGCGGCCAGAATAGCCGAGTCCAGGTCAGGCTTGGCCTTGAAACGCTCCCAGATACTGTCGATATCGTGAGGCACAGCACCACTACCCTGTGATTTGCTGAGAGCCTGAGTATGCAGATCCATTCTCTTTAGCAGGCTCTTCATGGTGTGAGTCAGAGCGTCGACGTAGGTGATGAAGTCTCTGTTCTTGACTTCACGAGGCTCCTTGTCAGGACTGCCGACTGCGAGTCGAGCGAGCCTATGAGCCTCCTTGGCCCAAAGGACGCAAGACTCCTCATCTGGATGCTGGATGGTTGAATGGAGAATGTCCACAAAACAGACAAGGAAGAAACGCACAAGGCGGTGCTCGATGGTGAGATCGGCCGCGCGAAGGGCGTTACCGAGGCTGGTCATATCCTGAACGGTGATGTTGAGTTCCAGGAGAGCGGGCCACATTGCCTGTTTCAATTAGCACTGGATAGTGTGACTCTCTTGTAGTGATAGTACTTACTTCAATCTCCTCCTTTGCTTGTCTGGCATGCTCCTGACTGAACGCCTTGGTGATGGCCAGGATGGTGCACAGTGCTGCATTCTGAACTGGAGGCGCATATCTGGCGTCACCGTTGTCCACGGCAAGGAGCAGATCAAGGATCTGCTGAAGAGGTCCGACTTTTTCACCATTCCGACTGGTGTTGTCATACAGGACAGCCAGCGAGGCAAGGTCGTTGGCAAGATTCATGGGAGCGGGGACCTCGATGTCCTGCGGCGAAGACTTCTTTTTCTTGGTGGTAGTCTCAGGGCCGGTGTTGAGGATACGATCGACATGTTGCTGGGCAAGTTTGGGCCATCCGGTACGACGATTCTCTACGACACCCTGGTTGTCATCTCTGAATTGTTTGAAGAAGAAGACGCTCTCCTTCTTGATCTTGTAGGTGTCGCAAAGGCCGTCAGCGTCTGGGTTGACCAGAACGAAGAACTGTCTCTGGCCACTTCCAGCCTTCAACTCAAGAACAACACGAAGAGCTTCAGGGTCACTCTCAAGAACGGTTGGTGTGTTGATGTTGCTGACACTCAGACCAGTCTTCTTGGGAGCCACGGATGCGCCTGGTGTAGGAGGCTCGGTTTCTTCGTCGTCTTCGTTGGCCGCGGTAGTCTTTCTTGACTGTTTGGCCTGGTATCTTTCGGCGTCTTCGGGGCGCATACCGACCCACAGGACGACATTGGCAAAGTTGTCAGGGATGTCAAGCTCTGCTACGGTTGGAGCCAGATCGGGCACTCCAATCTCGGTACCTTTGGTAGTCTCTGTTTCGAGACTGTTGCGTCCGATGTTGCGGACTTTTAGAAGGCGATCGGTGTATGTGTCTTGGTCTAGCCCATGTTTGTAGGCCACGAGCGCGAAGTTGTAGGCAGCTTCGTCGGCAGAGGGCTTCGCGTTACGGTCAGCCATGTTGATGAACCGTGCGACGATGATGATAAGTTGATCGAGGGACAAAACCAGTATGTACGGAGTTGGACGGGAACGAAAATCGATGGGTTGTTTGTGAGTGAAAGTCGAACACCAAATCTCCGTCTATGCCAAACGTTTGTTCGGCAAACACAGTCTCTTCCGCATCAACGACTCGACTTTTGCTTCACTTCCAAACAACCTGCGAAACTCACCAGACTGTGCGACAGCAACAAACATCTCTGCCGCCCTCAATACCACAGCACACAGAGTGACCCTGCTCTCATCATCCTGTTTACAACGTGGCGCGGTGACACCATTTCAACGCATTCTCAACAAACCTCGGAGTCACTCTCCTCATCGCAATGCCTCCTAGATCTTCCAGAAGAAGCCGCCGGCAGAGAGTGGAAGAGCCTCAAGGACGCGACTCCCAGCTGAACCGGATCAAGAGAGTTACAGAATCTCTGATCAACAACGAAGCACGTCTGAAGGCTGCTATATCCAATGAGGACACCGAAGACGCCATCGTTGCACAGTCCGAGGTCGTCGACAGAGACAGAGTGAGACTGTTTGCTACCATTGAGGAGTTGGCACAAAGGCCTGAGCAATCACCTCCTCCACCACAGCTCGTTTTCGACAGCAACCAGAGGGCTCTCACTCGCGAGATTTTGGAGCTGGTCGAGCAAGCACAGAACGGTGGACCCGACTCAAAGGATCGCATCGTCACCAGCTTGAGAACACTTAGCTCCAGCATCGAATCACAGGATCCAACCCCTGTGCTGGACGTGCCTGTATACAAGGCGCAAGATTACACCCAGATGTGGCGTAGGTCGAACGAAGTCCTGGCATGTATTTTCAAAGGCTAACAGCATCACAGAAAGAGACGTTCTGCCAAGAGGTGACATCGTGAGAGTTGAGGCTCGCCTCCCCGAACAGCCAGAAGGATTCTGGGAGCTTCCGAACGCTCGATCATTTGTTCTGCCCAGTGAAAGAGATGCCCGCAAGGACGAGCTTGCAACATTTGATCAGCAAAGAGATGAAATGGCTAGACAGAGGGCTGAGATAGCCAGACAAAGGGTCGAGTTGGCCAGACAGGAAGCAGAGCTCAACGAGAGAGAAGCTGCAGTTCTTGCAAGAGAGCAAGCTGCAGTTCTTGCAAGAGAGCAAGCTGCACAGGCTGAACACGGTGACGGCAGTGTCGCCGGCGAGCCAGGTAAACGCCCTTCATCAATGGAGCTGCTCAGGACTCCCAAGAAGCCTCGCACTGATGCCGGCCATTTGAGCAGCTCAGAGGAACAGGAGGGAGTTGCCGAGCGACCAGCTTTTACGAGTGAGGATCAGAGAGTGACTCTGCTGCCACCACTGAAAGCGGATATCAAGATGGAGGACATCGAGGACGTCAAATACAATCCAGCAGACCTTGAAGATAGCTAGGTCTGTGCAAAAAATATTCTCTCTGCACCAATCTTGCTTTCGTCATCGTCCGGCTTCGTTCCTGCGTCTCTGCAACCCTTCGACACCGCGGTGGCAGACGCGGAGAGAGCGGGAGGGAGCAAATGGAAGGCGAAAACACCCAGTCTGTAGGCAATACATGAACCGAGGATAGACTTCTGTTGAGATCCATGAAGTAACTAACGAGTGACCATGCTCGTACAAAATGCAGTTGGCAGTTGCGGTAAACGGCGAACGGGACATGGACGCTCCGGCGAGGAACGGGTGGAGGTTGCCATCTGAGCGCGGGCGCCCAGAAGGCTTCAGCCCTTCCAAACTTTGGGGCCAACCCACGTTTTCTCTCATCTTTACCATCAAGGTTCCAGTAAACCGATCATTGACGATCTCTCACCGAAAAGCGAGCGGCAAAGCGTGTCTTCGTTGCAACAGAATAAGACGATGTCCGTCCTACTGGCGTTTGCGCGCAAAGGCGACAATCGCTGTTGTCTTTAGCGCTTTCCAAAGTCGTTGTCAGCTTGTCTTTGACCCCATGTTTCTCGACGAGCAACGCAAGCCACAAATCAAGGCCTGCAGACAACACCAAGTCACCCAAGCAAAGTCTTGAGTGTCAACGAGGTTGTAGCGTTCGAGGCTTAAATCTAGCTTGATTGCGTGCGAGTCTAGCTGACAAACGGTCATAGAGTGTCTGTCTTGCATGGGCCGGAGGCCCCGAAAGACTGGTCTGCTGCACCGGGATAAGTATCGTGGCTTGACGCTTACTGGCCAGCACGACGAAGCACGCCATCTGTATGCGTTGCCATAGGATATCGCCGCAAAACTCTTATCTCGACCCTGTCCAAAATGCAATGCCAGCCGAAGAAGTTCTAGAAAAGTGGTTTGGTCTAGGAAGTTATAATGCTCTTGATCGCCCTTCCCTGCATTTCTGCCCGATCCTCCTGCAGATCTTTTTGTTCCATCTATTTCTTTTCTTTGAAAGTCGACTCCGGACATTATGTCGCGCGCAAATGATATCAATGGGGAGGAGAAGCAGGTGTACGATTCTAAGGTCAACGACATACCCAGCGATGGAGAGTCCTCTATCGATACCATCACGGCGCTTGTCAACGAAGGTACTTCTCCTCTTCTTTCTATACCCAACCTCGGACCTCAAGCTAACCTCGCTGCCTACAGATCACGCCCATGAGATCTCCCTCCGTACTATGTCATGGCAGAAGTGCGCATGGCTTCTTTGTGGAGATCAAGTATGCCTTGCAATAATGGCACAATCTTGGTCCCTCTCCGTCCTCGGCTGGGTGCCAGGCATAATCACCATGATCGTCTCCGGAATTCTCTTCTACATCACCTCTCTCACCATGCACAAGTTCATCATGAAGAATCCTTCCATCAGGGACATCTGCGACTTCGGATACTACGCCTTTGGCAAGAGCAGGGTCGCCTATCATGCAACATCGGTACTACTTTTACTGAACAACGTAATGCTAATTGGTTTTCACGTCTTGACTGGAGCCAAGGTCCTCAACACTCTTTCGGACCACAGTCTTTGTACCGTAATCTTCTCGGTCATTGTAACTATTATGGGCGTGGTCATGAGCATACCGAGAACGCTGAAGCATGTCTCATTCATGAGCATGTTTAGTGCTGCTTGCATGGGCATTGCCATCTTGCTCTTCCTGGTGTTCGCAGGAATTGAGGATGCTCCTGGATATGGTTACAATGGTACCTACCCCAAGGCTGGTCCCGTCAAGACATACGCGTTTCCCCCGGCTGGAACTACCTGGGTCGCCTGCATGAACGCTGTTTTGAACATTACGTTCCTCTGGGGTATGGCACTCTCCCTTGATTTTACTCACAGAGGCGAATTGCTAACATTTTAAAAGTTCCTCAAATTCTTTTTCCCACATTTATCTCTGAAATGGAGAGACCACAGGACTTCCCCAAGTCCCTGGCAGTGCTGGCAGGCATTTCCACATTCCTCTTTATCGTTCCCCCAGCTATTGGTTTCAGATACCTTGGACAATACGCCACTGCTCCTGCATTCGGATCCCTCGGCGTTGTGGCATACAAGAAGGCTTCATTCTCGTTCGTCATTGTGCCTACCCTGGTCATTGGTGTCATTTACGCAAATGTGTCGGCCAAGTTTGTCTTCAACCGCATCATGGGCAAGTCTCGCCACGCCCACTCTAACACAGTCATTGGATGGGGAGTCTGGGTAGCCGTCATGGCAGTCATCTGGTTCATCGCCTTCATCTTTGCCGAGGTTATCCCCAGCATGGGCGATTTCCTATCTCTGTTGGGCGCGGCATTCGATTCCTTCTTCGGGTTCATCTTCTTTGCCGTGGCATATTGGCAGATGAACAGTGGAAGACTGTTCGATGGCGCCAAGAGAAGTGTCATGACTGTCATTCATATATTTGTTATGGTTTGTGGACTTTTCTTGCTGGGACCTGGGTTGTATGCTGCTGTGGAGGCTATCATGGATGACTATGCGGGTAGCACTCGTCCCGCGTTTGCTTGTGCGAATCTGTCGATTTAGAGGGCACGCAAGTAGTGTCAGTGATATGGCGTTGAGGTGAACTCAGATGGGCAGGCGTAATCTTGACTTTGTCCTTCTTTGCCTTCCTTCTCCGTGTGCTACAAGACTCCTTCAAGATTTCTGAGGCTGAGACTCCCGGAGCGGCAGACACAATCAATTTCACGGGCTTCATCGATGAAGAGCTAGCCTTTGATGAAGATGAGATTGGCGACACAAAACTACCCGCACTCAAAGAAGCCTATGAGCTAGTTCCAAGGTACTTGAGATCGAAGACGTAGTCACTGTGTCTCGAGGAAGACCAGGATTCAGCCCTCGATGATGATGCACAGTAACTCGAGATTCACACTAGCCTCTTGAGACAGAAGGGAAATGGATAAGATTCGACTATGAGCTTTGTTTTTCCTTCACGAAGAGAGAAGAAGGACATCTTCCTCAACCTCACACCACTTGATGGGTAATTCTGGAAAGTCTTTTACAGCGTGCAGTCGCACGTATTTGTGTTAGCGAACAATGGTTTCGGGTATGGACGCCTTCTGCTTTGCTACTCTCACAATCCAGTATTCGTAAACAAATGGTGTACGCGACCGGGAGAAGCTCGATAGGAGAAGAAAATACTTGTATGAAGTCTAAAGTCTATGTGTATTGCGCAAACATTATCTTTCCATCTTCCGCAGTTCCACATCTTCCTCTGACTCTCTGGCCTCCATCTCGTCCAACTTCTCGTATATGCCCCTTTCGTCGGCTTTTTCAGCGCGTTGCTTGACTCTGTCCTTGCCCCAGGCATACACGCCACTACCACCCAAGATGCAGACCATAGCCCAGACTCTGCCCATGGTGACGGCTTCGCGGAGGATCAGCACAGCAAGGCCGCTTTGAGCGACACCGCGTGCGGCTGTAACAATCATGTGTGTTGTAGGACTAGTGACCGAGATCTGCAGGAAGGTAGCCAGAGTAAGGAGGAAACTGGCGGCACCGGTAGCGGCAGCGGTGTACAAGAAAGCGTGAAGTTGGCCTGAAGCTTCGGTGGCCGCGACAACATTGGCGACATCCAGATCCATAGCACTGTTGTAAAGGCCAGAGAATACAGTGTACTCGCCAGAAATGATGAACAGGGGGAAGTAGCAGGCTAGAGCCATGCAGTTGGTCATCCACACCATCTGCCACATTCCTTCGTCGCCTTTTGTGAGGAAGCGCTTGACAACTACACTCTCGACGGCAGTGGTGAAACTGGATCCGACTCCCAGTAGCAAGCCCTTGATACTGGTGAGCATGGCACCCAAGTCGGTGATCATGCCGGTAGCGAAGCCCATCATGATCATGCCGCATCCGAAGAGAGAAAGAGGTGGGTTGTATGGCGGTGGGTGCAGAAAAAAGTGCGATAGGAGCAGGGTGAATGGTAGGAGTAGACCTCGTGCGATTTGGTATAGGGAGGCATCGACGCTAGCCAAGCAGAATGTCTTTGCGAGGATTCCGACCAGACGTGCGAGCATCAAAGGTATCAGCCCTTTCCAGGCCTGTTGCTTGTCAGTATTTGAATGCTGTACATGCCAAAAAGCAGAACACGTACGGAAAGAGGACGACTGAATTTGATCCATCCAAGTGGTTTTCCAACAGCGGTCAGAAGCACCACTTGGACGAATGTCTGCAATGCAAGCAGAGTAACAGGCGCCTCGATGCCATTGAGAGCAGACTTTGAGATCAAAGTCACCGAAACAGCGCAGCTCGAATGGAACAACACCGTCAAAGCGACCTTTGTTCGTGATGGTGACGAAGATTCGGACATCTCTGTGATTGATGGGTTTGCCTTACAAGCTTCTGAGCAGCCGAGGGGTGCCGTCTTCTTTTACTAGAGTACTCACAAGATCCAGCTCCACTTTCATGGTTCGGCTCCGATGTTCATTTCTCCTTTATCACTACACACATAGATGACAGGCGGGACAATCAAGGAGGAACCGGTAAACTAGGCATGATGAGAGTGGCGGAATACCGAGTCCGGACATAACAAGGATGGCCTCACGGCTCGCGAATGCGAAAGTAGCCGAGAATATGATTAGCACAGTACCATAGTGTTGTTGAGTGATCCTCAGCATGCATCAGGACTCGTCAGGAGAGTGCAGACGTTTGGCGTCCAAGCAAGACTAGAGAGGAGCGTTGACAGGATGTAGCCATGTCCGTCTTGGCAGGCACCGACTGACAAAGGCATCCGAGATTGACAGAATCGATCTCCCTTTGTTTTTCGCCTACGCGGACGGGATCATACTGAAACAGGCGTTTGCTCTCGTGCCTAGGGCATAACAACGTTGGAAGTGGGATCATTTGCAGCCACGCGAAAGAGCTTCTTGAGCGACGCTATGCATATCAACCCCTAATGTGGGTCGAAGAATATTGATCACTGTATGCAAGCGTTTGAAGATCGATTCGGGTCTTGGATGATCAATAATTCTGCTGACTCGGGTTTTATCACTAGACTGGTGGCAAAGATAGTGAATGACGGCAGCGTCGGACACATTCGACTTGACAACTCTTACAGTGTCTTGCTTGATTCTCCGCCAGTCAACAAGGATTTCTCATGGACTTATCTCCGAATGTCGAATTGGATAGGTAGGACGAACAATGGAGCCGGCTGGGCAGAAGTCACAGAGGGCAGGGAGCGGAAGACGTCTGAGTCGGTCTGTCGGCTATGGACGACTTGGCAACGGCGAGGAACACTTGCCGTCCAACAACCGGTTTGAGAAAACTTCCACCACCGTCATTTCACCTTGCTACTTCGCCTACTCTGTATATTGCTGCATAATCTTGCCCTTGAAACTCCAGTGATTCGTCTCAGGTTACTCTTAACCAGTCTCTTGCGAACGCGTCAGCTCATATTGAGATCAGATATGTTTCATCTTCGGGCAGCCAAGATGCTCCTCCCCTATCTCTAACAAAGTGGATCGGCGGCAATATAGAAAAAAGGCACCATGTGCATGGTGGATACTTGGAAACGGCCACGCACACACCGTTTCTTGGCTCATCAGTATCCGCCCTGGATGATATCCAGATTGTCCGGCCGCAAACGTCTCGAGTCGGCATCATGCCTGTTCTAGCTGTGTTGTGTTGTAGGGTCTGATCCTTGCTTAGGGGAAGGTGAGTCCGAAAAGGAGCGTCATGAGTAGTAAAAGGCAAACATCCAAGCAGGTAGGCGAAACATCCATCTTGACTTGATATTCATTCTGCAACAACAACACAAAATGCCTGTCCCTAGCCGATGTGCGTATATCGCCGGAGTGGTGGTGCTATTCCTCTGCTTGGTTGCACTCTTCCAGACCGGCACAGTATCGTCACCTTCATCGCTACATCTCGATGATGTGACAGACTTTGTATCATCTCCGTTCTCCTCTTACAAGGATGAGGCACAGAACAACACCGCACAACAGACTTCATCAGTATCAGCAACAACATCATCAGCAGCAGCACCTTCGGCAACAGTACCTGCTGTTGTCTCGAACGTACCCATCTCATACGACAAAACCACACCTCCATCAACAGGCTGCGAAGCCGTAGTCAACGCCGCTCAACAAAAACTCATCTCCGAGTACCAACAACTCCTCAAGGGCATTCGCTATGTCAACGTCTGGGGCTACCTGGAGACCGAAAACAAGGGCGATGCCGCCATCTGGTCCGCCCAGCAAATCCTCCTCAGCATGATGGGCATCGAGACCATGGAAGCCTGCCGCTTCATGGACAAGGGCTGCAACATGACCAAATTCACCCAAGCCCTCGACGACCACAAGCCCAACTCTGCCATCATCATGGCTGGCGGCGGCAACTTCAACGACTACTACTGGGAGGACCAACCGTCGAGAATGCAGATGATCAAGCACTTCACTCAAGTCCCCATTCGCGCTTTCCCTCAGAGCATCCACATGACTCACGAGGATCGCATCAACCGCACAAAGGAAGCTTTCCTGTCACACCCCAACCTGCAGCTCGCTGCTCGTGATGCACCCAGCTACAAGTGGCTGGCAGACACCTTCGAGGGCGAAAAGGTCGCTTCGTCAATCGACCTGGCCACCACCGACGGCATCGGTAAAGGAGAGGTCAAGACTGTCTTGACCCCTGATATCGCATTCATGTGGGGCAGCCGTCCTGACTTCCGCGTCAACACGCCAAAGGAGTACGACATCCTGATCCTCGCCCGCGACGACAAGGAGATTTCTGCCGGAAACTCAAAGTCCATTCCCTTCGGCAAGGGCAACCTCGACCTCGGCGGCAGCATCGGCAACGTCAGCTACTGGAAAGTAGACTGGAAGTTCACGCCCACCCCCGAGATCGACAACAAGGAACACCGCGAGAACGGAAAGAACCAGCGCGCATGGGCAAAAGCAACAGAAGGATTCAGAATGCTTGGAGCTGCAAACTTTGTCATCACTGATCGCCTGCATGGACATATCTTGAGCACGCTGATTGGAACGCCTCATGTTGTTATGGACTCGAAGTTGGGCAAGAACATCAACTACCATGATACATGGACAAAGGATTGTGGTTGCACGAGAGTCGCAGAAGATATCGATGAGGCTCAAGACTTTGCCAAAATGTTCTTCGAGAAGGAGAAGAATGAGGGAAGGTGGAATGGCGAGCTCGTCCGTGGCGCAGAGTCAGAGCAGGAGGTCGATTTTGAGTAATTCTTTTGTTATATACCCTTTTTAATTTCTTCTATACACTTCATGCCATTTGACATTATCACACTTCATACCACTTCATTCTATCCACCTGCTTGCCTTTTTTTTTCGAATCGATTATCCGCGCACACTGTTCTTCAGCTATGACACAAGATTCACTCTCATCAAGTTTCCGCATCACAAAGTGAATCGATTCTTTCCATCCTTTGTACTTCTACAACCGATGAACGATGTCAAGCCTCTCCAGCTCCGCTTGCATTCCTATTTGCTGCTTAGCTCCATCTTCACAGCCAAGATAATTCGTTGTTGCTTTTTGAGTTCTCTTGTTCCTTCCGCTCTTCTTTTGCATATGCACCCCTGAAAGCCTGTGTTTTCTTTTTTTTTTTTTGTCGTCTCTTGGCCACCTCCTTTCTCGAACGACATGAAACGAGCTACAGTGTTTCGCTCAAAGAAGCATCTAATCACAAGTCTTCTTCTCCATAAATGCCAAAAGTGCTAGAAGAGGTGGAAATAAATGAACAAAAAGATTAAGAACTTCGTACACGGGAATCAAGAAGAAAAAAAAAAGAAGATCGTCCTAGTCTTCTTCCTCCTCTTCAGAACCACCTGAGCAATACAGATTCACAATGCCCTCTCCAAACCACTCTCCCACCCTCCTGATATTGCCTTGGATGATTCTTTCGGCATTTGCCTTGGCGTGCTCGCTCTTCTCGGCTCTCTGCTCAGCAGAAGCACTCAACATCCTCCCTACAACATCAAACTCATTCTCCCCATCCTCCTGCAACCAAACTGATTCCTCCTCCACGTACGCATACGCAGCAAGTAGCCTCCTATCAGCAACCAGTGGCGTTCCCGCAATCAGCGCAGCAGGAACCGACGAACTAGCTTTGCGGTCCAGATACTCAGGCGACGCAAAGCCGGGAAGTACAGCAGAGACCTTTGCCAGCAAACCGTAAAAGTCAATGTAACTCAGACTCTGGTCAAAGAAAACATGACTGGCCACGTTTTCGGGGACAGAAGGGCGTTGACCTTGTCCCAAAAGATGCATGGAAACATTTCTTTCTCCCTCTGCCGCAGCCAAAAAGTTGCCGAGTCGTTCGAAAATGTGCTTGTAGTCTCTGCGGTGAGGATCGTAATCTCCTTGCATTGCGAAACTCAGATCTTGAGATTCCTGTTCGGTGGCGGTGGTGTTGACAGCAGTGTCAATGGGGAATATAGGAACAAAGACTCTGATCGGGGGTGCAGGAGGGTTATCCCAGGGTTCATCGGCATTGGAGTCCCAAGCGGCGATTGTGTTGGACAGGAAGGCTGCGGTGTGGGGAGACAAAGTCCAGAATTCGATCATGTTGGCATCGACCCAAGGGCGGATGTCTGCTTTTCTTTCTTCCTCGGCCCAGTGGTCGGCGTGGTGGACAATGCAGATTAAGCGGGTTTTGCCCTGAGCCAGCAATGCCTCGAGACGCTTGGGAGCCTGCCTCAATGCCAATTCTGAAGTCGTGAGTACCAGGAAGTCGGGGATTGTGGTGTGCTTGTCGGTGCCCATAAAGTCATCTGGGTTCAAGGGACCCGTGTAGTTCAATCCAAAGGCATGGAAGATCTTCTCGCTACCGTAGCGGGCGCCAGATTGGTACAGAGTCAGGTTCACGTTTGGTTGCGAGGCGATTGAGTGGACCAGAGCGGCGTCGACTTCATCGTGTGCGCGTACGGTTTCGAGGATGGCGACTTGGATGATATCGGGTGTGTTGTCGCAGGCCTCGGGTGTGGCTTCTACTTCTTTCTCGTCGTCTGCTGGTCGCGAGTTCCAGATGCCGGATTCGATTGCTGCATCGGTTGGATCGGTGGACTTCCACCACTTGCCGAGTTGTTCTTGTCTGAGTGCTGCGGTAGTGGAGTCGGGCGAAAACTGAAGAGCAATGTCAACAACCTTTCTGTCCATTCCATCGTGGAGAGCAGAGCCAGAGAGCAGCGACTTACAGCCAAGAATACAAAGATCATGAGTACGCAGACGACCGAGACAGCGATGATCCTCTGCTTCATTCGCGAGCCTTTCGTCCTCAAGGCTTCAAGAGCACCTCGAAGCGAGTCGATTTGGTGATACTTGGTCTCATCACCATAGCCCATTCTCTCCATGACGCCAGACATGATGAGCGACAGTCCTATGCTTCTCTTCCTCTCTCTATACCTGTGCTCTTTTGTCCAAAGATGTATCGTTAAGACTTCCAAATTTAGCAACACAAGAACATAATAATATCAAAAGCGAAGAAAATAGAGAAAAAGAATAGAAAGAAGGAACTCGGAACAACTCGACGAGGAAGGAGGAACACCTGAGAGACGGTATTGATACAATCCTACCTGCTTCCAAGGATCTCCCTTATCGAGTATAGTAAATGATCTAGCGGCCCGCCATAGGGTATCATTCAGCTACTTACATTTCGAGGCGCCTGATGCCCACCATCGCCGTCCACTCAAAGCACCGGCAATCAAACCATCCAACAGGCTCCTTTACCTCAAGCCCCACCCTTTATCCCGCAGCCTTTTATTTCAGACCATCATCATCAGTGGCTTGTTTTGCCGGGGGCGCGCTGCACTGAGAGCGGACCCCCGTTGGCGGCTGAAGCAACGGGGGAATCAACTCCGTCGCTCGCTCACGAAAAACAAAAGGCACTTGCTTCGGCGAAAGGAGTTTTCCAACATCCGCACGGCAAGCGTTGTGGCTATGCTCCTCCGCTGCGCTGGCCAAACCCCCCCTAACGTTACAGCAGAATGAGCGAAAGAGAAGACAGCTAGAGCAGGGAAACGGCTGCAAGAGAGAAACTTGACAGGGGCATCCTGCTGTCAGCCGGCAAAGCTTAAATCGCGCTATACCTATCTGCCATATCTTCACACGTTTTGGCCGCTGATAAGATGATCCTTATTGCCAATGACTCGATCACTGCCCGAACTTCGAAATTTCCGTACAAACTGTATGAAACGTTGTTATTAGGAGGGGGAACCGAAAAGTCTTGGTATTCCATGGCAGGGGCGAAATGATCATTGTTGTTGTTCACGACAGCCGAGCTAAGAGAAAGCCCTGCCGTGTGTGTTGTGAAAGAATATTGATCCATCAAATGGATAATGACGGCGACAGAATCGTGGCGTTCTGTATACCGGCAAGGCGATTATTGAGTCGACCGACCCGGTTTCTGTGAACGTCTCGTATACCTACCTACCTTTGCTTTCCTCCTAGGTTTAGATTCCGCCGCCCCAGAAGCCTCAAAAGTCTGGCGGAGAATTTTGTGCCAAGTAAGAGCACTCAAAAAGTCAGCAACCGATGAATACGAAGTCCAGTTGTGTCAAGAGACGAATAAGGTTACGAAGAGCACGTGGATGCGCTAGATAGGAGGAGCGAATGCAAATGGCCGCGACGGCACACCGCATGTGCAGCATCATCACATTCTACAAGATGTCGCACGTTCGCACCTTGAATTAAGCACTTGAGACCACAGGCTAGAATGAGAGGTGAAAAGAAAGACGCTTTGCATGATTTATACGTGGGTTCCCATATGCATAATCCCGGTCAATGTTTGTATCTTGGTCTTTTAGGCCAACTTTCGTTTCCTTTCTACCATGATTTGTTCATCTTGCTATGCTGTTCTCTACCTAACGCTCAGGCAGCCGCCATATCATAAAGTTTGCACAACAGCTTCAATGCCACTCGGTCTGCGTCTGGTGACAGTAGAGCGCCGAGAATCGTTTCCCGCTGGGGAGCCGGATTACATCTGGCTATCCAGCTGGGCATGGGCTTGTCGTACTCGTCAAACTCGTCCGAGTCTTCATCGCCGTCGTCATCGCGATCCCCGTCCCCTCGTCCATCCTCAGAAGTCGACCTGGCCTTATCTGAGGCAGGTAACCCAGCCTTCTCGACTAACCGTGCCAACATACCAAGCCCACGATGTGTAATAAGACCGTAGCCCTGCATTTCTGGGTCCACCTGCGGCATGTGTGGATGCCCTGGTTGTGGCCTGTGTGTTTGTGCGGTGCGGTCAACCGAGAGCACAAAAGCCATACGCAACAGACTTCCAGGCCAGCGGTCGTCAGAGCTAAGCCAAGCACGAGCAAGGTTCTTCTCATCAGCTTCATCGGACGATTGTGCTGTTGGGATCATCGATGCAAGAATATCGGCAGCCAACATGCCCTGCGTCAATAGAGCCTTCCTGGCCTCCACCATCTTAAGTTCTACGGCGGTCGAGAATGCTCTTTTCGAGCGCTCAGGCAATACGGAGATGCTCAGAGCAAAGGCAGAGGTAAGCAGATCTGCCGGCGGAGTGGACTCGGACGAGTTGGGCGTTTGTGATGAAGTGAAGATGCTGCGGTACAATGATCGATTAGGTTCTTGGCGAGCCAAGAGTTTCGCAAGACAGTCAACTGCCAGCGGAAGATGTCGTTGCGCCAAAGGTATGTAATGGCTGAATAGTAACGGAGAATCAGATGAGAGATTAGGCGCCGGCTGGGGAGCGAACGCTAGAATGAACTGAAGAATATGGAGAGCATCGTCGCGACTCGGCAACTCCAGGACACCAGTGATATTAGAGAGGAACGTGATGATGTCTTTGTAGAAGTCGGCAACATTCCTTGAGGTGCGGAGAAAGGTATTTCTAGTACCCAGCAAGCGAATTGCGTTTGAGACAAAATTGACAACAGAACTGGCTGACAACAGGCGGTGGTTCGCCTCGTTGAAGGAAAGGTTACGCAGCAGTGTCGTGACGGCAATGAGGCGGTCGGCGGCACGATCCAGCTCATATTCTTGGGTGCCAACGGCAGACACATCTTGCAAGGACTCGTTTTCAATACGACAAAGCTTGACAAGATCCTCGTAAGATGGCAGGTCAAGGCCATCGGAAACCTCGGCAGCACCATCGGCAAGAATGTCGAGTTGGACTTCGGCGCAGTCAACCAGCACGTCTGTCAAATCCTCGCACTTATCGAGATCTAGGTTGATGCGCGGTTCTATCGAGATCAACGTCAAATGGTCCAAGGCGTGGCGAGTTTCAGCATGGATGCCAGACTGTAGACTCAGTGTGAGAGCCCGGATGTCTATCAGCCCCATCTCGTCGACCATAGGCACATCAGGAACCAGGCGAGCAATCTCACCACCGAGCTTGGCCAGTGGTAGAATATCGTATCCACCATAGTAGTCCAGGCTTCGTCGTTGCGGCTCGTATTCTGTCTCCTGACCAATGTTGTGTTTCAGCTCAGCAGTACTGGCTTCGCGTTTGATGCCCGGAGTGCCGCCCGCTTCTGACTGAGCCTTGACTGCTGGTGATGCAGAGACTCGAGCCAAGTCTTGATCTTGTGGCGGTGCCGAGTCGAGCTTGCCAACACTCGATGTGCGACGGAACTCACTCAAGGCGTGCTGCTGCGTGGTGGCTTGTGGAGTGGCTAGCCCATTGGCGACAGGTGCGGGAGTAGGACGCTGCATTGGTGTGGCTTGAGGATTCATCATAGACGCAGGCGTTGTATGCTGCTGCTGCTGCTGCTGTTGCTGCTGCTGTTGGGCGGCCTGTTGTTGTTGCTGCTGCAACTGTTGCTGAGCTTGTATTTGTTGCTGCTGCAACTGCAATTGCTGTTGCTGGGCCTGTTGCGCCTGATGTGCCTGTTGTGCTTGATGTGCCTGCTGCGCCTGCTGTGCTTGCTGTTGAGCTTGTTGTTGTTGGGCCTGCTGCATCTGTTGCTGTTGCTGCTGAGCTTTTTGCTGCATCTGCACCATCGTCTGCTGCTGGGCAGATAGCTGGTCATTGGTACGACCTGGGGAGCCTTGGGCGGGATTCGGGGTGGCTAGTCCTGCCAATTGACGGGCTTGTAACGAAGCTTGCTGCTGGCGTTGCTGCATCCTGGCCTGCATGAACATACGCTCATAATGGCCTAAGTTGGTCTCGAACAGTTGCTGCAGTTCTTGTGCGGCTGCAGGGTATTGCTGGTTGTTGAAGCCGGCCTTCTGGGCGATGGTGGGCCAGCCTTGGAATTGAGTGACACGAGTGGAGCCGCCATGTTGCAGAACAATGACCCAGACAACGTATAAAGGTAGTGGCCGTCCGCAAACAAGGGGCGAGGGATTGAACGGTCTGTTGTGTTGTTGACAATACTGCTGCAACGATCGCATCCATTGTTCTTGCTTCTGTGTGTTAGACTGCGCAGACTGCCCAGGAGCTGACATGCCATTGGCGCCGACGTTGACGTTGGCCGCAGCAGCCGCAGGGTTGAAGCCAGCAGCCGTCTGAGCAGCATTTGCGCGCACTTGGGCCATGCTGTTAGCTTGCAGGCGCTGTTGCTGTTGTTGCAGACGCTGTTGGTAGAGCTTCTGCTGGTATTGCTGCTGCATCTGGGGCACAGAAGTAATGCCTTGAGACATGTTCATAGCTTGCGATGACGAAGGGTTGAAGTTTGCGCCGAAGTTTTGCTGCGGAGTGAAGTTGCCAGGCTGCATCATGTTGTTGGAAGCGGTCGAGGGCGCGGGAGACATGGTCTGCCCGAATGTGGCCGGCGAGGCGGTCGACATGCGCTGCGGTGGCTGTTGCGGCGGACGGAACTGCTGAGGTTGCATCGTTGGCGAGGGCGTAGCATTGGTCGAAGCCGAGGGATTCTGCTGCAGGTGTTGGTAGGGAGTGGGTGGAGCTTGGAAGGGCTGCTGCTGCTGTTGCTGCTGGGTATTGAATGCGAAGGGAGCGCCGGCTTGCATTGGGGTTTGCGATCGCGACATGTCTAGTGATTGTGAAGGAGCATGCGGTGAGTGATGCATCTGATCTTCCGAGGGGCGCGAACGCTTCGAGGGTACAACCGAGTTGACGTTGTAGGTCTGCTGCGGGGCGCCAAAGGCCTGCTGAGGGTTGATGCTGCCATTCTGGGCGAACGAGTTGAGATCGAGGTTTGAGGAATTGGGATTCGCATACAGCGACGACATGTTGGGGTTCATGTAGACGCCATTGCTCTGACCGGGCCACGGCGCGCTCATGGTCGAAGCTGGTTACAGCATGGGGCACACGCCCTGGAGACGTGGGTTAGCTACGAGTACTGGATGCCGACTGTGACGCGTCCCTACGCGACCGAGCTATGGAAGGAGGGGTGAAGGGCGACAACACGGAGGTGCTATGGCCAAGACATTGGTATGGCAGCTTGAAGCGCAAAGCAATGGTCGCGTCCCGATGAGGGCGGTGGACGTGTCGCCGCCGGTCGATGTGGGTGTGGGTGTGGGTGTGGGTGTGTGACGGTGGTTCGGCGGGAGATGAGGTGTGTCGCTCTTCTGGCCGGGGTCGGCCATGGGGGGCTCTGGGCCTGGCGCAAATGGGACGAGCAGAGGAGGGATAAACAAACGTACCTAATGCAAAACAAAAAAGTCGGTCTGTCGAGTCGTTGGACACGCGCGTATTGATGCCTCGGAGTGCCTTCTATCTGGAAAGAGACCACCCGTGCCAGAGCGTCGCGCCTGCCTTCTCCTCATTTTCCGATCGTAAGTCCCGTGACCCCAGTAGGGCTGTGCCTGTGCAGCTGCCTGCCCACGAAACTGCCCATCCACGACGATTTTCTGGTCTTTCGAGCAACACTGTCAGAAACACAAGGCATTTGGGGGACACGTACAAGAACGAGGCGATGGCCAGATCCCGTAAAGGGTAAAACCATGACATCTTCGGCAGGGGACACCGAGAGGCGCGCGGATCTTGTTCTTGGTTCGAGAGCATGCAATCACACTGCAAGCTCCACAACGCACGACTAGTGATACACTACTCAATCTACTCTTTTTCCATTCCATAAGGCCTCTCTGCATTTCAAATTGTCACGCCAATCGCCTGCTTGATTGTACATCTGGAAAGCCCTCCCGTAGGCCTTTCTTTTCTGCCTCCGCTCGTATCTTTACAGCATCCTTCCTCCACCCACGCCAGAGATGTGTACCGACGACATGTACCCCAGCTCGTTCACGCTCAACCCCCTTGGCATGAAATCCAAATCTGCTCGCTTGTCTCACATGCCACGAGCTGCTCCTTCCAACCCGCTCGCATATGCTGCTCTGATGATTGTTTTCGCTCGTTGATTTGCACCTTTGCTTTCTTCCAAAACCAACTGAGCTGGTTCCCACAAAACTCGGCTGTTTTCAACATTTGGCATCCTCAACCTTGGAGACTTTCCACGAAAGGGCTCGACCTTCTTCCCAACGAGCTTCCTTTCGCTTCCTGCGCTGTGTTTGAATGCATGATTCTCCGTTTCAGCTCAGCATCCCTCAACGCTGGCACCGAAATACAAGTATGACCTTCTAAACGCATGTCGGCAGTACTGAACCTAGACCCTGCCTGTACTGCCGAACTACACATCAGCAGATCTCACCCACACCTAATCATCCCGGGCATTGCCATTTTCCTTGCGAAATCATGGCTCTCTTACAAACTCATGCGAATGACCATGCAGTCCAATCCGATATTTGACACATGTTCATCTCTGCCAGTTGCAACCTCTTTTGGCACTTCCGTTTCCGTTCACTTATTCCTTGCCCTATCCCAGAAATAATCAGAAAACTCGATCAATATTAGAGGAGCCCACCCAAGTCAAAGGTATAGTACACAGCTGACGCAGCGATTACGACTCAGCTTATCGATATTCGACTGCATCTTTTACTCGCAGAGTTTCGAGCCCTGGTTTCTTCTATACTCGGCTTCGGCCTTTTACCCACCACCGCTCTCGATTCTTCCCCTCTGTATTCAATTGTCTATCTAACATGCTGTACGGAGATCGTGAATGCGACTCCAAGCTACGAGAACAAACTTGCTTGACTATTGCTACCTCTTTCCTGCTGTACAGATTTCTATCGTTACACAACCAACACCTCCACGAACAGTAATAGCTTCAAGCACGAACTCTTGCTGTGGCCCAGTATACCCATCTGCCGCACTCCAATACCCAACCACCTTGATGATCGAGTATCACCGAAGACAATAACTACCACGAATCACACCTTCGTAGCATCTTACTATGTGAAGATGTTTGCTTCTAAATAGGCTTCATACAAGAGAGAGACAAGTAATGCTTTTCCACCACTCCACACGCGCCATCAAAATACATGAGTAACAAGGAGCGTCAGTCACAATAGAGAAACAGAAAAGTAGAACAGAACATTGCAACCTCTCCATATGCTAAACTCCATCACTACCACATCCGCTCTCACATTAACAATCAGCCATCAAAAATGCATATTTTTCTCTCGATTCATAGTAAGCAGACCACAAGAGAGTTGAATAACATCATGGATGTGGATGAACTACTTCCGATCTGACCAAAGGAACTGTACAACTCTAAAGCTGTTCTGCGTTGACATGATCCCACACATACAAGGGGAGGAAGCATTTTCAATTATCGCTCAATCAACCAAGTCTCACAACTGCTTCCACGAAGAACAAATCGAAAAGAACACAAATTGAAAGCAATTGTTGGAGCAAAACGCCATGACTACTATATACACAACTTCCCCCTCCCTGCCCATCTCATCCATTCAACGCCAGACCTATGCACCTTCCTCCTCCGTCCCTCTCCCTCCACCTTCTTCCCCTCAGTCGTCTCCCTCTTCACACACCCTCAACAACACCCCCCACCACATCCCCCAACATCCTCATACCATACCAACCCCCGACCCTCCCATAAACCTTCAATCTCCCCACAACATCCTCCCTCTTCATCGTACCCATCCACTCCCCAGCACACCCGCAATGATCCATAAACTCATTTTGTCTGATGCGTCCACACTTTGCGCACTTTAGATCCTGCGTCGTCCATTGCAGCACCAGCTTTTGTACTTCAGCGAGCAAGCGTTCTTCAATGAGCAGGGTATCGAAGGGTGTGTTGCAATTGTGGCAATGCACATTGAGTGTGCGCACTTGAGCAGCAGTGCTGGAACTCGCAGCAGCAGCAGCAGCATCAGGGATAACGTCAGAATCGCGACAAAGGTCAATATCCCTCGGTAAACAACACTCTGCACAACTGAGCTGCCGAACCTTGAGACTAGCGGAGGGATTCGCAAACTGCCCTTCAACACTAAACTCTCTGATTTCAAAAAGCTGAAGTAATTCTTTGCGTAACAATCTTGCTTCCAGCGTGATGGTCTTGTCAAGACTCAGCACTTGCATCACGCTCTTTACCAACTGCAGCACTGGGTTGGAGAGGGAAGAGGCAGAGGATCCGGGTAAGGAGGGAAATTCCCAGTCCGAGGCTAGCTCGGCGTGCATGGCTTCCGTGCGTTGGCGCTTGATGAGTGCTTTGATCTGTTTAGCCAGTGGCTTTGAGAAGGATGATGAGAGAATGTTTCCAGGGGTTGTTTGATCGTCCTTCTCAGATGCAAAAATGGAGGCGTGGATGGGGAGTTGGGTTGGTCGTGGTGCTGTGCCTGTTGCTCCTGCCACAGGTCTCTTGCGATTGTGCATGAGGTCAATGTACTCGACCACCCAATCGTTGAACATGGGTTGGAGGATTTTAGGCAGGAAAGTGCCAATCTGCCACTCCATGATGGTGTTGAGGGTTTGGTTTTCCGCTTCAACGACTTCTGCGCATCCTTTGCCTCCATAGTTGAATTCGTCGTACCAAACCAAGTAATCCCAGTATTCAGTAATACTCAGGTCCAAAAAGTTGAAGGAAGGCTTCGCGTTGACGGTTTTCAGGATATACTGACTGTAAGCATACGCATTGCCAACCTCAGCTTTGGTAGTCTGCAGCAAGAGTCTATTGGCGCTAGCAAACACCACATGCGACCCGACACGACGGAACTCGCTCATCAACTGCTGCAAAGCTTTTCTGCTCATCATTTGCACATAGTAATGCAAAGACTTGTCATAGAGGAAGGAGCCTGGGTTTTCGATCCAGCGGACGAGATGTTGGACCATGACGTCTGCCATGCCGCTGCCTCTGCAGGCTTCTTCCCACCATGCGCGAACCATTTCTCGGAGTGCCATGATGCCGGCTTGTGCGAATGTGTTTTCGCCGGATACGAGGTGGGAGATGTCTTCGATGCCTTCTTCGTTTGGAGGTGGCACTGACAGACCCATTGAATCAGCGCCCTCGGCATCATTGAGCACAGCCGAGCACAAAATGGTGTTGATGGAAAGGTTTTTGACGCTGAGATCAATGCACACAGACGAGTAAGTGCCGGGATTATTGACGGAAGGCATTTCCACTGTTTCCATAGCTGCGAGAATATCGTCTTTTTCGTAGCCAGCATGATCAGGGCGAGGGTTTGCAGACCACCACAAGACTACCTTTTCCTTTTGCAATCTTCGTGCATAGGAGATGTCGATCAAGAAGCGAGGGTCGTCTTTCTCGAGATTGCAGAGGGGGACATTGCCGTAGCGACTCAGTTCGATCAAGTGTGTTATCCATGATCCAAGGTCGAGGTAATGGCCAACCAATCTCTTTGCGACGAAAGACTGCCAGCCCAAAGGAGGCAATCTCTTGTCGTCTTCGTCGGACTTTAGAGGAAGCATAGGTAGATCTTGTAAGATTGGCAGATCGTGTCTGAGCAGACGAGGTTGCTGAGATTGGATCACAACCATCAGAGGATTGGTCTCTTCCTTCTGAATCTTCTTGATGGCATCACCGATTTCTTGCAATGCTCTTTTCTTGGTAGTGACATTGACAGTCTTGAAGTGAATGTCTTCTTGGTACTCAAAGACGTCTTGCCATTGCTCGCCATTGCCCTCTTCAAGCTTTTTGGCAAACATGTCTTGATAGATGCGGTCGACATTAGGCATACCCTGATCAGCACGAGATCTGTTGAGAACAACGATTTGAGCCTCTTTCTTCGACGAGCAGAACAAGGCAAAGATCTGACGCTCTCCAGCGATGACGTGGTAGAGGTAGAGATAGCTCATCGGAGCAGAAGACAGGTAAGGCTGCTTGGGAGGCACATAATGCAGTGCTGACAAGTCGAAACCATGCGTCATACCTCTGCCCAGGACACCTGCCTGCTTCTCGTCAAAGGTGCAAGTGCTGCCAAGCTCCAGCACTGCCCTGATGTCTAGCGGCACTTGCGTCTCATATACTCCCTCAACACTGGGGTGGTTGAAGAGTGCTGCAAGCTTGTCCGCATCCTTGATGTAGACTTGTTCAGGCATGCTGAGCTTGAATAGATGTACCGAAGGATGGCCATTTGGCAGAGTGTAGTTGACCACTTTCTCAGCTTGGACGCCATCCACAGAGACATCGGGTAGATCATCTCCCTTCAGGTTGAGGAAAACTTGACGCGGCACGACAACCTTGAGTTGATGTACCTTCTGATCGATCAAGACGAAAGCCTTGACTTCACCTGGTGTCTCGCCTTCGCAGAGCTGCAAGATTTGCCAGGTCGAGTTATACATCAACTCACTTTGGTTGCGGAACATGTTGCCAATAGCATCGGTATTGTCGACTCTCTTCTCACCGAACAACTGGCGTCTTCTCTTACGAGCTTGCTTCTGAATCTTCCACTTCTTCTTCTGGTACTGAAGCCAGCCTTCGTAGTCTTCAGTAATGGAAGGCATATTCGGGGGAAGGCTGTCGTAAGGATTGACAGGCACAGCAGGTTCGACGTCAGCAGCCTTTCTCTTCTGTGACGACGCGACTCTGGAAACCATGGCCCTCTTCGGCACAGTCAACGACGACGAACCAAAGTCCTCGAGGTCACCGACGATTCTTCCATTGACTGCATTGATATCGGCAGCTTCTAAGGGTTTCTTCTGGAACATATCCGTCATCTTTTTCTGTTTGAAGACATCATCTTTGATTCTGATTCTGCGTTCGAGCCAATCGGGGTGAGCAACACGAGGCACAGGATTGCGAATCTTCTGCAGAGCGGCAGGAATAGTGATAAGCTTCTGGATAACCGAGCCCAGACGCTCAAGGTAGTAGTTCCAGTCGATGACAGTACGAGGATCCATATCACCCGGGTCGTCCTTCATCCACTTTCTAAGGTAATGCTTCTTGACTGATTCTTCAGCTGAGAATATGGCGACCGGGATGGCACGTTCGGTGACTGGAGAGTTTCTGGGTCGTGACGAGATAATGTACTTGCAGTTGAGACCTTTATCCTTGACCATTTGCTCACCCAAGAACTCGGCAAGACGTTTTGCAGTGGTGATGGCAGTCGATTTTTGTGCGCCGTACTCTTCAAGTGTCTTGGCCATACTCTTGTTCTCGCAAATAAGGTCGATGAGTTCCTCGTCAGCCAGGGTAGAACCGTGAGAGTCCAGTACGTCCAGCCATCTGTTCGCGACTTTGGCAACTGCTCCGTATGTTTCCTCTAGCGTAGTGCCTTCAAGGAAGAACTTGAAGATCTGCGTTTGGAAGATTTTGATCAACTTTAGCTCACCACGACGCTTGACTTCGAAACCTTTGAGCTCGGCAAGAGTACCATCGTGGTTGAAAACAGCGTAACGCTTCTTCAAATTCTTGTCTTCTTCCTTGGAAGTAGGCAAGATCATGGCTCTGTACGGACCGTCGACTTCGAAGAAGATGGTGTTGTCGCTATGTGTCTCGTAGCGGAAAGTCTGAGGATCGACCAGTTCTTGGTATTGATGGTTGGTGAAGCCATCGTGAACGCGATGGTTCAACATGACACAAGGATATGACATGGCAATCTTCTTGCCATTCTTCATCTTGAAAGCAAAGTTTTCGGGGAATGTCGCAGGAAGAATACACCAGATACCGTCAGTGTCGAGTTCGAGAGGTCTTCCGATACGTTCGACTAGCTGACGTGCCATCTGAATGATGCGAGCGCCAGTCAAACATGTGACACCGGCCATCTCCATGGAATACCAACGAGAACCTTTTCTCATGACATAACCGTAGAAACTGTTCAGAATGACCTTGTGAGCAAGCTGGAGAGAGTCGAACAGGATGATCATCTTCTTTGCATCGTCGACTTCGGCCTGCGAGGCGCCAGCCTTCTTCAAGTCTTCAGTCTTGCCTTTCCACACCTTCTGCTTGCCCTTGAAATCATATCTTCTGTCACGGAAATCCTTGACAGTGTCGACATAGAAAGGGTTCTCTCGTTGACAAATAATGGCTTCTTTTTCGATGGTCTTGGCTTCGTGGATCTTGTGGTAGATCTTCTTGCTGTAATCCTGTAGTCGCTTCTTGACTAGCACGGATTGCTCGTCTAACGACAAATCTTGGAAGCTTCGAGCCAGACTGTTTGCATGTTTGCCTGGGAACTTTTCGCTCTCCAAAGCATGACGAATCATATTGTACTCGTCGCGTTTTGCAGGCAGATATTCACCTCTCCATGACCAGGGTAACCTTCGATCGCAAGTCTTTCCAGGTCTGTTGAAATCGCAAGCTGCGCAATCCGCCTCTTCAATCATAGAATCCGGTTGCAGACGATTCGTTGTCATGATGTTGGGATACATGGATGCGACATCCAAATGGTAGATCAGAGGCTTCTCCTTGCGATTTGGTGTCTCCTTGAGCTGTATCAACTTTTCCAAGATCTGTGCTTTGACCTCTTCGTAGTTCTCAATGTCGTCTAATGATTTCTTCTCTTCTACTGTGATACTGAACTTGAGCGCGTTATCAAGCTCCTTGATCAGTTCGTCGATTGCAGCTGGATCAACAGCGAAATTGCATGGGATGTCTGCGCGGAAGACACCACATTCAATACTCTCGACGTGACCACCGACATAGGTTTCTGACTCGAGCAGATGACCTTCCCAGAAAGATTCTCGTGGTGCTTGATGCTTGTTGGGCAGGACAATCTCCTTTTGATAGGCCTGGACCATAAGCAACATCTCACAAAGTGTACCAGTACCTTTTCGCAACACATCATCAGGCCCGAGCGGAATAATGGTACACAGCGAGAAGATGAAAGGATGAACATATTTCATGTAGAGGTAGTATGTCGCCACAGCGTCTGAAACAGAGTACTCGGCCAGAGTCTGTGGCCGTTCCTGAGCATATGGTGTCATGAGTTCCGGGTCTAGTTCATCAGGATCATAGCCAAGTTTGGCGACAGTGACGGCTTTGAGACCTCTACTTCCTTGAGGCAAGTAACTGTCACGATTGACCCAGGCGAAAGCATCCATATGCGCGCAGTAATTCGACTGGTAGATGTCCTCACTGTTCTTGCGGAAGCCGATTTCTTGGTACATGTCAATGCCTTGGATACTAGCTCTGGCTTCGACGTATGGCCAATCGAAAAAGTCACCGTTGTATGTTACAATGATAGTCGGGCGAGCCTCCTTGATGCAGTCGAAGAAGCGTTCCAGTAGAGCTCTCTCGTCGGGCTCGTTGAAGATTAAGAAAGGACCTTCGTACTCGGGCTTTGGTGTATACTCAAAGTCGGCAATATCTTCGGAAACAATTTCTCGGTTCGTGATGAGGAAACCTTGACCGTCAATCATGTATGAAATCATCATGATCTGATCAACAGCAGCGTCAGGGAATTTGAGCGGTGCTTTGCAAGTCTCGATATCGAAAGCCAGAATGACAGGATCTGCGCGTTGGAGCCTCTCTTCAACACAGGTCAGAGTGATATGACCGTGTTTCGCGTCGACAGTGTACCATTTTCCGATTCTGATATCCTTGTCGATGGCTACTCGTACGTGGTACGGTACGTCGTATTCTCTGATATCGACGATGAAATCGCTGGCGTCAAAGACGCTGGCCTTGTTGACTTGCTCAAAGTCATCGTCGAACATGTCGATCCCAGCATTCGCAGTCGCGACCTCGGCGTATGTGTCCATGGCGTTCATCTTGCTCTTGTTCTTCTCGGCGATGGGCGAGATGCCCCTCCTGACTTGTAGTAGGTGATCGACGTTGGCGAATGTGAGTTTGAGGAAGGTCCGTCGGTGTCCGAGTAAATGATTTGGCATTGACAGGTCTTCCTTGTCTATCCTCTGCACTGTCTTGACCATGCCCTCGAAGGACCTCTTGCACCACTCGTCGACTTCGGCTTCTCTGCCTCTCTTGACAGCAATGAGAAAGTAAGGGTCGTATTGAAGAGTAGCTTTGAAGGTGGTTCCATCGTCCTGGAGAAAGTAAAAGTCGACGCCAGCGCGACCTCCCTGGTTCTTGGAGTCTTCAATGGTGGTGCTGTGCATATTGATAAGCCAACCTTCTCTTTTCTTGCCGGCCTCGAAGCGTTCAAAGCCCATGGACTCGTCGATCTTGTGAGCCAGCCGCGTGGCCTCGAGTTTCTCATTCTGTGACGTTTGTTCGGAGCCTCGTAGTGTAGAAATGTCTGCCGTCTTCATCTTCCGTGATCCGTACGAGGTGTTGCCATTCTTTCCCATGCGGCGGAAGTTCTGGCCGTTCTGTCGCGCCATGGTGGGTGGGTGTGTATTGTGATTCTCGGATTAATGTCGAGGTGTGAAGAATGTCGATTATGTCCTTGTAGAAGAGGAAATCATAAGTCGTTGGGTCTGTATGAGTAACTGTACAGGATAGTCTCTCAAAACACAGAATCAGAAGTCGAAAGACTCATACCAGAAATGGTATAGGGAAATGGGCATGTATCTTGACGACATACAAAAACAACGGACAGCGGTAAACGAAGCCCCTTCGCGTTCGACACACGAACACGCGCTGGACCACGCGAAGCTACCTTGGGTACATTTCAGATTAGGGCTGACTCTTGCATCTCGGCTTCCGGCTCACGCTACGGTCAGGGTCTGGGCCCTACGTCTTTGCCGCATGAGTTCATCGACTTTTGGATCTTTCGAACAATCCATCTGTCTCTCACATACGCATACACACACGACCATGTCAGAGGATCCAACACGGCAACCCGCAAACGCAGAAAAGTCCTTTACCAGCGAGCAATGGAAAGGCGCTGAGACCACTCACGCCGTCAAACCCGAAAACGCAAACGTCTACGCCGCCGCCGCAGCCCAGCATACCGCTGGTGGCTCAGCTGCCGATGTCACCCTCGCCGATGCCGCGAAGAGCATCAAGATTGAGGACTTTGCCAACTTGCCAAAGAAGCCTTGTGTGAGGGACTCGTTGCTCACTGGAATCACCGCTGGCTTTGTCGTAGGAAGTTCGAGGGCTATCTGGAGGGGTATGTGCATGCAGCTTTGTCGCCTTGTTAATCGTAGTCGCTAACCTGACTGTTCTAGCACCCGTTCAATCTGCAGCCAACTGGGCAGTCGGCACTTTCGTTATCGGATCCGCGGGCATGTACCAGTACTGCCAGTACAAGCGCATGGCTGAGAAGGAAGGCATGACACGCGCCATGGAGATCATCGACCGCAAGCAAGTCGAGCGCAAGCAGAAGGAAGCTCGTTTGGAGAGAGCGAGGGAGTTGCGCCGCCAGAAAAAGGAACAGGAGGATTCTCAGAAGTTCGCTGAACTGAACGCAGGCAATACGACACCAGGTGCTGCTGAGCAGCCAAAGTCTTCTTCGTGGAAGCTCTGGTAGACAAGAACCTCCTACACACTCGAGATACGCTTCTCGAGACGAGCATATGAACTGTATTTTTAGCCATGTATCATACTCTGTACAAATCACTCCCAAGACAAATCTGCATCCAACATCATGGTATCTTTCTATGGTATCGTACAAGCCCTTGAACTATCTACACCTAGCCCTCTTACTTTCTAGCAGGGGTCTGGCCAGGAATAACGACCTCCTTGAAGGGATACTTCAACTCGTCGTCCTTTCTCATAAAGTGCTTTCTTCTCTTCTTTGTCATGACATGCTCGACGATCAACTCCCTGGCCATCTCTTTCATGTATTTGCGAATGAATCGCGGATCCCAGAGTTCAGAAGCAATACCCAGATCCTTGCAGCAGCGCATCAGAGCATTCGACTTGCAGCCCTCGGTCGCGGTGGGAATGCCGTCGGCGTCAAAGTACTGTTGCTCACCACGAGCTATCGACACAAGTCTAGCAGAATTGTTAGCACAAATGATATTAGAGTGTGATGGCATGAAAAAGACTCACTGTCCTCCAGCAACAAGAGCATACTCCCTGGTGACCAGCTTGCCCGTGACGATGGTCTCGCTGCGAGGCACAAGGCCCCAGCCTCCAGGGCCAAAAGCCTTGTTCAAGATCCTTCTGTACTTGATCTCGGGCAGGTAGATGATTCCATCGGGCTTGACTTCAATGTCGTCGAATGGAATCTCTTGTGTCAGAATTGCAGCGGCTTCGGGGCTGAAGGGCGTTGAAGAGATGCCGTGGAAAGAACGGCTCCAGTCGACTTGCTTCTCGCCCTCTCCGAGAGTTGGTGGGGGGTCGTCCAGGCCCTCGGTCAGCGAACGCAAAGGCTCACTTGGTGTAGTGGGAGCTGGGGCAGCAGCGGCGGGCTTGGGTGTGTATGATGATTGAGCTGGAGGGGCGCGAGGAGCGGCGGTGTTTGCAGCAGCAGGAGTGTGTCCATCGTAGCGGCGGGTTTGCGAGTTGAAGCTTCTATAGGTTGATGGCGTGAGATGCGATGCGCGTGTGCGGGTGATGTTGCGCTGCGAAGACCTGACGGCAGACTCGAGGCCGGTGACGACCTCACGAACGAGTGTGGTGCGCATCTTGAAATGTGATTTTGATTGTTGCGCGTGAAGATTATAGGCAGAAGGATGGTTCAAGCGAATGGCGTGGCGACGCAGAAGATGGAAGCTGCTACTTGCTTCGTCACTGAAACCACCATGGTACTTACCGTTATATATATGCCACTGACACAGATAGATGCCTAGGACACGAATAGCACGCGTGATTGACGAGAGTTCAAGGAGACAGACACAGTTTGTTATACAATAATTCAGTGTTTTGGTACAAAGATCGTGGCGGTGGCATTTCATCATCCTCCGGCCGGTTCATCAAGCTCTCATGCAGTGTGATCATCAGCTTGAGTTGGGCACGCTTCCACCAATGTTTCGATCCTCTTAGACATTCTTCTGATCAGTTCTCCGGTCATTGCCTTGCTTCTTCCAGCATTGTTTGAACTCTTCCATCTGTTCTCGAATTGTCAGTATTTGCTTGCAAGACATCAATCCCGAGAACCGAAGCCACCCAAAAGTCCGAACGCGTTTTCAAACCCGAAGCTCGACTCACCTCTGACTTGCACTGTCTCCAATCTTTCTTTTCAAAGAAGCAGTCGTTTAGGCGTGTGTTCTCGACTGTTGTTCGTCTCAGTCATCTGTTTATTACTCCAGAAACACGCTCCCTCGTTTACCAGAGCAACCAGTGCTGAAGATACGCTTGTCCCTGCAGCCGTCTATTAGCATTTCCGAGTCATACCATCTAGAAAAGAGCAAAGACACACCACTCATCTGGCTCGTCATCGTCCACGACTGCACTCGCGCTGTTTTGCTTGGGATCTCTTTCGGCCGCCATTTTCCAAATTCTTGTCAAATATCCAGAGAAACAAGAAGTGCTGGTCATCATCATCCAAGAAACAGCGAGGATTCTCGGCCATTTACGAATCGAGTAATTGCCACATATCCACCATCATGGCTGATAAAAGGGTCAATGTGCTTGTTTACTCGGGTATGTCTCTTCAGAGTGCGTATGTTCTATCTGCTGATGTTCGCATGCAGGCAATGGCTCTACGGTTGAGTCAGTTCGTCACTGTCTCTGGTCTTTGCGCCGCCTTCTCGGCCCAAACTATGCTGTCATTCCCATTTCTGGCGAGTCGGTTCTCAAAGAGCCATGGACTGCTTCTTGCGCTCTATTCGTTATGCCCGGTGGAGCAGATGTAGGCTACTGTCGCTCTCTGAATGGCGAAGGCAATCGTAAAATCTCCGCCTACGTCAACAAGGGAGGTGCTTACCTCGGTCTCTGTGCAGGTGGCTACTACGCATGCAAGCGCTGTGAGTTTGAAGCCGGTAAGAAGGGTATGGAGGTGTGTGGTGATAGAGAACTCGGCTTCTATCCTGGCATTTGCAGAGGTCTTGCTTTCCCTGGCTTTGTCTATCACAGCGAAGCTGGTGCTAGAGCAGCTGAGTTGAGCGTCAACAAAGAGGCCTTGACTACTGTCGGAGGAGCCGTGCCTGCGACCTTCCGCTCTTACTACAATGGCGGCGGTGTCTTTGTCGATGCTGAAAAGTACAAGGATCAAGGTGTACAGGTGCTTGCAAGCTATACTGAGCGTCTACACGTCGACTCTGGCGAAGGCGCTGCTGCAGTGGTGTACCGTAAAGTCGGCGAGGGCTCCGTTGTCTTGACCGGCCCGCATCCAGAGTAAGTCTTGTGCTAGATCTTGTGGATCACAGGCTGATCCAGCTACAGGTTCGCTGCAATTAATCTTACCAAGGGCGGTGACAACCCTGCATATCCAAGAATTGTCGAGGCTCTTGCAGCAGACGACAAGCAACGTGTCGACTTTATGAAGGCATGTCTGGCCAAGCTCGGGTTGATCCCCAGCCAGGACGACCAAGGAGTACCTTCGCTATCTCGCCTGCACATGTCGACCTTGGAAGCTTCCGAAGTATCAGAAATCGTATCTGCATGGTCTGAGATCGTCGAAGAAGTGGATGGCCAACATCTCATCAAAGGCGAAAACGACACTTTCAGCCTCGAGAAGCAGAGCGGACCGTGGAAAGCCACAGACACGAGCACCCTCAGCCTGCAAAAAGTCGCCGACGCTCTTCCTGACGTTGTAAAGAATATCCTGCCCACCACCGTAGACAACCCAGCGACCGAACAGCAGGAACCCAAATCAGACGACACCGGCATAGTCGACTACGACAAACTAACAAAGACTCTTCTCATCCACGACACCTCCCTCCCGGACACAAAACAAACCCCTTACTTCAACCACCACGCCTATTTCTCCAACCTGTCCGCCTACAAAACCCGCCACCACCACGATGCATCCGAAACCTTCGGCAACACTCTCATCTACGGCGAAGTCGTAACCTCCACCTCGACTCTGCTAGAGAAGAATCCAAAGCTACTCGACAAACTCCCCACTGGCACCACTGCAACAGCAACAACACAAGTAGCAGGCAGAGGCCGCGGCAACAACGTCTGGGTCTCTCCTCCCGGGTCTCTGATGTTCAGCACCGTGCTGCGTCACCCAATGGCACTGTCAGCAACAGCCCCAGTAGTCTTTATCCAATACCTCTGCGCCCTCGCAATCGTCTCCGGCATCCACAACTACGACAGAGGCTACTCTGCCCTCCCCATAAAGCTAAAATGGCCAAACGACATCTACGCCCTCTCCCCCTCCGCCGGCAAAGACCCCAATCTCAAAGATCCCAAAAACTACGTCAAAATCGGTGGGATACTAGTAAACAGTTCTTATGCGGGAGGCGACTACACGTTAATCTGCGGCATCGGGCTAAACCTCTCCAACACCGCTCCCACCACGTCCCTCAACGCTTTATGCGCTTCTGCCCGCTTGCCCCCCATGACTGCCGAAAAACTCCTCGCGTCCATTTTGACTTCTTTCCAAAGTCTTTATCTCCGCTTCAGCCACTCTGGCTTTTCGCCGCTACTGGATACCTATTACGCTCATTGGTTGCACAGCGAGCAAATCGTTACGCTCGAGCAGGAAGGAGGCGCAAAAGCGAGAATCAAGGGTATCACTAGTGATTGGGGATTACTGGTTGCTGAGGAGCTGGGATGGGAGGATAGAGCTACAGGGCGCAAGTGGGAGCTGCAGAGTGATAGCAATAGTTTTGATTTCTTTAGGGGTTTGCTTAAGAGAAAGGTTTGAGAGTAAAGCGAATGGTTGGTAAGTTGTTGTACATTCGCATGAATTAACGTTTTGCAAGATCCAAGACGTGTTGGCAGAGGAGGATGAAAACGTGTTGGCAGAGAAAGTACGTGTACAAAGTATGCTCTGTTCTGGAAAGCCATGCCTTCTATATATGCAGTTCTATCGATGCAATGAAGCAAAAAGCGTCCACGACGACATTGAGTGTATCAGCTGATGTCAGTAACGCCCATCATCAATCATCAGACCACAACACCAGAAGCCAACCCCATGCATACCAGTCCCAAGACGCCTATGTCCATCAAGCAAAGCCCTACACCAGGCACCAAGACTCACTGCCATCTAACCCAGTCCAGCCTTGCCCGATTTGACAGTAGCCTGCACAGGAACAAGCAGACCACCGGAGCCTTCCTTGCCAAGCGACATACCAGCAGCCCAACCCATCTTCTCCATGAGCTTTCTGCCAAAGTTGGTGGCAGGAATCTCTGAGGCGTTGTGGCCGACGACATCTCCGTTACGGTATGCAGCAGCACCACCACCGCCACCACCCATCGCTCTGGTTCTCCTGACTTCGCTGGCTCCAGTGACCCTTGACTTCTTCGAGGAGTTCTTCATGTATCCTCCTCCACCTCTGCCGACGAAGTTTGAGACGCGGCTGAAGTGCTCGGAGCTCCACTCGATAGTCCTGGATGTCTTGATAAGGACGGGAGCTCTGTTCTTGCCGCTTCCGACAGACTTGGACTTGAGGTTGAAGTGATTGGCAATCTCGTGCAGAACCTTGCGGTCGTTCTTCAGCATCGGTGGGAATGCTTTGGTGGTCATCTCGTCCTCCTCCAGGAAGTCTTGAAGCTCGAATCTGACTTGACTCATAGTGATGCCTTCGGTGTAGCGTTGGTTCATGTCAGGCTTGAACTTGTTCTTCTTGCCGAGCAAGCCCAGTTGGCGCAACTCTTCACGCTCGGCCTTCTTACTGGCTTTCTTTGAGCGGTCGTTGGCCCATTGGTTTTGCAACTCCTCGACCAGGTCCGAGTCGGACAGACCAAGCTCCTCGGGGAGTGGACCAGACTTGCGACCCTTGTTCTTCTTCCTCAAGCTAGGACGATCGTAGTCCATGACATCGAAGCCACCGTAGGCGTCCTGCTCCAAGACATCTGCCATGAGAGTCGCGTCGGGGAAGTGATCGCTCTTTCTTCCGCCCTTCTTCTTCTTGCCACTCTTCGGCGTTGACTTGACAGAGTAGTTTGCGAGACCTGCGCGGGCACCATCAACATCTCCGAAGCGATCGTCGTAGAGCATGATATCGTCACCATCAATGCCCAGCTCTTCCTGCTTCATGAACAGCATGGCCAGCTCTTCGTCTGTCATGGCTTGCGCGCGTCGTTCTCGAATGTCGGCGTCGTCTTCCCAAGCCTCGCGCTCTTCACGTGCTAGACGTTCTTCGAGCTCAGAGCTGTCTTCGCTGCTGTTGTCTTCGTCATCATCGTCCTCGTCGTCGTCTTCGTCGTCCTCCTCTTCCTCAGAGCCAGACTCGTCTTCCCACTCGTCCTCTAGACCAGTAACATCGACGTCGTCTGGGTCCTTCTCTTCCTCGTTCAACAGGTCATCGAAGAATTCGTCCGTGTCAGAGTCGCCACCCAGACCGCGAGCGCGGGTAGGCATGTCCTCTGCAGCGATATTGTCAATGTAGTCCCGCAACAACTCATCCTCGAGATCCTGCTCGAGGCGGAAGATGCGATTCTGCTTTTTCCTGTTTTTCTTTGACTTACGTGAAGCGTGAACTCCGCTGAGGTCTTGGTCGAGACGATCAGCGAAACCGTTCGCCTCTTCCATCGAAGGCCAGTGTTCTGCGGGCTGTTTGGGTTTCGACTTCTCCGACATCTCTTTCGCCCACTCTGGCGGGTTGTCCAGCGACTCGAGGAACTTCTCGAGCTGAGGGTTGGCTTTCGGAGCGGGCTGAGCGACAGGCTTGGACGATGATTTCGATGCAGGCTTGGGTGCAGGCTTGGACATTGGCTTTTGAGCGACGGCAGGAGGATCGTCTCTGATGGTAACGCCAGCACGTCCACGGAAGACGACTTCATCGCTCGACGACGATCTTGCAGGCGATGGAGAGCGTGCGCGCGGGGCGGGAGCAGACTTGGTTCCCTTGAAGGCGAGCGAGTCGTCTCCGGCTGTGTCGACAAAGAATATGGGAGCGTCTTCGGGTGGCGGCGACGGTACTGGCTGCTGCTGTGGCGCAAGCTGTTCGATAGGAACTGTGACTTTGGCGTGAATGTGGACTGTCTCGTCAACCTCCATGTCAACCTGGTCATCGTCGTCGTCGTCGTCATCGTCATCGACTTGATCCAATGAAGGCATGGCGAAAGAAGGTTGAGCGTTGATATCCATCTGAGCCATTGCGTCTTCGGAGCCGCGCAGATCTTTGTCATGGTCGGCGTTGTTCTGCGTCTTGTTCAAGAAGGATCTGTCGACTTTGGGCTCATCTAGCGGAGCCATTGAGCCAGCGCTGACGAACGAAACCTTGTGGTCTCGTAGGCGCGACTCCTTTGTCCATTCATGCTTCTCTGTGCTCTGGAGTTCGTCTCTCAAGGAGAAATAAGGCTTTGGGGTATTTGATCCTAGAGGAGCAGAGGTTCAGCTGACAGAGGTGATGGGAGAGAGATGGCGGGACTGACCAGTGTGATTGTTGGACGATTCTTCGCGGAATGCAAAGGCATTCTTGTTGCGAGGCGGGGTGTATTTCGCAGCCTTTTGTCTCAATTTCTTGCCCATGGTGGAAGAAGAATCGCAAAAGTAAAGATGGATGAATACAAAAGTGGTCCCAGAAGGCAAGAGTGAGCAATGCACAAAGGCAGAAGAAGCAAGAGTGTTGTTTCGAGGAAGGAGCGATGGAGGCGAAAGTGGAAAGCGTCAAAGCCTCAGTAGAAGCATCATCATTCAGGGTCCGTGAGTGCCTGGTTTAAGCCCATCTAACTCCGACGGGAACCCCAGAATCCGCCGTCACGCAGCCATCACGGTCAAGGGTCGGTCGACGACCATAACAGCCTGTTTGCTGCTGTGTCCATCTCATGCACACACGGCCATGAACCGCGATAATCTTGTCCGCCTTGCTGGACGGTTCTATCAGTACATCAGCGATCCTATGCCTACCAACTCCCTCAACGACGCCATCTGGTGCCTGGGCCAAAGATACGACTCACATCCCGACTCATCCCCGCCCAACACTACACAGTCACAGCCCTCGCTACCTACTACTCCCGCCGTAGCAGACGCAACTAAATTTGCTCCCTCAGACTCGATAGCGTCGCCGTCCCAGAAAGAAGACGAGTTCGAGACGATCCAGGTGCAAGATGCCACCAGCAACAACGGCTGGCCACCTGCCTTTCTCGACGACTTGGAGTCTCGCATATGGCTGACCTACCGTTCCGACTTTTCTCATATCGCAAAGTCTGCAGAATCCTCACTGTCGACCAGAACTTGGCTCTCGCAGTTGGGCAACAACCAAGGCTTCACGAGCGACACTGGCTGGGGCTGCATGATCCGAAGTGCTCAGAGTCTACTGGCAAATACTTTACAGATACTGGAGCTGGGACGAGACTGGCGCAAGGGACAACAGCCGGGGGCCGAGCGAAATCTATTGTCTCTCTTCGCCGATGACCCATCTGCGTCCTTCTCCATCCACCGCTTCGTCAAGCACGGTAGCGAAGCCTGTGGGAAGCACCCTGGAGAGTGGTTTGGCCCCTCGGCCGCCGCTCGATGCATCAAGTATGCCTCCGCCCCTTGTTTGCTAGCTCGCCTTTACTAACTGTTCGCAGAGCGCTGGTCGACAAACATTCTGCTTCTGGTCTTCGAGTCTACATTCGTCCCGACGATTCAAGTGTCTACGAAGACAGTCTCATGAGCATCGCTCGCGCTTCCGATGGCTCTTTCAAGCCGACTTTGATCCTTTTGGGTACGAGGCTAGGCACTCGTGGTGTGACTCCGTCCTACAGAGAGGCCATCAAGTCTGCCCTACGCCTGCCTCAAAGCGTCGGCATCGCTGGGTATTGTCTTCCTTCTTCCTTGCACTGCTCTGACATCAACTTACCTTTGTTCGCAGTGGCCGACCATCTTCCTCGCACTACTTCATCGGTACCCAAGCCGATCACCTCTTTTACCTCGATCCACATACCACACGTCCCCTCCTACCTGCTTCCCCCTCCGAGGCTGACATCGCTACATGCCACACGCGTCGTCTGCGTTTGATAACACTTGAAGACATGGATCCCTCCATGCTCCTCGGCTTCCTCATTCGCGACGAGGCTGATTACAATGACTGGAAAGCCGCCATCGAGGCCACTCCACCCACACGCATCGTACATGTGTACAAGGAAGAGCCCTCACTCTCTGGCGACGCCACAGATGCCGATTTCGAGCGCGCTGTTCTTGACGTACAGAGTTGTGATGAGGACGAAGACGACGACGCTGTTCTTTGACGAGGTGCATAATCAACACGCTTACGACGACCCCGACGGCGTTCTCTCTTTGGGTAATGGTGTTTCTTTTCTTTCCTCTCCCTTCTCTTGCGATTCTACAGGTGTTGGCGACCGGTCTGTTCTTCTGGGATGCGAGGCTCTCTTCTGCGCCCGCCCAACGCGACGCGATAACTCATGCATTTCACACCTCTTTCTCCTTACCTCGGTGGTGTGCACTCCTGGAGTTCTTTCGACTTTGTAGCAACGGAATGGCAGAACACCAATTTGGCTGTTTTCTACGTTTTTACTTTTTTGGTTGACGCGTCCCGGTCTTTGGTGGTCGGTGGTTGGGTTTCGTGTCTCATTCGTTTTCGAGGTGGCTGGGAGATGAGGCCCGCTCGGAGATAGACGGCTCTATGGGAGAACAGGGTCGTACAGCATACAAGCAATTTCGAGGTCGACGATGATGTCCTGACTGTACCATTGACTATTTTCTTGTTGCAACAGCTCGAATATGTGTATGGTACACATATTCGTAGGCTTGATAGTTTGATTGAGCAGAAAGAAGCTTCGTTGGTGCGATATATACGAATACATGGTTTTTGATATGCTCCATCAAGAATGTGTACCCAGTTGACAAGGAAAGATGACCAGCAATATGATCCAATAACATTTCGAGGCATCAACCCCAATACGACGAGCAAACATAGTCTTGCATAGACAAGTGGATATAGCTGGTTAGAAGTAGGCTTCCTACGGTACAAGGAACAGTATACATATCGTCGATGCCATAGAATCGGTGGTGGAAGAGAAGGACAGGGTGGGAGTCTCTAACCAAGTTGACTTAGCAGCACGAACTTCCACCACACATCGACCATCTGTTTTCCCCCCTCACCTTTCCCTCACGTCTTCTCATTCTGTCTCTTTTTTCCTTCGAATAGATACACTTGAATGCTATTACTGTCCATCACATCCTTCTGATTCATACAACTGATCATCCTAGACGCTCGTCCATCGCTTGATCCGCACGATGTTGCGTTGCCATGCCAGTAGCAAGCTCCCCAGCTCCAGAGAGGAAGCTCGGACTCTGCATGCCCTGCTCTGCTCTGATCTTGCTCTAGAGGAGCAGCCACAGTAACGGACCACCGTGACAGTTTCGCGTTTCCCTGCTGCTGGGACTCTTGATCCTCGAGTCCCTTCCTACGCTCGCTATACAGATCCTCGTCTTTATTGCTTACGTTCTCGAGCCCCGTGGTTTCTTTAATCTCGGATTTCAGTATGTTTCTGGTACTGTTTCTCTCGATTCTAGAATGCTCAACATTGCTGTGAAAAAGCCTTCATTTTCCATCTCAAAAGGCTCGAACTTCTGGTGAATGGAGAAACTGGAAGATGAGCAGATGAAAACTGCACAGAAAGCAAAGTGGAAAAGATGAAGTAAAGGTTGGAAAAATCGATTTGGTTTCCTCCATGGTTCTTCGGCTCTTGATGTACAGCTCGTTTCGAACCTGTGCTCTGAATGCGCCTTCTTCTCTCTCTTGAATCGTCGTAAGAAAAACCCGATGGTTGTAAAATGAAAAAAACACACTGCGCAATAAACTTATACCCCGTTCCCATGACCGCATTATCAGAAAGAAGTAACCCCGCTAAACACCGTCCCAATTGGAGACCACCCCGTTGCCAAAAGCCCAGTTCAGGATCATGCTGAAACTTGAGGTGGTGGTATCACAGAGAAAAGGAAGCCATCAGATCAACAAAAGATGTTGTGATCAAAGCAACTCTTACTTGGTGGAGGAAGAGTACTTGGTAACGGCCTTGGTGCCTTCTGAGACGGCGTGCTTGGCAAGCTCACCGGGGAGGATGAGACGGACGCTGGACGAGAGTCAGAGACTGAAAGTGAGAGATGCGGATGTCGTAGTGACTTACGAGGTCTGGATCTCACGCGAAGAGATGGTCGACTTCTTGTTGTAAGCAGCGAGCTTGCTAGCCTCGGTTGCAACACGCTCGAAGATGTCGTTGACGAAGGAGTTCAGGATGGACATGGCACGGTTGGAGATACCAGTGTCGGGGTGGACCTGCTTGAGGACTGTGGAAAGCGCGTCAGTGAATGTTGGTGATAAAAAGAGCGCGAAAAGACGCGACTCGTTGATGCGGAAAGAGTCGGATCGGTGAAAGCAAGTGATGCGATCAAGGAAAAGACGCGATTCGGATCAGAGGAAGAAGTGGAAGTGGCGTACCCTTGTAGATGTAGGAGGAGTAGGTCTCCTTTCTGGTCTTGGAGCGCTTCTTCTTGTCACCGGAGGGGGCGGCGGTCTTCTTGCCAGCCTCCTTCTTCTCAGCGGGAGCCTTGCCAGCAGGGGCCTTGCCGGCGGTGGTGGGAGTCTTCTGAGCTGCCTTGGGTGCCATTTCGATTGATGTGGATTTGAAAAGTCGGAAAGACTTGTTGTTGAGTTGAGTGAGTTGAGGTGGGTGGTTAGAGGTGGTGGACACGTAAGATGCGTTGATGATGGATGAAGAAAGAAGAGAGAAGGGTGCTGCCGATGGGGGGGACAGCTTCAGTTAAGTACTGGCGGGCACGAGCTCAAATCACCAAAGTGACGAAGCGTCGAACGCGCTGCCAAAACGCGCCTCAGATCCTCTGGGTTGCGCTCCTTCCTTACTAGCGGATTCGCTTGGCAGCCAATCAAAAGCGGCAGCCGCGTTGATGCGGGATACACATGGTCTGTGCGCTCGCAGCTTCAAGATCTGAGCTGGTTGATCCAGATGGAGAAGCAACGTCAACGCGGAACGTACTTAAATCATAGAGCTCCCCGACCAAGCCTGCTGTCCCTCTTCCTTCATCTCTCATCCACGCTTCTCAACTCACGTCCAACGTATTCATCGTCCGCTTTTTAGCACCACTCACAACCCAACCTTTCAACCCCCCCAAACCAAATCAATCAAAATGACTGGCGGCAAGTCTGGCGGCAAGGCCACTGGCACCAAGAGCAGCGCTCAGAGGTAAGCGCAATCCCCTTCTTCACTCGCTTCTCGCCTTTGCGCCTCATTTGACGCGCTTTTCTCAACCAAAACAACGCGTTTTCGCACTTCGAATCACTTGAATCACATTCTGACTTGCATCTCAGCCGTTCCTCCAAGGCCGGTCTCGCCTTCCCCGTTGGTCGTGTCCACCGTCTCCTCCGCAAGGGCAACTACGCCCAGCGTGTCGGTGCTGGTGAGTCAAATCGCGCTTTTCAATCCAAACCAACCACATCTAACGCGCTTTCTCAGGTGCTCCCGTCTACCTCGCTGCCGTTCTTGAGTACCTGGCTGCCGAAATCCTCGAGTTGGCTGGCAACGCCGCTCGTGACAACAAGAAGACCCGTATCATCCCTCGTCACCTTCAGCTCGCCATCCGCAACGATGAGGAGTTGAACAAGCTTCTCGGACACGTCACCATTGCCCAGGGTGGTGTTCTCCCCAACATTCACCAGAGTACGTTTTGCGCTACCGCCACATTCAGATCTTTCAAGTCTAACATCTTCCAGACCTTCTTCCCAAGAAGACCGCTGCCCCCAAGGCTACCGGTGGTCCCAGCCAGGAGCTGTAAGCAATTTGCTTCACAACTTTCTGATTCTTTGGGTTTTACGGCGCGCGGGGTGCTGCTTCTTTCAGCTACGATAATGGGGTTTTAACGGACTGGGCACAAGTGATTTTTTATTAACGGGAAGAGCATTTTCTTTTTTTCGACAACATTCGCAAGGCAGATACCTCTATCCCAGGGTTTTCTGCAGAGAACAAGGATTGTACATTACCAACCGTGGCCACGGATGGGTAAATGAGACTGGAGGGGAATAGCTGAATGACACGCTTTTGATACCACTACATCAACCAATTCAGCTTTGTTAAACTTTACTCCGTCTTGTTCCTTTTCTTTCATCTCATCTCTTCTCCCCTTTTCTCACACCGCATTCCCTCATTTCCCTACCTCCAAAATCTACTCACCTCCAGGAGAAACACTCATCCAGCTCTTCCGACAACACCATCGACAGCGAATTCACGCGACAACAGCGAGCAAGCAAAACATCGCTGCCGACCGCAGAAACTCACCACGAGAAGCGACCGATCAGCGAGACCAGAAAACCAAAGGAAGCCACCACGAGAACGAAGTCTCAAGACAGTCAAAACACGATATGGCAAAGATAGCCAATTTCAATGGAAGCAAAGGCATCAGAATCCGACAGCAAGCCAAGACTGCAACAAAAGCAGAGATATCAGAGATCAATGACGCAAAGATCCCAAACAACCAAGGGAGGAGGGGGGGTCGGCAGAGAGTGCAGTCGAGTCTTGAAAAAACCAAGCAAAGCAGAATCATGATGGAGCAAGCAAGCAAGCAAGCAATTAACAGAAACACCACCACAGAAACGGCAGAGAACAGGCAGAGTCGTGGAAAAACAACAGAGAGACCAGTAAATCATGCGAAGAAGGTCAAAAGGAGCCAAACATCCAAAGAAGATGCGAGCGAGTAGATTCAAGTAGATTGCAGTAAAGACCAGATGGACGGCAACCACTAGATCGAGTTGCAGAAGGAAAAGACAGTTTGCTGAAAAAAATGACGTGTTGTTTTCTCCAAAGCCAATGACTTGAACACAGCAGAAAAGCGTACCATGCGAGTAGAATCAGATCGAGGAAGGGGGAACTTACCTCACTGTGTGCTGCAGAGTTTGAGAACGCATATGATAGCTATAGAAATGCACAATGTCCTTCGAAGAACTGTAGTGTACCCATCGAGATGTAATGTTCTCTCAGCTCTCTTTGGTTACACATCTAGTCTTGAAGTCACTTGTGCCTTTTTATAGCGAAGGACGCTGCTTGGGCGTCGAAGTTCAAGAAAGGCTGGGCAGAAAGTAGGGCTTGTCGGCATTGCTCTTCAATGATCCAAGGATAGCAAAGGAAAAGGTCCGGATTTGAACAATAGCATCAGGAGCGCCGGCAGTGCTGATAAGAGATCTTCGCGATGAGTAGACTGTATCGGGGGTGTGCTGAGTATGCGAAACAGACGCAAATGTTGTACCTTGCAAGCGAGTGTCTGTGATTCTCGGTGAGCGATCCAGACGCTGAATTGAGAGAAGCGTATCCAAAACACAGAGGAGCTTAGCCCTGTCTCCTATACAGTAGCGCTGGAGTATGAAGTAGGTGCACGAGCCGCGGAGTATAACAGCATGGCCTTTAGGTCCCGTTGGCAGCTGCTGAGAGCCTTTGGCATCGGACGAGGAACACGAGCTGGTTGCCAGAACGGACATGGCAATTGCAAGAACAACATAACGTAGCAAGGGGATGGCAAGAGCATAAAGCAGTCGTTAAAAAGAAGTGGTTTCGGATCAATCAAATTCAGATATCGTACGTAGCATCAATGAACTCTCCAGCAAAGTGGAAAGATATTCAGTGCTTGACTCTATACTTTTTTATCATCATTGTAGAAGATTGAGTTCGAGGTGTGTATTGCGTGTAAACATGCTATTCAGCAAGCATCTTCTGAACGAGGAGCGAGGAAGGCAGGAACGAGAAGAGAAGGAAAGAAGCGAATTGATGAACAGAAGAAGAGAATTGGTATCGAATTTGTTGGCTTTGTGGTATCTACATTTAGCAGCCTGGCGGGGGAGCTGTTGTGCGAGACTTGGTCAGTAGGCGGAAAGAGTCGCGGCTGAGGTGAAGGGAGGAGAAACGTACGCTCAAGGATGTGGCAGGGAAGGTTACGCTCGTACTTGCTGCCGCCGGGAGCGGTGGGAGGGCGGTAAGGGTCGGGGTGCTTCCACTGCTTGAGGAGCTCCTCGGTCTGGTCGAACAGGATCTGGCAAGAAAAGGGGAGTCAGTGGACTGTTTCCAGAAGGGGCGTTCGTGCAGTAGCAGCAGCATTGGAGTATTGCGATGGAGGCAGGCGAGTCGTGATCGAGCAAGACTCGTGGTAGTCCAGTGAAGGAAGCGATTGCGGTGATGGACGGATGTCACTCACTCTCTGCTGTCTAGGCTCGCGGATGTTGGCGTTGGCCTCGAAAAGAGAGCGAATGTAGAGAGCCTGGCCGCGCCAGAGGTAGCGGTGGACTGACCAGTCCAGGGCCAGCTTGAGCGACCGACGGTATAGACGGCTGTGACGACGAGAATCAGCGATGAGCACACGCGCGTAAGACGTCGAGGTTGGGTCCGAAGGGCAATTACATTGCAGGGATGTTGGCCATTATGTGAGGAGATCCAGATGGTCGACTGGAGAGTTGTGTGGTTCAAAAAGGACGAATTACACAGTCGCGACTTCCCAATCGGCGTCGGTATGCGCCAGCCAGTACAGAGCAGCTGCGGTTGCTGACCTCTTGGCACTGGATAGGGCTGCAGTCTGGCTTCTGGCTGTGGCGGAGAAAGTCGGAAAGTCGGGAAGACTTGCATTGACGTACAGAGGGAAAGCGCTTGGTTGCGGCTGATCACGACCAAGCCTGACATTTCGCTGCTGCCATCTCCCGTCTGCTGCAAAGCATCAACTGCTGCTACCTACTAGCACCTCTATACCGCAGATCGACCTGCACACCTACGCGCCGCGCTTCTCCATCTCGCCGCGCCCTCTGTTGCTCGACTCTCGCCTTTTTCTCGACTGCTCGTTTCTCACGCCCTCCATCATGTCCAGCCGTCAATGCCTCCGCCTGGCTGCAGGTGCTTCTCTGCGCCCTGCTGTCCGCGCTGCTCCCAGATACGCTACTCGCTCTGCCGCCGCTCTGAGATGTCTCTCTACCTCGTCCGTCTCGCGCTCCTCTGCTCTCCTGTCACAACAACCGAGGTAAACATCAAACATATCGACATTTCTGCTCTCCTCCTGATCACATCCTCAGGACACCCGCACATCTCCTCCGCTCTTCTCCCATTGCCCAGGTCCAGACTCGCGGCTATGGTTCGTCAATCTACCTGCAAACACACTCTGCTGCCATACTAACTGCTAGTCTACAGCTGAGAAGGTCGTCCAGGTCCCTACCATGGCCGAATCTATCACAGAGGGTACCTTGAAGCAGTTCTCAAAACGTGAGTGTTGCTGCTGAACTTCTGCGCCTCCTTTGTCTAATCAAATTGCAGAGGTCGGCGACTACGTCGAGCAAGACGAGGAGATCGCTACTATCGAGACTGACAAGGTACATCACCACCGACTTGCGCGATTTTTACCTCGACCAAACTAACCTCTCCCGACCTATAGATTGACGTTGCCGTTAATGCTCCCGAGGCTGGTACCATCAAGGAGTTCTTGGTCAACGAGGAGGACACCGTCACCGTCGGTCAGGATCTGTTGAAGATGGAGCTTGGTGGTGCTCCTTCCGGTGGTGCTAAGGAGCAGGCCAAGGAGGAGCCCAAGGCACCCGCCTCAGACAAGCAGGAGACATCATCTCAACCCGATGGTGGAAAGGAAAAGGAGGCCCCCAAGCAGGAGAAGACACCTGAGCCCAAGAAGGAGGAGCCCAAAAAGGCTGACAAGCCTGCACCTGCCCCCAAGAAGGACGACAAGAAGCCCGAGCCCAAGAAGGACTCCAAGCCCCAGGAAGAGTCTGCTTACGGCAGCCGTGAGGAGCGTCGCGTAAGACTCAAACATGTTCTTTGAAGGTGGAGAGTTTTGAACTGACAAATTTGGTACAGGTCAAGATGAACCGCATGCGTCTGCGTATCGCCGAGCGCCTGAAGCAGTCGCAGAACACCGCCGCTTCCCTCACCACCTTCAACGAGGTCGACATGTCAGCTCTGATGGACATGCGCAAGCAGTACAAGGAGGAGATCCTCAAGAAGACTGGCGTCAAGCTCGGCTTCATGTCCGCCTTCTCCCGCGCTTCCGTTCTCGCCATGAAGGACCTCCCCTCCGTCAACGCCGCCATCGAGGGCCCCAACGGTGGTGACACTGTCGTGTACCGTGACTACGTCGACATCTCCGTCGCCGTTGCCACCGAGAAGGGTCTCGTCACCCCCGTCGTCCGCAACGCCGAGTCCATGGACATGGTCGGCATCGAGAAGGCCATCGCCGAGCTCGGTAAGAAGGCTCGTGACAACAAGCTCACCATTGAGGATATGGCTGGCGGTACCTTCACCATCTCCAACGGTGGTGTCTTCGGTTCGCTCTACGGCACCCCCATCATCAACCTGCCCCAGGCCGCCGTCTTGGGTCTTCACGCCATCAAGGAGCGTCCCGTCGCCGTCAACGGCAAGGTCGAGATCCGCCCCATGATGTACCTCGCCCTCACCTACGACCACCGTCTTCTTGATGGCAGGGAAGCCGTCACCTTCCTCGTCAAGGTCAAGGAGTACATCGAGGACCCCCGCAAGATGCTCTTCGGCATTTAGATTCGTCATTTGACTTGACCTTCCTCTTTAATTACATCATAGTCATTGCGCCATCATGAAAAGCGCATCCCGAGATCATCGAGTGCTTTTCAGAACCAGAGAGTGAATCTCTTTTGGATGTATATCTAAACTTTTTCTTTGTCGCTCATGACCAGGTTTTTGTCGTTTTAGTTGAATCTTTTCACAACACAGCTTTGATGTGTTGTTGAGTCTTGCTTTCCTTTGGATGTTACAGGTGTCACACACAATACACAAGATGCGACATTTGTAGCCCTACTTTCTGTGGTGGTGCCTTGTAAACCGTGCTCTGTTTGACTTTCGTCCAACCATGAACTCACATTTGGTATGAAACACCCAGCGGACGTCAATTGTGGAATGGCTTGAGACGAGACGGAAAGTTGTCCAGAGTGTTGGTTCGTCGTCTTGATGCGCGTCTGTGTGTTTTGCAGCTGGCATGATGTTTGTGTTCTTCCAGATGTCTCTGTCAGAGTTGATGCTGTTAGGGTGAGAAGAGAGCTTCCTCCACAAGTCCCGAGTGGAGCCGAGACCGCTAGAACAGGGTTGTACCTCATACAAGCTGCGTAGAGACTGACGACGACATTGTGACTCCCCACGAATACATTTTGCTGATCTAATACTGTGGGTATCTTCCTTACTATACTCTGCAGCTTCGATATATATATATGAGTAAGTTGAAGCAAGACGTGCGTGAGATATTGCCGTTTCTTCATTCTTGGAACTATTCCTCAGAAAAATGAGTGTGAAGCATTGCAGATGAGGATGCCGAAAAATGAAAACCAACAAAAACATAAACTTGCTAGAATGATGAGTGATTCGCGACCGGAGAGGAATCAGGAGCAGCGAATCAGTCATACTATCAAAGCCAGAGTCATTCCAGAGGGAGAAAACATTCGTCGCTGTCTATATTGCTGTCCCGGATGCATGATTCGACGTTCCAAACAGCTTGGCAGGCCAAGGAGCTCACACCGGCATTCCACACGCGTCTCCATCATCAATCCTCGCGATACGAGGTCCCCCTTCGAAGCCATCACACTTCCCAACAGCAGCGTCGAACCCTTTGACCCAGTGCCAAGTCATGGCAACGCACAGCTCAACTGCCAGACACGTCCGGAGTTTCGCTTAGACACTCAGATGCGACGAGCAACATTGTCCACTAGCTCTCGTTCGCTGCATCTTCCGACTATATTAATGAGAAGATGCCGTCGATACCCGTCGTCGACTCGTGACACGAAAGTTTGAACAGAAATTGCGCGTTTCTCTAGAGTCTTTCCCTTTTGCTCATGACTCGACGTGGACTCACTTCGGTACTACAGAAGGGTCGGCCCATTGCGGTCTAGTAGTTTGGCTGGCATCTGCTTCAATCTGGTGGAAGCTACGAATGCGGTGCCAGTCTTGACGATCTGTACCGGAGCTCATCTCAGGTGCTCAAGCTTGGCAGTAACAGTGCTTCGACCACCGAAAGAACCCTCTCTCCTCTAGTCTTACGACCGTAACGGCTGCGAGCGACATTCTCTGTTGTAAAGCATTCACCTTCGATTCAACACCCTTGGCAGTCTGGCTCTCAGTCTTGCTTTCGGGACTTGATGAGCCGGTGAAGCATGAAACTCCATCATGGTACACTAACATACCAATTGTCACAGAGCGTCGAAAAAGAGGCATCATACTCCACCTACTCCCCCGTTTGAGCAATGCTTTTGACTCAGGATGTGATATCAACTTCTCGGTATCGTTCCATCCTGCCAGACTCTTGTCTATCCCTATCTCTGCTTGCAGCCACGTGGTATACAAGCTTCCTCGAAGCTGCTCCGTTATACCATTCCTGGTGGTCCACACAGTACAGGATATCGTTTCTCACGTGAGACGAGTGGCATAGACCCGGCACTCTCCCCATGAACAATGCAGTTCAAGTGGTCGCCAAGAGTTCTCACCAGTCAGTAAACAGGTCATAATTGCCGTCGTCAGGTCGTGCACAGGCTTCCTCTTCTCCATGCGCTCGGGCCTTCCTCTGCATATCAAGGCTGAGGATGTGTCGAGGATCTTCGCTCACGGATCACACCTGTCTGCACCAATTTGCTGGATCTTTTCAATTCCCCAGTGATACTCCAACGCTAAGTCTCATGGCTTAACACTAAAAATGTCTACGACCTGAAGAAACAATGCTACACCTGTCTGCATTTGGCAATGACAAGACGGAATTGGACTTTGCTCATGACTCCTGGACCGCCGATTGTGATTATGCTCCCGTCCGGGTTTCAAAAGTCTTGACCCTGTGTGGCGTGCTGTATGTTCTTTATTAGAGCATGGTCCCCATGACCTCTTCGTCTTGCCGGACATCGACCCGCTGCTTGTTGGTCCTCTTTTTGTAACGACATCCCCACATTCAGCCAGTCAACGAGAGCCTCACTTGATCTGGATAGCTACTGGATCTGGTGTTGATTTGACCAACTCCAAGCATGAAGTCCTTCGTGGCACTATCACTTGTCGTATTTGCTTGCGTGACTCAAGCACTTCAACCGTCGCAGTTGGAGAATGCGACTGCTGCGGACATTCTGCAGCTTGCAGCAGCAGAGTTGCCTACCTGCGCAGTACGTTGACCAACACGATGTGGTGCTTCTTGACGCTAATTTCCTATAGCTCACATGCACAATTACAATCATCAATGGGCCAGACTCGCCATGCTACCTTACGAATCTTGCCTGTATCAAATCTAACAAGCCGCTTCAAGATGAATTGAGTGTGTGTGTCAGGGCTAGTTGCACCATCAGAGAATCACTCAGTAAGCTATCTGAAAGTATCCTTGAGGGAACATGTCGCTGATTGTTGTAGCTGCAAAGAGATTCCTCCAGACGTTATTGGGTGCCCCACGGCGTAACAAGGAGGCACTTGGAACCTACACCACCTTGGTCGTAGGAGGCGTTGCTATCCTGGCTTATCTCATGCGTGTGGCTGCTCGGCTGCCCGGCTCCAACTCGAAATGGGGACTTGATGACTTGGCTCTCACCGTAGCTATGCTCTTCATCATCCCGCTGACAATTTGCGCATATGTTTGTAAGTGTTGCGTCTGTCGTCGTCTCAAATCTCTCTAATGACCACCAGTGAACCAAATCGGTATGGGCAAGGATATGTGGTTCGTGTCTTTCGATCACATTACAGAAATTCTAGAGGTACGTTTTTAGCATCATTAAAATTGCGCGCACAAAACTGATTCTTTTTTGCCAAAAACAGATCTTCTACTTTACCGAACTACTCTACCTAGCAGCTATCGGTCTGACTAAGATATCAATCTTGCTCTTTTACCTCCGAATCTTCCCTGACTGGAAGCTCCGTCGAGCCATTTATGCCATGATCAGCATTTGTGGTCTGTACAGTATCGTTTTCGTCACTGTTACTGCCCTGCAATGTATTCCTGTTTCAATGGCATGGAAAAAATGGGATGGCGAGCACAAAGGAAAATGCCTGGACTTGAACGCCGACGGTTGGGCATCTGCATCGCTGAACATCATTCTGGACTTGATCGTCATTGCTTTACCCATGAAGCAATTGACCGTTCTCAACATGAGCTGGCAGCGCAAACTAGGAGTCATTGTCATGTTCCTCGGTGGTGGCTTGTAAGATCTCCCCTTCCCTCTTTCACACATCACTCTCGAATTATCGCACATACTAATCTCTCCTCACAGCGTCACAATAGTCAGCGTCCTCCGCCTCAAATACCTCATCCAGTTCGCCCATACTGACAACGTAACCTGGGACTATCTTTCCGTCGGTTACTGGTCCGCCGTCGAAACCCACGTGGGGGTCATGGTCGCCTGCGCACCCGCGATCCGCTCGCTCCAATTCCAGATCCGCGAAAAGCTGTGGCCCAAACCTGCTTCTACACCTTCCTACTACTCCTCCGATACCAAGAACAGCAGCAAAACTCGCTCCAAAGTAGACTCTGCAAACCGCAGTTGGGGTGGAGGCGCGGTGTCCAAAGCTGATGGACCACGCTCGAGACTCAGTTCTATCGGCGCGCACCGTAAAGATGACTTTGTGGAGATTGACGAGTATGAGATGAATGTCAATGATGGCTTTGGAGCAAGAGGAAGGAGGTTAGATGAGGAAGATCGATTGGGTATGGCAGAGGAAACAGGGTCGGAGGGGAGTGTGACGAGGAGTTATACGCCGAATGATGATGTGGCGCCTTTGGCTGCTACGGCGGCACCGATCGGAAGGGGATATGTGAATGGGATCTTGGTGCAGACGGATTGGAGTGTGGGTAGAGAGTCTAGGGAGCATGGGCGTGCTACCTGAAGCTGATATATAGCTTTTTTTTCTTTGTTTAGATATACACTTTATGTACAATGTGACGATTGTAGTGGGAGGTACCAGACACTCACTAAATCTCTTGTCCGTATGTTGACTGTGAGTTCATCTGGTTTCTTTGCTTTGGTTCGCGACTTGCTTAGTTGAATGAAATAACAAGCAGTGGCTTCTTCCCTCCATGTTGAATCTTATAAACATATTTATCAAAGATGACAAATCCAGTACATACGGCCACAGTCAGCTGAAAACTGGGCATCCCGTCCGCTCTGCCATACATAAGCAGTTGAACGGCAGATTAGTACTACGGTGGGTGACCACGTGGGAATCCCTGCTGCTGTATGTTTTGTCTTTCAACCACTTTTTGCTACTTCGAGGCAGAGCGTACTCGGGGGTCTGTGTTTCTTCATGCAGAACCTTTGTCGATTATGATATGAACTGCCCGTCGCTCGATAATTTGCCATTGGAAGCAGTATTTGATTCGCCAAGACATTGCTCCCATATAAATACAGGTCGAGGGAGACGCTGGATGTTCTGGCAGAAAGTCACCGCCTCCCCACCCATCCAAACGAGTCAAGACAACCTACTCTCTTCCGTGATGGAAACGCTCGAGAAACTTTTGCAAGAAGCCATCGATAAGATGGATGCCGAGGCCGAACCACGTCACCTGGCTTTTCGCGCACATGGCAACCACGTCGTCACTTGCTTGCTATTGGAATCAGATATGATCATAACCGGCAGTGACGACACGACCATAAATCTATACGACGCACAAACCGGCGCTTTGCTCAAAACATTCCAAGCCCATGATGGCGGTATATGGAGTCTACAGCGCGATGGAGATATACTGGTATCCGGATCCACAGACCAAAGTATCCGAGTTTGGAGCATCGCTACCGGTAAATGCTTGCATTTATTGCAGGGTCATACGATGACTGTGCGTTGTCTTGCTATTGTGAAGCCTGTACGAGTTGATGTAGCTGTTGATGGATCGCCTGTTATGAGGCCGGAAGTGCCTTTACTTGTCAGTGGCTCGAGAGATTCGACATTGAGAGTGTGGAGGCTTCCGCTGGCTAATGATATTCCTACCTATCAAGCTGCTTCTTTAGCTGATGTCGAGAACACTTACTCGCTAAGTGTTCTCACAGGTCACCAGAAAACCATACGTGCTATGGCCGCTTATGGCGATACCATTGTTAGTGGATCTTTCGACTGCACTGTCCGTGTGTGGAAAATCTCAACGGGCGACACGGTGCGTCTTCTCACAGGCCATACGCAAAAAATCTACAGTGTGGTTCTTGATCACGAGAATAGACGGTGTATCTCTGGATCGATGGATAATTCTGTCAAGATATGGTCTCTCGACTCTGGCAGCTGTCTGCTTAGCCTCGAAGGTCATACTTCTCTAGTCGGTCTTCTACAATTGAACCATGGGCTACTAGTCAGTGGTGCTGCCGATGGCACTCTACGCGTCTGGAACCCAGATAACGGGGCGTGTCAGACTATCCTGCAACATACTGCAGCAATCACAGCTTTCCAGCACGATGGCCAAAAAGTCATCAGTGGCTCAGATCGAACACTCAAGATGTGGGATATCAGGACCGGCGAGTGCGTTCGCGACCTACTCACAGACCTCAACGTGGTCTGGAAAATTCAGTATGATGGAAAGAAATGTGTTGCCGCGGTACAAAGGGATAATCTCACGTATATTGAGGTATGTATAGAACGACACTCATCGATCTAGATGCGACTTATCACTTTTTTACAGGTGCTGGATTTCGATGCAGTTCGAGATGATTTACCAGAGACTAGTCAAGGTCGACGCGTTGTGGTCGATTCGCATGGAAGCGAGATTTGAAGAGTCACTGTCAACACGCTCGCCACTAGTGTGGTAGCTGCTATGAGTCAGGATCAAGCGCAGACACTAAAATCATATGAAATTCCATACTTACCGACATGTGACAAAGAGAAAAAGAGAGACGAGAATCTTCCTAGCTTTGCACAATAGACACAGACCGAACAAAGCAAAAAGATGAGCACCGTGAGTTGGATTCGAACCAACGACCTCCCAATCCGTAAGAGAGTGTATGAGAAACGACTGTAGGTAACGAGAGAACTGTAGGGAACGTAGGTTACCAGATCGGGGGTGCTGACCACTGCACCACCACGGCTTTTTTTTGCTTGTTAAAGGGGACATAACATTTAGGGTATATATGGGTTGGTGGAAAAAGTGTGAGGTACGGGAAGTGGGAGGTCGTATGAGGGAGTTTCGGATGAAGCTTCGACAAAGATTGGTGCTTGACCACAGCACATCACTCGACGACCACAATACTGAGATACTGGACTCTGCAAACATATGCGGAACCAAGAGCAAACATCGAGATGGGACAATATGAGAAACAGTATACCGAAAGCGAAGCCTGGTGCTATTTCTGCCTCATGGCTACCAGGCGGCTATTTCCAGTATATTTCAAACTGTGTGCGTGTATGCTGCGAGATAATGCATTAACCTGCTGCTTCGAAGCGCCGTGTTCAAGACGCGAGTTTTATGTGTCTTTGACGCGGATATCAAACTATCTTTGCCTCAGGTGTGGTAGTGACAAGCCTACTCAGTTTAGTGTGATGCAGTGTGTCCCACTTGCCCGAACACAATAGACGGATTGCAGAATTTGCGAATTGATAAGAGTGTCTGGTTTCCCGGCTCCAAGTCGCTGTCGAACAAACCTTCAAGTGCGCCTTCCTTCCAAGCTTGCAAGGATTCATGTCACAAGGATTAATCACTCTTTTCACGTTCCAGATACTAGTCTGTGCCCAGATCACAGCTTTATTCAAATCGAACCTTGCCATCATTTTTACCCAGGCCCTTGCCTGAACGGATCAGGATGGTTGCTGATGGTGGCCTCGGGACTGCAACAGCTGTAGGCAGTGCAGCCAATATCTCTCTGCGGCTTTTCCAGATCATCTACGAATTCAAGGCTGTGGGACAGCAAACGCAAGATCTCCTCGAATCGACCAACCACGTCTCATCCACTCTGCAAAGCGCGGAGATCATGCGCCAACAAAAATCTGCGTTTCTCACTGCAGACGAACGGGATTGGATTGATGACATAATCGTCGACACCAGACGCTGCCTCGAGAGCGTAGCCGCTTTGATTGAGCCAGCAAGAGTGGACATCCAGACCAACTCTGGGCATGTCGGCTTTTTGAACAGGAGTCGTTTTGTCTTCAGAGACTCACCCAAAGTTGCAAACAATCTTGCAAGACTCGGTATAGCGCATCAGAGCTTGAACTCTGCAATGTGCGTTCTCTGCTCGAAGGGACCTCACTGCCAACCCATGAGCGACATTTACCAGCAGAGATCCATGTCGCAACCATCATATGAAAGAGAAAGATGTGTACAGCGTCAGAGACTTCCTCGAATGACAGGTGCTTTTCTATCGTCCGATGACGGAGAGAAGCTTTCGTCTGCATACTCACACTCTCAGCGTCCTTTCTCCATTGTGCAGATTCAGAGTCCAGATCCAAGATTGTCCACAATCGATTCTTCACCCAGGTCATCAATGAAAACGCGCCCGGAGACTGCAGATGTATCGTCGAGCACCATACCTAAGGATGCCGAAACTCACGAGGGGTTAGATTTCGCCGGCCCGAGACTGCTGACGGACCCTGAAGGACTCGAAGTACAAGCACAAGCTAGCGGTCTCAGTCAGCCAACTGAGGTGTCGTCGATATACCGGTCGAAAGGAAGAGCTTGGTTAGCGATGCGAAGCATGCAACTTCGGTGATGATGGTCACAATCCTTTTCATCTGTTCAATTTTTCCTCGGGGCCATGGTCAATTTGTCTTTGCTGTAGTGCTCAATCCCAATCACTTTGCACACTTTGAACTCGTGTTTCTCTGACGCTCGTTACTGATCCATCAGACGTGTCGATTGATCTGCTATTCTGTCAAGGTCTGACTTTGAGATGGTAATGGTCCAGCTGACTGCTCCGGAGAAGAGATCTCGACTGAGACCATGCTAGTCCTCAGTATGCATGCAGTCCAAAAAAGATTGAGGTTGCTGAGTCGAGACGCGGAGGAAGTCGAACGACACGCGAGGTCGAGGCGCGAAGTTTTTCCGGGCGCTTGACCAGCCATCCTCGTTCGCTGTTTCTTCTTGTAACAGCTTGATGACAGACTCGTTATCGAGGAAGCGCGTCTGAGGCACAGCAAATGAAGCTGTACCTGCGACACGCCCTAATTTGATTACTATGATGAATGGCGCGTGGGCGCGGGGGCGCTTAGGCGTAAATGAATGGCTAGAAGAGCTTCAACTGGAGGCAATCTGCTTGTGTCCTTTTAACGTCGCCTCTGATTACAATGATGCAAGGTGGTGATCTTGACGCCGTCATGGTTGTTTGTGCCTCTTTTGCAATCTGTGTCTCCTCCGCCGTCCACTTCGAACTTCTATTCTCCACGTTGAAGCCAGCCGTATCGAAGCCATGGGTTCTCCGTACCAGAGAACAATGACAGTCCCCCGAAGATGGCCTGTGATGGTCGTACTGGCCTTAATAGTTCTTTTCCTACTCCAGAAGCTGGACTTTCTACATTTTATTCCTTCTCTGCCGGACAACGTTCAGTCAACGCCATATACACCCGAACAATCAGTCGACGACGACAGATTCCATTGGAAAAAGCTTCCTCTACGCTATCCGGTATCGTCATATGCTCACCTCCCGAAAAGTAACGCGAAGCTTCCGCAAGTCCAACATGCCTTTGGCCACGAGTCGACGGAGGAGGCAACTATACGACAGAAGCGCCAGAAAGAGGTCAAACGAGTACTACAAAGATGCTGGTCATCATATCGGGAACACGCCTGGCTGTCTGACGAGCTCGCGCCTGTTACTGGATCAAAAAAGGACACTTTTGGTGGCTGGGCTGCCACTCTGGCCGATACCCTAGACACTTTGTGGATTGCGGATCTCAAAGATGAATTCCACGACGGTGTAGAGGCTTTACTGGATATCGACTTTACCAAAATATCACAAGGGGAGATCAATGTGTTCGAGACCACCATTCGTTACTTGGGAGGCTTCATCGCTGCTTTCGACCTCAGTGGAGACCGCCGTCTTTTGGATAAAGCGATAGAGGTCGCCGAGATGCTTTATATTGCTTTCGACACGCCCAATCGCATGCCTATCACGAGGTGGAATGTTAAAGATGCCGCTGCAGGTAAACCACAACTGGCAGGTGAAGGAGTGCTCGTTGCGGAGATCGGCTCCTTGTCGCTCGAGTTTACCAGACTCGCACAAATAACCCGCAACGACAAATGGTACGACTGTATTGATCGAATCATGCAGGTCTTCGACCGACAGCAAGGCAGCTCGAATATTCCGGGTATGTGGCCGCTTGTGGTCAACGCTCGCACACAAGACTTTGCATCTGGAGACCATTTTACGCTTGCCGCCATGGCCGACTCTCTCTATGAGTATCTTCCGAAAATGTATGCCCTTCTTGGCGGCTCGTCAATGTACGCTAAGATGTACGAAGACGCTATGAGCACTGCTATTCAGGAGACCGTATTCAAACCAATGGTCCCGGATAATGCGGATATCTTATTGTCTGGTAACGCGCGATCAGATCGCAGAGGCGAGTCTCAACTGCAGCCACAAGGACAACATTTGGTCTGTTATGCTGGTGGCATGCTGGCATTGGGTGGACGACTGCTCAAGAATGAGACGCATATTGAGCTTGGGCGAAAGCTCACCGATGGCTGTATCTGGACGTATGAAGCCACCCCACTAGGTATTATGCCCGAAGTCTTTGACATGATGCCATGCGGACTAGGCTCAAAATGTCCTTGGGACGAGGCCAAATGGAAATCAAGCGTCCTGGAGAAAGCAAGCCAAGATTCAGGAGCGGACGCATCCGAGGTAATCAAACACGAACGCCTGCCCCCTGGCTTCACATCCATCTCCGACAGACGCTACATCCTCAGACCAGAAGCTATCGAGAGTGTCTTCCTTCTTTACCGCATTACAGGCGATCCTCTGCTGCAAGAGAAGGCCTGGCAGATGTTCACCAACATATCCAAGTACACTGAGACAGAGTTTGCGAATGCGGCACTCAGAGATGTTACAGATCCTTCTGCACCAAAAGATGATAGCATGGAAAGTTTTTGGACTGCTGAGACTCTCAAGTACTTTTACTTGATCTTCAGTGAGCCTGACTTGATCAGTCTGGATAAGTTTGTCTTCAATACTGAAGCACATCCGTTCAGAAGACCATAGTTTGTACCAATGACAGAGACCGCTGCTCCATACAACACAATTTTGTTCTTGCGTTCATCCATTACCTTCCAACGCGGCGTTCTAATTTCGGGCGACGAAAGAAGCTGACACGCATCAAATGGTGCCAGATATGTCAAATCCGGTGTTTTCACTCCCCTGCATTAAACTTTCGAAAAATGCCGTGTCCATTCCCAAGACCGACCAATCGTCGAAACCAGTCGCAATATCTGAGAAAATTTGGTCCTGCTGCGTGATGAAATCTTGCTGTGTTGCGCTTTCCAGACGTGATGGTTGTGGAACAACGCCTGTTTGTTGTCTCGCAGCACCAGGAACCTGTTGGACTGGGGTTGAATGGCTGGATCTCGAGTTGTTGACGCGAATCGATCCTATTCCACCAATACTAATGTCTGCTGGGCCTTGATCATGCTCTGATCTGTGAGGGACCACGACTGCGATACCTCCTCTGGATATTCTCATACCGCCGAAGAAGGGTGCTCTATTTATCAACATATCACGGCTGTCCTCGGCGTTATCAGGACCTTCGCGTGGTCGATTGCCACTCTGATCTTGTTTCCGGGCTGCGCCTTCTTCGATGATCAACAGATCTTTGAGTAAAGAAGCACATCTGAAAGCAAGTTGATGCTCTTGAAGCTCTGAGATGAACGTTATGCATTCTAGCGCCCGCTGCACCATCGCTCGATCACCCAATCGTTGATGCGCCAACATATTTCCTGCTGATGTATCGCAGTGGCTTGTAGCGTGCGCCAGCATCAATGTCATGCCGGCGATCAACGCCATGAAGTCATTCATACGACAACACGCAGTGACAGGATTGAAAGTCCGCAATGCGATCTGTCGAGTCAGGATCTCACGACTTGCATTCACACAAGCCATCTTAGAGTACATTCTCTGTGTGCTATGGCTTGGACATAGCATATGAGGCATGTGAAGTTGGATGATCAGAGTATAGTAGGAGCTGTGATCAAAAACACGTCTGATCTCGTCAAAGGCGTTTAAAGAGTCGCGAGTGAGTCTTGAAAATTCTGCCGGTCGCCAGAAAGTTGGTGGTAGGGATTCGGAGATTCTGAGGAGTTCTTCGTCGATTCTCTTTGTGAGATCCAGAGCTTGCTGTGGTACTTCGATCTGATTTCGTTCGAGAATTTTGCCGGCGACATTTCCCAGGTGGGTGAGTAGACCACGATCAGCAGTTACATCGAACCGAGTTTCTTGTCGAACCAACACTATCCCACCTGTACTTGTGGGCAATCCAGACAGTAGAGAGACCACGCGCTCCATATATACGATACTGCTCCAGATGGTCTCGGGATCAATATCATTTCGTGGATCTATAATCTTGTACCGGTAGTGACCAGAACGGTGTAAGCCTAGTAGTTGCGCAGCCACCACGGCACGACGCATGGTTATCCAAGCCTGTCGAATATCACCAGAATCCGTGTGATAGAAAGCTTCAAGTATGATGATCTCCAAGCCCTCCAAAGACCCTAACAGTGAATCATTCGTCACGACCGTTCTGATTGCCGCTCTAGCCAGATCATCCATGATGCGGTGATGATGCTTGTCAAGACCAGGTATCGTTTCGGTAGGAGAAAGATATTGCAAGGCTATCGCAAAGAGCAGCATTTGTTTTGCCAATAAAACTGGATTGGATTCTGGAGCCAGAAGATTCGGTTTTGCGACGCACTTTGCAGACCTTTCGTGCAGCGTAGACAGAGGGGCTTTGTAGTCGAATTGGAAGCATGTTGCAGAAATGTGATCGACTCGATATTGGAGGATCTCAATATCTGCTTGACTAGGAAAAGAGCGAAGAAGTTCTTGTGTGGCTGTTGAGTTTGTTTGAACTTCTGAAGGTGAGACATCGTTCGTAATAGGAGTCGGTGGTAGTCGTATGCGATCTGAAGGACATTGTTCACCAACCTCTGCTCTGCCGTGAAGAGCCAACGCTGGCGTCGCCGATTGCACTTCCCGATCATCATCATCAGTAATTATCGTCGTCTGATCATAGAATTCTTCGGTGGGTTCCACACTCTCAGCAAGAGTCATAGAGGACTGAACGACTGACTGGCTAGTGCATGCCGAACCTCGTCGCTGACACGGAACGCACTTGACATCAGTAGGAAATGCGAGGACGCATCTGACCTTCCTCCGTCTGCACTCCCAACAGCTGTGCGTTCCCTTTCTGACCTTGCCTTGTCTTGGCATGTTGAAGGATCGTCCGAAGACTGTTCGCTCAGCAAAAGTCTACCGCAAAACGGACGAATATCGATGCTGACATACCTGAAGGCGCGCACAGAAGACCGAAGCTTCGGTCGAAACCCCCCAAACCTCGGACGAAATTATTGGTAGGAGCGATGCTGTTCTCAACAGACAGCTTTAGAGTTGGCAACAACGCCCTCTTAGACGCCGAGCTCTCAAACACTCGGACGAATATCACTCGTACCATCGAAAGAATGAGTACACTTCGGACGAACGAACACGGACATGCAGGTAGGTACTCGGTGCAATGCGATACCTCAACGACCGGGCTATTGTGTTCGTCCGTCGCCGATTCTGTGATTATAAGTACTCAATCTCGTGTCACTTGCCTTTTCCAGGATGCTTGCCATACATCGATCCAAGACGTCACCACAAACGGACAGCACCAGATTCCAGCAACCCTCTCACAATCTGAGGCAAAATGCCAGATGTAAAAGAAGACCCGGTGGAGATCGTCAAGCCTGAAGAAGATACTGTTATCTCTGACGATGAGTACTTGCATGGTACTCGATTGACAGCTTTGACTGTATCGCTTATGCTCGGCATGTTCTTGGTCGCACTTGATAACGTTCGTTTGACAATTACTCAGATGTGAGCAGGAGACTGACCATTACTTGCTAGACGATTATTGGCACTGCCATTCCTAAGATCACAGATGAATTTCACGACCTCAACAAAGTTTCATGGTATGGCTCAGCGTACTTCATGACCTTTGGTGGTAGTAAGTGCTGCTACCAGTATCTACATAATCACATCACTGACCTGTACAGAGCACGAAACCCAGACCCTACGCCTCCCATATACCCTCCGACCGCTTCCCTAACCCTCACAGGCTTCCAATCAACCTGGGGAAAACTATTCAAATACTTTCCTCTAAAACTCTGGTTCCTCATCGCCATGCTAATCTTCGAACTCGGAAGCTTGGTCTGCGGCGTAGCCCAAGACCCGACTAGTCTAATCGTCGGCCGCGCCATTGCAGGTCTAGGTGGTTCAGGCGTTGCTGTAGGCGTCTTCACAATGCTAGGTTTTGCTGCTTCACCCGAAAAGCGCCCACAACTACTCGGCTTTACGGGAGCTACTTATGGTATTGCTGCTGTGTTGGGCCCGTTGATTGGTGGTGCTTTCACTGATAAGGTGACATGGAGATGGGTCAGTGATCGAACTGTGTTTTGCTTGAGAGTGCACTGCTGACGAGCGATAGTGCTTCTATATCAATTTGCCTATCGGAGGCGTGGCGGCCATTATTGTGTTTTTCTTCTTCAAGCCTCCGAACAGTGCAAAACCTGTTCAAGCAACCTTGAAGGAGAAATTGCTGCAAATGGATCTCATTGGCGCTGCTATCATGATAGGGTTGATCATCTCTTACATACTCGCATTACAGTATGGTGGACAGACCCATTCATGGAAAAGCAGTCAGGTCATTGGCTTGCTCGTCGGCTTCGTCCTCCTAGTTGCAGTCTTCATACTCTGGGAGATCTATCAAAAAGAACGCGCGATGATTGTCCCTCGCCTGGTATGCTTATCTCTTTCTTTAACACTACCACCATTGCTCTTCCAGCTAACGAATATCATCAATAGTTTCTAGAACGCCACATCTGGGTGGGCTCCCTCTACATGTTCTTCTTCGGCGGTGCCTACTTCGTCCTCCTCTACTACCTACCCATCTACTTCCAAAGCATCCACTCTGCCTCCCCCATCAACTCTGGCGTCCGCATGCTCGCTCTGATCATCCCTTTGACTCTCGCCGCTATCGTCCAAGGCTTCGCATTGTCGAAAATCGGTATCGTGCCTCTTTTCTGGATCATTGGTGGTGCGATAGCGACCATAGGTGCAGGGCTGATGTACACCTTTGATGCTGGCACATCGGCAGGAAAATGGATCGGATACCAAATCCTCGTTGGCTTTGCCACTGGAGCTACATTTCAAGTTGCAATCGCAAATGCACAGGTACATGCGAAGGCAGAGGATTTGTCGCAGGTGAGCGCGATTATAAACTGTAAGTCTACCTCTCCTTCCCCCCACCTGCCCCCAAACCTGCCCCCTCCAATCCCACTCTATCGCCTTCCTAACTCTTCCTTTCTCAGTCTTCGTAACCATCGGCGGCGCCTTCTTCATCTCTGCGGTCCAATGCGCATTCAACAACACACTCATCGCCTACCTGCTCAAAAACTTGTCTGGCATCAACCCAGCAGCAGTCTTGGGCATCGGAGCGACACAGATACGTGAGCAGTTTACAGAGCAACAGGTGCCGATTGTGTTGGATGCGTACATGGGTGGCTTGAAAGTTGTCTTTGCCATCACCACGGCCGCTTATGGTGTTTGTGTTTTGGTGGGTAGCTTTGGGAGTTGGAAGAGGTTGAATGAGGAGGAGATTAAGAAGGCTGCTGGTGGAGCGGCTTGAAGGACTGGGTGCGTGCTTGGATGCTTTGGTCGTGGGTGTGTTGTTACGCTTGGGAAAGACACGTAGTTCTCATTTGAAGAGGTACGCCGGGGCTGCAGGGTGAGCTTTCGTGATGCTTCACAACGTCCTCAGGCCTACTGAATAGAACAGAGCAGACGCAAGCGTAGGAGTAGGCCCTTGTCTGTTTAACAAGTCATATCAATCTACACTGTAAACAATTTGTGACAATGGTAGATAGCTAGACTGTATATTATATTACTAAGGGTTGGTTACGTAGTATAGAGAAAACACAGGGTAATCGCAAAGTGGGCTCGTAAAAACCAAAGGGCAAAAAAGCAAAAGAAAATCAAAAACACTGTAACAAAGGAGAAAAATACTCAAGACAACAAACATCGAAAAGTACAAGGAAATCGTGTCGTGAGAGGTCAACATTCCACCACAGTCCTGTTGCTTCCCGTGTCTTATATTCACTGTCGTTGTGTCTTTACTCTCTTGCCTGCTCCCAAGCGGTAGGAGCAACAAAAGTGCCATGAGAGCCCACGGTAGGACGAGGAGACCAAGATCTCTCGGTCTTCTCCTCAGTAAGGCCAATGCCAGGAGTAGCGGGAGGGAACTCGCCGGGAACATGCAACTGGCTGACGCTCATGTCGGTATCGTGTCTGACGACCTTGGGGAAGATCGCGCCAGTCTCGTGGGCACCCTCGCGTTCAAGGCCGCCAAGACCATCAGAGGCCTCAGCACGGGGAGTCTCAGCGCCGTAGGTGGACGAGCTGTAGTTTACAAACTCTGGTGATTGAGGGACGTTGGAAGAGTTGGGAATCAAAACAGGGAAGGGTGCAGTGCCTGTGTAGGTGGCGCCCGAGATGCCATTGTTATCAGCGAATGCCGAAGGATTGGTGGTTGCGGCTTCGTTGGAAGTGGGCAGGGTGCTGTGACCGCCAGTCAGGTCGCGAGGGCGCTCATCCTCGTAAGGAGTCTGCTGTTCTTCGGCAACGGTGTTGGCAGAAGGCAAATCCTTGTTCTGTTGATGACGATAGGCTTCAGAGCCCAAGACGCCAGCCCCAACTCCAGCAGCAGCAGGAGCCATCCAGTCTGAATAGTTGGTGTTTTGTCTCGTGGGTTTGGCAGCAGGAGCCAGAGACTGCGACTCAATTGCGCTTACGGGAACATCGGGCTGGAACTGATGAGCTGGAGCTGCATGTTGGACAGGCAAGACAAACGTCTGAGTGGGCTGGGCCACATCGTTCTGAGGAACAGAAGTGTGGTTGAAGTTGTCGACAGGGTGGGGCTGGTATGATGACTCGGAAGCACCCTCTCTGAGAGGCAGAGTTTCTCTGGCATGAGCGACAGAGCCAGGAGTTGCCGAAGTGTAGGGCACTGTCTGGTGTGCAGGCTGTTGCTCGTGGGTAGAGACGCCCTGCAGACGGTAAGGGTTGTCATTGTAACGAGCAGACTCGACAGCGCGAGTGGGCTCGAGGGCGACAACACCAGGAAGAGCAGTGACACCAGGGATAGTGCTGTGGTCGGCCTCATCAGACTCGCTATCAGGCGATGCGGCCATGGCGCGAGGAATCTGCAGATCAGACGGGAAGCGACCGCCTTATGGATATCACGTCAGTTTAGATTCGGTGCAGTGTGGATTGACGCTATGAAAGGGACAGCACATACTCACCTGGAACAGGGCGTTGGAGGCGGGTCTCGCCAATGGGCTGGTTGATGACGCTGGACTGAGTCGAGTAGGGAATCTGGTCAGCTTCGTCCTCCTCAAGACCATCACTGCTGATGCTATTGCGGTGGCTGTGCTGACTAGCGCTACGGACATGCTGGCGGACAAAGGCATTGCGCTCTTCAGCAGGTCTCTCGGTGAGAATCTTGAGGGCTTCGAACCAAGCCATCATGGTCTCGTAGGACTCGGCGCGGAATACCCACGAGTGGCCGCGGTGCATACCACCACTCTGACGGCCCTTGAGCATGAATTTGTGCGACGAAGATCCAGGCTCGGAGTGAGAACCCAGCTTCTGGTCGGGCAGATAAAGCGACATGACAGGAGGTTGAGAGTAGATCTTGTCGGCCGACTTGAACTCGTGCAAGTGGGTGGGCGACAGGACATACCAGCCAGGGGTGTAGCTCTTGAGGTACTTGCTCTTGCGCTCGAGCATGCCAGCTCTGACTTCAGCTGCTGCAGGAGCGTGCTTGCCAGGGTAGTCAATGTCCTCAATACGGCGAAGAGGCAGTCTGGGATTGACAAAGTGGGGGTCGGTCTCGACGAAGCGCGACCACTCCAAATCCTTGGGCATGGCAATGGGCCCTCCGCGAAGCTGCTCAACAGTGTTGTAGGCGTCGTCGCCCTCGCGCTTGAGAATGCTGGCCATCGCGTTGTAGGCCTTCTGGATTTCGCCTACAACGATCGACTCAAGTTCGCGACCCGAGCTCTCGAGGTTGAGGTATGCGCGATGCAGGTAGTTTTCCTCATCAATCTGCTTCTCGACCATACGGTCCACACCAAGGCGGACGATGAAGGGATCGGTCTTGCTGTTGTCACCGTGGTCTGCATGCTGCAAGGCTTCAGCAAGCGCATCAACAGCCTTGCGTGTCGCGTCCTTCTCCTTGTCAACCGAGTTCTTGAAGTCGCCATTAAGACTCTTGATCTCCTTGATCTTCTGGGCTAGATCGCTTCTCAGGCCAGTCAGAGCAGAAATGACGTCCTGCTCAATGTCGCGCGACTTGTTTGATTCTGCGACCGAGTGCTTGTGGTAGTCGCCTAAGATGCGTGATGCGTCTGCGAGACCGCCGTCGGTGATAAAAACCGAGGGGTGGGTGAAGTTGGACAAGACATTCGAGACCTTCAGCAGAGCCTTGCTACGCGTCTCGTAGCTGGATTGGATCTCACGGAAGTAAGTGATGAGCGACTTCAGGAGTGTGCGCCATGCTGCAAGGCGAGTCAGATTGCGAAAACACCAGTTCTAAATGTTGAGACATACCTTGGAAGCGGTTGGCTAGGATATCGGTAGGGCTGCCGTGTGTAGGAATAGGAGTAGACAAGGCGCTGTTGTAGTCGTCGTGAGCACCGGGAGTACCAACACCAGCGATGCTACCGGCTGCGAGGCTTCTACGACTGCCGCTGCGGCCAATACTAGATTTGCGGCTGACGCTGGCCTTCTTCTTGAGAGTGCCACCACGCGACAAAGTGCCGTCTCTGTATGCGGCAGTCGAGGCGCTCGAAGCGGAGCGGTTGATAGCTCCGTCTTCGAGAGGGATTCCGGCTGGGCTGCCAACAGTGCTTCCTGCTACGACAGGGTTTCCACCTTCTGCTAGAGTCAGGACAGTTGATGGTATGGCACTTCAACGAAGCTTACCATGGGCGAAATCGTGGTGCGAAGCATTGCCATAGCCACTGTTCTGCAGCGTGTCGGATTGTTGCGGTGCCGACCCGTAGAAGCCACTTTGCGGTGGGGATTGTGTATACGAAGCCATGTTGACCATTCAGTTGCGGAGAGGTATGGATGGGGGCTATCTCAGGAAGCACAACACAAGGAAATTGGATGTTGATGAGAAAAACGGATGGTATCGAGGGAGGCCCGCGTAGTGATTGGGTTTGTGTGGAGAGGCTCGAGTGACGAGTGACGCAGACGTCCCACGCAGACTTAGCTACGTCACCAGAGGACCCTTGGCTGGTTTGCTTGGTGCTGCTCGACTTTGTCTGCGTGCCTTGGAACTCAAAAACGGCGAGCAGTGGACAAAGAAAGACGCCAAAAGCCACTTGCGATTGTCGGTGAGTCGAGCATCGTTGTTCTGCTTGAGCTGGTTGCTCGTGTTTCAGTCAATCCCAAAGTCTGTTCTGAAAATGGTGTAGCCAATCTCAAATCACTACCGGCTGATCTTCATCTCGTTCGTCGATCCGTACAAATCCTTGTCATGACTGCTTGGGTTTACCTGCCTCGTAATTCACCCAAGCCTCGCATTCAGAAAGCTACAAGATGTACACTTGGATATCTGTAGCAGCTGACAGTCCTCTACACCTGACACGAACTGTCGCTATAGGATAATTCAGCTTCGGGGCTCGCTCCTTGGTTGGGCAGGCAGATCAAGGCAGGAGGATGTGGATAAAGTCAAAAGTTAGGCACGCCCGGAACGACTATCGAGACCCGCCCTTATGACCGAAGAGCCATGACGAATATCTGAGTTCTTACTGCATCACAGGTCGTGATAACATATTTCTTGTCGCTTCTGAGCATGAGAGAATCAGATCAAGTAGAAGTTGAACTGCTCTTGCAATCTTGACGAAAAGGTCTAGATGCGAGTACCAAGCTTTGTGGCTGATGATGGCTGATCAGAGAGAAGTGGCTGTGCTCAAGAAGATGCGGAACGGCTCGTGTGGGTTGATGATTGAGAATACCAAGACTCTACCAAGACCTACAGCGCTTGGAGACAAGAAATGCCGAGTGCAAAAACAGTCTCGACGACATGTTACGGAGGACGCGCAGGTCGCTGTTGCAGCTCGCACTTGTCTGTATAGTCGTCTACTTGGTCTTCTCGCTTGTCGGCCCATCGGCGCCCAAACTTTACTCGTGGAATACGATCCGCTACCAATCAACGGCAGCAAGCCTCCCTGAAGCTCGAGGCTTATGTCTTGGTCTCGAAAATAGCTCCAAGCCCGCTCTGATAGTTTCGCATGTCGCTGCTGATGGCGACACTGCTTGGCTGCAACGTCTCTCATCCAAGTACCACCTCTGCATTTACGAGGTTGATGCGCCTGACGATCCCACTGTCAAACACCTTCGCGTACCTGCCAATCGTGGCCACGAATCTATAACTTACCTTACCTTCCTCATCGACAACTACGACTCGATATCCCAAGCTGGCGCTGTCTTCGTGCACGGCAACCGGTTCCAGTGGCACAATGACGACCCGCTGTACGACAATGCAGCCAGTCTGGCCGCCTTGAACATCCCATCTGCACTCTCAACCACCGGCTACCACAACCTCCGATGCGACTGGAGCGTAGGCACTTGTCCCCGAGACTCCGGACCCCCTCAGGGGAGTCTCGAAACAAGCTTCAACTCCATCCTCCAACCCTGGAGTGCAAGGACCGTCTCAGATGCCGCCATGCCACACGCATTCGCCGTCTTGTTCGGTGGAGATGACTATCTGAGAAATGGAAAGAGCAAGGGACTGAAACTCGGTAGAAGTGACACTTTGCGTGCGCAATGTTGTGCTCAATTCGTCGTCTCCAGGGACTCGATACACCGTCATTCGCGCGAAGAGTATGTTGCCCTACGGCAATGGCTTCTTGATGGCTACGGCATGTCGAGGAACTCCAATGCTGCCTCTCGCGACGACCGTATTGCTGGACGTGTGTTGTCATACCTCTGGCATATTCTGTTTGTGCCACAAGAGGACGGCCCTGTGGACCTGGACACGCTGAACAAGCAAGCATGCCCCAGTGCTGCTGATTGCTACTGCAAGTTATATGGCAAATGCGATCTCAACTGCAACGCCAGAGCTTGCTATGGACAGTATCGGCTGCCGCCGAACATGCGTCTTCCTGACAACTGGGCCGAACTCCACGGAAATGATCTGTATGTCGTGCAAGAGCCTGGAGTCAAAGCCCTGCACGGAAGGTTGTATCCTAAAGCCTTTCAGCCTTGAAAGCCGGCATTCACTGATGATACTCGAAACGGCTTTCCATACCCTTTGAAGACGTCACAGAGCCAGACGTCCTTCGCTATCGATGCCACGCCGTCTCAAATGGTATTTACATCACACCAGCAGCTGCATGAAGTCAGCGTAGATGCAAAGAGCGGCGTTCTCTGTGTATCCTCAAGCTGGTTGATCGACCGACACTATCCGCTTTCATCAGGTCAGTATCGCCGCTCGTGTCCCTATGCAAGCACATCAAGAAGAATTACGGGTGTACATAAGGAAAAAAAGGAGGCGGAGTACAAAGTCGAACTTTGTCAGTAAAGGTCGCAGACTCGAGTGCTCGCTCTGATCAGACGACATGATAGGCATATATGTAGATATCGCGATTTAGGCGCTCGGTTAGCAGTATATACCTTGAACCCGCTTACAAAACACGTGAATCCCCTCAGAGACCATACATATAGAGAGTCAGATTTAACAGTATGCTAGCGACAGCTTGAAAAAGGCTCCGAGACGACAGATCTCAAAATTCATCTGTCTACTATACCTAGGCACCAGCTTAAAACAAAACGTGCTGTTATAAAGTCTCTCACGTCATCACATCTTCATCTACCAAACAACACAACAGCACCGAACACAACACAGCACAACGAACACACAAAGCACCAATGACCTTCAACCTCGCCTCGCTGTTCCCAAAACCATCACAATCGCAAAGCACAAAAATGCTCCCGGACCTAGCCACCCGCCGCAAAATCTGCGAAGACACGATAAAGCGAACTGAATCCATTACCGCAAACACACCTGGCGCCTCACTGTCCAGCTCCTCCATCGATCTCACCACATACCCTGAGCTTTCACCTATGGATCCTTCATTCCCAGATCTCTCACTAAACAACGTGGAAGTCATTGATTCCGACGCCTTCGCCTGTGCAAGAGCCATGATTGCTGCGTCACCGGATTTGAGAGGAAAGATTGCAGTACTGAATTTAGCTTCTGATGAAGAGCCGGGTGGTGGATGGAGGTATACGCTCAGCGCCACCCAAGAAGAAGCTTTGTGTTATTCATCTACATTATTCGCGACTTTGAAAGGGGAATACTATCCTTGGCCCAATACTGGCGAGGGCTGCGTCCAAGGCGTGTTCTCGGGGGAGGTGGTGGTGTGGAAGGATACTTTGGATAATGGGTGTGTGGATCTGAAAGAGGGGGTCAGGGAAGTTGTTTCTGTGGTTACGGTTGCGGCGCCTAGGAACCCAGGACTTACGGATGATAAGAAGGGGTTTAGGGAGGAGGGAGTGCTGGGGGAGTTTAGGAACAAGGTTAAGTTGGTGTTGAGGTGTGCGGCTAGGGAAGGCAAGACAGGGTTGGTGTTGGGGGCACTGGGGTGTGGTGCTTATAGGTGTCCGCCAGAGCTGGTTGCGAGAGAGATGAAGGGAGTGTTGGAGGAAGAAGAGTTTAGGGGTTGGTTTGACAGGGTGGTGTTTGCAGTGTATGGGAAGGAACCTGTGGGAGAGAGGAATTTGGGGGTGTTTAGGGAGGTGTTCGATGGACAGGGGTGAATGTTATGTCTGGTGGACCTGTTGAAAATTGTGCTAGTATAGCCCAGAAGCTGCGCGTCAACTCGTTCTCAAAGTGGAATTGCAATCTCCGTTACTGTAAAAACGCACAAGATTCTCAGAATCGGAGACGTGACCAGAGACGAGCCTGCACTGCTTCATATCTCAGTGGATGCTATGTGGTTTCTCAAGAGCGTTGTGCATCTTGATAGGTACACGGAGGGAGCAGGAGAAGGGGCAAGAGTCGGCAGTGGCTTCTGACTTGGTATCGTCGTCGAATCTGGTCACTTCGTCCTCAGAGGACAGATCGCTTGCAATCTTTGCTGCAGCGTGTTACCTTACATGGGTTCACTTCTATAACACCTACGCTCATCCTACGAAGGTCTAAAGCGGCGTTTGTTCTCGCTATCAAAAGGCACAGTGATGTTCCAGATGAGAGGCGTGTCCAAAGAGAGCCTAGAGAGCACGGTATCTCGATGGATACGATACAGTTGTCGAAAATATTGTGCATTTTCATAGCTATACGCGCTTCAAACCTTTGCACGCGGGGAGGCTATGATCAGACTTTCGTGCCCCCGAATGTCTGGATTGGGTATACGTGGAATGTAACAGCGTTATTTTCTGTGTAGAAGGATGAGATGGACATGGATAAGTCCCCCTCTTGCTCATAAGTACTCCGTATACCTGGACCAGGGGGCGAGGTGGAGGTCATATCGATTCTCAACTTGCGCTAACGCGAATTCTGTGCTGCACTTCAAATAGTTCGATTGTAATATTCTCAACCACGGGCGACGAGCAGAGCCCTGAGGCTCCGGCCAGCCATCCCGTCATTGGATGACTCGCGAGGCTTCGGACGAACAATCGCGGCAGAAAGATGTACGATAGAGTGAAGAATGCAACAGCTCGAAAGGGTCGAAGGGTTGATGAATTGGGTTCTGACGCTACTGCAGGTTCATCGTGTTATGGGCCGCTATGCATAGCCAAAAAAATGATAGCGAACAATCATTCGCTGCTGTTTATCAGAGAGGGTGGTCGGCATTGGCAGCGCTGACAAAGTTGGCCAGGGGCCGTTGCAACGTTTATGTGGTTAAACTTTCGGCGGAAATAAGTGGAATCGCCAAACATCCAAATATCGCTTGTGCAAAGGTAGAACTTGAACGCGAAGGAAGGGATTGAACTTCGAAACAATATTTCCAGTGGAGTAGAAGGACGTGATTGGAAGAAAATAGCCGTGGCTCGGGCAGCGATTGGTGGGCCAGGTGCATTTGGTGGCGTGAAAATCATCTTGGGGAAGGCGCGAGTGGAGATGTTTGACGGATTCGGAAAGGAGAGTGTTCCTGGCGCAGGGCTGCAAGTTTACTCTTGTCGCCATGTGGACTTGGGTCTCGGAGGACTGCCAGACGAGGGGAACAGGTACCCACTCTGTGATATAGCCGTAGCCTTGTCCTTGACCATGGAGACGAGCAGAAGGCTGCGAGGAGCAAATCCTCGTGCCCAATCGCGCCCGCTGCCTCCTCCTTTGTCTTTGTCTACCACCGGCCAATCGTCCCTTCCTCTAGACAAGCTGTTGCCCGCAACTCCTCCATCTGGCCATTCGTACTCGCACACCCGATCGGCACAGGATGCTCCTGCCTCCCCTTTGACGCCGTCACAGCACCTGCAGTTGCGACCCGAGTCGTGGCAGTCGGTCACACAAGACTCTGTCCTGGACACTTTGCTGTTGTCGTTTGACCGTATGCCGGGCTCTGCTGCAGGCCCGGCCGGACACACGAGAAATATGCCTGACTTCGACAGCGACGACTTCGACAGGAGCAGCACCTCCTTCACCCCGCCGAGAGCCTTCCAACGCCTGCAACAACGCGTGAGAGGTCACACATACTCGTCCTCCATGTCGCACGACTCGGATACCACCAGCAACAACTCGCAGCTCACCGCACGCATCCGCACCAACAGCCACTCCGACTCGCGCCCTTCGACTGTCGAGACCATCAACCATGGCTATGGCCAGGTCCTCGGTACCACTCGCATTGGTGGCTACGAAACGAACGACCCACGCACCCAAGGCACTCCCGAAGTCGTCTCGAATGGAATATTGGACCGCGGCCGCCCGATTCCCAGCATGTTTTCCACTTACGATGTCCATTGTCCCGAACCAAGAGTCCCTGGTGGACCATCAAAAACAAACGCAACCAAAGAGCAGGCCTCTACAAACAACTCGGACATCCCGCAGAGCATCCGGGACCAAGCCCTGGAATTTGTGCGACAGTCCAACATGCGCGCCCAGTCGCCTTCCAACATGCTTGACCATCCTCCGACCAATTCTTCCGCATCCATAGCTTCTTCGCTCTCCAAACAATCTTCGGCTCACGATGCTCCAAAAGAGCGCCCTGGCTTCTTCCGACGAGTCTTTGGTTCTTCCACTCGCACCAACTCCTTTCCAGACCAACAGCGGCCCAATGTCAGAGAACAGTCAGCTCAACGCTCTGAGCGTACCGCCTCGCCTGTGCCCACCAAGCCGCAACCCACTCCTATCGAGCCTCCTCAGAATGTCATCACTAAGAAAGCTTCCTTCTTCAGACGCCGCAAGAAGTCGATAACCGATGCTCCGCCGCCTCCACCATTACCCAATCCTGTTGTTTCCGCATCTCACATTCAGGACCACCCTCCACCCGTAAGTCCGGGTGCAAGCAGTCTCCGGATGATCATGGATCGCTACCTCGGCGATTCTGATCGTCAGTATAACAAAACTGACTCTGACTACTCAAAGCCCGTCGACACTCCCATTGGCCAACCTGCTCGTTCTAGCATTCTCAGCCAGGAGACTGACGAGTCTTCGGAACTCGACATATTTCACTCCGGATACACCCCTCCACCAGATGCATCTATACGAAGAGTCGGTGTGGAACCCTTGGAACCACGAGCAGGCGGCAGCAAGTCTGTTACTCCAAGCGCCCGGCAACAACCATTCAGGAGCCCCAAACCGGATGACATGGAGCGTAACTTTGGCGGTGTGGACGAGCGCCTGCGACCTGAACATACACGCCCGGACTTGAAGCAGAGTAACTCGTTTTTGTCCGACAACAGCGACGCCGATGACGGTAGAGCTCCTTCTATCATCTCCGCCCTTAGTGACAATTATCTTGGACCTTCCGGCGCGTTCAGTCCGGTCTCACCTATGGCCAATTCCCCTATGGCTACACCCGGAGAAAGATTCGTCACTTCTCCAACTTCTGACATTGAAGAGGAACCTGTATCATCCAGGTCACACTTCTTTGAGCACACTCAGAATGGTCTCGGTCTGCCTTTTGAAGGGATTGGACGGCCGCAAAGCTATATTATCCCAAACGACGAAAGCGACCTGCCCTCGTTTCAGGTTGATGGTCAAGTCGTTCGTCCGTCGGTTGAAGTCGCTCGGGGTATGCTCGGAGGAAATATTGACGAGCCGACAGCCGATGAGAGAGAACGCGCGCGTCAGATCTATCAAGGCGAGGAACAGCAAATGCTCAAGGATGAAGCTGCTCCATGGCTTGGTGACAAAAACCCCGTCAGCGCTCGCACTCTTACCGCGTACATGGATCTTTACGACTTTGCCAACCGCAACATTCTCAGCGGCTTGCGTACACTTTGCGATAGACTCGTGCTGAAAGGAGAAAGTCAACAGGTTGACCGCATTCTAGATGCCTTTTCTAGAAGATGGGACGAATGCAACCCTCACAATGGCTTCAAAGGACCAGGTGTGGTACATGCCATCTGCTATGCACTGCTATTGCTCAACACAGATCAACACATGGCCGACATACAACACAAGATGACACGATCTGAGTTTATCAAGAACACCACGCCTGCCGTTAAGTCAGCCGCCGAAGTTGCAACCATTAGACCGATTCAACTCTCATCAAGGCCCTCGCTGCCTTGGTCCGATACCACACCGAAATCACCTGACGTCGATGATGATCGGGGTTCTATTGACTTCAGACGATCGACCAAGCGCCTCTCTTTCAGACCAGGCATGGGCAGATTCGAGACAGATCCTGGTCCAGGTGAACACGGAGAAATGGGCTCAATGAATCACTTGGTCACGCGTCCGTTCGAAGGTCCTGAATCAAAATGGATGACAGAAGTGGAATTGGTACTCAAGGCTTTCTACAGCTCGATTGTTTCCTTGGCTCTTCCTCTACATGGATCTCAAAATTCGAGAGAACAACCTGGCTCATCTCATAGCCCTGCAAATCTTACTGTCGCTGGAAACCTGAGACGTACTGGTTCTGTCATATCGAAAGCACCTTCTGAGGGCTTCTCTTACCGAAGCAAGAGGAACAACAGCGCGTTATCGTCTCACTGGAACGTGTCGAAGAACAGGTCCAGACAGAAGGTGTACCCTGCATCGACCGTCGGCTCAACTCGCACCTCAATCGATGACGGCCAGTCCGTCTGGAGCCCATCTGCCCAAAGCAGTATGTGGAGCAAGATATCTATGGGTAGGACTCAAACTACGATGAGTGTCGAAAGCTTTGCTGTTCATCCAGACTTCAAGCAGAGTTTAGGATTTACCAATGCTTTGTCGCAGGCAATCATCCGTGAGGAGAGTGCAGGGGATACAGAGTCTGTCATGAAAATTGGCACTGTGCTCGAAGACGAGAGTCTCGAATTGGCCGGTGCGCCCTGGGCGAAAGAAGGCATGGTTAAGCACAAACACCACCTTGATGGTCCTGAAAAGAAAGCCAAAGAGCGCAGTTGGAGTGAAACTTTTGCTGTGGTCGAAAAAGGATACCTGCATTTATTCAACTTCAACCGGACGACGACCAAGATCAATGACATGCGTAGCACGAAGCGCCAGATGTCCAAGACAGGCAAGCCCGCCAGTACAACACCATCTGTCGTTGGTGGTGGCAACTGGACTGATAACGCGGACGAGACTGACCAGTTCCTTTTGAGGCAATCTCTTGCGACCGTTCTACCACACCCGGGCTATAGTAAGACTCGTCCGCATGTATGGGCGTTGAGCTTGCCCACTGGTGCTGTTCATCTGTTCAATGTGGGTACTGCAGAGATTGCAGAAGAGTTTGCTTCCACCGTAAACTACTGGTCTGCGCGTCTAAGCAAAGAGCCTTTGGTTGGTGGTGTCGACAATATCGAATATGGCTGGAGTGATAACATCATCAACCCTGCTCTGGTTGGTGGCAGCAACGGAGAGCCTCTTTCGAAGCCACAATCTAGAGCTGCAGGTAGCCACGCACATTCAGCTTCTGTCAACAGTATTGGCAAACAAAGCATGCAGTCAACTGTTCGCGGCTCTTTCGACCAGACATTCGGATCGAGATCCAGACTACCGGGCGACCGCGCTCACATCGCCGACTGGAAGCCTCCCGCAGCATCAATGTTGCCATCACAACTGCTCGAGATCGATCAACTTCGCAGCCTCAAAGCGTATGTGGCCTCAGTGGAGAATGAACTGGAGAGACACAATGAGTTGCGCAGTGCTGTCAATCTCGCATACACCAACCACTATGGTCAGAACTGGAACAAGGTCACAAGCAACTGGGAAAAGAAGAGTGCTTATCTCTTACGTGAGGTTGTCAAGTTCACAACATATATCGAAGCTCTTGACCGAGCGGGCCGCGCGAAAGAAAAGGTCTATGAGGAACGACAAGTTCGCGAACAAGAGAGAGCTGCCCTTGGCTCCAAGGATGGCAAGAAGGAGAATGTCAAAGTATGATCGGAGCATTTTGGGACAGTCCCACTCACCGCATTGCATAAAGCTTGACAACCTTTTCCCCTTCTAATCCTCATCAACCCCTCTTTTTTTCTTTTTTCTTTTCCTTTGTTATCACCACGGAGGCATGTTAATGTTTTTTTCTGTTCAGTCATGCATGTTTGTCACGTCTCGAGGATACCCCGCTTAACTCATTGTTATGTCTGTTTTCTTATCGCGCAGTTTCATGCATAATCAACACTTTTCTGTCCTTTATAATGTTCCTTCATGAGTATGATTGGTATAGAGAAAAGCCACTCGAGGTTCGAAAATAGAGTGTGATTTTCTCTGACGTACCTCTTGGGCTCTTGCAAGAACTTCCTTTTCTCCTTCTGCCTCCTCACTGCAGAGCCAACGGCTGCTGTGTGCGCTGTATGTGACCTTGTTCTGCCTTCTCCTCTGTCGCTTTGCTCCTTTTATGAGCTCAAAATTTGCAACTCCCACGATTCTCCCGCGAAAGATGAAGAGCGGAGGGGTTTTTCCTCCACTAAAGAATTGCAACCACCATCATTTCGAACGAAGCAGAGGCATTGCCCAAAAGAGTATCTGACGTGATGGGGTTTCATCTTCTCGATGGAACAAAACCCTCATCCCGTTACCTTTTTGAAAACTCTTGTTTTGTATTTTCTTGCAGCCAACACACACACACGCTTGTACGAATTCTAGCGACCATTCGCTATGCCAATAGCTTCCCCCAAAAACGGAACACAGCCCATGCATGACCTTATCACAAGCAAACCTAGGCAAACTGCTTTATTTCTTGATTCCATTCAACATGTTTGGACTGTATCACTGCTCCCCATTCTCGGTCACATGGAACCTGTGATGAAGTGTTCTCGAATCTTGTTGAAATCATGCCAGAAAAAGACAGCGAGACTGTACGATGGTGGAATGAAAACGACAAAAAAGAATTGTACAAAGATCGAAAAAGCCTGTCAAGAAAACAAAGAAACCAACGCGAGTGGTAGAGTAGATAAAAACCAGTAATTCACCGATAGCAAAATATGGTCTCTTGGAAACTGGTCATGCTATGGGGAAAGCCGGAAGGACTGCAAAGTGAACAGAGAAAAATAAAAGTCCCCATATCTCCAGTGTTTGCGCGAGCCATCTCGAGTTCTGAAGTCGAAATATTGAGCGACTGGTGTACAGCATGTCGTTTGACCCAATTAATCCACGTTCAGATCATCGTTCTGCAGACAACCATTCCTCTGACTCGTCATCGGAGTCATCATCCTCTAGGATGTCAAGATCATCCGGAAAATGAGGTAGTTGTGTAGGCCTTGGATCAGAGGAAGCAGTGTAATAAGCACTATTGTCATCCTCTTCCTCGTCATCGTCATCCTCTTCCTCCTCATCGTCCTCTGCTTGCTCGTCATCGTCCTCTGACTGCTCGTCATCCTCTACCAGGTCGTCTGCTCCTATGAGCCATGGGACATCCGAAGAACGAGATGAGTCATCGTCTCTCTGTGGAGGTATCGCAAGCGCTGGGAAAGCCGAGGAATGATAAGAAAAAGCAACCCCACCGTCCTCGCTATCCTCACTGTCCTCGCCATTGTCATCCTCCTCACCGCCCTCGTCAACATCTATCGAGTCTGGTTGATGCAAGAACCATGGGGGTTCATCAGAATCCGAATGGTCCGCGCCAGGTCCACCATGTCCGTCTTGGACGTCGTGGTCTCTTTGCCCGGCAGGCGTGGGAGATGCTATCGCCAGATTGCCAAATCCAATACTTGCAGTATGACCCTCGGGCTGATAAGCCAGTGGATACACAGGTTTCCCGTCCGAATAAATGAACGAGAAATCGTCTTTAGCCCAGAACACATTGTGATCGGGGTACTCGAGGTCATACTGTTCATTGGGAAGTACTCCTAGCTCGTCGAACTTTGCTGCCTTATCTCTGCCCCAAGCTCGTAGGTAATAGTTGGCGTCTTCCATGCGCTTTCGCTTCTTGGATGATGCATCTTGTTCCGCTGCGACATCAGCGGACGTCGGTGGAGCTGCGGTGGCTGGTGCTGCGGTGGCTGCTTGTGCGGCTTGTTGTTGTTGTTGTCGTCGTTCTTGCTCCTCGAACCAGGCGTCGCTTCCAAAAGTATGCATGTCTCGCAGATAAAGGCGCCAGCCAGAATTGTTGTCGATTATGTTAAGCAAGGCTCTTGCTGTCGCTCGTTGATCTGGCCTGAGTCTCAAACATGCAGCCACTGCCGATTTAAGGTGCGGCGAGTAAAACTGCCCAGGGAAGTGACCTTGCCAAGTCACTATCTGAGGTTCCAGATCATTACCGCGATAGGTCAAATCGTTAAAAGTGGCCAACTTCATCATTGCTTCGATGACTCTTCCAATCTGCCAGATGTTTGTCCACTCGCCGATCGCAAAGCGTCCGTTTTGGAAAACACTAGGTTTAATAATCTCCGGAGGTCTGTAACCCGTCGTTACCGCGCCTTTGACGGTGCCAGTCATGTTGTCTATATCATTCGGGTTTGTTATGACTAGAGTAAGGAAGTCAGCAAGTCTGTTGAAACTGGCGGATACACTAAGGATCTGCCCGAGCACGTTGCTTTGATCTCGAACACAATACCGAATGTACAGCATGAAACCAAGCAACATCCCTGGACGATCTGTAGAGATGATTCTGTGGGACAAACTTACATCCGCCTCCAAGATCAGCGATATGAGCCCTTGGGTAGATGGGGAAGGTTGACGTTTGATCCGGTGGAGCGAGTAGTATGTTGTCGGGCTTCATGTCGAAAACGACGATGACGTCTTTTTCCTTGCTCCCTTGACGCTTCCTGACTTGCTCAGTCAACTGCTCAGCTCCAGTCAACAAGCAGCGAAGAGTGTGCCAGATGAAAGGCTCCGGGATTCCCCTCCCTCTTGCGCGATGAGCAACTATAAGTTCGAACAGATCACCATACTCATAGAGGGGCATATATAATCTCCAGTGGTTATAGCCCGGGCGAACACTATCAAGTCTCCTTCGGTAGCCCAAAAGTGGTACGGAGTAGATTTCTTGGTTCGAGGATGGCTCAGTCATGATGCCTTGGAGATAGGCTTCCTTGGAGAACCTCTTGTCAATGTTTGCTTTTCCAAGCGCAGCACTTGGATCAGCGCCGAAATCCAAGCCTTTGGCAACGAGACTGTTGTAGACATTCGAGTAAGCGCCCTTCTCTTCGGTAGGGCCCTTGTCGAAGGAATCTTTGATGGCAACACTCTTGATAGGTCTGTGAGTTGCTCTATCGACACATATCCAGGTAGTGACTTCACCAAAGGAGCCTCCACCAAGTCTGTAAGCGCCGATCCAAGTTGAGTCTTCCTCTGGGTCCGGATGGACATGATCGAGGCCTGATTTATCCGAAAGGATGGCGACTTTCTGTGCTTCGGTAAGTTTTGATGTTAGAGACATAATGAAGAAAATAGCTGTATGGTCGCCAAAACAATCTAAGGTAAGAAGGGAGGAATTGTTGGATGTTGGGAAACTTCAAGGTCATAACCATAGCGTTGTCCGCATCCGGGGGGTCATTGTGCATCGAAGTCGATAAAGGGTTTGAACAGGCACTAACAAAGGCCAGATAGACAAAGTCGTGGGCTATGACGGGCAGTTGATTGTTTTGATGAAAGCACGTCCGCATGCGGACATATCGAGCGTGTCGAGGTCAAGAAGAATTATCTCTTTTGCACCTCGTGCGCTCATACTCGGACCTTTCGCCAGGATATGGTTGAAATATTCTGACGAGTTGAGGTCGAAGGTGGACTGTCGTAGTGTATGGAGAAGGAGTGGCAGAGAGGAAGCCGAGGTGTGCATTTGATGGAAATACATGGATTTGGCTAGTCAATATGAACCGATCGTTATGCTCGATCAAATCGTCTGACAGCTGATGAATAGATGATAGAGACAGAGCAGACATGGCGGAAAGAGGAAATGTACGGAGAATCATGGTTGGAAGGAGCAGTGCTCACCGCCTTTGGCCGGACCCCAGATTTCACGTCATCATGTCAATCTTCCTCTTCAAGCAACAGCAGGCATTCCAATCCAACTCTGCTCCTTCCACACACCACACACACAGACATCATGACGATAAACCTACTCCCACGCCTCAGCGCGCGGTGCGCCCTCAAACCCATCACAACCTCCGCACTCGCGCCCCTCACAACGACATCAACTCGAAGCTTCATGACCCTCCCACCGCATCCCCCAACCCACCGCGACACACCCGCCCAACCCCCACGAGGCGCCATGCCCATGCCCTTCGTCACCGAAACCGTAGGCGGAGGCTGGCACACCTACGACATCTTCTCCCGCCTCCTCCGCGAACGCATCATCTGCCTGAACGGCGAAGTCGACGAAACAATTTCCGCCTCCATAGTCGCCCAACTGCTCTTTCTCGAAGCCGATGCGCCTCAAAAGCCAATCTCGCTATACATAAACTCACCAGGTGGCATTGTGACGGCTGGATTGGCGATTTACGATACCATGACTTATATCCGCAGTCCGGTTAGCACGATATGCATGGGTCAAGCCGCGAGTATGGGCAGTTTGTTGTTGTGTGGAGGTGCAGAGGGGCAGAGGTACACGCTGCCTCATTCGCGGATCATGATTCATCAAGTCAGCGGTGGATACCAAGGTCAAGCGTCTGATATTGCCATCCACGCAAAGGAAATCTTGCGAGTCCGCGAGCAGTTGAATGAGATTTATCTCAAGCATTTGACAAAGAAACATACAATGGACGAGATCCAAAAGTATATGGAGAGAGATTACTTTATGGGTGCCAAAGAGGCGCTGGAGTTTGGTATTGTGGATAAGATTTTGGAGAGGAGGGAGCAGGTTGGTGAGGGACGATAGATGCGTTGATTCAGCATCGAGTACGATATTTGGCACAACAACCCCAAACTCGCTACAATGTCTAATGCATACAATGTATACATACCTCAAGCCCACTCGAGCTGCAACAACCCCCAAACAATGAGCATAAACTCTATTGCATCCATACCAAAACCTTACACCCACCTCAAACAACCCCTCGTGTTCCCCCGATTTCGCGATCACCCGCATCAATGGCCTCAACCATCGTTCCTTTCGCCTCAGATATATCGATCTCCAGACTTACGAATCAAAAACTTGTAAGGCTGAGACACGGACTGCATTTGCATGAGGCCAATTTCTGCAAGGCCGACCACCCATACCCTATTGTTCTACAACAGCATCCTGTTTCTCCCCATCCTGGATCGAAAAGTAAGCGCACCATGCGCTGGTAGAGGTCAACTTAGGGTTTGTGGTGGTACGCAATGCACTAATTGTCAGGCGCGCTGCTGTTCGCATTTCAGAAAAGTCAGGTCTGCATGTCTCGCTTGCTTGTGTGGACTACGCATACGACGACGTCTTTGTGCTTGAATGATGATATTGGTTGATATAGTATTTACGGTGCTGATGTCGGCAAAGCTCGTGGTGATCGGGGTATACAAAGTTGTGGAGAAAATAAAAAAAAGACATCCGACGTGAAACACTTATGAAGCTGGGTTGTGTACAAGCCATTCCTGGACAAAAGAGAGGGATTAAGTAATTCAAACGACTTCCAACAAAGACTCCTCACTCGATTGACTCCGCCTGCGAGTATCGCGAGGGTGCTGATGATGCGGTGACGGACCCATCGCATGCATTTCTAGCGTGTTGCCCGCATCGGAAGGTCTGTTGATATGGACTTGTAGTTCTCGAGTCACAGTGACAACACCATCATCTTTGCGACCCATGTCATGACCAGAAGTCACGTAAGAGCCAGAAATGCCTTTGCTGTTGGCATAAGCTGCAGTAGGTCCGGTCTTGGTGTTTCGCCCAGAGCGGGAGGAGCTGATGCCTGTTCGTGCTTTGTCAAACCAGAAGGCGAAGAGTGGGCGTAGGGTGGCCAGGCAAGCGGCTGTGATTCCAAGGCCAAGTTCGATGATGGAGACGATGGCGAAGTTAGGAGCGGAGACGAGAAGGTCCTGGAGTTCTACGCCGATGACGTCCACGTAGGCCAGACGCACGAGCGAGCAGATGCTACCCAGCACACCCAGACCAAGGATAGTGCAGACGGTGATCTTTTGTTGCTTGTGCATCTGTGCAGATCTTACGACAAAGATGGGGACTTGAATCTTGTTAGTACCTTGTCGTCAAAATGTGTGAGCATAATCCTCGACTTACTGATTGCAAAGATCCAGTCGGTGACGGCATTGAAGACTCCATGTGTATAGTTGAGAGGCCTGAGGACGGTTTGGAAAGGAAGACATTTTCCTAGCGCTTCATTCTTGCCGTAATCTCCGGGATTGCCACATTGGAAGATTGCGACGAAGAGCCAGGCAGTTCCGAAGAGAGTGTATAGTGATACTGATCCAATGATGACTTGACGCTGCCAGCGCTGGTTGACGACACGAAGGAAGAAGACCGCTAAGCTGAGCTTGAAGATGATGGTGGTGAGGATGTAGAGACCAAAGATGCAAACAACCAACTGCGAATGTGGTTAGAAACGTTACATAAGGAGATAAGGGGAACATACTGTTAGGATGCCGTTGACAGTGTCGGGATCCGCAACACCTGGTGGATGTATCTCTGATAGTGAGATGCTGATGAGTAGTGAAGTTGTCATGGCGAACAAAGCCTACAGGCGATCAGTTATTGAGCAGGAACAAACCCCAGGAAAAGATGAGTGCTTACCCAGGTGACCATCATCAACCAATCATCCCATCCAAAGGAACGAATCATCCATCCTCTGACATATATCCTCGCCACGACCGTGATGACAGACAAAGCCAGAAACACGCACGACGTGGCGAGCATGTCATACGACTTTAGGTCATGAAGAGTAGGTACTGCCTTATCACTAGACATGATTGCCTGTCTTGCCCCCAAGGGTGCACGATCGACAGAGTCCAAAGAAGATACGGCGAGCAAGCGCAATATATTCTCCCGGAGAACAGAGTGCAATATAAGCAGAAGTCTAAAATGGAACAGAAAGAGATGCGAGCAGAAGAGGTGGGGTACAGTAGTACCTATACTCCAGACCGATGGCGACAGTTTAGCATGACGACCCGGACTGGTGGGAACACCAGTAAATTTAGTGTTTTGCCATGGTCTCAAACAATCCCAGCCGGCATGCAACGATGAGCGTACCCGCAATAATGGTCTGTCTCTGGTAAGAAAGATAGGCGGATGCGGCATCAACTTCGCACTCGCAAGCCAATCTCACTCTCTCGAGATTCACGAGTCAACACTACCTCTGAACAAAGCTGAAGTTTTTAGACTCAAGCCCAGAAAGATATTAGCACCTTCTACAGGCTCTACTTGCACGGAATGCAATGGTAGGTTTGAGTAACAATGCGAGCAGGCAAGCGCTCTGATGACTGATCGGTCAAAGCTCTTCTCGACGGTCGGTAGTGGCTGAAGAGAAGGTTCTCCCACGAACGGAGATATCAAGCGAAGAAGCAACAGAAAACGGAGACGGGAGTTGAATAATGATGCATGAACAGGCAGGCTGTTTGAGGTGGCCTGGTAGGGCTTAGACAATACTCGAACAGGTCTGGCCAGGGTCCGAGCTGAGCATCGACACGGATGATCTGCCGGGATGCACTGCATACTGCCCTGATACGCGAAGTTGATCGCTTCTGGGTCGGCGATTTGAGTCCTCCACCTCTCACGATTGGTTCAAATGCGCTCGAGGAGTCATGGGCCCGGCAGAGGTGACAATTTGACGGATATGGGAAACCGAATCCGACATGAACTTGAGAGTAAATAGTCACGGACGGGTGCGGACGAGTGATGAGATGCCGCACAACTGGCACAATACGGCAGTCGGACGCCAAGTCTATGCAGGACGCATCCCCGCGACGATCAAGCAATAAGCGGCAGAGTGGAATTGGAAGGAGATTCGAAGATTTGGAAGCAGCTCTGTTTGGGAGGATCAAGAAAGACCAACTCACTGTGAGATGTAGGGCAAGGCAGGAACAAGGCCGATCAAAGGACGATGAATATTGAGCTTATTAATTAGTAAGCGACGCCATGATGGAACCGGCGGTCAAAAGACATGGGAGTTCTCAAGATGGACACGGCGTTGGTCACCAAGGCGAGATATCTGTTGCGAGAAACGCGAGCTGTTGGCAGGTTTCGTTAGCTTGGTTGTCTGTGCTCGGTGGAAGAAATGGTAGGCTGTTGGACGAGAAAGGGTAAAGCGGCAGACGGAGATGATGAAAGGGCAAAGGCGTTTGTTTATCATTATTTATGAGAACGGCCGGCAAAAGAAAAAGGCATCAAACTACCAGCTGCAAGGTACAGAAGCAAATCCAAGCAGAAAAGTCAATTACCAAGTGAGTATTGCAGGCCAGGAAGTAGCTGATGGCCATGCAGAATGGCAGCGATGATATAGTCGCGATTGCCTATAGTTGAGGATGTGGTGCACTGGTGCGGAAGGTGGTCAAAGGACAAAAGGAAGGGTCGATTGAGGGCCCCTCCGTCCACGTGGTCTGCGGGCGGCGTTCGCCGCAGGCGGGACCGGGAAGACTGAGAGCTGCTGGCTGAGGCCTCGTCGGTCGTCGGTTGTCGGTGGTCGGTGATGGACAGGGCGACTCACCTTGTGCGTTGAATGCTTGGTGAAGTACAACGTCAACCTGTCTCTGGCTGTCTTGTCCAAGCAGCTTGAGTGTGCGTGTGCGTGTGCAATGAAGCTGTGCAGACAGTGAGCTGCACCTTTGCTCCTTCCTCACTCGATTGCTTCTCAATATGTCTGCCAATACGAGTGCGCACGACAGAGACGACAGCCCAAGCACCCGAGTGGCTCATCATCTATCGCAACTCGCCATGACGCCTCAGCATGCTCCCACCACTAAAAAGCGCCCCGCCGACATGGCCGAGATCAGTGAAACCCCAGGCGCCTACGACAAGATCATGCTCTCTCCCACCACGTCGCCCACGCCCAACAACCTCTCACCACACCGACCTCGATTCATTCTTCACCCTCCCCGTCGTGTCACCTCACCTCCACCTCCCACTCCAACTGCTTCGCCCAATCTCGAAGAGCACCAACCCTTGTCTCTCCCATTGGCAATCAAGATCACCCAGGACAAACTGTCCACTTTGCGCTGCGACTCTCCCACTACCCCCGCCGAAGAAGATTCCCAGACACAAGATGAGAGCATGACCTGGCAAGAGGATGAGATCACTGGACACGACATCGACCACACTGCAGACGACGATGGAGAAGGCATCAATGGCATCGGCTTTATCCCAACACCAGCCATGATCACCAAGCGCTCCGAATGGCGCCGTCGTCAAGTCCTAGAATATCGCGCTCGCGAATCAAAAGAAGCAAGACAGCGCCGCTACGATAAACGCAAATCCTCACACCGCGACTCGGCCATCTCTCTGGAAGAAGGAGGCTCTTTCAAGCGGCGCATGGTTCGGTTTGCTGAAGTTTGATCATTTTTCCTACTGTAATTGCTACACGACTTTTCACGACCTGGTGGGACATGGCGTTTAATGATGAGGGCCGGTTTCCATTGATATCATTGGCGTTGCATGGCGTTGTTACTGGATACCCATAAACAAGAGGGAAAATGGGCTGGCACAAGAACATGGCTTGTCTCTATAATTTGTCAAAATGAACGATATGATTGCTTTCTTCTCTCCACGTCCAAGCTATCCACTTCAACAGGTCCTGCGAATCTCCATTGCTGGTGAGATTTTACACTGTGCGAGCCGCAGTCGAACCAACATCTTCCCAAAATAGATGTCCACTCATGACTTTATGCCAGATGTCGATATGCAAAGGCAGGGGACCATCTTCCAATTTATCACCCTCATCGTTGAACCGGGCTCGGATGCCTTACTCATCCGCTCCGGTGAGAAGCCGTGAGTTCAAGATCCTACCGTAGCATAGCTTCAACCATGACAAGCCCTACTTATGGCACAATCAAGTGCCAATGCTTGAAATCCTCCAAGACTACTCTCGTTGTACTGTACGAGACGTACGAGGTTCGTAGTATCGTATAGTATCGCTTGCTCGCATGTCGCTCCGTCAACACTTGAGTATAAGTAGTCTTTGAGATCCATCAACATGTCGCGATCCTTTGCACTGCCCATGCCATCTGCTCAATTCAAGGTTCCGAGGTGTGCCGCCAACGTCCAGAACTCTAGGTTGCTTTGTGAGCCCTAGCACTGATGTCAAGAATCAAGACTTCGAGTGCTGTGCATCTTTCCTGGATACAACCTGTAGGGGAGTACATTGCGAGCTTCTCCCTCGAAGCATCGTCTCAACAAGATCCGTAATCTCATGACCATATCGTCGCAGAATCAGAAGTAGAGAGCAAGTTCGGAGGCTCAGAGACGACATGGTCCAAGCTTTGATGTCACTCGGCCCGCTTAGATCCGACAGCTGCCTCTATGACCCTGAAGTCCTCCCTGTAATTTTAGGCTGACATAACCCTTCTCTCCGTGCCTCCGACATTATCAATCCCTCTATTCTATGGAAGTATTTTCTCTATCTTCCGGTGCCACAAGGAATACATACGAAGGAACCCTGATCAGTCGTCGAGGAGTGATGATTGATCGACATTGAAACGATTATGCCACCAACCCGCAAGACTCACCACAAAAGTCGAAATGGCTGTAATCAATGCAAGAAACGACACGTCAAGGTTGATATCATACGTCACTTCGTCTCGCTGGAATGCTAGCTAATCTGGTGATCAGTGTGATGAAGTCCAGCCAACTTGTGGAAACTGTGTGAAACGAGATGCTGCCTGCAGTTTCTCTACGGACGATCAAAGTCCCTCCACCGGCCATGAGGATCGAGAATCTCCAACGAGTACCCTCGAATCTCAACAAAAGATTCTCTCTCGGACAGAGGAAATGGACTTGTTACACTTTTACACAACGACTACCATCAAAACCGTCTGTCACGATCCCAAAGACTGGCATATGTACGAACATGGAATACCTCAATTGGCCTTTCAGAACGAATATCTGCTCGACATTCTTTTAGCGCTGGCTTGTCTTCATCGCGCAAAGATACATACGCTGAATCAAAAGTTCTGGGTCAGATGTGCGATTGAGTATCACAATCGTGCGTTGCCGATATTCTTCAAAGTCCTCAGCGATGTCAACGATGAGACCTGTCACGCCGCGTTTGCATTGTGAGTCCCATCCGGTTGAGAAAAATGGCTGTTCAGAAGCTATGTAACGCTTCCAAAGGACAATGATATCGTCTCGAAAATCAAGCCCATCTCTTCTTGGTAGAGTAGACTGACGATCATCCCTAGCTCTTTCATCACCACTTTGGTGGAAATCGCGATGCCGCGTCCAGACTACGACCCTATAGAGCAACTCGCGGGCCTTCGCAACTACTTCAGAGGAACGGCAATGCTCTACATAACCATGATAGAGCCCCTCAAATACGGCGCCATGAACCCGTTCTTCAAACCCAAGACTATCAAATGGGAGTACGACCCGGAGATAAGAAAATCCTACCACGACAGAATCACGACACTATACGATCTCGTTGCTGGTAGCCCTGATAAGAAGATCTACATCGAGACTATCGATCTTCTCCTCCGACTCTTTTATGATTCTCCGTTCGCCATCATAGCATTTTCGTTACTCGTCGGTCCGGACTTCTTTCAGCTAGTCTGCCAACGGGAGCCTTTAGCTGTGTTGATCTATATTTATTGCGGTGTGCTTTTCAGCAACGTCAATGAATGGTGGTGTGATGGACTCGGGCACCGCATTGTCAACGGCTTGAGACTCCCTGCAGAAGTGCTCGAGAGGAACCCGAAATGGGCATCCGCTCAGGCTTGGGCCAAAGAACAGGTCAACAAAGTCACAGAACCAAACAAGGTCTTGTTCTGGCGAATTTTCGTGAGTCAACTGTCTCCAAATCTTCTCGTTTCTGTAATTCTGACGTTTTTGAAGGATACCGAACAGCCAAATCAATGTGTTGAGGATTTACTGCATCCGGACGATAATCTGCGCGGTCTTCGGTCCAACAATGCATCCACGGTGACGACTCCAGATACCGGCCGACCACGGAATGGCAGCATGAGAGATTGAGATATCGCAAGGGAAGCATCGAATTCACGCTACGCCTGGTCAAGTGCTGCCGACGCACCGAATACGTCCGCATCTCCACCAAGAAGATAGACTCGCTAGAAAGCACTGTCCACAACCATGTCTTGCAGATTTTCAGGACGAACTCGAAGCGACCGGATAGCCCTCGGCTGCGTTGGTCGATCCTAGCGAGGCCTGACGCTCCAAAACCTTCTGTCGTTCTGGTTCTTCCAGCTCAATCGGAGATGGAGAGAAGTGTGAGATGTGCGAAGGTTGACGATGCTATTTCACAGGCCCTATCAAGAATCCTCGGCTCCTTGTGCCATCGTAAAGGATGTTCGCGGTAGAAAACAGACGTCTCTGGGGCGACGAAGACGAAGGGTTAGCATTGCGATTGTGCTGTTAGATTTGCAAGTAGAGGAACGTGAGAAGACGATAGATGATGCTGATCAAGCGCAGCCGTCGACAACGGAGACAAAGCGGAGTATAGTTTGTATTATTTTGCAGTAATATTGCCCGTTCCCTTTTGGACACTGTCTTGAAAAGATGGTGAAAGTTCATGGAGCTGTAGGTTACCGAGACGATTCTGAGGAAATGCGAATCATAGAAGAGCCCCAATCAGGAAGGACGAACGCTTTGCTCAAGGAGACGATGGTGATGTGAATGGCCTCTCGTTATACCGGCCTCATTATTATTTCGTTGCTCATTAGTCATTAAGATATGCTTCGCTAAGAAATCTCAAACATCCCAAATCACACAATGCGTAGCCGTTCTCCCACATCCAACCTAACAATTTGAGTCCTATGATTCGCTTTTCCAGCCTTCCCATCCTTTCCAGCCTGATACAATGCTAAACTTTTCTTCTCCTCATCCAACTTTTGCTGTGCGTCCTCTGCTGAGTATACTCTGCTCTTGATCCAAGTCACCGACCAGCCTCTATTGTCTTTGACTTCGTCGTGGGCGCTGATCCAGTAGCGGGCTCCCATATTGCGAACGATCTCGGCGCCTCCGGGGTATCCTGCTGCTACCACACCACCCATGAACCAAGGGTTCTCTTCCGTGTTGATGGGGTGGAAGAGAGCGGTGAGTGGTAATGCTGATTCCTTTGCTAGGAAGGATGTTGCGTATGACTCAATCGCTGGGTAAGCTACACCGTGAGGGCTGTACAATACACTGATTGTTTTCTCACAGGGTGGGAATATAGGTGAGTCTCCTTCAAGTTCCATGGGTGAATCCGGAAGTGGAGAGAAGTCGGTATGATCAACAGTGAGATCCGAAAAGTTGCCTGCCATTGGAGAGTCCTGTGGTGAAGGTGGAAGGTTGAGCAGATTAACGACAGAGCCATTTACTGATGTCGTTTTGCTGCTTGGTGCTCGATATGTGAGACCGATCGCATTATGGAGCCTTGTCGGGTCCATCTTTTGTGGCATGTATGAGACCGTAACTTCTCCGCCCTGACTGGTGAGAGAGTATCCCGGGATGGGTATGCGTATAACAGAATTGTCAATCTTGGTGTTGTATGGTTGCATCGTTTCGATAGTCGCATGTGAGAAATATTTCCATGATCTGATCAATTTGGCAGCTGCCGGAGTTGCTAGTATCCGGACCCTCGAGTCTGCCGGAAGCGTGCATAATGTTTGTTTGTGACAATGATCGGGTTTATCCTGGGAGATGACAATGAGATCCGGTTCTGGTATGTCCCGTAATGATGAAATACATGGCGAAGTCGTATGATGAGATATCTGGAAGGCCTCGCTCCAGACTGAGGAACTGCCTGTAACCCAGGGATCGATCAAGATGGTAAAGGAGCCAGGAAACCGAGCCGAGGCATAAGGAGGCGCAAACGAAGGGATAAAGTCGATCAAGAACGTTGTATCAGCATTAAGAGGCTTCACGTTCATAGCCATCGCTCGACCTATATCACGCCGCTCCTCACAAGAGGTAGACACAAGAAGATGGCAAAGGAGAAAAGAGCTGGGCGTTGAGGCATGTTTGAACAAGAACCTGGAAAAACGCTCAGAATGTTCCCCCGTTGCAGGGAGAGAAACAACAACCGACTAAAAAGTGGATCTGGGACCTAGATCTGCATAGAGCAAGAGCCAAGCCCAAGCCACCGGATCGCGCTTTTCTTGCTGCAGGCAGTCTCACGCGAGCTGAAACGAATATAGCATTGCTCAGCTAAACGGCAGCAAGTATTCTGCCATCGAGGATTTCACTATCAGACTCATCGCAGTGGTTGAAAGCGTACCTCGAGGTCTTTCTCAACCTCGTCAGGTGCGATTGCCTGTTCAGGACGGGCGTGTCTCACATCTTGCCCATCGGAACTATTAGCGAACGCGATCTAGGGTCTCGGCAAACATTACTTGAACACGGAGCTCGGTTACACCTCCGCGCAAGCCCGATCGCAATCGGCAATCGCTGGCGGCTCCTCAACCCAGATGACTTCATGGAGCAGGGCACAATCGTGTAAACATGACAATCTGTTCTTTTGCCTTGCGGTGACAGGGGTCTTTGTATCGAGGTATATACCTGCTTGACTGCATGCTCACAGCGGCTCGCGATCATGGCTAATTACCCACTCCACTTCTTTGCGGATTATGCCTGTCTCTGAGCTGATGGATTGGTTCTCGTCAACACCTCGATCCCGATGTGCATGGTGCACCGACGTCCTTGTGCCTAGAGATGCCGCCGATCGCCCTGACGCGACGTGACTTCGATGACTGGACTTGAGGGGTCCCATCATGAGATATGCGCCATTGACTTCGGATCGCGAAGCACTGTGTGAGTCGTCCGTCTTTGCGATGCTGATGTTGTCGAACGGCTTCATGAATGATCGGAACGAAGGAATCGATGCGCTTATCAGCGACCACGCCAGCCATATTTGGATCCAGATGGCAGGTAGTATGAAAGACATCCCCTTGTCATCCGCATCGACCGTTCGCGAGAGCCGTCGCAGATGCTCAGCCGAGAAGCCAACGCTCCTTTTCATTTGTTAGAACGAGTTCATCTCAGGTCCAGATATGTACTCACACAAGTCTCGATGCGAATGCGACCATGACGAGCAGCTTGGGCCGCGAGCCTATCATGACACCTGAGACCAGGTAGGAAGGAACGACCATGAGCCCGACTTCTGTGATGATATCGAATGCTGTCACAGCCCGCCATCGGGCAAGCTATCGCTAGATCAGTTCCGTATTCGAGTCTCAGAATCATTGTACTGACATAGGATGGACATTTGGCTGCTTCAGAAGAGAAGAAGTGGTGTGGTGAGCAGTTGATAAAAAGCACGAAGACACAGATGACACCCCAAGCGATTGTGATGCCCAGCAAGGACCAGCACAAGATGGCGTTGAGCGTCCTGTTATGGGTGAAGAGCCGCCTGACGAACAAGGCAAGAGATACTTTCGACAACGTATGTGCGAAGATGAAGAGTACTTCTGCTGCATAGAGTGCCTACACAAGTCAGCCTGTGAGCTGGTCCCGCGAACAACTTCCAAACCTACTTCATCGATGTTTGGTATTTGCTCCCGTTCAAGTACTTTGCTCGACTGGCCAAATCCTGCCTTTAACCCGACGAAGACCGGGATGTGTTGGCACGAAGCAACGAGCTGGGGACCAGTCAGAGAGGACGTTCTGAGATATCTGAGCCCGACTTACTGTCGCTACCAGCAATGCCCAATCGTCAGAACCATACAGACCCCACCTGTTTGGTGATACAGTCAGTCCATTGTCTTCGACTCTTCTGGTCGCTGACCCACCTAACATTTAGTCGTACTAACAAAGTACCGAAGGGATAAATCAAGGAGAGTAATGCGACAATCCAGACATAGCCAGCATGATCTGTGTCGCTGATCCGCGAGAAATAGTAAGTTCCTGGTGGTAGAGGAGCACCGTTGACGGTCGTCAGATTCATAGCCATATGCGCATTCTGCAGTAGCTGCAAATCGTGTTAAAGAAAGTCGCGGTAGAAGCACATCACTAAAACCAACTATGAACAGCGCGTGCCGCTACATATCTCACTTTGTTGAGCGGACCGCCGCTCTATGCCCTGCCCTTGCCCCTCGGCTCGAAACTCATATTTCTCGCTCGCGTTATCTTCGATGGAAACATCTCATCAGAGATTGGGGGAGCTCGGCTTGTTTGGTTGCTTGCGCGAAACAGCAAAAAAGCTTCGGTAGGACCCCCTTGTTCTGAACTCGTGGCTATTGCGCTTGTGCCGGCAGATATCCACCCTTGTCGACACCCGTCCCAGCCCAGGTTTGAGGCAGCACGCAAGCCGCACAACGCTTGGTCGGTTCATTTCGCCAGACGGGCCGTCTGAACCGTTCGGCTGTCTGGACTGTAGTAGAGGGAGGGTGCGAGTGCGCTCGTGCTTAGCCGTGCTGTAGAAGGTGATCGACAAGGCACTTTGATGGCGTCTGCAGGTGAGATTGAACCTCGCTTGTGCTCCGACCCATGGTTGATGTCTTCCAGACGAGAAAACTTTATCCGCAATATATGTGCCTTTTGTGCCCTGAGAAGCAAGCATCGCAAGCTTTTAGGTACTATCAGGAACCAATGTCGTGTGTGACTGAGCCCTCTATCAGTATCTCGCTAGGCGCGAGAGGGGACTGGGATGGAGTGCCGCGATTTTGACTTTTGAACCCTGCAGACATCTGCGGCTTTGCACGCACGCCCAATGGTTCGTGGGTCATGCCGCCATGAGGCCTCACTCGTCCAGGCACAAGAAGCTTGTTGGCGTAAATGAAAGCTATACCGACAACATGGTAAGCAGTCGGCAGGAAAACATATTTGCCAGAAGCAATTCGCCAAACCACCCACGGTTTGAGCCCCACAGAGGCGCTCAGCTCTCGTTATCATCTTGCATGAGAAGCGGTAACAGCCAATTCGGAGCTTGCATGTGGCACAGAATCCCACGAGATGAAACCTCTATATCCTTCGCTTTCGGGTTTGAGTTTTGATGGCTTTGTTCGCATATATCGCAGGATCAATTGGGTTTCTGTAGTCCTGAACTTCCGTCTTTTGGTTCCCATCTCCTCGAGTGAGAGGGCTTTGAGATTATTGGTGGTGGTTGCGGTCGACACAAGCAAGCGTCGTCTCTTATCAGCGCCGCAAGCCGGTTAATCTATACATATACAGAAAGAGGCCCGAGAAAGCCTGGACCCCTTCAGCACTTCTGCGCTGCAGATCCTCCAAGCCCCTCGTCCAAATCATGTTCATCTTCCGAGAAATCTTAACGTGCGTAAAGGAGGGAGTGGCACGCAACGAGAAAAACAAGACTGCGGGATAATATATTCAAGACACTCAGACGAAACTATGGCTTGCCGTGGGTGTGGCAATGCTTGCGTGCCACAGCCGGGAAAATAGAGCAAGGTTTGTTATCCAGAGTAGTTTGCACGCGGATTGTTATTTGGTCTAGTCCATGCTCCCGCGGCATCTGTAGTGCAAGCGATAGAGAGGAGAGTCCAGGTGCTCGGTGGAGGTCATTTGCTTGGTTGATGTTCCTTTGCTTGTCTGGACTCGGCAGGTGGTTCATGCAGGTATGCGAATTGTACTAGACCTTATTGGTAACGCGACGGGAGTGCTGCCTGCTTGAAGACTATATGACTTTCTACCGACCTTGATCTTTGTTACCTTGCGCTTTCTCCTGTTCGAAGTGCGAGCGTGTAATCTTCTGCACCTAGGTGTCAATTCCACCATCGGCTATCAATCATGTCATTGTCGTCAGAAGACAACAAAACTAGCGCTATTCGCTTTGGCGAACGTGAGATTGGCGACTCTGAACACCGACCGACAAGGACCGCTGCTGCTGCTCGCCATGCACAATTCGAATTGGGCGAATACAATGACTCTCCAAGAGATGAAGAGATGGATGGAACGGCAGATGTATATGGATCTGTGCCCTCAGACAAGCGAGACATGATGCGTATGGGCAAGGAGCAGGAACTTCGTGTAAGTGGCTTGGTCTGTTTGTTCCGACTCGCACTGACGTTCGATTGCAGAGAGTGTTCCGACAAGTCTCGCTGTTGTCATTTACTGCCATCCTAATGGCAACATGGGAATTCGTTCTCTTGGCTTGTACGCAAGGTCTCGTTGATGGCGGTCGCGGCGGTCTGTTCTGGAGTTACATCTGGGTTATGGTTGGATACGGATTTATCGTCGCCAGTCTGGCAGAAATGAGCTCCATGGCGCCGACTTGGTACGTCGTAATTGAGCCAATCATCGGCTGTTGCTAACTTGTATACAGTGGTGGACAGTACCACTGGGTTTCTGAATTCGCTCCACCGAGCTGCCAAAAGTTCCTGTCTTACATCACAGGTTGGGTTTCTACTCTGAGTTGGCAAGCCGGAAACGCTTCTGGAGGCTTCCTCTGCGGAACTTTGATCCAGTCGTTGATCATTATTAAGAACCCCGATTACGCTGCTCCTGGATGGCAAGGCACATTGCTCGTCTTCCCCGTCATGCTGGTGTGTGTCTGCTTCAACGTCTGGTTCAATCACTGGCTGCCGAGTATGCAGAACGCAGTCATGGTTTTGCACGTTGCTGGCTTCCTGGCAATCATGATCGTATTCTGGGTGCTCAGTCCTCATGTTCCTGCAGGAGAGGTTTTCTTGGATTTCGAGAATGGTGGTGGCTGGCAAACGATGGGACTCGCACTGATGATTGGTCAAGTCTCTGCAGTCGGATTCTTGGGAGCCTCTGACGCAGCAGCTCACATGTCTGAAGAAGTCAAGGATGCCGGTCTTTCTGTACCGAGAGCTATGGTGAGTATCGAGTCGCATGCATCCTGTTCTCTGCAGTCGCTAACATGTATCCAAGTGGTGGACTTACATTGTGAACGGTCTCCTTGGTCTGATAATGCTTGTGTCGTTCCTCTTCGCTATGCCATCGGTTGACGACGCCATAAACGATGTAACTGGATACCCAATGATGTACGCCTTCCAGCAAGCGATGCCCATGACCGGCACCATTGTTCTGGCCGTACTGATGATGGTCTTATTGATGGCTGGTAACATCTCCTACCAAGCCTCGACTGCAAGACAAACATATGCCTTTGCTCGCGACCGTGGCTTCCCTGGCTCTCGCTGGTTGGGATACGTCAATCCCAAGTTGATGATTCCAGTCAATGCTGTCATATTCTCAGCAGTTTTCACCATCATCTTGTCATTGATCAACATTGGCTCGTCGGCTGCGTTCAATGCGATCATCTCGCTCGGTGCCGTAGCACAGATGGGAACATACGCCATCTCAATCACTTGCGTGCTGTACAGACGCCTGACAGCCCCACATCTTCTTCCCAAGGCAAGATGGAGTCTTGGCCGATGGGGCGTGGTTATCAATGTTGTCGGCCTGCTTTTCGCTTGGGAGGTTTTCTTCTGGTGTAAGTGATGCCAGCTTTGAACGAGTGCTCATTGCTAACGAATAGACAGGCTTCTGGCCCAATGCTCAGCCGGTTACCGTCGACAACTTCAACTGGGCGCCAGTCATGTTCATCGCAGTTGTTGTGATGGCCTTGATCACCTACTTTGTTCAGGGCCGCAAGGTCTACTCTGGCCCTGTAGTCATCGTAGAGGGGCGTCGCGAGGAGGCGCTGTCAACCTGATAGATCAAATTGAACGGCTTCAACCTCGCTGTCTTACCCTGTACATAGAACGCGAAACAGTGGTGTTCATAAATAAACGGCCAAAACTAGGTTCCAGCTTGCATGTTTGCCGTCAAATGACCGTGCGCTCGACGAGCATGTGAAAGGCTTCCTCGGCGCGCTTGAAGGAGCACGCAAAAGCACAACTGAGCGCTGCGACCACTGAGCGAAGGAGTTGCGACGACGTGCAAGATATGCTCCAGGCCCAGAACAAAACGAAGAGAAAGTCCATGAGCGATGTTGTCTTGGATGTTGAGCTAGCTGTTAGGTCGCAGCCAATAACAGATTGCAGGGCCAGGGCGGTGAAGTCATCATCTGCTGAGGCTTGGTTTCGGCAGCGTCGCGGTCAGAGGGTCGCCCTTTCTGTTTTGGCCAGCTCCTGAGCTGCCGTGGCCTGTGCCCTTTCTGTTGCTCTCTTTCTCAATGTCCGGTGCTTGCCCCGCGCGTGTGTGGGGCGTTTGTTTCCAGCTTCTCTTGAGTCTCCTATCGTCACGTATCTCTTCAGACTCACACCTCTTTCACGCGCTCCGGTCTCGACGTATATTATATTGCTTCTTTTCACGCGTAGTGGATAAGCTTCAGTGAGCTCCAATCGAGCTCCATGACAGCTCCTTACCCCTCGCCGGCCGTACCCGCCTGAGCTGGTGAACCGATCTGCCTCTGTTCCCTCGCTCCGAATCAATCATCGTCATCCGTTTGCATAGCTCGGATCAGGTGCCTTGCGGCTGGTCAAGCTGACAGCTCTGAGCTCGAGCTGCAAGACTCGACTCCTCAATCGACATGCCTCCCAAGTTGAACACGTCTAACCATCACTCGTCTGATCCGGACAATGAAGTCGTCTGTCCGATCAAGTCTGCTGATGGCAGCAACTGTCGCAAGAAATGCTTGGGCGTGCGTCTCCCTATTTCTTCTCTCTGCTTTTGCTCCGTCTCCCAATCTCCACTGCTTTGCCGTCGTCGATCGTGTTGTTTGTATTTCTGCTGTCATTGTTCCATGCACCATGCTGCTGTCCCGTCTGCCCCGCAAGTCGTTCCTCTACGCCGCAATGCTTCATTGTCATGGTCAAGTCAAGATGAGAAGGCGACTTACAAAGGGATTATAGGAGAAGCGTTTCCGCTCGATGCAGGAGCATATCCGACGCGCGCATCCAGAGTACTATATTCCAAAGTTGCCGGCAACCAAGGAAAGCTTCGACTTGATGATCAACTCACCACCGTCTGAGCGGCCACCCCGAGTGGAGCTGTGGTCGCCGACGTCTGCCCCCCGCCAACCGCGATCACAACCTGCAGACCACCACCACAACAACGACCAGTATGCAGTTGGAGGACCCTCTGCAGGTGTGTTCAATGCGTCCGCGAGCGTTGCATATGACGGGCTGAGCTCATATGGTTTTCAAGGCGGGCTGGGCCCCGTTCAGATAGCTCCCGACGGCTACGGCTTGCCAGCAGAGTACCGAAGGGGCTCCCTTATCCCCGCTGCGAGCGCGGCCGCCACCCTGGCGCAGCTGCACTATGCTCGACCAGATGGAGAATGGGACAATGATCAAGTAGGCCCTGTCTGCGCTGATGACGCTGCTCCAAGCGCTAAGTACATGCGTCAGAACTATTTCAACGACCATGTGACCGACGCAAAGAGAGCTCACATGGTAGATCCCACCCTCTCTGCCGGCCAGCAGTTCCTCGATAGCCAATACCAAGAAGACCAGAGCCACCCCTCGGGCCTCTCGCTGCTCAAGTCGCCATCGAGCCGTCAGAACACGCTCCCTCCCATGCAGCGTTCCATCTCCCATAGCTCACGTCCTCGTAAAAATTCGCTGACACAAAGTGCCCGCAAAGCAAAGCACGAACGAGACAAGATCAAGAGCGAGAATCGCAAGGCCCTCAGTGCCGAGCCTAACATGTACGGCAAGAGATGGGAAGATCTGATAGACGCCGCCACGTCGGCTACAGAAGAAGACAGAGACCTTACTCCTGTGCGTTGGACACAACTTTCTTTTGTCACAAACGGCTGCCACTGACTGTTCGTAACAGCTGCCCGTCTCGCCCTACAAATCACCACAAGTCGGTACACGCACACCATTAGCCCCCTTCGCCCTGGGCTCTCAGTTTCAATCATATACTGCATCTCCATTACAACAAACCCTCACACCTCCTCCTGCTGATGCAGACGGACCTCCTCTGGACATGGGACCCTTCCCTTCCGTCGAAGACACTGCCGTTTCATCCTCTCTTGATTCGAATCAATCAGGCAACAACTTCCACATCATGCCATCACAAAATCTCTCTTCAGATTCATCACCAATGTTCTCGAATCCCGTCCAGATATACTGCGCAGGCTGTAGGAGGCTTAGTATTCTCAAGGAGTGTTTTGCCTGCACAGAATGCATTTGTGGTCTCTGTACAGGTTGCGTCGAAGCACTCATGTCAGAACAACAACGCGGACGCATAGCACAGTGCCCACGATGTCGCTCAATGAGTGGACGATTCAAACAATTCCAGCTCGACATACGCTAGGACTGTCTCATCGTATACCACCTTCCTTTCTCTGCTCGAACTGTTTAATGTAGCACAACTTCATCGTTCTTTTTGCTGGATGGCTGTCTGATCCTGGTATTTGTTTGGTGCTGGTAGGCGTTTTGCTGGAAGCTGTGTTTTTATGCATATTTCTTCACGGACAATCGGGATGGGATAGACTGCTGTGGGAAGCTGGACCTGGAAGGAGCAATATGAAGAACAATCACTTCTGGGACATCCGGACAATTACATGTTTATCTTTTTCCTTCTCCTGGACTGAAGAAGTTCTACTTGGTTCTTTTCCATGTGCTAGATTGGGTAGATCCAAAGCTTCTCCCTCGAAGGCCATCCGCGATGTGCTCATTTAGAAAGGGCACAACGCTTTTCTCAATGGTGGGTGACCCAAGGAGAGCCCAGGATGTATTGCTTCTCGGTGGACACTGTCTTGTTCCTTGATGATACTGTGCGTTTCCATAGCTCCCTCGTTGCATGCTGTTGTATATGGAGAAGTGGTGTTGCAACCATGTGTTGTTTGCACTTGCTACCGTGTGTTGTTTGCACTTGCTGATTTGACTCACTCTGCTACAATGTCTTGTCGCACTTGGTTCGACTCTCACTCCACCACCGACTTTTGTCGCGCATCCGCCTTCCACCTTTCTCTCGAATTGGTACACTCTAACGCAAGGCGCGGACGATCACTACCTCCTGCCCAGCTTTCGATCGACGTCTTGCAATCTACGCACTGCCGTCGTTGATGCCATCAATAATATCTCGCCTCCTGACCCGCTCCAGCATGACGGGCCCTTCCAAGGGCGCCGTCTCCACACCTGGAAGGAAACCTTCAGCGTAAGTGGCTCCCGACCATGTGATGCTAAGACTAATTTTGAGACACAGCGAACATTTCCAGGGAACAGTGACCGTCATCGTGGGAAGAGAGAAGAAAGCATATATCTTGCACAAAGACCTTCTCTGCTTCTATTCTGACTACTTCCGTGCCGCGTTCAAGGGATACTTCAAGGAAGCTGCAGAAAGCAAGATCGAATTCTTCGACGAGGAGACCGATCTGTTCGACGCATATCAGGTCTGGCTGTATACGCGCGAGCTTCCAGGACCCAGTGGCGACAGGGAGAATTTACACTTCCTTGTAGACATGTGGTATTTCGGTGACCAATACCAAACCCCTCTCCTTCAGAACCAAGCCATAGACAAGATCTTTGCCAGGCTCGCAAAGTCCAACTATTTCGACCCCGATATGGTACCTGTAATCTATGCAGCCACCATGGCAGGATCGCCCTTGCGTAAGGCAGTCATCGAAATCGTCGCTTGCACCATAGACTTCGAGAAATGGTCTCCTTCCACAACAGGCTGGACAATTGAATGTCTCTCGGATCTTGTGCTAGCGATGAACCAGGCCCGTTTGAGTACAGATGTTACTTTTCCTGATTTACCGAAGAGAGATAAGTGCTTCTTTCATGTCCATGGAAAGAACGAGCATTGTTGAGCTGAGATCAGCATAATGACAGGTCTCTCAGCACAGAAAGGTAAGAAAGGACCTTGCCTAATGTGTGCGTCAAGCTAACCACAAAAGTACAGGAGAACAATACTCGCCACAGAGAGTTGGAGGCTTTCGCAGACAAGCGTGTACCAATCGATAGACGACATGCAATGTGTCAAAACTTTCACATACTTCTCGACCACAAATGGTCAAGTTTCACACACTCTCTCCTGGTAGCAAAGAATGAAAAACATATCATTCAAATGCACACAAGGCACAGTGTCATTCAAATCACAAATTGAGCTATTGAAGCACTTTGAGTTGACATATTCCTGTGGTTGTTCTTCTCTTCTGAAAAGTATTGTGCATTTCTATAGCTGGCTTAAATTGTCCTTGGAGATCCCGACAGGTTGGCCTAGAACTACTCAGAGCTCACATCAAGAATTCGTCACCGCCGAGTGAAGTGTTGTTTCACTTCCTCATAAGAAACAGTCACTCGAATGCGCCGCACTCTCCTTGTCTTTCATTTGCTCACCACAAACTAACACCAACCATTACTACATATCCGTCACCTCTTGCATCTTTTCCTACATCAACATACTCTTACAACAGCGCAAACAACTTTCGTCCGCTGCATCATGTCGACCTCGTCAAGTCAGGCGCAGAAAACTGCCGTCCCATCCACAGGCGCTGTCTCAACACCCAACAAGACGCCTCCCAAGTATGTTGTCAATTAAGCCTGACTCCCAGATAGTCTCTGATCTTTACCACCTACAGCAAGCACTTCCGTGGCGGAGTCGTCACAGCCATCGTTGGCCCAGATAAGAAAGAATTTACCGTCCACAGAGATCTTCTGGTGTTCTATTCCGACTACTTTCGTGCAGCTTTCAACGGGTCATTCATAGAAGCCACCAATAAAAAGATCGATCTGTTGGATGTCAATCAAGAGGTGTTCGAGCACTTTATCACTTGGCTCTACACACGCAAGATCGCTTCCGATGATGACCAGTACCTGGGCTGGGATGATCTTGTCAACCTCTGGGTTTTTGGCGATCAATTCCAGGTACCCATGCTGCAGAACTGTGTCATGGACGAATTATTCGCCAAAGGAAACCGCAGTAAACTGGGTTTGCGACTCTCAGCGACCAAACCTGCATACGAGAAGACTGCACATGGGTCACCACTTCGCAAAGCCATAATCGAGCTCTTGGTCTACAGATCTGAGCTCGCAAACGCAGACTTTAGTGAACTTTTCACCTTTGAGATACTCCAGGACATCATGCGAGAGACGATAATCGCTCGTAAGAACAAGGTTGCATGTGCCACAGCTCCCAAGAGAGACAAATGCTTCTTCCATGTGCATGGCAAGGATGAGCATTGCTGAAAGGGTACGGAGGAGCATAAAACAGCAGCAACCAAGAATCAGTCGGTACACAGTCAGCGGGCCATGCTCGCATCCGCCGGTCCGAGTCTCGAGACCGACTTTTCATCGACGACAATGATTGAAGAGAATCATCACTAGATCGCTTTCCTACTTTATATAATCCAACAAGCTCACTCCAAACACAGAATCTCTCCACAAGCCTCTCCCACAAACCTGTCTTGACTCTCGATCTGACATCCACCATCTCTGTGTACATACGACTTGTACGAATGCTTGCCAGGAGGAGAATGTATCATGGCTACTCGTTAACTATATTCGAAGCAAATCTCGAGTCGAGAATGTGACGGCGAACGTGTGAGGTATAGACATTGGGTATCATTCTTTTTTTTGCATCCTCTATTGCTTCTCGCCCTCTCCTTTGCCAATAGCAGCCTGGAACTCTGGATCGTTGTCTTCCAACTCTTGCTTCCTGATCGCTTGCATAAGTTCGTACATTTGTGCGATTTGCTCATCTGTGTCTGGGTCAGTCTATCTCGCTTCCATTTCCATCACTCGCGTCTTAAGGGAGGAGATAGGGAAAGGGAGGCTGAATGCGCACCACTCATCTTATCGATCTTAGCCTTGTCCATCTTGTCACCCCTCCACTTCTCTCCTTCGATTTGTTGTGCGTAGCCTTGCCATTCTGTGAGGAAACCGATCTGTGTGTGTATCTTGCGTCAGCGTAGCTCTTTCCTTGTTGACCCAGCTTGTCTTCTCCCTCGTCTTCCTTTTCCATCCTCTCTCCCTTCTGGCCTGACCTGCTCCCTCATTCTGCTTCTCTCTCCTCCTTCCTCCTATCCATCCACCTCTTCCACGCTTCCCCTCCTTTTCCCTCCTCTTCTTCTTCTGCTCCTTCTACTCTTCTCTCTCCAGCAGATACTCACAATATGAATTGGGTTATCAACACCCCTATGAGCCCTAAACTCAGCCTTCACATACTCATCGCCCAGCACCCTCATCTCCGGCGGCAAATGCTTGCGGTGTCCTCTGAGTAACCTGCGGTACAGTGGGATGGGTGGTAGTAAAGCGTGAGGGACAACGCCGAGGCCGCCGGATGGCGTGCCTACTGTTGATGCTTTGGCGAGGAGGGTTCGTGTGGCGCGCATCGTATGTAGGAGGTGCGAGGGAGAGTTGACTGGAGTGGTGACTGTAAACGCAATTGAAGATCAAGTAAAGTGGTGATTAGGTATGGTATAGAGAGCAAAGCAAATGGCTGCGTCATCGTTGGACTGTCGGCATCGGGACTCGCCGATCGATGCCCAGATGGTTCTCCGCAAAAGCATCCCCGAAGCTCTTTCTATTAACTCCCTCCAAACCCATCATTCGCAAAACACAACGATGCTTCCCACACCAGATACCTCGCACGTCTCGTACGACCAAATCTACGAACCCGCCGAAGACTCATACCTCCTGCTCGACACACTATCCTCTGCCTCCGAGATCGCATTTCTACACTCGCATTTCAGCTCTGGCACCACACCTCTGGTTGTCGAAGTGGGCACTGGCAGTGGAGTTGTACTTGCCTTCCTCGCTGCCAATGCAACCGCAATCTTCAACAGAAGCATCTGCACACTAGGCACCGATCTCAATCGACGAGCATGCATAGCTGCATCAACGACCGTGAACAAAGCTTGCGAGAAAGACGCAGCGTCATTCTTGACGGTAGCGAATGGAGATCTGACGACAGCAATCAAAGATGCAGAGGTCGATGTATTGGTGTTCAATCCACCATACGTGCCCGCCGAACTGCCAGATCTGGAGGCGCATGCAAGATACAACACCAACGACACTCTATCCTCATCCGAAGCTTTCGATCGCGATTCGCATTTGCTAGCTTTGAGTTATGCAGGTGGTGTTGATGGCATGGAAGTTACGGAGCGATTACTCGACGAACTGCCAAGGGTGTTGAGTCAGAGAGGAGTTGCATACGTGCTATTTTGCGCTCAGAACAAGCCCGAGGACATAAAGAGCAAGATTAGACAATGGCCTGGCGGCTGGGAAGCCGAGACTGTAGGGAGCTCAGGCAAAAAAGCTGGTTGGGAGAAGCTGTGCATCGTCAGGATCACGAGGACGATGCGAGATTGAAAAAGGAAGGGAAGCAAAGCTCAAGTCTGGGAATGCCCAAACATCCTACGCACCCAACGCCCGCCGTATCGTCAAAAAGCCCTAGGTCGGCGCCTTATTCCTCATGAAGCCAGAAGTCGTTTGCCGACTCTTCCGAAATGCTTCGAGAGGATCGCTCAGAGCTTCTTACCCCAAGCTCCTTCTCTGGAGAAACCTCCGAAAGAATGCAGCAATATCCAAGTGATCTTCTTGTTCTGCGACTTGTAGTGGCGTACAACCTTCACTGTCCAGGAGATTGAGGTCTGCGCCGGCTTCCACCAGCATTGTACAGAAATCGAGCCATCCATTCATGGCTGCGTAATGGAGTGCAGTCCTACCATTGGTGTCTTGTATGTCGGTCTCTGCACCAGCGTCCAAAAGGAGCTTTGCGTGCCTCCCAGGTTCTCGGCCCGTGGCATTGATCCACAAATCCTGTAACCAGTCAGTCCTACCCTTCGCGGCCTTGAGAAGAGGAGTCCACCCGCGCTCATCAGCTTTATCTAGAAAGGCGCCAGCTTCGATCAGGATCTTCAAGAACTCCGAGCTCCTGGAGACTGCTGCAAAGTGAAGTGCCGTCTGATCTTGGTCATCTGAGATATTCACATCGGCTCCGGCGGCTATCAGCATTTTTATGATCCGTATCCATGCAGGGACCAGAAATGACTTGAGTTCACCGTGATAGCCTTCTGTGTCCATGAGAAGAGCAAGCGGTGTTCCACGGGAGGAGAGATCGCCACGCGTATCCACAGGAATCCGCGTTGAGAACGTGTTTAGTACCAGATCTGCTCCTTCCATGCCCGTCAACCCATGCATACAAAAACCATTGCTGCCTTCTACTTGCGAATCAACATGGTAGCAGCAGGTACCTAACAAAACAGTATGCAAAACATACAGCAGCAGGGATTCCCACGTGGTCACCCACCGTAGTACTAATCTGCCGTTCAACTGCTTATGTATGGCAGAGCGGACGGGATGCCCAGTTTTCAGCTGACTGTGGCCGTATGTGCATGGCTCCTCCACTTTTATCCTCATATAGTCTGAGTGGCAACATCAGGCAGACAGGTGATGAGAACAGGATGGATGATAGATTCCAGAGGTTACTTGAACTCCCGCTTCCAACCACCTTCTTCCTCGAATATCTCACCGACTGCCTTGCTGACAGCTAACAGTCTTCGATCATGGTAGCGGGGCGCAACGAGAGATACACCGATCGGCAAACCATTGCCGCCCTTAAAGCCTGGAATATTGACCACTGGAGTGTGCAATGCCTGCGAATTGACGTTAGATGGTGGGGCAAGGAATTGGAATTTTTCTTGAGATATGACTTACAGTCCAGATCAAGCAAAAAGCCGCGCTACCTGTCTTTTCAATTCCTAGTGGCGCTTCGTCAGGCACACTAGGTGTGAGCACTGCCGCGTACTTGCTGAGAATACCATCTACCACTGGTCTTGCAGCAGCGATATTGTCGAACGCGTCCAACTGCGCTTTACGGGATATTTTCGTATCATTCTCCACATGGCCCACGAGGTAATCTGACAGATTGTGTTTCGTGGTCGTATACTCTGGTAAAAATGCCGTGCGGCCATCCGCATTGAGTACCGTGGCATGCCAAGCAGGAAGGTCATTGAGATGTTCAGGAAACTCGATCTCTTCGACTTCGGCGTCGTGAGCACGGAGAAGGGATACAGCCTTTGCCACCGCTGCAGAGCCTCCGGCACCGATCTGTGGCCAGACCATGGATTTTAGGATGGCGAACTTTGAGCCTTTGACTTGAAAACTGGAAGGGGCTGGTTCGTCATCTGCTAGGGCAAAGACGTCTGCAAGGAGATCGAGGTCTGCAACACTGCGAGCATAAAGCCCGAGGGTGTCAAGGATGAGCGAGTAAATCTTTTGACCTTCGCGAGTGATTGAGTTCCATGTCGGCTTAAAAGCATAGATACCATTGTAAGAACCTGGTCGGATTGTGCTGCCACCGGTCTGTGTGCCCAAACCGATGGGAACCTGTAGATCTCCAACAGCTGCTCCAGAGCCTGAAGATGAGCCACCAGGAGTACGGTTTGGATCATGTGGATTGCGTGTCTTGGACCCAACAGTGGTGGCAGCAAACTCTGTAGTCGTCGTTTTGCCGAAGATTAGAGCGCCGGATTTTCGGAGTATGGCGATGGAGCCAGCGTCCACCTGAGGAGCATCATTGACATAGATGGGCGAGTTGAACTGGGTTGGCATGTCTATTTGTCGTTTAGCATCACCACGACGAGCTGGAGAAGCAAATGTGTGGTCTCACCTTTGGTATAGATGACATCTTTTACAGCTATTGCTATGCCATGTAGGGGACCACGTTCAGATGGCGGAAGAGCATCTAGTGCTTTTGCTTGTTTGATCACGTAGTCCTGATCGAGATATGCCCATGCTTGAACGACTTCATCGCGATCATGAATGCGACTGAGGAGCGATTTTGCATATGCCTCCACTGTCAGATCGCCAGCCTTGATCTGATGCAGCGCTTCAGTTGCCGTCAACTGGTAAGGTTCGACAGTCATCTTGCTTTTTGCAATATTTGAGGAGGTCAATATCAAGAAAACTTGGGACAAAGTGGAATCTCAGTGGCATCAGAATGACACTGATTATCTTGCGATACTACGAGCGATTGAGAGATTGGTACCAGAGCAGAAGCTGGCCCAAGACAGCATGTCAGCCGTGGCCGAACTCACGGTCGGCGATAGGCCACATGCTCCGATTGTGGATCCTGGAGACAAGCTAGACGATCATCGAGATAGCCAGCACGCAACACTCGATTGGTAAGGAGGTGAGGTGTCAGTTTCGGCTCAGTCTGCATGTTGCCGGTCGTGTCGGCTCGAATTGATCCGACGCGCCTGGCCTTGGCAGCAACCACGGAAAGCTTCACCTTCACCTCTGCTTGTGCAAGTCATGACAACGATTCATATGGGAGCATCAATCTTGGTGAGTTTAAGGGCCGCATGGTAAGAGCATCCACCTCGAGGGTGGTACTGAGTCCTTCTCAACCACACTTACCCTGTCAATGCCACCTGCCTCTTTCCCAGTGCTGGGATTCAATGCAATCAATCTGGCCTGTGAGGTGCACTCGATGTCCAACTGTATCATCCAAGTCCAAACGGACAACATAGTTGGGCATCCATGGAATTCTTGGGGCAGGGTTGTATGAACGATGGGCATAATCTTTGCACAAAGGCCATATAAACTTATGCATGATACCAGAGAGCTATGCTTTGCAATCAATTCACAGCACACCTACCATGAATATCTAGTCAGACAAGCTTCAGTTCAAGTCAAATACACTGAGTTCCACCACGCGTTTCAGCCCCTGACTAAAGATCTTGAGTGGCATTTCTGCCAAGCAAATTTAGCAGTCAGCTAAGTTGTTCATCTGCTTATCTCGATAGAAAGCCTCTTATCAGCGACAACCCCAATGCACTGCCGCAAACACAACTAGGAAGGTTGTTTTCACAGACGATAGGGCAGCATATAGACATCGCCCCGTTGATTGATTCGGCCCATATGATGCCATTATCGAGTCATGCTGGCCAACCTGCTTTCGACGACTTGGAGACCCCGCATCATCGGGACTCAGGATATCCATACAGTAGGCACCAATCAATTCAGGAATCGATATGAGTCGCATGGAGTGACACAAGTCAAGACTGGACAGGTTCCGATGCCGATGGGCAAAGTACTATGGCCAAGCCTATCCGATAAGCACATCTTCTGGAGTACAAAGAGTCGAGATACATATTTGAAGGAGTCTGTAGGACTACGCAGTCATCTACTACTCGCTCTCACAAGTTCAGATCTATTCTTCGGACTCCAATCATCTACCATCATGCCTGAAGCTTACGCCGCACACCAAGACTATGCTTTCCCTCGAAACTTCAAAGGGTACGGAGAAAAGGGTCTCGAGGGTTTGAAATGGCCCAACAATGCCAAAATCGCGGTGTCTTTTGTAATCAACTACGAAGAAGTAAGCTTAACCCATCGAGAGTGGAAAAAACTTGGTCTCACATCAAACAGGGAGGCGAACGATCAGTCCTGCAAGGAGATGGCCGTTCCGAAACATCACTTCGCGAATATCCTGCGGAGCCAGATATCAACGAGCGCAACTACAGCGCCGAGTCCGAATTTGAGTACGGCTCACGTCGCGGTTGGTGGCGAATGTTCAAACTGTTCAACAACTACAAGATGAAATTCACTCTCTATGCCGTTGGCTCCGCTTGCGAGGAGCAACCCGAAGTCGTGACCCGGTGTGTTGAAGAAGGCCATGATATCGCATCTCATGCCTACCGATGGATTGATCACAAGGATTTGTCTGTCGAGGCTGAGAAGCAACATATCCGCAACGGCATCACTGCTCTCAAGAAGCTTGCTGGATACGCGCCAAAGGGATGGTATTACGGTCGCCCATCTCCGCAGAGCAGGGCACTGATTCCTGCCGTGTATGAGGAGATGGGTGAGGAACTCCTTTGGGCCAGCGACTCCTATGCTGATGACATCCCTTACTGGACCGATCTTCCTCAAGAACGCAACAGCGAGAGTCCCAAGGGCTGTTTGATGATTCCTTACAGCTATGACTGCAACGACTTCAAGTTCCTCACTGCCGCCACTGGGTTCCGCGACCCTATGGGTTTCTACACACACATCAAGAATGCTTTTGATGTTCTTTACGAAGAAGGCGAGGCAGGGGCACCGAAGATGATGACTATCGGTCTTCATTGCCGCATCATTGGAAGACCTGGTCGTTTCAAGGCTTTGCAGGATTTCGTCAAGTACATCTCTGAGAAGGAAGGTGTTTGGGTTGCGACCAGAACCGAGATTGCTGAGTCTTTCAGAGAACAATTCCCATATAAGAAGGGACAGCTAGCGTAGATTAGGCCACTCAATTCTATTTCGTACTCGGGTCCCTCCGATCTGTCATCTTCCAGCTTTGTAACATCATTAGAGTAGCCTCACTACAAGAATTGTAAACAGATTGCCATAGCCAAGCTAGTTTCTGTAGTACCACCTACCATCACCCATGACTCCGTAGCTTCCTGTCTGCATGACTGCATCCTGCACCGGGTCCACATCATACATGTTCTCGTAGCCCTCCCAGCTCGTTTCCGCATAGGTCTGTCCAGGCCCACTTATTCCTACAGCAGGGTCGGCTGCATGAGAGGTATCGTCATTGACCATCTCATTCCACATTCGCCATCCCTGCCAACCACCTGGAGCCTCCTCATCGACCTCCATAAACGCTTCTCTGATGGCGGCTGATATCATAGGCGTGTTGACGACGTCGGAAGACCGCCGCGGACGCGCCTGAGCCTGGCGAGTTTGCCATGCTCGAGTAGATCCGGCCGTGGTGTTGGCTGCATTGACAAGACTTTGGCGTGAGGGCCCCGGACTGACGATTGATTTGAGTAAGCTTCCTGAGAGCTCGTCGAAAATGTCACGGTATTTGACTGCGCCAGGCCACTTCTCGCCGAATATGGTAAGACTTTGCGAGCAGTCTCTTGTTGCTTCTAGGATTGCGTATGAGAACAAGGATGGATCTCTCCAGATACAATAGATCAGGGTCAAGCCAGCCACAAAGCATGAGTGCAAAGCTATCATAGTATAGGTCAGAGTCCTGTTCTGGGCCAACCGCTTGTACGCAGTGCAGACAGAGGTTGCTGAATTTGCGCAGGTATGGAAACGTGGATCAGATGTCTGCAGCGTTGGCAGAAAGTTGGTGAAGAGGAACAGGATGGACTTGTGGTAGTTTCTTGATCTCGTCAGCATGTGATTGTGTCCTAGCATCAACGTACTCACAAGTCGTAAAAATCTCTAGCGTCGAGAGACACACTTTCTGGATCATACATCCAGGTAGTCTTGTTTCCATCTTTTGGCGTCTGTGGATACTTCTCCATCCAATCATCGAGATCGCCCTTGATGATTGACATTTTCCGATCACGCTTGGCTTGTTCTTCAGCTGTGCCTCTCAGAACATCTTTGTCGACCCGGAACACGACCTTGTGGATCCGAGAATGTATCCGATCAAGTTTGATCATGTGTATGAAAGGTTCGACATTCGACCAGAGAGTTTCAGTCGGAGTGCAGGGCTCTTTGTGGGTTAGCGTCCTGAATTGACTAGCAACACTTGGAAGCTACAAATTGATTAGTATTCTTCTCATGACGGAAAACCTTACTTGCATTACCTCGACATTGATATCCCTGTCAGCGATGGCGAAGGGTCGACCGAGCACAATGCTGATCGAACGATCAAGGCAATAGCAAACCCAGAAGGTTCTTCGTCGGAGCTCTTCATCTCTTACTTGTTTGTCGGTTTCCATGCGAGATTTTTTTCTATGCAGACCCATCTCAATGCATATCGAAGCAGCGTAGCGGACTTGTGACCAGGATCCAGCACCATATGGAGACCGTTGGCCATGTACACCAAGGAGAACTAGAAATTGTAGACTTGCGATACTGTGTTGCTCCAAGATACAGCTCATTGGCCCGACGGCTGCCTCGAGATGGTACTATTTGTGCTTGCTCAGCTGGTATCCACGACCCGTGTTATCACTACTTACCTCGGGGTCAACAGTGTGAAGTCTTCTAGTCAAAGACAGGAAGCGAGCGGTAATTGCATAAATCAAGTGACAAATGCTTCGCTCGACGACCGTCAAAGCTCCAGTAACGAACTGTTTTGCAAATAAGTTTTCGTAAATCTCACGATCGAGTATTGGCCAACGACTATGAATACGCTCAAAGAATGTATCAAATAGCATACGAGCCTGTCGTAGCTCAGGAAAACTGGATGTGGTCTCATCAGACTGAATCGACTCAGGTGGCGTTGTCGGCTCTGGTTGGGCTTGTTGTTCTATGGAAGCCGAAGCTTCGGCCACCGCCCCTGGCTTTGCATTGCCAAAGATGGAAGCTTGAATGATGCGTGCAATGGTCGACCCAGAGCTGGATCCAACGTAATACGGTTCGGATATTGAATCAGTTGTTCCAGAAGCACACAGGGAGAGATAAGCCACACCTCCTACCAAAGATGTTCTTTCGACGAAATCTGAATCATCTGACAACAGATCTTTGAGTGGCGTTGATTGATATTCTTCGACCTTATCGGTCGCTATTACATCCTGGGCTGCGTCAAACGGCGCCTCGGAGGTAGCATGTACGTCGTTGACCAGATGGTCCTCGGCATGGCCGGGCAGCCGAGCTTCGAGAAATGCGATACGCTCCTCCAAGGTGTTGATGTATCTGTTGTGGTTGGAAGACTGTTATCAAGAGCCTAACAGGAGCATGGTTTGAGGCCAGAAGTTGCACGTACAATGACTTGCCTCCTGGATACTGAGGCCGAACAGCTTGTTCATAAGCACACGATACTCCTGCTTTGTCACATGATCTACACCGAGGACGAGAGCCGTCGCACTGCAGGGAAGTTATCGATCATGTTCGTCGGTGACAGTGTCGATGTCTCTCAGAGACATACCCGCTGTTTTCGACGTTTGCATCTCTTGCAAGCCAGCGATACGCGTCTCTTCTGAGGTGCGGTGGAGGCTGGCCCGGAAATGTCGGCAGTAGTCGTAGTGTTCTGACGCATCTCCGAGATTGCTCCTGCATCTGTCATTGTCATGCTGATTCTCGATCACTTCAAACGTAGGCAGATTTTGGGCCGATGTGAGGGATGAAGGCAAGTGGCACCACGGCATCAGGATGATAAGCTGTCTTGCGTCGTTGCCGCATATTGGCGTTATCGTGACATGTGACGTTGATTGAGGCCCGTCAATAACAAAGTGACCCTTGGATCTTCAAGGTTGTTCATGGGGTCAGTTAGATAGGCCAAGGCGAGCCGATGGGAGTACGCATTTGACTCTCGAAGGCTGACTCGAATCTGTCTCTTGCGAACTGTTCGGAAACCGTATTTCGGACGAGATCAACATGGGATTAACTTTGAGCTTCGAATTCAGCAATGTCAATGGCGTTTGCTTTGAGATATGGTCCAAACCAGCTTTGTACAATAGTCCCAAGAATCTCGTGCTGCAGGCAGGAACAAGGAATTGAGAGGGGCTTCGGGGCGCCAAGCAAATGTGGTCCAAGCTCGTTATCTGCGGCAGTTGTTTCTTCTCCAATCAATAGTGACCTCGACCCTTCCTACTTAGCATACCGGTCGAGCCGCAACCAATCGACTCAATCGTGTTCTTGATGCTTTCGAACTGGGTCTGCCATATTCCGATAGTCAAGAGGCGTCGGCTCGAAAGTGGCCGAAAGATCTGTAACAACAACCACGGCATAGCTCTATTAATCAATTAGTATGAGGGGATCGATATCTCTCGCTCCCTATAATGTAGGTGTCGTCTATAATCCGACTTGTTTCGAGCACAGTCGCTCCAAGCACATACCCTCCCCGAGTCTTTGCCCGAATATCACATACACTGATCTGTCTGGCATCTCTTCGAGATGGGCAAGTTTTCAATGCCGAGCAAAACAGAAGTCGCTGCACCTTTCCATTCCAGAGAAGCCTTCGTCAACTTCTTAAAGGCTCCACAAGGTAATGAAGGGCACAACATCGTTGGAGATTCGAGGTGGTCAAACAAAGACTTGGAACCGACACCTGTGGAAGACAGAACATGGACGTGGTAGGATTTGTCACTGTCAGCACCATATCACAATCCTTATTGATGTCTGAAGGTTCAACCTGCCTCTTTACTGGTTTTCCAATCAATTCTCCATCGTCGGTTGGAACACTGGTTCGGCTCTAATCACCGTCGGCCTGGTAAGCAGATTCTGAAATATATGTTTTGGTCATGCCTACTTATACCGCGTAGACATGGCAGCAATCATTCATATCAGCATGTCTTGGTGCTTTCCTCGCCGCTGTCATTGTCGTCTTCATGGCTCGTCCAGGTGTCAATTATCATATCGGCTAGTAAGTAGAGTCCGTCTGGAGAGCAGCACCCGATTCTGACATTGCCTAGTCCGGTCCTCGCGCGTGCCGTCATGGGAATGTATGGCTCGTCCTTCTTTGTCTTCATCAGAGCCATGGTGTGTATCATCTGGTACGGCATCCAAACTTTCTATGCCGGCAACCTCCTTTCTGTGGTACTACGCTGCATCTTCGGAAGCTCTTGGCAGAATCTTGACAACACTCTACCGCTGAGCGCCAATGTATCATCGAAGCAGCTCCTGGCATTCTTCTTGGCATGGCTATTGCAGTTTCCACTTGTAAGCTACACTGAGAGCTGGCAATAGCTTGTATCATCTTGCTAACTAGTTTCAGATGTGGGTTCATCCGAAAAGCATCCATCACCTCTTCACAGTCAAGGGCTTCACCATGCCCGTTGCGGCTTTTGCTCTTTTTGGAGTTTGCATCAGTATCGGTGGAGGACTTAACATGGATATTGCCTCAGAGCCTAGCGCGCCGTCAGCCTCTGTGACGCCTTTGGGTTGGTCCATCATGGCTGGTATCAATACCATCTTCGGGAGTCTATCACCCATGCTCGTCAACCAACCCGATCTCGCTCGATACTGTAAGAAACCCCGGGACGCCGGTGTCCTCCAAGGCTTGTTTGTCTTCATGCCATCGGTTCTTGTCTTCTTCCTGGGTATGGCATCAACAACTGCCATTCAAAACAAATGGGGAACTGCATATTGGAACGTCTGGGATCTCCTCGATGTAATTCTTGACCACCATTTCAGCGCGGGAGCTCGTACTGGAATTTTCTTCATCGGTCTTGCCTTTTTCTTTGGTGTGTTCACTACTAACATCGGCGCGAACTCGCTTCCGTTCGGTGCCGATATGACTGGTATGATCCCGAGGTTTTTGACGATCCGTAGAGGGCAGATTCCTTGTGCAATCTTGGGAATAGTTGTGCAACCCTGGCAGCTCATGGCGAACGCATCAGCCTTCCTGAGGTGAGTGATTGGGTCAAGTAGCCCTTTTGCGATATAACACTGACGTTCCACAGCTTCCTCGGATCCTATAACATATTCATGGCACCGCTATGTGCCGTCATCATCGTGGACTATTTCGTCGCTCGCAAAGGCAACATACACATACCATCATGCTACGACGGCAAAAACACAGGTCTCTATTGGTACTCATCAGGCGTGAATCTCAGCGGTGTAGCCGCATGGCTCTCGGGCACAGCAATGGGAATCCCTGGTCTCGTTGGACAGTACGAACCACAAAGCATCAGCATGGCAGCGAAGAACATGTATAGGATGGGCTTCCTGTTGACTTTTACGACTGCAGCGACAGTCTATGCTGTACTGACGTTCTTGATCAAGCCGAAGGTCTTCCCTGTTGGACGCGAGGCCACACCATTTCAGCAAGAGTGGCTTGCGAATGAAGGGCGTGAGGGCTTTTACGAGGATGAGAGGGATGGCAATGAAATTTTTGCTCCTGCAACGCCACCCCCGACCGTTGCTGAAGAGATTCAACTGGGAGAGAAAGGCTACGGCGAGAAAGTCTGAAGACAGGTATGGGAGATACAAACAACTTTTTCTTGGGGAACACGAGATTCCAAGCGATTCATGAGTATGATTTTTGTACAGCTAATGATAAAGATGCGTTAAAGCAGCTCGCTGATGATTCTCGTCCTTGCTCTCACCAGATAAAGTACCTATGGAAAAGGTATGGCAAAAGACAACATTCCAAACACCATCAACAAAGGATCAATATGTGACTTCGAGCTATATGTTTTCCACCTTATTCGTTCTTCTACTCATCATACTCTAGAGTAAGCGTAGTGGGAATCGGCGACTCCTTTGAAGAAGAATCAAGATACTGCCTCATCTTCACCCCAGCGACCTCATGCTCAACAATCGAAAACTGCCCAGCACGACCCTTAGCACGTCTCAAGTTCTTCAACTTGAAGACTTCCTTGAGCGTCGCAGCCAACGATACACCCACCAATCTTGCACCAAAGCAGAAGTGCAGTCCATGACCAAGAAGAACATACGAGTTGAATGGACGATGAGGGTCCAACTTCTCAGGATTTGGGAACGCTACGGGATCCATGGAAGCTTTGGATGTTGCGATTAGGATGGTTTGGTTGGCTTTGATTTGAATGGGACCGCGGGCGCCGTCGTTGATGGTGACGTCTTGAGAAGCGACGCGAGGGAGTCCTGGGACTACGCCTGCGTGGCGCATACCTTCGTAGACGAACCCCTGAAGCTCGCGCTCTGATGCGGGATCATCTCTGTGAGCGAGCTCGACGATGCGATCTTTGTAGACTTCATAGCCAGGGCTGAGGAACAGATCGATGAGCAGCGATGCTTGTTGAGTTATGTTACCGGCGACTGGAGCGCCCATGCCGATACAATCACCAACCAGGTCGCCAATGGGAAGCTTTGTTGCGTTCAACGCATGGTAGATGCGATCAGCGTCTGGACCAACTTCGTAAGCGGAGCCTTTGGCAAGCCAATCCACGACATTCTCTTTGTAGCCTCGCTGGGTCTCGAGATGAGCCTGCAGGATCTTGCGTAGGACTGGTGCAACCTTCATGGCACCCTCGCGCAATGTAGTCTCAACAAGAGGCTGGATATTGAAGCTCTGATACATGAACAGCACCAAGTAGATACCGAAGAGCTCAGGGACTGACAACATGCCTCGAGGATTCTCGGCAGTCTTGAGTGGTATCGCAAAACGAGATGCTAACCAGAGAATAGGTGTGACGTTGGTGACGTCCCGGACAATATCGATGGACCGTCTGGTTCCTTGGTACTTGAGCGAGCTCTTCGAGATGAGCTGTGGGATATTCGTACGGAAGAACTTTGTGACGTTTGCCTCGAAGTTCTCTTCGAAGAACACCTTGTGAAGGATCTTGGATCTGTCGTCATGCTTCTTCTGTTGATCCCATCCAATCATAAAGTCATGTCCGTCTGTACATTGTCTGATTGCAGCCTGGTACATGACGCGAAAGTTCTCGCGATCTTCGAAGACCTTCTTGCAACCTTCTTGTGTGTGAACAGAGATGATAGTTCTATCACTTCGCGGTCTTGTGAGATCGTACTGATCGATCACTCCATTGCCCTTGAGAATACCGGCGGCAGCTTTTGGTGTATAGAACGGCAATAGAGCATACGAAGAAGTGCCAGTGAAGGCATTGGGAAGTCCGGAGAGGAGCAACTGTGGAAGCATGCCTCCATAAGCTCCTGGAGGAGAAGTGCTGAGCTTAGTCACACCCCAGTTTGTCAGAGTCGAACTGTTGAAATCGTAAGAGAGAAAGCGGTCTCCTCTGACTAGCGCCACGGCATCGTCAAGGATACCACGACCAGTCGTCTGGCCTGGACAGACACCACTACCAGCCATAGGAGGCTTGGTGACTTCGGCCATGAGTCCCGGATACAACTCGAGATTGTCAATGTGGCCGTACAGAAGCTCTGCAGCTCTGGCAGTCTCCTTGTTGGGGTTCCACTCTTCGAAGCTAGAGTATGCCTTCAGGTTCAGGTACCGGCGAAATCTGGGAGAAATTAGTACTGCATCTCCGAATTGTCTCAGATGGATGACTTACTCGTTCATTGTGCAGACTTGAAACTTGTCACGAGCCTGGAGCATTCCCATAATATCGACAATCTTTAAACTGGCAGGTGTACCGTGCGCACCAAAGGCATGTGCTGGAGACTCGATGCAATCCTTGATGATCTCTGCGAGATCAGCGTCGTCAAACTTGCCATCTGACTTTCTCTTAATGCCTCCGAAGGTCCACTCTCTGGGCAGGGAGTCTTTCAGCTTATGGCCCTCAGTCATCAGGACCTTCTTGAACATGTCCGGTGTCACGTCGTCGATCGACTTGAGTCCTGGAAGATTCTTCTTGAGTAGATCTTCCATCCACTTTGCGTCAGCTGCACTCAAAGCCGCATGCCAATGGTAGAGGACAGCGAATTCGACCGAAACGACGTTTCCCGTACCACGCTCGACTCGTGTACCGGCTTGCTTGATCTCAGCACCAAGGTCGAGAGACCATTCCGAATTGGCTCTTGGAGTGTTCAAGATGGCTGCGACATAATCTTTAAGGACGACCGTCGCGAAGAAGCCAACATTAATATTGCGAGCAAGTTGGAAGATGTCTTCATCTTGTCTGTACCACTGTCAGTAATGCTCATCCACGATGGACAAAACGAAGTTGACTTACTCAGTTCTCTTCTTCTCGTCCAAGGTATCCCAGTCTTTGTATTTGCCGTCCTCGTTGATAGCAAGCAATGAGTGTGCGATACTGTTGTGATTTCTTGAGAACATGACCAAGACCGCAATAACGCCTGGTGGCATCATCATGATTCTTTCTGAAGCAATCGAGTCTGCATAGATTGTTCCATTCTCATATGTGCGTACGCGCTCTTGTTCGACTCCTGTGTTTCCATACAGAGTACTCAGATCAACATAACTCGAAGTTTCGTTGACCCAAGGATCTGTCCGAGAAGTCTGGAAGCATTCATGTATGACGATGGTGGCGAAGGAGAAGAACAATCTGTTGAGACCAGAAGGATGTTCACGGAACGGTCCTTTTCTCTTGAGAAGCTGCTCATAGACAAGCTCGGGATCGGGGAGATTAGGACCTTTCGGTCTCAATGGAGGAACACTTCGACTGTAGGGGGTGCCGGCCTTGCCCATCTCGGGATTCCAAGGATTGTTGTTACCTCCATCGTGTCTTCGGTATCTGGCGGTAGGTCCAGCTAGCGTCACTGGTGGGTGAGGTAGATCGTTGTAAAGCATTTTGATGAACCCTTCTGATACCGTTGCAGAAAGTCCGCTGTTTGGTGGTGCAGCCTGGAGGGCAGCGACGCCATGTTCCAGTAATAGCTCCTTGTCGTCCATAGGCTCGCCGGATGCAATGGTGGTCAAGCCCTGTGCTACGGTCTTCATGTTTTTCACGCCCATATGTGTTATGTCATGAATGAGCGAGGTCTTCTCGTTCAGAGGGTTGAGTTCTGCTTCGCCATTCGTCTTGCGGTCGGGAGCGGTAGAGGGCTTCCTCCTGATCGATCCGATCAATGTCTTCAACTGGCCGACTGCCATGATTGCGTCTTGTAACTTGTCTGAGGACAATTGAAATCAAGTCAGAAATAGAGGGGAAGAAAGGTTACCTCAAGAGATTTGCGTATGGAGAGCAGACATGGCTGCTGACATGCTGCAGTCCATTTTATCTTTGCCTCGCGGCGACTCCTGACTACTACCTACTAGCTTGAGAAAGGTTTGGAAGCACGCTCGTTGTCCAAATATTTTCCAAACACTTGGTGATCAGCAAATCGTTAGCGTCTATAATCTCCTCGTATTCCACAACATGCTCGCATGACGATGGTTAGCTGAAATTCGTGTCAGATAATTGGTGAGAGCAATGCCGTGTCATGTCTCGTGCATAGACAGCTAGTTGTTGAGGAGGAGAAGACATGTTGATCGGCAACAACAGACAGGGATGAGCTCAGCTAACGACTCGCAGCGTAACGATACGAAGTCAATGCCGTGGTGCTGTATTAGGGGTGTGACTTTGAGTTTACAAAACCATCCGGTGGCGGCGCGATGGTCTCATCATCTGCGCACCAATCAAGACTGACTGGTTGGAGATCAGACAGAATGGCGTTGTCACTACTGGACATGCATATGCCAATGGGGGTTATGTGAGGCAGATCCATGTCGTGAAGAAGTCGACCCTCGATGAAAGTAGCGGTGCACGTGCCAACTCCGCTCGAAGGAGGTGGCGGTACGCCAGGTGTACGTTAGTTCCAGTCAATCTCTCACAACGCTTGCGCATGAAGGTGTCTGATCATATTCAGATCTGTGAACATCGTTCCTGCACCATGATCACCACTCGTCTTTATTGGCTTGATAGATGACTATCGCGTCGGTCTTAAGAACGTAAGAAGCGAGTTTCTCGAGGCAGGATCGAACTGCGCGAGACAACTGAACCAGGGCTTACTCGTCGCTCGTAGCGATGATCTTTTGCAACGCCTCACTGCAAGCCCGCAATCTTTACACGGCTGAAAATCTCTGTACACAGATCCCCAGCAGTCGACTGGCTCTCGCCACGTGTCTTCGCCCTATCTGCTCTGACTTGATACCTGGCACGATAATTTTGGACAAAATTCCTGCGGTGCGATGAAGCTGAGCTCATGGGGCATCCAGATGAGGCAAACGCACCAGCGTGTAGTCTCTCAAGTGTCGTTGATCCACAACAGCAGTCAATATCGTGTGGTATGTCGATCTCATACCATGTGGGTCGAGGAGATCGTGCTCAACGGTAGGTCGTACATGTTTGGTAAAGCGGATCGGGACGCCAAAACCACTATCTTGGAAAAACGTTCGAGATCTACAACGCCAGACTGGATTTGTTCTGAACACAACCTCATTGATGATTGACGGTGTGCATGGTAGAGACACTACCTAGACGATGGCATGTGAAGATTCACGGTATGAGTTGATGCCCCTCATCCATGATTCACTGACCCTAAACACCAGCCCTCTTCTGTTCGCTCTTCTCATCTTGATTGAGTCTCAGCCTAAACAGACTCATCAGTCATCATGGACCGACGCTCTTCATATCCCATGCAATCAGTGCCAATTCCATCATCGTCTCCAGCCAAGTTACTAGATCCATCCACACCTAGGACAAGCACACCTCGATTGCCCAAGTATATTCCTGCTACGGATAGTGGAGAACCCCCAAAAGGTCGTACCCTGATCATCTGTCTGGATGGCACTGGCGACAAATTCGATGGCGACAACAGCAATATCGTACATCTCGTCAGCTGCCTCAAGAAAGACGATCCACGACAAATCACGTACTATCAGACCGGCATCGGGACATACAACAGCGGAGGTCTGAGCAATGGCATCGCCGCTGCCATTGATATGGCAATCGGCAGTGGGCTCGGTGTCCATGTGAGAGACGCCTATCGCTTTCTCATGCAAACCTACCGCGAGGGCGACAAGATCTGCCTCTTCGGGTTCTCCAGAGGTGCCTACACAGCCCGCTGTCTAGCTGGCATGCTTCACAAAGTTGGTCTGTTGCCAGCACACAATGTAGCTCAGATTCCATTTGCATACAAATTCTACAAGGACGACACGCAAAAAGGCTGGGACATGAGTTCTGACTTCAAGAAGACCTTCTGCATTGACATCAATGTCCATTTTGTGGGAGTGTTTGACAGTGTCGCCAGTGTTGGTCTCATACCCAGAAAACTGCCGTTAAGCAGTACACCGACCAACAAGCCGAGCTACTTCAGACACGCCATGGCTTTGGACGAGCGCAGATCCAAGTTCAAAATCTGTCGCTATCAACAAAAAGACCACACCGATCCCGACTCCAAGTGGGTCACCAAAGCAGCGACTCAAAACTCTCTCGAGACGCCACGCCAGCGGCTCGAATCAACCAGTACTGCAAACACTTTTACCGACCCTTTCGAGAAGAAATCGAGACAAGACTCTTCAGTCTCAAACAAGCCCATCCGCGAAGTCGACTGCCTCGAAGTCTGGTTCTCCGGCTGCCACGCCGACATAGGCGGCGGCGCAGTCGCAAACGAAGCACGCCACAAACCCTCTCAAATTCCTTTGCGGTGGATGATACGGCAATGCTTTGAGTGCAATACCGGTATAATTTTTAACACCCATCGGCTTGCTGAAGAAGGACTGGATGTACATATGCTATACCCAACCTACCACAGACTTGAGAAACCCGTCGTTGGTCCTTCGCCAAATACAATGGAGCGATATCATCAAGGCAGCCTTGCACCTATATCCCGTCGCTCTACACTTCTAGAAGCTGCAGACGAAAAATCCGACTTGTACACTCTAAACCTTCACCAAGACACTCAAAAGCACAAAATCGCCGACCACTGGATGCCCGAGCAAATCGAAGATTACTTTGACACAATAGCACCGCTCAATGATCAACTCGTGCAAGCGAAATTCTGGTGGATACTAGAGGTATGGCCGATCAAAGTGCGTATACAAGAGAAGGAAAATGATGCTTGGGTGAAGAAAGTGAGGATGAATTTGGGGAGGTACAGGGTTGTGCAGGAGCAAGAGCCGAAGTTGCATTGGACGGTGCAGCAGAGGATGGCGGAGACTGGGTATAAGCCGCAGGTCAGAATGGGTAGGGGTGCGGCTTGGAGGTTCGTTGTTTAGAGATATCTTTTCTCTTTTGTTTATTGATGGATGAATCTCGTTTGTTGGGAAGTTGTGTCTTATGCTACTACCGTGTTTTGAAATAGTTCTGGTGAACTTCTGAGTCTCGTATGTGATCCGATGTCCTGGCTATACTATGTGTCTGAGCAAGCAGCAAAGTAGCAATATCATGCTTGAAGGCGTTGTCGTCAAGCTCTGATTCTTTGCTCAACTTATAGATTGTTGCTGCTAGACGCAGTCCTGCGCTCATCCCAAGACCCATTACGCTCATCTTCTATACCTCTGGTGACCTTGCCTCTCCTGCTCATATGTGGCAAGCTGCCCGTTCAGATTGATTCATCTGGAACCGCGAGTGACACGCAGCATTTGACGGTGCAAGCCCGTGAGCACGCCAAAGCTATGCATGGCAACCAGCTTCGCCTCAAACCCGGGTATCTGCTTACTGACCCGCGCATTTGGCGAGGAACGGACAAACAAAGTGGCGTGCAGGTAACGTCCACGCTCCAGCGCCAGCGCATGTTGATCACGCATGACTTTACGAAACTCTTGCAATCGTTTGATAGTCTGCAGGGCTCTCTCGGCGAAGTCTTTGCTGATGCCACACAACTGGATATACAATTGTGGATCTAGTGATGCGACTTCTGGAGGTACGGGTAGATCCAGATTTGTGTGGATCTGGGCTTGCAGATTGACGAAAGGCTGGATAGTGCTGATAGCTCGACAGTGTTTGCGGCAGAAGCTACGCAAGATGAGTGGCAGCGAAGAACCTCCGCTGGCCATGAGGTGGTACCCAAGAACTTTCAAGTTTGGCAGTTGGGTATTGACGAGACACACAATGGAATCAGCATCTCCGGGAGACATGAGGGCCAACTCATCGTGGATGATCAGAGAGGGGATCATTTCGAGAGTTCGAGCACAATGTTGTCCAAGGTAGCGATGTAGGAGTTCGGAAGCAGAAGTTGGTCTCGCAGGTGATGGCGACCGATAGAATTCCAGAGTGAGGTCAACGTTGTTGTATACGGTCTGGCTCGCCTCTATATAGAGCGTCCTGTTTGCCCTGGCCAAAGACATCAGGTCGGTGAAGTCGAAGTGATGAATAGTTGCAAGCAAAGCATCAAGATGGCAGGGGTGAGCAGAATGGCCTGCTTGGTGCGGCAGATCAGTTTGAGTGCAGCGAGTGCGGCGGCATATCATTCGGTCGCTATGGGAAAGCTCGATGGTGAAGGTGACGCGCAGTCCCTCTTGGATTGGGTCGACTAGCAGAAGTCGGTAGATGTTCAAGGGAACCTCTGGGGGCAGATCAGGCAGGCGAGCCATGTTGGATCTTGGATGTCAAGTGGGTATGGTGAGACGATGGCCACGAATCGATAGCAGAGAGTGAGAAGAGGATACATAGGTTGACGAGAACGAAGAATTGAAGAAGGCGATGGTCAGGCTTTGAGTGAAAGGACGAGAAGTGAAACTGTTCTTCAAGTGAGTCAATTCAAATGCAGCTTGAGCTTGCTTCACTATCATCATGTCTTTGAGCAACTCATGACCGCAACACACAGTCTCGATGAGAAGAGCAAGCTCTGATTTTTCCTAGTAGCAGTCTCGACCGTAAGGCGTCGGATCCTTGCGCGGTCAAATATGCTGAGATCACAAGCAAGCTTGGATTATCACTAAATGTATTTTGCAAGTCACTTCAAGACCGCTCTCGGGGTGATTCAGATGACTGCGACCATTTCCTTTATCACAAGCTCAAGCTACATGTCCTCGCGAGGAGGACGCAGCCGGACGGAGGTGATACCAGACAACTGTATGCATCAAGCCCATGGACGCCAATGTCATGGCTACGGTAACAGTGACAAGGGATATGTCATGATGTTGGCGAAGAGTCAAGCATGCCAGGTGCATGCGAACACGAGGAAGCAGATTTATCTACCATTTTCCTCCATTTATTCTTCTAGTGACGTATCGATTGCGCCAAATTGAAGCGTCGCGGGTCACTGAAACACGACTTTAACAAGCCTCGTTCTCGCTCTTCTTCCAGTAATTGACCAACCACCAATGCAATGACAAGCACAATCCAAGCCCCTCGAAGGGCCACCGCTCTGATCTTTTCAGTCCAGCAACAGTCCTTTCGCCCTCTCTCCCACCGCCACCACATCCTAAGCGCCCGCAACATCAAATCATACTCGACCCAACCGCCCTCCGAGAATGTTGACGAGAAGACCAAAGACCTACCGCCCAAGGAACCCTCCCAGCCCGACGAAGACGGCATCAATGGCCCTATCTCCACCCTTCCACCTCCTCTCAACTTTCCTGAGAAAGGCGACAACTCAGCCCCGGTCTACCTCTTCAAGATCGGCCGCGCATACGGAAAGTTCTACTGGGATGGTGTAAAAGCAACATGGGCGAATCACAAGCGCGCGAAGACTCTCAAGACACAAATCATCGCCTCGAATCGCGCTGCGGGCCTCCCCAACATGCCGAGGCCCTTGCTTGGACACCTCGAGTTCTACTACGAGAATGGCGGCAAAGACAAGATGACGCGGACAGACTTTCAGCTGCTCATGAGGGAACAATATGATTTCAGGAAACTGCCGCCCTTCGCTTTGATGGTCGCTCTGTTTGGAGAGTGGTTGCCGCTCATCGTGCCGTTCGTACCCTCTGCTGTTCCACGCACTTGCAGAATCCCCAAGCAGATCGAGGACATGAGAAAAGGCGTTGAAGAACGACGCAAGGCTTCTTTCCGCGAAGGATACAAGACACCAAAGCCTGCAGAGTCGAACGATGAAGCCATGCCTACCAGTATGGCTGGAGGCAAGAAGGCACTACCCAGACTGTACCATTCCATGCGTACCGCACAACACATTGTCAAGATGGGCAAGCCGGAGTCGTTGCACATTTCTCGTGTGCTGGGTATTGGTGGCAGACTATTCGACAAGATGGGTGTGCACCATCCCTTGTACCCAGTCAAATTGATGAGACATCTGGGATACCTGCACATTGACGACGAGTTACTATTGCGGGACTGGGTCCTAAGTCACTTGACTCTCAGTACAGAAGAGACTCGCATAGCATGCGAAGAACGCGGTATCGATGTTGTAGGCAGAGGAGAAAATGAGATGAAGGAGGATTTGGGCAAGTGGCTCGAAGGTAGAAAGAGAGATGACGGTAACTACGGCGAGATTCTGAAGATGCTGTTCACAAGGTAGGTCATGTCACTTTCTGCTAAGACAAGTCGAGATACTGACTATTTTGACAGGCCGAACGTTTGGGGTCAAGCCCGGATCGAGGCCCCTGAGTCGACCGACAAGTAAGCTGCTCTGATCGTGACAGCTCAGTCTAGATGTGTACAATTAGTTGTATAGAAGCACATATGCTATGAAGTGAGCATAATATCTGTACATCTTCCTGCTACTTCCTTCTCCAACACTGATAAAGCTGCGAGAGCTGAGAAAGTGGCTAGCACGCGTTGGCAACATCAGTCTCCGCGGAATGGTGAGAACGAACGACCATGATCAGCACCTATTCAGAGGCTCACACCTTCCTTCTTTGTGACTGGCGAGTCTCGAGACTTGTCTGCCAGCCGTGATCCCCATTATTCAAAATGTTCGTGCTTCTCGGCTTGACTACATCCGCAAGTTCTGCCACTGACACTCGTGCCTCTCGAGACGGCCTCAGTCCAGGATATAATGACGTTGGGCACAACGCGATTTGTAAGACTGAGAACTATAAGGCTCAATCCGAGTTATTAGTGGTATAGGGACCACTGCGGAGCTCCACACCGGCTTTCGAGGCATTTGACTACCTGCATAATCATACTACCAAGAGTCACATGGTGGCGGCAAGGCGTCCAATCAACATGGTGCAACCAACGCAGTCTCGCAGCCTGATCCTTCACAGCCGCTGACCATATATCCGCCCAAACACTCTTCAGAAAGGTTACTCTTCTTGAAGACAATGCGCCTGTCTTTCATCTTCACGGCGAGCCACTGCGACGTCATTTGATTGACACCAGATGCTATTAGTATTACTCTTCTGTTGAATAATCGTATACCTCTTGAGACCGACACACTATTATGGATTATGGTCATGAACGACTTATCAGTCATGGCCCACCACTTCGCAGACATCCTACCTGGCGTCTTGTCGTGATCATCAACACCATGTTCGTCGGCCTGGTCCTTCTGGTGTATATTGTGCTTCTCATATGGATATACAACAACCTGCATGTGAGACACGGCGTAGCAGAAGTGTTCAGTGGGACTTGTCCCCAGGGCTCAAGGACAGCAGCATATACACACTTTGCCACAAATGCTTTTGCGGTTTTGCTTTTCGCTGTGGGTACACACGCTTCTCAGATACTCCTTTCGCCAACCAGAGCTGAGGTTGAGAACGCCCATGCGCGGGATCGATGGCTACATATAGGCGTAGGAGGGTTGAGGAATATGAAGTGGATTCATAAGCGCAGACTGATCAAAGCAGTTGTGCTGTTGGCGACCTCTATCTTGCTAACTTTACTGTAAGTCGCTGCCGAGATCGTACATCTCATCTCACTGGCTGATATCCGAAAAGCCACAACTCCATGATTTTCACAACCTTAGCAACAACAGATACAGCAGCAGCGCTTGTGACTGAGGATTACCTCACTGGATCTCGACTAGATGGAGCCACGGAGCAGTCCATATTCCAGGCCAAGGCGAAGCATTGCCGTAACATCTCAAAGTCTTCTCAAGCAGCGCTCACGACAATCGACTTCGAGATTCTGCTTCAACAAATGCGAGTTAACTTGACAGATCTGAAACGCTTATCACCCGAGGAATGCCGCAGCGCATACTCATCCTTGGAAGTACCATCTAGGTTCTCGAACGTCCTGCTAGTCACTTCATCTAATGCCAGCAACACATTGGACGGCTTCGTTGACGGCGACCTGTTATATCCAGAGCTCGCTGTCGAATCCGAATCTGAAGGTACTCAGAGTATGCGAATTATCAATTGGTTCGACGGTGACGGCATTACCCCTGTATTTCACAATCATTGTGTTGGCACAGTCTTCGATTTCGGCAACGGTGATACCTGGAATATTCCTGTGTGGGACTACTACTGTACGGTAATGTCTTATCCCATCAGCTACTGTTTGGCTCAGAGATTCGAGTTTGATTGCGGTGTGGCACTCAATACCCGAGTCTTTACTGGTATCATTGTTTGCTTGATTGTGCAAGTTGGATGTTTGACTAGTCTGGTATTCTCACGCGGTTTTCTGCCTCTAGGTACGCTGTCGTAGTTCTCTGCTACACAGTACTAGACTAATTCATTTTCAGCGACCGTCGGAGATGCTGTCGCCAGCTTCCTGAGGCATCCGGAATCTTTGGTTCCAAGATCTGTCCAGCTTTCCATTCCCGCGGTACATTCGCCAACAAGCACATTTGACAAGTTCGGCTTCCGGCGATCTGAAAAAGATATCGCTATATGGAAGCACAAATGGCCAGTCTGGCGGGCAGCTGTCGACACTGAAGCTTGTGCTTTGTTCATCAATATGTATGCATGACACACATTACACGATTCACAATCGCTGACAGACAGATCAGCCTCTTCCTGGGTTTCTTCGCCATCGCAAGCGCCGTACTCATCATCTACAACAACGGCGTTTTATCAGATTATCAATCACTCACACTTCACACGCCCACGTCGACTCACGGACTGCTTGCCAATCTGTTCAGTCTCGGCACCATACATCTCCCCATCTCAGTGACATATCTATTCTACAACCATCTATGGTCACGCATGCTCGTCGCTTCTGAGCTGAACCAATTTTCCAAAACGCCTGCAACACTACGAGTGACTATACCTACACAAGGCGCTCTGAATACTTCCTATCTCGCCGTCAAACCACACTTTATCGCCATACTTCTCGCCGCACTGACTTTCTGCCATTTTCTCACCACACAAGCGTTTAATGTGGTAGCTATACAGAATTATGATGTCCTGGGACACTACTCACATCAGCGTATCATTTACGGTATCTCGACCTCTTCTGCTATATTGGCTTTAGCACTTGGCTTTGTCATGTTGTGTGTTTCGGCTTTTGCGATGGAGAGAAAACTCGATGCGAGTATGCCTGTCGTGGGCAGTTGTTCCATGGCTATCTCTACCGCTTGTAATGGTGGTGATGTTGTCATGCGGCTAAGGCAGGTCAGGTATGGGAGGAATCAGAGAACTGGTAGGATGGGATTTTTGATTTCGTGAAGATCGAGACTCGGGAAACGGGGGCTTTGATAATTGTCGCGCATTGAAGATTTCGAGTAAGATCACTGGGAGAATCTTGAGTTGATCGAGTAGGCTTGAAACATTTCAGATCGACTGTCCCCATGGTTTGGTATCTGCCTTCGAGCATCAACGGAGCCACAAAACCAAAACCCTGTAACATGTAGTGTCGCCTTTGAACAAAGACAAGTGGTTGACGAAGAGGCTTTGTTCTTAGATATATCATCTATCATCTAAACCCCCAGCAAAAAACATCATAGCAAATTCATATCACATAAAACAATCCCTCCTCCCCATTTCCCCAAACCAATCTCCCTCCACCACATCCCCTCACTTCCCCTTCCCACCCATCACATCCCGTCCAAATTGCTTCAGGAAACCCATCGTCTCCACCACCGGCAAAATCACCGAAATGCCCGTAGACGCAAACACCCAAAGGAAAGAAATCACAATCCAAGCAGTGAAAAAGCCTTTGCTAAACACATAATGACTAAAGAACATGGGCATGGGGATCAAGAAGTCCATGAGGAAGGTCAGGACAAAGGAAGCGATGCAAGCGAGTTTAAAGGCTGAGCGCAAGGAGGAAGGGTTTTCCTCCGTGAGGAGGTCGGCGGCGCGTTCGGCGTCTTCTGAGGATAGAGAGGCGCGGGATAGGTGATGTGTGGGTGAGGAGATGGAAGGCGCAGTGGAGATGTCGTTCTCTGGCGTCGAGGGGGCTTTTTCGTCGTCGGTGGCAGTGGGGTTTGTTGTGGCGGTTGCGGTGTCGAGTTTGCCTTGTTGCATCGGTTTCTTCTGCAGTTGTGATTCTACTACCATTGCACCTTCGGCATTGATGCTTCGAGTGATTGCCCAGTCGAAGTGTTGGGGCTTGATGACGGATACCACGACGGTGAGAATCAGACCTGACATGATGGCTGCAAGATTGCCTGCTAGTGTGGCATATTCAGTTCCAGTAGAAGCAATGGTGAGTTCGCCAAAATAGACCTTGGCAGTTGCGAGCCAAGCGGCAATACCGATGATCAGACCGCCGATAGCACCGGTGATAGCACCTGCGGCAGATTGTCCTCGCCAGGTGATTGCGAAAGCGGCGGGGAAAACAGCGCCGCCGATGAGGAGGCCCATGACTAAGAAAAGCCAGCCGAGATCAATGCCAATCGCGTTCCAGATACAAGCAAAGACTGCCATTGTAAGACCGAACGCGCAGATCATGATGTGAGAGACAAAGATCAGGGAGGCAGATGAAGCGGTTGGGCGAATGTAGCGTTGGTAGACATCAAACGTCAACAGCGACGATACCGCAATCAACTCGGCAGAAGCACAGGATGTGACTGCCATGAAGAGCACGATGAGCAGAGCCACAGCACCGCCTTTTCCCATCAGTGCTTGAGCCGCGTAAGCTGATGCAAGACCGGCAGAAATATCGCTACTTTGAGGGACGCCCGGGTAGGTAGGGAAGCGAGGATTGTCGATAAGTGCCACGGCAGAGAGACCCAGTGTAGTTGCGAAGCCAAAGGGCACTGCGAACCAGGCCAACCCGCCCAAGATATATGCTCTGACGGCAGTAGTAGGTCTTGAAGCGATAGCTCTCTGCCAATAAGCTTGGTCCAGGAATACAGTACCGCTGCCAGAGCAAAGCTGAATAACACCAAAGATCAGTGCGTAGTTTGACTTGAGTGTCATGTATGAGCCTTGGACATTTCCTGCTACTGGTCTCTGCACCGCTGCCTTTTTGAGTAGTTCGTACATCTCTCCAGGAGATCCAATGAGGTCGTTTGTGGCGTAGGCGTTAAACATAAAGTAAAGGATGATGATCATCAAGATAACAGTGTGACTATAGTCGCACAGGAAGGTTGCTCGCAGGCCACCGAGGACGACATAGGCGCATACGCCGACCGGGATGAGGAAGATAGCTGCGTACACGTTCATACCAGTCAGACTTGTTACCACGGCTGATCCACCGAGTAACAGTTGTGAGCCAACCAGGATGTTGGTGACAAAGGCGAAAAAGAGGAAGGTGATGTGAGCGGTACGTCCATAGCGAGCCTGCACAATCTCCAGATAGGTGTGTGCACGAGGTGCGTTCATCTTGACTTTACAAGCCAGAATGGAGAACATGAGGATTTGAACAGTGGCACCAGCAGCATACCTACTCCTCGTGAGTGACGATCTACATTCATAGCGGAAATGGAGCTTACCAGAAAGGTCCGGCAACACCATACTGATATGCCACAGTAGAGCTTTGCAGCAATGTAGCCGCCCTGAACATCCGTTAGCATCGTTCGTTATCCATGACGCCGCCTCGTTCGAAGAGGACTGACAGACAACTCACCATGTCCAAGCCGAGACGATACCAGATGCGATAAGACCAGGCTTGATACTACGAGATGCAGTATTGAACTCCTCACTGGTATTGGTGTTGAAGCGCGTGTATTTGTTTTGAAGATGCGAGATGCCCATCATTACCTGGAAACATATTAGTATCTGTATTGAACTTTGTTCAGATATACTTACAAAGGCAAAGAAGAAGCCAACTCCGATTACCACACCATAGCCAGCGCCGATTGGCAGGATTTGTGCTGATGAGGCCATGCTGTATGACTAGATAAAGTTGGAAGCGTGGGCAAGAAGAGGACAAAATATGGACGGAGGAGATCATTATATCCAAAACTACAGTCATCGCATCGACCTACCATATCTTGCCTCCCGAGAGCACGCTTGAAAGGCAAAGATACTGCCTATCTGCGTGTAACAGCACCCATGTCGACGAAACGATAACATGTTGGGGTAATTCATCTTTGTCACATTGCCAGTTGGAGAAGGTGCGATTGTGTTTCGCCGTTCGGTGCGCTGCAAGATAGTATGGATGGAATTGACCTATCGTGAGGTGACTTGTTGTTGGGGTCTGGGGTCGGACAGTGTCGATCATTCCCCTCGCCCGCCTATAGACGGCAGCGGCTGCCGATACAGAGATAAGGTGATGGGGCAGCATCTTCTAAATGATAAACCCGTTGCCATTGCTTGTGAGTAACACCTCCTGATATTTTCCTAGCATACAGACTGTTCCCACGTCCGACGGTTAGTGTGAGCTTTGAACATTGCTTATAACCAGTTTGGTAAGCATTACCATTGGTCGCATACCCTTGTTATGCAGGAAGGTGGATTGCCGCGCTACACCACGCTAACCGTCGGACGTGAAAAGAGTCTGTATGCAGGTGCTCCACCCAATCTGCCTGTTCGAGTCGGACTTCGTTCGGATTTCTTTTACGGACCGGTCGCTGTCTAAGGCACACCACGACCTTTACGCGTCGCCTTTGCTAACTCACTCTGCGCCTTATCATCGGCATACTTCTGGTAAATGCTGAGATACTTTTCCTGCTCGCTGGTGGTTTCGCGCACGGAAGGGCGGTTCTCAATTGCTTTGAGCCACTTGTCGAAGCGTGACCAGACTGCACTGTCTTCACCTTCTCTGGGGATATTGAGACCGTTCTTGTAGTGGTCGAAGACCCAGAGACGAACTGGAAGATGTGTCATCAGTATTACGCGTGAATCGTAGAGACGGCATGATAGGTACGTACTTGCCCATGGCGCAACGATCAAATCGATTAGACCAACATCTTTGCCGGAGAAGTACGGCCCCTCAGAATTCATCTCCTTCGTAAACTCCTTGAGGTGGCCCAAAAACTCCTTTCTCACCTCCTCAAGGCCTTTGGTGTCTGACATTGGCTGGAACTGCAAGAATCGATGGAAAGCAGGAATGATTCTCGACGTGCAGTAATCAGTCCAAATGCGAGTGCGAGCACGCTCGTATGGGTCGTCCGACAATAGTTTGGGTCCATGGTCGGGGAAGGCTTCTTCGAGGAATTCGCAAATGACGGTGCTTTCGTAGAGAGGTTTGTTGTCGTACTGGAGTGTAGGAACCAGACCCCGAGGGTTGAGCTTCAACAATGATTCTGGCTTGTGGTATGGATTGACCTTGATCGCTGATCAGCCTTGAACAATCGTGCATAAGGGGTACTACTCACCTCAATGTACTGGTATGGGATGTTCTTCTCTTGCAAGACCGTCCAAGCACGGCCGACAAAAGGACAGAACCATCCAGCGTATAACTTCAACGGCTGCTCTGCCTGATGCTCTTCAACTGTCTTCTGAGCAAGACCTGTAGCGTGTGGGAACAGATCCGCGTCCGGGTGGGATTTGTTTGACATCTTGCTGATTCTTGACGAGTTCTTGGTGATTTTGTTTGTTGCGCGTACAAAGCTTCCTAACATTGAAGGTTGTCTTAGAGGGTAAGAACAGCGTGTGACGAGATGCAAGCATACCACGCACAGATGACGCAATCGCGGGGTCGATTTGATGGTCTTCCATCCGAGCCGTGCAAGTCGAGATCATCTCAACCGCGAAACATATGCGTTGTTTACTGGAGGTATCGAGCATGATACTCGTCTGATATCGGAATCTCTTGTCCTGGTTGTTGTTGGTCATCGAGAGTCGAAGGCTTTCTCTCACATCACACAACAAGGCCCCTTCTTGAACTCAGGACCATACTTGTCTATAGCAACAGCAAGCTCATTCGCCTTCTGCTTCTCCTTGACTTCGTGCGGAAAGTACTTGACCAAATACTCCGCTCGCTGCTGATCAATAGACCCGGAATCAGCAGTGATGACCGAAGTAGATCTGCACATCGGACACTTTGCCTTGGACTTCTGCAACTCAATCATACAGCGGATGCAAAACACCGTATTGCAGCATTCGAGTCGGATGGGTCTCCATGCAACATCGCAGCAAACGGGACAACTGTAGTCATCGAGCTGAGGCACAATCGTGACCACTTGCTGAGACATCGCCGCGCACATATCGGTTGCGACTGATTTGGCAAAAAGACCACTGTACGCCTCGCTCTGGTAAGACTTTGCTGCTCCCAACGCAGTCCGCTTGTCGAACTTCTTGAGAATCTTGCGTACGGCTTCCATGTTGAGTTCTTGGAAGCGCATGGCTTTGAGAATATCGAGGTTGATAGCTACAAAGTGATCAAAGGCATGTCTGCTCGACTTTTCCTTGAACTTCTTGACAAGCCCTTGATCTACCAGGTCCTTGGAGAAGAGCTCGAGATGCGATTTTGCTTTCTCGAAGCTGCGTGAGCCGCGATCTCTTTCGTAGGGCGAAAAGAAGATAGCATGTTGCACGTACAAGGCAAGGATCTCGCGCCAGATGGTGACGTCCGATCTAGACTTGAATTTGCCCTTCTTCAGATGAGCAGGTTCGGTGAGTGCTGTGACTTCAGTGCTGAGCTCTACAATCTCTGTTTCGAGGCGCTTTTCTTCTTCGTGCTGAATCACATCCAGTTGTGCCAATTTTGGGTCGAGGAGGTTGAAGAAGTTTGCCGCTGTATGCAGATGGACATGGGCCCACTGAGCGCCATTGTCAGCTGATGATGCATGGACCGAAGCGTCGCACTGGTCATGCTCGGATATTGAAGATCCATCGGTTCCGTGTGAGATGTAACTGTCACGGTTGTCAGGCTCGCTCAGTGTGTCGTTGTTCTGAGCCAACCGGAGAAAGTATTCCTTTGTCTCTTTTGTGAGATGTGCATCCAGAAACTCTCCACTGTCGCCGTCGACAGCGACCCACAGTTCCGGGACAAAATTTGAGCTAGTTCTGTCTCCAGGAGCCTCTACACCAAATTCGCTTTGCAGATGTTGTAGTGTTGAAGCGTCCAAGCCGAGGGCACTTAGTTCTTGCTGAACCTTTTTGATCGACTTCTTGAGCAGACGGTATGAGATAGCAGAAGAAACCCATTCCTCGGGGAATCCTTCGCTAGCCAGCAGCTCCGCGTATTCATGACCGTACTTCATGGTGGCTGATGACTATCGTCGTGCAGATAAAAGGGTGCGGTTGGTCCAGGCGCAGAGAGATCTTCAGTGCATGTTGAGATATAGTGGCTTCCAGAATCGACGCCAGTGTCCAGCGAAAGTGTGTGTCAATCTTCCAGGGATCTTGTCGGGACGAAGTGTATCATGACATAAAACAAAGAGGTTGAGGGCATACAAAAAAATTGCGCTCCTGGCAACGGTTCACGTGCTCGAATGCTGGTCCTCTGATGGCTGTGGCGCGCGAGTCGAGGGAGATGAAAGAAACGCGGGGATTTGTTGATCCGCGCCGCTGTATTGAACTCTAATCATGACTGAAGTACCACCCTGACTCTCTCGCCTATCTTTTTTTCTGACCAAAGTATTTCGATTGCTTATAAGTCAGCACTAGCACGACACTCCAATAGGCAGAAGCGTTGGTGTATACTAGTCTCGTACAGTAGATATAGCATCTCGTTGATTCATAGTCCAAGTCTCCTACTCCTTGTTAACCACAGCAACACAATCCATCATCATATCCGCCCCTTTCTCCATAAACACAACCTGTTGCACAGTTCTCGCAGGCTTCTGAAAGAACCTCTTTCCAAAAACCTCATCAATCTCCTCCACCATATGGAAATCCTTGACCGACAACTGTTGCAACCACATCATTAGCAAATGTGCTCTCTCAACTCTCTCTTCGCTCTCCACTTCACAACTTCTGGAGGTCTAGAGACTCACATTAACTTTAACAACGCCTTCCAATCCACTCCCCGCCTCTTCCAACACCATCTTCGTGTTCTCAATCATCTTTTCTGCTTGTGCTTTGACACCTCCACTGATCAACTTGCCTTCTCTATCAGCAGGAATCTGTGCAGAGAGAAATACAAAGCCATTGGCTTTGATAGCTTGAGAGTGAGGTCCAGTAGCTATGACGTACATCAGTAATAGTACACCCACAAGGCTGGAGAGCCCTGATGTTAGGAAAAGAGAAAAGTATTACGCTGAGCAGTCTTGTCAGAAAGCACTTGGGTCAGTGTCGATTTTCTGGCGATGGAGGTGCAGCTGGTGGGGAGGCGGGTGTGGAGGATGGAGGTGGCGTTTCTGCGGGCGGTCCTTGCGAGGGTGTTCATGACTGTGACGTGGAAGGAAGTTTGGTGTTATCGATCAACTGTGGATGGTACAGAACTTGTTGTCGAATGGCAGAAAAGTGTTATAATTAAAGTTGTGGCAGGAAGAGAGGTGTGAGTAGGCAGACAGTTTGCAGCTTCGTTCGAGGTGCGACTGTCCCGCGTTTCATCACATCAAAAGCTCTCGCTGCGCAGCAGCAGAGCAACAATTGTAGAAAACTGCTTGAGAACTACCATAATGGCAATCTGATCAGAATTTATGTATCATTGAAAAAGCGACTTTTTGTCGTCATCATCAGTAGAACTCCTCCCAGCGCCTAGCTATATGCACACGCTAATTGAATGATCCGTCGCTTCGTGTATTAACGATCCCTTAAGCAGCGGTGAAGTTCAAAGTCGTCTGACCGCGCTCTGGATCTGCCATCTTGTGCACGCTAACGTCTTGCACACCTTCGGTATACTTGCCCATAGCTTGCGGCGTAATGAGGATGAACTGCCTGCCAACAGACCTACGAGCAGCCTGAATCATCATCTTCATGCTGATCTCTCTGTTCGCACTGTCCATGAAGACATCGAACTCATCAAGACAGCGAATGGGCGATCCCATGGCCTCCCAGATAGAAAGCAGCAGACAGATTGTCGAGAATGACTTTTCTCCACCAGAAAGAGTCTTGGATTGACGGCCTTTGTCGCTGTTCTTCGAGATATCGGGTTCAACACTGATGTCCAACATCTTTTCCGTATGGTCGACCAAAAGGCGTCCACGGAAGTTGCGTTCGGATAAGAGGTAGCCAAAGGTGATTCTTGCTCTCGTCGTGATATGCTTGCGGAACTTTCTCCAGCGATGCTTGCGATGTATGAGCGCCTGCTTGAGTTTCTGTGACATGTATGTTAGTCTCGCACCGACTCTCTAGGCGAATCGCACGTTGGCCTACCTTTGTCGTGTCTTTTTGTCTGCTCAGCTTTCGTTGGGCAGTGAGGAAAGCTCTATGTGCGATAGTGAAGGCCTTGATGATCTCCTCGCGACTACCACCAATACTGCTTCATGTCAGCCGCTGTTTCGGAGTCTGTGCAATTGTTTTACTTGCCTATTTTGGTAGCGCGTGTTCTCCTCCTCGAGCTTCTCGAGTTTCTTGTCAAGTGATTCAACCGTATTGCCAGCATCTACGGTGATTCTGCGACAAACTTTGGAGGCTTCTGTCTCGTACTCGTCGACAATTGCCTTTTGTTCAACACGCTGCTCTTCGAGACCTGCTTTTTCATGTTGAGCAAGATCGACCATTTCGAGGGCTTCATTCTTCTTCCGGAGCGCCAACACACGTTGAGTATCCTTATCGTCCAGCCGTTTTTGGGCTTTGGTAAGTCGCGCCTGGGCTTCTTCGACCTCTTTGGTGGCAGCATCGAGCTGCTGCTTGATCAGACTGTTCTCTTCGCCTGATTTGTCCAACGCGTTGATGGAGTCCATCATCGTGTCGTTGGCGGCTTGGAGATTCTGCTCGGCCTCATTGTATTGTGCATGCAACTCGTCTAGTGCGCCTGTGTCGTTGGCAGCGTCGGCATCGAGTTCGCCCTGTAGCTGTTCGATTCGATCTTCGCAAGATTGCCTCTGCTCACGAATATTCTTTGCTTCTCTTTCGAAGCGAACTTTAGCCTGTTTGGCGCGGGTGAGAGCGGCTTCTACAGTTCGCACATTGTTCTCGGCTTCTTGGAGATCTCGTCTGGCGTTGTTCAGGTTCTCCTGTTGCATACTGCACACTTGGTCAGCCATATCGTGTAACGTTACAAGGATCGAGACTCACTTTAACTGCGCTTCTAGACTAGTCTTCATGCGCATCTGTCCGGTCCATGCATGCACAGGACCCAGAGAGATACCGCCACTTCTGGTCACCTGGTAGCGGATACCCTGCCCACGTTTGGATTCATGATGGGTGACAGTCGCTCTGACGTTGCGCGGATTTGTTTGAGCAAATCGGTTGGCAGTCTCCCTGTCAGGGATGAGCACAGTCTGATCGATACCCTGGTTAATAATGAGGCAGTTGCGAACTGCATCGTTGTCAATCTGACCAGCAGTCAGCTTCCTTACACTAGAACCGTATAGAAGAGGATGGCGTACCTCCAACACTCGAAGCATTGTCTCAAGGTTCTGATCAGGCTCGTTCTGCGAAGTGTCAATGTGGCGCCCATTGTTGATGATGATATCCGAATTGCTATAGCTTTGTCAGCTTCGAGGACATTACCAGGCTCCATAGAATTTGACTCACCAGTTTTGTTGCTTCAGGATCCTAGATAACAGTCGTGAGTCCTGGTTGTTACTGACAACAAAGGAATTCAGTTGTCTACCACATGTGGACTCGACGATCGAACCCCATTCAGGCTTGAGTAACCGAACGTGCATGCCCATGGGTCCTATTGGCGGTGATATAAAACCGCGTTCGCTCTTGATCTGTCGAAGAGCATTGTGGATCTGTGGTGGATAAGCTCTGGCCTGTTGACCTTGGTCCTGTCGCAGTCGCTCCAGCATGTTGTTTGCGGCCTGAACATCCTTTCTCTTGTCTTCCAGGTCACGCCCACGAGCGGTCCTGAGGTCGTTCTGAGCCTCGTTGACATTGTTCTCGATTTGCGCCTTCTGGGCAGCATGCTGTTGTTCAGTTTCCTTGTGCTCTTGCAATCGTGTACGAGCATCTTCCAAATCATCCACCTTTTGAGCATGGGCAGGACCGTTGGCGTTTTCGATCCTGGTCCTCTCGGCCTGTATCTTGGCCTCCAGTTGCGCCATTGTTGCCTTGTTGTTGTTGATGTCCGTCTTGATGCTCCTTTGTTCGTGCTTCTTCTCTATCATCTCTTGCTTGTTGGTATCGAAGATGCTCTTGACCTCGGCGTAGTTGTCTTGTAAAGGGCCCAACTGTTCTTGAAGATCGACGATGACACTGGCGTTTGCTTCGCGTGTGGTGTTGGACTCGTCATAAAGCTGGCTGGCTTGGTCAGCTTTTGCCTGCTGCATGAGGATCTTGTTTTCAGCCTGGCGGATCTGTTCGTCGAACTTCTCGAGCTCGCGTTCCTGCTCCTCGACCTGAGCCCAGGCGTGCTGCCAGCGCAACTGATTAAGCTTCTCCACCATGGTGGCATTGCGGTCGGCCAACTCTTTCTTCTCCCTGGCAGCTCTTGCCTTTGTGCCGAGAACTCCAATATCAGTCTCTTGAATTTCAGCCTTGTACTCGATATCGTTCAGCTGATCTTCGAGGATGCGATAGTCGCTGTCGAGTTGTTCGAGTTGAGTGCCCTTGATGAAGAATCTGTACTTGTCGTAGGGAGAAGAGCCGCTGAGAAATTCTCTCGCCTTGTCCTGGGACAAGACGTTCATGGGGTTATCGAGCTGCAGAGCAAAGAAGTCGACGATGTTCTCAAGTTCGGCTCGCTTTGTCGACATGGTCTTGCCTTGAGCGTTCTTGATCTTGAAACCACTTCCAGTCTGAGTGAAGTGTCTCTCGACGATGATTGACTTGCCGTAGTCGTTGGGCTGGTAGGCCATATCACCGTCGTTCTTGATCTTGACAGCGACGTGAGCCTGGTCTTCGCCGGTCTTGATGAAGTTCTTGAGACTGCCAGCGCGGTTCGTCTGAGCAGCTTTGACACCCAAGCAGATGGTGAGAGCTGTGAGGATGGCACTCTTTCCACTCCCGTTATGACCAATGATGAAGTTGATCAGAGGACCAAGCTGGATACGAAGCTTGCCGTGACACATGAAGTTCTCCATGTAGACCTCTTCAATGACACCTTGCTCGGCAGCCTTGTTCTCGGTGTTCCGCTGGTAGTGTTGCTGGACACGCTGGGTAGCGCGGAGTTCATGGTCTGGATCGTCTGCTTCGTCGGACGAGACATCGAGTTGGAGAGTGTAGTCGTCGTTGACATGGCTGTGGTACTGGTAGGTGTAGTTTCCGTCGACCTCATCGTTGTCTATAGCAATGCTCTCTGCACGTTGGCCGTTGACTCGCGGACGCTTAGGAGAAGATGGCGGAGAGGGATCATCATGGTCGTCTTGGTCGTCGTCGTCGTCGTCGTCAGGACCGTGTCGTCGCTTGTTCGCCATGGTTGTTTACGTTCCAGAGCGTAGCCGAGTGAGAGTAAGCGAGCTGGCGAGTTGAGCTCAATGGCAGAGTCGACTTGGTCCAAGCAAAAACGTGAAGCGACTATCCGCTCATTCGCTTCGCTGCGCCAGCCGGACGACGCGCATGAAACCGCGGCCAGGCAGGCGCGACCGACGCGTTGATGGGTGCCAAGACGTTTTCTGGGAAAGCTCCAGATAAGATCATCTTATCTACCTATCAAAGCTTGGCATGCACATGCACCTCGGATTGCTGCTGTGTCTCGGCCATCACGAAAAAAGTCGCGTATCTGTTTCTCTGTCGAGTCGGAGCGGAGTGAAGCCGGATCATGGGTGCTGGACAGTCGTCGACGAGCGGTGCTCAAGAAGCAGCCCCCGAGGCACAGAAGACGGGCTACTACACCCTCCTTGGTATCGAACGTGATGCTACCGAAGACGAAATCAAAAAGGCCTACCGTCGCAAGGCTCTCGAGCTACATCCCGACCGCAACTATGGAAACGTCGAATCCGCCACCGCAATGTTCGCTGAAGTTCAGTCGGCCTACGAGGTTCTCTCGGATCCTCAAGAAAGAGCTTGGTACGATTCACACGAAACTCAGATCTTGAGAGGCGACGATCCTACCACTGGTGGTGCAGGTGGGGGCGAGTATGAGTATGGCAATGTGAAGATGACCAGTGCCGAAGATCTGGCTCGCATGCTACGAAAGTTCAACAGCGGTGTCGAGTTCACCGATGCTCCCTCAGGCTTCTTTGGTTTCCTTCGTGAGACCTTCGACCAGCTGGCCAAGGAGGAGGAAGCCGCCGCTCACTGGGAGAACCTTGATCTGCCTGACTATCCATCTTTCGGTCACAAAGACGACTCCTACGACGATGTACCCAAGTCTTTCTATGCCATCTGGCTGTCCTTCAGCACCCGCAAGTCCTTCGCCTGGTGCGACAAATATCGCTTGTCTGAGGCACCCGACCGTCGCTACCGCAGAATGATGGAGAAAGAAAATCAGCGTTTCCGCGAACAGGGTATTCGCGAATTCAACGACTCGGTCCGCGCTCTTGTCGCCTTTGTCCGCAAGCGTGATCCACGATACATACCAAACACCCAGACAGAAGCCGAACGCCAAAAGGTTCTTCGAGACGCCGCCACTGCCCAGGCCGCCAGAGCAAGAGCTGCCAATCAGGTCAACACCGAAGACTCTGCCATCCCAGAATGGGCTCAAACCATAACCAAAGACGAGCATGAAGGCGTCATCGAGGACAGTGAGTCTGAGGTCGAGGAAGTCTTTGAGTGTGTCGCATGCAAAAAGACCTTCAAAAGCGAGAAGCAATGGGATGCACATGAAAAGAGCAAGAAACACCAGAAGGCTGTTCACGCGTTGAGGAAGAAGATGCAAAAAGAGAACGCGAACTTGAATCTGGACAGTGAACCAACAAGTGGAGATGCCACACCACTTGATACAGAAGATTACGAACCTCTACCCGAAGACCAATACCCTATGATGGAGGACGAGCCCCTGCAAGAGAATGAGCCTTTGACGGAAGACCAGTACTCTGTCATGGACGATGACGCCGCTGCCAACATCAACAATCTCACTCTGGACGAAGAGTTGTCTGAGTCTGGAGACGAAGCCGACACACCATCGACCAAAAGTGCGGAAGCTAGTCAACAGCTACCTGAGCAATCTGCAGACCCAATTGACTCCTCAGACGATGAGTATGCCCCTGCATCACAAGTCAAAGCCCGCCTTACCCAAGATCCTCACTCAAAACCGGTATCTGCAACAAATCACGACGGAGATCAAGAATCACACACAACGCCTTCGACACAAGCACCGAAAAAGGGAAAAGCCGCCCAGAAAAGAGCAAAGAGAGCTGCAGCCGCAGCGGCCGTGTCCGCAGAGCAGGACGAAAACAACTTCAAGTGTGCAGCTTGCGAAGGCACATTCTCGTCCAAGACAAAGTTACACCAGCATATCAAGGAGTTTCCCAAACATGCTGCCCTCAAGAGTGTTACGTCTGGTAGCGGTACAAAGGGTAAGAAAAGCAAGAGATAGCTTGCAGTCACATGCATTGCGTAAACCGCTCCCCTCTTGGTGCTTGTCAGCATCTACGGCCGTAAGCGGAACTCCATCTTCCGATGTATGATAGATCATGCTTGGATAAATCTACATGCCGCTCGTACCAGATGTTCAGCTATCCGATCGATGCGAATGTCCTTGTTTAGGATCTTACAGGTCCTGTGATCCAGACAGGTCTCAGACACACAGACTTGGAACATGAGAGGTCCAACAGGGTCCTTATTCTCGACGAGAGGCGTTTCATGGAACACACAGCGGACCAATCATGCGGTCCCATCTCAAACGTCACAGACAGTCGATGAGGACTGTCCTTTACGGTGGACTCCGGACCATCCACCTTTTTCGCTCTCAACCTCTGACCAATATCCACCGGCTGAAGTCCCCTCTGCACCCTCGTCGCATGGTTCAAGTCATGAACTCTGCGAGGGCCCAAAGTATTCAAAGTCCTAGACCCGACCGCTATGGATGTCTGGTGATAGTCTGCGAGACATGCTTCACGGATAGATATGCTTCCGATCAGCCAATTGGTACCTTTGTTGTGAAAGTCGAAAGTCGACGTGGCTCCAGCTGTAGTATAGACTTCAACAGCTTGACATTGAACCAACAGTAAGTACAAAGAGCCAAAGAAGTGTTTGATCTAAATTTGCACTCATGCACCTCAAGTATGTCGGATGCTGTTACATAAGTCGTTTATACGCCTTCAGTTGGATTGTGTCAACATGATCCAGGACAGGGGTCGATCGCGGAATCCCTGACACAAAACTTGTACAACCATGGCAAAGAGAAATCTACGATCATATCATGTACAGCCCAGGACAACGATCGAAGATGAACAGACAGATATCACGATTCTTACTGAGAATATCTTTTGCCTCCTTTCTCTTTATTTGCAGTCGAGAAGATGGGTCTGTCTGTACAACACAATGATCGAGCTCCATCATTCCGTGTTTCCGAACTCGAAAGCAGCAGATAGAGATTTTTAATCATGAAATTGAACTTTTCTTGCCACGACTGAACCTTGTGCACAACATTGACGTTTGTGCAATTCTTCCTTTGCCCTTCTCTTGTTACTCGGGGTTGACTGCTTGTCTTGATGCTACCACTCATGATCTATCGGTCTTTGCTACGTATGTGAGCTAAGTCAGGCTTCTATGAACAAAAGCTATCGTGTCTTTAAGGGTCATTGATGGTTTCATCATACAACACTACATACTAAGGGCAAAGTCAACACACATCAAGGACCATAACAACCTCTGCTCAACTTAAGATATCAATACAATCTTATATATCATATGCTTACACGACCAACTTATAAAGAAGCATGACCCCATCATCGGCCACGTGCTTACCTCGTGGCCTCCCTGCCAAGCATAGCACTAATCATAGCAATGCCTATTTCCACCTCACAAACGAGCAAGATTGCGATGAATATGCCAAAAAAGGTATTTGCAAAAAGGCCACGAATGTATGAGTAATCCTGATGACTCGAAAGGGTACAAGATTTAGGATGAGTTTTCTGTTTCTCCTTCTTTTCTTCTTCATCTACCTTTTTCGCCACCAAAGAAGAGATAGACAAAATCTTCTTACTTTGTACTTTTCAGCCTCTACATCAAGCCCTTACCTCTACATCAAACCTATATTCAGCTACACAAGATCAAATATGGCTACTTCAGTCCAAGAAGCACAGTGGAGCAGATGTCTCGCATCTTGCGAGCTGTGTAACCTCAACCCCGAAGCCTTCAACGCATACCTTACCGACTTCAACAGTCGTACACTCGAGTGTGGAAAGACTTTCGAGTATCCGCTGTCTGTCGTCGAAGAAAGCAAGGACCTCGTGACCACACTCAAGGAGTGTGTTGAGGATAGGTTCCCAACCGACATATCTGATTTGGCCGAATGTTGCAGGTCAGATTCATGTGTGAACGAGTGGACCGTCAAAACTGCTAGCGTGACCCAGAGCGAGGCCATCTCGATCGACGAGAATCAAGACGATGTCTGGTCTGTTGTCAGTGATGTGTGTGACAGTTCGCCTCTTCAGAGCGTCTCCCAAGAAGAGGTCGACGAAGAGCGCAAGGCCGACGAAGACACAACAAGCGACGGTGACAGAAACAAAACCCATGGCGAGGATGAGGAACAGCGCCTTGATGACAACACCGATACAGGGAAGGGCCTTGACAACGACACTGATGAGCAGGACCAACAGATCAACCTCGACGATAACGAGGATGAACACTTTGACGACTGCACTGAAGAAGGCATCCGCCTCGCAGAAGTCCAAAAGCAACTTGAAGATTGCAAACAAGAAACTCTGGAATACTGTCACCGTCTTGAGATGATGTACCGCAAGCAGTTGGAGGAGACCGAACGTCAACACCAGGCCGAATCCGCCACAGAGCGCGAACGCACCGCGAGCGCCAGTGCCACAGCAGCAGTGACTCGGCACCAGTGCGATCGCATGAGCTCCCGTATCTGTGAACTCGAGGAGAAGATCAAGATCTGCGCACAAGAGGCTCGCAAACTCGAGTGCGAGCTTGAGAGCAAACGCTGCAAGGAGGTGGACACTTTGAAACTCGAGCACTATAACAGATACGAAAGGTTGAAGCTCAAGTTCAAGCAGGAATACCATGTGGTTCGTAAAGCCTTGGAAGAGAGCGAAGAAAATCGCCACCAGGACGCCGTCAGACATGCCAACCTCTTTGTTGAAGCCGCAGATACTCTTTCTGAGCAGATCAAGAAAGCCGAAGACATGAAGGTCGCATGCGAGAAGACACTCGAGACGACCAACAAAGTGCACGACATTGAGGCGGCCAAGCTACATGTAAACCTCCGTTGGCTCGAAGACAAGCTGAAGAGAGCACTGGCGAAGGAAGCAGAGGATCATGGTGCGCACCTCCATACTCGCAACCAGCTTGCAAAAGCCGAAGTCGAAGTCGAAGAGCTGGAACAGAAAGAGCAAGAGATGGCTAGTGCCAAGGAGGAGCTTCAGCGTCAACACGAGCAACAACTCGCCGAAGTCAGAGATTCGTACGAGCAGAAGCTCGAGCTTGCCAAGCAGGAGCACGAGGCAGACAATGCGCTCAATGAGGAACAGGTTTGCGATCTCGAGGCTGAGATGGACGCCATGTGTCAGGAAAAGGACGAGCTATACCACGAGAGGGACCAGATGTGCGAAAAGATGGCGGATGCATACCAAGACCTCGAGATCAGCCACGCTCATGAGATGAGGGAAGCAAACGAGGAGATAGAGCGCCTGGAGCAGAGCCTCCGCACCATGTCTGAGGAGCTTGAAGAGGTCAAGGAAGAAAAACTGCAGCTTGGCAGAGACATGGATGAGGCCGAAGCGACCATGGAAGAATTGTGTCAAGAAGCGCAAGACAGCGAAGCTGGACACAAGCAGGACATGAGTGAAGCAGCCAGTCGGCGACGAGAGCTGGAGAGGGAGGTGAAGGATCTGAGACGCGCATTGGATGGGGCCAAACAAGAAGACAACGATTTTCGTGAGCAGCTCCAGAAAGCCAACAAGGGAATGGAGGAGCTGGTGAAGAGAGAGCAAGCATTGGTGTCGCAATGCGCAGCAGACCGCCTGATGTTTGAGAGGAGTGCATTCGCGCTGCGCTCTCTGCTGCAGAAGAACTAGAGGGAGCGGCTTGGTGGCATACCTGTGACTACCAGTCTAGATGAATCGCAGTACTTGAGTTTTGACGTATCGCATCGTGTCTATCTCGTGATATGTATCGTTTGTAACCGAAGCCGGAGGTTTATGTGGGAGGAGAGTTGAACCCTGCAGATCGTGGGTGGAGAGTTGGGCCCAGTTGGCTGGCGCATTCGGCAAGTGTAAGCGTCGCGGCAGAACAGGCAGGTGCAGACAAAAGATTTCCGTCAACCATCAACTCGTGCCTGCCGTATTGTGTGATAGAAACATAGCTAGATGTAAACTCGCATCCCTAAGTCGACCTATCATCACTAGTATCATCCTATCAAATAACCGTAGTGGGGACAGAAACAGCAGTGACCGCATTCAGCAAGTGCAGCGGCAAGGTTCCAAGCTAGCCCCGGCCTTTTCAGCAGTTGCTTGACAGACGTTTCAGCCAACTTGATGCTCCATCCATGGGCCTACCTGAGTTATCTGCGATCAGGCAGCGACGCCTACCTCGAACTCGCCAACCGGATTGACTAGGAGATGAGTTCGCCCGCGACTCTGGCCGTACGCGCCAGCGGCCATGCAGACGACTCAGACCAGTCCGACCTGTCCACTCACCAGCCACGACATCAACAAACAAGTAAACAATCCACCCGGGACCTCCCCGCATACCACTCCGCCAGCGACCATGACTCGGGCCACGCTGAAGACTACGACTACTCGGACCACGACGACCAAGATCATCACAATGCACCCTCCCCTTCGCATGACGATTTGTACGATCAAGACGACTCAGACCTTCCGCCGTTACCCATGTCCACCGACCCGAGCCTCCTTGGTGTCACCAACGCCCACAGCGACGTCTACGATGAGCGCGAAATGAGGAGAAAACTCATGGATGTCGAGTCCAGCTTTATGCCCGACCTGTTATCCGCTCGTGTCACACACGAAAGATCCGGCGCCGACGATACCTACCTCAACATCAAACACCAACAAGGCAGCGACGTTCCGCCCATCCAGGAGCAAACCGAAGACGACATCGATGAAGATGACGCCGAGGCTGAGGAGGACGCTGAGGATGAACAAGAAGAGGAGGAAGTCGCGTCAGTCACCTCTGCCCCAGTCATACAACCCTCGTCCCCAGCTGCTGCTGCCGCCGAACGCTCGTCAATGCGCGCCGAACCCGTGCGACGCTCCTCCGAGAATGACCACGACTTATCGACTGCTTTTACCAGACTCACCTTGCGATCCAACGCCTCCAAAGACGCTGACCAGCGAGCCTCTCCATGGAGCGTGGTACACCCCTCTTCGTCCGAACACCGCATCCTCTCTTTCTCCTCCAGAGAAACCGCACAATCGTCTAAAGATTCCCCGCAGGCGGGTCCATCGCAAGAAGTCGAGCATTCCTTCCTGTCCATCACTTCAGCCTCGACCAAGCCAGAAGATGTCCCCTTGCCGATCTCAGATAGAAGCTTGCTCGACTTGGGAAGCCTGCACTCTGCCTCGTCGCGTCTACAAAAGAGACCGAGCTACGCCTCTCAACGGAACCCCAGCCACCTGTCGGCCATCTCAAACGTCGACACTGAATACTCAGCTGGTGACTACGCTCTCCAGACAGGTGGTGCCATTCCGGAAGACCAGTCATTCAGCCACGGCCGTCCGCTCTCGCGCCTACCCAGTCTTGGTAGCGTCGTATCAGCAATGTCCAGAGACAGCGAATCTAATCCTCCTCCACTGAATCGTGGCAACTCGGTCCTGGCAAGCATTCGCGCAGAGCGCGCTCTGGGTAGCTTGGAAGAGGAGGATAAGATATCGATCGCTTCGGACCCCATCACTCCCCGTCCGCCAGACGGGTTCCAATTCCAAGCTCCCACAGACACCATCATTACCAGACATGTGCAGAACATTCAGGTTCCTGACACCATCGCAAAGGAATACCGACAGCAAAACCGCCCTATCTCCCCTGACAAGCGTCCAGCGTCTTCTGGCAATATTTTGAACTTCAGCAACCGTCCGGGCAGTAACTTGACTTTGAAAGAGCAGAACAGCAAGATAGACAAGCTCACCAAGGAGAATTTCGACCTCAAACTCAAGATTCACTTCCTCGACCAAGCCTTGCAAAATCGTTCCGAAGAAGGCGTCAAGGACATGATCAACAAGAATGTCCAATTCCAGACCGATCTTGCAAACGAGCGAAAAGAAAGCCAATCCCTGCGCCGCAAAATACGTGATCTCGAGAAAAGGCTCAAGCAGTCAGAGCTGGATTTGGCAGAAGCCCAGAAACTTGCACAAGAAGCCGCGGGCAATGGTCACGAAGAGCTCGAGTATGAGATTCTTCAACTCAGCGAAGAACTCGATAGAAAGACGGTACAGATTGCCCACCTGTCTGCTGAGAACATGGCCAAGGAGGTTGAGAAGCGTAAGATGAAAGAATACATGACTGCAATGAACGAGAGACGGAGCTCCGAGCACGATTACGTCGAAGAAGAATCCGTGAGTACTGTCTCAGACGTTCGAGTGAGACCACAGCACTGATACATGTGTCTAGGAGATGTGGAAAGACCTGCTTACAACAGAAACTGCTCGTAGAGAACAGGCTGAAGAAGACATCCGCAAACTTCGCGAAGAAGTAATCATGTTGAGAAGTGAGAAGGCTTCGGAAGCAAGTAGAGGACTCAACACCAACAGAATGAGCAAATTCCGATCGCAATCTACAGAATCAGAATACCTCGACAGTCGCAGCGGTGCCATCTCAGCTTCGAGCTCCACCCTGGTCGACCAACTTCAACACGAAAACGCAGAGTTGCGCCGCGACCTCGGTGCCCAAACATCCATGCTCACATCACGCAACCGCGAGAGAGAACGTCTACAGCAAGAGATCGAGGACTTGAAGTTGCTTCATCGCAGAGTGGACGGTAGTCGTTCGATGACAGGCGACAGCATCTTTGATCGTTCCGTATCTCGACAGAACCAATATCAGCGATCTACATCCCGGACCAGCGGTCAGACACAAGCTACGATGAGTGATGCCGAAAGAGACGGTTATGAACAGCGAGAAGGCATCCTTCGCGATCAGAACGCTGCACTCAGACTGGATATACAAGACATGCAAAGACAATTCAACGAGCAGACTGAGCTTATCGCCGAGCTTGAAGAAGCTGTACAAATATCCGAGAATGAGCTGGACGCGGCTGTCGAAGATCTGAGAACAGTACAAAACCAGCGCAACGACGCAATTCAACAGTTGGAGGCTGCCGAACTGGAACTGGAGCACATCAAGGCTGAACACGAGAAACTCAGGATGGAAGCTGTTAGTGCCATCGAAGACTTAGAGGATAGCCTCGACAAGACAGAACAAGGACGTGAGCGCATCGCTTCTGATCTCAAGGATCGCGAGGACGATTTCAAGGCTCTGCAGCGTGAATTGCACAGTCTCAATGACAGTCTTGTTCAACTGGAAGATGATAGAACGGCAGCTATGAAGCGTATAGAGATGCTCGAGCAGGAGCTCGAGGATGCAAACACCGACCTGGACGAGATGGAGAAGAACTTGCGGGAGACTGCACTGAAGAACAGCCGGCTTGATGTTCAGGCAGAATCTCTGCATAATGAAATCTCCTTCCTGCGTGAAGAGCAAGAAGCAGACAAGATCAAGATTGGCGATCTGGAGAACAACCTCAACGCTGCCCAGCAAATGATCCAAGATGAGAAGGAGAAGATGCAGGAGCTCGAGGACAGTCTTGTGGAGGAGCGTCGTCAGCGTGAGATTGTTGACAACCAGTCTAAACAGGATGTGCAAAAGATGATTGATGATCTCAACGACGAAAGCGCGAAGTCGAGAGACGAAGTCAGAAGCGTCAAGCAAACTCTTCGCCAAGCTGAAACCGAGACCACAAAGTACAAAACCAGACTGGAAGAACTCGAGACTAGTCTTAGACGAGTGCTTGGGGACAGGCGCTCTAGTTGGCTTCAGGAGATCCAGAGAATGCAGGACGAGCTGGAAAACACTATGCACGACCTCAAGGAAGTTAGGTCACATCTGGCCGAAAAGAACCACCTGCTGCGCAACAAGGACCAACTCCTCGAGAGCAGTGGTTTAGAAAGCAAACGACTGTCCGAGATGCTGGAGAAAGAGCGATCTCAACGCCGTAAAGATCTTCATCAGTTCGAGCAATCTCAACGCGGAAGCTCCACCAACGCACGTATGATGGCTCAACACGAATCCCGTGCTCTGGATCTGGAAACGGCTCGTAGTCAAGATCGTCGCAAGATGATGCAGCTTGAACAACAATACCGTGACCAACTTGTAGATCGTAATCAACTGCTCTACACCCTCTGGACGAAGCTCTCAGCCCTCTGCGGTAACGAGTGGTCCTCTCATCACAGCAGCCTCAATGGCGAACCCGCATCTGCCGATGCCATATCTCGCAACCTCCAACCCTTCACGCGCAACATTCTCTCCGCAATCAAGGCTCTTGAAGCCCTCATGTCATCCTGCAAATCCCAAATCCGCAGTATCGAAAAGAACCTCTACAAAGACTATCAAGTCCTGGAGCAAAACCTCGAGGTCCGCATCAAAAGGATAGACTTGCTAGAGCGCGCAGTCAAGGAAGCCCAATTGACCATCGAAACCCAAGCACAAGAATCCGCCACTTTACGCTCCCAGCAAAACATGAATCGATCCTCCAAAACCAGCATTGAAGAAGTCACGAAACTAAAGCAAGAGGTTAAGATCCTCCGAGCTGAAATCCGCTTCCACAAAACCAGTGCTGGTGGAGATAACAAAGGCAAAGAAGCCGAGAAGAAGGATACGAGTAATCAATTGACGCCGAGAGCCAGCATGGCAAATTCCTTGCTCAGACACCATTCTAGCTCTGCTATTGAAACGCTACAGCAAGCTCCGGTGGCAGCGAATGCAAAGAACCCGAGTATTGTTCTCGCTACTCCGCCCTTGCAGCCCTCAGAGCAGCGATGGATTCACCGTCTCAAAGAGCTGGAGAGGAGGCTCAAAGCCGAGCGAGAAGGCAGATTGCTCGATCGCAAGGGAGCGAGACAAAGACTCGAGGAGAGGGACTCCCAACTCGAGGATCTAAGAGGGATGCTTGAGAGGGAAAAGGATAGGAGGGGTAGTTTTGGGGCCGAAAGTTGGGATGAAGGACAAGAGGAGGGGAGAGCGTCGAGGATGAGTAGGGTGTCGGGGAAGACGAGGGAGGGTAGTGTTGATTGAATGGCCTTTCTGTGAGTCACGATAGAAATGCGAAGAGAGGAGTGGCAAGCAGAGGAGAGGGTGTAATATTAGATGTTCTTGGGTTTGGGCGCCTTTTTTCCTTCTTTCTCTCGCGATCCTGTAAAGTGTGGTTTATACATCTTCATCAATTCTATACTGAAGCCTTCATATGGCTGATATAATGCTTTTCGGAACATATCTGATGTCGTCGATCTAACATGTGCAGTCCATTTATTGTATGATAATTACTATGCGGTCACTAGAGTGTAACAGTAGATGAGCAAAGCGAAGACTCGGGTTCACGATAGTGATGGGTGATAGTGTAAACCCAAAGGAAGGTGCAGGGGAGTTCTCCTCAAGGACATCGGATAGCGAGTTTTTGATCGAGACTTTTGGCGAGTTCAAGGAAGGGAACTTCAGCGCTGGTGCTGCAACCTGTTTTCAATGATCATTGCATCAATGAAATCTTGTTTCCCATTCAGAACGTTGAAATAGATGAGGCTTTGGATAGAAACGTCGTAAAGAGGTGAGGGTGGGAGCAACAAACAGACTTGATAAAGTGCACCGAGAAAAGGTTAAATATACGAATCTCAAGGTCCGGATCCTTAGGACACAGATACCAAAGGTAATAAATTGTCTTGAGTTCTATGAGCAATTCTCACATCCCAGCAACAGCGAACTGACGAACTTATATAAAAACGGACAATCAAGTATAAGCAAAGAGAGAAGAAAGGATGTATTTATTCTTTTGTTCTTGGGAAATGACAAAACAGGAGGTGTAGAGAATATCAAACTCACCTATACTATCAGAAACCTACCATACAAGCACCTCAAACCGGCGAAAGATAAGTCCATATCAGCATCATCAGCCGAATCAAGATCTGAGACAAGAAAAATCTCAGCAGAACAGTGGTCAGCGAAAGTTCCGTCTGCCCGGTCACCAGGACCGCGACATAGTGCATTGCAAACACCAGTTGCAACGAGTTCTGACAGAATTTTCGCTGCGCGAGTCAACACTCAGCGGTCGAAGCCTTGTGGTCAGCTATAGCCTTGTCAGCCCATCGCTCGTAATCGCAAGTATCTACATTCAAGACATGGCTGTTCGGGTGGTTTTGAATCTCAGGGGCAAGGGTATCGAACACCTCTGCCGAGACTTGACCGTAATATCCACTGTCGAGCTTTTGCTGGATTTTGGCATCGACGGCCTTGCGGCGAGAATCCTTGAGGCGATTGTTTTCGACAGCGAACTTGAATGCTTTGAAGTTGTCGTTGGCGTCAACAGCGGAAGTGAGGCGTGAGTGGCGGCGGTCGGCCCAATCGGCACTAAGACGGTCAGTGTAGTAGTCGATGGTTGTCTGAGAGGCGCCAACCAACTTGACAAGATCGAGGAGGGTGCTGTCAGGATTTTCCCATAGGTTGAGAATGGTGTTTATGTGATGGTATCTGTAGTCAGAGAGCCATAGCATGAGCTTACCCATAAAGTCATATGCTGCCCAGACTTCCGTGGGGTCTCTGGTACCAGAGTTGAGTCTGACTTCTACTGTACCTGTTTCAGGGTCGGTATAATCGTCGTTCTTATCGTCCTTGTCGTCCTCGTCATCTCCGCCGTCACACTCATCGCAATAGTCCGTCGTCTGACTCAGATCGACTTCGTTTTTCTCTTCCTTGTCGGCCTCGTCGTCTTCGTCGTCCTCGTGGTCCACGTCATCGATTGTGTCTCTGTCTGGTTTGTACAAATTCGTCAGATTGACGGCCAGATAACGAGCATCCCGGCATCTGTCACCTCTGAGGTTGGGATAGTGGCGCACGAAGGTTTTGATGTCGTTGTACCTCGAGAGTACACGAAGCATGCCGGGAACATTTGCTTGCTTCAATTGGTCGGTTATCTCCAGGCGTTTGTCTTGGGAATCGTCCGTCGTACCCGAAGTCATTCGATTGACATACGTACGCAGATTCTGGAGAAACACATATGATAGGGAGCCGATCCATTGATTCTCCCTCATACTTTGGTCGTACTTGTATACAGCGGAGCGTCTTTGGAGACCACAATCAGGATGGCCATTGAACGGTAAGATTGGGATTCTGGAGCAGGTCAGTATCGAATCAAAGAGACGTTCCAGAGCGGCAAAAGCACCAAACATCCCAAGAGAAGTATGGACAGCGGGCTTTCCCTCGCCATTTCCAAAGTGAATGTGAAGACCGGTATTTTTGTTGTTGGCAATACAAAACCCAGGACCCGAGAATGCCTCCTGCATCCTCTGCATGAACGAGAATATTTCGGTTTGAGCATCCCACTCGAAGGGCTCCCCGGTGCATGGATATTTCTGGCCGAGTATACAAGGTGTTGGCTTGGTGAAATTAATAATCCTGGACACAACCTCCAAGTGAAAGAATTCCGAGCCTTTTGGGACGTGGATACGCTCATCTTTGTCGGGCTGAGCGCTCATATCTTCGGTGATCTGCCACCCTGCGTACCAGGTTTTCTCCTCAGAGTAGCGGCGGTGATCCCGAAGATTGTTGATAGGCAGTCTCCAAGGGTGGGCTTTGTTACACTTTGAGCAGTCTGAGAGGACTGGTTTACACAAAGCGTTCGAAAGGTGTCTTACAGGGTCGATACCACGAGTGGCGTATATCAAAGCTTCTAGCTCGATACCGGTTGTCATGTTCGTCAGAATTGAAGGTTGTTCGACCGAGGGCTGACCAGCAGCGCCATCGAGATGAGTAGGGTGAGACATTTGTGACGAGTTCGGGAAAAGTAATGAAATCGGGAACTGCCACCTGAGAGCCGAGATGGGTCAATTCCAAGTCATAAATCAAGATTATCAGATTGGTGACAAAGAACATGAATGAAGTTGGAAGATCAAAGGAAATATGAAAGAAGAACAACCCGAAAAAGTCAAGGGAACAATTGGAGATGATTTATAAGTACCTTCCGCTTTGTCGAGAACAATGTATTCTCGCTAGAAACTCAAGCCATGATTGTTGCTTGAGAAGGTGTCCCGATATACCAAGTCGGCGGTGCTTCCATACGTGGTTTGTGAGTTTGTGATGCTGAAGAATGCATGTTGTATGTTGGACAATCGACCTGATGCCGACTCGTGAAGTGTCGTACGCAAGGGAGGTCATTATCAACGAGGTACCGCTTCATCCTCGAAGCAATTGATACTAATTGTCTCGATGACGTCTTTGTTTCTGTATACCGACACTGATGGAGCGAGGTAGAGAGGAAATGTGGGATGTCCACGACATAAGAGGGGACGTTCGGAGCAGGTCCTGGTTTTTTGTCGGGGCGAATTGATAAATGGGAACAAAGAAAACAAAGGAAGGCGCGATGGTCAGAAGTCGCAAAGCGAAGCCACATTGTTCGCACATTCCGCGTATGTCCTTGCGAAAAGAATCCAACCCAGTGGAGAGACGATATCGATTGCTCGAATTGTCCCATAGGACCGCTTCTAGAGAGCCCTGTCCAACACACACAGTTTGCAAGATGGCGTCGGTATCTTCGAGCGAAGATCTGTATTGAAAAATCGGACTCTGATTGTCTTTTGGTAAATTGCTTTCAGGGCCCCTTGATGTCTTTACCAATATTACACTTTTATCTTCCAAGGTTCGCTCATCCAGAATGACACAATACCTCCTATCCATACTCGAAGGGATGTCCTTTGCATTCTGCAAGAACTGGGCGATATCCTCTGGTTGCAGATTTTTGAACGGTGTCTCAAACCGAGTTGTCCAAGGTGGGCGGGATGGTGACTTCATGGGACCTCCACCTCGAGGGATGGCGACTTGTCCTTGCTTTCGTGCTTCTTTGGGACTGAGTCGAGCTTCATCGCGATATTGCGACCAGTCTTGTGTGGTTATCACACATAGGTCTTCTGGAGCATCGGGTTCGCCTGCGTATGTTTTGACCAGAAACTCGTTGATGAGCTGTAGTGTTATTAGACTACGATCAGACAAAGTTTTCGCGCCACCTACATCTGGCTCAATATTAGTGGTGCATATGACGGGAATCATTGAAAGCGGCGCAGGAGGCCAGGTTGGATAGTGCGATCGTTTCAAATCTCAGGGAGAGCTCGCGCGCCAAGGATGTTCTGGAGCGAACTTGACCGGCTCCTCAATCATGATGAAAACTAAATCGTTAAACATGTTGCACAGTTCGAAAGCAGTGTTGGAGATTCCAGAGAGAACTTAGGCAAGCGTTGTTGGTTGCAGGTGTCAATGAATAATTATCGAAATAACAGGATTTCTACAGCATCTCAAAGACATTTGTCTTGAAGCACAAAGGGTGATTATTGGCGTCACTATTTCTCATGAGAAAGCATACGAGGGGGGACTTCATTTTCATTGGGCTTATGGCTACTAGCGAGTATGGTCCAGAGAATGCAGGGAAACAAAGACCTTTACAGGAGACAAAGAATGTAATCAAAAGTGTTCGTGCGATCGTGTACTCCACGGAAAGCCTGTGTTGACAAGCGAAGATAGCCTCAGAGCTGTGAGAAAAACAGGAAAAGACAATGATATCCTGTGCGGATTGCTGTTACGAGGGTCTTCAGAGCTAAGGCGCGCTTCAAGGCCCAGTACCAATTCAAGTATGGTGACGGAATTCTGGAGTGAGAGGTTGACGTTTGAACTCTGCTCTTTCAAAGCGGTCTCTCGTGGAAAACATTCAATCAAGCAGAATGACTGGTTGGCAGAACTTCTCGAACTTCGACAAGTCGTTCTTAGCGTTCTGGCGTAGTACTTCATCTAGGTCGCCTTTTAAGATCTCCACGCCCGGTTTCGATACAGCGTTGGATCTCGAGGTCGCACAGGAAAATACACGAGGATGTGGCAATCGGTCCCTGACACCCAGAGTCCGCATGTTGTTTGATTTCCTGTAATCACAAATCTTCTTCCAAGCTTGGGGCAAATCCAGTTGGGCATTGTGGCGATCACGGAAGTATGTAATTTGGTCCACGGACACGCCACACGACTGCTCGTACAGCTGGTTTACAACTTGGTAGTACACAGGTTGAGGCTCCTCGATGACGAGAAAGCTTGGAGTGACTGGCTGCACTGCTCCACTGTTGGCAGGTCCATATGATGACGAATATTTGTAGGTCCCAGACGAGGATCTCGGAAGGATCGGTCGGTAGCGGCGAGCGTGAGTTGTTTTTGCGAAGAGATTCTTCGTACCAGAGCCTCCTTGACGCGTGCTATTAAGCCGCTCACGACTGCGTCCAATGTTATCCTTCAATAGAGTAGGTTCTACTTCTATCTTAAGCTTGGGCTTCTCGTCAAATTCTTCATCATCGTCTTGGTGATCGTCGGTCATTATCATGTTGCTTTCCCTGTGGTTTCCACGAGAAGACCAATAGTGGCCACCTGATTTGGCTTTCATGTGCGTTTCGAAGCCACGGCTCCCTCCATATGCGTCTTTCGTGGAGCGACTCATAGCAGCAGGTTGAATCTTCAGAGCAATCGTATCAAGGTCTACCTCGGCGTCGAAGTGCTTGCGCAGAACAGGCGCCAAGGTGTCCCAAAATTGTTCGATGGTGACCAGGCGTTTCCAAACGAGAGGAGCACCATTGTGATAGTCCAAATTTGGCCGGACCACTGTTGGGAATTTTGTGAGATCTGGTCCAATACATTCACGCAAGAGATGACGGTGAGCTGTCGCGAAGTCGGTGAATGAGTTTCCAGGATAACGTTGGTTTGCCCACTCCAGAAGCCGGTGGTCCTCCGTGGACTCGACTGTGGGCCACAGCCTGCCTAATATGTCGCTTCTGGCTGCGACACGGCTAAGTGGTGGTGGCTCGCCAAGCCTGTAGTCAGCATGAGGACTCCAGATCCCAAATATGCGAATTGCTTTAGCGGCCTGGATGCCTGCCTCAAGACCACCTGACCACATTGCGACTGCTACAAAGTGACCAGCCGTCCACTTGGTTATTGTGTTGCCGTGATCACTGACGCATCTCGTCACGGCCCAGGTGTCCTTCGAGACCGCAAGAGGCTCATCCCACATATCATGGAGACCCTCGAAGTCTTCAGCGGGTGCTGGGCTCGTTAAGTGCGAAGCTTGTTTCTCAGATCCGTCCATACATGAACGCTTGCCAGAGCCTGACGATGTTGGTTGGGAGGCAGACGTCAGCTCTCGTTTGGCCATGCTACTCAGCAAATAGTCAGTATCATTGCTTGATTCAGTAGTCGTTGCGCAGCTGATCATACTTCTGTGAACGCAGGACAGGATCTTCAATCAAACGAAGATCTTGGAGGCGAGAATGATAGTCTACCATTCGGCAGGTGGGCTTACATGAGACTATTATAGCTTTGCCGTTCTCAGCCAACTCTTCGTGATTATCACCAGTTCCATTGGAAGCTATCTGGTCAGCAATTAAGCAAACAGCATTGTCATCGAACTCCAAAAGCAGACTCTATGCGAGACGTCGAAGCTTCCAACCTGATCCACGTGATATCAGGACAGTATATCCCTGGAAAGGTGAATGAGATCGCTGTCAGCGGAATCAAGTATGTGCTCAAATGGCATTTCGAGTGTATCTCGACGCAATGTCCAGGAGATGCTGGAAGTATCTCTGTGGGTTTGCTGATTACAAAGGCTAAGCCGACACCGAAACACGACAATCAAGGCACCGTCTGTGATGGAGGTAAGAGATGAATGGAACGTGTTGGATCCAGAAGCTGTGGAAAATATCGTGTTGCACACTCGGGAGAACTCCTTTCAGGAGGAGGGGGGTTGAGTGAATCTGCTTTCCAACAATTTTGCACTACGTGTTGAGCGATTATGTGAGCCGCTGTCAACGGAATCTCGGATTATTATTATCATTACTTCGTGGTCCGTAAATGTCATTGGCCTTTGTTTGTCTTCTGTGAATCTGACTGGCTCAATCGTCAGGATACTCGTCCTTGATGTTGCTGACGAAAACTTTGTTCTCTTGATCCCAACGTTTGAAGTAGCGACCAGCGAGTTTTAGTAGTTGTGCGGACGGTTCTTCCTCAAGTACCATAATGTTCTCCTCTGCTACGTAGCGAAGGGACTCATCTTCGCATCTGTGATTGTGTTAGTGTTGGTCTTACATATCTCACCACGTGAACTTACATTATGTGGTAGAAGCTCTGTTCGCGGCCGCGCGGAAGGTCTTCTACTCGCATGCTTTGAATCCAGAACTCGCCAGCCTGGCAGCTAGGGTCCCATCCAATGATTGCCCCCACATAGCCGTAGCGGACATGCCTGAATATTTGTCCTACCTTGTACTTGACTAGTTGTGTGCGTCCGTCACGCGGAGTGATTGGATTCGCGTTGGAGTCTGCGACATGGATCTGTTCCAGAATCTGCGCTAGTCGAGCTTTTGCTTCCACTCCTTCTATCATAGGCAAAACATAACGCTCGAAGAGCACAGCATCGTCAAGCCAAAGTCCATCCTGAACATAGCCTTCGAACCAGTTCACGATCTGGCTAAGCCAATGTTGATGACGGTCGAAAAGCTCACGATTCTTTCGGGCGTCGACCTGACTCATGGAAATCAGACTCCATAGAGCACAGAAAGCGATATTAGGAGTTTCCCAGCCCGGCGATGGCCTGTGGAATTGCATGGAGCCGATAATGTTAACACCGGTTCTCAGTACCAAAGCTCGAGTATGGGCTCGCGTCAAGCATGAATATTGACTCTCTGGAGTGTTGTAGTGTGGCATCTGATTGAGCATGTCTCGCATGGCTTGTTCGGTTATAATCTCGTCATTATCAGAAGGGTTCATCCATACGACACCATCGGGAATTTTGTGAGTGGCGCGAGTGTTCTTGATCGAGGGTCCGTACGGCGGTTCGAGTACAGCGTGAATCTTGCCCGGGAAGTTGCAGGGCCAGGCTTTGAGACCAAGCCGTGTTGCTACGCAGCAGAAGATGACTACCGACTGCATGGGTATAGAAGATTTGTCGGTAGGATGTGTCAGGACGTGTGTGATGAAACGGTATCGCATGAGACTGAATGCTTCTGGTGAGCAGCCCACAAGCTGGTGCTCTCTCAGATACTTTGAGATAGCGACTGCTTTCTCTGTGTGGATCTTGTCGCGCCAGTCCGGGTCCGAGGACTCGATGGCATGTGCAATGTCGTCCAACTCTTGCTTCAAAATAGACAGCTCAAAGTCGCTACTGCTGCCTTGGATGAACAGATCGAAAGCGCCCAGAGCTTCTTCAAGCGGCGGATAGTCCTGCCACTGCATATAATCCCAGATCTTTACAGCCTTGAAGCGATGTAGTAGCTCGAGAACAACGCCACTCCAGTAGCGGCGGGCAAGAACATCCTCAGCGTCGTCCGGCGTTTGTAGTTGAGCCAGCAGCACATCTTTAGCATCGTATGAGTAGTGCTCGACAATCTCGTGCATGCGCGCCATTCGGTTTTGCTGGCCGCTCAGAAGGTTGTTGAAGATAGCCAGGACCTCTTTATCTTGCGTGACCTTGTCGGCGTATGCGCGCTTCCACTCTGTTTGCGAATGGACATTGTAATCCGGCAGGGGTCTACCTTGTTGCTCTTCCCAGTAGTTCCAGCCCTCGCGGCACCAGCGACGCCATAGCGAAGCGGTGTTCGAGATCTTGTATAGTCGTTTCGAGCTTTGTCCGAAGCTGGTGGCCGATGATGCGTTCAGGTGGAGAAAGATGTTGTGAATCAGTTCGTCGGGCAGATCAAGTAACGATGTGGTGGCCATGTTGACGAGCCGTATGTGGTAACTCGGTGAAGTTAGACAGCAATAACATTGAGAGAACAGAGGGAGGCCTTGATGATACAGCGGCGTCTCGCCTTAATCGTGACGCGATAAACTTATTAGCCTTTCGCAGAAGCAAGACCGATGACGACCAAAACTGCGGAGCGGCTTATCACCGGTCTCCCGGGCTATTCACGAGTCTACAGTATTTCCAAAACGCTTCTTCATCTTTAACTCGTAAGGCCATCACCATCACTTCTCTACAAGCAGCGGTCTGCATGGTCCTCGGGTAGCCTGTATCTGAGACTCGCAACTGCACAAGAGTGAGTCCCAGAGCTCCCTGGGCACGCCACAGTTCGATTACACAATAGTTAGTATATAACCCCTTACGACGGGCACACAAGCACGTACGGCCACAGTCAGCTGAAAACTGGGCATCCCGTCCGCTCTGCCATACATAAGCAGTTGAACGGCAGATTAGTACTACGGTGGGTGACCACGTGGGAATCCCTGCTGCTGTACGTTTTGCTCCTCGTCATCGTGGTTATGTTTTTGTATCTCTTCGTGGTTTGCAAGTCTCTTGGTGTCAGGTATCGGCATAAACATACTCCGCTCTCCTCCACTGCAAGAGTTCGCCAAAACCGTGGGCTTGACGTATCCGGCTGCTCGGCTCGCCAGAAATGGATTAATAAGGTTGTCTCAGTCAAGTCTTGGCTCGTAGGATTCGTGTAAGGTAAGAGCCGCTTGAACACAAATTGGGGGTCCATCGCAGTTCAGAGAACTTGATAGGCCAGGGGGATACATTCGTTCAAAGTCTATTATTGCCACATGCCCGTCTCCTTCATCTCTTCCTGGTGAGCATAGAAAGCAGTTCTTAGGAATGCTGTGGAGAAACTCCTCATCTTGCACTCTGCGCTTGTGACGGTTCGCCAACCTGCGCCTGTGCCTCTAAGCTAGACAGGAGTGTATGAACATGTTCTCTGATAGGTCTTGGACTTTTGGTTGGAGAGGAAACTGTCAGCGTGTCTAGCGCCGCGTCTGGATCAACAAATTCTAGGCCCAACGAACCTATCTTTCTCCCTATTAGTACATACATGCGAGCCGTCGGAAACACATGAAGAAGACGGCTTCCCGCATCACAGTCCTACCGTCCTGTTTCCCCAACACGCCCGCCCCCGATGGACGTCTTTGGCTACGATCACGGTCTTCCTGATCTTGATCTTCCAAAGAACAACGACTGTGATGCGCTTGGACAGAATAACAATGTCCAAATCGACTCGCCGCAACAATGCTCGTCCGACTTTTACTACTCGGCGCCTGTGCCGGTCACGATACCAACATTCCTGAGGCCTGTCCCTAGTGTTCTGCTGGAGAACCCAATGAACTTGCTTTATTACCATTATTTCATCAACTACACAGCCAACGTTCTGGTAACTCACCAGTGTCCTTCCAATCCTTTCTCGACAATTCTGCCACAGCTCGCCCTCAAGGACGACAATTTGTTGCGGCTTCTGTTGGCATATGCAGCTTGCCACAGAGCTCGACTTTTGCGACATGCTGAACCCAAGAATCGCATCGCAACATGGGTCACGCCCGTCTTCCCGTCCTTGCGTGGAGCGCTGTCAGGGAATGAACAGATCTCAGACTCGGCTTTCGGGTCCTGCGTCATGCTGGCATCTCTCACTCAATCATATCCTCTGGCCTTCGACTTGCCCATTTCCTGGCAGGAGCATCTCAGCTTGGCACGACGCTTGTACGGTCTTCGACTCAGTCAAGACAACATTCAACGAACCAGTGCAACATTCTTCTTTGGCAGGTGGTTTGCATATCTGGATACCTTCGGAAGTGCGAGCAGCGACACCTACCAAGGTGCCTGGTACGAGTGGTCACGCGAGCTCAAACTGGCAGAAGACACCCCTGAACTGCAATGTCTGGCCGGCTTCACCACCAAATCATTGGTTCTGCTTTCGAGGACTGCAGAACTCGCAAAACGCTGTGACTACGAGCGTCGCTTGCATGGAGAGCCCTCAGTACACACGATAACCGTGTCTCAGCAGTTGAGGATGAATCTCGAACTCTTTACGTTGGAAGTCAACCATACGCGCTATGACTGCGCATGCTCGGAATCTTCTACATCCTCTACGGAGGTCTACCGCGCGGTCAATGCCGCAATAACTCACGCTTCGCTGATCTACCTGCACCGCCGTGTCTACATGCTTCCATCTGAATCGCGACTAGTTCAGTTCTCGGTCAACGCTATTTTGGACGCCTTCAACGAGCTGAAAGGATATAACGCATTCGACACTCCGGATATCATTCTACCTCTTTTCCTTGCTGGCTGCGAGGCAAGGGATCCTGGGAAAGCTGTTGATGTGTTACAACGTCTGCAGAGTATCGAGAATGCTGGCATGGGACAGGTTGTTCGTGTCAAGGCTTTGCTACAAGAATGCTGGGATACCAACAGGGACTGGACTGAACTCAAGCACAATGTGCTCCTTGGCTGAGAGATTGCCTAATGTTTGGCACGGAGAACACGACTGCCAGAATTTATGAGAAGTAACTGCCTATCGCAGGCTCCTCCAAGAACATGTATGTTCATCACAGCGGAGCTATCTACGCGTACGAAGGTGATACAGATCGCCGCGCCGGTCAATGGCATGCTCGCGATGGGGTCTGAAACATCCCAAGCATGGAGCGTGACTCGCCTGAGCCGCTCAATAACTACCCGATACTGTCACAAGTTTGACTGGTCTCCGCTGCAGACATCATGTTTTGGAGCCCATCACTCAACAGCAGCAGCCAGCTGAGTGATGGGCTCCGCGTACAGACCCATGCAGGATGGCCAGCGACCCACGTGTGGCCATCCAAAGGCATAGATCGCAAACACAGACACATTCAGGGTTGATAATGAGATCCTAGAGGTCGGTTTATGTGTCATACAAACACACCACGATACAATCGGTAGACGGATCACAGAAGGGAATGAAAGAAGGAAGCTCAACTATATACATTAGAGCAAGAATAGACCATATTTTCCAGACCACAAATCATCTCCTCTCGTGGATTCTTGTCGCATACCATCTTGTACCATCTTAATCATCTATTCGAGAGATAGCTCAGGAGGGTAATGTTATCCATCACATCCATCAGTGTAAACGCCAAGACCTCTCGAAGCCGTAATTAATCGGACCTCCAAAACAACCATTTACAACATCCTCATACCGATCAGCATGCAGAACAATACAAGTCCACTGCGACAACTTTTCAAGCTCTAGGGTACTTTGATCGAGACCGTCAAAACGATGAATCAAGCCCCCAATTTCTCCCCCTCAACGCCTTTGGAGTACTCACTCTTCTCGCCCTCCAAAGCCGCTGAGCAACAACGATTAGCAAAAGACTGGACGTATGTTCACCAGTTCCTAAGCCAGAAATATCCATTTCCGCAAAAAGTACCCAGATTTGAAGAAAATGAAGAGACGTTAAAGGCGCTTTTGGCATTGGCGGCGTTTAATGAAAAAGGCGATGAGGGATGGGGAGGTTTGTGTGGTGTCGAGAGGAGTTGTGTGAGAGAATTGGAAGAGAGGGAGGTGAGTTTTGTGTCTTATCCTTGTCTTTTATTTCACAGAATCCGGATGGCTGTTCTCTTGTGACCGAAGATGGTAAGATTGCGGATTGGACTAACGACTACGAATCTAGAAGACACAAGAAACGACAGCCACACTGAACAACTCCCTCACCAGCTCCCTCATCACCAGTCTTTCCAGCCATGGGACCGCAGATCTTACAGCCCAGGCCACAACAGCAGTCACCTTGAACTTCATGACGACGGCAGCAACAACGCTAGCGACTGCGCTTATCTCCCTCTCAACCTCTCTTTTCGCCCTCCACAATCAGATCGCTGCAACTCAGACTCTTCAAACCTCTCTACTTGCCCATCAAACCACGCTCCGTAACGAGTTGCAAGACTTACAGTCTTCAGACTTTCAAAGCGAAAAGAATCTCCCTCAAAGGACAGCAGAGATCATTCGACAAACCAAACTTCTCAAAGCCAAAGTTGGCGAATATGACGAAAGATTGCGAAATGCATCTGCGTCTGGATCAGAAATTCCAGAAAGGCTGCTTACGGATGTCGAGGCTGCGAACGCAAATGCAGAAGTGTTGATGCAGAGGTTGAGAGATGTAGAGCAGAGGATAGAGGCCTATGAGGGGGTACCGCCGGAAGCTAGGGAGGCTAGGAGGGTGATGCAGGAGCTGAGGGCGGAGTTGGAGAGCTGGATCAGGAGAAGAGACGAGATGTTTGAGAGGATGGTTGGTGGACGGAAGTAGTTGTATTAGGAGTGTCTATCTGAACATCAAGGACCCCATGTGTAGCGTCTTGTGTGCCCTGTGCCATGTATACAGGGTGTGTCCTCCTCTTTTGATCGAGTCATTCTCGTTCATAGCTCGGGAAGCTGGGTTCGCTGCAAACGAGGTTCGTGTTGTGCCTAAGCGGTGAATTTAAGCGGCATCACTGCTCGAGTACTAGTCAACCTCATATATCACTCCAGGACCAGCTTTCTCGGTATCGACATTTGTTCAGACTGGTCGCGTGGTGTCGCAAAGGAAGAGTTGGGAGATCTCATCGAGGTGGATCCACGATCGAGGCCCGAGCTTTGACTCTCAAAACGTCATTGATGCGCGCTGCGTCTCTAGAAATCATCAAAGACAACAATTTGTCCCTGTCACATGCCAATTCTCTCTCATTCGTTTGTCTCTACAATTAATCGGTTCCAGATTTCATATTGCGCGCCTGCCAGCTCGTTCCATAGTCGTCACAACCGACAATGTCTGGAAACAAGGCCGCGCTGAAGGCTGCCAAAGTCGCCTTGGATGCTGAGAATTATGATGATGCTGTCACTCAATGCCAGATTGTCCTAGCATCAGATTCTCGAAATTACTTTGCGTAGGTGGCATCTCGCTGAGACGAAACACTGTGACTGACAGCAACTATAGCAAGCTTTTCTTGGGACGCGCATACCAAAAACAGAACAAACTAGACGATGCGGCAAAGACATACAATTCAGCTGCAGAAATCAAGCCTGATGATGCACAAGCATGGCTAGGTCTTTGCAATTTGTACGAAAGTCAAGGTGGTGTCAAACTTGACCAATATCGCGAAGCTGCTCTCAAGGTTGCCGAGATCCAGGCCGCTGCCGAAGACGCCCACAAATGTCAAACTACTATCAACAAACTGGTAGAATTCACCAAGGAACACGGGACGACTGCTCAGTACAAACGCGCCCTGGAAGCTCAATTACCTGGAAGCCCAATCTATGATTTCTTGGAAGGTCGTCTACCAAGCCCTTCACATACCTACACTCGCCTCATCGAAATCACCGAAGAAGAGGAGAAGCAACGCATCAACAAGGAAATTGGTGAGCGAAGAACAAGACTAGGAGCCAGGCTCAACCAAGTCACCACCGATGTCCGCCGAGAAGTCTTTACAAAGAGCAACGTTGAGGAGCTATATCAGAAGCTGATTGACTGGACCAACGACGATGAAGTCCGCCGCGAGTACGAGCAGAAGCTTCTGCAAAGAGCTTATGACACGTTAGTTGTTCTTACTGGTGATGCAAAGGCCGCAAAGCGCGAGCAAGTCATGGGTATCGTGCATGGCATGGTCATCATCAAGCATCCCTTCCTTCTTGCTTGGATTACCGAACTGGACTGGAAGGATGTTGCAAGCGTTTCTGATCTAGATGTTGGCGTCCTCAGAGAGTACCTGGAGTTCTTCCCCGAGACAAGTTTGGGCAAGGTGCTCAAGGCATACCTCGACTGCGAGATCTCACCGTTCCCTGCACCTCCCAAGGATCCGGAACAGAAAGAGGAAGTCGTTGAGCCCCCACTCAACCAAGAGGATAGAATTCTCTTGATGAGCGAAGGCCTCGAGGATGGCAGCAAGTCTGTTCTGGCACATCGTCTTGTTGCAGAGTACTACCTACACTTGGAAGAATACGAGAGCGCAGTAGATGTCGCCAGAACCGGTCTCAAGATGCTCGAATCAGAGATCAGAAAGTCTGGTCTTGATTTGCAGGACAACAAGGATGCCTTTAACAGCACACTCGCTACTGCACTGGTATACCATCAGTCACCAAAGAACCACCCGGAAGCTAGAGATCTCTTCAATGACATTCTGGCAAGAAAGTCCAAGCATACTGCGACTCTCATTGGATTGGGTTTGATACTGGAAGAGCAAGAGGAGTTCGATGAGGCAGTCAAATTCTTGTCGCAAGCACTGGAGCAGGACCCTTCTAACGTCCGAATCGAGATTGAGTCGGCATGGTGCGATGCTCTGCGCGGAAACTACGGCCCTGCTCTGGAGACCATGGAGAAGTGTTTGCCCGAGCTGAAGCTGGACGACCCCAAAGCACGAGAGCTCAGAGCACAGACACTATACCGCACTGGTATTTGCCTTTGGAACCTCGACACTTCAAAGACTGCCAGAAGAGACCGCAATGGAGCTTACGCCAGGTTCCTATCCGCAATCAAGACTAACGTCAATCTTGCACCCGCATACACTTCTCTCGGTTACTACTATGCCGATTATGCCAAGGACAAGAAGAGAGCACGTCAATGTTTCCAGAAGGCATTTGAGCTGTCAGGATCTGAGATCGAGGCTGCTGAGAGACTAGCAAGATTCTTCGCTGACCAGGGTGAATGGGACATTGTCGAGATTGTTGCACAAAGAGTCGTCGACTCAGGCAAAGTCAGACCTCCGCCAGGCTCGAAGAAGAAGGGTATCAGTTGGCCTTTCTCAGCCCTGGGTGTGGTTCAGATGACTAAGCAAGAGTACTCCAAAGCGATAGTTTCGTTCTTGTCAGCACTCAGAATCAGTCCCAACGACTACCACTCCTACGTTGGTCTGGGAGAGAGTTACCACAACTCTGGACGTTACAACTCTGCAAGCCGAACATTCATTTACGCTGAAGAACCTCACGATGGCATTTCTATGAACGTTACTGGCCAGAACTGGTTTACACGATACATGCTTGCCAATGTCAACAGAGAGCTTGGTGAGCATGATGAAGCTATTGCTGGTCTTCAAGAAGTCCTCACTGGTAGAGCTGAGGAGTTTGGTGTTCTCATTGCACTTCTTCAAACCTACATCGAGAAGGCTTGGAGGTGTGTAGAGACCGGCTTCTTTGGCCAAGCTGCTCACAGCGCAGTGCAGGCGATCGAGCTTGCTCAGAAGATCGCCGAATTGAGACCTCAAGCCTTCAATCTCTGGAAGGCAGTCGGTGATGCTTGTTCAATCTTCTACTGGATCCAAGATAGACTCGACATATTCCATAGCGATGTGACTAAGCAGATGCTGACAAAGGATGTGGATGTCAAAGAGTTTGGCGTCTTGTCAGAAATCGATGGAGTTGACTCGAAGGTCCTCGAGAGCTCAACAGAGGGCGACAATGCTGTTGCATGTCCCGAGTATCTGGCTCTTTCGCTACTCGCATACAAGCGCGCCATCTTCAGCTGTGCAAACGACGTACATGCTCAGGCTGTAGCTTGGTATAATCTTGGTTGGGCGGAGCACAAGGCATTCAGCTGCAGCGATGCAAAGGCTGGCAAAAAATTCCTTCGTGCAGCTGTCAGATGCTTCAAGCGTGCCATCGAGCTCGAGGCAGGAAACTCGGAGTTCTGGAATTCGTTGGGTGTCATCACGACCAGATTGAACCCCAAGGTTTCACAGCATGCCTTTGTCAGATCGTTGCATCTGAACGAGCGCAGTGCAAAGACATGGTGCAATCTCGGTGTTCTTTATCTCATCAACAATGACTACGAGCTTGCTCACCAGGCGTTCGGTCGTGCTCAATCAACGGACCCTGACTATGCTCATGCATGGCTTGGTGAAGGTCTGATTGCGCTGATGATGGGCGATAAGAAAGAGGCCTTGTCACATTTCACTCATGCTTTTGAGATTTCAGATTCTGCTTCTTTGATCTCGAAGCGTCAGTATGCTGTTTCGGTCTTCGACAACCTACTCACTACTCCGTCGGCTTCAAATGAGATTACTGCACTAATTCAACCATTGTTTGCCTTGGAGCAGCTGCATCGCCAGGTACCCTCGGATCAGGCGTTCAACCACCTTGCGTCCTTGTTCTCTGAACGCGTGGGCGACCATGGACCTGCTATTGAGATGCTTACAAGTCTTTGCACATCAGCTGAGGCTGACTACGAAGCCACAGAATCGCTTACCTCTCTCGGCCGATTCGCTCTCGCCAAGGCCGATCTTGCCAGAAACCAGCTTGCCTCGAAAGACTTTGAGTCAGCAGCAGAGAACGCAGGGACGGCCCTTGATCTCTCTGCCGAAGCTGATGCAAGTGGTTTGGAGCCAGACAGCAGACGTAAGGTTCGCTTGTCGGCTCATCTGACTGCAGGTCTTGCCGCATTCTACCTACAAAACATGGACGATGCCATTGCAGCGTTCAGATCTGCACTCGAGGAGAGCAACTCTGACCCCGATGTTGTATGCCTGCTCGTGCAAGTCTTGTGGGCTAAGGGCGGCGACGAAGAGAAGTCTGTCGCTCGCGATCAGTTGTTCGACTGCATCGAGAAGCACGACTCTCATGTTCCTTCTATTGTACTCCTTGGTGCTATCGCTGCCCTGGACAACGATACCGATACCATTGATGCTGTACGCGATGACCTCGCCTCTCTGCGTACCAACGATAGCATCTCCATCTACGACCGCGAGCATGTTGAACAAGTGTTTGGCGCCATTGCCGGTCTTTCTTCTGATGCATCAGAGTTGGATGCACTGATTGAGACGCAGAGAGCCATCATGCTTGCACCACACCAAAGCCATGGATGGGCGCAACTGACAGACTTGACCGAGGAGGCATATCCGGCACAAATGGCTCTATTGACATCGCAGAGAGCCGTGCCACCGTACGGTGATCTTGGAGCGCAGGAGTTGGCAAAGGCGTTTGCAGGTACGGGTGTAGTCAGAGACGCACAGCGAGCCATTGTACTGGCACCATGGGAGAAAAGCGGTTGGGAGACTTTCGCAGACGCGGTGAGGTCCGCTTGATATTAAACCTCAAAGTGACGAAAAATAAGTAATGGTTGAGGGAGGGAGTTATCTAGTTGTTTGCGCGTACAAACAGAAACAAGCAGAAGCCCAAACAACTCTGTCAAACCACCTTTGCGAAAATTTCCATCGACAGAGGTGTTGATCATCTGATTTGCCTCTGTGTAGATCGAACCATCCTCGTGATCTGCTTTCCCCAGCCTGTTCTCTCCCCAGCTTGCCAATCTGATAGTTCGCGACTGTTTCAACAACGTTGATAGTAGTTTGCTATTTCGAGGCTTTGGCTGGAGAATTGGGTTACATTTTACACTGTTCGTACGTAGGAGGCTTGGGTTACGCTTGCCTTCAAACCAGCCAAATGCCCGATTTTTCTGAAGCTGTGGTGTAGTCGTCAGCTAAGGTGGTGAGAGGCGTTGTGCGAGGAAAGAAGCATCGATACGACCACCCCACGTGGTTTGACCCGCAGCTGCCAAGAAGGCTTCGGACTCTCTCAGTTCTCCTATCTCCTTACTTCCTCGTGTAGCAACAACAAACATCATAAACACTCATGCACTAATCCACCAAATGCGAGGTCCTCATCTCTATTGCATCCGTCGAGGGGCCAGGAACGAGACGTTTCGATCAACTGTTCCTCGGCCTTGCGAACCTCGGCTCCACTCGTTTTTCTCCTGGTGGTATTTGACGTCAAGAGGTGTAAACGCTTCTATACTTTGCGCAGGTTCGAACTTGCAAGAAACCAATTTTACATCGTACCGAAGCGAACTCTGCTGAAACCGGTATCGATACGACAGCATGATCGAAGGGCAACGTTAGCTGATGGTGTTGAATCATCTTTCCGAGGCTCTCTCTGGACGAACAACGGCAACGGCGAGTTTGTTCTATCTTTGGAATTGAGGCGCCGATTGCTTCTCTGGTATTTGGAAATGGTAAGTTACCTGGATCTATGCCTTGAACAATGTTGGTTTGTTGTTCTGGAGCTGGAGCTGTATTCCAAGGATCTACAACGCAGAGAGCACTTCTGCAGGAACCCGTATGCATGAAAACTGTAAAGGCATGATCCTTCAACGATTCGAGGTAAGTGGCCCATACCAGGCTAAAATTGTATGGTCGGTCTGTTTTCCCCGCCCAATTGGGATGCACGAGTGTTTAGAGATGAGGAACCGTTATGGATACGAGCACCACAAGCCCTGAGCTCCTCGTAACGGGTTCCTGGTTCCTGGGGCTAGTCTCATGCGGATAACCCTCAGAATTCGTATCAGGTCATCAGTAGCGAGCATCTTTGATGATATATAAAACCTGCTGGACCATGCCATGGTCATTCTCTCTGTCACCACGATCACAGCCTTTCATCTTCTATCAGTAATTCCAACTCTTACACTCGCTACTACAGCAGCAACTACATCTTTTTAATACCCCATCACACTTCATTAATCACCATCATCGCAAACATGAAGTTCGTTGCTGTTGCCTCTCTCGCCTTCATTGGCGCTGTCGCTGCCCAGAACTCGACCACTGCTGCCACTGGCTGTGTTGCCAAGGACAATGCCTGCCGTGCCAGCGACCCCGTCACCGGCCTCTCTGCCAACCAGGCCCAGTGCTCTGCCAACAATGCTCAGTGCCAGGGCGACTGCTACGCCGCCTTGACCACTTGCCAGACCACTCCTGTTGATGGCCTTTCTGCCAACCAGGCCGCCTGCATTGGCCAGTACGCTACTTGCCTCGGCGAGAACCCCATTGCTTCCACCGGCGGCATCATCTCCAGCTTCATTCCTTACACTGCCACCGTCTCGGCCACTGCTTCTGCCACTTCGGCCTCTGCCAGTGCTTCGGCCACCGGCAACTGCAAGGACCGTGACAACACTTGCCGCACTACTCGTGGCCCTGACGGTCTTTCTGCCAACCAGGCCCAGTGCTCTGCCAACAACGCTGCTTGCCAGGGTGCTTGCTACGCTGCCTACAACACCTGCAGAACCACTCCTGTCGACGGCCTCTCTGCCAACCAGGCCCAGTGTGTTTCCGAGTACGCCACCTGCCTCGGCGAGAACCCCGTTGCTTCCTCCGGCGGTCTGATCTCCAGCTTCATCCCTTACTCTGCCACCGTTTCTTCGTCTGCCGCTGCCTCTTCTGCTACTGGCGGTGCTGTCTACGTTACTTCGGTTGTGACTGCGTAAGTTCCTCCTTTCCCTTCGCTTTCTTGGCCTTTTGAACCAAATCTAACACAACCCACAGCATCACCACCGTCTGCCCCGCCCCCACCGCCGGCCCTTACACCACCACCATCCACACCAACGTCTACACCGTCTCGTCGGCCACCACCATCACCATCACCGACTGCCCTTGCACTGTCTCTTCCAAGGTCCCTGCCGCTTCCACCATGGTCACCGGCGGAGGCAAGACCAACGGCACTGCTACTGCCTCCAAGCCTGTTGCCTACACCGGCGCTGCTGTTGCTCAGCGCGCCGGCATGGGATTCCTCGGTGTTGCCGCTGGTGCTGTTATGCTTTTGTAAGTTTGTTGCTTACTTTGAGCGTGGGCATCGTGAGAAGGGACTTGTCTTGTTTCATCGAGACGAGTTCCGAGGTGTCTGGGGATGTGAGGTTGAGACATTTGAAAGATGATATGCGAAAGGAAAGTTCTCAAACTTTTTTCAATGTAGGATAATGTTTTCGATATGGAGAGAGAGAGAAAGAGATAATTCTTGTTCCAGACTATTTTTTCTAGTTTTTGAAAACCTGTTCTGATCAGAAATAAACACGGTCTTGACAATATCCCTTTCCGAGTGAGAAACCAAAGCTACTGCTTGTTCACCCAACACTGTGCTGGTTTTTTTTTTCTTCTACATGCAAAACAGCTAAACTTTCACAATCTGCACGAAATATGCGAGTCTTGATATGTGGTTTTTTGATAATCGCCTTTTTGATTTCGACAGTTTTCTTTTCTTTGTTTTTGATTCTGTAATCTGCCCAATCTCCATCATGGACTCCTTTTACGAGAAAGCTAACACCAATCAGTATATCCAATCGAGTTCTTCGTGAAAGGTAAAAAAAGTAGTATGTATTACACATAAAACTCGAATTCCAACATTTGACACACCCCCATGCATGTATCAGAAATCCAACATCTCGTTCATCAAAACACACGTTGTAGAAAAAAACATACACACCCATCGTTCAACGAATTTTCTCTGGCGGATGAATCTGTTGGTTTTTTTTTTTTTCTTTCTTTCTGATTATCTTGGTTGTCTGAATGCTCATCATCAAACGAGTTTTCTAATACTCTGTTTACCCCCTTTTTTGTTTACACTCATTCCGAATTTTGCTAATAGGACTTCTGGTGATCAATTTGACATGAAAGATTAGGGGGATTTTCTTTTGCAGTGGACGACGCATCTGTTTTTTGCAGCTTCTTCAATTTGGGGGCTATTAAACGAAAAGGCTAGAGTGGAAAGGGGAGAGGGGGGCCCAAATTCACACTGGTTGTGTGCTCGTGCCCAAAGAGTGGGTGAGTATGTTGCGTTTGGGCACGTGTTATAGGTATCAGATTTACAACAACTTTCACTACGCGACACTCGAGGAATGGAATCATGACAGTGTCGTTGATGATGGCTGGACCCTCGACGTTCTTGATCGTGTGGGCCGCTGCAACGATTTTTGCAATCATCAAAAGTTCTGGAACTGATGTGTGTATGGGAGACGCCGGTTCCAACTCTTCCAAGAGCACACGACAATACATGCTCAAGTCTGGATCGCTCAGTGAGGGATGCAAGTTTGTTTGGAACGGCACTTGACAAGAAAGCTGTGAGTTGGACGGACTGTCTCTTATATTCCTGAGGGGGTATGCAATTGGTAGTGCAAAGAGCAGAAGAAGGACAATAAATGTAAGATCCCTCTGCCAAAAACTCGAAACAGGTATACGCAACAGTAGAGAAAAACACAAATCGCTGGTACAAGCGCTGAGAGGATGCGTGAAGAAAAGACACCAACATGCAGACAAACCAAGCCAAAGACCAGAGACCCATAACTCCACGCTGTACTGATCTTTTTGTAAATCCATCAAAGAACAAGAGAAAAGGCCGTGATAATAGTACAAAGTCCAGAAAGTTTTCGAATCCAGATTTCTATGATGATGACTCCTTGACAGCCTTCTCATTCATAGTGCCAGCCATCTTCTTACCAATCTCGTAGCTGCTAATCATGATGGCGCATGCAGGTGCAACCTTCATAGTACGAGCAGCCCATCCCTTGAACAGGCCAGCGGCACCTTCGGTCTTGTAGATGTGCCACAAGAAGCGGGGCATGAGCTTATCCTCGGGACGGACAGCAGAAGCAATCGAGGACGCAGCGTCGGTGGAGTGGCGAGCGACTTGTTGACGAGTCTTGCCAACGTCGAAAGGAGTGGTGACGAAAGCAGCAATGGCGCCGGCACTCGCACCAGCGATAAAGCTGTCGACCAGGACGGTCTTGTGGTCGAGCTCGCTGACTGCACGGTTCTTCAAGCTGCCGGTAGGTTCGTGAGAGGCAGGACCCTCTCGTGCGTTGTGCAATGTCTGTCTGCCGTATTCGTAGCCCCACCAGTACAAGGCGGAGAAGGGCACATCTCGCCAAAGAGTAAGACCGAGGCCTCTCCACAAAGCGCGGTATCCATCAGCCTTGACCATATCTTGAACTCCGGATAACGTGTCTCTAAAAACACCGGTCGGGGTGGCAGCCTCGGGATGGCTGGCTTGCATGCGTGTACGGAACATTTCGACGGGGCTGACGACGATGGCGGCCAGAATTCTGGCGCTGGAGCCAGCAAAAAGCGGAGCGTAGTTGTCGGAGACGCGATCCTTCATGGGACTGTTTGGGTTTGCTCGCAGCCAATCGTAGCCAGCAAAGTAGATGACATTGGCAGGAACCGACATGAGCAATGTGGGACTCAAACCGCGCCACAGGGTTGTAAGACCTTCGTTTCTAGCAATCTTCTTGAGGCCATCGAGAGTTGAGTTGAAGGTTCGCCGTTGAGTCTCCTCTGCGGCACATTGAGAAATAAGCATTTGGTCGACGGTAAGAGCAGCGTCTGAAGCCATGCAGTAAGGGCTCTGGTTGGGAACGTAGTAGATTTCTCTACAGCAGGCGGAGATGCCGAGATTGGGAGGGAGCCTTGCGAAGGAGGGCTGGGTAGAGGCATTGAGGGAAGACGGACCGGACTGGGCTTGGAGTCGTACGCGCACAACGTCGAGAGGAGTGACTGGAGGGGGAATCAGTTGGCGGACTGGAAGACAGTACAGGGATGTAGCATACCAAGTAATGAGGTCAGAATGCTGCCAGAGACGGCGGACAGCATCTTCTGGGTAATGGAAGTTTCTTGGTCCATGGTGGCGGCAGGAGTGTCGTCGAGGGGTTGTGATGGGACCGAGGGTTGGTGGATGTTTGCGAAATGGTGGTCAGGGTTTGTTGACGCAGAGGTAGTAAGATAGGCCATTCGGCCGGGGGTGTTGAGTGGTGTCGTGCAGGGAGAGTGTGTTTGTATGTAGCTGATAAGAAAATGTGACGGTGGAAGGTGCGGGCGACGTCGGCGAGAAGGGCAGAGATGCGACGAGATGTGGAGGGGCGATTGAGCCGAGTTGGTCGTGTGTCGAGCGAGGAGGGGATCGTGTGGTGGAGCGGTGTAGAAATGAGGAGGCGTGACAGAGTCGACGACGAGGGTATGATGGAGTCGCTGGCTTGGGCGTGGTGATGATGGACTTTGCTCTTTCCCGCTGGCGCCCGCGATCGCGTCTAGTCGCCGTCATAATGGAAGCTTCTTTTTCTAGAGCGGCCTTTGCTCCCCCGCCCTTCGGTGATAAGACAAGTCTATCGACGAAACCACAACGAGACACCGCCCTCTACCATCTGTACTCCGTCCACTCGTCTACTTTTCTCTACTCTGTATATAGTCGCCACAAGACGACCCCTCCCACCGGCCCATTGTGCTGCATCGACTCTCCTACGTCACACTAGAAACACGCCTCTTCCACAAGTCCATCTCGATCTATACGCATCTAGAGAACAAAGACTATCCACCACCATCGACTAGTAAATCTCCTACCAAGACTGTCCACCAAGTTTCCCAGACCATCGCAATGTCGTCTCAAGAAGACCCCAAAGATACCGACGCTGAACTCGAAGCCTTCAGACGACAATGGCGTCAAGAAGTCCTGTCGAGGAACAAGCAATCTGCATCTGAACAATCAACCTCGACTTCGCATCACAAGCATTCTCACAGCCATAAGCATCCTCATCAACCATCTTCCGCCCCGAAGCCTAAACCGCACCAACACCACCATCACGAACACAATGACCATGACGAAGTTGCCGACCAAATCCACTACGACTTGACAGACAAGGAAGCCCATCTACGTCTAAACGCACCCGATCATGCAAGAGATATTCTGAAGAAAGAGCCCGGAACTGCCCTTGAACACTATGAGAAGGCCGTCGAGAAAGAGACCATGGGAAGCCTGGGTGACAGTGTCGCTCTATACCGTACCGCTTTCAAAATGGACGACACGGTCCACGAGAAGTACAAGAACAAGCACTTCCCTCCCTCGGCCTTTCCCCCTAAGCCAAAGGCCCCTGCCCAACAACTCAATCCTTCTAATGCTTCACAAACTGTACCCGGTACTGCCCACCACTCGTCCCAAGCTGTACCGCCAACTCTGACAGAGTTGATCGATCAATTCTCCCATCTTTCCATCCCCGGCGCTCCAGCTCCTACAGATGCCGACCCGTCGCCGCCATGTCCTATTGCAGAGCTGCCAGGCGAGATTCTGTCCGACATTCTGACCTGGACCGCTGTCAATGATCTGGGCTCTCTTGCCAAGGTCTCTCTTGTCTGCAAAAGGTTCGCCTATCTCGTCATGACTGACGAAGCCATCTGGAAACGCGTCGCCCAAGGCCCCGAGTTTGGCTTTGGAGGGATGCACTACAACTACGTCTGCAACCTCAAGGGCGAGCCTCTGGAGCCAGAGCTCGAGGACGACACAGCGTATCTTTCTGAAGGGCAAGATCAAGACTCCGAATCCGAAGGCCAACTCATGCCTCCCGCGCGTCCCTCCAAGACCAACCCAGAAATCGACAATGCGTTGCTGCATTCACTTTACTCGTCTTCGTGGCGCCAAATGTTCCGCTCTCGCCCTCGTCTACGTTTCAATGGCTGTTACATCAGCACAGTAAACTACCAGCGCCCAGGTGCAACAAACACCTCCTCTTCAACTTGGGGCACGCCCATCCTCATTGTAACCTACTTCCGCTACCTCCGCTTCTTCCGCGATGGCACCTGCATCTCTCTCCTCACCACCACCGAGCCCATCGATGTCGTCCACCACCTGACCAAAGAAAACATGCGCTCCTATGCCTCTGGCTCGCTTCTTCCCAACAGCGTCATGAAAGATGCTCTTCGCGGCCGGTGGCGGCTCAGCGGCCCGGGTAATGACCCTGCCTCTGAAATCGAAGGAGACGTACACATAGAAACTGATGGTGTGATACCTAAATACATGTGGAAGATGCAATTTGGACTTGGCTCCAGGGCGAAGAAGAGCGCAGGAGGCAACAAATTGTCTTGGAAGGGCTTCTGGAGTTACAATCGCTTGACTGACGATTGGGGCGAGTTTGGACTCAAGAATGACAAGGCCTTTTTGTTCAGTAGGGTCAGAGGCTATGGGATGGGGTACTAGATTGTGATAGAATAGACTCGATGCATCTAACGAAACCTTATGAATGCTTGCAACTATTTTTCTCTGTATATTCTGATACACAGCCAGTGAGTATTGTCATGTCCAAAACTTGTCAGGTACTCTGCTCATCACAAAGACACCATTTGATGTAAAGATCGAATCATCATCATGATCATGATCATGATCATATGCCGAGACAGCTCTGCGTTGGCAACAGAAATCAATTCGTTCGCATCCCAACAGCACGGCCGCTCGAAACACTCCCTCAACCACGTTTCTCGCTCACACATCAACACCACGACTTGCACATCCAAGAGTCACAAGTCAGGAAAGCTATAGATCCAGACTCACGCAAATCATACCTTTTTGCCCTTGACCGCGACGACTGATACGCACCACAAGCGCACCATAAGTATTTTCTACACAGACAGCAGAGTCTCCAAGCGCCGCCCGCCCGCCTCCACTCCACCGCTCCTCTGTTTCATCTAAAGCCTAGAATGTGAGGCCCACCCTGCGGACAAGAATCCTTCCCGCTGTCAGATTAGACTCGACTTGGTGTGGGTGTGGCTCTGCACTCTATCTATTTCTGCAGTGATGCCTAAAAATCGCAGCATAAAGGCATGCTAGCAAGGCTTTTTGCATACAAGACTTGCATGCTAAGCGCCTGAGGCCCCATGAGTCGAGTAGGATGATTGTGAGGCACGTAAAGTCAGCTACGCATATGTAAGTCAAGGAGAGGCCCTTTTGTCTTTTTGCAGATTTTCTTCTTTTTCGATTTTTTCAAAGTTTACTCCTGCTTTTGCTCCTTTTGTATCGCATTGTTCATTGGGAAAGCCTTTTACGATGGCAGCACCACCACCATCGTGGACGTCAATCCCCAGACGCGACTCGACCTCCAGCATCACCTCCTCCCACTTTTCGATAGCTTTGGACTCACACCAAACCCCCCATCACGATGCAGCCCACAAGACAGAACCCTACACTGAAGTGCACAGCCTGAACTCAACCTCCTCAGCAGCAACCCACTCGGCAAAGAAAAAACCAAAAAAGGAATTCTTCCTCTCCCCCTCCAAGACCTGGAACCTCTACCGCCGTAACCCCTGGTACCTCTCCTGGCAACAAGAAACCTGGGCCATGGTGTTTTCTCTGTGTTGTTTAATCGCCGTTTGCATAATCATGGCTTGGATAGATGGACGCAAGCTCTCGATCTGGCATTGGGCTATCCAACCCAATGCTGTGGTTTCGCTGTTGTTGGTGAGCTCAAAGGCGTCGTTGATGTTGAGTACGGCTGCGTGTTTGAGTCAGTTGAAGTGGACGCATTTTGCAAGTCAGCCGAGAAAGCTCAGAGATCTAGAGACTTTTGATGATGCGAGTAGAGGGCCTTGGGGCAGTTTGCGGTTGTTGTTTGCGAGGGGGACGGGGAGTTTGAATAAGGCTGTGTGGTTGGGTTGTGTGATTACTGTCTTGGTGTTGGCGATGGAGACGTTCGGTCAGCAATTGTTGAGTTTTCCGGAGAGGAGGGTGAGTGTCGATGGCGAAGTGGCGAGGTTTCCGACTATCAGGGATCTGGTCACTGTGCCCAATTACAGCGGGCGTCTCGGCATGACACTTTCAGACCGCTTGTTGCAGAGCAGATTGAGTCTGATGGAGGCCATGTACGGCAGGACCACAGCTGCGCCGTTCGAGTGCGGTGCATCAGAGTGCTCGTGGGACAGCCACGTCACATTGGGCTTGTGTTCCACCTGCAGAGACATCAGCGACACGCCGCCCGACTGCAAGGTCAAAGTCCTCATGGATCCCCACAGTTACGTCGATAACTTTGGTCAGACGCACAATACGACATACAACACGACGACTCTGGAATGCAACTACGACGCGACACAATACAGTCCTAACCTCACCACCATCAGGAACTCCCTTCATGAAAGTCCGCCTCCGGACCCGAATAACGCATCTGCCTGGATCTACAACACGGCGATCGATGTCGTGACCTGGAACGAATACGCATACTTCCGCAAAGGTCAGCCCGCCGTGGCTTACAATTTTAGCGTGTTGATTGCGAACGATACCTGGGAACGTCCACAAATCACTACATGTACGATAAACTACTGTGCCTGGGTTTACGAAAATTCGACAGCTCGAGGTCAGAACTTCAATGTCGGCACCCTAAACAAGTACATTCTTGGGTACGAGAGTATAAAGCGGACGGAAAATGGTCCCGGATCCAACTGGCGAACTAGCAACTACACTTTCCGGGCCAACGGTACTGGATTCCCGAGCGACAAATTCAACGATACCTTTCTTATATACGGCGATGCGGATGACGAACTGACCAGCCATCTGACCACAATCCTTGATTCTGCTTCGTATGATTTTTATAGCACAGTTTACAATGATGTAACGCCAGGGTTGGGCGAGGCAATGCTTGCGAACCCGAACATCACTGAAATGGCTGATCGAATGACCACCGGCATAACCAATATCTGGCGTCAATATGAGAATGAGCAGGCGATTGGTACAGCTTGGGAGTCGGTAGCCTTCATCCATGTCGAATGGGTATGGCTTGCATTGCCAGCTGCAGCAGTACTGGGTGCGAGTGTTGTATTGGTCATGACTCTGATACAGAACAGACGCACAGTGTTGTGGAAGTCGTCTGTTCTCCCATACTCTTTCCGAGCACTCCAGGGATGGGAAGATGCTGAATTCGACATGGAGACGCTAGACGAGATTAGAGAAAGAGCAAAGGAAATGACCGGTCAGCTTGTTGGAGACATGAACGAACGGGTGAGGCTAGTCAAGTCGTGAGGGGACTAGTTTGGTGGCTCCGAATTCTCGAATTTCGCAATCAGAATTAATGTCTATGTCAATTCAATCTGTGGTGATGCTCAGTTGTGCAAGACTCCATATCTCACTCCGGTGGAGCGTCTGTCAGAGGTACATATTGGACTCCGTAAAGCCTGGTTTTCTCGACAGAGCCATCTTCTTTCTTGTCGACAACGTAGATATACTGGTTTCCGCGTTCGCCAACAGGCATGAAGAGTCTGGTTCCTATGGTCAGCACACTTTGTCTCTCTCGATAGCATCGAGGCCAGTCCCTCTTGACATCAGCGGTAGGGCGCCGAACTCAAAGGGAGCACGCACCTTCCTGGTCGTTTGAGCTGATCGATGAGCTCTTGGTGGAAGCCGACTGCTGCAGCACCGACATGGATGACATCGTAACCCCCTTCGCCACCCTTTCCTGTCCAGCCCTTCCTACCATCGGCTTTTACATACGTGATACTCCCGTTGAAAAGCAGCTCACGGCCTTCGGTACTCTTTGCGGTGTTCTTCTGTGCCAGGTCCACGAGCGGCTGGATGTGCTCAACACCGATGACAGTACCTCTGGGCTTCACTAGCTCAGCAAAGACATGTGTCAGGTAGCCAGATCCAGATCCAACGTCCAGAACTCTGGCCCCAGGTCTCAAGAGATCGAGTACAGCTTCGCAAGCTTTGGCGTGCATGTGAGGAGCAGAGATTGTAACTCCATAACCGATCGATTGTGGATGATCCATGTATGGTGACGTTGGAGCATAATGTCCACGATCGACCTTGGGTCGTGTTAGATATCAATGGTTGTATTCAGTGTAGATGAGATGCTTACGCTCTTCATGGCTTGTTTGATCCTGTCTGATTCGAAGACACCGTTTGCGTTCAGAGCATCAACCATCTCATCATTCGTCGTGCCATGACTGCGCCAGGCCATGGTCTTACGATGATACAGGACCGTGGGAGCAGTGTGATGGAAGTGTAAACGCTTGAAGGTCGACGAGACTCCCCTCGTGGATTTGATGGCGAAAGACAGATTGATGGTGGATCACAATGTCAAGTTGGTATGTGTATTGCAAAGAATTCAGGATTGTTTCTCAAGGGAGCTCTCGAGAAAAGCAATGGCAGGAGCATCCTGCAGTTGGCTGGATGCTCTTGCGGGGTTGTGATGAGATCAACGTCATGTTCCTTCTCGGAAGCAAGAGCGAACCCTGAAAGTTCGACGACTGTCGCCAGTCGCTATTGTATGATCACTTGAACAATGTATTGGCACATTAGTTCTTTGAACAGGTAAAACTCATGGATTTTCTCCGATAGAACATCGTCAAATGCTATGTACAAAGAAGTGTAGAGGTCTACAAACACACTACCGAGATCATGAATCTGGAGGAATGTGTTCAAAGAGAAAAAAGAATCAGATACAAGAGTAAGTGGGTTCCTTGAAGATAGAAGAAAAGAAGCTTTGAATGGGAACTCCACAGAAATGCGTGCCCAGAGAAGATGACCATGACTCGTACGAAATATTGGAAGCACCTTGTACAGGCTTAATTGTTGCACATACCCCAGTACTGCTCGGCGTTGAAGGTAGCAGCGCTGTTCTTCTTCCACATGTCGTTGAAGGCGGTGAACCAGATGACGTTGGAAGAGACGGAAGACTTCATGGAGGAGAGGGCAGCCTTCTGGTTCTGAACACTGGGAACAGCCTTGCCGTTGGTGTTGCCCTGAGTGGGCCAGCCAGTCTCGCTGATTACGACATGCTTGCCACCGCAGGCGCTGGAAACCTCCTCCATCGTGTTTAGGAGCCAGTCACCACTGTTTTCAGCGGCGACGTTGCCGTCAAAGAAGGGGTGAGCGTTGACGGCAATGTAGTCGGAGACATCGCAAAGGGCCTTGGCGTTAGCAACCATGGCAACAGCAGTGTCGACAGCGACAATCTTGCCAGAGTAACCAGCGGCGTTAAGAGTAGCTCTGGCTCCTGAGACGATACCGGCTACGGCGTCGGCAGCGACTGTTCCGCCGTTGACAATTTCGTTACCAATGGAGATGGTGTTGATTCTGGACCAGTTGTCCTTGGCTTGGTCGATGAGATCCGAGATCTCCTTGGTGTAACTGGGACCCTGAATGTTGAAGAGACCAGCAAAGATCTGCAGGTCATACTTTTCGCAAGAGGGCAGAACAAGCGAGATCTGGCTGCAGTCGGCACCGTAGAGACGGACGAAGTCATAGCTGTCGCCGTTGGCCGAAGCGTAGGACATGATCTTTTCAAAGTCGCTGTTGACCTGGTCCTGGGACTTGCAGTCACCGCCGTCGGTGTAAGGGGAGTAGACGATACCGTAGCCCTGAGGACCACTGCCGTTGGAGGCAGCAGGCGACGAGGCAGCAGCCTTGGAGGAAGAGGTGGAGGAGCTGGCAGCCGAGCTGTAGGCAGCAGGCGAAGAATGGGCAGGGGCCTGAGTGGTGGAGTCCTTGGAGGAGGTAGCAGCCTTGTTGTAGACAGAGGCAAGGGTGGTGGGGGTGGGGGCGACGTAGATCTCAGTAGAGGAAGAGGCGGCCTCAGTGTAGGCGGGGGCGGAAGAAGCAACAACGGCAGCGGCAGCGGAAGTTGCGGCGGCCTGACCCTCAGTGGAGGTGGAGTAAGGAGCGCCGTTCTCGTCGACGTAGACGACAACGTTGGGGAGCTGGGTGGTCACGTAGGTGTAGTCGGTCTCGTAGACGACTTCCTGGCGCTTCTCGTGAAGCTGCTGGTGACGGCCTAGGAGATGGTCAGAATTCAAGTGCCATTGGAAGGAACTGGACGAGTTGACTCACGGTGGTGACCATTGGGCTTAGCAGAAGCAAGGTTGATCAGCGACAGAGCGCCGAGGGCAGCAACACCGGTTCTCATCATGATGAATAGTTTTGAGGTGGTAAAGATAGTTTAGTCTGGCCGGCCAGCGGTGTCAGCGATTTTGTATCAAAAGAATGTGCGGAGGATGTTCAATGGGGAGCAATTGGCGGAGGGAGAAGTTTTGAAGGCTCGAAAGAAGCCTTGAACCTCAATCCTCGGGCCAACGAGCTGGTCGGTGCCTGGGTAGTGGCAGGGGGCGCAGTGTGAAACTTACGAAGTCGGTTCCTAAACAAAGACGAAGGCGCAAGAATAGATTGTCTCGAAATTGGATGAAGCAAGGAGCTGCTCTGTGTGTTTGTTGACGTTCAAAAGAATGTGGCAGCTGTCTAAGCGCACGATTGAATTCCTCCCGGGGGGTTGGTAGAGACTGCTGGGTGTAAAGAATGTGGATGACCTTGGAGCAAAAACGGAAGTGGACCTGGCAAGGCAGTGAGTTGATATAAACTGAGCAATTGGGAAGAGAAAGGCCCAGAGACAAGAGCGAGGTCCACACTCAACTATCGATGGCAGAAACGGCCGACGGCTCGCCGTTGGGTGCACAATCAAAAGATGAGTTTCACCTAACTCGATGTGGGAAGGAGCCACCCAGCGCGGGCCCTTGCCGAAATTGCCCAAGAGCTCTAGTGCGTCCTGTTCCTGAACATCCTCCAAGCCACTCGGACTTGTCAAGCGAACGTGCCAATCTTCTCGTGCATCACCAAGTGGAGAGTCTCCGCTAAGCTGACTTTCTTTGGCATGCAGACAAGGCGGCAAACCTTCAAAACCACCCGAAGTCCGCCGGAAGCAAAAAATACGAGCTTGTTGCTTCTCTGAGCTGCTCCTCAGGCGGCCAGGTCGTCGTCGCAACAGAATGTATGGTCTCAGACCATCAGATCAACCGCCTTGACGTTGGCCGTTGCCGACGGTAAACAAACTGCACTCCAGAATCTCCCAGTGCGACCATGAGCAACCTGGTACCTGAAAGAGTGTTGACTCGAGCGGTCGAGCTGCGCCAACCTGCATGACCAAGAACAACAGACCTTGTCAATATGCGGCTAGGCCACGGTGAACACTCAGCAGTTCTACACGAGCATGGACTTGTCGATGGGTTGACGTCCGATTTGCCTTTATTCTCCGAACGCCATTCTTCAGCTGTTTGTGCCGAGCTGTACTTGCCGCGCTACCTTTTGCCAGCTCCTCGTATAGCCAGATAGGACGCGTGGCAAATGCGCTGTCGCCAACACGTCGAGACTCGACACTGAGAGACGATCAAATGGGTACTTCTGCTTTCACGAGTCTCGCCTATCTCAATGTCTCAGACAACTATTTGTCCCCGGGTCTCCGCTTCTTCAGCTGTATCGACCATCTTCTACAGTGACCGGTTGGTACAACTCGGTAGGTTTATTGCTTTTCGGCTCACTCCACATCTCATATTCCATCGGTCAAGGATCGATGGTGACAGACATATGGAAGACCTTCGTTAAAGACTTCCGTTACCACTGTCTCACTCAACCGAACTCGAGTGTACACTTTTCCGAACTGCATCTCCCATCTCACGACATCCTTTGCCGGGCGACTTGCACTTTCGGACACTGCCCAATGTCAGCCGAATGATCCAGGTACATTCGCATCTTTTTTAAGAATGCTGTGAAATAAGTCTCCCTTCAATGCAGCTCCTGAGAGTCTACCAAGCCTGTCTTTGTCACTCATCTCATAAACTCGCGTTGTGATTTACAGTCTGTCGCACACTGCTCAGCCTCATGAATACTCCAACAGCACGTTTTGAGTCTCAAAAGATCCTTGTGCTTGCTTCCTCAATTCGTCCAGTTCTTTTACTCGGCTGAGACACTAGAACGGTCGCCCTGAAACGTTTACACGCGATTCCAACACGAGGGATCAGGCAGTTTCTGCCTTCCTCATTGAGTAGAGTCTCACAGAAAAGAAACACATACTCTGGCTAAAGACCGATACACAGTCTCGTATCGACTGTCTGGTCTCCAGGTAGTCGGAGTATCCGACCTACAGAGCTGGAGCTGTTTGTTCCCCACTTAACTTTCTTGTTGAGAATACATCCTTCTCCGCACCTAGCTCTCCTCAACACGTGCTTCTGGACTGCATTGTTCAGCTCCATCTTTTTCACTTCAGTAGTCTGCGACACGATTCACTCGCTGAGTTACTGCACTCATAGACCATATTGCCAATTCTTGCATTTGTCACATCAGGTTGATGTTGGTTCGGTTTACAGCTGCTGGCTCGATCTCAGCGCCTAGCAGCGAATTCCACTCGCAAAAGCAAAGTGAGTCGAGCCATTGTCGAGAACAACAACGCGCTTGGTCGAGACCATGAATGCGATGCTGGACGATTGATTGTAGCACTAGATATTATTCCAGTCTGCTGTTTGAGTAGAGATCTTTTGACTAGAGCCGCTGAACGCATCCTTAGAGACCTTAGGCATCCTTGCTGAGGACTCAACTGCGCGGTGGTCCACCCCAGCCGTATGCTGTCCCGCAGTTGTCGCAATAGCAACGAGCGATCGATCCTCGGAGCCGCTTGACAGATCGCATCGTAACATCTGAGCATCATCATAGAGAAAAAATGACAACAGCATCCACATGCAACAACGTTGTTGCAGCTTGGTGCGCAGCCAAGGTCATCTCTTGCTCGTATTGCTCCATCTTCATAAAACACGGCCGAGAATCCCGTGTTATTACTGCACCACTTGACTGCGCCGATCCTGAATTAACCAGATGTCACCTCACTTCCGCGCCGTCGCACCTAAGTCAGGATACACGACACATGCTGACATGACAAACATCTCGAAGAAAAAATAATAGAGACATGATGATGACAAAAGTTACTGCAGTTAGCCGCTGCAGGAACGGAAGCACGGAAACACGATCACAAAACGTACAACGGTGAGCTTGCATACGAGTTTTATGCATCATAACAGATTTGTGTGGAGATTTCGAACGACGCCGAGGTCTCTTGGATGCATCATAACAACAACTTCTCCAAGAGGTATAGATAAAGGAGATACGACACAACTCTAACGATATTGCATATAGGTCAGGTGAAACCCTTGATCAGGGCAATCTCAACGGACGGATGGTCGTAAAGACGCTCGACGATTGCTCGTCCGGATGTGTGATGACCGAGAGATATGGTTGACTATCGCAATTTGACAATACTATTGAAGTACCATAGCTAGGTTCGACTCGCTGATTGGATTTTCAAGTAGGACGCATGATTACTGTTCATTGTCCCATCGAGTCGGTCTGCAATTGGAGATGGTTGGGATCTGGGGTCCGGACAGGGTCATTCCATTTACCACCTGCTCCATCAAATAATACCCTTTTGTAGCTCCTACAACTTGGATATATCTATACTGAACCCATCATCGAATTGATGTTGGTCTTTCGTATCTGAGTAACCGTAGAGTACACCGTCTCTGGGGTTGTGGTGGTCTCAATGCTCGAAAACAAATTCAACTTGCTTTGACTTAAAACTTGGTGTCGAAATCGTCGAAGTTGATGCTTCTCTTCGATCTACCCTCTTGTAGACATGCTTTTACGCGATTGTTGTATTTGAGACAAGTTGTCAAGTACAACACTCCTGGCACTCTACTCCAGTACATATAATGTAGATATATGTATATTGTTGCTGTCCCATACAGCCAAAACAGTGAAATGACGTCAACGCTAGAATCCATTAACGCGTCATTCGCAGGCCGTGTCTTTGTCGCGATTGGAGGAAACTCCCTGTCACCGTCAAGCACCTTAACAATACGATACAATGTCAGGTACACCTTCAAAGAGACGTAAGAAGAATGATGGTCAGCCCGCACGAGGCCTCGACTTCTTCTTCGGCAAGCAAGCACAGGCGAAACAGCAACCCAAGGACGACCCAAAACTCGAAGCAGACACGAAGAACGAGGACCTCGATCACGATGTCCTCTCCGACGAGGCCTTAGCCAGAAAGCTACAGGCAGAGTGGGACGAACAAGACCGAGCATCGCAAGCTCCTGCATCTTCACCTCCAGGACCCGTGGCCACAACCGAAGCAGCGCCAGCACTACCTGAACACATCAAGCAAGAGTCGAATATCAAGGAGGAGACACCTACACCAGTACTAGCTCCAACTCCAGTCGCCGTGAACCCCTTTGCAGGACTGGGAAAGAAGAACACGTTGTCGCTCCAATCAGCTACCGCCGACGACGATACCACAACCTACGACATCCCCTTCGATCAAAGCCCCCTAGCTTTTGACCCGCAAAAGTACATCCCGGATCTGAAGAAGCAATGGGTAGCTGATGGTGGCAATGCTACATACGCTCTGCTCACCCACTGCTTCGTTATGGTCAACAGCACAGCAAGTCGCATCAAGATTGTCGATACACTGGTAAATACATTGCGCGTCATCATAGAAGGAGATCCTCAGAGTCTGTTACCTGCAGTATGGCTTGCTACCAACTCAATCTCACCACCATATATCGACATGGAACTCGGACTTGGAGGCTCTGCCATTTCCAAAGCTCTGAAGAAAGTTTGTGGGTTGGATAACGCTGGATTGAAAAAGTTGTCGGATAAATACGGTGATGCTGGCGATGTCGCGTTTGAAGCGAAAAAGCGACAAAGCTTGACACTAAGGAAGCCCAAACCTTTGACTATAAAAGCCGTGTTCGACTCCTTGGTAAAGATCTCCATGGCAAAGGGTCATGGTAGTGTCGAAACCAAGCAGCGACTTGTAGAAAGACTCGTTCAGGATTCAAGAGGAGCCGAAGAAAGTAGATATGTCGTTCGCACTTTGGTGCAGCATGTAAGTACATTCGTCCCCCATTATGCATATGATTTCTGACTTTACAACAGCTTCGCATTGGTGCCGTCAAGACGACTATGCTCATAGCCTTATCTCGAGCTTTCTTGCTGTCAAAGCCACCTGGAGCTGAGTTCGCGACTCGTGATAGGCATGAGCTGGCCAAGCTGTCAAAGCAACAATTGGTCGAAGTTTGGGCTCCTGCTGAGGAGATCGTCAAAGCGTGTTTCGCTCGTCGTCCCAACTACGTGAGTACTGCTAACCCTCAAGTTTGTGATCAATCTGACGACCCTTCAGAACGATCTGGTACCCACACTGCTCGAGATCGGCGTTACAGAAGAGCTTCTACTCCGATGTGGTCTTGCTATGCACATTCCGCTTCGACCTATGTTGGGAGGTATCACTAGAGATTTGGGCGAAATGCTGACGAAACTCACCGGTCGCGAGTTCACCTGCGAGTACAAATATGATGGTACAAACTCTTCGACCTAACTTCCGTCGATCTGTGCTAACACGAGATTCCAGGTCAGCGAGCACAAGTCCACTGCGACGCTTCCGGCAAAGTAACAATTTTCTCCCGCCATCTCGAAGTGATGACAGATAAATATCCTGACCTCGTCGCCTTGGTGCCAAAGATCCGCGGCGAAGGCGTACAATCTTTTATCCTTGAAGGCGAAGTTGTCGCCGTGGATCGGGACACTGGCGATCTTCTTCCCTTCCAAGTCCTTTCCAATCGCGCAAGGAAGGATGTAGACATTTCCACTGTCAAGGTGGACGTTTGTCTCTTCTCCTTCGACTTGATGTATTTGAATGGCGAGGGTCTGATGGACAGACCCTTCCGCGAGCGAAGGTCACTGTTACGAAGTTTGTTCGTCGAGCTTCCACACCATTTCACCTGGGTCAAGAGTATAGATGCGACGTCGGCTGACATCGAGGTGATATCTGACTTCTACAAACAAGCACTGAGCGACAAATGCGAAGGCTTCATGGCAAAAGTCCTCGACAATCTTCCGAACCCAGACCTCTTGGACGCCATGAATGAAGACGGCACGCCGAAACCACCACCGACGCCTTCGAAACGTAAGCGCAGTACGAAACCGAAGCCAGGAGATCCACCTTCCTCTCCGCCTCCAGAATCCGAACCTGGAGTGAAAAAGGGCGGACGAAGGAAAGCACTTCTCGCGACCTACGAACCAGACAAGCGACTAGATTCGTGGCTGAAAGTGAAGAAAGACTACGATTCATCTGCTTCGGACACCATCGATCTCATTCCTGTGGCGGCCTGGCACGGTACAGGCAGAAAATGCAACTGGTGGTCTCCTATCCTGTTAGCTTGTCGGAACCCCGAGACTGGAGGCTTGGAGGCAGTAACAAAATGTATGGCCGGCTTCAGCGATGCATTCTACAAAGCCAACAGAGCGAAATACGACCCTGATGCTGGGTTGGAGGACGACGAGGAAGAAGACGGAGACGAAGAACCAGGCAAGAGCAAGAACAACACTCTTAGCGGCCAGCCACCATACGTGGAATACAGCGGTGGACACCCGGCTGTTTGGTTCAACCCACAAGAAGTCTGGGAGTGCGCGTTCGCCGACGTGACATTGTCGCCAACCTACACCGCAGCCATCGGTTTGGTATCCGAATCAAGAGGCTTGAGTCTGAGGTTCCCCAGATTTCTCAAAGTCAGAGAAGATAAGAGCATTGATGAAGCAAGTACGAGCGACTTCCTGGCTGAGCTGTATAGAAAGCAGGAAGCCAGAGGCGCAAAGGAAAAGAAAGAAGCAGATATTGACGAGGAAGAGATGTGAGCGATCAAGGATGATGACTTCACAGAAGTGTTACTACGTCGTTGGTCGCCGAGATGAACGACTTCTCCTGTCGTCAGCCGGAGTAGTACTTCGCATCCAGAATTCGTCCAAAACTAACTCAAATTCGCGAGATGGCTCAAGCGTGATGAGTCGACCACCAATCAACAACACCGTCATGCCTTTGTCCCTATAGACTTTTCTCGCAGATGAAGAGTCACTGTGAGAACAGAACCAGATTCCATAAATCTCGCGGCCTCCGCCATCGGGATTCTTTCCATCAAATTTCGGCTCTCTATCGCAAGAGCAAGCATAGCCATCAGCACTCAAACACTCAAACACTCAAACAATCTACCAAGCCCATCAAACATGGTAACCGACTCCAGCGACATCAGCCGTGGATGGCAGACGATCCCATCCAACAGCGATACAAACCACACCACGACAAACGAACAATCGTCGCCACCAGCATACTCCCACACAGCAGCCAACTACTTCGCAACTCCCACTTACGATGCAGAGACCAGCCCGGTGCTTACCGCAGCTGCATCCAGAAGAATGGAGTGTTCGGACTCGAGATATGCGTTCCCTTCATCTTTGCCATCGTATATTGAGATGCAAGATCTAGGTGTTGGAGCTGGTGCTAGTGCATGTGCAGGCACTCCTGCATCGAGAGTCCCGAGCGTTCTTCTTGGACCAGCTACACAGCCTAAGAAACAACATGGCGCGTTCTGCAGAACTGTGTGGACAGTACTGGAGATTGTGGGGTTTGCTGCTTTGGCTGCTGCTGCTCTCGGCGCGCTTTACGGTATCTGGAGATTAATCTATTGGCTTGCCTATAAGATATGAGTACGGGAGATGGGACCGTGTTCGTAATCATGCAGTGTATGAGTTCCTGTCTAGGTTGCGCACTGAGGTGCCAAGGTCTTATGAAGACTGCGGTGCTTTGAACGCGTCGGACGAGAGTATGGGACGCGATTGTCTGGTTGAGCTACTGAGGACTTTGGACAGCAAGCAGCGTGGGAGAAGAGGTAACTAGCCACTGTAATTTGAATTGCACATGACTCGTAAGCAGTTTTGAGTAGATGTTGCCCCTTCCAAGATGAATCGAATAAGCCTGACTTTCCTGTGCATAATGATCGCAGTTGTTGATGGTATACTCGTGCTATAAGTCAACTCACCAGTGGATATTGTGCCCTTTCACGTTTCTCCAACGATAACAATGCCTCAGGAAGAAGACTGCACGCAACAAGAAAAGGGTGGTATGGTATTGCTCTCTTAACTTACTCAGGCTCAGAGAGCCACTGAGAGAGTGACCAGGTTGGCGATCCAACAAAATAATGGAAGGTCTCTTGGATAGAGCAAATGAATAGAAGTCATGTCTGACGTGAGACACAACGCTGACCCGGTATCTGTCATGAACCTGGTGAATCGGAAGCCAACGGGTGTGACGATATTGTAAGGAGGTAGCATAGTCGGAAGCACATTTGAAGTTAGAGTAGGCCAGTGATCCTTCACACGGTTTACTGGTTGCAAATTCGATGATTTGTAGCCTGTTTCGATCGAGAGTAAGAATGATCGCGGGAGAACCATGGACCTGATAGTTTATGTTGTATGGTCTGCTCGTATCTTGTGTCCGGAAGGCCGATGTGGATCATCACCACTTGGCTTCAATGGTGTCTTTTGCTTGAACGACACGCTCCCGTGCCGGTGTGGCATTGAGAAGATTGCTCGTCATCACTGTGTCCACGGAACGCTTATATACTTGGTAGTGTGTCAGCGAGAGCCGACGGATGAAGACAATATCAGTCACATGACGATTGGACAGGACACTGGATCTTTCGTTGATGATCATGATACTCGTACTATAAGCATTCTATTTTATCTATGCATTAAATTCGTAAAGTTCTTCTTCTTTACATACTAATCCACCTCGCCATCCAAAACTCAGTAACCTGCTTAGCCTCATCCACAAGCCCCATATCCAACAACAACTGCGTAGTTCCTCTGACCGCACTCTCCAACGCACTGAAAATCCACGCATGAGTATAACTAGTATGCTCACCCACAAACACCGTATGCTTCTCCGTCTGGAAGTAAGCAGGAAGATACAAGTCCTGCTGCAAAGCAGTAGGAGAAGCCCAAGCACCAGCCTGATACTCATCATTCATCCAGCACTTTCTGTCGTAGGCACCTGTGTATTGCTCAGCGGCGATGGGGCCGTGAATCTCGATCATGGCGCGTTGGACGTAGGCGACGTGTTCGGTTTCGGTCATGGCGCCGAGGGATTTGGCCATATCGCCTGAGAGGTAGGAGGCGAGGATTACACCGGGGCCGCTGCTGTTCAGTTGGTAGGAGGGGTAGCATACACTGCCGATGCCGGCGATGCCGCCGCCCGAGCCGCAGCCGCCGATGATGGGGCGATCGAGGTGTTCCCAGAAGCGAGTCTTGTAGTGGAGGGCGACCTTGCAGGCGGGAGAGTAGTTGAGTCTGGCGATGGCGCGGCTGAGCAGGCTCGAGTAGTCGGGAAGACGCCATAGTCTGACTTTTGAGAAAGGCACTGCGACGATTGTGTAGTCGAAATCGATGGATTCGGTTTCCATGTCGAAGGGGTTGCCAGGGCGGAAGTGGACGGACATCTTCTCCGAGGTCTCGTTCCAGGTCATTGCCTGCACCGAAGTCTGGAAGCGAGTGCGGTTCAGGACTTGAGGTCCGAAGGCTGCAGGTAGACGACTCAGACCTTGATCGATAGTGCGCCATTCGGTTGCCTCAAAGTAGACATCCTCGTATGGCCACGATGGAAGGTTATCGGCGACAGAGTCAATTTGATCGGTGATGTTGTTGTCCTGGCCCATCTTGTAGCGAAGATAGCCAGACTCGGAGAAATCGAGGAAGCCCTCGGCGACGGCTTGCTTGTGGGCCTTGAAGACGTTGGTCGCGTAGAGGCGAGTCTTCTCGTTGTCCATGCCAAGCCAGTCCTCGAACTCTTCCGTGGCTGCGTCAACAGCAGTTGCATTGCTATATGTGGCAGTAGTGTTGACAGCAAGGGATGGGTTCTCCTTCACCTCGGCGACACCAGGAACAGTGCCATCAGACTTTCTCTTAGTCGTACTTGAGGGATCATTCATGGCGCTCTGAATCCATGGGATGAACTTGACTTGATAGGCAGGGTCGTTTTGGTTTTGCTTGTTGAGTTCATCGGCAAGCTGGAAGACCATTTTGTGGTCATTGATCTCAACAGTCTCATTGTCGAGAGTCAAACTGACTGGAAAACGCATGGGCCCCATCTCCTGGTACTGATATTGATCAGACTTGGTAGCGTTGAGGTAGGATGTGTGAACGCGGCCTCCGATACGTGACGAAGCCTCGATAATCTGCCAGTCACGGAAACCAACAGAGTCGAGGATGTGAGCAGTCATCAGACCCGACATGCCACCACCAAGGATACCAACAGACTTGCTTTTGGTCTGAGCAACGAAGACAGACTCAGGCTCCTTCTCCTTGAGATACGTGACACCATCGAACCAAGGACCCATGGCATCCATAATCTCAGAAGCAGCAAGGTGTCTCTTGTTGTTTCTACGACCGACACTGACAGGAGCAGATCTTCCGAGTAGGGCGTCACCAGAGAAGGCATGCAAACAGCCATCGCTAGACATGTCCTCGGGAGCCAGCCAGACAAAACGAGTTGGTCTCTGTTCATGCCAGTTCAGATGGCGCTTAGCCAGGTCATGGTTTCCAACATGTGTGGTGCCAAGGATATGATGAGCGTCTTCTGTAGACTTGATGCCACAACCACCATAGACAATGGAAAATTCTCCGTCATGAGATGAATGGTAGTCGACGTGGATATTGTGCATACCACCTGCCTCTACGACTTCAGGAAACTTGAAGGAGACAACAGGACCTGAAGGAGCAGCGACGGCATGCTGTATCAGAGTCGACAAGGCGAAGACGCCTGTCGAAAGTTGGCGAATGGACATTATGGAAGAGAGAGGAGGAAGGTGTGTACTGCAGTAAGCATATGGACTGCAACTCACCATTATATATACATCAGTCAGTCACTGACACGACCTTACTCTCAAGCATGTCCCAACATCAATATCTGCGGAGTATACACAGCCTGCGTGCTCCGGTTGGGACTGCGGGTCTACGCCATGGTTGCGGTGTACAGTTACGGCGTGCGTGCAGAATGCTACACCTTGATGAACGAGTCCTATCTCATTCTCCACAAGTATCGAGTCGGCGACATTCAGATCCTCCAGAAACCGACTTTCCCGCCTGCTGCCAAGTACACGCCTTACCACTTCTGCAACATTCGAGCCGATAGACAGGTGCTATGGATCCACGTTGCTTCGTTATCGACAGAACGGAGTGCATGCAAGCGATGGCCGGCTCCTTGGCCGTCCCGCCTATCTCTAATCGACAAGGCTTGTAGGGCGCAGTTCTGACATGCACACCGAGTTCGGAAGCTCGGTGGCCATGGATGAAAGTATTTTGCTGTGTCTGGAGGTGTTTGGTGAAGATCGACAAGATAAGGTGGGTGAAAGACGGAGGATGGAGGATAAGGAGTCTTGGCGGCGATAGGGATTGTCTTTTCCGCTGGGTGATTTGTTCGCCTACTTACCAAACACATAGCTTGCACAGGTATTATCGGCCAAGTAGTTTTCCGGAGCCTGCCAGATGCTTGGATGTTAGCTTGTATCTCGGCGATGATCCGTGATCAAGAGATAGTGTGGTTATTGTGAGATGCTGGCGGATGTGTTACTAACAGACTGTGACTGCGAGATAATGATAGCCCCGAACGAGATCATGATCATGACCATCGATACATAACTCAGCTGTCTAACAAGCAGCCGACAGTCTTCGCTCGGCATGTCGAGAGTACAGTCTTGCCATTGCCTATTGATCGCGTTCAGACGTAACGATCTTTGCGCTCTTCTAGGTACCGATTCATACACAACTCAATAGAATCTCTCCTACCATAAGTCACGTTCCTGCCACGATACGTGGGTCACTGTTCCAGGCTGGTCGCTGCATCGGTCCCAACATCTCATGTGTGTTAGTTGACAAGGTCCCTAACTCAGATCATTATGTCGACGACTTCATGACAGTTTCTCACAAGTTCAAGAGGCGTCGTCATCAGGAGCACTAGACTAGAGATCACGACTTCATTCCCAGAAGACGTGGACCTGATGCTCTCCCTTGGACTGCTCTGTTGCATGGGCCACACACTGGACTTCGAGTGAGCGAGCTTCGGGAGTGTGTTTTGATCTGCACTCTCAAGCCTCCTCACGTAAGGCCTTATCAATCAGTCTGGGAAGTTTCCAAGTTCGAGTTGAAAGGTTGATGCTACACTTGGAATACTAGATGGTAGCTCATGAAACTGTGGTGATGTGGAGATACTCCTACACGTCGAATCATCTGTGAGCCAAGCACCTAAGCACGGGTTCCAAACGAAACCACTCATGCGAGCTCGCCCGGCTTTCGATGGCTTCAACGTTTACATCGAAATCCTACAGACACCATGCCAATCCTCTTCCGAAAATGGTCTTGGAAAATCACCATTTCACGCACGGCAAGAATAAACAAAACACACATATCATAGAAATAGAACGTCAAATTAGGTCCTGAGAGCAGGCACACTATGGATATAAACATTGAAACTAGGAGAAATTCATCATCGACAGACTAAGAAAACGATCCACCGGATCGGTAACTTCTTAGAGAGCAGCGAAACCCATCATGGCAAGAAGACCAAGTCCAACGCTGACCGATGAAGCGGCACCAGTGTATGAAGCAGGCTTGGAAGTAGTAGCGGCAGGAGCGGTAGAGTTGCCAGTGGCAGTGGCAGTGCCGTTCTTTGCACTGGCAGTAGCGATGGGAGCAACAGGAGTGACCTTGACGGAGCTGGATACGGGAGCAGCAGCAGCGCTCGAGACAACCGAAGCAACCGAAGACGAAACAGCGCTGGAGACGGGAGCAGCAGAGGACGAGCCAGCAGCGGAACCAGCGGCGGCACCAGCAAGGTTGGGGCAGATCTGCAGGGTAGCAGCGGCGGTCTTCTGCTGGTCCTCAGCCGAGCAGGAGGTCTTGGTGCAAGCGGCGATGGAAGAGACGAAGCTCGAGTTGGCGCACAGGCAAGTCACATCAGTAGCGACACAGCCAGTGGGGCCAATAGCGGTCAAGGCGCAAGAGACCTGTACATTACTCGTGTTATTCATGTTTCATATAAGCAGAGGAAATGAGGATACTTACAGCGCAGCTAGGGAGGAGAGCGGCGAGGGAAGCAGCATCTTGAGCAAGAGCGGGGGCCACGAGGGCAGCAGCAGCGAAGGCGACGATGGCGGCAGACTTCATCTTGAAGGATATAATATGGTAGGATGGAAGAGATAGAGCTGGAAGAGCGAAAGACTTGAGGTGAGATATTCGATGTTTCGTAAGAAGACAAGAGCGACTGTGATTGAGAGCTTGGTATGAGAAAGAAAGAAATGAAACCAGAGCCAGGATGCGCAGAGGTATTTGAAGCGCTGCTATTCGTACGCCAGGTACATACTTTCGAAGGATCGACGGTTCGCTTCTACAACACCACTGTCCTGATCTGGGAGTTGGCGTAGGTACCTACCGTTTTTACAGTTTGCCTGGTTTCCCCTCAGCTGAGATGTGTTTTAAGCCACCGCGGAGCTGAGCTAGTCCAGCTGCACAGGGAAACAATCAGAGAGTTGCATATAACGCGGAGGGCGCACCATCAAATCTCCCCTCGCGAATCATGTTGTCGAGTCAAGCAAGCGCTCAGAACGGCCGGCGGATCTGTTAGCATGTTGTTCGAGGCAGCTTAGTACCAGAAAGGAAGCGGAGTTGCGAGACACCCAATGCGCCGGACAAACGTCGGCAGACATGTCACTTCACGGACGGCAAGAGCTTATGAGCTTCCACGTGAACCATAAAGGTTGCATTGCGTTTCACCACCACGCGTCGTTCTCTACCGCAATCAGATGCTGCCTATTCTTGCAAAAGTCGGATTGACCGCGCGTGCTAGCTTTCTGTACTCGCAATGCTGAAATAACACAGCCTCGTCGCCGTCGTCACTGGTCCGCGTCTTTCACTCAACTTAACTTCGGTGTGAGGATGCCGCTGCGCGCGATGCCAAAGATCGCGCGAATGCCAGAGCACGCGAGAAATACGCCAAAGACCCAGAGTATCGCGAAAGGCGGAAACAGCAAATCAGAAAGAGCCGTGCCAAATGGGCGGGTGTATGGCGATCTGATCACGTACAAAAATACCTAGAGGATCCGAAGTATCGTGAGGTGGTGAATGAGCGACAGAGAGACCGTGAACGTCGACGCGACCGAGAGGGGAAAAGACGAAGGGATGTGATCAAATTTGAGGAAAACCGCAACAACGTACATCAAAAACACGCCTTGCTCAATTGGTTTCTGTAATCGAAATGGGCGCGGAGACTTTTCTGGGACACACACGATCCATTATTGAAAGAAGGCGACGGACTTCCAGCAGTCTGCGCTTCTTGTGGTGGTGCTTACACACGAAGACTTTGGTGGCGACGCAAGATTGCCGACGAGAATACTGGCGAACAGCTCCTTGACTGCCACAATTGCTTCTGTGACAAAGACTGGGAGAAGGCTCTCCCATTGGGCTACAGTGGGCATGTGTTTGGCCGTGGTAATCTGCTCAAACAGCCAGACTGGACAAATTATCCTCCATCTGATCCTTCACCATAAACATGGATCAAATCACATTATGCTCCTTGACAAGCTACAAGTTGTCAGGTCAGGATTTTCATCAATCAGGTTCTTATTGATTGTCTGCCTAGTGCGCAGACATAGTTTCCGTTTTGTATCTGTTCGAGAAGGACATCCTATGGTCCACTATAAACCAAACTCGAACGATGCGTCATACTGCATATCTTTTTCTTGTTTCTTGTACTCTCTTCATGCCGAGTCTCAAATCAAGGCTTGGGGACGTGGAAGGTCTTGCTGATCATGAGGCAACCATGGGCCACGAAGATGAGAGCGGCAGGGTGGAACTCGAATATCGAACCTTGGGCAACGACACCGAGAGGAATCTGGTTGTGAATCCAGCCCTGGCTGACCCAGTAGGAGATCAAGGCGACGATGCCCAGAGAGGTGGGAGTAGGGAGACCTTCGAAGTATTTGGCCTTGCCATTGGCATCCTTGGGTACGCTGTCGGTGGTGATGTTGAAGCGAGCAAGACGTAGAAGACCGCAGAGAGCGAAGGAGGTGAGGAGGAAGTGGTCAAAGGGGGTTCGCATGCCAATTGCGACAGATGCGACGGCAGGGGAGACACAGAAGGAGATCTGCATTCTCGTGGTTAATGTAGGTTGAAGAAAGGTGTGATGACGGACAGCGTACCAAATCAGCAAGCGAATCGAGTTCCTGGCCCATGAGCGAGCTCTTCTTTCTCCATCGGGCGACCTTGCCATCCATAAAGTCGAAGAATAGGCCGAAGGGCATGAAGGCCAAGGCGGCCCAGAGGTTGCCGAGATCATTGGGGTTGCCCATGCAGTAACGGAGAGAGGACAATACTGAGTTGATACCGCAGAAACCTGGAATGTAGCATTAGAACGATGAACAAATTTGACGTGTATAGGTCGGGCCTTACCGTTCAGGAGGGTGATCAAGTCGGCAAGGTGCATAGCACGGATCATGGAGAAGTGACCGGGGTCAGACTCCTCCAACAAGCGCTTCTGCTTGTCCATGGCTGTCTCTCTGTCAGCATCTGTGTCCATGTTGTCATGCTTGTCGAGACGTACGAGGACTGGCGGTGACTTCTTTTGCGGCGTCGACCGAGGCGTTGACTCTGCGGGACATGGTTGATTGAGCGATTGTGAGTTTTCAGAGATGTGGTCAACTCAAAATCAAAGGTTGCTAGGAGTAGAACAGGTAGTAGTAGGACGAGGTTTCTAAGGCGCACACAAGGGAAAGCAGGTTTAACTCAGACGGCCGGCGTTTGCTTGATCTGGCCTGCGTCATTGGAGTCAAGCCACAAACATCACAGCCACATTTCACTTCTCTGCCACACTCGAACATGTGACAAGCTTCCATCACTAATATACTCACATCAGTTGCTTACAGATCTGTTGTGCATTCACGCGAGTCCCAGCAAGGTATTATGGGTTTGCAAGTTGAGATACTTGGGTAGTACAAGTCTTGCTTGAGTTTATACTGTCTTGTCGAGCAGTACTGCGTAGACCAAGATATCTAGGCAGACATGCATGTTCTTTCCTATGAGCTCTGTCTTCTGTACAGACATTGCTGACATCGTAACACACTCTTGCAGTAGGTATCGTAGATGGCAAGATATCGATTGACCTCACTTCTGTCAATACGTGACTTGATTCTAGCAAAGATATCCTCCAGTATATCACCAATGCTTCACCGACACTTGATGTACTCTGAACGAATGAAGTTGAAATAGTTTTTTTGCTCCTCTTCTCGGTATCTCAAAATAGTCCTGTACAGCGTAAAACATGAGATGAACTGCCTCTTTTCGAAACAATGCCTCCTTGCGAACCATTTCCCAAGCCGTCCAAGGCCTCATAACTCCGTGACGCCGCTGCCTGTTTACGCCCTCATGCTTTGCACTTTTTGGTGTGTCGACATGGCTATGCATGCGCTTAGTAGCCTCCACGACCCCCACGACCTCCGAAAGACCCTCTCGATCCACCACGAGAGAAGCCCGATCCACCTCTGCTGAAGCCCGATCCACCTCTTGAGCTACCACCACGGCCGCCAAATCCTCCTCTAGCGCCGCCACGCCCACGATCGCCGCCAAAGCCACCTCTACCGCGAGGCGCAAAGCCGCCGCGTCCACGTGCAGCGCCGAAACCACCTCTTCCAGCGGGCTTCTTTACCTTAGAGGCGCCTGGGGCGGGCTTGGGCTTAGGCAGGAATCTGAAGAATATGTTAGATCTAAGTTGTAGAGAGTCTGGTGCGAGAAAACGTACCTCTCAAGGGGGAGGAGCTTGTCTCCGCCAATGTAGAACTTGTCGCCGTTCTTGAAGGAAGTAGCGACGATACCCTCCTGGGGCTTGATGGTGAAGTAGACCTGGTTGATGGGGCCAAGGATCTCGTCGACTTTGCCGACAGCGGTCTTGTTCTCAAGGTAGATGGGAGCGTTGAAGTAAGGGATCTTTACGTTGGTCGAAGTGCAGACCATCTCGCCCTCGGAAGCGTGCATGAAGGTGCCCATCTCGTAGACCTGGTCGGGAGGACCTTGGGGAGCGAAGCCGCCGCGACCTGCGTGAATCGAGATTGTTAGCCATGACTTGTCCTTGTTTCTTCCAGCATGGTGTTCCTCAATGCGTACCTCCTCGGAAGCCACCGCCACCTCCTCTGCTGAAGCCGCCGCCTCTAGAGCCTCCACGGAAAGACATGATTTGGCAAGTTTTTTTTTGTTCGGCTCGAGTTCGGATCCGTTCACGGTGCGCTGCGCGATTACCGGTGCGTTGATGACCAGAGAATTGAACGTATAATAGACAGCCGTCGGCGTAGAGACAGCAATCAATCAGGGAAGGTTGACGTTCGATTTGACCAGAGTGACACGGCGCGAGAATTGCGCAGGACCGAATGAAGCTTGAAATTTACGCCAAGCCACGAATTTTGGAGGGGACGGAAGTCGCCGCGCGCGCGCAGGTCGCTCCTGCCGCAGCTGCGCTAAACAGTCACCGAGTTGCGGTGTTGTAGCTAGCTGTGACTCTTTCTGTATATGCTGTCAAGCTGCTGTCGTTACAAGAGGCTCCCATTCTCCTCTGCTCCGACTCGCTGCTTCGCTCAATTTTCTAGGCCCAACAACCGTCCGGCCTTCTCCAATCACCACATCACCTCCGCCCGCACTTTTACAACTTTTTACCCCGCCGCCTGTAATCGCACAATGGACGCCGTCAAGGGAGCCGTCGAGGGCGTGAAGGATGCCGTCGAGGGTGTCAAGAACATGGCCGTCAGTGAGGCCCAGCTGCAACAATCTCAGCAGAAGAAGCAGCAAAAGAAGGACAAGAAGAAGGGTGCACAGGAAGATGGTGATGCTCGTCCCCTGGAAATGACCCCTCCCCCCTCATACATCGACGACCGCAACAAGATCTTCGACAGAGTCAAGGCCGAGTACGACCAATGGGTTGCCCAGCAGCCTCGCGACGACATCAATATCACCATGCCCGACGGTAAAGTCCTTGTTGGCAAGGCTTGGGAGACCTCCCCTGCTGAGATCACTCGCAACATCAGCAAGTCACTGTTCGAGCGCACCGTCATCTCAAAGGTTGATGACGAGTTGTGGGACATGGATCGTCCTCTGGAGAAGAGCTGCAAGCTGGAATTGCTCGACTTTGAACACCCCGAGGGAAAGAAGGTCTTCTGGCACTCGAGTGCTCACATTCTCGGTGAGGCTTGTGAGAGAAGATTTGGCTGCAGTTTGTGCATTGGTCCTCCTGTCGACGATGGTTTCTACTACGAGATGGCTCTTCCCAACCAGGAGCCCGTCCTGGAGTCCGACTGGAAGCCCCTGGAGAAGGTCGCCGAGAAGGCTATCAAGGAGAAGCAGACCTTTGAGCGTCTTACCCTAAAGAAGGAGGATTTGCTTGAGATGTTCAAGTACAACAAATACAAGCAGCACATCATCCAGGACAAGATTCCCAATGGCACCAGCACCACCGTCTACCGTTGCGGTCCCTTGATCGATCTGTGCAGAGGTCCTCATATCCCCCACAGTGGTAGAATCAAGGCTTTCCAAATCATGAAGGTCGGTCGTTGTATGCGCTAATATCCTTGAATCGCAAACTGACATTGCAACAGAACTCGGCCTCCTACTTCCTCGGTGATGCCAAGAACGACTCTCTTCAGCGTATCTACGGTGTTTCATTCCCCGACAAGGCCATGATGGTCGAGCACAAGAAGTACCTCGAGGAGGCTGCCAAGCGCGATCATCGCAAGATTGGTAAGGAGCAAGAGCTCTTCTTCTTCCACGACATGTCCCCTGGCTCCTGCTTCTTCCTTCCCCACGGCATGATCATCTACAACGCTCTCCAGAGCTTCCTCCGCAACGAGTACTGGAGCCGTGGCTACCAAGAGGTCATGTCTCCCAACATGTACAACTCTGCCCTGTGGAAGCAGTCTGGTCATTGGCAACACTACAAGGACGACATGTTCACCTTCGAGGTTGAGAAGGACCAGTGGGCCCTGAAGCCCATGAACTGCCCTGGTCACTGTCTGCTCTTCTCTCACCGTGAGCGCAGTTACAGAGAGCTGCCCATGAGAATTGCCGACTTTGGTGTTCTCCACCGTAACGAAGCCTCTGGTGCTCTCACCGGTCTCACCAGAGTCCGTCGTTTCCAGCAGGACGACACCCACATTTTCTGTACCGAGGACCAGGTCGAGTCTGAGATCCTTAGTCTCTTCGATTTCCTCCGCACCGTCTATGGCAAGTTCGGTTTCACCTTCAAGATGAAGCTTTCTACCCGTCCTGAGGGCCATCTTGGTGATGTTGCTACCTGGGATAAGGCCGAGGCTCAGCTCACCAAGGCTCTCGACCAGTTTGTCGCTGGAGGTGGTTCCCAGTGGGAGCTCAACCCTGGTGACGGTGCCTTCTACGGTCCCAAGATCGACATCACCATCTCTGACGCTCTCAAGCGTGAGTTCCAGTGCGCCACCATTCAGCTCGACTTCCAGCTTCCTCAGCAATTCAACCTCGAGTACCGTAGTGCCGAGGCTGGTGAAGCCAAGGTCAAGGGCGAGGAGGTCAAGGAAGCTCCTGTTCTCGAGCAGAAGCCTGTCGAGGGCGCTCCTCCCGCTGAGGGTGAGAAGGGCGAGAAGAGCGCGGCCAGCTACCGCCGTGAGTTGACTCCTGGTTGCCAGCGTCCGGTCATGATTCACCGTGCTATCTACGGTTCGTTCGAGCGTTTCATCGCCATTCTCACCGAGCACTTTGCCGGCAAGTGGCCATTCTGGCTCTCTCCCCGCCAGATTCTCATTGTCCCCGTGATGCCTGCCGTCAACGACTACGTCGAGGAGCTGCAGGCTTTGTTCCGCGGCAAGGGCATGCACGCTGACATTGATATTACCGGTAACACCATGCAAAAGAAGATCCGTACTGGTCAACTCGCCCAATACAACTTCATCTTCGTTGTCGGTGCTCAAGAGAAGGAGTCTCGCACTGTCAACATCAGAAACAGAGACGACCCTGCCACCCAGAAGCTGGGTGAGCTCATTCCTCTCGATGTCGCTGTCCAGAAGATGGAGGCTTTGAGAGATGAGAGAAAGCTCAAGACTGAGCTTTGAAGGGGCATTGCTAGAGAATCTAAGGCGTTGATACGGACACAAAAAGGATACCATCGCTGAGACCATTGTTTGGAGCGTGTTGTATCTATGATTGGTAGGTAGATTTACTATCAGACACAACTTTGTTTTTTACACCTCTTGTCCCCTTCTGTGTCTGGCCGTTGGTGAACCTCATCAACTCTGGCCTGAGTTGTGCGCGGTAACAAAGCCTGATCAAACGAGTTGATAGACACTGGCGAATGTAGTTTGACACTGACTGCATTTGTAGAAAGGTTTGGCCAAAGCTATCAACAATCTCTGCAGGGCTGTCAAAAGACATCAGGTTTCAGAAGCATAGATATCAATTCGAGTTGTCACTAGTGCTGAGATAGGGTCGTTTCTTGATGGATGTCTCAAAGACACTTTGTGGTAGAGGATTGGTCAACTACAGTTGGAAGCACCTTCCCTCTGCATCGCCCCCATCAAAGCCGCGACGCAGCGTCCTCGTCGCTTTCACATGTGTGTCTCAACACCCTACAAACGGAAAGTGCAACACGGCGTCATCCGCGTCTCCTTCTCACCTCTTCTTTATAAACCTTCATCTCAGCTTCTCTCCATCGACAGAACATCTACATCCTCTCTCAAGCATTCAAGCCAACCAGACTCAACATTCATCATCAACAACAACTGCCATCACTCATCTACCATCAACAACCAACAACTAACCAACCGCAAACATGAGCACCGACTTCGGACGCAAGGTTTGTCTCTTCTTCCATCAATCCATCATGCAAATCACTGACATTCATTCAGGATCTGTCTGACAAGGTTGGACTTTCGTCTATCTTCACTGCCGACGCACAATACTGACATGACTTTAGATCGAGGAGAAGGTCACCCCTCAGTCTGCCAAGGGCCCTCTCGACGTTACCAAGGAGCATGCCACTGGCCACGCCGACCACGTCGCCAGGTCTGTCATTCATCTTCTTCCATCGTCACGACACTTCTGACATTCATCACAGAGACCTCAAGACCGACGACCACAAGTCCACCGGCCAGTCCATCCACGACAAGGCCTCTCGCTTGACCAGCGGCACCTCCACCACTACTTCCACCGATGACCACAAGTCTGTCGTCGACAAGATCAAGGACGCTATTCCCGGCCTTCACAGCGACAAGCGCTCCGACGTTGCTGATGTCTTGGACCCCAACACCACCACCACTGCTACCGACGCCGTCAACAAGAACCTTTGATTCCATGACCCAGACATGGTCGGCCTGGAGTGGTTGATCCTCTGATGAACTAGCCCTATGAAGCAATGATTCTTTGATAGCATGGCGTGATGATATGATATCGGCGGATACCCTTTTGCTGCTTTATGTATCGAACCTGAGACAGAAATGACATACCTTTGATTCTTTCATTCATCCTCTTGCCTTCTGTGATTTGTCTTGTATTCCTTTGTGCCATTTCAATTGTATGTATGCTTGATAGAGCTCTTCTACCCTATGCTGCCAATCACTTTGCCGTCTTGGTGATACAGGCTACCCATCCTGGTCCGAGCATCATATCTGTTTAGCAAATGATTCCTGTTCTACTTCCCCAACATACAGAAGATGAAGGTGAAATGACGAGTCCACGTTACTGACCACAACCCCCAAACTCCCCTGATTTCCATCCTCGTCTCCTGCTCCTCCGACTCATCCCACTCACACCTTCTCCTTCCCAGCCCTCACAATCCTCTTCCTCTCCACCCACCATCCCACCCACGTCACCCCAACCAACACCGGAAAAACAAACATCTGCGGCTTCCCCTCTCCAAACTCTGGATCCGTCCAACCAGAACCCGGATACAAGATCCCCGATAAACTCGACAAGTACACCAAATTCTGCAACACCAAAACCCAACTCAAGTGAAGGGTCTGATGGGTTGGAGATGAGGTAGCAGGAAGAAGGAAGAAGAGGCAAAAGTAGGTGATGAGACCGGTAAAGAGGCCCAGGGACATTGTCTGGCCGTTGTGGTAGCGGGCGTGTGGGGGCCAGTTGGGGTTGTGGATGTGGGTTTTGCTGTTCGGAGAGAGTGTGTGAGAAAATGTAGAGTATCGGTTTTGATGAGCAGGGAAAGATGCAAGGGAGAGAGAGAAGAAAGGAGAGCAAAAGAAGAAAGCAGAGCAAGTGGTGGAAGAGATGGCGGAAGCTTACTTCCAATCTGCTAGGTATGGTCCAAACAGCGTTACTAGGTTTACGAGCGCGATGAGAGATTTTCCTGGTGTCAAGAGTGGGGATGTCGATTTTGCCATGGTGGTATAAGATGGTGTGTGTGGTTCTTGGGATAGATGTCTAGAGAGATAGAGCATAGAGTATCGGTATGGTTCTATAGCTAGGTACGCTTCAACGGAGATCTCGGGGCCGAGGCGGGGGTGTTTTGTCCGATGCGACAGACCTCACTCGCTGTTCTATGCAAACGACCCAATACTCCAACTTATAATCACTCTACTTCTCCTCTTCGTGATCAAAGGTTAGATAGACGAGATCAGGAGGAATCGAAAGGGGTAGAATCATAAAGTCGTTAAGGACAAAAAAGTCTAGTCCAACAAGGAAAACACCACCCAAGAAATATGAAAAAGTGATGTACTCGGACACCAACAAACAAAAATAAAAAGTCCTCCAAAGCATCTACCAAGAAAAACTCAAGCCTCTTAATCTTGAAAAGCATCCAACAGACTCGTCCTACCATCCACCCATAACTCTTCTTCCAGCACCAATACCAAGAACACCTGCCGTAGCTCTCCTCACACCCCACCCTCTAGCAAGCGACTGGAAAGCCAAAACATCCCTCTCCAAACACTCAATCCTTCTATCCAAAACACTTCTCCACGCTCTCTGCAAAACTACCGCAGCATCCACTTCCCTCTGTTTACTCGCCGCCATAGCCGCACATTCGTTGGCCGCCTTCATCTTCTGAATGCGCAGAGAAATAGTGCGACGAGCAAGGCGCAAACGATAGGCATTCTGGACGATACAAGCAGCTCTGTAGGTGCGAGCCAAAGGCAAAAGGCGAGAGGCAAGGAAAGCGAGGAGGGCGATTGTGTTGCTCCGGCTGGGAATGGTGGGTGCTTGGGACGCGAAGAGTGTGATGAAGGATTCGCTGCATCCTAGATTGCGAAGGCGGTCGGTTGTCGACATCGTCTTTGATGACTTTTTCGTTGACGAAGGGACATAGTCGGCGTAGGTCGAAATGATGGATGTCAGAGCGCGGCCATCGGTGAACGAAGTGGTCAAGTTGGTGACGATAACTTTGTGCTGTTGACAGACGCTTGCAGCCCACTCCTTGAGTAGAGGACCTTGCTCGTTTGTATCTGGCTGCTCTTCACTCAAGGCGTAATTTATTCCAACTGGCTGAGCTGAGTATTTTGAGAAGCGAAGAGTTTCTTTCTTGAGTTCGTCCCAGTCTACGAGGTATCCAAGTCCCCATCTGCTGACAAGTGCCCAAAGAAGGCTCAAGGTTTTCTCTCGGTGGCCATTGACGACATCATCGGCCTTGATCGTCTCAATGGCAGTGCCGGCGAGCCCACGAGCTCCAGTCAATGCACTCAGTGCAACCTGAACATTGTACATTTTTTGTACTTTGCTGTTACAAGGAAACTTGAGGTGCTGACTCAAGATTTGAGTTGTTGAGTCTGTGTTCAAAACGCTAGTAAGTGTTTCGCCGTCCGGGAGGCCAAGAGTGATAGTGCGATCAGATTGGTTATCCAAGTTTTGGGATGGGTACAATAAGAGTTCAACAAAGTGTGCGAGTAGAACACCGTCACGGAGGTCGACAGCGAGGTTATCGATGCAGTACGTGTACTCTTCCAATGGCTGTTGCACATGGCGAACTGAATATCCAAGATGTCCGAGAGGACGAGAGATATCTCCAACAGAAGGTACCATGAGCTTTGCAAATGCGCGGAGTACGTTGATGGAGGACTTGTGGGGAGAAGATGCTTGGAACAAACAGGTTGAAAGCTTTCCAGTGCTCTTTACTTGGTCAAGAAGATGAATAAGCATGAGGCCGCGTAGGACTGTTCTCTGCCAGAACCATTCGGGTGTACCGGGTTGTGTTGTTGAACCTTCGGAAAATTTGGCATCATGGGCAGTCAGTAGTTCAGCAGAGTCTTCGTGGTCAACGAAGAATGTCGAACAGAAGCGTTTCCATTCTTTGATACCAGTCGATGACGCAGCCCTCGATTGTGTATGGTCCGCAGCAGGAGTGATGACACGTCCAACCACCACTTCGGCAGCGGCCTGTAATGCTTCTGAATCATAAGTATGTCCAAAGAGGTCGAAGAACTGGCGGCGCAGGCCAATATCGTCCCTCAGTTTCGGTGATTGCGAAGTGTCTTTCGGCATGCTGAGCGCACCACAAGACAATGAAGCTTTTAGACGCTGGTGGAGTGTGGCAACAGATGCATCATGGTACAGTGTTAACATTCTACTGCGCAGAGCAGGCACATCGTTGGCGGCAGAAGACTCATGTGCTTGCTGGAAAACAACATTGACGAGTTGTGTCAAAGCAACCTCTTGATTCTGAAGCCAGTTGTCCTCATACAGCTCAGGCTGACCCAGGTCATCGCTGAGGACTGGATAACGTGATGCAGCAAGAAACACTGAGCGTTTGAGGTTTGGTAGGCTGATATCTCTTGGTGGAATGCTGCTCGAGACTGGTCGAGTATGCACATCCTTTGGAGCGAAAGTTTGCGAGACAGGTCTTGTTGATACCGGCTTACTGGCTGGCTTCGGAGGTGCGAGCGGCTTGTGCTTGAAGTCTCTCGAGAATGGATCCACGTTGGCTGGTCGGGGCATGACTTCATTGCGAACACTGGAACGTTCGTGGAGAGCTCTGGCTTGGATCTTTGGTTTCGGAGCATCTTTCAACTCTGGTGCAGGTCGCTTCTTAACCCCTGTCATCTGCTGCAAAGATGACTGTGATTTGCTGGTCCCTAGAGGTGCGGCCTTGCTCATTGATCTAACCAGAGACTTTTCACCCTTGGCATTTCGAGAGAGCAGAGCACCAGGAAGCACATTCTCCTTACCACCGCCAGTGCCCATAACGCTGTGTGACACATTGGGTTGGGATGGAGCAAGAGGTCGAAGAGCACTACGTTTCGAAACAGAAGCCATCTTCTGGGCCTGACGCATTGCACTGGCACCCAATCGTACGGGCTGTGGGGTTTCCTTCATAGGCGTGATGTCCAAATTGCTTGAAGGTAGACCAAGCGTCTCATCTTGCAGTGTGTGATCGTAGGCTCCAGGATGAATTGAGAGCAAGGTAGTGTCCTCCGGGATCCAGATAGTTCGTCTTCTATCCTCCTTGGTGGGCTTGTTTGTGCTGATGGTAGGCTTGAAGTTTGCGATATCACTACTGCTGCTCGTAGGAAGAGGAGCCGGCTTCTCATCTCTAGAACTCTGGATGCGAATCCTTTGAGCAGGTCTGGCATGAATGGCGCTGCTTCTCGTCATTCCAGCCGGTTCATCGCGTCTGTAAGCTTCGCGTTGGCTGTTGCTGCTCGCATCCTCAAAGATCGTAGTCGGAGCACGTCTAGGTTTTCTCGCCAGATTCTGAGTTCTACGTGGCGGAGCATTTTTGAATTCCTGCTGTACCAAGTGTGCAATGTTCTGGGTGGTATTGTCGTTGAACTGGTCAAAGGCATGGTCGAAAATGTTGTTTTGTTTACTTTGAAACGGCGACGCGTTTTCACGTCCGCTGTGGCTCGGTGCCGGACACGGTGTGCCAAACTCGTAATTGGACATGTTTGGATATGGACTCAGTACTGCATTGAAATGTTGGCTCTGAGATATCTGGGGCGGATCGGAATAGATGTCCTGCTGTCGAAGGCGGGAGTGGTGGTTTGCTAGGAGGTGGCTGGTGCAGCAGAATCAAGGTTTGGATTTGTGTTGTGGCGGGCAACGCAAAGAGCTCTTGGCGGCTGCCCTGCCTCGACCTCCACCTTTCCCATCATCCATCGTGCACATGTCCTTTGGCACTCGAGGCCTTTCCTACGAGATAAAAGTACAAGGGTGTAGCTTTGGGTCTGGTTTGACGTACATGTACGATATCAGCTTACCTGGACTATTGTCACAATTGATCAATATGTCTCTTCAAAGATCTCTATTGTACCTAACAGCCATTGTCCGACGGACATTTGACATCCTAGAACAACTTCGCCATGACCCGCCCTCTCAGAGTATCCGCTCCGGCCCCATCAGCTTCTCGCTCATTACGATAGTGCTCCGTCAAAGCATCAAAAAACTCGCAGCCCGATACGACATCAGTCTCCTTGCTACGCTGGAAGCGAGTACCTTTGACAACCTTCCAAACAAGACCAATCCCACCCGCCAAAGCAATAATACCATAGTTAAAGATAAAGGTAGCCACATCCCAATTGCCCTTCAAGAAGACAGCATATCCTTGGACCCAGAGAAATATCGATGCCCAGAAGAATGCCCAGTAAGCTGCATAAGGCTGCCAGCACGACAGGTGAGGTAGATATGTCTGCCGTTCAATGTTCTGAGCTTTGACAGCAGCATTGAATCGAATCCAGGTGGCAGACATGATGACCCAATTTAACATGGTCGCCGCGGTGCAGAAGTTGAGTATCCAGGACAAGACTTTGCTACTGCCTGAGCCCAGCGCAAGAAACGCAAGACAGGATAGCAACATGACGACTACGACAGCCATGTAAGGAACGCCATTCTTGTTCAGTTTGCGCAAGAATGCTGGAGCCTGCCTGTCAAGGGCCAGCGCATGGAGACTTCTGGAAGCGTTGAATGTGTATGCGTTGCCAGCTGAAATTACGCAGGTAATCAATGCCGCGTTGACGATAGCCGGCAGCACCGGGATATTCAGCCTCTGCATACTGATAACATAGGGTGAAGCTCCAGAATAGGTGTCGGAACCATTAGTCAAAGTGCCGTCGTTGGAAGGAACCAGTATGCCCACGCAGAGGGCGCCACCGATGAAGAAGATGATGAGGCGAGTGACGATCGTGTTAAAAGCACGAGAAACGGTGCGTCTTGGATCTACAGCTTCGCCGGCGATCATGGAGAGATACTCAGGTCCGCCCATGCAGAAGCCAGCAACATTCACCGAATTAATGAAAGACTCTAGTCGAGTGGCTGGGCTATCTCCAACCCAAGGGGTTGGCTCTTTCCAATATCGAAAGCCAAATCGACTACCAATCTGTGTTAGCGAGACTGCCGAACGGGAGGCGACATCACTCACTCGTGCAATGGGTTACCACCGAGCATGACAACGAACGTATAGAGTATGAGTCCAGTAGCCAGCAAAATCTTTCCTAGCGCTAACCAAAACTCAGCCTCTCCGAACAGGTCCGCTCGGTATACGTTGAGTGCCAGATAGAAGAGCAGTGAGACAGATATCAGTATGGCTGGAGACTGGTCATATCCCCAGTATGAGACCAGAGTGTTGATGATGGTCGCCTCAAAGATCACATACGATGTCTGGGCGAAGAAGAGATTCCAGCCTGCGGTCACCCCAAGAGCCGGGTCAACCATGCGACCAGCTAAACGGATGTAGGAGCCATCGAGTGGAAACAGAGTGACGATCTCGATCTGGCATTGAGCTACCGAGAAGACGACGGTGGCCCAGAACACGAAGCCAACGAGCAAGCATAGGGGACCAGAAGACACACCGGAACCTATAGCGACGAAGAGTGCACTATCGACAGTGTCAGAAACATGTCATGTGATACTGGTACTGGGGACCTACGCTCCAATTGATCCAGCAATAGCCGTGAATTGCAGTTGTCTTGGATTAAGCCGGCGGTGATTCACAGCTTGTCGGACAGCAGAGTCAAGGTCCGACTCCTCGGTAACGTCTCCCTGCTCGAGTCAGCTGCGTAGTACAATCTAGCAAGAGTATGCAATGCATACCACAATGACTTGTCCGACATCTAGTGAAGGCTTCGAAACTTCAGGTGTGTCTTGCTTGTAGTGGTCCTGTGTGTCGTTTCGAGTATAGCTTGGCCGGTTCATTGCGTACCTGTGCTTGGGAAGAGTGCTGAGTGTTTGGAAGAAAAGTTGCCCGACTTCTACTGATGTTATATAGTACGTGACCACCATCCAGCCGAGATCCTCACGCGACCCTGGGGGCGTCTTGTGGTGGCTTGTATCGGGACGATAGCCATATCATGCTCAATCAAGCCAGACATATCTTCCAGACTTCCTGCTTTGATGGCAGACGATGTACGAGTGGGACGGACAAAGATAAGCTGTGCATGCTCAAGGAACAGGAACCTTGAGCAGAAGAAAGACTCCTCATTGGACTGTCGTCCGTAGTCTTGGGTTCTGATAAGCCATTCTTGCATCCAGCCCGTGGTGATTTGATCCTACGAGATGATAAAGGCATGTTTGAGTGTCTGACATGGAAAAGGATGTATCAGTTGGAGGCAGATCAAGTTGAACTGCAGGAAGGTACAAGCGTGAGGGTGCGGGGGTTGTGCAGATTGAAGGTCGAAGCGCAGTCGGGTAGCATCGGTACAGCCTGAACGAGGGTGGTGATAGTCGGGACTTCCTCTTCGAGTAACTATATCGTCCAATTGATGTTGGTGTTCTGAGATATGTAGATAACCAGTCAATCTAGTCAGGCGAGCATGACCTGGCACGCAGCGCATGATAAAGGCATGGCTCTCACTCTACAGAATGTCCTCCTTCTTTGCAGAACGTTGTTATTCAGCTCAGCAAGTTAATCGCTCCAACCATGTCGCCATCTCTTGTACGAATCGATGCCGCTGAGTCTCTTGAAAATATTCTAGGCGTTATTGAACGAGATGGAGGTGTGATAGTCACCAACTTCCTGTCCCCAGAAGTGCTGAAAGAGTCGATGGATGCCAGTAAGTTCGACTTGCAGCCCCACTCGATGTATAATAACAACCATCAGTCGAGCCTCACTTTTCCGGCCGCAAGCTGTATGACTCCAAAGCCACTCACGAAGAGCTTGGAGCAGACTTCTTCCCAGAAGGATCCCAACGGGTCTACGTAAGTCTTTCCATGCGTGTGCCGTATCTCAATACTCACAACTGTAGGGACTGCTGGCCAAAATGCCAGATCAATTGACCAAAATCATGCGTCTTCCAGTCTGGCAGGGTATTATGGCACACTTCTTGAACGATGAATTTGCTTCTTACACAGGAGAAACACTCGTGCCTCAGAAAAGTGGATATATGCTGGCGTCAACTGCAGCTTTGCGCTTGGTACCGGGTTCCAAGCCTCAACCACTACATCGAGTAAGTGCATGATCGTAGTATGGTCTGTTGCTGCCCTCTAACACGGTCTTAACAGGACCAAATTGCGTACCAGATCAGACCTGATCCCAACAATCCTCTGTTCACACCGATGGTTGGATGCTTGATCGCAGGATCGAGATGTACTTTCAAGAATGGAGTAAGTTAAACCACTTGCTCTGTGTCAATGATATCTAATATTCGTTTCCAGGCTACTGCTGTCATCCCTGGCAGCCATCTGTGGGGAACAGATCGTGCTCCCAAGGTAGATGAGGTGACATTTGCCGAGATGGAGCCTGGTTCAGCTCTTTTCACGCTTGGTTGTGAGTACAACTCCGTTGAGAATCAGGGCGGAGACATGCTAAATGATTCTGTTGCAGCAACATACCACGGTGCCGGAGAGAACAAATGCGAAAAGGACGATCCCGACGCTTTGCGGACCCTGTTCGCAGTCTTCGGGTAAGTACACATGGCAAGACCCCAGTGACTAGGAAGTCTTTTAGCTGACGCGATACAGGCAGAGAGACTACTTCCGTCAAGACCAGGATGAGGCCATCTCGACCCCGGTTGAGATCGCTCGCAAATTACCAGAAGATATTCTCAGACTGTCAGGATATTACAAATCTGTTGGTGGCGTCGGATATGTCGAGGATCACCAGCATCCTGTTGACTTCCTGCAAAGCAATGATACCGGTATCGGAAAGTATGGTACTGCTATGCACGTGGCAATCTAGACAGCGCAGCAGATGAGCTTTAGCCGACACTGAGTGAATGGGCTGGAAGCACACGTCAACTCCGTGGTCGATATTCTTGACTGTGGATAACTTGAAGAATCGATATCGTAATTCATAAAAAGGTCTAGACAGATGCATATGCAAGCAATGGATAAGACGCCTCTTGAAGCAAACACCCGAGAATGTGAGAAGCAGAAACAAGAGCGACTTGCAACATTCGGACCAACGAAACATACCCATAACAACGTGAAAAACAAAGCAATGAGAAATACGAAATGAGTTACTCAGAGCGGCATCATGCCAATCCCACTAGAAGTGCCACCACTCCCACCACTCTTCTTAGACGGACCAGCGCCACTGTTGTACGTAAACTTGGAGGCAATACCACTTTGTTTCTTCGCGGCCGGCGCACGTTTCTTGACCGCTCCTCCAGCAGCAGACTTGCCTTTGGGGTAGCTTGGTCGACGCGGAGCTCCTTTTTTACCACTCCACCTGGCGCCACCAGACTCGGCACGAGCACGCTTGTTGGTTGGGGGCACAGCTGCTCGTGGAGCTGCTTGTGATTGTGAGAACCTGGCGTTGAACGCTTCGACCTCGCGATTAGGCTGGAAATATGAAGACTTTTCTTGACTTGCGGCTTCGGGGTCAGAGTCGTATGCATACTCGTCGTCATTGTCTTCATCGTCGCTGTCGATGTAGATAGCAGTGACGTGATTGGGATCGTATGGTACGTCCTCAGAAGCTTGCATCATGGTATCAAGCTGCTTCTTGTACTGCGCAATCAGAGGAAGCAGACTTGCCCCGTGACAATCAACCTTCATGTGGTCGATACCACGAATACTCTTCATGGATACCAGGTTCTTGGGGAATTTGATAGCCATCTCACGTAGCATGGTATCCGAAAATGGTTGTTGACGCAAGTTTTTCTTCTTCATGATCGCCAGCATTTGGTCTTTGGCTTCTTGGACGAATGACGCGAGCACGTCCTGGTGGACTTCGTCCAAATTGTGAATGGCCTCATCCCTAGTGATCGGAGCACCAAGCTCCCTCTGGTTCCGAGAGCGAACTTTCGCGTCGGTTCGAAGAGGCTCGAAGCAATCATCCTCGTCTTCTGATTCAGCGTAATCATCGTCCTCGTCGGGATCGTCGACGATGAAAGTGTCACGTTCGTAGCCATTGTACGTAAGCCCGCCACGCTTGTGGCTTGGACCCGCTTGGACGGGTGAGGAGATGTTTGTCGAAGGATACTGCTGGCCTTTCTTGGCCGCTTTGGAGCCCTTGACGCCAGTGCCTGTCGCAACCTTTGGCTTGCGTTTAGTGCCCTTTCCAGCTGATGCCGGAACGTGAAGCATCAACTTCTGCTTGCCACGGCCATGACCAAACATGTGTCTCTTTGGTCCAAGACCAAGATATTGATTGGCGAACTTCGACTTGTTGAAGACAGAGAATTCGCGAATAACATCCTCAGCCAGTAGGAGACCGAAAAGACGATCAACGTTCTCTCGGTCAAGGTCTTTGCCTGCTCCAAAGTTCTCGGCTTCTTTGTCTTGATCGCTGATACCGCGACCAGTGCCACGGAATAGATCAAGACACTGGTGTAGAGTAACGTTGCGAGCAGAAGCGATCTCCTTGACAAGCTCAACAGCGGCAAGTCCTAGCTCAGTGTAATCTTCTTCGACCATTTCCTCAGTTGTGTTGCAATTGTCGCAGGCGTTGTTACAATCTTCCTTCGCGAAACTCTCGGCAAAGTAAGCAAGAACCTGAACGCGGCGACAGTCTGTCTTGTTCAAGCAGAATTGCACAACTCTGCGAAGCATGTCGTGCTGACGGTCTTTCTGCTCCTTGCTGCCGTCCTGGTTTTCATCGATCATCTTGCGCAGCGTGAACAAGTCGTGGGTGCCATAGAACAGGTAACAATCAGATGCTGCGCCATCACGTCCAGCGCGGCCAGTCTCTTGGTAGTAACCCTCGAGACTCTTGGGAATCGTGTGGTGGATGACGAAGCGGACATCTGGCTTGTCGATACCCATACCAAACGCGATGGTCGCGACAATCACTTTGGTCTCGCCTCGCTGCCAATCCCTCTGGACTTTACTTTTGTCTTCGGCTTCCATGCCAGCATGATAATGATGAGCTTTGACACGGCGTTTACAAAGCTCTGCGGCGACGTCTTCGCATTGTTTTCTCGAAAGGCAGTATATGATACCACACTCGTTCCGATGTTCTTCCTCAATAATCTCCTGGATTTTGTCAAGCAATGCTGACTTCTTTGGCTTGTTATAGACATAGTACTTCAGGTTTGGACGGTTGAAACTTTGCGAGAAGACTTCACATCCATTAATGCCGAGATTGCCAATTGTGTCGACCTTGACATTCTCCGTCGCAGTGGCTGTGAGGGCCATTATAGGCACACCGGGATAATCTGTTAAGACCATACCGAGCTCCTTGTAATCGGGGCGAAAATCGTGTCCCCATTGACTGACGCAGTGTGCTTCGTCGATGACAATCCTCGCAAGCTTTTCTCTGCGATGCAGATCTCTGAAGGCTGTTTTCATCATACCGCTCTTGTTCAACATTTCTGGAGTAACGTAGAGCAGCTGAACGAATTCCTGTACATTCGGTTTGGTGAAAGTGCTCGTGATCTCCCTGCGTTCGTCCATCGTTGTACTACCAGTGAGTGAGAAGGCCTGAATGTTGCGGGCTCTCAGGTGTGAGACTTGGTCTTCCATCAAACTCAACAGTGGCGATACAACAACAGTAACGCCCGACGTCTTTCCTGATTTGACTATTGCTGGTAATTGGTAGCAAAGGGATTTACCACCTCCGGTTGGCATAAGCACGAAGACGTGTCTGCCAGCGAGTGTAGCATTGATCGCGTTGGCTTGATTCAAGCGGAAACCAGGCAGCATGAATCTGCTTACAAGAGCTCTCTTGACTTCTTTGGTCCACGGGAAATTCCCAAGTTCCTCGTCGAGCGTCCTTGGTTTCTTGGCAGGCGTGGTCTTCTTTGGTCGGGACTTGGTAGCATTTGATGTCTGACCGATCGCGAAGCGTTCGTTGGATTGATGAGACGCGCCGTTGAAAGTGGAGTGATCCTCAAACTCAGTTGCGAGCTCCATAAGATCTTCGTCATCCCCAAACTCATCATCGTAATCTTCTTCAACAATCTGCGCTGGAGGTGTGCCCATGATGTTGCTGAAGACGCTTTCATCCTCTACTTCGAACTCGTCGAACTCGTCGGGCACTCCGTAGTTCTCCTTTTCACTGTATCTGTGAGGTTGTGCAAAATCTCTGGTAGAAGTCGTCGGTTTTGTTGAACCTTGTCGGCTGGTTGAAGCCGTGTTGTTTCGCCTTGATGGAGAGAGAGGAGCATTGTAGCTGTTGGCTGGGGGAGCCTTTCTTTCGGTAAAGTGACGAGGCGGACTAATCTCCATCACGCTGGGATCCTCAACGTCTGGTTCGGGCTTGATCCTTCTTGCTGGCCTAGGTGGAGTATCCTCGACACCAGGGAAAGTTTCGATATTCCTGCCATTGGGTAGCTGAGTTTGCTTGATTCTGTCGAGACCAGGACTTCGCAGGACCTCAGTCTTTGCCCTGGGTGCCGCCTGAGTTGACTTCACCACAACAGCAGCAGGCTTTTGGAAAGTGGACATGAGACCGGCAGACTCAAGACTTTGGAGATGCGGTAGGATGTCAGTATGTGTATCGCGGATACGTTGCTTGAGCTGTTTCATGTCCTGCTGTTCTTTGGTAGGTTTTTGTCGAGCGAGGATCGCTTTTCTCACAAGACCTGAGATGCTCTTCATCTCAAAGTCTAGGGCATCGAGTCTGTCTTTGGAGCTCTTTAGGCTTTTCAAGACTTCTTCAATCTCCCCTGCCTGCTCAAGGGCTTTGGAAATATGAGCGGGTACGTCGTCGAGGTCGAGAGACTCCATAGCCATCATATATTCGTCGGTAGCTTGTGCATGACGTTCGCCAGCTTCGGCCAGCTTCGATTCGAAGTCTTCTTGGGTCCATGACAGGAACTTGTTGATAAGAGCATCTTCGCTCGAAGAAAGCGGCGCAAGTCCAGGAGATTGCGAGCCAAGGGCAGGCGATTCAGCTACACGACTTAGCGCTGGGGTTCGTAGTGGCTTCGTTGGTGACATGGTCGGTTGCTTGGACTTGACGGGTGAAGGGAGTCGCGGTTCAGCTACACTCTCGTGGACATCTTCCATGTCCTCATCTTCACTATCCAGTACCTGGCGTTTGACTCGGTTTCCTTGTTGTGGAGGTCCCATAGTGGAACTTGATGACGGTATGGGCGCAATGACAGGGCGCTTAGCCGGCGATTGGGCGACTGTCGAGTAGGGAGGTGGCGGACCGATTGGTTCATCGTCTACCAAGTCATCAATAGACATAAAACTGTCGTCGTCATCGTCAGGTTGCTGAATTGTCTCCAGTCGGGGAGCTTTGGAGGTTGAGCGGTTGTGGATATCGGTCCTGTGTTCATCGCTCTTTCTTTTCTGACCTTTCAGTTGCGAAAACAGTCTAGCCGGTGTAGGCAAAGCGTCTTCTGTCAGGTCGAGAGTATCAACCTTAGGAGGCAATGCAGGCGTTGTTCGAGGCATTCTGGTGGAGGGAACAGTGGTACCTGGGGCTGGTGACTGAGCGTACGAACTGAGTCGATTGGACAAATTGGAGATAGCCGGCCGAGTGGACGATTGGGACGATCTCTCGGGCAGAGAAAGCTGGACAGGCTTGGTAGGAGAGGATGAGGCAGCGGCTCTTAGCCTTGCCATGTTCGCACTGGGTTCGCCACGCGGGGGTGACCTCGATCTTTCTGGCTCGACTGCAATGGGTCTGATTGATGAACGCGTTGTTTGAATGGACGGGCGTGTCAGCAGCGAGTTGACATTCCCGGGAATGCTTTGCGATAGCTGTGTCTGCGAAGAAGGTCCTAGAGAAAGAGGTACCGGCGGTAGCGATGGCAAGTGTTTGGGTATACACGGTTTTTCCTGTAGCAACCATCCAAGCTGCTCGCGGAGGTTGTTCTTAGTCATTGAGCATCACGAATACCGCTGTCGTATGTCTTGCTCGGTCGACATAGACTGCTTTCCCTCGAGTGGCGCCTGCTTCGTACCAAATCAATTCGTGTGGAATCTCGAATCGCGACGGACGCGACTGCCCGCGACCCTACGCGATCTCACGTGCCAGACGCTAACCGCATCGAGTTCACTTCTTGGCGCTTTTCCCTTTGTCGAATGTCTCACCCTGTTCGTATCTTTGACTCTGTCGCGACGTTATTCCTCATCACACATGATATCTAGAGTTGTTTAATACAAGAAGACTGCCTCTTTGGTATCGGCTTGTAATTGCTAGTGATCTGGTTGCACACGTTCGACACGCCAGAAGCAACATGAGAGCATGGAGATCATAAAGGTAACACTTTCTGATCATTGGGTTCGAGCACGCACTGATCCTAATAATTTGACAGATCCAACTTCGTCTGCTCTATTGGTCCCTCGGTCTAGCGATCGACTTTCACAAGCGCAATGTGTTGGCTCTGTTACTTTGTACTCTTGTGTTCATCCTAAGCGCGTTTTGCGTGCAGTTTATCCGCGACCGGACAATTGCTCTGATGGTGCTGGCGGGCCCAATTGCGTCGGCAATGTTTTCATGTCTCGAAATCACTTGGGATTTGGAGAAAGACCAGAGAGTATCGAAGGATTAATTGTGCTGCAGACAATCCAATAGAGGTCGTGCTACTGTAGAGCGGTAGAACTTATAAGTTTCGCTCGATGCTTTCTGTTTCTTGAATGAACTGTGCATTTGTATGGCCACAAAAGTGATTTGTGAGAGCGCCGTGGAAACTCGAAGCCGGTTCAGGGCTCACGCTTCGCTTGCGCATCCTGAAGCAGCAGGAGCCAGCCGGTCAGCCACCCAATTTGTTAGCGTCTCCAGCACTTTGCAATGGAACAATTGCAGTGACTCAGGGAAGATAGAGAGAAGGATCGTCTTCTGTATCACTTACTCAGAAACAAATCAACTCTAAATTTTCCTTCTCAGCATCAACGCTTCGTCAAAGACATTACTCATCACATTTCAACTCCCTGTCACGGCATAGTTTCTTACTACGCTTCATTGTAGGCACCAGCGAAACTCTTACAACCACAATGGACTCAGAAGAATCAGCAAAATCTCCCAATGTATTGCCCGACATTACACTCATACGCCGAGCAGAAGAGACGCTTCACAGGCATGTCCCTGAGGTCGGTCTCGGCTTAGATGCTGTCAAAGAACATCTGACCAAGGACGTGGCTCCTGCTCTCAACGGAAGCAGCCAATCGTCTCGCTACTATGGCTTTGTTACTGGAGGTGCAACTCCTGCTGCCGTCTTCGCCGACAATATGGTCACCGAGTACGATCAAAACGTCCAGGTTCATCTTCCCAACGAAACCATAGCTACAGACGTGGAAGCCGCCGCCTTGACCATGATCTGTGACCTGGTAGAACTTGATCCGACACAATGGACTCACAGGACTTTCACCACAGGAGCTACTGCCGCCAACATTATAGGTCTTGCTGTTGCCCGTGAGCATGTTATGAGCACTGCTGCAATGCGTAATGGTAGAGATCCAAGGGAAGCCCATCCGACAGTCTCATCTCACGGTCTTCATACTGCTATGGCATACGCTGGCATTGATGAAATCCAGATCCTGACCTCCGCACCTCACAGCTCTCTAAGGAAGGCCGCCTCTATCATTGGTCTCGGACATGCCAGTGTCAAAGATGTGGGCCATTACCCTACCGGACCTCATCGTTTTGATCTGGAAAAGTTGGAGCAAGCAATGAAGAAAAGCAGAGTTGCTTCGATCATTGTAGTATCTTGCTCTGAGGTTAACAGTGGCCTTTTCGCTACCTTTACTCATAATATGATCCGTCTTCGTCAGCTGGCTGATCAATTCGGTGCCTGGATACATGTAGATGCAGCGTTCGGTCTACTTGCCCGCATTCTTCCAGATAATGACCCGATGTACAGATTCCAGAAAGCCGGTGTTGGAAACCTTGAATACGCAGACTCGATAGCCGCGGATGCACACAAGCTTTTCAATGTACCCTATGACTGTGGGATCTTTCTCTCTCGTCATTTGAAGACAGGCACCGACGTTTTCCAAAATCCAGGTAAGTGCGGCAGAGATAGCATCAGTCGAGAGCAGAGCATCGCTGAAGTATAAGTTCGTTTGCAAGTCAGTCATGCTGATTATGATATCGCACTATAGGCGCACCATACTTGAATGCCGAGGCTGGGTCCGTACCGTCGCCTCTCAATATCGGCATCGAAAATTCAAGACGCTTCAGAGCTCTACCCGTGTATGCCAATCTACTTGCTCTCGGACGACAGGGCTTCGTAGATATGCTCAAACGTCAGATCAAGCTCGCTCGTAAGATTGCTGAATACATCAACACAAGCGATGATTACGAGCTGCTGCCACCCTACCCTCACTCAGAGATAGGGTGTTATTTGACCATTTACATTATCGTCTTGTTCAGACTCAAGAACCCCGAGGCAAACAAGACTCTAGTTCAAAGAATCAACAGCTCGGGCAAGATATATGTTTCGGGGACAGCCTGGGAGTCTCAGCCAGCTTGCAGGTTCGCAATCTCAAACTGGAAGTCTAGCGTTGAAAAAGATTGGCCGTTGATCGAGACGATATTGAAGCAAGCTGCTGTCGGCTTCGACTAGTGGTCAAGCAGCATAACGAGCGAAGAGAGCAGCGAGAGCCGCGAGAGGGTACATACAACTCCGAGTGATCAGAGTCAGAAACGTCACAACTGCAGTCCTACTCGCAAGCTTGATTGCCATATGCAATGGAAGGTATGAAGGTTGTCAGAGGTAATCAAAATTTGAGCTGTTCCGCTGGAAGGGCTGAAGGCATTCGTTCTGAATCACTCCTCCTCTGTATCAGTTGGGAGCTATGCATATGTATTTATCATTAGCATTCCTCTCACGTCTTCCAATCCATCTCGTCTCGTGTTGTCTGGTTTTCTCCATCTCACAACATTCTCTCTTGCAGTCTTCTCTCCTTCAGCACCTCAAGCCCTCCACCACCAACCCTCCCTATTACCCTTTCTCTTACCATTACCACGATGCTCATTGTTGACTTGGTATCCAGGGCCACCATTAACTTCACCACCATTCACCTCGCCACTGTTTCTTCTCGTGTTTCTACCAGTGTTTCCATGTATAGCTCTGCCGCTGTCATCAGAGTCTTTGCGGAAATCCTCACAAGAGCAGGTTGAGTGATGGTTATGACAGCAGTCGTGGGGAGAAGAGCGAGGGTGTTTGTCGATGATGTAGTACCAACGTTTCGTGGTTGATGTTGATTTGGAGTTGAGGTGGGAGATCTGTAATTCGAAACAAGTCAGCTTGTATCCTTATAGGCAGTGGAAGCTTCAGAAGATGGAAGAAAAGAGAGGCTATCTGAGAAGAAGAAAAGAGGAGAGGAAAAAGAGCAAAGTAGAGCGCATAGAACAAGGCGGGTAGGTAGATGGGAAAGAACAAACTGCCACACAAAGAATGGTAGCATGTTGGAAGAGCGGAGGTAAGTCTCATAAGACTGTTGTATATAAGATTGTCATTACAAGCACCCTTTGCTGTCTGTCCTGGCTCATATGCGAAGAGGACACTGAATAGTGTATCTTTCTGTATGTGAGACCAAGGATGTTAAGCAGAGGGCGCAGGTGTCGTATGTATATAGTATATAGAACCTTTTTCGTTAGATATATGCCTGCGTATCCTCATCCCGGTGACCCTTGCTCACCGGTGCTCGATACTAAGCCATAAGTCTCGTAAGACCGTAGTTTGCAACCAAACAAGACCAAAACAACAACAGAGAAAAGCAGAAGGGAAAAGGAAGAAAACGAGAATAAGGCAAGAAGAAAGGGGTTATTACATCCAAAGAAAAGCAAAAACAAACTTCGAAGCAAAAAAAAAAACAAGAAAAAAGAGCAGAAAAAAAGAAACAATCAATCATAAAAACCACGCTTGTTATTCACCTGAGCAGCCATAACCATCATCCAGACCAAAAACACCAGACCGATGATCCAGAAGGCGAATGCAGCATCCCATTGCGAGCAAATGGAATTTTGCTCTAACCAGGCTAGGGTATCGATGGAGACGCCGCGGATGTTGTTGTTGTTGACGTAGCGGTTGCAGTAGGAGTTTACGTTGCCCTGTTTGCGCCCAGGTCAGACTTTGCTTGAGTTGGAGGAGGAGAAGCAGAGGGGAAAGAGGAGGAAGATGAAGGTGAGAGGGAGAAGGATGCAAAAACTCACGTTTCCAAACAACTGAATAGCCGTCTCGATCAGACCAGCCAGGAACAGCGCAATCAAGATGAACGTGCCCAGCATGACCCACGCAGGCTGCAACTTCTTCTGCGCCAGCAATATGATCATGAGAATCACAAAGAAGAGGGTGAGTGAGCCCACGGTAACGGCGTAGGGGAATAGCCTTTTAACACCGAAATTAGCACAATGCCACGATCGAGTTGCGCTTCCCGAGGGGAAATAGAAAACTCACCAAGGCGTTCCCAATCCCATTCTGCTCTGGATACTCATGAAATCGCCAAACACACCGGTGAGCAGGCCGCCGGTGGCTAGCATGACGATGGTCCACCAATTGAGTAGATTTTCGGGCCAGGGGTAGCGGCGTATGACGCTGATGCGTTCTCTGGATACTGTGGTTTCTGTGCGCGCCATGATTGATACGTTATGCAGGTTCCTTGATTCAACGGTGAGGGCCTCAAGGAAGTCCGATAATTTGTTGTCGACGAGTGCGGTGGAGGGTGAGGAGAAAAGGTTGGTGAGTGGGTGAGTTGTGCAGTGAGAGCGCGTTTTTTCGAGCTCAGAGTGAGGAATCCAGAGATTGGTGTGCCCTTCACAATTCGCTAAAACTCCTTCACTTTGTGGAAGATTGTAATCCGCAAGATGCTCCTTCGCTGCTGCCCGAAGTTGTGAGGCACGAAAACTAAACACCAAATTGTTGTCTTGTCGTCTTTGAGCTTTCGGATAGAATGTGTCGTCCTCGTCAGATGGAGATGTTGTTTGCACACCGCAAACTAAAGACAGAACGGCTATCTCAAATTCCCGTTAGGATGAACGTTGAAGAGATCAAAGCGTGTTTGTGACGATTGATGGTGGGTGATATCCTTGGCAAAGCGACTTCCAGAGGTGGCTGGCTGGTTGGCGGGGTTGCAGGTCAGACACAGAAAAAGTCCAGTTCTGAGCCAGCCAAGTATAATTTCTTGGGTGATGGGATATCCAGAGCTATGGGTGCTGCAGGTCTCAGAGAGCCTCAAGGTGGAGAGTCAGAAAGAAATGCAGGTACGCAGGAGGAAAGCAGAAAGAGATGCAGGTGTGGAACGGGAAAACCTGCTTGCGTGGGATGCGCGGGAGAGGCTGGGAGATGGCAGGGTCGTGAGGGAGCACAGCCAGCATCTGGCGTACAGAGATGTGGTCTTCCACGTCAGAACTGCTCATACAACATCTCTGCAATGACCAGCTGATTCTCTAGATTGGGAGATCTGGTTGTTTGATCTTTTCGATTTTGCTCTAATGGGTTCGTTTTGTCTTCGTTTCCTGTACACGCAAAATTCCCATCTCCTTCGCTATAATCTTACAAAAGCCATTCATCTCATCTGGCTAAATGACAAAACACTCATGTCGCTCCCCCTTCATCGTAACAGAGCCACCTTTTTAGGAAAATCGCCATGAACTCCTGCAAAACATGTGACAAGAAAAGAAAAAGCAGATCTCCAGTGTCCATGCGCGACCTTCCTATTGGATCAAGTAGCCGCCGATGTAGAGTAGAGGTCCTTGAGAAACCAGAGCGTAGTGGGAAATGCAAGCGCTTCAGTCGTCCAAAGGAAGTTGGCTCCGAAGTGCTCGAGGGACCTTGTATGCCTTGTTCGTCTCATCACAGCCGTTACGCAACTCCAAAGAACATCAACGCCTTCTCTTGCGGAACCAGAAGTGGTAGTCGAATCGATAAATCCACCAGAGCACGACGAACGAGACGGGAAATCACCAGACGCTGAAGAGTCGAAAATGGAGTTCGGTCAAGTTCATTTGGCTTCCTCGGCGCGGATGAAGTATGCCTTGGCGACCTCGTAGGCAGACCTGTAGAGTCAAAGTCAGCAAATGTCAGTTGCGCGTGTTGGAGACAAAAAAACCTACCAGCAAATAGCAGTGCTGGGTGCAGCAGTGACAACTCTAGCCTTCATACCCCTGAAGAAACCCTTTGCGCCATCTCTTCTCGCGATAATACCAGCAGCGTCGAACAAGCCCTTGGCGCCTCTGATCTCGGCATCGGTGGAGCTACCTCTGGTTTGCAACAAAGTCTTGATAACGTCGAGAGGTGTGGTGGCAGCAGCGGCGATACCTCCAGCAAGACCACCAGCAGTGCAGTGAGTCAACGGGTCGTAGCCGTCGCGGCGGTGCATGGCTTTTGTGATAGATTCGTAAGCGGTGAATTGGAGGGCGGTGAAGGGGACGGTCATGGCGAGGGTGGTGGGGTACGAGACGTAGAAGGCGCGGAGACCCTCGTTGCGGAAGACGGAGCGTGCGCATTGGGTGATTGATGTGTAGACACTTCCGTGTACTTGCATGCGCTGCTTGATAACTGTCAATCGCATTAGTTGAATGTCATGAAAATCGAGTCGGACAGTCGCGTACCGTCAAAGGGGTTCATAAAGGCATCGCTGGCAATTGTTGCACAGGCACCGCTGGTTGCTGTGAATTTTGTCAGCCTTCGACCGAGCAGAGCCGCAGAAGTGTCCAAATCTCACCGGCTGCCAGAGGGTGGTGGCCTGCTGCGTTTCCACCCATCTGCTGCTTGACAACCTCGTATGTAGCGAAGTAGACGGCGTGCGCGGGTCCGGCGCCGACAATCACACTCGACAATCCCCTCCATAATGACAAGTAGCCCTCGGCTCGTGAAATGGTAGCGATGGCGTTTCCAAGTCCGGTGTAGATGGCCGCGGGCGTCGGGCTCATGACTTGCATTCGTGTCTGGAAACGCAGAGTCAGTATGTCGTCCCTATCTTGATAGCAAGCGAATGCCTCAACACACCTTCAACAAGTCAATGGGGTACATGACCGAGTGTTCGGCGACACCGGCAAAGGCACCGGCTGCCATGTTGGCCGCCAGACTGAAGTTGGGCGGCAGGCCCTCGTAGCTGTAGTGGCATCCTCGTCAACTGGATTGTTCTCGTCGCAAGGCAATTCGCATAGGCTCACTCGTATTCATCCTCCTCCTCGTGGAGGACCATTTTCTCTTGCACGGACATGTGTCCGACTGTAGGGGCAAGAGTCTGGGAATCCAGGATGGGCGTGTCGCGGAAAAGAAGAGAGAGAGAGAGGGGCGTTTATGCGCGCGGAGCAGCTTCTATGTCTAGTGTGTATGCGGCAAAACCGGTGACCGTGTGGAAGCTTTGCAAAAGGTTACCAGTGGTGACGCGCCGATATTTGTAAAAGGTCGACAGGAGAATCCGGAGTCGTCAATCGTCGAGAAGATGCTTTTCCTTGCCGTTGGTCTATTCGGCCGCGAGACGTATATCGCTGCTGTTGTTTAGGATGGGAAACAAAAGAGACCTTTGTGCCGTTTCTCTGTCTACAGGAAAAAGATGGCAGCCCGCAAGCAATGCCCTATGCATGTTCAATACTCATGGCATTTGCCGTATGACGATCGGTGCTCTCAGCGGCCTCTTGAAGCCTCGGGACGTCGTGGGCCGGGAAACCTTCTTTGGCACTTCTAGAGAACGACGAGCCACATCTCCGCGCTGGCTGCCATGGCATTTGTCTTTGACTTGTCAAACCGAGAGCCACCTCCGAGCCTTTTGTCCATGATGACCACCTGTCCCAACACCGTTCCTTCTTGTCCACAATAGCGACTCTATCATACTACAAACATTACATGCATACGGAACTAAACTCAGCAGGCATTCAACGATCAATGCGTCCCGCGCGCGCAATAGATTAAATCAGAACATTATCAATCAGATAACTCAAATCTTGCACTTGGCGGGAACGAGACAAGCGAGAAAGCTCTCCGAAGTCGCTCGTCCTCCTGTTCGTGGGAATGCTATCCCCTTGCGGACACTAGATTTACTCACCCCGATTGACATGTTATCCGCGCATTTGAAAGGAAAACTGTTATACAGAGTAAGATTCTAGGGATACATGTGCTGGGATGTCGACGGTGTGCATGGGTCAAAAGAACTCAGCAGTCACACCGACCATACCAACGCGGGAAAGCAACCACATCTCTGATGCTCCCCACTCCAGCCAAATAGCACAACAACCTATCAAAGCCCAATCCAAAGCCTCCATGGGGTACGCTGCCATAGCGTCTAAGATCCAGATACCAATCTATTGATCCCGCATATTTGCCCTCATACAGTTTGTACTCAGGAATCTCGCTTTCACCAGCAGCTCGTTGTTCTGGTGTTAGCTCTCGCAGCATACCACGTGCTTGCATTGCTTTTTGGATAGCAGGCAAATTTTGCTCGCGCATGGAGCCTCCGATCAACTCGCAGAGATCGGGGACAAGGAGGTCGAAGCAAGCGACTGTGCGATCGCTTCCGGGTGTTTTTGACATGTAGAATGGCTTTTGCTCGATGGGGTAGTCAGCAATAAACACAGGTTGGCCTTTGCCAAAGTGTTCGGCCAGGAAGCGTTCGTGTTCGGCTTGAAGACCTTCCTCCCATGAGGGAGTGAATTGGAAAACTGTGCCTTGCTTCATGGCCTCTTCCAATGTTTCTATGGCTTTGGCGTATGAGACTCTGGGCCAGTTGGATTGAGCCATACCTTGCCATCGTCGAGAGAGTTGGTCGGCGGTGACGGCGCCTTCTTCGGCGGCTTCTTCTGAGGTCTGACTTGCTTTGGCTTGAAGGATTTGCTGTACTGTGTGTGATTGTTGCAGGTCTGATGCCATGGTCGATAACATGTTTTCAATCAAATTCATGACTTGATTGGCATCGTCCACGAAACACATTTCCGCTTCGAGCATGTAGAACTCGCTAAGGTGGCGAGGTGTATCGCTCTTCTCTGCTCTAAAGGTCGGTGATAGGGTCCATACATTGCCGACGGATTGCGCCAGAGCTTCGAGGTGCAGTTGAGAAGATACGGTGAGGTACTTTGGTGCGCGGAAGAAGTGCTCGACTTCACCGTCCTCCGACTTTTGAATGCTATCCTTGGAAGCATTGGATGATACCGTGAACACCTCGCCTGCACCTTCGCAATCCGATGAAGTGAGGATAGGTGGATGTGTTTGTACAAAGCCTTCCTTGATGAAAAAGTTTGTGATGCTGCCAATGACTTGCGATCGGAGGTGAAGAACGAGTGCGTTGAAAGGAAGTCGAGACCTGAGATGTGGCAATGTTCTCAGAAATTCTGGACTTTGGTATTTCTTTTGAATAGGGTTTGTCTGTCGAAGACATTGAGCTTATGGTGGAGAAGGAGACAATATCCGTGATACGTACGGTAGCATCATTGTATCCGAGTTTTGTGGCTTCTGACACTTGCAGCTCATGTGTTTGGGCTTTACCTGGGGGGCATTTTTGCCAATTACCACGTAGTCTGATCGCATCTCCAGTCGACAAACTGGTAAAACATCATGGATTAGAATGCGAAAGACGGATAGATCTTTTTGTGGTAACCTACGACAAAGCTTGATCCGGCGTCAAGACAGCCTGCACGGGTTGCATAGATGAACCATCCCCAACAGCGGCAAAAGCTATACGTTTCTGTTTTCTAATGGTCCGTACATAGCCATTAATTTCAATCTCTGGTGTAGACTCGTCGGTGGTTTCGGCAGAGGACTTGAGTAATGATGCGATGTTGGCAGGTTTCTGTATTGTTGACGACCAGCGAAGGGACGCATTCGTCCTAAGTGTTCGATGACTAAGACCACGCCATGTCTTCATCTCGAGTTTGTCCGACCGTAAGATCTGAGGGTGTTTGGTACAAGTTCAAGTCACGTCGAAGAATTCCAAGTCTGTCTTCGACCAGAAGCAAGATCTTGGTCTGTGCTCAGCATACCATTTTCGAGGTAGCCATCACCATTATCAGATTTGTCGTGTTGAAGATGTAAGTGATCATTTGAAAAAGCATATTGTTGGGCATGTTCATAAGTGTCATCGTTTACTGCGAGCTCGATGCGGCCAAGTCGCCTGGAACTGAGATACGCCAGCGCAGCCTGATGCACTACTCCTGAATTTATGCTGGCGTAAGCATGTATTGAAGTACTCGTCGAATGCTCAGCAGGAAACGTAGAGGTCTCATCAGCCTCTGAAACATTGTGCAGCTGCATGTATAGAACCACGGCGCCTGCACGAGCGTTCAAGCATTCCTTCCTGCAAAACTGGATCACGGCTGGCAAGGGGTACTCGTATTGAGGCAGACTTCTATAGATCCATCGATCCCCCCTTTCAATATTTAGGCACTTCCCTTGAGAAACTAAAAGAAATCCATCCGTCAATCACACCAGTCTTTGTTGCAGTGATGCAGCGTCCATTCCTTTTTCTGCTTGTTTGCAGCCTGGTCGCCGCACTCCCCCTAAATATCCCAGTCTTTCTCGATCAAGCTTTATGGGCGATTGATTCCCAACATCTCGAGCGTATCCCGAGGTCAGCGGAACTATTGTTTACCGCTAGCGATGATGACGAGATATCCCATATCTGGTTGCCCGTCGGCAAACGTCTACATACGCGTACGTCTGATCTTTCCATGCTCCTAGATCGTGATCAAGTCTAACCTGAAGCATTTTCAGATGACCATCCAGCTCTTCCGTTACGTCCTGCATCAGCGAAGATAGTCGATGTAATAGGTCACTCGATCGGAGCATCAGCCCGAAGCAAGCAACAACAAGCCACATGTATCATCAGAACCAGGGCAGATGGGTTGCAGATTCCAGCGCAGCCGGAACTGGAAGTGGTGTTCGAGGAAGGAGAAGGCGTAGTGAGGCTGGACGAAGCAAGCTCTCCTCATGATCTGACAGGGAGAGAAGTCGAGAGTTATGAATGCTTTTGAACCGAGCCGGTGTCACAGAGAAATGTGGTCTGGACATTTAGGGCAGCCTTGAATGCGCGTCCGAGGTCGATTGTCAAGAAGGGTTCTTTTGTGCTTGGGTCGAGCATTTGTGTCGTGTGGTTATCATCTTTCAGACATATCGGCCATCTCATATGCTCCAGCACCGTCATGACCAGCACCTCTTCCTTCTCTTGCAAAGCCAGCACCCTCTTCGACGGCGGCTGGGTCGGCAGTAGAAGCAGACTTGTTTGATTTTCCTCCAAAGGATATGGGCTTGAGTTCCCTCCACTGGCAGGCCCAGACGCCGAGAAAGATCATCAGAGCAGCGCTGCAGAACTGTAGGCCCCACCAGAAGACTTGTGTAGGTAGCTCCTTGGTGTAGAAAGTGGTGACTACGAGGTTGATGACGTGGATGGTAATTGCAAAGTCGGGGACGAGTTTGGATCGGGCGATGAAGAGCAATAGGAAGATGACACTGGGCGCAAACGTGTTAGCAAGCAGCTGGCTGGAGAAAGGCATCCGTGACATACCAAATCATACTGTCCATCATCCAGCAGAGACCGAGCATCCACCCTGTAGTGACATCGCTTCGAACAGTACGCCAGCTGAGAAGAGAATCTGCCGTGACATCCCTGCCGGCCACTAGGGTAGTGAATAGAATCAAGGCAGCTGCGACGGCGTAGTATAGAAGCTGAAGGACGACGATTTGGGCGAGGATTCGTTTTGGCGCAAGGTCGGCGAGGGCTCCGGGACGAGCAGGACGCCTTCGACGGGGCATGTTAGGATGTGAAGATTGATGTTGTAAGTTGGGGACGATTGTTTGGAAGGGCAAGTGTTATTGACCATTGACGATCCCTCGCTGACGTCGATGCCGACTCGCCGACGCTTCGATTCTGGACTCGCCGCTTTGAGCCTTGAATCAACTCTTTGCATACCACAATACAGACAAGATGGGTTGGTTCAGTTCAGACAAAGGCAACTCGCCGGACGCACCAAAGGCGACAGCTGATGGAGGCTTCATTGCGCCCGACCGCTCCAAGCGCGCACACTGCTGGGAGGCTCGCGACGCCTACTTTGGCTGCCTCGACAAGAACAACATCATCGACAGCGTGAAGCAGGGCGAGAAGGCCGACAAGCTCTGCCCGGATGAGACTGTCAAGTTCGACCAGAACTGTGCCACGAGTTGGGTATGCCTTAAGTTCATTGGTCCGACTTCCACCACAACCTTCTGACTCCACTATAGGTCCAATACTTCAAGAAGCGAAGAGTTATGGAATACCAGCGCGACCAGACACTGAAGAGACTACAAGGCGAGGGTGCCAGCGACATTGCTGCTCAGTAAAAGTAATCCTCGACACAATCTCTTGCGCAAAAGTAGCATACCCGCCACTTTCAAGAGCCACACACGCCTTGCATCTTCACGCTCTCATCGAAACCATTGCGATACATCCCCACTGCGATGAATCACCACAATTCAGGCTTCTCTTTCGGCCACCTTCAACCTCGAACGCAGTGCTACAGGATATATCGAGTGGAATTGAAAGAGTAGGGAAATAGATGAGCTATGCCCGAAAATGTATCATATGTAAATATACTGTATCAATATCACGCCGAATGAACTCTAGTCACACATCATCTGTCGAGAGTTCCACAATGTTCAATCAGTCTTTGATTGCTGGTATTCAAGACAAAGTAGATAGTGCCAAGACGTCCCGCTCCGCCGCCCGCAGTCGCCTATCTCTATTCTTGACGCGAACCATCGCGGTCATTTATTTTCTTTATTTCCATCAGAACCGAATCCTGCAGTAACAACTTACCAGCATCAAAGAAATTCCTCACACTGGCTTTCGCGACCTTTGATGGAGTGCGCACGCAAAAGGAAACTGGGTTCTGATAAATCTGCTGGAAGCTGAAAGATCCAGCCATCATGGACGATCAACAACACCAACTTTCCTACCCGGATCCTGCTTCTGGCTATCACCTAACCCCCTATCCTGAAGTTTCATATCAAACAGATCCTTACAGCTATGCCTACGCTCAACCGGAAGAGGATTTCTATCCTCCCATGCCTCAACCTCTTATGCATGAAGGCTTTATGCCGCGTGGTCCACAGCCTCTGATGCACGAAGGTTTCATGCCTAGAGAGGACATGGATATTGACTCAGATGTCGATGAAGATCCAAGTGCTGGTTACGGCGCCTTGCAAGCCCAATATGGTCTGAACTTTGTCCTCAACCCTCAAAGCTCTCACTCGGATTTTCGTCAACAAAATCATCAGTTCGGTCCTGAGGATGAGATCATCTATGAGGATGAACTCGAAGGAGAAGACTCTCAACCCCAGCAAAGTCGTCTGGACAGTGTGGAACGTGAACTCTTGGATGTTAGAGACAACCCACGTATCGACCCCGACTTTGCCATGTCCGATGCAGCTGGTGATAGTTCAGATGACATGTCCATCAACTCCGACCTGCTGAACGAGATCCTCGATGAAGAGATTGCTGCAGGATCCCGTGGCCGCGGCAAACCCCGTGGTCGTCCACGCGGACGAGGATCTGGACGAGGACGACGCGGCTGGAAGTGGGCAATCAAAGGAACAGAGCACGATCCTAAGGTGGCCGCAAGGGGTCGTGGCCGAGGTCGAGGCAGAGGAAATGCTGTCCCACGTGGAGAAGGTCGTCGGAAGAATGGCGAAAAGAGAAATACTGTCGCAGAGCCTGATCCCGTCTTCAAGAGATTGCAGTCACTCGCTACGCAAGCCTTCTTGAATAACAACTATCAGGCTGCAGCAGATTACGCCCGTGACGCCGTCAAGGCCAACCCCGAAATCTTCGTTGCCCACAGTTTGTTGTCCGAGATTCTTCTGGCCCAGGGCAAGGACCAGGACTCACTGACTGTGCTTCTGCATGGTGCCCACACAAGACGTGATCCTGCTCTCTGGTGGACTGTCGCTGAACGTACGCTGGAGCTGGCAGGAGACAATCGCTCTCCCTCGGTCCTGGAACAGGCTATCTACTGTTTCGCGTGGGCTATCAAGCTTGATCCTGACGATTATGATGCTCGCCGCGAGAAGCTCAATCTGCTCCTCGAATCCGACCAACCTGCAAGAGCAAGAGGAGAAGCCAAGATGATGGTTCGCCAGAAGCCACATGATCTCAACATCATCAAACAATACGCTGATCTGTGTGCTTACTCGGCAAGCACACCTGAGATCCAGCGTGCAAAGGATGCTTACGATACTGCGATCAATTTCTACTTCAAAGGCAGATCTCTTGGAGTTCCGGAAGCGCAATGGTCACATCTCAACGTCTACCTTGATCTGGTCGAGAAGTGTGAGAATGCTGCACAAGCAGCCTTCCATCTCAAGAAGCTGTCGAGATGGTTGCTCGGAAGAAAGGAAGATACCTTCTGGGACAGTGTGACTGGAGACGACAGAGAATTCGACAACGACGACGTGCCTCGAAGAATACAGATTCCCGAGTTCAAGTACAGTCGATTTGCAAACAAGAAGGAGATGTACGGACAAGGTCTTCCTCTGGAACTGCGCGTCAAACTCGGTCTCTTCCGTGTCAGGATCAGCAGAGCGGATCTCCCTGAGGCCATGCGTCACTTCCAGCAGCTCCTAAACCTCAAAAGCGAGGTTGCAGACTACTTTGATCTGTTCAGAGATGTTGCCGAGACTCTACTCGAGCAAACTTATCACGCCGAGGCCATCACCTTTTTCGAGCCCATCAGATCAGTGCCTGAGGCATGCGATCACGAGTACTACATGAAGCTTGCAGACTGCTACATGATGTTCAGCCGCAACGCAGACGCAGAGTCGTGCTGGAAGTTTATCGTCGACAACGACCCAGAAGATATCAAGTCACGTATTGCTTTGGCCAAGCTGTATGAGGCCGAGCAGAGAATGGCAGAGGCTGTTCCATTAGTGCATGAGGTTATCAGACTCGGCCGAAGTGATGCAGTAAAGAAGGCCAAGATTACTGTCGATAAGCCCCCTCCACCAAGAACTCTTGCACCGCTCATGCCGCGACCTGTGCAAAACGCACCTACTGGCAGAGTTGCAGGTCCGGTGTCCAGACACTACTCATTGGGTCCTATGCCTGAGGATCTAGACGACGGCGACTACCAGGACGACGGGCAAGATGATGACGTCGAAGACGAGGAGGAGGACGAAGACGACGACAACGATCTACGATTCATCGCCTTCCACCCTGGTAAACGCGGTCGTCCAAAGACAGCAAAACCCAAAGCCCCCAAAGCACGCGTCTCTCAAACCTACGAACGCCTTCAACAGCAAGATCAGCGTATAAAAGCCAACCACGTCCTCGTCAACTCCGCCCGAGAAACCCTAGATGAAGACGAAGACGCCCTACAAACCTACTTCGAAGCCGCCCAGGAAATGCTCGACGACTTCAAAACCGTACGTGCCTTCTACCCAGGCCGCGATAAACACATCAAGTTCACCGGCTACGGGCGCAACACCAAAAACGCCATCGTCACCGAAATGGAAGCCATGAAGAAGCGACTCGCTGAAGACAACGGCATGGACATCGATGATGATACCGTGGACGAAAGTATCCCTGACAACTTCCACGATATAAAGTTTACTGAGTGGTTGGACATGTTCTGCGAATACGCATTGTTGCTCGCTAAATCTGGCGACCGAGAGAAATGCTACGAGGTATTGACTTCGGCGTGGAGCTGTACGGTATTCTACCATTCACTCACCCACAAGACGCAAATCCACGCCATGTGGATGGCCTGCGCCTTGCTCCTCAACGACGAGCAAAAAGTCTGCGAAGTAGGCCGGTTCTTCATCATCGAATGGCCCCACAGCGGCGCCGCCTACCAAATTTTCGCAGCCGTAAACCGTCTCTTCGCTGGCTACAGTAACTGGTTCAACAGCGGCCCAACTCAAAAGTTCATCTTGCGGCAGGTAAAAGCACTAGATTACGCACTGCTGGACCCGGAGTCTCGCGCTGCATATGCATTTACAGGTCAAGAACGCAGCTCCTACACTCATGCAGGAAAACGCGATGCCAATCCCCATCAACTCCCCGACCTCGATGCTGGTGTGATTTCCCTATACGGCCACATCATGGCAGCAGCACAATCCTGGACGTCAGCTCTAAACTACTATTTCCGCGCTTTGACCCTCGACCCTCTGAATATTTCCACAAACCTGTGTATTGCAACTGCATACTTGCAAATGGCAATGAAACGCCAATCAGAGAACAGACATTGGCAAATCTATCAAGGCGTGGCGTTTCTGGAGCGATATGTGGAACAGCGGTTGAGCACTGGACAGAAAATCCACGAGCAGGAGGCCAGATACAATAAAGGCAGGGCTTGGCATCTTTTGGGAATCATGCATTTGGCTATTCCAGAGTATGAGAGGTGTTTGGCGTTGGCCGAGGGGGTTAGGGAGGAAGCGAGGGAGAGGAGGGGGCAAGAAGACAGTGATGACGGTGTAGATGGTGACGAAGAGGAGGAAGTTGATCCAGAGGAGTTTACGCAAGAGGCGGCGTTTGCGTTGATGCATATCCTTGCTATGAACAGCAATGAGAAGGCGGCAAAGAAGATTGCGGATGAGTATCTCGTTCTCTGAGAGAGAGCCGTGGAATGTATGAAGGGTGCTCGAGGTGTTTTCTGGTGGGGCTGGGACCGGGAGCATGGGTATTGCTTTTGCTTCAAAGGCGTGTGGTGAAGCGAGAGGCAGAACAAATGTCTCAGAGATCAAAGGCTGTATATCATAGTGGGAATTGCAATCGATACTGTATAAACAAAACTGAGTTGTCCTTGTCTACTGTCCGTACACTCAGCCTTAGAGAAAAAAACTCCCCATTTCCCATGTATCCACGACCGAGCCAAGATATATTTACAATGAATCGTATCTTCTCTATATGCACAATCGCCAACCACATCCTAAAGCACCACTGCCGTTCGCTCTGATCAATCACCACGACCATATGCAGCATACATCTCGACCTCTTCATCCGACGGCCAACCACCCCAGTGTTTTACACTTTCAACCAGTGTCTTGATCTCCTCAATATGTTCAGCCGATGCAGATGCAATCGTAGCGACCTCTCCATCGTCAAGCTCGGGCTTCACAGGCTCCCATCGATCCTCAACGAATACACGCAAAGCAATCAGTGCTCTCCGCATCAATATACGGCCTCTGCGATCCATAGCACGGCGCTTCTTAAGCTGGAGTTTGCGTCTGACCATCCACTGGACCAGCTCAACGAGACCGTCGTAGTCGCGGAAGAGACCCAAAGCGCGAATGTAGGCATGCAATAAAGCTGGACTAGGCCTGACATACAGACTAGGCAGGTGGGTCTCGGTGTCCTCTGGTTCAAGCAGAGTAGACATGGAATCTTTTCCGCCTTCAGTCAGAGTCCAGAACTGTTCTTTCATCCACTCGGGACCTTTTTGGAACGTCGTGTCCGCCTTCATGGTAAGACGTGTGAGAACTCCCGCAGTATGGTCCTGTCTGTATTTCTGGGTTCCGAAGACGGTCTGAACAGCGCTGGCTGCATGCTCAGCAACGACACAGATATCCAGGAAGGCGTCCTCATCCAATGTAAGATCGTTCTCCCGCATACTGTCATTGACCTGCTGGGCAAGATTGAAAGCGAAGATCTTGTCGTACACCTCATTCTCCAGGCTCAGAGACTTCTGGCCTCGCAACGCTAACAAACGCCAGCCCGAGGCAAGAGATGGTGCATCCCTACGAGCTAATGCAGCGAAAACACAGTTCCACGCCGGACGATACGTTCGCTTCTGTTGAACAAGCAGATAGAGAGCCCGCGCTAGAGGTTGTCGGAGATCCAGACTATTTCGGACCAGACTACCATACGACCAGTGCGACTTGGTATCCGGCCCATGCGAAGTATGAGGAAAGCGGCAGAGCAGGCGTACATAGGCGGCGAACAGACGGTCAGGTATGACATCTAGGCCTTCACAGTCTTCGGAGCCACGTAAGAGAGCACTAACAGCAATATCGTAGTTTTCATGGATGCCGGTCTCGAGATAAACCAGGCCTTCCGCAAGAGTCTCGGCGCTGTCGAGGAGCATCTCAACAGTATCGTCAGAAGGATGCTTTCCATCTTCACGCATGTGATCGTAGAGCTGTTGGATCGAAGGTATTTCGGCACGAATATACGTCAATTGATGCGCAGAGGATGGGGGTGAGCCAATCTCCTTGGTATCGCCTGGATACAAAGGATCCAAGCCGTCGTGAACATCATCAACTTCGTGACCGATATTTTCAGGACCAAGCCGGACTCTCTTGCGCTCCTCTATCAACACCTCGAACATGGCGTGGTAGATGCGGTGGTCTGGAGGAAGATTCTCGTCCTGATAAGCCAGAAAACAGGCCCATGCTTGTTGAGCTGTACGGGTCGTCCTGATGCGAGCAATCCAGAGGCTATTCACGAGTTTATCCTCGGCAAAGTCGTCTAGGAAGATTCGTTTCTGGACTGTAGGGCTCCGATCCGTGTCCCATCCTGCATATACCATGGCGACTTGATCCCATGCCCCAAGGGGATAACCGGCTTCCTGCATCCGGAGCAAGATTTGGTGAGCACGACTGACACCATAGTCGAGATCGATGCGTGCATCCATGCCGGTACGATCTTCCTTCCAAGGAGGCCAGGAGGGAGACTTAAGTCTGGCCCACTCTTGCTCAGGGGCGGTCTTCTTGGTGGCCAGTTGAACGCGAGTGACGGCACGATAGCCTACGCGATTGATAGCAAGAGCAGGGGTATGATCAGCCATGTGCTTGAGAACGATGGCTTGAGCAGCCTCTTGAAGGACCGTGTTCTTGAATGGAGCGATGTGCGAGGGCGACGAGAGGAGGCGGAGGGCGTAGTTGTACTGTGAAGTCAAGTGCGGGACGGCAGCGAAGTCGTCTTTGAGCAGATCGGACTCTTGGAATCGAAGGATTTGAGCATCGGATAAACGCAATTCATGGGTCAGCCAAGTGGCCATAAGAGGTATGGCTTGAGGCCAGACTCGACGACAATGGTACAGCAGGCTCTCGAAGACAGACAAGACACGTCGGTCGGACAGCTCTGATGTATCGTATTTCCAGACAGGCAGGTGGTTCAAGAGAAGACGAAGAGCTTCAGGGCGGATGTGGGAGCGGGCAAGATAGTCGCGGTAGACGAAGAAGGGAGGGCCAGCTGTGCCTGTAAGCAGACGCGCAGCGAACAATGAGTCCTTGGAGGAGAGGATGTTGAAGTAGTAGTCAACATGATGCTCTGTGTAGTCGGTGGATCCAAGGATGATACGCTCTCGCGCAGACAAGGCAAAGGTTATGCCGTCGGCCTTGTCAGATTCAGCAAGAAGCGCCAGGCGGCGGTCGATGATCTCCTTCAAATGGTCGTGCTGAGGACTCGAAGAAAGGTGCCATGTCGATAGTTTGAGCCTGGGATTGACATTGTCGTGCTTGCGAGACTTGGGGTTTTGGTGTTTACGTGGCCAACGCAGCGGACGAGCGGCATCATCATACTGAGCATGGTCGGCGACGACGATCCTGCGAAGAATTCGGCGCTGCTGGTCGGCAGGAAGGCAATCACTCTTCACATGGCCGCGATGGGAGAAGGAGCGATGGGCGTTCTTGCTGAACCACCATGAACAGGCTTGAGGAATCCGAGTAACATGTTGGACCCGTCTACCGAGGGACAGAGCACCAACAACTGGCATTCATCAGGTCGTGCGCAACAAGTCTGCTCCCAATTGGCAACCACATGGACAGGACATGCAGCAGCAGCTGTTCAAAATTATGGCCGATGCCCGAGCGAGTCGGAGCGCCAAGCAAACAGACCGAAAGCCGCCCATGCCGAAGCGGGTTAAGCCGCTGTACGCAAGGGCCACGTCTGGCCTGCGAGAGTGAGAGAGAGTCAGGTTGTCGCAGGAATGATTGTTTCTATTGTCTAATCATCAATTTGTCGTCGCTATTGAGCTCTGCTATTAACGCGGAATAACAATCGAGAGGCTGTATTGTTGCGAGTCTGCTATTGTACCAAGCGCGAAAGCCGGGGCAGCTGCCAAAGCACAACGCGTCTTCCCTCATTGCGACTTTTGCGACCCAAAGACGCGGGGACCAGACCGACCATCACCATGACCACCGATCCACAAAGCAATGGTGACCTCGTCGCCGAGCACCAGACTGCGCCAGGAGATTCCTCGCCCAACGCCACCAAACGAAAGCGTGCCAACTCGGACAAGCCGCAACAACCACAGTCACCATCACAGGCACAGCTGTTCCAAGACCTTTTGGAGCTTTTGAACACGTCCGTCGCGTCCACTACTCACCACGCATGCTCCTTGATACTGACTCTGATGCTAGACATGATCCCTCACCCTCGGTCTTGCACCTGCCATTGCCCAACGTGTCGCGACTATCCCAACTCAACGGCCATTCGACCAAGCGTCCAAAACTTGACAGCGACGACCAACACACGACCATTGCTTCGCGCCTGCAAAACAACCTCTACTCAGACCTCGGTGACTTCGAACGAGACCTTGATCATGCCTTGGACACCCTCTGCGAGCCTCTCAAGGCTCAGGATCCGCTAAAGAATACACAACGTCTTGCCAACCAAGACCTTGCATCCATCCAGGCCCTCTCAAATTTCCGCAGCCTTGTCAAAGACTGTCTCGATCGCGAGCGACCCAAAGATGAGAACACGTCCATCAAGAAAGAGGAGGGAGATGATCTTGCAACAAAATCCACAAAGACAGTTCTGAGTCTGTACGGAAATGCTCCTCAACCCAAACAACTCTTTTCAAGTCTGCCACAATCAAACGCGTCCGTTCAAGGCTCGGGTCTTTCCATCGAGGAACTCGGCTTGCCCACTATGCTCTCCGCCACCAAAGTAGTGCCTCTACCTCCCAGCGACGCTGCCTCTGTCAGAAAGGCTAATCCTACCTTTGCCGACGTCTTCCCCTCGCCTGCATCTCTGCCGCCTTTGAATCCTCCCAAGCCGACCAGACACACATCATCAAAGTCCACTTCGATCTCATGGTCTCACGGCGAACTACCGAAAGCTTCGCGAAAGGGTGGGTACACACTGCAACCCCTGACAGTCGGAACCTGGGTGGGCTATGGTGCCAACGAACTCAAGGAATCAGCATCTGCGATAAAGCGCAGGCGGAGAGAAAGCCTTCTCAATGGCCAGGAACAACCAAAACCTGCCGAGGAAGCATCCCCAGCCGACATAATCGCCCAGGAGACTGCCTTGTTCCGTTCTGCATACTCTGGTTTCGCTCCAACCCAGGACAACTCCAAAGCTCTGGTAGCCAAAGAGACAAAGGACATGGTCTGGTGGCATAGGATGGGTCAAAGACGATTCGATGACCATTTCGTTCTCGATCCAGCTTTACAAGAGTCTCCTTTCCTAAGTGATGGCGAAGAATTGGCCAACCAGACTTCCGCTGAAGATGCCCAGAACGTCTTGGCTACCGAAGACCTTGAAGCAATCCAAAAGGCAATCGAAGAGTTTGACGAAGACGATCTGAAGCCCAACAGACTCGAAGTTGTGTCCACCATCAATGAAGAAGAGCGCGAGGTTGATCAAATGCTTGTAGACATTTCGAACCTCCTGCAAGCTTTGTCATCACATCAACGTATCCGCAACTCTTACATCCCCACCGGTTCGCGAAACCCAGCCAGCCCCAGTCCCTTGTTGAGCGCCATGGTCGGTACAGCGACGGCTCCTTCAGCTGAAGAGAACGAGACCTATAGAGCTCTGCGATCCCAATTGGCGCAGTTGATCTCTAAGCTACCACCTTATGCCGTTGCCAAACTCGATGGTGAAAAGTTTGCAGAATTGGCAGTTAAGAAGAACATCGTTATACGGGGCAAGGAGTACCGTGGAACCATGGAAGAGGATCAATTGACTCGCTTGATCCGCAGTTCGGCCATGCAGGCTGCCGCGGCAAACCACAAACAGCCTGACTCGACATCCCAATATGGACGTACACCATCCATCTCTAATCGCACACCAGCAAACTATTACAACTCCAGGACTCCAGCCGCAAGTTACCGTGGTGCTGCACAAACCTACAATGCACCTGCCACTGCTCCTCGCGCGGGTGCTGGCTATCCCAACACTTACAACACTAGCAGTACGGGTCGCTCGACATTCAGTACGCAGTACTATGGACAGCAGCGACCGACGTATGCTTCGCAATACAGCGCTCAAACTCCTCAGCCCAACAATCCTGCTCGACAAGGCTTTAATGTTCCCCAAACCGCTTTTGCTCCTCGGACCACCGCATCGACCTTTGCCAACGGTACCCCTACTGCCGCTACCTACACACCACAAAATTATGGGCAAACGCGACCCACCTATGGATCAGCCAGCACACCGGTACCAACCCAGCAGACGTACCAAGCTCGCCCACAGAACGTCGCAGCCTCTCAACCACAACCTTCCTCTGGTCGCGCAACGCCAACGTTCGCTCAGCCCACAAACCCAAACACTCCCTCAGCAGTGGGGCCATCTGGCTTCCACAGCACTCTGACTGCTGAGCAGCAGAGGTTGATGATGGAGAGACAGCGTGCAGCTCTGGCCATGCAACCACCGGCGCAGACAGCACCCATGGGAGGCAGCCCTGCAGCGCCTCAAGCTGCCATGCAAGCTCCAGTACAAAAGCCTAACGGATCTCTATAGGAAGCGACCAAGCGAACCTACAAATTTGTTAATGTCGCACCTCGTCCTCTAGATTGATCCTGACGATTGCTTGTATAACAGTGCTGCTGGAACACGCTCATCGCTTGTTGCAAGTTCTTGATAGATGGGATGGCGGAGCTGGCAAGGCAAGACCTTTGGAAGAACCGGGAAGAAATGCAACCTTGCAAGTACAATTGATATGTCTCTCTATTCTTATACAATACAATTCTCCCAACCAGAAGTTCTGCACTGTGCAGATGAGACCTGATGTGCCCGACGGCTGCCAACGATGTGTTCCTTGATTCACGGCTCAGGAACGCGTCTCGGACTTGCGGCGATACCGGATGCTAGACATGTTGCTTGTTAAGCAAGCTTAGCAAGGTTTGTATAGTGGCCCCGCCATGTCTGTTCAGCCACCTCGTCCGTCTCCCGTCGATGGCTTTTTGCCAGAAACTGGGGAAGTGGGGTATCGGCAGTCATGACGTGTGATGGGATGGGGCTCTCCCCTCGGTTGATGTGTTTTATTCACTGCACACCAAGCTTCGGATCACCATTTATTAGCAAGGACTTGCATGTTGGTCACAGCGAGCTATTGGTAACGGACATGCTGGCTTTGAGCTCGCTCAAGGGCATCTAATACAGCACGTATCTCAGGGCTGATAAACCTTTCATGTCGAATGTCTCAGATGGCTGATGGCATGGCTTAGTACGACCGTACGAGCTGCGGACCTTGCGGCAGGTGGCAGGGAGCCATGCCGTGTGGAGTGCATGGTCATCAATGCGGTGTGCCGCCTCTTTGTTGACAGACGACCGTTGTGCATACAAGCCCTCTCCCTCGTATACCACTACGGATCTTGCGGCTATTCTGCTTCCTAACCGGATCAACAGAGAGAGCTTACCGGCGGGGTAGTAGCTTCAATCGCGATCCGGACTTTTTCTGTCCCGCGATCAGAAACAGTATAAGTAGATCAACTATTGCCCAAGTGTTGCCATGTAGGTGGTTCTTTCCTCGTCACGTTCTAATGCCTTCTCTTTCGAGCTTCGTTGGCGCCTTCCTTGGTGCAGCTTCCTTGGCTGCTAGCGCTGCTCTACCAGTTGCTCAACCCTTTGAACACTTCAAGGCCAAGAGACAGTCTGTCAATGCCACCAGCAACAGTGATCTAGAAGTCGATCTTGGATACGAGGTCTACGAAGGCTTCACCAACCAGACTACAGGCATCAACATCTGGCGCGGGTATGTGAAGATCAAAGCTCCTGTTCGATCAATGCTAAACATTTGCATCAAGTATTCGGTTCGCTGCACCTCCGCTAGGAGCTCTACGCTTCCAAGCACCTCAAGTTCCGGCAGAGAACCGCAGTCAAGTCATCCAAGCCAACTCATTCGCGCCCCAATGCCCTCAAAGCTCGGTCGCTCCAGGAGGTAAGGGTACACTATCAACCGAGGACTGTCTGTTCCTCAATGTCTATGCTCCGGAGAATGCAACAAATCTTCCAGTACTCGTCTGGATCCACGGTGGTGGTTATGGACTCGGCAATGGTCAGCAGGACCTGCAGGCCATTATCAACACGAACAACAACTCGTTCATTGGTGTGGCTATCCAGTACCGTCTCGGTGCTTTTGGTTTCCTCTCCTCTGATGAGGTTGACCGCTTTGGTTCCGTCAATGCTGGTATTCTGGATCAGACTTTTGCTCTCAAGTGGGTTCAGGAGTATATCTCTTCGTTCGGAGGTGATCCCCGCTCTGTGACCATCAGTGGCGAGAGTGCCGGCGGTGGCTCTGTTATGCTGCAAGCTATGGCTTATGGTGGTACTTTGGGCACTTCGCTGTTCAAGAACGCTATCGCTGCTTCTCCTTACTTGCCTATGCAGTATGGGTACAAGGACTGGGTGCCTTCGCAGTCTTACTATGCTTTTGCTGGGTTGGCGAACTGTATGCCTAATACTGCCTATGGATCGTCTGCTCGCACTATCTTCGAATGTCTGGTTAACCAGGACACCGAGACTCTGCAATACGCCAGTTTCAATGTCAGTGCTTCAGGAACTTTCGGTACATGGGGTTTCTTACCTGTTACGGACGGCGTCTTCATCCAGGACGTACCCAGCCAACAACTCTTAGAAAAGAAGGTGAATGGAGAGAACCTACTTGTCGGCAACAACGCCAACGAAGGCCCTCTGTTCGTCCCTCAGACCATCGACACCGAAGCCGATCTCGTGGCCTGGTTGGAACTCACCTTCCCTCTATTCAGCAACGACGATATCGCCAGAATCTTGCGCTACTGTAAGCCCCCTCCCTCGCTCCTCTTGACCTTCCATCCTGCCCCCAAGACGAATGCTAACATCCATCACAGACCCCAGCTCCAACGCCACAGACTCGCCCTCCGCCCTCGACTTCGCAACAAACGGCCTCACGGGCCCCACCGCAATCAACGAATCCACAGTAGCAACAGGCCAACAACAGCGCGCCAACAACATCTACGCCGAAACCACCTTCGTCTGCCCCTCCTACTGGATGTCCGAAGCCTACACTGGCGCCAAATCCTCTTTCCGCTACCAATACTCGGTGCCAGCAGCCCAACACGGCGCCGACGTATCAGGATACTTTGGCCCTGCAGCACCCACCCAAGGACCCTCCTTCGTCGCTGCATTCATGAGTATCTGGGGTCAATTCGTGGTCAACTCCAACCCTTCAATTCCTGCCAATATTGCTGGAGAGGGTGGGCAAGCTGCAGTGAACTTCCCGAAATTCAATGTGTGGAATCCTGTGCAGGTCAATTTGAACCAGACTGGAGGGCAGGAACAGTATGGACCTATCGGGGTGCAGAGTATTAATGCTACTGTTTATGTGGGACCTGGGTTGGAGAATGCGTTTGAAGTTGTCGATGCTTATGATTGGGAAGGAGGCAGAGGTCAGAGGTGTGACTTCTGGAGGGCGGTTGCGAAGATTGTGCCCGAGTAGATGTGTTTTCTGCCTCCAGAAAGGTATGTGTCTTCTACCTCCTGGTGCAAGGCGACAGAAGAGGATATGTTTTCATAGTTTTTAATAGTCGTTGTCTTGCAATCTTTTTTGTCCTTTCCTCTGGAATGGAAGACATGATCTTGATATTCTATAGAAACCCCTTCCGAAGGGATATTTAACGATGAAACAAGTATTCATAGAAGCATATCATTAAGTCTTTACAAGCACACTCGAACAGTTCAGAGGTTCAGAGAGAAGCCGTAAGTAAATCGGGTTCATGCAGTTTCTAATTGTTGAGTTTGTTCCACCTTTTTTTCGCAGAAACCACCCACCCCTCATAGATTATGATCAAAGAAATCAAAATCTCCCATTGCGATGAAAGAGCATCATCGCATGCCACCATAAAACTGCCTTGAATCGAAGAAAACGCCACCGCTGCGTACACCATGAAGAATATTAAAGGGACAAGGAAAACGGCAAAAGTGAGTGTGATCAACAGTCATACAAGCTCTCATCTGCGCTGACTGCCAGCACGGCCAATATCAACGCTGCTTCTGAAGCTGTCGACACTAGCTTGCATGGAAGAGTGACTGCTGCTCCTGCGACGTCGACGTCTAGTCTCATCCGGATCCAGAGGGCTAAGTCCAGACATGCGAGCAAACAAATTGAGCAAGTCTGTCAAACTGACTACACCGTTCAAGTGGCCTCCAAGCGTCGCACCCGGTAGTGACGAGGCGGATACAGACACGTTGGGTGTAGCTGGTGTGTACGGTGGGCCTTGGGTTGTGGACGAGAGCTGAGAGAGCACCGGTGGAGGCGCTGTGACCGAAGGACCAAGGTGTGGAGAAGGAGGGATAGAAGAAGTGGGTGATGGGGCGTCGACGATCCACATGCGATGAGACCGGGTTGCGACGAGTTTTGCGACTGTGTGAGCGAGTGTGCTGGTTGGGTTGACGTGGAATACAGGATACGAGTCCTGACCATCGTTCATACCACGCTCCGAGAGGATGACGGTGATGAAATGAATGCAAGAGGAGTCGAGGAGAGGAAGGGCCGAGGTGTTGGTGAGGAGCTTGATGTCGACGTGAGAAATGTTGCCAATGACATTCTTGTGGTTGTCGAGCACGGGCAGCGATGTAATACCCTCGCTGTGCATAAGCAGCAGAGCATCCTTGAGTGGACGATCGCCATTGATCGAGATGACCTTGTGACTGCCCAGATCGAGCTCCTTCAGCGAACGATTGTGTAGCTGCTCGACGGGCTGGAAGCTAGCTCTGTTCTCCCACAGGAATCGCACAAGTCTCAATTGACTCAATATTCCCACTACGTCTTGCGAACCAGGTGCGCGTACGATGATGCGATGGCAACCACCACCGAATATCTCGACAGCGCGGGACAATGTGGCGGAGGCGTCACAGAAAGCAGGTGTCTCTTTACGGCCGAGTAGGTCTTTGACATGGCCGAGCTCTACAGGTTGGTTTGTGCGTGCACGAGAGACGATCTTGTCAACTTGATCGAAGTCAGAGTCTTGAGGGCGAGCGAGACCGGTAACGAGAAGGAGGTAGGCGTTGAGGTCGTCGTAGTCGAATTGGCCAATCGCCTCGCGGGTCGAGGAAGTTTCACGGATGAGGATGACATTGGGCGATCCAGACTCAATCAAAAGCTGAAGAAGAGTCAGAAAAGGCTCCAGTCAAGTTGCAGATATGGTATGGTACCTTGGTTGCAGCCTCAATGGTGTTGTCGACCTCGACAAAGCGGACCTCGTCGGGCACCAAGATCTCTTCGAGAGTGATGCTGCGCCAGTCGCGTCCCGCGAACTTGGGAAGAGCGTCATCCTTGCGACCAACCGGCGGGTTGTTAATCAGATCCTGTATGGCCTGCTGCGATAACGAGGGATTGCGCTGGCGTGGGGAGTTTGGAATACCGCGCTCGCTGAACGATTGGCGGTGCGACGATGCCATGTCTCTGCTGTCTCTCCTACCGAGGGGAGAACGCAGAGGGCTCGGTGCCCCAGCACTAGTCAGTTTGAGCGATGGCGATGCGGCGCCTGTATCTATGTTGTGCACCATATTTGGGAAAGAGGGTTGTATATCTAAGGAAGGTGCCCCCCACCACCGGTGACTTGTTGCGTCCTTCCCCACACTCGACCCACCTTTTTGACACTTTGATGACACTCGACTCTCAGGGTCCCCCAGGGGGTTTGAAGGTGTTTCGACATTAGATATTGTGCCATAATGATACAGTATGGTCGAGCTACATTCAAGCTATCCTTCCAGATTGGGTCTTCTCGCTCCAGCAAATCTCTGAGAGAACATTTCCTCTTTCATCTGTCTCCCCTCCACTTCGTCCAATGTTCTTCTCTCCCTGTACATGATCTTCATCATGATTTCGCTCGACCCGCTACCTTCCGCATTTCTTGGCCTCATCCTCGCCAGGGGCATGCTCATGGTATCTCGAGCACATGCCCTTCAACCATGGCTTACAAGCTCCCACGTCTCCTCCAAGCCCAGGCGTCCTACCTGCACTCGCACAACTACAACAGAAAGCTCTTTCGCAGATATCACACTTCTCACTGCTGATCCCAGGCGTAAGTAGCTCTCGGCAAGCCTCGCAAGCCTTTGACTTTTGCCAGGTGAGTGGTCGCCAGGGTGTCAACGAATGTCTGTCCAGCGACTCTAGTCCGGGTCGCTTGAGCTTGACAACCAGCTCTCTGAGGAAGCGTGGGTGCCACTCGTCTTTGTGGCTCTCGAGTAACTTGTCTGTTTTCTTGTACGCGAAGAGGTCGAGTATCAGTTTGCGCATCGGGGCGTTGTCACGGATGTTGTCGTAGAGAATCCAGGTGTCTGATGGCGTAGGAACCGAGTTCGTGCTCTCGGATAGGCGCGCTATCGTATCGACGATGTGATTGCAAAGTGTGGTTGTCATCAGCTTGTCTGACAGAGCGTACAGATCCAGCAGTAGGAAGTATTTGGGCGAACCCTGCGAGTTACGAAGATCTCCATCTGTATGTGTCACATGTTGTGGCAGTCCTTGGTGACCGGGAAACCCAGGCATGGCATCTATAGCGCGCAGCCTGTGACGTCTTGGTTCGATCTCGCAGTTCGTCGATGTGGGTGAGGTTAGCGAACCCGTGTACAGCCACCACAAGAACCACTCGAAGATTTCTGGCTTCTCTTCAGGTAGATGCACAGTCTGATCGAGGCCTTCCGCAAAGGCGCCATTGAGAGCAGCCGAGAAGAAGGGCGACTCGGCAGTCAAGAGATCTTTGTGTATGGTGTAGGATGTTTGTCCTTGACCACGTGCTGCTGAGTCTGGTGCGTGCTGTCCTCCTACCACGATGGTTGCGACCTCGTGGAAATTCTTAAAGTTCGTTCGAATAGTGCCGCGCGCTGTCGGGTGGAGAGGTGTGGGCGCATATCGCACTCCGGTCCCGCGCAGAGGTGTGTCTGCCATCGGTGGTGTAGTGTTGGATCCGGTTGTCGTCATTGCTCTTGTGCAATGTCTGAGTTATTATTGAAAACGATCAGGCGTGTATTGTTCAAGAACTCAAAGACGTGAAGGTATGTGGAGAATATCTTTGCAACGTGAGTAATTGAGTCGATCGAGAAGTTGAAGTCAAACAAACGAGTGTGAGTAGTCCCGAGTGCCAACCAACGCCAGCGAACCCGAAACACGCCGTGAAATCAGGAGTCGAATGTTGAGCAAACGATCAGGCAGATCTCCCGCACGTGAAAGACTTTTAAATCAATCACAATCGATGCTCATGACTTACTGTCGCATGCGTTGGGTGCTTTGTTCACCACACCTCGTGTTTGCTCGAGTGTCTGAAAGCGGAAATCTTGGTCCTGGACGTCTGGCCGGTGTTGCACCTGAAGTGTCTGCTCTGAGAGGAATGACATCCTGCGATCATGTCCAGCCATCACTCTCTGCTTGTATTTTGTCGATAAATGTAAATCTGTTCTTCATCATCACCATCTTCAATCGTAATCAGAATCTTGTATTACTGGCGTCACATCACAAATCACCGTGCGATGTTGGATAACCCGGGTGCTAGGTGAACAATGGGTCGTTGCATGGAATGTGTCGTACCTGCTTCTCCTTTTCGCGGCACTCCGATTCTGGCCAACAGCGTGCCTCTACTAAAAATACATTCCAAGATCGCCTTTTTCACGGGTCCTATCGTCCACTTTTTCATGCCAATGCCGCTCCACTGACGAATGCGGCCTGGTGATCATTTCGCCGGAAATTTCGTTATGTTTCGCATCTACTTTTGACCTGCCTGAACCTGGCCTATTTGACGAATTAGCCTCTTGATTTCACTCATCGGATATGAATTCACATTACTGACCAAGACGAGAGTAGAGCATGAAGAGCGCCATCTGGTTGCACTCCTGCGTTCCAGTGATGGTAACGAGACGCTCGTTGCTGTTGTCCTGAGGTTCGTTGATCTTGATGACACTTCCACTGAGCTGGCGTATCTCGTTGATCTTTGCACCGCCCTTTCCGATGATAGCGCCGACCATGTCGTTGGGGATGAAGATCTGCTGAGTCAGAGGCTGGCCAGGCACCATGCCTTGCATGGGCTGCTGAGGAGGACCGGCGTGCGCGGCACTTGCTGCGGCTGTGGCGGGCTGGGCAGGGTATGCAGCTGCGTGAGGAGCGGGAGCATGAGGACCTGCACCGACGTATGGCTGTCTCGGAGATGCAGCGGGGTAGTGAACAGGTGCCTGAGCGTGTACAGGTGTGGGCGCGCCGCCGTAAGGATGCTGTTGTTGCATACCGTAGCCGGTAGGAGGAGGGCCGCGTTGAGTAGGAGGCTGGCGGCGGAAGTGATCTGGAGGTCCCCATTGTCCACCAGCAGGCTGAGGAACATAAGGGACCACCTGCATACCTCCAGGCACAACACCTGCGGGGGCGCCGCTGCGCGTAGCATAAGCTGAAGCAGCGGGGCCTCCGAAGCGCTCGGTCAACTGCTCGACAAGAGTACTGCCGACATAGTACGTTGCGATGTGGACAGCGTCTGCTACACCCAAGACAACAAGCGAACGTTCGGTGGATAGAGGCAGGCAAGAATCGGATGCGTTCAAACGAGCGCCAGAGGCTTCTTGGATCTCACGGATTCTGACACCTCCTTTACCAATGATGGAGCCGATCAGAATGTGGGGGATCAGCAGGCGGAGAGGGTAGGTCTTGGATTGAGGAGTCGAAGCGCTTTCGAGGGGCTCGTTGTTCAGTGTGCGGATGATAAGACCAAAGGCCTAGCAATTTGTTAGTCGCAATCAGAGATGCAATTTTGGATCAAACATTACCTTTGCGACCGCGTCGACGAGACCGCTCACGGTCAAAACACGCTCAACAGCACCGCGCGAGTAGTCACTGACAGTGCATTTTGCACCACTCATGCGGCGGATCTGGGTTACGTTCTCTCCGCCCTTTCCAATGACTGTGGCAGCTTCGGCACTCGATATGATAGCTCTGATGTGCAACCAGTTGCTCTCGTCCTGCTGTTGTGCTGAGTACTGATCTTGACCTCCAGCGGATGCGCCGTTAGCGGCAGTGGATTGAACAGGCTGTGTCTCCAAGACCTGAGTGGCCGAGGGCATTCCAGCGGGAGGAGCATCAAGCACGACTGTGTCTCCGTGGGATTCGCCAAGTTCCTCGTTCTTCACTGCATCCACAGTGACCGCAGCGGGAGCAGACGACTCGACTTCGGATTTGACATCGGGAGCGGTAGGCGATGCAGGAGCGGCGTCTGTGACTGGCTCTTCGTCCTTGACCTTGTCAAGAGCAGGTCTTTTGGCATCGGGCTGATCGGTAGGGCCATTGGGCGATGAAGGCTCCTCGAGGGGCCGCTTTTGCGAAGGCGCAGTTGCGGGAGCTGGTGAAGTCGACATTGTTGGTGATATCAAGCGCGCACAACAATAGTCACGCTACTGGAAGTGGATTGTGCGAGAATCTTGTGTATAGGTCCTTCTATTCGCTTCTTTTACGTACACTTGGGGGAGTGTGCTGAAGTCCAAAGGAAACGGGATCGGGATGGACGGGACGGAGGGCGATCGAGATGGGGATCGTGCAAGGTGGTGGTACTGGTAGAGAAAGCGGAGGGTGGTGCTGGTGAGTGCGGGTGATGAGTGTGCGCGGAAGAGATGTCGGCTAGTCAAAGTTGACAATAGCTGGTATCTGGGGAGCTGGTGCTGCGAAGATTTGGCGGTAGGCTGTGGGCAAGGTGCAGCGAGTATAGGACACTCTAGACGAGTGGTGGAGAGAGGCTTGAGATGGAAGCGCCCAGCGAGAACAACGAAGGGAACCCTTGTGCAACTGAACCAACAGAGAGTGAGAGAAACGGTCGTGCCAAACCTGAGAGCTGCGCTTAAAGCCGCGGCGATGGCGATAGGTTTGAGGTGGATAGACGATGGTACGATGAGGAGCGTAGGGGGTTCGAGCGAGGCTGGAACGACTCTGAAGCTGTGCGACGCAGGAACGACGGGAGTGCGCAACCGTGGCAGCAACGAATCAACAGCTCGTGACAAGGCTGGGCGCTTGCTGCACGGTCCACGCCTGCTTGCGTATTGAACGACTCCTGGACTCTGTGATGGAGTTTTTTATATAGCAGCTTGATTTGTGGTATAGACCACGTGAATATGTTGGAAATATGTTGGAAATATGTTCTTGAAAGGTGACAGACCTGTCTCACGGGTCACAAGAGTCAAAGAAGACTGCCCATGACTCTGCTCTCTACCGATGGAAATGGTCAGAATGTTTCGGCGGTGCTTGGCAGGTGGGTGCGCCAACGTCACAATTGAGTCCAGTCACAATATTCCAATCCTTCCCTTGTTACGCTTCCCGAGTATCACATACCAGCCGGAGTCAGTGTTGCCGTCTACTCTTATACTCTGAGGTGATTTGGTTCATCTTAGCCCACGCAACTCGGATCTTTTGCCTGCCTACCGCATCCGCGCCCACAGCCCTTCACGATCGAACTTATTGCAGCCCGTGGCTTTGATTAGTACCATGGCTCAACCTACCCAACTCGCATGTACGCGCCCTTGGTATCAGACGGCCAAACAGAATACTGGACTGACCTGTGGCAGATCGCACGGCTAAGGGTGTCGGCCTCTTCAACGCCGCGCCTGCGTATGAAGCGCTCCCAGGCTTCACCAAGCCAGAGGGCAACCTCCGCTGTTGTGTCTACTCGCCTGACGGCCGCTTCTTCGCCTGGGCCTCTCCCGACCAGTGAGTCTATTCCCTCTTCCAATTGTCACCCACAAACTGACGCATCGTCTAGAGTGACCGTGGTCGACGCAGCACAAGGCCACACGGTCGCGACTCTGCCCACCCAGAACGTCTTCGAGCTGGGCTTCTCTCCCCATGGCACCTACATCATCACCTGGCAGAGACCCACCAAGGACGAGAACGGCGACGCCGTGAAGAACCTCAAGGTCTGGCGTACTCTCGAAGAGGACACCGACCGCCAAGTCGTTGGCCAGTTCGTCCAGAAGAACCAGACCGGCTGGAACTTGCAGTACACCCTGGACGAGGAGTTCTGTGCTCGCTCCGTCACCAACGAGGTTCATTTCTACAAGGCCTCAGACCTGGCCAACGTCCACAACAAGCTGCGTGTTGAGGGTGTTCAAGATTTTGCTCTGTCCAAGGGTCGCAACGCCAACATTGCTGTCTTTGTGCCCGAGCGCAAGGGTATGCCTGCCCAGGTCAAGGTCTTCAACGTCCCCCACTTCACCTCTCCCGTCTCTCAGAAGACCTTCTTCAAGGCCGACAAGGTCCAGCTCAAGTGGAACAACGAAGGCACCAGCTTGATCGTCTTGGCCCAGACCGATGTCGACAAGACCAACAAGAGTTACTACGGCGAGACCAACATGTACATTCTTAGCTCCAGCGGCGCATTCGACTCGCGCATTACTCTGGACAAGGACGGTCCGATCCACGACGTTTCCTGGTCGCCCAACTCCAAGGAGTTTGGTGTCGTCTACGGCTACATGCCTGCTAAGACCACCATCTTCAACCAACGTGCTGTCGCCCAGCACAGCTTCAACCTTGGTCCTCGCAACACCATTATTTTCTCTCCTCATGGTCGCTTCGTCATTGTCGCTGGTTTCGGCAACTTGGCTGGTACCATGGACATTTACGATATGGAAAAGAACTACCAAAAGGTTTCGACCATCGAAGCCAGCAACGCCAGTATCTGCGAGTGGTCTCCTGATGGCCAGCACATTTTGACCGCCACCACCAGCCCCCGTCTGCGTGTTGACAACGGCATTCGCATGTGGCACGTCTCCGGTTCATTCCTATACAACGAGGAGATGAACGAACTTTACCACGTCACTTGGCGTCCCGAGTCCATCGAGAAGCACCCTCTCGGCAATCCCCTGGCAAATGTGCCTGCCCCCCACGCATCTGCCGCCGCCCATCTTGCCACAAAGAAGGCCCCTTCCAAGCCTGTGGGTGCTTACAGACCCCCTGGTGCTCGTGGCTCCTCCACCCCCTTGCACTTCAAGCGTGAAGACGAAGGCGGTGCCGCTTTCATCAACCAGGGCATCTCCTCCGCTAACATCGGAGCTAATGGCTTCGGTTCCCGCCCTAGAAGACGCGAGGTCCCTGGTGCCGAGCCCACCGACCCCTCAGCTGCAGGCGCTGCCCCCGGTGGCGGCGTCAGTCTCGCCGGCGCTGACGGCGATGAGAACCTCAGCAAAGCAGCCCTCAAGAACAAGAAAAAGAGAGAAGCAAAGAAAGCCAAGGAAGCCGAAGCCAAAGCCTCTGGTCTCGCTCCCGAAGCCAATGGCGATGGCCAACAACGCAGAGAACGCAGTAGATCAAAGTCTGGTCAACAGCAAGGGCCCGTCCGCGGTCAATCCCACCGCGGCGAAGCTCCCTCTACACCCGCCAAGCAAGCTCCCACACCCGCCCCTGCACCTGAAGTCACTGTCAGCAGCCCTGCCGTCGAGTCCAGTCAAGATAAAAAGGTGCGCGCTCTATTGAAGAAGCTGCGCGCCATCGACGATTTGAAGATGCGTCAGGCTGGTGGTGAGAAGTTGGAGAATACACAGGTATCAAAGATCTCCACTGAGGAGGGTGTTCGCAAGGAACTTTCTGCTCTTGGCTACAACGAGTAGGGGAGGCCATTAGATATACTGTTCTCCTGCACAAGAAGAAACATGTGAAAAGTTTAGATATTTTGTTCTTCATGATGGAAAAGCGAATTATGATCCTCTGTTCTATTCACTTGATCGTTTCTCTCGTTGATTTTATTTTTTATTTCTTGCTTCTTTTGCACCACGAGCAGGGTCGTACCCATGACCAGCAATCTTTGATTTGATCATTAGTAACTCAACAGCCACAAGCTTCTTGGACTTTGGCATTGAGCCAGATCATGGAGATAGACTGTCGAGTCGTTCTATTAGCATCTCATCATCATAAGCCGGTGGTATGGCTATCAATTGCGACGAATCCTTCTGGCTAACATGCAATTCTGAACCTTCTCCATGAACAAAGAGTCTGGCTTGAATCCTCCCCAGAGAAAGCAAAACGTGAAATATCGAAACTCTCACCACAAAAGTCAAAAGACCGGATGATTACAATACTAGTAGAAGTGAGGTCATGTTCCAAAGTGCTGAATTTGACGGTCAGTTTTTACGGGACAGAGGGGTGATATCGTAGATCTAGGTGCATCGGAAGAACAAATGTTGTGATACGGGGAACCTAATCTGCAGCATGAACGCACTTAGATGAACTACCGGGCTGGAAGATGCCCTTGATCTTTCAAATATGTATCCGAGCCTGGCATCATATGCGTAAGTGACAATATGGTGATCCGTTGAGACTGCTCGAGGTCCAATGCTTGCCAGTGCTGCAAGGTATCTATATGCCACTTCCACGGATGTGAGTACAACATTAATACCTTATGGTGGTAGGTAACTCGAAAACAGCAGATGCCATGTCTTGACAGCTGCGAAAGCGATCCGGACATCCTATATACCGTGTTGATATTTTTTTCCGATCGTTCTTCGTATGGCGGCATTTGCAGCTGTCCAGTTTCAAACCATCTACTGGAGTAGATCCTGCTGTCGTTCAGCCGTCGACTGATCTAGAACTGTAGCAGCAGTGCTTTGCTGATCAGAGAATTCTTTCTTTTGCTGCCGTGCTCAACGATACCTTAGTTGGTCCAGTTCAAGACTGGTGAAACAAGATGCATCTACGACAGACATTAACGACAGGGTCTGACTTTGGCTCAAGGCTTCCCTCGCCAAAGCAGTCTGTCCGTGTCTCCAGTAGCTTGTTGTATGGATGTGGCTTGTCTTCGTTTGGGACAAAGACGCGAGTGAAGACTTTCTGTTCAAGACGGAATTAACTAGGGCAAGGGCAAGATTGATATACCCTTTCTACCGCAACCATCGGTGAGAAGTCTAGATGGCCAGAGCTTTACGAGAGCAGAAGTCGGGAGAGCGGCATGACGGGAGGTGCATGGATCTATGCACCTACTCAAGCGGATGATCGCGAACCTGATACGTGGAGTGATGGCCGACGCTCAATAGACCCAATCGAGCAGGTAGGTAGGTATTAGCGAAAGACCTAGAAGTGCAAAGAAGCGCGATGCAAAGTGATTCAGAAAGACGAAGCGACCAATAGATTGCTTCGGCCGAGTGATGAGAGATGCCGAGCATGCAGATGAGGGTTGCTGTCTGGTAAGACACGAGAGATTTGACGCCGAGCCGGCATGTTCGTCCAAGACGGATGGAGATTCGATGATTTTATTGGCCTCCAGACGAGACAGATCTTGTGATGGCAAAGATCTCGGTAGACCGGTGTCCTCAGTCGACTGTCTATGTCGACATGTGTCGGCCTCGTGCTCGGTCGTCTGCGGGTGAAGCCTTTCTCACAGAGCCGCTCTATTGTTTCGAATAGTTCGTAAATAGCACGCGGTTAATATTGGCCCTAAGCTGTACCGACGACTTTTTCTTCCAAACTTTGAGATGGACAGCCATGAGGGCATGTTTCAATGTGATCCGAGGATGCTCTCAGATTCGGACTCGCTGTGTTTCAAAACTGATGCCAAGCACGACTTCGAGAGGCCAACGTTTCAGGCAAGGACGCCTCCAACGTTCTTTCCTACAAGTCTGTCAGATCCAGCTGCCTACCTGGGTGTGAACATTGGCCATAAGATGTAGTAATATGCCAGATTTTCTGAATATGGCCTGGCTGTTCGACCGCATAGAAGATGGACGCATCCTTAGCGAGCAAAGAAGCCCCTGATCTGCAAGTCGATTCGCTTCACCCGGAAAGGGTCTCTCGGGTCCACAAGCCTTTTACCAATAGACGAGCCTCGTGGTGGGCAGTAGTCACTCTCTGAGTAAGACTGAAGAAGCACTGCCACAGTAAAAGTGTCTCAATTGAGCGAGACGGCAATTAAGATGAAATCACCGCCGGATCAAAGAGAACGGCAAGCGCTCGACTGTGAGGCGCTCGACTGTGAGGCGCTGAAGCTTGGACCAGAACAGCCGGCGTCTCGCTTGGTGCACACTGCAGCGGTCGACAAATCGCAGCTGGTTCTTCACGTTTTGGAGGAACGTTGACAGAGATGCATGACTGTTGAACTCTTGTTTTGACCACATCCATCAAAAGAGCATAGCCAAAGAACTACAACAAAGTGCATTATCTCCAGATCTACCAGTAGTCGTCGCATGGTCTGTCGCCAGCGACGCAAATAGCAGCAGATGATTTGCCCTAGCCTAGAATGCTGTCTCCCGGAATCTGATGGGCAACAGCCTATCATCATTTCTCTTGATTGCAGGACTTCCAGAGAGAGACATATGGACTCCGGGGTGAACGGATTCGGCTGAGTCTGAAACGAATCGCATCACTATCCACGAGGAAGACCTTCTCCGGTGAACGATCTCCCGCTTCTTCGACAACTCCACATGAAACGCTGGCTGCGCTCTGCCCCGTATTCTATGACTTGGTACCTGCATTAGACTGGACCTTGGTGGTGGTCATGCTCGGATCATGGCTTGCTTGGTCGACTACTGATGGCCAAACATGCGACAGCAGCGCATCGCGCTCGTGCCAGGTCACACTGACTCTGCACCCGAATATCCCATGCTACCCAGTAGATTGAAGAGGCGAAAGGTCTATAAGGTATGAACATGTCCCTCCAACACTGACTGTTTTTGCTCAGTCGATTTTCATTCTTTTCATATCCAACCCATTCTTTCGTTGCTGGAGAGCTAGAGTCGTTCGTTTTTCTCTACTCCCTTGTCTTTTGCTACACACCACGGCAGCTTCCTGTCCATTTTATCAGTTCTTTCCATAATCGTCAAATCAGAGCTATGCAGCTCACGTCCGCCACTCTCCTCGTGGCTGGCCTTGCCGTCCAGCAGGCCTCTGCTACTTTCCCCTGGCTGATTGATGCCGGCAAGTTCAGCACCTGCAGCAACACCGATACTACGTGTTCGGCTGAGCAGCACAAGGGTTACGACTGGACCGGCCTCAACATTGGTACCCCCGTCACTAGCTACGGTGCCAACACCTTCTCTGGTGGCTGGACATGCAACAGCCTCAAGTCGAAGCGTGATGAACTGACCAAGCGTACCTTCAACTCGAAGTGCGTCTCTGGTAAGCTTCCCTCCAGGGGCTCTTCCGGCTCTTCATCCAAGAACGGCGCTGGTAGCCTTTCTATTGGATGCAGCGGCGAGAAGAACAAGTTCTCCATCTCCGAGATGCACATCTCTTCCACCTACAACACCAACGTGGACTGCCACTACAACATGCCTGACGGTTCCGTTTGCAAGCACAGCGTTCCTTGCAATGCTGGTGGTTCCATTGTCAAGAACACGCAATGTGGTGGTGCCGTCTCGGTCTCTTTCTCTCATGGCAAGCCCTCTGGTAGCGACAACTCTAACAAGGGTGACTGCAACCTCAACATCCACTCCGTTGGCTTCGCTTGCGGCTCTGGCTCGTCTTCTACCGGTATCTCGCTTCCCTCATCAGTCGCCACCCCCTTGTCTTCGGCTGTCTACGTTTCTTCTGAATTTGTGTCTTTCAGCACTGCCTCGCCTGAGACCACATCTTCTGAGACAACCCCTGAGACCACTTCCGTCGAGTTGCCTTCCTCCACTCCTGCATCCGTTATCGTCTCGAGCGGCAGCGTGGTTGTTCCTGGCACTTCAGCTCCTTTCCCCACTGGTGGTCAGAACCAGACTACCGCTCAGCCTACTGTCGATAGCAGTGCTGTTTACGTTCCCACCAGCTCGGAAGTTTCCCCTGCTCAGTCTTCTACCCCTGCAGTGATCGTCTCTTCAGTTGACACTGGTGTCTACCCATCGTCGGTCCCTGTTGGCACTGGATACTCTCCTTCCGTTGTTGTACCCGTTGGCACTGGATCTTTCCCCTCTCCCAGCACTGGTGTCTACGCCAACAGCACCGTTGTTTCATCTGCCACAACTTCATCTGTCAGCAGCCCTATTCCTTCGGTTGATGTGCCAGGCGTCGGCGTCGTAGCCTCATGCCTCAACACATACTTGCACAACACCAACTGCACCGACAACACCGATGCCGACTGCTACTGCAAGGATGAAGACTACATCAACAGTGTTTACCAGTGCATTGATGCTTACGGTGGTTCGGACGAGAACGTTTCCCAGGCCATGTCCTACATGATCGGTATCTGTGCAAAGGCTATTCCTTCCAACCCTGCCATCATCACTGCTGTCCCCTCGAGCATCGATATCCAGCCTACCTCATCCACTGTCAACGCCGTCACTGGCTCTTCCCCCAGCTCTGCTGTCCCCGTTGGCTCTTCAGACGTTCCTGCCGGATCTTTGACCACCGAAGTCCCTACCAGCTCTGCCACTGACTCGATCGTTTACGTTACCGATGTCGTCAAGAGCACACTGACAACATGTCCTGTGGGACATACAATTTCGACTGCTGGCACTACCACAGTTCTAACTGCACCTTCCGTTATCGCTACTGAGATCACCACCAAGTCTACCATCACTGCCTCGATCATCTCCTCAGTGACTGGCGCTCTTCCCTCAGGCGAGACTGCTTACGAGACCTCTCCTGTCGAGACATCCGCTGCTCAGAGCTCTCCTTCCGAGACCGCTCCTGTTGAGACCTCGTCTGCATCTGTTCACGTCCAGGTTCCCGTGACCGTTACTCTGTTCAGCACTCAGATCGCCACCATCACCTCGTGTGCCCCTGAAGTCACAAACTGCCCAGCTCGCGAATCAACGACTTTGATTGCCACTGCCAGCACTACCAGCAACATTTGGATCCCTGTCACCTCTGCTCAAGAGACTTCTCCCGCCGAGACCTCCTCGGCTCAGGAGACTACTCCTGCCGAGAGCACCCCTGCTGCTTCTTCGGGTGTTTACTCTGGTGTCGTCTCGACTGCCGTCCAAGTTCCTACCGAGTCCAGCCCTGTTTCATCCGCACAGGAGACCTCGCCCGTCCAGAACACATCTGCTCAGGAGTCTTCCCCCATCGAGACTGTCCCTGCTGCCTCCTCCGGTGTTCTCTCATCCGTCGCTGGAACTTCCTCGAGCCCCGCATCTTCTGCTTACGAGACCTCGCCTGCTGAGACCACTCCTGCCTTTACCAGCGCTCCTTCGGTCCCCAAGACTGTCACTTTGTTCAGCACCAAGGTCGATACCATCACTAGCTGCGCTGAAGACGTTACAAACTGCCCCGCCGTCACAAAGACTTCTTTGATCGCAACTGGTGTCACCACCGCACCTTCTGCCTATCAGACTGATGCTGTCCCCGCTTCGTCTGTTCCCGAGGTTCAGAGCACTGTCATCGTCACCGACGTCGTCAAGAGCACTATTACTACATGTCCTATCGGCCATACAATTTCGACAGCTGGGTCTACCATCGTTTTGACTGCTCCTAGCGTTATCACTTCTCAGATCACCATCAAGAGCACCATCTCGACCACTGTCCCCGCTCAGACCCAGGCTGTTGTCTCGCCCGAGTCTTCGGCTGATGCTGCTATGCCTTCGTCCCCCGCCAGCGCTCCTGCAGGCCCCAAGACTTTGACCATCTACTCTTCGGTCGTGGCTACCATCACCTCATGTGCTGCTGACGTTACCAACTGCCCCGCATCGTCCACAGTTCAGAGCACTTCTTTCTACGCTGTCGGTACTACTGTCTCGGAGGTTTCCAGCGTTCCCGCCATCACTGGCTCCGAGATTGCACCTGCCACCACTGCACCCGCAGTTGTTGCCAGCACTCCCATTCAGCCCATGACCACCATCACCTACTCTTCTGAGCTTGTTGTTCCTGCCACCTACACTGCTGGCGAGTCCCAGGGCGCCACCATTCCCGAATCGAAGATCACCTCGACAATCCACAGAACTCTTACCGTTCCTCAGGTTCAGTTCATCACTGCAACTGTTGGCGGCAAGCCTACTGTCGGTTTGACCTACCCTTCGGCAGTCCCTGCCACCACCACTCCTGAGGCTGTCCCTACCAGCCCCATTGCAGATGCTGCCACTCCCGCAGTCTCCGCACCTGCAGTTTCGGCTGCCAGCTCGGGCTTCGCTCCCAAGTCTTCCACCCTGGCTAGCACTTACAACATGCCTGCTAAGCCTACCGGCAGCCCCATCTCCTACACTGGAGCTGGTGCCAAGGTCAGTGGCTCATTCGCCGCCTTTGCCTTTGCTGCCGTTGCCGCGATCTTTGTTCTGTAAATCTAGAGCATCGCATAAATGTACAAAAAGATTTCCTTTCTCATTGGCGAGTTAGCGAAGGGGGAAGCAGATGTTTGGAGGATGTAATGGACGGAGTACTCGCTAATCAAAAACGCGCTTAATCGTCTCCGGTCTGGTATTGAAGAATGAAATGTATAGCGTTTGTTTTTAGCTGTTACGCACCACCCCTCTGGTCACGCTCTGTGCTATAAGCAGAAGACGTTTCCATTTCTTTTCACGACTTTCCTTAAGTAGTACGCCTAGATAGCGGCATTTATTTCCTATCATCAAAACAATTATCAATCTCAAAGACATTCCTTACAGATCTTGCGCCAGTAGAGAAGGGTCTTGGATTTGTGCTTGAGTGAAAGCATTACGTTGACACTGGACATTGTAGACCATGAGAAGCATGGCTCGTTACGAGGGCTTCGAGCAATTGAGTTGCTATTGCCATCACAGCATGATCGCTCTCTCTGCAAATGAAATTTCTCAGGTTGCACATGCATGCACGTATTCATCTACGGGTCTCTGCGTTTTCATGTGCAAATCACTGCTAGATACGTCATGCATGAAGTTCGGGAGAGTGCGTCAGCGAGGACGCGAAAGTGACACGCTTTTTGAGCGTTGGAAGTTGGAACCTCCTTCTATCTTGTGGGGTGGCATTCTGACATCCTTTCCTTCATCACAACCATCTTTTAAGTTATCAATGTAAGAAGGCCATCATCGCGGCAGTAAGTAACTTGAAAATTGACATTGTATCGGGCTCGTTTGCCTTTAGAAGGTGACTTGTATTGTCGCCAAAACAATGTTACACAGCGTCTTGAGACAAGCTGTGCCGCTCATATGCAGCAATGGCAGACTGCATAGCCAAAGTGAAGTGAACTGATAAGGTCGTTCGACATCTGCTGGTTTGGTCGTACTTTAGTTGTAACCCCTTCACCTTGACTAAAATATTGCCAGTCATTCGCTCGTCTTTCTGATTACTCCTTTTTAGGACCACAGCATCTTCCTCACTCTCATCTCTTCCTTCTAGACTCTTGCCTGATAAATCATTCGATCTAGCCTCTCAGCCATCAGCCGTCAAGGAACGCGCAAAGCGCCAAAGCCACTTGCAACATGGAGGTCTTCGTCCATCGCGTACCTCCGCAATGCACAGAGCGTGACGTCAAAAGATTCTTCAACAGACCTCTCGCCGAATTCGACATCACCAACTTCGTGTGCGAGAAGTTTCGTAGCAGAGCCTGTGCAAAACTCATCTTTCTGGAAGTCGATAAAGGCAATCGCTTTCTTGCTAAATATGGAAAGTCCAACGGCCAGCAAAGACCGACCGTCCAGCTCATCATGAACGGCATGGACATCAACTGCGCCGTGTCCAGGAACGAGCCGGATGAATATGTCCTGCGCAGTCTTGAGCAGAGAGCCACGCAATCGACTGTATCGGTCCACAGTCGTACCACCGCTCGCACTCAGGCGAGCTTCAGCTTCGGTATCTCTCATCTGCGCTGTGGAGTCTGGTCCTTCCTCAACGGCGAACTCACGTTTGAGTCACACTTTGAGGACCAACGATCTGGCCAGATATTGTTTGGCCATCGCCAATTGGCTCTCCTTTAGAACGACAACAGCCAATCTGCATACCGCATCGACATCAAGTACTTTGATGTTCATACAGCAACGACAGGATCTTACAAATCTCCGACTATCAGTTTCGCACTGCAAAGATCTTCTAGGTTCTACTGTGAACCTTCAACAGACCTTTTAAACGCATTCGCAAACTTCAACCTGCTGAACATGCATGATGTTCCGATGCTATCCTCGAAGAAAAAGCGAGTTACGAGCATCAACGAGGCCCATGCTGGTGTTGTTAGTACCTGCTTCGTATATCAGGTACAGCTTGTCGACTGTAGGCAACTGCCCGAAGTCTTCTACCTGTTAAGGGACAATCGCCACATCGCATCGGTCGCGAATCGCCCAACTCCGACCGTTTCCCCTGCTGTCAGCCTGGCATCTTCGTTCGAGAGATTGGATCAGACTCTCGTGGCTGGGGATACCTACAGAGCCTGGCCGTTTGAGGTCAAGTTTCAGATCCTTCGACTGGCTAGGAACGGTGTGCTCTCACCCGATCAAGTTCTCGAAATCCTTCCGACGGTCTCTCTATTGACCGAGAACCACGACGAAACCGTTATTGTCATTGCTCTGAGGCGCTTGTGTTACAGTCTGACACCAATCGGACCCCATTCAGAGCCTGAAGAGTACTCTTTGAAGACAATTGGCAACAATCTACTCGATTATGCGCAAAAGTACGACGACTCTAGGTCTCAGAATTCGTATGAGCTTCTCAACCGTCATGCTCATCTCGTGCTTGTACACAAGCTTACCGTGACGCCCACCGGCGTTCATCTCCAAGGACCAGAGCCTGAAGTCAGCAATCGAGTCTTGAGATCTTATAAGGATCACTCAAACCACTTCCTCCGAGTCACCTTCACAGATGAAGATGGTGGACCTGTACTTTATGACGTTAAATCTGACCAAAAAGGTGTGTATGCTCATTTCAAGAACTTCACAGAATCGGAATACTCCATCGCGGGCAGAGACTTCTCGTTCTTGGGATTCTCTCATTCGAGTCTTCGTACACAAACGTGCTGGTTCATGGCACCCTTCGAGTTCCGTGGAGCAGATCTTACCGCCTCAAACCTCATCAAGAACCTGGGAGATTTTGGTCACATACGCAGCCCCGCTCGCTGTGCAGCTCGTATCGGACAATCTTTCAGCGATACCACTGGAACTGTGGAGGTGGAAGCTCGTATGCAGGACCCACCTCACGATGTCGAACGCAATGGTCGATGTTTCAGCGATGGTTGCGGTACAATCTCACTTGGTCTTCTTCGAAAGGTTTGGGGTAAGTATGGATCGAGACGCACTCTGAAGCCCGTCGTCCTCCAAATTAGATTCGCTGGTGCGAAAGGCGTGGTGTCTCTGGACTCCCGCCTCACTGGGGATCAGTTCAAAATTCGGCCTTCCATGGAGAAGTTCACCGGCTCTAACTCAAACACACTGGAGGTCTGCGGTGCGGCATGGCGACCATATCCCATGGTCCTCAATCGTCAGTTCATCAAGATCCTTGAAGATCTGAATGTGCCCCTTGAGTCTTTCATGATACTACAAGACAGAGCAGTGGAGAAGTTGAGGATGATGACTACCAATACCTTGAACGCCTCATTCCTCCTCAACGGCACACAGACAAGCAAAGCCGCACGTTTGCCAGGTCTTCTTGAGATGCTGTCCGATATCGGTCTGGAGTACCACGACGACTCGTTTCTTCGTGGGGTTGTTGAGATGGCCGTGATCACAAAGTTGCGCGAAATCAAGTACAGAGGTCGTATACCCGTCGAAAACGGAATCACCCTCTATGGCATTATGGACGAGACTGGTTATCTCAAGGAAGGACAGATCTACGTTGTCACTCAAAGCTCTTTGGATGAGCCCAGAAAGGTCCTCCCGGGAGGTAGAGTCATCATCACACGCTCTCCTGCACTCCATCCCGGCGATATCAGAACGGCGCAGGCCGTCGACGTCCCCGACAACTCGCCTCTCAATTACCTTCGGAATTGCGTTGTTTTCAGTCAGCATGGTCGTCGCGATTTGCCCAGTAAGTTCGATAAGATCACGACTCAGTGGAACCTTCTTGTCTATCAAAGGGACCGTGCATTTCTATAGCTGCCCGCGTGACATGTCTTTGCACATGGGAAGCACAGGCTCCGATGTTGGCAGGCAGATGGTCAACAGAAGACTAGGATCCAACAACCATGACTTCAAGACTTGCTGTTCTCGCTAGTGGGCGAGTCGGTTTGAGCTAAGGATCCAGGCTTCAATCCTTGATCCAGTGCCTGTTTCCTTGCACGCAATTCTGCAAGTTTTACGATGCCCTCGTAACCTCTAGGCAGGGCTTTAGTAGGATCGTCTCCCGCAAAACATGGCGTGCAGTCGAAAAGTGTTGGGTCATACTTGCGTTGCTAGAAGGAGAAGGTATGGTCAGCATTCCTCTTGTACAGGAAACACCACAGTCTGATGATGGAGTCCAGAGAACGCACTTGATGCAGTGCTGGACACTTGATTCACATCTTGGTCTTGAGATGGAGGACTTGTGGTGATTTTTCGCTCGCATACGTACCCACCACAGCTTGGCTCCGTTGACCGGAGGATAGTTGCATCTTTCACAATTTCTCTCGACCTTAACATCTGATAGCACGGGCACGTGAGACATTCAGTCAAGCTCGTCCCTCACCCAAGCGACCCTTCGCAACTAGTAGTTCCAGGGACGTCCCATTGGACCGAGAGATTGGCCTGAGACCTGTTGATGTGATCTCATCACCTTACGGTATCGAGCGCGGTTATCGGGATTTTCATAATACCTGAGGACCCATGCTTGACAGTGCTCGTAGTGACGTTTGCGATATTCGAGGTCTGTATGCAGCCTGAGTGTGGTGTTTAGTTCGTGGCTGGGTCCATATCGCTTTCTTTCTTCCGGTGCAGCTGCAGAGTCGGATTTTGTATAGCTGATCGAGAAAAGACGCGATGTTGCTGGTACCGTGCTCAATGGCTTGTATGCATTGCGAATGGACATCATGGTCAGCGGCTGAAGTAAAGTCAGAAAGAAGGACAGTCGCGCTGGCAAAGTGAAAGAACACACGAATTGTTGAACTAGTCACTGAACAAGAACGTCGACATAGATATGTAGGTCCGTGCACCCTTCTTGAGGTTCCATCGAAAACAGCATTACGTCGGGTTTTCCTGGATATGTTGCTGCTTCGGTCAACACTGTGCAATTTTGTAGTGAGAAACGCCATCTTGATCTCCGTGGGAGGAGTGTGGATATTAGGTACAAACTCCAGCACACGGGGAGGATGATTGAGGGATGCGGGTCTGGCAACGACCTGCAGAAGGAGAATGAATGCTATAAGGGAAATGTTGGTCTCCTCAATTTCACTCTTACACACATTCTGAACCATGCTGAATGCAGAAAGCGACTCTCAAGAGTATTTCGTTGGAGTTCTTCTAACAAAAGTAATCCACATCTTCAACAACCACACCCAAATACAGCAAATCCCAAAAAGAAACTCGATTGCACCAATTACAAAATGATTTTATCTAGACGTGTAACTCGTTCTACACAACTATTGCGGGGCGGGGACACCGTGGGTATGGCCCTGAGGAGCAGTGCCAGCAGTGAGGCCAGCAGGGGCGTCACCAGGAAGACCGTGGCTGATTGAGGCATCAGAGTTCTCGATGACATTGTCACCAGACTTCTTCTCCCAAGCAGCGGGCTTGACCCACTGCGAGTCTTGCCATGGGCCGGCGTCAGACAGCTCACAGCCGCCGGGGCACTGGCAGGAACCACCAAATTGCTTGGGCAGGTTCTCCTTAGGGATCTGAGCGAGCAGCTCCTTCTCGTAACCGCTGCCGAGAACGTGGATCTTTGCGACGGTGACGGGGTCGAGGAACTTCTTGACCATGCTGAAGACAGACGAGAAGCCCCAGGGAGCGTTGATCAGGTACAGCTTGCCCATGCGCTCGGGGTAGTAGTTTTGCGAGATGGCAGAAGCCTTTTGCACGTATCCGTAAACGCTGCTAACGTTGCTGAGACCGACACCCTTAAGATCCATGATGGTGCACGAGGTTTCGAGGAGGTGGCCGGACTTGCGCGAGCAGGCGGGCAGACGGGGGTCAGCGACCTTTTCGTACTCGACAACCAGGTTCTGCAACATGCGGTCCTCGGAAGTGATCTTGTACATGGCGGTGAGGTTGATCTTGCCGAGCTGCTCGATGTAAAGGGGACGGCCGTCCTGTGGTGTGTCAGTTTAGAGTGGTCAACGAATGCAGTCTTCTTCTCTTGCGCACCTTGTCGGTCTTGTGGTAGTACTGGGGGTAGTACTTGAAGACTTCGGTCTTCTCCTTGTACTCGAAAGTCTGCAACAGGTTGTCGACGCCGCCACCAAACTCCTTTCTCCACTTCTCGCAGTCGACGAACCTGTGCCACAAGTGTCAGACGGATTCAATTTGTTGGTTCTCGACCAAACGTACATTTGCTTAGCATGCTCGACGTTGAACTTTCTGGCGCGAAGGAAACGGAGCATGGTCAGGGTGTCGAGGCGCTCGTGGAAGCCCGACTGCTCGAGCGAAGCGCGGAGCTGGTGGACTTGAGCATCCTGTTCAGGTGTGGTGTGGCCGGGGTGTCCGCTCTGGTTGGTGTTTGAGACGGTGGGGAAGTCGTAGTGGTCGTACTTGGGGTCCTGGGCGATGGCGGCCATTGTGAAGGGTGTCGCTGTCGTCGGTTGTGAATTAGAGGGGTGACTGTCGTCAAGCTGTATAGGCAACAAAGGAGTGTCGAGCAGTATTGCCGAGTGTTTCAGACAGGATGGATGTGACAAAAGGGTGGGGACAGGGTGTAGAAAGTCGGTGACAGACAACAACTGCTCAAAGACCCAAGACGCCCCTCGTTCTCAAGTTAAATGACGTTTGTTGATCAAAGCTCAACCTTCCTGCAATCACAAAACACCACGACAGCTGTTCTACCTCCAACATATCCACCCACACATGCATATGGACACATCATCACCACATCTAAAAGAGGCACAAGCTTTTTTTCCAAGATTTACTATGACCAATGAATGTTACTTGCTACCGATGGGACTGCTAGCCAACCTGCCTTTGCCCTTGTCGTTCTCCAGCAACAGCGCCTCGTTCTGTGCACTCTCAGCTCCAGCCATTGTGTCGAAGTCGTCGTCTGTGAAACCGCTGTAGCCCGAAAGCATCGAGCTGCTGCGTCCTCTGACTTGCGTCGCTCCGCCGTTGCTGAGTCCTCCAAATCCTTGTCCAAACCCACCACCAAACATGCTAAAATCGAATGCAGCGGGTTGGCGATTGGGAGGCCCGTTGGTACCAGGGAGATTGCCTTCAGGAGTGGGAGGTCCGGAGAGAGTCTGTTGCTGTTGTGCGACAACGTTGGTGAGATATTCCATGTGTGCAAACGCCTCGTTGGCCCGAAGGGTGTTGTCTTCAGCATCTTTGTTGCTTTGCTGGGTCCAATACAAGATGTTGGCTTCCTGGCGCTGATACTCGGAGATTCTGTTGGCTCGCTCCTGGTCATGCTTTTGTCTAGCGCTCATATCGGCTCTCTTCTGGTTGGTCAGGCGGTCGAGTTGTTCCGTCAGCTTGCCCTTGCGGGTGCTAAGTCGCTCACGCTTCTGAGCAGCTGATGTCAACTCAGACGTGACTTGCGAAATTTCGCGCTGAGCTTGAGACTTGGCAGCTTCGAGGTCTGCCATGGCAGCAGACTTCTTGTCGCAGGCAGCTTGCCAAGCACGTTTCTTCTCGTTGTACTCGCGAAGCTCAGCCTGAGGAATCTCGCCCAGAGCATCAGTCTCGTCCTTAAGAGCAGTGGTTGCTTCGTTGGCTTGACGCAGGTGCTGAGTCAACTGTAGGATTCTCTGTCGCTGGCGTTCATCCTGACCACCACTAGAGGCAACCTTGGCGTTGAGCTGATCGATCTCCTTACGTACAGCAGAGGCGGCGTTCTTGTGATCACGGCGAGCACGCTTGAGCTTGATCCTAGCATCTTCGCGCTTCATCTCGGCGGCGGCGATAGACTGCTTCAAAGTTGAGACGGGCGATAGTGGACGGAGAGATTGCGGTTGAGGAGGTGCGGTAACGATCGAAGTCTGTTCAGTGCTGGGTGCAGGGAGAGTAACAAGGCCGGTGCTACACAAGACGCTCTGGTCAGACATGCTGACCAGCTCACAGCTGTAGTTAGTTAAAGGTGTCAGCCCGAGTATCTCGCCATGCCACACCGTGTCCGATCCTTCTCCTTCCTCGGTGATCTTGGTCGATCCCCAATCTGCGCCATTCATACGGACAAAGAAGGGCTTCGACTTGTCGATACCTGCACTGACAGGATGAGTCGGATCGGGCTTCGGCCTGGGAGTGGTGGGAAAGGACGGAAGGTGGGCACGGAACAAGATATCGGCAGGACGAATGTCGACAATGGAGATGCGGTCTTCGGTAGAAATGCGTGGGATAAGTTGATTGTCGTTTGTCGAATCGTGAGCAGTAGCTTCTGCTTGGTCTTCGGAAGCTTGTTTCTGTTCCATCTCTTTTAAGAATGTTACTTTTGTACTGGCTATAGCTGCCCATAGCGGTTGTCGACTGCGGACTGCTGTCGCGTGCTTTTTCTTTTTCTTGACTGTCGAAACACGTTGATTGCCATCGCGTATCGTTGACGATGGTGCAAGAGGCCGGCCATCTGAGCCCAGGCCGCCGGCAGGTTCCTGACCTGAATCGCCAGGGCTCGTCGACGACTTGGCTCCGTCTCCATACGATGCTGCTTCCGGATCTTGTTTCTTGCTCGCACTGCCACGGGACTGGTTAGAATACCCCGACAAGGAACGGCGACCAAGAGTCAATATTCCTTGAGCCAGAATGTGACAACCGAGCAGAGCACGGTACCAACCATAGGCAACATAAGGTGAAGATGAAAAGTCGGCCGAAGGAATGGGACTCCAATGTTGACCAATACCAAGATTCTGCAACAGCGAGCGCAGCTGTTCCAAGCCCATGAGATGAATTTTGTTATAACGAAGGAAATGAGATACGCAGACGAGGACACTGCAAGCAGCGACACTCTGACCTGAGCGGTCTGACGCTGCGGTAGCGCCGCTCAGAGAAATGGCTATGACGGCCTGGCCCAAGTCCAAGTAGATGTTTTGTAAGAATAGACCGCTGCACAGATAGACCACCGTCATGACCGCGTCCGTGAAGAGGATTGTAAAGAGCGAGGGTCCACCGGTAGACGTGGCATGGAACCAGTCGGCGAGAGCAGGCATTCCGTTCCATGAGCTCAACGAGACACCGGCGGTAGGAGGTACGAATGTGAGAGATGCGAAGAGACTATGAATGAGCATGACGAGTGCCGGAGGGAGCGACATGAGCAGAATCAAGATGGCAATTGCATCTGACAGCGGGCACGCGCTGAGGATGGTCATGGCCATGGAGAAACTGCTGGCAGCCGAACGGCCCGCAAGCTTGGAGGTATTGACGGCGGAGCTGTAGGCGGGAGCATCGGACACGCGACGAGAGGACTCGGAGGAGGCGGCTGTAACGGGCGGAGTGCTGGTAGCTGCAGCCATGTCGTCGTCGGGCAGCGATGCGGGCGAGTCGTCGGCGATGTCGGGGTCATTCAGGCCTTCGGAAGCGGCAGCAGGGAGCGAGTGGTTTGCCTGACCATTGGTGGTCGGGAGGTGGTTGTTGGACCGCTGCTTGGTGAGTCGCTTGCCAGGGGCAGGTTTGGCCAAACCGCTCTCATGACGGTGCTGATTTGCAGTATTCTTTTGCTTGGCCTTTGGCGGCATCAGCGCGCCGCCAGCGGGTGGTTTTCTCGTACAACTGAGCCCGGCGATTGGGTCGCGGGGCTGCAGGGACGAGAGCGGGATGGGAGAGGTGGCGGTATGGAAAGAGGGTGGTGGCGGGGAGAAAATGCTATGCAAATCGTCAAAAGATGGGCGGCTTCTTAGGGGAACAAACGCTCGCGATGCGTAAGAGCCACCGAGCCGCTATGAAAAGTCCGCTATGCTACCGACACACTATGTAATGTGTCATGTGACGTGCTCCTTCTCTCGAAACAGACCTTGTGTCTTGGGCCCTTGATCTTCTCTGACTACTAGGTTGCCTTTAGATTCAGAGCTAAGCTCGTCGATAACCCCATTGGCTTTGTTGCGGTAAGAGCTTGTTCCTCGGTATTCACCCGACTTCGTACCTTTCGTATGGTCCTTTCTGCTTCCCCTCACTCCCGCATGCTCACCGTATCGCTATCTGCATGTCTTGACACATTATGGACCAGCTCGTGTGACCGAACAAAGTACGAGCTAAAGGCACGCAGCAAGAGCCATGCAAAACTGCTGCATGCACATCCTTGAAAGTCTGCAAGACTCTCCGACTGTTCGAATCATGCACTGGCGCTGTCGATCTCACATGCCGTTCACGCTTGCTCCCACACCAATCGGCTCGCTCTTTCCTCATGAACTGAAACTTACCAGACTTTGAACCTCATGTCTTCTGTCATATGAGCCTGATATCCTGTGCCCGAACGGTCTTGTCGACTCTATTGTCAACGGCTATCTCGAAGCCTTTAGACTGCGGGGCATGTGCAATATGGCCAGTCCCTGGTCTTCTATCCACCTCCGCAATCTATGGCGGCATGCGGCGTGTTGATCGCGCCTAATCATCTCGGCATCAATCTCGAGCATCGTTGCCGGCATCTACCTGTCTGTCTTAGCTATCAATCCATCGATCCGTGCTATAGCACGTGCTGTCAATGCCCAGCAACACCCATGTCTTCCACAGCATCAGGTCTGTCCCACGTCTCCTTCTCTAGTGCTCGAACCTCTTTGAGTAATCGTCTCACTCTCTCGCTGTTCTCTTTCTTTGCTTCCTCCTGCAACTTCCAAGTCTTGCGGAACGCATCTACCATGAAAGGTAATAGAGGTGCCTTTTTACCTGCTTGATAATCATACACGACTATATCCTCCACACACCGTGCTGCTGGTCGCTGTTGCAGCTCAGACATAATGACGACGTCCAAGATGAAAGAGTCTGTTTCTGCCGTCGGTTCAGAGGCGAGTTTGTGGTATACCGAGATATGGTCCGGCCAGGTCATCGGGAATTTGTAGTTAGTAGTGATGGATCTCAGGATCAAGCCCAGACTCTTGGGCGTCATGAGTTCAATCCATTCTTTCCTGTGCTTGGGATCGATATCCACGGCAAAGTTCCTCGTCCAGTTGACGCGAGCTGACTCGGCATACCGGTTGTACATCACGTTGTTGACATGGCTGTTGCCCTTCTCAGCTTCTCATTTCTCCTCCTTTGACATGATTCTACTCACCCCTTGGTCAGTCAGCCCTGCACGCAAATCATCTACAGCAGGGCAAACTCACCATACTGTCCATCTCCCCCCAAACGACCGCATGACGATAAAATCCTCTGCGGTCCTCCGAGGTCAAGAAGCCTTCGCTGCCAGCGACCAACTCCCGCCAGTCTCTTGCTACCGTGTCGAGTACGGCACCTGCTCGAGCCACCTGCTCAGGTCGCATTCCAAAGGTCATGCACTTGCCCAATCGCTGTTTGACATCCGCTAGCCATCGCGGGCTCAATTTCTCAGTTGCTGGTTCGGTAGTGGTGGAGCGTTGGCGTGAGTTTGCGAAACGGACGACATTCTGTGCGACTAGCGATCTAGCATATAGAGGCGCAAGAGGACGAAGAGCGACACGCATGTCTGAGGTGACGATCGAGGAGTAGCAGCAAAAGCCAACAGCAACCTTGGTGGAATTAGAGATGCACAACAAACCTCAGGAACCACACGGGAAGGATTGCCGAGGTGCATTTGGCTCGCATCCACTTCCCTCGTCTCGCCCCGCAAAAGACATCAGCAAGGCGTCATGGGTTTTCCACCACACACCTCATGAGCTGCAGTCCCGTTTTGTAGCATCTGCAAAGGATCGGAGTTTCCTCCAACTACATACCGTTGCTCTTGCTTTGAATTCAGGTCTTCTCTCACTACCGATCGCTGCATCTTGCAATCATGAGTTCTTCAACATCACTGCGCCATCAGGTCATTCGCATCTACAAGGAATTGCTGTACCTAGGTCGCGAATACCCACTAGGATACGACTACTTTCGTCCGCGTCTGCACAAAGCATTTTCCAGCAAGGCAAATCTCACCAGCGAGACTGAGATCAAGAAGGGAATTGAAAGTGCAGAATACGTCAAGAAGGAGATTGAAGCATTGTGAGTAGTGAACCCAACCAGTGGGCATCAGAATTCCATCTATCTACCAAGAGATGCAGGGGGGAATGTGCTGTTGTTCCATTTTCTCCCTGTCAACAGATTACACGGGGCCTAGATCTTGTACAGAGATGAACTGACCACGTTCAGATATTACCTCAAACGCTACCGGGCTCTTAAGCAACGATACTCCACGCCACAATGACGAGAGGCCAAGCAAACTCGAAAAGAGGATGGTAATTCCAGATTCCCATCCTTCAAGCGCCATCCTCACACTTGGTAGCCCACCAGGCCCCGATCTCCAAAACTTCACTACCACCACCACTATTCTCCTGGTCCAGCAATGAAGCCATCATACCAGCCCACCACCTTGTCCACTCTTCAGAATTCTTGCCACTGGCTTCTTTGAGTAACGGCTCCAAAGACTCAATCTTTTGGATCACAGTGAGCATGGCTGTGGAGCGGATGGCCGCTTGATCGTCTGTAAGAAGCACTTCACCACTGGCCTTTGATTTGCTAGCTTTCGGCGACACGGTGCCGAAGAGATTGCCGCTGCTGCCCGAGCGGATGAGTTTGCCCTCTGAGTCTTTTTCCCAGCGCATTTGGCCTAGAGGAATGGCGATGCGGCGGGAAGTTATGTCTGCGAGGCCAGTTTCTTGGTAGAGGATTTCGGACATGCGAGTGCAGGGTGAGGATGGCAGATTCAGTTTGTCCAGAGCAGCGTGGATCCAGATGTTGGAGTCGGCGATGTATCTGTTTTGAGCGGGAGCGAAAGACGTGGCTGTGGAGATGAGATAGGTTTTTGTGTCTCTGCATGTCTTTTCATCTTCGGCGGTCATGCCTTTGGGGAGTGTGGGCTGTGGTAGCAGACAGCGCAGTACATGGTCTGATTCCCAGATCTCGAGTGTGCCTTTGGGTGCTAGGATGCGCATTATTTCGTCCATGAAACGCTGTGTCTCCAGACCCATGTGGACTGTCAATGACAAGTCCTTCAGCATGATATAGTCAAATTGGTTGTTTTCAAACGGCCAAGGGAAGCGTCTGAAATCATGTTGTATGAATCTCCAATTCACACCTTGACGACGAAGATCCGGTGCCAGCGGTGCAAAGTCCAGGCCCGTAAATTCGACGTTCGGGTGTCCCAAACTGGTAAACCACTCATGGCAAGTCCCCGTCCAGAACGCACTTCCACAGCCCAATTCCAAGACTCTTTTCGGTACTTCTTTTGCTATGTTGGGAACGCATGATGGTTTGCCTAGAATTGTAGCGCCTAGCAGTGTTCGTAGCGATTGACGTTGGATCTCTGACAAGTCGCAGGGCAGAGGGTATGGTGCGTCGCGTAGGTAGCGGCGGCCGTGCCGCAGTTCGAATGGGTTGGCGAGTAAGTTTTGCGAGGAATTGCTGGCAGCGGAGGAGATACTGTCGCAGGTACCTTGTCGTTCACGAAACGCTGCTGCTTCCATGGCTCCGAGCTTAGTTGTCGTGTCTGAGGAAGCAGAATCCTTTCTGTATAGGCTGAACAGAGGATCGGAGGTCGCTGTTGCAGCGGAGTGTTGTCTGCGACGTGATCTGCGGAAGGGCGAAGTAGAGCGGGACTGCGACAGCGGCGAGTTTGGAGGCGAGGACGGCAGAGAAGCAGCGGGAGATGAGGGCGAAGAGGGCTGATAAGAATGGTTCACATGGCCAGAAGAATTGCGCAGCGACTGGCGGCGAGAGGTACCTGTTTGTCTGGGCGCATTATAATAAAAATAGGCGAAGCCATCCATTGGGAGATTCTGAGACCCACAACGACCGACTCGAGAAGCTCGAACGCTCCAACACTGTGCACGGGCTCTTGTGTGGAGAGGGTGTGTCTCTGACTCTTGGAGGCAGAGGACAGAGAGACGCCGTTTCGATAAGATAGAGGGCCGTTGCAGGATGAAGCAATATTGTGTTTGACGACCTTGATACTTCGAGGCTGGTATCAATAATGCTTCGTTTGACAAGGATGTGATGTCTGGATTCAATAGGCCGGTGAGGTGGAGGAGACACAAGTGTTGTTAACTTGTGAGACGCTGAGAGCTGAGTGAACGCGTCAAGGTGATGCAGGTACGACGACCACACTGATCCAAAACAGCGACGAGACAGGACGGCATAGCTACAGTATATACTCGCTGAGTCCCCTCACGTCTGGATGGAACAAAGTTCGCCATCGCTTAGGGCCTCATGACCTGTCCTCAGCTGGCACGCTTGTACAGCCCCGCGTTTGGTCGAAATACGATGGTTAATTCAAGGGGCCTTTGAGCCTTGGACTCTTTCAGCCTCCCATCACGCTTCTCACTTGTTGCTGCTGCTGCTGCTGCTGCTGCTGCCTGTCAAGAATGGGATGTGGCTGAATGTCGACGAAAGAGATCTGACGGGAATGGCCCTTGCAGAAGGCGGAATTGCGAAGCCGCTGTCTCTTGTCCAGAGCTGCGGGCCGAGGTGGATGGTGGCTGGATGATCTGATACGAAGATGCTTCAAAGAGAGCTGCTGATCAGATCACGGCTGTCTTCAATTGATGGCAGCACAAGAGTGAAACAGGGCTGACGAGCTGGAAAGATCGTGTGCAGGTTTCGAGTTTCTATGTGTGCAACTCGGTGTGCTAATAGGCACTTCTACGTTGGGAAAGAGGACAGAAAGCAACTGGACGAGAGCAGTCTTTGAAGCTTGACCTGTTGGCAAATAATGATTGGCCGTCAGAGATTGATAACCAACATCTGCGTGTACAACCCAATGCACCCGCGGCTCTCAGGGCTACTATATAGTAGATATCGAGATCTAAACTGTCGCCATATTTGATATTTGGAAGAGGGTGAGTTGGCAGCAGATTCGACTCGTCTTTGTCTTGGCGCAAGCGTCCGTATCCAAAGCTGGCAGGGCAAGACCGCACTTCCCCCGTCATCACGACCTCCATCTGGCGACAAGGTCTAGTATTCTTCCCGACGAGCATTGAGTGCCGAGGGTGAGTTGTTCGTCCTGTTCTGTACCCTGCCGAGCTCGCACCCGCCGCGACGGAGCGCCGTACGAGCAGCCAGCCTGTGACTAAGAGCCTGATACTGACACCATCGTCGTCTTGCAGCAAAGCACATACTTGGCCCTCGATTATCCAACATCGCCATCGCTCGCTATCTACCCACCACTTTGTCACGTACATCCGCTTCGACCCTCGACTCGACACATACGAGCACCCAGCGTCGGCCACCCGCGATCTTACTTCCGCTTTGCTCTGCTCGCTCTCGCCCCGAACACGTCGCGAAGCTCTACCGACAGCGCACCACCCGCCCACCTCCACGCCGCCGCTCTCGCTCAGCCCACCCAGCAGCGGCTGGCCATTTGACACGTGGGATTGGTTCAATGTTAAAGAAAAGAAGAAGCCGTCGCCCGTCTCTCGTCACCGCCTCCCCCCATTCCTAGATGGCCGATGGTGCCTTTCGGTTCCAAGGAGCCGGCCAGTATTTCTATCAACCACAGTCGCAGCGCCAGCTACAGACTCGTCACGGCTCGCCCATCACCACCTCGCAGCGCATTCCCTTCCATACTCAAGACACTCCCTCGCCCAATCGCTCCCCCGGCGCCAACTCGCCCGCTTTCAATACCATGTTTAATCAACATGGCATCCTCAACGGCAACAGTCACCAGCGCTTCCAGATGCACATGAACATGAGCAAACAGTTCGGCCAGCAACAACAGTCGCAGCAGAATTTGCAGACTCATCACCAGAATCAAGCCCACTCTCAACAGCAGCAGCAACCCCACCATGCTCAGCACCAACACCACCACGATGCCTTTGCTTCTCACTCGCACAACCTCTCGAGCTCGACCCCTCACTTCACGCCCAGCCACATGCAGAGCCAAACGCCGCTCAGCACGCACAGCCAACTTAGCAAGCCTTCCAGCGAGCACTGGCAGGAGCAGCAGCGCCTGGCTCAAGTATCGCGTGATGCCACACAACCCCACTACTACGCCAGGAACGCTCATGTCGCCAGCCGGCAGGCTATCGCCCAGCTGGGCCCTGGTGCTAGGAAGACGGAAGACAATAAAGAAGAGCGCGGGAGGAGAATGCCGTACCACGACGAGAAACACGCTTTCACTGCCATCGACTTTGGTGGCCAAGGTCTGCGTGCGCTTGCAAACAATCTCTTCAAATACTACTTCCTCGAGAAGCTCTATGTCAATCAGAACAAGCTCAACTGGTTGGTACCCGAAATTGGTATGCTACGCAGGCTTACTTTCCTCGATCTTTCGCAAAACGACCTCTCGACGATTCCACCAGAGATTGGTATGCTCACAAACCTCCGCACTCTTCTGCTCATCGACAACAATCTCGTCGATTTACCTAGCGAATTGGGCTACCTCTATCAATTGGAGACCCTTGGTCTCGAGGGCAACCCTTTGAACGAGAACATCAAGGATATCATCGCCGAGTCGGGCACTACTGAGCTGATCCGCACTCTGCGTGAGCATGCTCAGGGACCAGAACCGCCTAACGAGCGTGACTGGATTGTCCTCGATGAATCACCTGTTGCGGAGCAAGAACGGTTTGTGGTCTACAGTCACAACATCCTGTGTGACAAGTACACGACCGAAGCTCAATACGGCTACGCCCCATCGCACGCGCTCCTGTGGGAGAATCGCAGAGAGGTCCTTCTGGCCGAGATAAGATCACGCCGAGCTGATGTTATCTGCCTGCAAGAGATTGATGCCGAAGGCTTCAACGAATATTTCCGCCCTCAACTCGCACACGACGACTACCGGGGTATGTTCTGGCAAAAGTCGCGTGCTCACACCATGTCCGAGAAGAACGCCAAATTAGTCGACGGCTGTGCGACTTTCTACAACAATACCAAGTACATTCTTCTCGACAAGCAAGTGGTTGAGTTTGGGCGGACAGCCATCAATCGTCCCGACATGAAGGGCGAGCACGACATTTTCAATCGCGTCATGACTCGTGACGATATCGCAACCGTCGCGTTCCTCGAAAGCCGTCAGACCGGCGCTCGTCAAATGGTAGTCAACCTTCACCTGTTCTGGGATCCGCAATTCAAGGATGTCAAGGTCGTTCAAGTTGCCATTTTGCTGGAGCAGCTTAACCGTCTGAGCAGAGAGTACGCCAAATGGCCCGCTCTCAAGGAAAAGGAACTGTTCCGCTACGCCAATGGTGATGAAGTGGACGAAGAGCCTGTTGAGAAGGCCCCTCCTGCACCCTCGCAAGAGTATGCATCCAACACTGATATTCCGCTCATTATTTGTGGCGATTTCAACAGTACTTCGGAAAGTGGTGTGTACGACTTGTTGGCTCACGGCTCACTTTCGTCTTCGCACGATGATTTGGCAGGCCGCAAGTACGGTAACTTCACGAAAGAGGGTATGACCCATCCTTTCAGCTTAAAATCGTCGTACTCGCACATTGGTGAGCTCGAGTTTACCAACTACACACCTACATTCGTTGGCTGCATCGATTATATTTGGTACTCGACCAATGCTCTAAGTGTTACCGGCCTCCTTGGAGAGATTGACAAGCAATACCTCAGCCGAGTTCCTGGATTCCCTCATATCTACCACCCATCTGACCACATCGCTCTCGTGGCCGAGTTCGCAGTAAAGGTCAAGAAGGAGTCAAAGAGATTGGAGGCAGACTTTGGGCATGGTTCGCACGATCACAGGCACCGATAATGTCGATGTCCACGATACGATACGAACGCACCGACCAATGACTATACAACACGCAAAAAACTCATATATTCACCGCATGAAGGAACGGAATGGGGACTGGAGGAGCTTGTAAGGAGTCTTTGAGTCTGTTGTTTTTCTCTCTTGGAAACGAGGCGCTTTCGAATCAGGACGGGGAAGGGCTGCTTTTGAGGCACATTTGCAAACTGGTGTGGAGGTAGTGTTTTTCTCAAGCAGATCTTCAACCAGTGAGCGGAGAGGTATGGGTCTGCTGGTGATCATGGGAGAGATGGATCAAGGGGCAATCTTTGACACGTTTTTTTGTGGTTTTTCTTTTTCTCGGTGTTTTTTACTTCTTTTCAAGCTACGCTTTTTCCTTCTTGGAACTTCTCTTTCCTCTCTTTTCTCTCTCTTCCTCGATCTCTTGCTTTACTATCAGTGAATGTGTTGGCCAAGCCATCACTCGAAACACGAAGCGGATGGAATGGCTTCTATCTTCTATTCGCTATCTTGTTTGGCATATGCTTCGCATGCTTAGGTGCAAGACAGCGTATATGGACCGGTCATACAGTATGGTGAGATGTCCATGAATCACGGAATGGTTGGGTACAGCCTCCTCATGTGCCCTCACGGTGTTATAGACCGTGATGTTCACTATAGAAATGCACATTTTTCTCTGGAGTAGAGGTAGATCGAAAGATTTGACGTGAGTCGATCATCTATACCCATGTCGTCAACACTTGCTCAGCAATTACTACATGCCTACTTTGCGTAGGAGATTCGTTGGTTCTGGACGGGCTGCCTGGCTCTAATGTTCGGGGTCAACTACTGGAAAGCGAAGCCCAATTTTCAAGATAACTGCATAAGGTCCACTTCTTGGAGAATAGGATCAAAGATACTCGTATATGTAACACAACATGTCCAGACTGCTATTCCAAGTATATATTACGGTGCCACCAGCAACCACAGGTGATTATCGCTGTATGGAGCTGAACTGACGCTTAAGACAGGGTGATACCATAAGCAGAAAAGGGCATAAATGTCGCACAAAAGTATGTTATGCAACGAGCACTTGCCAAACAGGATTCCACATCCACATGAATCAAGAGCGCTTGGACTCGCACCCCGCTTGCATCATGCGTGACCTGTGTGGATAGGGCTGTCGATCGGCAGCGAGTCTGAACTTCCTTGTTGCTATCAGTCAGACAAGCTCAGGCTCATCTCCAGCAGGTTCTAGGACGACAGTCTGAAGCACTCTCAACACGCCGTGCTAGACGCATCATAGACAACTCGCGTGCCTCTTGGACCAATCTGGCTCCTCTCGCTCTCGTTCAGTCGACGTCAGCTTGACCGCTTTCGATCCTCTTCCCTCTTCTGTGACCTTCTGCCTTCTTGCTTGACCCTCTGTTTACCCCTTCACTCCGCTCTCTTGCTTGTATCTGTCTCACTTATTGCTCTCCCACACACTGTCAGCACCATTACCACTTCAAGACATCAAGGTCAAGTATAGTCATGGCTACCAAGGCACACTGCGCCTACTGCTTCGAATCGCTCGTCGCCAGCTTCGAAAGACGAAAGCCACTATCCCTATCCCAGATCGAACAACTCTGGACCGAACAACAAGGAACAGAAGAGGAGGACACCACAACAGACGTCGACGACGATCTAGACCCAAGCACATCTCGCGTACCCGCCATCTCACGCCTCTTGAGCAGCAGCGGAACACCCACCTCAAACTCGTCCTCATCCAGCCTGACCTCCCGCTCAACCCAAGCCTCCACACCCTCCAGCGCGACCTCTGTATCCTCTCGCTCCACAACCTTCCCCTCGGACTCCTACCCTCTGTTCGTAACCTGGAACACCATCTCCCCACGCAGTGGTCAAAAGTCCCTGCGCGGCTGCATCGGCACCTTCGCCCCTCAACCCTTAGAACAAGGTCTCGCTGACTACGCTTTGACGTCTGCGTTCGAGGACTCTCGCTTCCCACCTATACCCTCTTCTCAACTACCACAATTGCAATGTTGCGTTACACTGTTGACTAACTTCTCCAACCCCACCCGTGACATATTGGCTTGGGAGGTGGGCAAGCATGGTATTAGGATCAGTTTTGTGTATCAGGGCAGGAAGCTGGGGGCCACGTATTTGCCTGACGTGGCGAAGGAGCAAGGGTGGACAAAGGAGGAGGCGTTGGTGTCTCTGATGAGGAAGGCCGGATGGTCGGGGAGAAAGGATGAGTGGAGGAGGGTCGCTGCGAACATGGAGTTGGTTACTTATGAGGGCAAGAAGGTGGATCTGGGATACGCCGAGTTTAAGGAGTGGAGAGACAAGGTCGGCGCGTGAGGGTTCGTGCTGGTTGTTGATTGATGTCCTGTTCTTATTGTTTAATGTTTACGACACTGGCGTTTTTGGAATGGATGGGCTGATGTTTGGGACTTTTCATAATCCTTTCAACGAACACAGAGATGAATGCTCTCTCTCCTCTATTTCTCATATTCCTTATCTTCTCGCAAATCGGCAGTTGGATAGTTTTCGCGTCGACTCCGAAAAAAGGATTCAATCTTGCCGCTTACCCCTTCCCATAGCGATCACGACCGTCTTGTCCTTCCCATAGCGATTGCTGTTACACAATCTTTCGCACATAACAACCACCTCGTCAAATTTCCGATATCGTCACTTTTGCGTTTTTTTGCTTGGGAGATGATGCTTGGAAGATAGCGACAAGATAAAAAGAAACAGTGTTCCCGTGTGTAGATGTCTCTTTTGCATCTCTTCACTTTTTCGGCTGTTGACCATTTTTGTTGGATTGCTCACCCTGCTGTTTTTTTGCACTTCTATACCACTTCAACACCTCAAACCTCAACGAAACACTTCTCAGTCATGGTCGACCAGACAAGATACAAGTTGTGCTACTTTGTCCCTCCCACCTCTCTTCAAGCAACAAAAGATGCAATCTTCGGCACAAACCTCGCTGGTATTTTTTCGTCCTTGACAGATGTGAACAAGACTTTATACACGGATGTGGTAAGCTATTAATTTCTTGTTTTTATTGTATCTTAAGGGGTAGACTTGACATGTTATCACAGTGCTGGGAAACAAGCGGTACAGGAAGATTCATCCCTGGTCCCGATAGCACTCCTGACATCGGAACGCCGGGACAGCTTGAGGTGTTGGAGGAAGTCAGAGTGGAAGTGCAAGTACGGGGAAAGGAGAATGTCAAGCATGTTGTTGATGCGCTGAAGCAGTAAGTCTTTTGTTCTGTCCTTCTGCTCTAATCTGTGAATTGTGTACTGATGTCGAAATTGCAGGGCTCATCCTTACGAAGTACCTGTCTACGAGGTCTACAGGATGGAGGAGTTCTGAGTACACGAAAGTCATCACAAGATTCAGGTCACATCACAAGCACCCAAAGTTTGGAAATCATAAAGTCGTTGATACACGAGCAATCGAGCTCAAGTGCTGTATAATAGTGTGCCTCTGAGGCTCCCAAACACTCAAGGCCCAAAACCCAGAACAGATAACAGCGTCGTCATAGGGAAGAGAAGATAGACTGCTCAGCAGCAAGTCATGGGTATCGCACTTCCACCTTCTTACTCATTTCAAGCCTCCTCAGTCGAGGGCAAGTGGAAACAGATGAAGCTTGTTGCCGTGCCATCGAAAGTGGAGTTGCGCAGATCCGAGATGCCTGGGTAAGAAGCATCGCGGTAAGGCATGCGATCGTCGCAGGATCCTTGCATCAACAAACATCTTGCGCCCTCATCAGGTCCGAATGCAGAGACTTGCTTGCTGAGAGTGTCGGGTAGGATGACGCAGGTGTCCAAGGCTTGCTTGAAGTATTCGCAGTGGCCTGTGAAGTTGGCACCAGTGCAAATGTAGACCTATCATGGTATTGTCAGACAAGAGCTCTCGATATTCAATGATGAGTGCGTGTGAAGAGGATGACAAGAACTCGATGGACCTCCAGACCATTGTACAGAGAAGCACGTACTGGGGATGGAAGGTGGATGATGATGATGACAGTGATGCCGCATGAAAGAGAAGGTCAGACTTACATCGCCAGCGTCACGAGCCGCGGGTGTAGTAGAATAGGCAGGCTTGGTGGGGAAAGCGGTGGCAGTTGCTGCGAAGAGCGAGAAGAGGGCTGTGAAGAAATGCATGATTTGAGATGGTTGTGTCGATGGAATATGTGGGCGGCGATGAGGAGTGTGGTTGTTCTTGATGCTCTTGAGATGATTCGTGTTTGCTGTTGATGGTACTCGATGGAATGGTACTTGAAGATGAAGAAGAGCAATTTATGATTCGATGCTTTGATGATGGATGTAAGATGTTGTTGTGTTAGAAGCAACGAAAGAGGATAATTGTCTGGTTTTGTTGAAGAACGAGACGGTCGTGCAAAGCAGGAAGCAACATCACATGTCATCATAAGGGTCGATGGTAGTTCCTTCCCATGGTGATGGACAGGAACGATCAACATCTCAGACGCATTTCTAGCAGAGGGCAAGTGCACCCCTGCTCATCGCAACCTCTTTCGACCGTGATCTGCAGTCGTGGTACCTGCCTCGTCGTTTCACAATTCACCTGCCAAGAAACGTCACCCGTCGGAATATCTTCATCTGCTTGGAAGCACTCTCATAACTCCTGAGTCGATATTGATGTCTTGTACATGTTGCAGATTGATGTAGATGAGGAAGATGTTGTGGGTAGGAACGAGAAGAATCCGACTTGGCGACACGCGTTGGTGGTTGGAGGCAAGCTCGCTGATCACCTCCCAGCCTCCCCGCGAGTCACCTCCGAAACACTATTCCGGTTGTGGCAGTTCTTAACGTCCGCTCATGACGATGTGGTGCTTCTATATGACATCGCCGACAGGCTGACGGGTGAGCCAAATGGTCGCAAGGACTTCCCTTCGGCCGGGTTGAATAGATGAAGATGTGTTTAGTCGCGTGTTGACTGATGAGTGTCCAAATATGCAACTGTAGGAAGACAGATTGTTACAAGCCGAACCATGGATAGTGGGTCAAGCAATTGTCTGTTGGTCGTATGTTTTGACTACATATCAGATTCCCACTGCCTTCAAGATCTCTTCGACGCCACTCTTAGGGCTACCTGGCACAACCTCCTTCCAGACCTCGTCTTTAATGCGTTTGTCCGCATCCAATACACTCCAATTCGGGCTGTGTTCTGCCTTGAGCCACTTGAAGTCATCGACTTGGTCGTACAAGTTCTTGATGTCTTTGTCCTTCTCCGTACTCTGACGTCGGTCATTAGCAAACATATCTCTCTCAAACAAGTGTGACACGGAGAAGCGGCAGCAGACTTACATAGCAGCCAGGCATTTCTGCAAACTCAACCCCCTCGCAATCCTCAATGATCGGCCTGCTTTGGCAAAGCATATAAACTTGGACATTCTTGCTCTCGTGCATGCGGAATTGTCTCGTTGCTACTACCAGAACCGAGTCATTCACACCCGTGATATGGACAGCACCATTGACGTGCCCACACACTATCAACGAGCTTTTGATATTCTTCAGAGTAAGTGTAGCAAATGCAGAAGCTGCAGAGATGCTCATGTCAATCACGCTGTCGCGAACATTGGTCACCGTGCCAGAAGTTCCAGATGTTGCGTGAGTGGCCGAAGAAGGCAGCATGATGTGAATTTTGCTGTGGTTTGAGATGTGTATCCTGTCAGCTCTGGAGAAGGATAGCTTTCGTACGCCTTCCGTGACCGGGTTGGAGGCAGTGCCCTTGGTGTCCTCAGGCTGGGAGTCTTCAACAGCGGGGCCATTGGCTGGTGTTTGAGGCATCGTCAATGGCGTTGTTGCGAAGGACGAGACTCCTGATGAGAAATTGCTGTGGGGCTGGAGCAGACGCTTCTTCGCTGCCAATTCTGCTGCATCGTTGATAGATATTGCAGATGCATTCTTCTTCTTGAACGAAAATTTTGGCTTGGGTGCTGCCTGTGCTCGAGTCTTCTGTAGTTTTTCTGATAATGCTTTGATCGCCTGCCCCTGACTTAGCATCCGTTTCGACAGATCTTATTGATAAGTGGCTAACCTCGCTGTACGTCCTCTGGTCGTGTGCCGGAAGGGATCCAGATATGTCCTTCACCTCATTGGACAACTTTGAGATTCCAGCCAGACAGTGGTCAATGGCATCTGCTCGTTCACCGCCAGATGTGCCGTGATCTTGTATGATATGCATTCGCTCCTGCAGCGCTTAGTCCCAGGACGCATCGGTCAGCAAAGGAGTCCTGAGCTGGTCGCTGTACTTGGAGAGCAGGACACGTACCAGCAACTTCGGTCTGGAAGTACCGGAAGAAACGTTCTTGTACACTCATCTCGAGTCTTAACGGTTGATTTACAGCAATGGCAGTCATAGAGAAATTAGTGGTGATGGGCGTGTCTGTGAGAAAAGTGTCTTGTCAGAAATATTGTTGGAGGAGGAAAAAGCCTCAGGAGTGAAGAGATATGCGCGGTTTTAGTGCATCAGATTGCTGGACGGCACATGGACACAACAGCTGAATCCTGATGTCACCAGTTCTGATATGTATCTAGAGTTGTACTAGATGTATTGGTCGAGCGAACCAAACCCCGCGGTAAAGTCGATCAGAGTTTAGCCAGACATTCTACCACAAAACCTCGTGGGAGCGGTGTGGCCCGCAGGTGCTGTGTAAAGGATGCTTGTGAACCTCACCTGCCTATTTCCAAGGGGAAGTACACCGAACAGATCTTGTGCTGCGCATGTGTTGTTGTTGTTGTTCTGCATGTCTCTTTGATTGCTGATCATTTTGTCCCCCACTTTGGTCATGGATGCGGGGTTCGAGAAGTAGAAGCAGGAGCCACCTTCCGCAAACCTGCTGTGGCACTGATACAGGCACAAACGATATGGAAATTCATTCATTGGTGGCTTGGAAAGGACGGCAGAAGTTTGACTACACGAAGAAGACAACACAAAGAGCAACATGGCCTGCGGATGAGACATTCATTACATCCAGATTCGAGACAGGCACAACATCAAGAGAGCTGACAGGACAACTTTACCCCTATAAACTACTGTGTGCAATCTCTCCCCTCAGCTCCTATAAGAGTGGATATAGCCGGAAGGTTGCCATGAGCGAGTCCCGAAGCACACCATGTTCTGTCCCAGAATGCTCCTCGGATTCGCACGAGGGTCTAGCACAAGGACACTGTCGTGCTCTATCGGAGCAAGTGTGGGTTCAATGTTGAACAGAGGAAAGAATAGCGTGAAAGGTATCTACAAACATCAGAGGTCTAAGAAGAAGAAGCGGTTGGCACCTCAATGCCGTAGTTTTGCTGGAGTCTTTCTGCTCTTCTCTCCTGGTAGCCGGGTCCGAAGATTCCTGCAATTGTCAGTGTACGTTCGCAAGTAGTCAAGGCAGAACATCCATACCGCGGCCCTCGCCGATCTGCTCAAGTGTCTCTTCCATCGACCTCCTTCTGTTCTTGCGAACATATTCTTTTCGTGCAACCTCGTCGACTGTGGGATCAATTGCGTATCCGGTGATCTTGCCGCCGGCGTACTGCCAGGTGCCGAGAACGACGGCCAGGGCGGTTCCGTAGCCAGCAACGGCGGGAGCGGTGCGGACTGTATGGAGCTTAGCGATTGCGTAGACGAGTCAATTGGAGTCGAAGATGGCATACATCTCAGGCCGAGCATTGAGCCACCGGCGAGACCACCCCAGAATGAGTTCCAAGCATCGTCGCTTTGTCTAAGGTTGGCCGAGGCGCATCTGGTGAATTCGTAGGCAACTCCCATAGCACCTGGAGATGCATTAGCTCAGTCGAGTGCAGAGGTCCAGAAATTTGGCATACCGTAGACGGCGGTGGTGCCACCGAACTTGGTGAAGGCGCCCATGGAACCATAGTTCTGCTTGGTTAGGGTGTTTTGGATGGTCGAGACGAAAAGACCAGCACCGGTAGTGATCATGCCGGCCTTGATTGCGGCGCCCAGGGCATCCTTGGGGCGGTAGGGTTCCTCCTCTTGTTGAGCCATGGTGGTGTTGATCGAGTACGTCGTTGGCGGGAGGATTGACGAGCTCAATTCGAGATGATGCTGTCGCGGCGCCGGCTCGCACGAGGTCGCGCTTTCCGCTCTAACTCTTGGCGCTTGATGCTGACCTTTGACGCTCGGACGCGCTGGAGGGCGGGAAGTCAGCCACTGTGGCTGGTTCGCGGCGTAGCTTCCACGTTCCGGAGGCTTCGGTGTCGATGACGGAGCCAATTTCCATGTGACGGCAGCAGCGACCGATACCAAATCTTGTGGCTGCTTGCCCAAACACTTGAAGGGAAACGCTCCCTACGACCTCAATTTGAGCCCTCTCTCTGTCCGTTGAGCCCTCTCCTGGTCAACCCGTGTCTCGATATCAGAGTCTCGCCGACTCTGTCACGGCCATGCCTCCCCGGGCTTCGCAACCTGGTACTATACTGCTGCCTCTCGAACAAACTTTGATACGGTTCCGCTAACCACGCTTTGATTACAGGCAAGGTTGCGCCTAAGTTCCTCCAGGACCTCCTCCGGCTCGATCCTCAATCCATCGTCGCGAACCGTAATATCCTTCTCGACACCCCTCCGCAGTTCGATGGCAAGGCTCGCACTGGTCCACCTTTGGTCTTGGACAGGGGTAGCTGCAAGCATGAGTACTACACACATCTAGATCGCTGCAATCTGCCGCGTCTCGACGAGTCTGCACAACAAGATACTCGCTGGAAGGTCGCTGCGTCCTGTAGGAAATGCCGTCTCTATCTCATTCTCTCCATCGACTATCCCGAAACTGGTTGTCGACAACCGTGTCCTAACCGAGACTTCCCTCTCCACCATCTACGCTACACGCAATCCACCTCATCACAAGCCAGCTACCACTTCGAGTGCTCCAACCTCGCCTGTCAAGCCCATGTCCACGTTGCCTACGAAAAACCTGTCCTTTCGAAAGAAGACATCCTAGTCCTTACCGACACGGAAGCTCTGAAACGTCGTTATGAGCACGTTCTCGAAGCCACACCAGACCGTGAGGGTGTGCGCCAGGCTACTCCTCTGGACGTCTTCACCCGTTTCAAGAGATATGTTTCGGATTCTTTGAACCAGGATAATGTTAGACGCAGCTTTCCCGCACGAAATAAGAGATTCATGGAAGCCTTTGGAACAGACTGTGACTTGCTACTCTATCGCATGGGTTTTAGGAAAGCCGAGGACGCAAATGGCGATGATCAATGGACAATACCTTCGCCGAAATCAATTGACGACCCGGACTTGTTGCGTCCGATGCTCGAGAGACTGGTCATCGAGTTACAGTACCTGATGGATGAGTACTGCGCAAGCCATGCAGCTCCCAACCCATTTCGGCCGATGTATCGGGACGCGAAAGCAGACCTGGCTCGTACACTGAGCGCACAAGACTGTATGACGACCTTCTCATGTTCGATCGCAATCCATGCTAATGAGTGGCAGACGACAAGGTTCCTGGACGCAACTTGGGTTCAAATGAAGAGGACCATCCGTGAGTTCCCACCAGTATAGGCAAAGGCAACGACATGTACTAAGTCTAGGGTTAGCTGCTATGCCAGTCTTGGTGCCCTTGGTGATTTTTCAGATCGCTTGATTGCCTTTTGTTACGAAAGGCAGGCGACGTGCGACCCTGCGGCAGGACCTTACTATTTCGATTGCCTCTCAGAACTCGCAACGGGTAGAGGCAGTGATATGCTTATCACCAAATCTGCCACACTTGCGTCGGAGAACGTCCTGGGCAGAAATGTAAGTTCTCTTTGGGATTCGCGGGCATCTCGGAGGCTGATGCATTATGCAGGAGATCAACCAAGCATACAAGGCTCTGGGCATTGACCCGGACGTGCAAAAGACTATTGACGATGAACAGATTATTGGAATCTACAGATCACGATGGTCAGATTCTAGCGCTACAAGACAGGCAGATCTCAAGACAGCATTGAAAACGTTAGGTCATGCCAGAGGCAGTCGCTCAATACTCGATACTGCTGCGGATAGTGAGTACAGTTTGTGCGAGACTTTCAACACAGTTAGCTGATAGAAGTAGCCGTGGAAACATACGAACAGGCGCTTGCGTGGCTCGGCGCCGATGCGTCTCAAGCAGACGATACAATTGTCGCTTTGTATGGCGTCAAAGTAAGTTATGAGTTTTGTTCTGTTCTTCACCCCCGAGCCCCAGATTCACCAGATCATCGCAAACCAACTTTGCGAACCATCTTCTGCATCTGAGCGAGTTCTCTGCCTGGCTGGTTGCGACTTCAAACAACTACCCACAAGCAAGCCCACCGCATCCGCAATCGTCAATCACTTGCTGCTCAACGTCAGATCTTTGCAGTCATCACTAACATCTCAATTTCTCAGGTCGATGACAGTTACAACGATCCGATGACCAAAGATCTTGCTCGTCGCGCTGTCGACTTGATCGCCAAGTATCGCAAGAGCGATATCCTCGAGAGTTGGCTTGCCACTGGCGAAATGACTTCGCAAACGATGACACTCGAAGAAGCGTGCAAACATCTGGAGATTCCCAATCTCGATGAAGTCGTCCCAGAAATGATTGAGTTCCAATTCGAGATGGTCAGAGATGGAAAACCCGGACCAACAACCGACAAAGCTATCGTCGTCGTTCGTAAAGCCATGGATGAACGACAGTTCGGGCAACAGACGACGCAGAGCTGGCCTGTTGGACTGATCAGCCACGGAAACACCTGCTACCTCAACAGTCTCCTCCAGTATTATTTCACCATCAAGCCTCTGCGTGAGCTCGTACTCGATTTTGACAAGTTTAAGTATGATCTGGCAACCCAAGGCGCAAAGACTGAGCGTGTTGGAAATCTCCATCGTCCTGATTATGAGATCGAATCATTCCAAAGCCTCACCAACGATCTCCGCCATCTCTTCCAGCGCATGATCAGTGACCGTGGACCAGCGGTCAAACCTGAGGCAGATCTGGTCTGTAGAGCTTTCTTAAAGCCAACCAGTCCTGAAGCAAATACAGCAGGCTCACAACAGGATGACGGAGTGGACGTCAACATGATTTCAACCGAGAACGAGGGCCATCCCGCTGGTGAAGCGGCCCCAGGTAACGTCGATCATTCGTCAACAGTCTCTCAAGTCAGCTCGAACACACTCCAAGGCGACGCTGTGCTTACTCCGCCGGTCACGCCTAAAGTCGAGAAAGAAGGCGAACTTCTCGCACCGCCACTGCCGCCTAGAAGGCCAGCAACACCGTCACAACAGACCAAAACAAATCTGGAAAAAGCAGAAGAAGCTGCCAGACAGCAGCAAGATGTCGCTGAAGTTATGGAGGAGTTGCTGACAAGGCTGAGAGCATCTATCAAGCCACTCGGTCAGGATCCTCAGGGCGAGCAGTTGGACCAGCTTCGAGAGTACGTACGCTCCACACTTGCTTAGGAACTGTACTAACCTTTGATCTGTAGTATCTTCAACATGCGCATTGTTGATACAATCATCCCGGAAGGCGAGCAACCTTCGACGAAAGAGGACGACTTTACAAACCTGATGCTTTTGCCACCCTACGAGCCCACCGATATCTACTCTGCTCTCAGTCGGGTTCTCGACCTACACCCAGAGCCAGAAGCTAGCAAGCCAGTCAATGTGTACAAGACCTTGACGTCTTTCCCTCCAATCCTTCAGATCAGCATCAATCGCATTCGTTTGGGTCGGGATGGCAAGCCAGTCAAGAGTGTTGATCGCATCAGACTCGAGGAGACTCTGTATATGGATCGCTATTCGAACGACGAGGCTGTACTCGCCCGACGCAAGCAATGCTGGGAGTGGCAAAGACGCTTGCGTAGCCTCCAGGCAGAGAAAGAGACCATTCAGAAGACAGACACTGGCATCGACGGTCCATCTACGCTGAATGCTGTAGGGGATTGGTTGTCCACTCTGCCTGAATGTAACGAAATCCTTTCGGAAACCGGAGTGGATCCGGTTGAGTTGCCCGAGTCGCTTCCTGCAGATCTCAAGCAAGAGAGCGATCTTCAGCGCGCGCGCCTACCCATTATTGACAACGAAGTAAGAGAGCTGGAGGACAGCATTACCAAGCAGTTCTCTGGACCTGATTTCGAAAAGCTCAAGTACCGACTGCATGCCGTCTTCTTCCATCGTGGAAGCACCGGTCATGGTCACTACTGGACATGCATCTATGACATCCAGAACAACATCTGGCGTTCTTACAACGATGAGAAGGTTGAGCAGGCTCGCAGGCTCGACGACATCCTGAATGCAGAGAGCTGGCAGCAAGGAACACCCACATACGCGGTGTACGTTCGAGACGATACCAAGGAGCAATACGTCGAGCCGTTGTGCCGCGACGTCGAAGAAGTGGCCGACGAGCCCATGCCTGATGCAATTACTTCAGTCGAGTCAATGCCCGATGCAACCCCATGGAACCCAGCAGCTGTGGAAGCCAGCAACAACATCAAAACGGAGGGAAACTGGATGGACGAACCGGTAAAAGAGATCAGCTGGTAGGCGGGCGAAGTGATTTGGAGCAGTCTACTCACTGCTTTCTTCATAGACCACTTCTCCTTCTTCTCGATTGAACCAGAAAGGCGCAATCGCCAAGCCCGAGCCAAAGCCTAAGAAGAAAGAGCTGCGTACGTATCGGGGACGATCATTAGGAAAATTCCGTCACTGGGGAAAGTAGTACAAGAAGCTGAAAGAGAAGATCAATGCTCGAAAGAAATGGCTTCCAAGGAAGACGGGTTATCTTGTATCGGTGAAGGAACGATGGCGAAGAGACGATTGCTCGAGGAAATCATCATGATAGAATTGCTAGCTGTTTTACTGCATCGAAAGCGATCAGCATGGGACATGGTTCTACTGTACTATAACATTGCATTGCTCACCATCCCTGAACTCGCTCTTGTCGTTTGCCACGTTGCTGTGTCCTTCGTCCCCCGTGGACAGTCAACACACGATGTCGCCTCTAGCGAGAATATGTGTATCTGTATAAGAGCGATGGGAAAATGGAACCCTCCGTTCCAAATGTATGGACTTCGAAGGAATTCTGATCTTACTTTGCTATCCAACGAGATCCATGGTAGCATTTCGGCTAGATCATGTATGTCTATTTACCCTTGAAGATAGGCGGTCTCTTTTCACCAAACGCCTTGAGGGCCTCTATCCTGTCCTGAGTAATCAGAACGCGCTCGTAAGCCTGGTTCTCGGCCTCCTCACCCGCACCCCAACTGTTGACCGCCTGCAACGCAGCTCTCGTAGCCACAGGACCACCCTCACAAACATCTCTAGCCAGCGCCACAGCCTGGGTCAACACCAACTCCCTCTCCTTGCTCTTGTCTCCCTGCACCTCATCCACCTCGACCAACCTATCACACAAGCCCAGGAAGTAAGCTTCAGCTGCTGTGACCCTTCTGCCCGTTAAAATCATATCCCTGGCTCTTGCAGTGCCAATCAAAGCTGGCAGACGGAAAGTTCCTCCTGCGCCGGGGATGATTGCTAATCTTGTTTCTGGTAAGGCGACGAGTGATGTGGAACCAAAGACGCGGAAGGTTGTTGTGAGGGCTAATTCGAGGCCGCCGCCGAATGCGACGGAGGAGATTGCTGAGATGGTGGGGATGGGGAGGAGGGAGAGGCGGGTAAAGGTGTCGCGGAGGAGGGTGAGGAAGTGTTTTGTTCTGGAAAGCTCCGAGTCAGTAACCATTGTTTCCTTGTTGGTCAGAGTAAGAGGGGAAGCTCACTCATCTCCACTCATGGTCAATCTCTCCTTCAAATCCGCACCCGCACAAAACGCCTGATCAGACTCGGACGCCAGAATCAAAGCCCTTGTAGGTCCATCTTCGCCCTCATTGCTGATTTCCTCAATTTGTTGGCGCAGGTCTGAGAGTAGTTGTTTTGAGATTGCGTTTCTGGCTGAAGGGCGGTCGAGAGACAGGATGCGTATGTTGCCGGCGTGCGGTGCGGGAACGCGGGTGACTTTTATGGTTGAAGTTGGCGTGCTGTAAAGACGGGTGTTGTAGAGCGAAGATTTTAGGAGGGTGGGGATCCGGCAGGCTGAGAGTCGGATAGGCATTGTGAGAACTGGTGTGGATTTGAACAGAGAGTGTTGGCTCCAATATTTAGTTAATGGTTTGTGTTTTTGAGGGTCGACATTGTTGTATGGAAGGGCGTCATGCGGGGGAAGCTTCTTCCTCCGAGGTTCAAATTCGAACGTCACCCTGACACACTTCAGACTCAACCTACCTACCAAACAATGCCTTTCCAAGTCTTATCCGACAGCTTGCTCGTGTCATCAAGAGACGAGGATTATTCCTGAAAATGGCCGGCTTCATATTCAGTTCTTCTTACGGCTGATGCTTGACACACATGACCCGAACTAACCAATCATGCCGACTGACATGCAAGCCACTATGCATCAGCCTTGCGAGGTCCAGCCGCTGAACAGAATCGAGGTATTTATACCAGGTCATCTCCTTGAATGTAGTTTACTGGAGCTATTTGCCGATTTGAGGGATGCCGGACCCCGAGGAATACACCATCGGTTGGATATGTGCCTTGCCGACAGAGCACACTGCAGCATGCCTTTTCCTCGATGAAGAACATGGTCAGCCAGACCCAGATCATATTGCTGCAGGCGACAACAATGCCTACGAGCTCGGTGTGATGGCAGGCCACAAGGTTGTCATCGCCGTACTGCCCCATGGAGAATATGGCACATCTACCGCGGCCACAGTCGTCACGGACATGCTTCGTAGCTTCACGAATGTCAAAGTTGGATTGATGGTGGGAGTGGGTGGCGGCGCTCCAACCTCCGACAATGATATCCGGCTGGGCGATGTCGTTGTCAGTAGCCCCAAAGATGGCAATGGCGGCGTATACCAGTACGACTATGGCAAAAGAATTCAAGGCCATGATTTCAAACCCACTGGCCATCTCAATCAACCACCATCAGCAGTGCTCACTGCCATGGCTTTGCTAGTAAGCAGGTACGAGAGGAAGGGAAATCAGATCGGCCAAGCAGTAGACGAGATTCTCGAGGAGAATCCCAGACTTAGGACGAAGTACGGTCGTCCAGAAGTCGATATTCTCTACGCCTCGAACTTCGTACACCCCCATGGCGACGACAGACGGAATTGCGAAGAATACTGTGAGACAAAGCCACCCAACATCGTCAACCGACTCCCAAGAGATGAAGACCAGGATGACCCAGCCGTTCATTTCGGTACCATCGCTTCTGGCAACTCTCTGATGAAGGACGCACTAATCAGAGATTCTCTCGCAAGCGAAGGCGTCTTGTGTTTTGAGATGGAAGCAGCCGGGCTTGCAAATCGTTTCCCTTGTCTTGTTGTTCGTGGCATCTGTGATTACAGCGATTCGCATAAGAACAAGAGATGGCAAGGATATGCCGCGATGACTGCCGCTGCCTACGCAAAGGATCTCCTCAAGGTCATGCTGCCTCGAAGGGTGGAGAGTGAGAAGCGACTTACCGCTGTCCTCGAAAGCCGTCAGTACTAGTCCGTTGGCAAATGCAGTCAGCAATAATCCTAGTGGCATTTAGTTGATAGCAAGACCGCATCCATTCAGACCATCCTCCAGAGCACTCAGCAGCAGCAGCAAGCACAACATCTCCGCACATGGCTGTCACCTTCGGATCCTTCAGTCAATCTTGAAAAAGCCTTGAAACAACGCCATCAGAACACCTGTCGATGGTTGCTTGATGATGATGGATATCGTTCCTGGCGAACGACTCCAAGTTCATTCTTCTGGTTACACGGCTTGTCTGGTTGTGGTAAGACCGTTCTCGCCTCAGCTGCCATACACCAACTACAATCAGAAGGTTCCAGTAGCCTGGTTGCCTTTCACTACTTCGACGTTAACGGCGGAGACAGACGTGGTCTCTCTCAGATGTTGCGCTCTCTGCTCTATCAACTCTCTTCTAAACATCCGCAGGCGAGGCAGACCCTGCAAGAGTTATACTATGACTGTGATAAAGGCGCCAGAAAGCCAACTGCAAGACAGCTTTCTGAGCAATTTGTGAAGATCTTGGATCAAGTCGCCGAAGTCATAGTCATCGTCGATGCTCTTGATGAATGCAATTCTCCGGACGATGTCGTTTCGTGGCTCAAAGAGCTTTATCAGACAGATCGTAAGGGCTTGCATTTGCTCGTGACATCTCGTAAACAAGGTATACTGAACACAACCATTGAAAAGTGGCACGAGCAAGATCAGCTCCATGCCGTCCGGAGTAGTGAGACGAACAAGGATATTGCAAATTACATCCATGCAAGGCTATCCGGAAGCGAGGAATTCGAGAGATGGAATCCCCACAAAGACTTGCGGGAGCATGTGGAAAAAGCGGTCTTACAGCGAGCGAACGGCATGTAAGTCATTTTTGGACTGGTAACGAGATTCAACTACTGAATTTGATATAGGTTTAGGCTGGCGGCATGTCAGCTAGATGATTTGAAGAGCTGCATAGATCGCCCCCAGCTGATGGAAGCTCTGCGCACCCTACCCACGACGCTGCAGGAAATTTACGCACGAACTTTGGATACACTACGAAGCAGTAATTGCTATCGAGAGGGTTTGCTCATGCTGCAATATGTCCTATGGGCAAAGAAGCCGCCACTATTTTCGGAAATGATTGACGCCATCGCTGTTCGTCTAGAAGACAATCCTGGGTTCAAGCAGGAGAACAGGCTGTTCGACCTAATGGACGTGATAACACAATGTTCGAGCCTGCTGACACCAATCATGTCGGAATCTGGGCGGGAACTCCATCTCGCCCATTCTTCTGTGAAAGAATACCTCACGTCCCAGCACTTAGCCGAGCCTTTCAGAGAACTTCTCTCAGAAGTTCACGGAAGATCTATCATTGCGAAAATCAGCATCAGGTACATGATTGATGTGGTCAATCTCCACAATAACCCGAAAATGTCTTCGGGCGAATCAACAAGGAGTTTATTTTTGCTTGAATCCTCTGGAGTGGTACCATCGGAAGATTCTTTCGGCCGACTACTTGTTGGGCATCGAGCAGATAATCACCTAGTTGCCATCATAGGCGAGGGAGCATTCCCGTTCATATGGTCTGCTGGGTATTGGGCGGAACATGCCCGATTCATTGAAGCTGCCAATGATGACATACCACGACTCATCATACAGCTCTACAAGCAAGAGCATCTTCTGCGCGGCTTCCCACAAATCCTTGGATTGGGATTCATATATGACCACCGCGAGTACGGATACATACGTGATTTGTATACTGAAGTTGGACGCAGGCCCAGTCCCCTCATTCATGCTTGCTATTGGGGTCTAGAAATTGTAGCACGGCGTCTCCTGGAATCCGATGCTCACCTTCTCACGTCGAGTAGCGTTGACAGCCCTCTTCATGCTGCTTCATTCTCTGGGCACCACAGTATCGTCAAAATGCTTCTAGGCAGAGGTGCGGCCGTCGATGGCGGTATGGGGACCTTGCTGTCAACTACAACGGTTCCGCTTCATGGAGCCTCGCAAAACGGCCATGTCGAAGTCGTCAAAACTCTACTACAGCATGGAGCCAGAGTAGACATCATTGGATCCAAGAATGAGACCGCGCTTGAGCTCGCCGTACGCAATCACCATCTGAACGTCATAAAACTTCCCATGGACTATTATGATTGCTTACCGTTCTATTTACTCTTTGTGGCACTGTCTCAGACGCCCGTAGAAGAGAAAGTGATCGATTTACTGTGCAGCAAGGTCATCATGCCCGGCGCTCGAAAAGTGGTGTCGTCACTGTGCAATGAACCCATTGTGACTGCCTCTCGAATCAACAGCCGGGAGTTCGAATGGCTGCTGAGTAGTCTCATCACACGCGGACAGTTGGCTTATGCGAGGATACTGTTGGAAAACTGGATCCATATACCCAATACCTGTATCAGACGTCATTACCACTGGCCTGAGCCGCCAAAGCAAGAACATCTACAGCTTGCGAGAATCATGCTCGACAGAGGGTGGATGCTCTCGGATGATATAGTCTCACGCGTCAAACTATCCGATGAGAAGGAGGAATCTCGAAAAACCCCGAGAAACGCCCTAGGCTCGAGTAGCATTGAATCAGCTGATGGTTGTGATTGCCCCGGCAGCTGTCAAGAGTCAACATCCCTGAAGAGATTTTTGTCAGTTCCTGGGCCCTATGGGCCCTAGGGACTCACCCGTTTCGTTTCTGGTACCCGATCAAACTCGGTTGTAAACACAGCTGTATGTCACGTCCATCACATGCATCACATGCATCAAGCATAGATATATCAACAGGATATGAAACGTCCCACCTTACGTAGACCCTCCACCTGTACGTAATTTGCACCATCATACAAGCTCTTGTTCCTACACAAACAAGTGAGTTCGGTAGTGATCACATATTCCATCTATTCTCTGGCGAAGAGAGCCCCGAAAAGTACAATCAAGCTTCAAGAGAAAAAAAGCAAGGTTCTAGATGCAGGATCCCTAGCCAAGATTGACCCCAAGATTTCGTACACGAGGTCAAACAGACAGTCTATCAACCAAGACACTCAGTTTTAACACTTCTTCAAAGCTCTCTGGTCATCTATTGATTGGACTAAGTGTTTGGGGCACGACTGACATAGAGAAAAGTGGAGTTCAAGAAGAAAAACTGTTCGTTGTTTGCTTCGCTAGGTAATATACTGGGCTCGACTTCTATGAATGGTATAAGTCATCCAAAGCAAGAACAGAACAACAAAGGCTAGAAGAATAAGTGCCCTAATGATCTGACATGCGATCAAATTGTTCCTGTAGCGGTCATAGTTGCAAACATCGAGCGTTCGCTGGGTGCACCTGTACAAGTGATAATGAGGGCCCGGCTGACAAAAATCGGCTGGATCTACGCCGCGCGAGACCATAGCGGACTTGTCGTATTTGGCATGTAACTCTACCACCTCCTAAGCAGCTTGCCATCCCACCGTCAACTCAGTGCCATGGCCTTCTTTATCGACGTAGATGTCGATCTTGTTGAAGCGGTAAGGGACTTCGTCAGCATAGAAGGTCAATGATTCATCTTTGCTTGTGAACACTGTAGCCTTGTCGACAGCAGAAGAACAGCTGAACATGCCATCAACAACTGCACATTTACCCTTTGAGCTCTCCAGGCTGAAACCATCTCCTTCCTGGGTAGCATGGAACCTCGCACAACTTCTAGTGTCGTACCAAGAACCACCAGAGATGATGCAGCCCTTGGATCTGCCACCAGTTTTGGCAACGAGGTTGCCTCTACCACTGAATGCAGGTCCAGTAGGTTCAGGAACGTGGGTACGAGTGCGGGTGGCTGTGGGTGAAGGACGGCCTCCCTTAGCAGCCTTAGGAGGGTAGCGAATACCGCTGTATGGGCAGGTGCTCTTTCCTCCATCAGGGTCCGCAGCCTCGAAGACACCAGTCTGGACGCTGCCACGGACCTCGAAGTGGTACCACACTTCGTCCAGCTTACCGCCCTTGCAGCCCAGAGTGACTGGACGGCCGTGTCTTGAGCTGAGAGCAGTCTGGATCTGGTCTCTGGTGTATGACTTGGAAGTGCTTGGTTCGATACCAGCATCCAGCAACCATTGGTAGGTAGGACGTTGGGTGTAAAGCGAAACAGCAGCAGCGAAATAATCGACGACCTCCTCTTTACTGCGGTATGAGGAGTAGCAGTCGGGATCGAGCGTAGACACACAAGTGCCGTGCTTGCTCCACTCGTGCATCCAGAGACTCTCATCATTGCCTTTGTAATCCTTCCAGTACATGGTCATATTGGACAGGAGATCGGTAGCGCCGAAGGATTCGAGGATCTCTCTGATGTTGTGATATGCGCGGCTGTCATCGCAGTTGGCTTCGTAGCTGCCGTCGCAGCGATCGGGCCTAGGGCAACGTGTTAGACGCGTCTAGTCATGGATGTGGAAGACTGGTACTGACCAGAGCCCATGGATGGTCCAGGCATCGTCAGGCCCAGTGGGAGGATTGGTGTCCCAGAACTGTGTTTGTAGCATCTGACCGCCTGGGTAGTTGAAACAACATAGATCCTCGACGACTGAGGTGTTGTGACAGCTCAATTGAGGGTTCGAACAGGAGGGTGCATTGCCGGCGTCGAGGCCGCCAAAGTAGGACTGAGCACCCAGGATGACCTGGGAGCCGCCGAGAAGGAGCGACTTGACCGGCGGAAGCTTCGAAGGGACCTTGTCGACGAGATTCGACCAGAAGTCCGAGGGTGCGATGACCACCATGCTGTCGATGTGGTTGTTGTGGTCGAGAGCTAGGTGTGGGGATACCTTGATGGCTCAGGGCAACGATGAGGTGAAATGGCTGTGATGTGTATGAGAATGGAATCAAGCTGCAGTAAGGAAGAAGGTGAAGAGATAGATCAGACGACTGTCATGTGCGGCGAGTAAGAGTCAGAAGATGAACAGACGGGGCAGGAGCATGCAGCGACGATAGCACATGACTGGTGGTCCGGTCGTAACTGTGCAACCGATAAGCCTCGTTATCGCCGACACCCCGTCATCGCCCTGCGCCACACCCGTGTTCCTGCATGAGATGCCACCTGACCAGTTCATCGCAGGCCGACCGTTTCACGGCCTTCCACCGTCTTTATCACTATGCTTGAGCATGAATAGTCCATCCTCCACGGGTTTTGTGGCGAGAGAGACTTCAACCTGACTGACTCTGGTGGGTTCGCGTAGATTGTCAAAATGTAGATAAGACGCGGTGACGCCGCCAAAGAAGAGTAAAGAGGCAGCGTTGCCGAAGTTCTGCCATCTTACCGCTTGCTGTCTGAACCTCATAACATCCTTCGCGTGGAAGAGACATCGTAGCAGACTGCTGGTTCAGTTGCAAGTTCCATACAAGATAACCTCATTTGGTTTGCATGTACCATCGAAGTGTGAGTTCAACTTCTGCCATGTTCGCGAGCAATGAGGCACCATATGGTCAATCTCAAGAACATACGAACTTGACTCCCATCATGATGCCACAGGACGGAAATGACAAGGCCTTTGGATAGTTGCATTCAGAACAACTCACTGAAGTTGTGCTAGATCCCTGCGCTCTCTCTATTTTTGCTGTCTCTGTTTCATACCCAGGCGGTGTTTGCACAGCCACACGACAATTACGAATCACGCCCTCAAGACTTCATACATCAACAAGAACCTTTGCTCGATCTTGTACTATCTAACAATCCAACCATGCCACATCAACACGGCTACCGTGCTGTCTCGTACTTCGTCAACTGGGTAATGTTTTCTGACAAGAACCTCTATACACCACACCACTAACGATACCAAGGCAATCTATGGCCGCAATCATCAACCCCAAGATCTGCCCGCTGACATTCTTACTCATGTTCTCTACGCATTTGCAAACATCAAACCTGATACTGGAGAGGTCCATTTGACCGATGCATGGTCAGATACCGACAAGCATTATGATGGAGACTCCTGGAACGATGTTGGCACTAATGTCTATGGCTGCATGAAACAACTCTTCCTGCTCAAGAAGCGCAACCGCAATCTCAAGGTCCTGCTCAGCATCGGTGGCTGGACATATTCGCCCAATTTTGCCGGACCTGCATCTACCGAGTCAGGTCGCCAATGCTTCGCAAACAGTGCTGTGGCCTTGCTCAAAGACCATGGCCTCGATGGCCTGGATATTGACTGGGAGTATCCAGCGGACGACGCTCAAGCTCGCGACTACGTGCTTCTGTTAAGAGCCACAAGGCTTGCTCTCGATGCTTACTCGCAGTCTCTGCCAGGAAATCCACACTTTGCTCTTACAGTCGCTGCCCCTTGCGGCCCTGAGAACCTGCATCGCATGCATCTGCACGATATGGACCAATACCTTGACTTCTGGAACTTGATGGCATACGACTTCACAGGAACGTGGAGCACACATGCAGGTCATCAGACCAATATTGCCACTTGCCATCAGAACCCACAAAGCACGCCCGTCAGCACTGAACATGCCGTTGGTTGGTACACTGAGCATTGCGGGATTCATCCGAGTAAACTCGTCATCGGTATGCCACTGTACGGCCGCAGTTTCGCAAATACAGACGGACCTGGTGCACCATACTCAGGCGTCGACTCTGGAGCTAGTTGGGAACCCGGATCTGGTATCTGGGATTACAAGGTAATTTCACAGATCTTGTCTTACTCCTCTTTCCTTTCGAAACACACTCTTCATGATGCACACAAAGACAACGCATGACCTTTTCCATTGTTCTTACTAAACACCGGATACACGGCAAGACGTTCGCATGTATCAGAAGCCCTTGTCCTCATTGTGGTTTCTGTGCTGCTGTGCTCTCTTGCTTGGGTTCATGAGCGCCAAAATAACTTGATCTAATCTGACCACTGCCCCGTCACCTCTCCTTCCTCTCATCGCAGCTTAAACCAGAAAGAGACTGACCAACATCATAGGCTCTTCCCCGTCCCGGAGCAACCGAGCACCATGACCCCTCCGCCGGTGCTTCATGGAGCTATGATCCCTCGTCCCGCGTAATGATTACCTACGACAACCCAGCTTCTTCAGCCGCAAAAGTAAACTACATCCAGCAAAGAGGGCTAGGCGGCGCCATGTGGTGGGAAAGCAGTGGAGATCGAGTCGGAGAGGGAAGTATCATTACTTTGGTTGTCAATGGCATGGGAGGCTATGGAGGCAAGCATATGCAGAAAGTGGAGAATTGCTTGGAGTATCCGCACAGTAAGTACGACAACCTTAGAAACAAGTTTCCTAGCGAGTAGGAGGCTGGAGGGGTAAACGGATAGAAAAGCAATAGGACAGTGAGTCAATGCTACTCTTCCTTGAAAACAATGATCTGCAGACCTACACTTCCCTCACTCTCAATATCTCTTTACACGCCGTTCACACAGTCAATGACTATAGCCTTCATATGAAGTTTATGTTGCCCGTTATCTCAAGTAGCGGTGCGTTGGCGTCATGGCGCACCATCGCGCCAACGTGCCTGGGTTCGAGCCCCAGGCACGGCCGACGCGGAGCTGGGGAATAGCATTGCACTGCTTGCCAATCTGATTCGCACTCGCTCCGAGCACTCAGAGCGGAATGAGTCCGTTGGTTTCGACATGAGATCAATCTCATAGCCCCCTCTTTTGCTCCATTGCGCTTGGGCAGCACAAGGTTACTTTTGTTTTGCAGCCATGGATACATGGAGTTGCTATCGTCAGGACGGTACCTGCCATAGGCCCTCCAGATAGAGACATATCTAACGGGAAGAGCGAGTGTGGAGCTGCCATCATTTTGGTGAGATATATCTATCAAGCCTTCCAGTGTGGTTATATCGCAGAGCAAAGAAGGGGGAGAGAGATAACCACTCCAGAAGATCTACCAACATATCGTCAAGCCAACCAGAATCTTTCGCAGGGCCATAGCCAGCAGGATTTGTTCATTCGCTGCGGCGGTCCGTGTGGTATCATGGTTTACCACTCACACCATGTTTCTGGTTCGATACCAGGTGTGGCCGTTGGGGCTGAACATTTCGCTCTATCAGTTGATCCTTGCCTCGCTGGGAGCGAAATAAAGACGATTGATATGGATTGTGGGAGGCCACTTTTTGCTCTCCTTGGTCTTCTGAGCCTACTTCGTATGTTCAGGTCTCCTTGAACAGCTTGCGTCTCTGCTGACGATGTTGATTGATGTTCTGAGCTGTACAGAGACGCCATTCATCCCAACATTAGAAGACTGCCTCAGACGATCGTCAAGATGCCGGTCCGTCTCCTTTGCTGTTTCGAGATGTCCTCTGTCTTGTAAGGAAACAATCATCGGGTTCATCACCGCGACAGCGTCCAGTACAGACAGATTCGTGCGTTGGTGAGAGAACCTTCCGGAACACATCGGGAAAGATGTGTTGGATCTTTGACAGATCTTGTCGGAAACGTCAAACTCATCGAACAACACCTCACGATCGTGTCTTTCTCTCGACGCTCCTTCTCTTTCATGTGCCTGTCGAACCTTTCGAACACCACCTCACACTCGTTTCATCCTCTCAACGCTTCTTCATCAGCTACAAGACTCAACTTCCTCCTGTCCCACTCTACAACCATATTTCCTACACACAGATCTGGATTCTAACGCAGAACGAAACCATGGAAAACAACAGTAATCGCAGGTCTACCAGAGCGATGGAGCAGGCCAGGATCCAAGCCATCATTGCCGAGAACAGAGCAGCAATTGCAAACGTAACTGCATCCGCGGCTGGCTCAACACCGTCAACTACATCTGCAACTCCTTCATCAGCTACACTTGCACCTACGTCAGCACCCTCTGCTAGCAGGGCATCTGCGGTTACAATCGCACCTCCCTCAACCAAGAAGTCCAAGCCCCCTATCAAGCCATCCACCTCCAAAACCCTCACTAAACCACCCACATTAAAATCAGCTGGTAAGCGACCTCGCGTCTACAGCCCAGACATAGATGACCAAACCGAAGACAACATCCCTGTCCATCGACCTCCCACCACCACAACAAGCTCCTCGGGTCCCATCGACGACGACACTCGGGCACCTGCAAGAAACCACCGCAAACCCTCTACCATCAAGATCAGCATCCCCAAGAAAGCCACGATCCCTAACAAGCAAGCTGTGGAGGATATGGCCCGTCTCGATCTGCGAGATGAACCCGAGGACGCTACCCCTGCACCTCCTTATCGGCCCGGTGTCACCTCTTCTCAGTCTGGTGCTACTGCTGCTCAGGGTACGGAAGGACAGCAGGTACATCCCACTTACCCGGATCTACCCCCTGAAGTCCCCAGAGACGAGGAAGGTATCCGTAAGTACTTGTCTCTGATTCTATATCCCTAGCTTGAACTGTACATGTTACTGATACCCGCGCATAGCGACCGCATACTACTCAAAGGTAAATGGAAAGACTCAAGTCTGGAGAACGAAGAAGTAGATAGGGGTGTTGAGATAAAGTAAAAGGGGTAATATCGGGGAGCTCTCACCGCAAGCCAAACGCCAGCTAAGTACTATAGAAATACACAGTATTCTACCAGGAATCAAGATATCCGGTCAAAGCCATATGACAAGCACCTTTATCACGGGCTCTCGATGGACAAGTAAGTATACCAAGTTTACTTTGTGCATTTTTGTAGATATAAATGTGTCTGTCGTTGGTGATTGGAAAGACAGTGTCTCACAACGAGGGTATTAGTGGATTTGACAGTGCGACAATGCAGAGTGTCTTACGAGATCTCAAGGGGTTCAGTGGAAGCCACAGATACAACAGTTTATCCAGGGGCTCTCAACGGGCAGACAAGTGTAAACAGTTTGCTTTGTGCATATTGATAGAAGTGAATTGCGATACATTCGTATTTGGTGTCACTCCAAAAACTAGATAGAAACAACCAGAAACTCGTAAGGGACATGAACCGTAAAATTTAATCCTCTATGCCTCTCTTCAAGAAGAATTCGAATTGTCAGCACAGGAGAATGCACTTCCAATCTGCCCAGAAGCATACGCCTCCTGAATTTGCACCACAACTCCATAGGTACCTCCCACCATCACGAACAGGCCCAACGGAATGAACAATGCATGCATCCAAAACATGACCTTCTTCAACACATTTCCACCGCGATAATGCATATGATCATGCATCCACAACCACGCTGGCAGCGAAATCGCCAATGGAGCAAAGCAGATACTTCCAGCCAACGAAAGCAAGTACTCGAAGATTGGGATGGCTTCAGCGAGGATGAAAGAAATGATGGTGAGGCCAAAGGTGCAGGATAGCCAGGTTGCCCAGTGCACCATGGTGTTGGATTGGAGGTGTGGCGAGTCGCGGAGTACGCGGACGAAGATGTATTTTGCGGCTACGTGGAGGTAGAGGCAGGCGCTTACGACGAGACTGGGGAGGGCGATGCCGTAGCAGACCATCTTGATGGTTTGACCTGCGCTCTGTGGAGATTGTCAGTGGTTGATGGATATATGTTGGGGCTGAGAGGTCTTACGCCTAGAGAAGGGCTGGCTACCCATTTGCCGCACCAGCGGTAGACGACAAGGCTGAAGCTGAGATACGCAGCTGTGACGATGCCCATGCAGATGAATAGAGCCTTGCGGTAGTCTCTGGGGTTCTTCATCTCCGAGATGACGGGAAGCATAGCACTAGTGCCAGCACCAGATACGAAGATAGTGCAAGAGGCAACCATTCCAGCAGCAAAGCCCGGGTATGCCATAGCGTAGAAGCCAAATTCATAGTCACCAGTCTGAGGAGCAGCTGCTGGGCGATCGCGTGTGGTGACTGCAATGACAAGGATGAAGACAGCGGTGAAGATAGAGGCGAATCCAATCCAAGTGAGCCAGCCGATCTGGTGGAATTTGCGGACCGAAGCTGCAAGAGCTACGAAGACGGTGGCAATGACAGACCACCAGACGGAGCAAGCGGCGTGGTGGGAGAGAGCGTTGATGCCGATGGATACACCGACGATTCCAGAGCCAGTAAGGAGAACGTAGGCGACGATGAACAATGCTCCAGTAAGCTCCTTCATGATAGGTCCTCCGACCACGCCAGCCATGTCGGCGATACTGTGGCATCTGGGGTGGTTGTTCCTGAAGTCTCCTTGCAGTACTGCTGTGTAGGTGTTGAGGGCTTGCCAGGCAATGACACTCAGTGCACCTCCAACAGCACCTAACGTGTACATGGCTGCCGGGATAGATAGGACGCCGAGGGCGAAGATAGTCTTTAGGAAGATGACGGTGGCCATTGGCCATCCTACGGTTCGAAAGTTGACACCATCTTCGGTCTGCTTGAAGACCTCAAAGTCTTCGGCGATGCCTTCGAGCCGTTCGGGGTCGTTTGTTCCTACGTGGGCGCTTTTCTCGTGTAGTGATGGCGTAGAAGACATGATGGACATCTTGTCAGAGACGAACAGATTGATGGATGCATGAAGGCGGGAAGATGAATGGTATTCATAGTGCATTGCTAGTCATGAGTGACCCCAACACAGATTGCAGTCACCCCGTCACATCGTGGTCTGCCACGTGAGGTGATAGGCAGGGACCAAGAGTTTCAAGCAACGGTATCATGGCATTGAACCGTGCTGCCGACCATGATTGGGTGGTGATTGGACGATCTGATTCCCATGCTTGTTTGAAGTCGGAAAAAGGTTTGGGGTCAACGATAAGGGTGAAGATAGGCCGTGTCGGGGTCATTGCTTTTACGTGGGGACGATGAAGGTCGTTGGGGTCGACTTCTGGCCAGAGAAGATTGCCGGCGTGTGGCTTGCATACGATTTCGTCTCCAGAGAGAGCCGACGGAGGTATTTACAGGTCCCAGGGCAATAGTATCTTGGGATCTCTACTCACCCCTCTTATTTGGAGTCTCGAGGTCCATCTTGACTTTGGAGTACCAAGTTCTGGGCGATGTCGGGGTTGTCGGCCGGGCTCGGGAAGTGCAAGCACCCCGCGAAACCCCGCCATTTCCAAATGCAATGACAGCTCTGGACTCTTGTCATTGACGTGTGCTCCGTCCTGCAAGAACCGCCTCACGCATCCAATCATGCCCATCGCCTCTGGAGCTCCTGCCCATGGCAACCCAGCACATCTGCTGCCACCCTCCTGGACAAGTGTCATCTCCGCCTGGCTAGCCGAAGACACACCTTCCTTCGACTATGGCGGTTTCGTCGTCGGCGCTGCACCCGCAACTGCCCGTCTGCTCGCAAAGTCCTCCGGTATACTCGCCGGGGTACCATTTGTCGATGAGATCTTCAAGCAGTTGGACTGCAAAGTAGAATGGCTGGTTGCAGAAGGCGACCTCGTAGGCCAGAATGGAAAGCAACACGTAGCCACCGTCACTGGTCCCACGCGGAACCTGCTTCTCGGCGAAAGAGTAGCCTTGAATGTCGTTGCCAGATGCTCAGGCATTGCCACAAAGTGCTTTTTTCCTCCCCCTTTTCTACCCCTTCTACTGCACACTGAAGATGCTGACCAGAGTCGTAGATCCCACTCCCTCCTCACCCTCCTCCGCAACGCCGGCTACAAAAACACCCTCGCCGGCACCAGAAAAACCACCCCTGGGTTCCGTCTGGTCGAAAAATACGGCATGATAGTCGGCGGCTGCGACCCCCACCGCCAAGACCTGTCCACCATGACAATGCTCAAGGACAACCACATCTGGGCCTGTAACAACAACATCGCCACCGCAGTCTCCGCCGCAAAAGCCGCAGGAGGTTTCGCCATCAAAGTCGAAGTCGAATGCCAAAGCCTTGACGAAGCACAGCAAGCAGTTGACGCAGGTGCTGATGTGGTGATGCTTGACAATTTCACGCCAGAGGATATGAAGAAGGCGGCGAGAAGCCTGAAAGAGAAATACGGAGGTGGTCCTAGGGGCCCACTTGTGGAGGTCAGCGGTGGCTTGACCGAGGACAATGTGAGTGATTATGTTAGTGATGATGTGGATGTTATTTCGAGTAGTAGTATCCATCAGGGCACCAAGCATGTGGATTTCTCGCTCAAGATTGTGCCAAAGGGCCAGGAGGTCAAGGATGGGCAGGGCGAGAGTACTGCTACTTAGATATAGAGATGTACAAAATCGAAACTTGCATATCAAAAGAGCGAAGAGCCATGTTCTGATAGGGATGTATATACACAGTCATCCACATGTACATTCAACTTTCATTCAATCCTTGACACCCCACTGCCCAACCATACCCATAGCCTCCTCACCACCTTCAGCAAGCAGTCCCGTCTCATCCTTCAACACACCAGCAACACAATGCCACCCATCCCTGCCACCACCATGCCTGAGCACCTCCTCACTCAACCTCTCTCCAGCACCTGGATCCACTCCTCCCAGCTGACTCCTCTGAAACACATCTTTCCAGATCTTCCCTGCGATCGCTCTATCGAAGAGATACGAATAGTAAGTTGCGCCATAGCCAAACAAGTGTCCGAAGAATCCTTGCCAGGAGGTACCAGAGGGTTCGGGAATTGAAGAGTATCTGCTCCAGATATCGTGGTAGGTTTTTGTTGACGAGAAGGAATTGTTGAGCGGTAGTTTGGAATGGTAGCTTTGATCCAACATAGCCAGCAAGAGTTGTGCCTCGGTCTCTATACCTTGAGTCTTGGTATCCAGATTTACTCTTTCAGCAACTCTTGTTGCATCTAGCGGTTTATCGGTTTCCCAGTGACGGGCATACAGAGCGAGGACCTCTGGTGCAGAGGCAAAGTGCTCCATCAGTACACTAGGCAGTTCTGCAAAATCGGTGGCACACCTAGTGCCAGATACATTTTGGAGTGCGGTGCGTCCGCAGATGGAGTGCAACGCATGACCCATCTCATGGAACAGCGTCTGCACTTCTCTGAAGGTAAGCAGAGCTGGCCGTTGCTTGGCTCCTCCCTGCGGAATAGCAAAGTCGCAAATCAATGCTATAGTGGGTAATTGATACAGTTCATTGTTATCGCGAGGGGAGTTGTTGAGGGCTAGGCCGTCGGTTGCTGCTTCTTGGGCTGTGGCGAAGAGGTCGCCGGTGACGTTGCGTAGAGCTTCTGCTTCTTCGAGCTCGTCGGCGAGGATGCGGCGCGAACAGCGGAGGGTGAAGTGAGCGGGATTTGGAGATTTGCCGGCGCGCTCGAAGAGGTCACAGTATATTACTGCGACGTGGCCTTCGCGGTCGTCTATCACATCTAGGCGGCGCACATCATTGTTCCAGGTCTCGCCTGGAGCGGCTTCCTTGGGCACTAGGCGGATGCCATAGAGTCGGTGGAAGAGGCGCGATAAACCTTGCATGACAGTTCCAAGGGAGAAGTAGGCTGAGAGCACATCAGGGGTGCGGGCTTTTGATCTCATGGACGTCAATAGACGGTGTTGATAGTAATCCCTATCCCATGCATTAATCTCGCCAGGAAAGTTTCCACTACGAGCATCAGAGCTCTTCAGTTCCAGAAGTTCTTGTATCTCTGATCGCACGCGCGGAGCATTGTCAACAGCCAGCGCATCCAAGAATTTGACCACGGCCTCAGGGCTCTTTGCCATCTTATCGGACAGAGCCATGTGCGCGAATGAATCGTGTCCAGAAAGACGAGCAAGTTCAGCGCGTCTGTGCAGTAGATGCTCTAGACGCTCGATGTTTGCTCTGGCCGATGTGCGGTTGGCCATGTAGATCTCCCGTCTTGTGTCTGCGTCTTCGACAGTACGCAGAGCGAGGGAGGCAGGCATACCAATAGAAGGCAAAGACACACTGCCCCATTTGGTCAATTGGCGTACCACCAGAGGATCCATGCCCTTCAGCTTGCTGCTAGGAAGCTTGAGAAGAGGCTGTTCAGGAACCATCTGATCCACAAATTCTGGACCGATTTCAGCAATCTCATTGGAAAGCTCGACAAAAGCCTGGCGATCAGTGTCGGAAAGGTCGATGGCTGACTTTGCAAAGTCCCTGGCTAAAATGTTGGCGACGGTCATTTCCTCCTCGCTCCATGATGCAGTGACGTCGGGATTCGCCAGGGCCACCTTCAATTGATCATTTAATCCAGTGGTCGTGTTTAAAACATTCATGTACTCAAACATTTGTGCATATGCCTGAGTAGCAGCAGCTTGTATGTTGCGATCCGGGTGGGTGGAGCGAACAAAATCGCAAAGGTCAATGACTCGACATAGCAAGTCACTCAAGCGATCCAAATCTTTTGCGATCTTCTTGTACTGCTCGACGCTGTTGTATGCCAAGACGTTTGAGACTATGCGCTTGCATTTTGCGAGAGTGATGGAGGCAAAGTGCTCGAAGCCTTGGGGCTTTGTGAGGTAGCGGTTCTGGAAGAGTCCTAGCGATTTCCGAGATGGATGGGTCTGTCGAGCAGAGAAGTGCTGCCAGAAGGGTTGCGAGTCGAAGATTTGGCGTAGAGTGGCATCTTGGTGCGACGTGCTGGGGTTCTGATGCGACACAAGCGGCGGGGCGGAAGTGGATTGTGAAGTCGCAGAAGTAGCGGCGGTGGCCAGGCGGCGACGAGGTTCAAGGCGAAGACATCTGGCGCAGGTCCAAGGTCTTATCGGAGGAGGCTTGAGCATTCTTGTGTTCCTGGATGGACGCTCGAGAAAACAGGCGGCGTCATTTGATGGGTGCTACAATATCGGAAGGGACAGGCGTGTTGGACCGAGAAGGTGTGGAGAGATTGAGCTCACACTTCTGCCCGTCAACTTGGCTGTAGATACGCACATCCAACCCGCCGTCGACTCTCTCACAATGGCCTTCCAGCCCCTCCTACGGCATGTGAGTGATGCGACAGACACATGCGCCTGCCAATTGACCTCTGCTGACTCTTTCTGCAGCGCGCCGCGCCTGTGGCAGCCCTGACCATGGCTTCGCTCGCTCTCTACCCTAGAACCGCCTACGCCGAGGAGCTCACCCACGTACCACCACCTCTCATCGCACTCTCAACCTTCAGCTACAACTCACACACCATGCAGCACACGCGCAAACCCATCTACGACAGCCCGCTGGCAGCCACTCCCTCCCCGGCAGCCATCCACGACACCACCCTCCACCCGGACCCCGTCACCCCTCCCGTCCGCGACTCGCAATCCCAAGCCTCAAAAGTGTCCGTCGAGCAAGTCGCCGCCCGCGTCCTCGGCCAACCCGCCTCTCCCACCCCTACCCAGCGCCTCGCCGATCAGATCAAGCGCGCCCGCGTCTTCCTGCACGCCCAAGCCGTCAAGGCCGAAAACAACATCGACTCGGGTCTCACCAAAGCTCTGAACCTCGAGCACTCCTTCATCTCCACATTGCAGTCTCTTGCTCCCCCCAGAGAGAGCGGTGAGCGTTTGCTCCCCGGTGGCATCTACGTCTTGGTTGCTGCAATGGCCGGCAGCATTGTTGCTCGCAACCGCAACATTTTGCTGCGTGGTATTGTTCCCGTGGCTACTGGTGTTGGTGCCTCGTATGCTGTTTTGCCTATCACCACTCGCAATGTCGGCGATTTGATCTGGAAGTACGAGGAAAAGTACCCCGTGGTCCGTGATAACCATATCCGTGTCCGTGATGGTGTTTCGCACTTCATCGAGACTGGAAAGGCACACTCGCAGATGGGTTACTACCAGGCTGTTGACAAGGTCCAGGGCGTGCGTGAGGCTGTTGAGCAGTGGGTTGCAAAGGGCAAATAGGTTACAAGAGTCTGGCCTCGTTCCTATGTTTTTCCCCATAGACTTTTTGCTTCCTTCGACTGTTCCTGTTTTTTTCGCTTGTAGGAAAAAGTCTGTATATTACGAAACCTCAACAAAGCGCGAGTTCCTCGTGAAGATGGGCAATTGATACTTTGATCATTGGATGCTAGTTTCAAGGCTGGACGCTCAACCTTCAAGAGTGCCCCAAATGTCTGTCTTCATTTCCAAGACGATGCAAGAGCCACAGCTCGCGGTTGGAACAGATGGCAGTGAGTTGTGCCGTGGAAATGCTATTTGACAACGCTCAATGATCTAGCCTAAAAAGTATCCTGATCGAAAAGTACATTCAATGCACGCCCATAACTGCCAGCTCACTGAGCCACGGGACCTCTTTCCTGCTGCATCTGTTTCGCTTTTGCAGCAGCGGGGCTTTCGTACTGGCCACGGAGATACTCCTCGACGCTCCTGTCACCCATAGCATCTACCCTCGGATCCTCGGCCTTTTTGGGCGGCTGTTCCTCGACCATTTCCTTGTTTTCCTCCTTGGTGCCGTATCCCACAGCAGCCAATGCACTCGCACCCACACTGGCAGCAGTACTATACGCTTGGCCTGCCACCTCCTTGGCCTGATCCACGTACGTTGCTTGCGGTACCTCAGCCTCAGGCATGGGGTGCTCCTTAGGCGCCTGCCCGATCGTGTTAGGTTCGTTTACGCCATATGTGTCGCCAAAAGTGCCTTCACGCTTGTCGGGAGTGCCGTCGGCGAGGGTGCCGTGCGCGTGCGTGTGGGATTGTGCAATGTAGCTCGTACCTGATGTGCCTGTTCTGTCTGTGCTGGGCTGATTTGCAGAAGTCTGGGTCGATTGGACTTGGTGTTGCTCGCGTACAGGGAGTGTGGTGCTCCCGTTGCCGTACGTGGGAGGCGCCACGGCTTTTTGGCCGTTGGGAGGGCTGGGCGGGTGGGTATGCTGACCACTGGTGGTTCTGTAGAGAGCAGCATCCTGTTGACCTGCGGCTGGTGCAGCAGGTGCGGTGTGTTGAGATGCCTTGGCAATGGCGACCTGGCGATTACGAGGTTTGCCGTTTTCTGAGCCTAGTGCGAGAGCGACTCTGTCACCAGTCGGTGTGGCTACCCATCTGATAGGACCGCTGGGAATGGTGTCCATGCCGTTGAGCTTATGCGGTGCAGTCCACTGAAGTAGGTTGTGAAGATCTGGGTCAATGTTGGGCAGATCGCCAAAGTTGTACTTCAACTTGCCGCCATATTTTTCTGGGATATTCTCAGGATCAATGTACTTTGACAGCGTCGCATACTGATCTTGCTTGGAAAGAATGAAAATTTTGGACTGTTGACGTGTGAGTTTGTCTGTTCATGTCTCGCCTCCAAGGGAGCAAAAACTTACGACAGTGATGGGATCGAACCATTTCTTGACCCAACTCCAGACAGTAGGGAAGAAGGAAGGTGCACCAATGATGAAGATTCTGTCCAGGGTCTCGGGATAATGTGCGGTAGCCAGCTGACTAGCATCTTGCATGTGAGCCTTGAGATTCCAGAATTGTCTCAGACCAACGTTTGAAATATCAACGATGTTGCTTGACTGTGATACCGGTGTCTCCGGGAAGGGGCGATTGTTCATCTCTGAGCAGAGCGGCAGCACGAAGTTGGTGAGGTTTTCGTACAGGGCGAACAAGCGGAGCATCTTGGCGGGTACTTTAGACTGCACAGCTGAGTTCTTAGTTGTAGTTGATGCTTCATAGGCCGAGATGGCCTTGCTGTTCAGGTGGGCGACTTCAAAGGTGTATACAGGGATGCCACGACGGTCTTGTCGGCCAGTCCATTGAGGATACTGCTATGGTCAGTATAAAAGAACACACTGCTGAGCATATAGTCCGACTGACCAAGACACGGGTCTGCTCATACTCGTTGATGTCGATGGTGTCGTAGAGCTTGTCGAGTTGAATATCCTTGCGCCAGTCCTCTGTGTCCTTGAACTGGCCAAAGGCTTCGCTGGGAACAAACTTGCGAGCACGCAGATACCGCCTGCCAGGGTCAGCAGGAGTTTTGTGCCACACGCGTGCAGCCTTGCTCACAGCATGGTCTCGTCGTCATGGCTGGGAAGGCCATTGGGGCGTCCTGTTGGGTTGTAGTATCCCTTCTCCTGACACAGCTCTTTGAAGGCTAGCAGTGCCTTTTCCTGACCAGGGTTCAAGTGTCCAACATGGGTGGCCGGGTACTAGGTTGCAGCTGTCAGCTTTGGTTGTGCTGGCCGGGGATTGACTTTGGCCAAACTTGGAGCTCACTTGGTACGACTCAAAGCGCTGCAATTCGGGTCCAGACATGATCTCGTTTGGGTCTCGGCCGTCACTCTTTGAACTATATGATAGGTCCTTAGGGAAGCGGGATAAGAAGCGAGGAATCGTTTCCAACAATCCTGCGACTCATTGCAGCTCGTCGACGTGCTCTGGGCAGCGTCATTCTTTCCGTATCCTCCGAAGCCGATGGCTTCCACACCCCACGCAGCCAAGCAACTTGCTTGCCTGCTTCCGACCTCGACTCCCCAAATTTACCACGGTAACAATTCGAACTCATCCCTGAGAACACACATGGATCTGTCGCAAGTTCTTCCATCTCTGGCATCCCTGCTCGTCGTAATACCAGGCCCTATGAACCTGCTTCGAACCAACGCGGCCACCACGTGTTGGTCATATATTCTTGACTTGCTAGCCGTCTTTCCACCTTCCGAGTACGACAGTGCCGAGTGCAGCCTGTAGCAAAAAGACAGACGTAGTTATGACAACTATCGCTTCATGGGATCTGCCTTAAATTTCCCCACGATCCTCGCCGTAGTCTTAGGTCCGGCAGAATCGGTCATCAACCCCGTCTTCGTGTCTAAGATATGTCCCAAAGATCGAACATCATTTCATCACACGCGGCATGCGTTGAGTGTGAATAAAGTGCAGCAATCTCTTGGTATGTATGAATTGTTGCGACTGCTGGCAGCTGCCTACCTACACATGACCAGATGCGGACCTGAGTCCGCATTTCGGAGCAGATGTCCTCTCCTTTTTCCCTCCTGACTGTACAGATTCGACATTCAATGCGGGCATTGGAGATGGTTCACAACGACAAGTTTGACGATCATTGTTATTGGTTGGAAATTCTTTGTCATGCAAGAAGGTGGGCTCCCACGCTACACCACGCTCGCTTTCGGATGTGAAGGAAGTCTGTATCCATCTTTGACACTCACAGTCTTGCTGAAAGCCCCTCTTGCAAGAAGCAAAGTGATTACAAACACGCACGAGTCACGAAACTCGGAATGCGGTGTCGTGCATACCGCCGGAGCGGCCCATAACGATCACCGTGCCACCGATTCACGGCAGCTTTGGCTAAACAATTACCGATGGCATTCTTCAAGATCGACGGCTATCGAAATGTGACATTTTCTGGATTCCTTGGACCTCCGTTGGTCCCGATCCACAACTTCCGCTTAACAAGGAGCCGCATGAATTGTCTTCAAAGAGTAATCGATGCGCTACATGTAACAGGGTGCAGCACCTAAGTCGCCAGCTCACGGCTGACACGAGACAGCAGCCTGAAAACATTACAAGGCGAACCCGACTTCTCGTCGTGCCCACCAGCTAGTATATTCGCGATCTTCGCCGATCGTTGTTTATGGTGGCTGGACACTGCTGAACATGGATGGGAAGGTAAGCCCTCTGTAATCAAAGCTCAATGCAAATACAAGATCTTCGCGGAATCTGCAGTTTAGCAACCACCACAGCACGGTACTCACTGCTAGAGGCTGGACTCTGTAGCCAGCTCATGCACTCTCGCCAAGCTCATAGACACTAGCCTGATATGAGTGCTGTGTGGTGTGCATGTGGGAACCACCGACGATTGGACAGATTGATTTGACAGACTTGCGTGGCCACCTGCATTTGCTCGCATCGCGCGGACTCTCTTGGGATGATTCTCCTTTGATACAGCATCCGCTTAACAGTTCTTCCTAGGAACATAGTTCTTGGAGTCGTGGATTATGCGAACAGAGAGGCTTCGGCCTGGAGTTCCGCCTGTGTGTAGGGAGTTTCCTAAAACTCTGACATGTTCTGACGTGCGTACCTGACAGTGCGACAGAGTGGTCAGTACGTTCCAAGCTAAGAAGCCTTAGGGGTCGTATGCAGCCTTGTTTCCTACAACTTCCAGCAATAGCACTGCCAACCATATCTGCATTGAAGCTCTAGTTGGCACAATATGACTGGATCGACGTCTGTCAACCATCCGCGAGTATGACGCCGAGGCGGCCAATTATTGATCAAGACAGCCTCCAGATAGCAAGCGCGTCTCGGGCGTCGAACTACTAGGAAGAACGCCCTGTACCCACTTTCCTCCATTGCTTAATATTCTACCGCGCTCAAGCGACGATTCGAGCGAGTTTCACAAACACATTTCGCATGGTCATCTTTCAGCACGAGAGCTACAACCGCCCCAGGGTTCTGGTTACCTAACCCAATCCAGGAAAAGCATTGTACATTGCTAGATAACGTGCTTTTTCACGAGACGGGGACCTTCCATATCCGTTTGCATGACACCAGTTTTCGAGGCAGATTGCATCTGTTGGTATGCGGCACGCACCATGTCGCTGTTGATCCGCGTTCTCGTCTACGACTACCAAGGCTGTCTTGATCGACTACAAGAAGGGTCAGGGATCTAAACTGTTCGGGCACGAACCGTTCGTTCTCGACAGTACCATCACTTTTCGTCAGAATTATCGCTTTCGGCGAAGACCTTGACTATCACTTTCCACACAACTTTAGACTACGATGGCGAGATATCAGATCTGTATCAACGACGACCGCAACGTGTACGTCTGGCAGGAGACGTGGAAGGAAGACACGGTTGCAGACTTTCTGACTCGTCTGTCTAACTCGACGAACCCTCAGCTCGATCGTGGCACGATACATCTGAGCTTTGATGGCGTTCGTCTGGGCGAATCCACGACGATGAGAGAGGTGAGTTGCTTGGCTGCCTTTGGTACTCTATACGTACCATCCAATATTCGACCCCTGGCTCATACCCATCGCAGACTGGTCTGGAAGATGGAGATGAGCTAGCTCTTCATTATGGCTCACGTGTTTGCAAGCTATGTACCGGTTCACGTATGCTATGTTTGACTCGGTCGCAAGCTGTTCACACAGACTGATGAGCTCCTCCAGATAATGGTACAGGGTATATGACTCGTCAGGATGGTTGATGAGGCAGTGGTGTGAGACCACGCGCCAAATCGGCTAAATAGGACACGACAAGTATCAACAGCGATAACGATATCAGGGAGGCCAAGAGCAACAACAACAACAATAAGAACAACACACAGCAACGAGTCAACGAACACAAATATCTGTTTTACGCAAATTCTCATACTCAGAAACATGGAAAACGCACATTTGCATTCGAACTGCTCGGGGCAAAGTTCGTGTAAACACTGCAGGTAGGGAGGGTTTCATGTCGGTATATGTACCGACAGTGCATTGCCTATTTCGGGAAGGAGGCGACCAAGGAGGGCTGAGATCGGTACTTTATATGATGAAACGCTTTTGCTCTCGTCTGACGTAAACATTCGCGACAAATTTCTGTATCTTTTCCCATCACGTTAGTCCATGTCTGTTTGGTATCTAGCATGATCTTCTTTGCCTAAGTTTCCTGACGCTCGTATGCTATCTACAGTGATAGGCAGTTCGCAGCACTCCCTGCAACCTTCTCTCGAGAGAAGTGCGATCGAGTCAGGGCACCCATTGGCCCGGTCTGAGAATTACGATCAAAAGACCACACACAATCAATCCCGACAATTGTTATGGTTTAAGTCGAAGAAACTCCATGTGATTGCTTTCGCATGTCACTTATTAGAACCTCCATAGCCCCGATACCGGAACACAGATATGCCTGAAAGTCTCCCCACCCTAATTGTGATCAATCTGGTTTTCTTCTCGGAGCGATATGCATTTCTTGCCATATATAGTCACCGTACGACATCCACCACTCTCTCATTTTTCCGTATTGCCCAATCTCTATTGGGCTTTGGACCTTTTGCTTGGATGCTTTGAGTGGCTTGTCGATCGATTCATCAGTTGATTATGAAGTGATGTCACTGTTATAGCTGTACATGCCCTAGGTAAGACTTCCCTTTGCGGGACTCGTGCATGTCGACAGATATTCTTTGATTATACACGTCACTTGCAGCAGATGCAGACTTGTGACCATATCTCGTCGTTTGTACGCAGAAATGAGCAGCGTGATTTGTGCCCTTGTTGATATTGGAGGAAGTGGCTGTCGTGCGTTGCCTCCTTTTGTACAGCAATATAGCACATAGGGCTCGGAAGTGGACATACAATATAGGGCTTAGAAGTGGACAAACAATATAGGGCATGCAAATGAATACGAAAGACGAATTCCCGAAACAGATATCGATTCCATAGCCACCCAAAACTCCTCGAACCACCTGATGCAGACGGCCGCCTCAAGACGATTGAGTCCACTTCTCAAACCCTCCTATATGCTAAAACCTGGTACTTCACGTTTTCTAGACTGCCCGGATATCTTAGCTTCTCATCTAACCTGTTGATCTTCATAGCCTCTGCAACAATCTTCTCCCATCTCACCACTGGTTTGTTCGCTTCTTCCTCTTCTACCACTTTCTTGCCTCTGCCCTGTGTAGGCACCTTTTCTGCTGGTTTACCTAGCAATACGCGATCGAGTAGCCAAGATAAAGTATATGGTTTAGCTTCCTCAGACTCGGGATCTGCGGTTGCTGCAGAAGGCGAAGGGACCGAGCTACCAATGACATCGATGACAAGCAGAATACTTCCTACAGCCAAAACTGCATCCAACTTATACATGAAAGCAGTGGTTTTAGGGATGCTTGCATTATAAAGGTTTCCGAGTGTGAGGAAGAAGGTTGTGAGACAGGGTGTGCTGCCAATGGTATCGATGAGTTGTTTTCCGGTGAGAGTGAGGATGTCATTTTGTTGGAATGTTAGGGTGAAGGAAGAGGGAGTGAGGAGAGCGTGGTTGGAGGCACGGGCGGATGCTGAGGCGTATTTTGAGAGCAGGGGTGGAGTGGTTGTTGCAGAGAGGAGTTTGTCGAGTACGGGTTTCCAGTCCGCGGAGTCGATGATTGTCATGTCCAGGTGTGGTTGTGATTTCTCCGGTAGTGGGCCTTCATCCGACTCCGTCCGCGGTTTACCTGCTGCAGATGGCCTCAAGTACCTCAGTAACGCAGCAAACGCCATCACCTCAGCAGCATTGCCACCAAAACAAACAGCCTTTATCGTCTTTTGCGCTTCGTCATCAGAAGAAGGCAAAACACTCCACTCCTCTTCTTCGCCCCGTCTACACAGCTCAGCAACCACATTCGCATAAGCCAACGCCCTACTCGGACTCCACCTAACCGCAAACGCCTCCCTCTTCTCCTCCGTTCCCAAAGCCTCATCCCACTCCCTCACCGACACCTTCTCATTGACCTCCCTCAACACTGTTTTCAATTCCTCAAAATCCATCAATTTTTCTCCAAATCCATCTTTGAAGATATTCAGCACCAATTGTTGCAACTCTGTAGGAGGAAACTGGTGTTGGGCAGAGGGGATAGGCTTGGGAGCATCCAAATGAGGTTTTGGCTTTGCTTTGGGTGTGTAGCCTGAGCCGCGCCATTCGGGCTTGGACACTGGTGGAGGTTTTGAGGGGGCTTTTGAGGTGCTGCTGCTGAGGATGGGGCCGTGTTTTCGTGCCGATTGGGCTTTTCTGTCGTATTGGCCCATTTTTGGTTGATTGGTTGCCTCAAAGACCAGTAGTTGTTTTATGGACTGGAGTTCCTCGGACTGGATCTTTCTATGCTTGGACTTTGCAAGGATCGGATGTTTTGATTTTTAGTGGTCGATGGTTGATGGTGTGTGCAAAGAGTTGATTTGGAACGTTGGAAATTTTCGTCGCGAACATTTTATGGCTGAGGTTACGTGAGGCTAGTTGCGGGGATGACCCGGGTGTAGAATAATATGTCCGTGGATGCAATCATCAAATCGACTTTATGATAGAGATGTATTTATGAGCTATTGTTGTAGCTGAATGTTGTATATTCCGAAGCAAAATACATCGAGCGTCCAATTGTCCAGCAATTGAGTGATTGTAAACCACGCTCAGCAACTGATGGCGGCACTGGGGGTGATGGGGAAACAAAACAGAAAAAAGGGGTATCTCTGGACCAAAATGCAATGCAACGCTTGTGATACTCACTGTACCACGTTTCATCTCAGCTCCTCGTCCAACAAGGACTTCAGGGCTCCTTCATCAGCTAACGCCTGCATCCACAACTTGACAAATGAGCCATAGTCATGTCTTCGGTGCATGGATTCCTTTACATCCAGCTTCTCGGCTTGCTGCGAGTCCCGTACCTGAGCTCGACAGCCAGCCTGATTCGTTATGAGTTCTTGTCGCACTTTCAGAAGACTCTCTGGGCAGCTTGATCTGAGCTGCCGAGTCATGTTCTCGGGCATGGTGGCCTTTGCGAGCATCTCGTCCGTCAATCCGTATTCCATGCTTGAGCCGAACAGAACATTCTCCTCAGACTCTGGAGAGGTATAGCTGCACCAGTCTTGAGACGTTTCGTTGAGTCGGAGTTCGATCTTCTGTAATGACAGAACATTCTGAGCAAGAACGCGGCGGTCTTCGATGACTGGATCTTGTACGACGGCCATCAAGCTGAACTGCATCTGACCTTCCTCATACTGCGCCATACGGACGCTGATTGAGTTTTGAATAACACTCAACCAATCTCGACCAGGATGTATCGTGCCGACTGCTGTGGGAAAAGAGTCAAGACCATCAAGCTTCCAAACATCATCGCCAATTGGCATGTAAGCAACAAAGTGAAAGCCTGATTCTTCCGGATCTTGGTCTTCTTCGTCTTCGGCCACAGGTTTGGTAGGTCTAGCTTTGCGCAAAGGATTGGACCTCAGTTTGCCCGGAGCTGTTTCTGTGTTGGTGACGCGTGCCGCTGCTCTTTCTGCCGCTTTGGCAGTTTTAGCGGCATTTGCAGCTTGAGTCTTTTGCCTCTGCATCATTATGTCCTTCCTATCGCGCATCAGAGAGTCAATGTTGAGCATGTCAGTATCCCGGGCGAACGAGTTGTGTATCCTGCGGACAAAGTCTAAGCTGTCGATGGCATAACCTCTGGCGATGGGATCGAATGATTGCGTGTAGTCCTTGAAAGACTCCAGAGGCTGGCCGAGCTCCAAACTTGAAATATTGTTGACAATGTTGAGCAAAGCCACTGTTCCACAAGCATATTGAGGAATCTTGAGGTGTCAGATTTGTAACAGGCATGGAGAATGATGACTTACCTGATTGGCGAACCAGACATGAGATGGGCATTTGGTTTCCTGGACCTGCTCTGCTGTACTGTCTTGTTGGTATTTGAACAAGAAGATAACAGCATGGACTGGTTTAGGCAGAATGGCAAGTGCATCATCGTCGACGCCAAAGACCTCCTGGACCCTGAGGTCGCGAACACCGATGTCTTTGAGAATTGTGGTGAAGAAAGCCTGAGTTTTGTCAGTGCTAAGATGACGATCAGGGCAAAAAGTGATGACAAACGGGCTCAGACTCAATCTCACACCAACCAGGCCATGATGCTAGATCTGGAGTGGTTGGCTCAGCGGCGGAAGGTGAACTCTGAGGAGTATCTGTGCGCCTTTTCTTCTTAGGAGGCATGTCGGCGATTGGATGGAGATTTTGAGACGGGCGACCTGAAAGCGTGTAGAGAGTGATCACGACATTGTGACACGATGAAACTCAAGTCACGAGTAAGAGTGAGAGTGAGAGTGAGGCATCGGATGCGTGTCTAGGACAGGGTGACGACGCGCCTGAGGCAGTCGTGCCAAGACAAAGTGACGAGCTTTGGTTGTTTTGTACCATGTTTTGGCCAAAGCAGAAAGCAGACCAGGACGACACTTTTCCATTCTTAACCTCGACATCACTCAACCGAGGGTCGCATTGGAGTCACAGACGACGGCTCACAGCATGCGATGAACGGCACACCTCGTCTTCGCTCCGGCGCCTTCCCCTCGACGCCGCAGTCGACGCGGCGCAACAACCTTACGCCTCAGAAGCTCCCCGACATTACCCAGCTACGCCCTGCTGCCACGCGACAAGCTCTAGAAAATGACGGTCCGTTGATTCCAGTCGACACGTTGGACGCGCCGACCCAGCGTCTCTATGTTGTCGGCTTCTACCTGGCTCTGGTTGGCTGGAAAATGTACGACCACTTTTACCTGAAAGAGGAGGAAACAGAATCGCTGTGGCTGTTTATGAAATGGGTCGCCTTTGATGGCATCTTCCTGTTTGGCCTGCCCGAGTTGCGCATCCCCTGGCTCGAGTGGTCTTCGGCCACCATGCTGCTTCTTTTCCTGGCCCACGCCGCCCTCGACGCCGTCCTCATGTTCCGCATCCAGCTCCCACTTGGTGCTGGTCTTGCCGCTATTGGCAAAATATTCTACGACCGCGAATTGGGCGTCTCTGGTCACCACGTCAAGCAATCGAGCATCCTCCACAACTCGTCCTTGATTCTGGGAAAACAGATCATCCACATCCTGCCAGAGGGCTCTGCTATTTTGAATCCCGCAAAAAAGTCCTTCTGCCTGGATTCTGCGAACCAACAAGTCTATCTTCCCATCCAGATCAACCAAACTACCCCAGTGAGCATTGACTTGCTGCGCCACGAGTTTGACGGTGCAACAAACGAGACCATCCACATCTCGGCCAAGGAAATCAAGAAGTTGATGAAAGACGCTGCTAGACAAGCCTCACACCCTGCTTCGAATGAGCCGCTCCTGCTACGTTATCCTACAAAGAAAACTGGCAGATATATGCTGGCCAAAGTCATGGACGAATCTAAGCTCGAGGTCCAGAGAAAGCGCGTTGGTGACACTATTGTTGTCACTTGTCCTCAGGCCGTTATCAAGTCTTCAACACCAGACGCTTGCAAGGGTGACTTGTCCAACATCGACCTCGAAGTAATTGGAACTCCCCCACTACGCATTAAGTACCGCAAAATCACAAACCAGAGAGAGCAAGAGGCTCACTTCCAGAGCATTCAACCCGACGACTTTGTCTCACCTCTGATTCAGCAGTCCTCTGATTCTCTGGCTATCCGGAACACCAAAGATATCTCCTGGGCCCGTGCCCAGACTGTCACTGTTCCCCTCAGGGAGCACATGGGTGAAAGCGGCAAGTGGGTCTATTCCATGGATGAAGTCGAGGACGCATTCGGAAATGTTGTCTATTACACCGAACGCCAGCATGACGACCAGGACAAGCCTTCCACCAAAGCTGCACATCTTCATCAGGTTGTCACTGTTCATGAGCGCCCCATCATTGTCATGAGCGGTTGCGATTCTCAGCACCCTCTCAAGGTCGCTAAAGATAGCTCCATTACGCTACCTGTGCTGTATGGTTCTACCGCAGCAAAGGGCAATGGAGGCTTCCTCGGCACTCCTTACAACATCGAGTACAAATTCACCCCCGAAGGTCAACTTCAGTCCAACGGCGATCACAGCGAAGCAGCTCAAATCAAGTCAATCTCCATCAAAAACCAATCGCAGAGCCCCGATGTTCAAGATGCTGGTCTGTACACGCTTCACAGTGTGTCGACCGGAATCTGCGCTGGCGAAGTCTTGGAGCCTTCATCGTGTCTGCTGCAGAACCCGGCCGAGCCCAGCCTCCGCATCGATAAGGAGGAAATCTTCGACAAGTGCGCCAACAAGCCCATTGGTCTGCGCGTCGACTTCCACCTCACAGGAACACCCCCGTTCAACATTCAATACCAGATTACAAAGAAGGATAGTCCCCATCATGTGACACATACTGAGAGAGTCAATGGCCTGCGTGGCCAGATTGAGTTGACTCCTCCCACAGCTGGCCACTACACGTATCATTTCTTCGAGATTAGTGACGATGTGTACAAGGAACATCAACTCAAGGGGGAAGACATGGTCATCGAGCAGGACGTCAAGCCTTCGGCATCTGCCAACTTCAAGGAGTCGTCTCCTTCCCGCAAGGTGTGCATTGACCAGGCCGTCTCATTCGATGTCGCCCTTCGTGGAGAGGGACCGTTCACAGTCGAGTACGAGCTTGTTCGCGGCAGCAGTAGAAAACGCCACACTCTTAAGGAGATTGATGGCGATCAGCTTACTATCAGCACAAGCCCCTTGACCAAAGGCGGTGATTACACACTTGCTCTGGCCAGTGTAACCGATAGAATGGGTTGCAAGGAGTTCTTGAAGCAGGAGGCCAAGATCAACGTTCGTCATCAGAGACCTAAGGTCTCCTTCGGGCAGATCGAAGGTTCGCGCGCCATCAAGACTTTGCAAGGCAAGACCATGAGATTACCGCTGAAGCTCACCGGAGAAGCACCCTGGACTGTTCGTTACCGCAACCTTCGCGATCCCGAGCACTCGCACAAGATCAAGGTGGACAGTCCCAACGGACTCTTTGCCACTTCAGAGGAAGGCATGTACGAGCTTCTGGAAGTCAATGATGCCATCTGTCCTGGTTCTGTTGACGAGAATGCCAAGAAGTTCAGCATTGATTGGATCGAGCGTCCTCAGTTGAGAATCCCTGAGACTTCATATGACAGAGTTGAAGGTGGCAAGTACATCAAGAATGATGTCTGCGAGGGTGAAGACGACTTGGTCAACGTTCACTTCTCTGGTGCTCCACCATTCCAATACAAGTACGACGAGATTATCGTGTCCGAACGTGGTGTCAAGTCAAAGCGTAGCAAGGCAGTCACCGCCGCACTTGGTGTTTCGTCTATTAACCTTGATACTGCACAAGCGGCCGTGATCGATTACGTGTTCACCGAACTTGCCGACGACAACTACGACCACAGCTCGAAGCACTTCACTCCGGTCACCATCCAACAACGTGTTAACGCTCGTCCATCTGCACGCTTCAACAACCCTGGTAGAACATACAGCTACTGCTCTGTAGAGTCTGCTGGAGAAGAAGTCATTCCCATCACCCTGGAAGGCAAGCCACCGTTCGCCATCGACGTTGAGATTAAGCACCATGGCTCTGCCCGTCCCGAAATCTTCTACGTCAAGGACATCAATAAGAATATACACGACCTCCGTGTGCCTCACCAGTCTTTGCATCTGGGCAATTCTGCTGTGTCTATTCGTCGCGTGACTGACAGCCGTGGCTGCAGCCGCATCCTCGACAACGCATCTCCCAGAGTTCAAATCGCCGTCCACGACGCTCCTACGATTCGTTCACTGGAGAACCAGGAAGACTTCTGCGTCGGTGATCGTATCTCATTCGCTCTCTCTGGCCAAGCTCCTTTCCAAGTCTACTACGAATTCAACGGCGTGGCTCGCAAAGCCAGCTCCGGCTCAACAACCTTTAAACGTCTGGCAGAGAAGCCTGGAACTTTCACCATCACCGGCGTCAGCGACTCTGGCTCTTCCTGTCGCGCTTCCACCAGTATCGAGAAGAAGATCCACGGCATGCCTTCAGTACGCGTGGGCAAGGGCGTCGAGTCTCAAGTCGACATCCACGAGGGCGGTGAAGCTGAAATCACTTTCGACTTTGGCGGTACACCGCCCTTTGAGTTCACCTGGACACGCAGCACCAATGCTCGCCGTGGCCAGAGATCTGAGGTGTTGGAGATGAGAAGCGAGTTGTCTCAAGATCACCACATGGCTATCAGGGCCAGTGAGGAGGGTACTTATGAGGTGGTGTCTATCAAGGACAGGTATTGTGCCTATGCTAAAGAAGGCATTGATTTGACAAAGAAGAAGGGCAAGCTGCTTACATATTAAGCGGGGGTTCATTTTGGCGTTTGTTTGCCTCCTTTGGGCCTTCTTCATGTATAGTATATACTCTGTCTTCTCCATTTGCACGGGTTTGGCGAGCATTCAAGAATTTCCAAAGTTTTCAACGACTATTCTCTGTTTACTGCCCTCATATACAATCAAGTCGACATGGAAGTTGCGACTCGCGATCGAACACAGCTTATGCTCGGCGCTGTCTTGAGCCTGATCGCTTATGCGACTGAGATAGTAACCTTGCGACTATAAATCCAGGACCGCAATTGAGACTTCTATAGTATTACAGTACTTTCGTATTCAAGTCCTCTCACATCTATCGTCTATAGAGGTCCATCATATGTCATTTTCTGCAGAGTCATCCTCGTCTCCCAAGCCTCTATGCCTTGACGCAAACACCAGCATCCGTAGCATTCGAGTATGCATACGACAGGCCCACTGTAAACTTATCCCCACCATACGCGAACCCAGTATTCTTCGCTACACCCTTGCCCCAAGATTCACTATACAACACACACTTTTGATCGACCACAACACCATTCTTCAACTCTTGGAATGTATTGAAGAACTTGCAAGTCTTTGGCGCTGATCCATCGGCAGGAGGATGAGCGAGTGAGTAAGCAGCTTGCCCTGAACACGCATCCGCACATTTCTGCGCATCAAAAGCGCCGGTGAAGATTTGGAAACCAAGGTAGGTGTCTTTGCCAACGCAGTTCAGCGGTGCTTGGATAGCTGCATTGTTGAGGTAGATGGGGGAGGTGTAGCCGCTTGGTGCATTGACGGTGTTGAGCACATAGCCATTTGAGCCCGCGATGACGACTTTGAAGCCGTTGGGTGTGGAGCCTGTGTTTCTGGCATTGGCAGTCGTGACCGCACCGTTCCAGAAGACGCATTTTATGGTTGCTGTGCTGGTGCAGGAGGAGTTGAAAGATGAGGGAGAAGAGGAAATAGGACTGCGTTCGTAGAAGATGTTGAAGGCGTGGCAGTCGGAGCTGGCAGAGCATCTTGCGGCGCAAGAGGATACATCGTAGGTGCTTAGGGTGGTGTAGCCGGCATAGCCATCTGCATTACTGCTGGCGTGCAGGTCGGTGAACGTGTTTGTGTAACCAAGAGGCGTGGAGGCGTTATTCGCGGCAGCTGAGTACGCGGGCCAGGCGAGGAAGTCAGCAGCGGTGTCAGGGCCTGTGGCGCAGGCACGCTTAAAAAAGTGCTCGTGTTGACGAAGCGGGCTTGCAAGCGCGGTGGCTGCGAAAAAGAGTGGAAGGGTTGCGAACAGCATTGTAATGAACGTGGATTGAAGTATAGACTTCTGAGTTGGAGAGATACTGCTTGACGACGGGAGATAGTTGGTGATGGGGTAAGGAGAAGACTTATACCCACCCTGCCTCTCTGCTTACCAAAATAGATTGCAGTGTAATATCGAGATAAGCAGGGTATAGAGTTACGAGATGCACTTGTCAGGAGTGAACTCAGCTGGATACCATGAAATCCCTTACCGTCCAGCAACCAGGATGAACGCAACGTCCATACAGAGCGAATCAAACATGGCCTACGGAAACCATGAGTCGAATCACATATCTGGCACGAAAGGTCTCAAAACCCCCGGACTGGACTCTCGGTATGACTATCGACGAGATATCAACTGGACCGTTCTTGTCTCAAATCCACGTGGTTTTCGCAATCGATTGTCATTAGACGATTCGGTATGGAGAGGAAGGGACTGTAAGTTCGTTGCACTTGATGTGCTGCTCATCTCGGATGTTGAAGACGGGGTGGAGCTAAAGCCGGGAAGCCGTTCATATTCAACGTTCCATCAAGAGGAGAGATGACGGATGCTGTACGGACCGAATCGTTGGCGTGCTCTCTCCTCTTACATCGCAGCTGTAGATTTCATGGCTGCATGAGCAGCCTGCAGGAGTAATAAGCAAAGCCTGGAGAGGGTAGTGAACAGGAATACTGGTGCATGATGACTTTAGGAAGGCCAGAAAAAAAAAACGACGATACAGATACCAAGAATTGCGAAGCCCCTATCGTGAAGGAGCAGATGCATGTTAGATGAAGTTGGAAAGGGGCATCCCTTTGATGTGTTTGACTTCGTCGTCTAAGCCTGCCGAATTCGGATGAACCTCGGTCTTCGAACCCGGCAAAAGCTGCTTCCTGAACAAACACCCTCGAGCTCGAAATCAACGTTCGTTCTATCTTAACATGTCGAACAACCCATGGTCCATGTCGGGCTTACATGTCATCGACCCGAAGAACGCTCACGCGTCACAAATCCGGTTGCTGCTGGACTTGCACATTGCGTCGTAAGAAATGCGACGGTGAGAAGCCAGCATGTTTCGCGTGCAAGTCGCGTAACATCACTTGTCATGGGTTTGGAAATCGACCTGAGTGGCTGGACAGCGAGGACAGAAAACGTGTTGAACTGAAGAAGATCAAAGACGCTGTGAAGCTGAACAGGAAGCGCAGAAGGACAGACGCAACCGAAGATCGTGATGACGAGGATCTGGCGAATAATGCACGACCCACATTTGCACAGAATATAGCGACGGACCCGTACCAGATCCAGAGCGACGAGGATCCCATGAGTACTGGAACATCCACAATCGCTCAAGATGCACCAACGGAGACCTTTGAGGAGCAGCGCCATCAGGAAGATGAGCCATCTGAGATGCTGGAACCATGTCCTGATCTATCAGCAGCGCACTATTCGCCTCCAATCTACGAGCAAGGCTCAAGCCAGACGCCCTCGATTGCACAGACTCCAATGGCGACAACCTACTTTCGATTTGGTTACCATCGCGAAGCAGAGTTGTTGATGCACTATTTAGACCATGTCTTTGCTCTTCAATTTCGGTTTCACACGCCATCTGTAGCGAACGGTGGTCGAGGTTGGCTGTTATGGCTTCTGACCGAAACAAAGCCTCTATATCATGCTGCTCTCAGTCTGGGGGCTTTGCATCAGCACTCCTTACTTGCTCGTTCCGCGCAGGGCCAGCGTTATCACGACACATTGAGCGAGCTGAACGAGCATCACAGTCGCGCCTTGCAAGAGCTTCAAAAATTCTTGCAAAGTAGCTATGAGGTTTCGACTGGCGCTCGATCCGGTCGAAAGAGACGTTTGCAGATTCTTGCTTGCGGCGTCCAGTTCATTAGCTTCGAACTCTTTCGTGGGGGCAAGAGTCAATGGCAGGTCCATCTAGATGCTTTGGCTACTGTGGTTCGCGGCATGACCCTGGGCTCCATGGAAGACGACGCTTCACCTGTAGATTGCGACCCTGGCACACCTAGCGGAAGGGAACCTCATCGCTTGGAGAGTAATGCAGAACACTTCCTGGTTGGAGCAGTGCTGTGGTTCGACGTGATGTCGTGTGCCTCCACGAACGAGCCTCCTCGTCTTCACGCCGAAGCACTTGACCTTCTGCAAGGACAAATTGATTTGGCGAATATCATAGGTTGTCAACCATGGGTCACCCTAGCCGTAGGCGATATTGCAGCGCTTAGTGCATGGAAAACAGAAGCAATTTCGACGAGCAGCCTGAGCTTCTGGAAACTATTTGAGCAAGGTCACCCCATTCGTAAACGCCTAAAGGACGGGATAGCTAGTCTTCGCGCAGAGATTGACGAATCATTTGCTGCACTGGGCCTCTCGCATCTAGGAACCATGGGCGCCTACCTCGTTCTTACCAACCCTGGCGTTCAACAAGAAGCGTTTAAACGAGCGATCACCTTGGTCTTTGCACACGCTGCCCAGGTCTACCTGGATACAGTTATCTCAGGAGCTGATCCGAAGCTTGACGATGTTCGCAATAGCGTCATCGACACAATGAACGCTTTGCAAGAGTTACGATTCATCTGTGATGCTCAAGCTTTGCGAAACCTCATCTGGCCGATATGCATTGCTGGAAGTATGGCTGAGGACGTGCCGACTCAATCATACTTCCAGGGCCTAATCCAGGATCTAGGCGAAGAAGCTCACGCTTTCGGCAATACCACAGATACTTTGCGGATCATGCAAAAATGCTGGGCTTCACGCGCTGAGGACGGATCTGGATCTTGGGATTGGGCTACTGCTATGGAATCTTTGGGCCAATGTGTGTTATTAGTCTGATCGCCCTTATTCAGCATAATACGAGATGGCATGTGCGGATAGCGCACATAGAAACAGGGCGGATCGCCTAGCACAACATCCCTCCAAGATATTGAGTTTAAGAGTGCCCATAAATTGAGATCCTGGGACGTGACTAAAATTGGAACCCATCGCTCGACGCGATTGGTCTCTCAGAGTTGATCTTTCATAGTCCTTAACTAGTCCACCCACATGCCTAACATCGTTCTTTCTGGGTGCTCCAGCAATTTCCAGAGTTCGCCACAATATTCCTCATAGATCGCATTCCAGATCACCCAGGTAGACACATCGTTGTCAAAGCACAAGCTCGAAATAGGTGGAATCCATGGATCAGGTTGGTATTGATCGAACATAGATACTGAAGATGTCATTGTAGACATTGTACGCCTGGTGAGAACTCATAGCCGCCGCCAAGTCCGCGTTTGCATGTGCGGAACAGTTGCCGAAGTCGAAGCGAGTATGAGATGACGATGTGCTCCCTCTATCTGCCCTCGCCGTCACCTCGCAGTCATCAATTTCGGATGCAGCAGCAAACAATGCGGCATCGCACACAGTTGATGTCAAGTTGTAGAAGCTTGTCGAGATGCACAATTAGTAGGGCCTGACGGAGTCGCGACCTAAGACATGAATCGTAGATGACTTCCTCCGGGCGGAGTTCACGAATCCTTCGAATCAACAGCTTGGTACTTGCATTTATTAAATGTGGGGTCTTCTAATGTAGCTGCCTACGATGTCAAATCCTCAAAAATGCTTGAGGAAGACATCTTATTGTGTAGGCTGGTTCCTTAACACCTTCTCGTTATAGGATCCTCTCACAAATAACGAAATAACCAATCGAATTGAAGCGTAAATGGCGAAGCAGGATGAGTCCAGAGCCTTGGAGAGAACCCCGAGTACCGACTTCGAAACAGAATCACTGCCACCGCCTCGATATACAGAAATCTGCGACCAAAGTTATGAGCCTAATCACGATCCTGAAACCGTGGTAGCTTCGCCGGAGACGCCCTACCACATCAGAGGTAAATACATTCCTACGAATATCGGAACAAGCAAAACTGATTCTCGGTCACTCAGATGACGGTCGTGTTGATATCAATTTCAAGTCAAGCTTCATTCAGACCTTTTCGAAATGCTTTCCTTCTGGACCCGACGAGGATGCACGACCGGCTCCTCCTGTTTATGACGCCAAACAGCAATCTGGTCCCAGTACACTACCATATCAGACATGGAACGTCAAATTAAACATCGTGATTCAAGTTGTAGGCAGCCGAGGAGATGTACAGCCATTCATTGCCCTGGGCACAGAGCTACAGCGTCACGGTCACAGAGTCCGACTTGCTACCCACGACATGTTCGCTTCCTTTGTTCGATCGGCTGGGCTCGAATTCTATCCCATAGGCGGTGACCCAGCTTCGTTGATGGCCTACATGGTCAAGAACCCCAGTCTTATGCCTTCCATGAAAACCGTGATCTCTGGCGAGATCCGTCGCAAACGTCAAATGGTCGGCGAGATGTTATCGGGATGCTGGGATTCATGTGTGCTGCCAGATCCACTGAACGGCCAACCTTTCGTTGCGGATGCCATTATTGCGAACCCCCCTAGCTTTGCACACGTACATTGTGCACAAGCTCTGGGTATCCCAGTTCACCTCATGTTCACAATGCCGTGGACTGGCACTCGTGCTTTTCCACATCCTCTAGCGAACCTGACCAACGTTGATGGCAATCACGCAGCAGCCAACTGTCTGTCATATCACTTAGTGGACTGGATGACCTGGCAAGGGTAAGTCGCTGCCGAGATGATCTGCCACTTGGAAGACTCTCCAGACGACTGACTTCGATACAGGCTGAGTGATGTGATCAATGATTGGCGAGACAGCATTCAATTAGAACCTATCAACCTTCTCGATGGACCTACATTGGCAAAGACACTCAAGATCCCATTCACCTACTGCTGGTCACCAGCGTTGGTACCTAAGCCTAACGACTGGCCTGAGTATATTGGTAAGTGCACCTGGAGCTCTTCACCCTCACGTGCGCTAAAACAAATCTTAAGACGTGTGTGGATTCTTCTTCCGGGACACGCCTGCATACGAACCCAAGCCGGACCTCATCAAGTTCCTAGCTGCTGGACCTCCACCCATATACATTGGTTTCGGGAGTATCGTCCTCCAAGATTCTGCTCAGATGCTGACTACAATCCTCGATGCCGTGCGTTTTGTTGGTGTGAGAGCTGTTATCTCGAAGGGATGGGCTAATCTTGTGGGCGAAGCAAGTCAGAACGTGTACTACATTGATGACTGTCCACATGAGTGGTTATTTGCTCATATGGCAGCTGTCGTGCACCATGGCGGCGCGGGTACCACTGCTTGTGGGCTTCGCAATGGTCTTCCAACTTTGGTCTGTCCATTCTTTGGAGAGTAAGCCTGGTAGTCCGATTGTTCATGATTGAAGAGGCTGATACCTTATAGTCAACCCTTCTGGGGCCACATGATCGCACACTCTGGTGCTGGGCCTGAGCCTTTGCCGCCACGCAAGATGACTGCTGCAGCACTCGCTGAAGCCATTGAGTTCCTCATGAGAGAAGAAACGTCGGCTGCGGCAAAAGCTATCGCTCGAAGAATGGAAAACGAACAAGGTGTCCAGGCCGCTGTGGATTCCTTCCATAGACAACTTCCTCGCGAGAAGATGCAATGTGACCTCATCCCGGATCAGCCAGCAGTATGGACGCTCAAATCAGGTCGCAAGCCAGTCAAGATATCTAAACTGGCTGCTGAGGTTCTGATATCGCAGTGGAGTAAAATGCGAAAAGAGCTGAAACCGTAAGTCGCTCACTGAGACTCTTGAGTGCCTACTAATCGGCATCAGGCATCAGACAAATCCCTTCTCGATTGAACCTATCAGGTGGGATCCTGTGAGTGGTGCCGGATCCGCACTGACAGGAACGCTGGTGGACATTACCGGCTGCCTCACGGGCATGGTGACCGAGCCGATCAGGGTGTATGGCGAAGAGCGACGACAACAAGCTCGAGAAGATGCAGATACCGCCTCTGTTGACTCACAGCAGCTTTACAAGGCCGACAGGCTCAACAAGTCAAGTGCAAGTATCAATACGGACATATCGACAAAATCACGCGAGAAGCGACCATCGGCAGGAGGCAAAGCAGCAATGGCGAGCGCAAAGAGTCTTGCTTGGCTAGCTCCGAAGGCCATCAAAGGCTTCACTCTTGACATGCCTCTAGCCCTGGCAGAAGGTCTGCACAAAGCACCAAAGTACTACGGCGACGAAGTACGCGACAATGGCAAAGTGACAGGAGCCGGGAGTGGTTTTGCTGTAGGTGGCAAATCCCTCGCATGGGGTCTGGTGGATGGCATCTCAGGTCTTGGTTTACAGCCTTACAAAGATTACAAAAAGTCAGGGCCTGTAGGTTTGGCTACTGGCTTTGGTAAGGGGCTAGCCGGTCTTGTAACCAAACCTGCAGCTGGTGCGATTGGCGCGTTTGCTCACCCTGTGGCTGGTATTGCGAAGAGTGTGCGCTCTGCGGTGTACAGCCAGTCGCGAAAGCTGATCGATGCTCAGCGCGCTGCTGAAGGTCAATGGCTAGTCGAGAGTCAGCAACGGACTGGAAGCGACATATGTGCGTTGATGGAAAAGTTCAAAGCATTGAGTGCATAGAGTGGTACATTGACATAGCATTGTCGGTTGGTGCATAGTCATTACGAGTGATATCTCTTGGATGAATCAAAATACGATTTTGTTCGAGATAAAATGAAGAGACAAAAAGGATGTATATACATAGAAAAATAAAGACGCGCTCGCTTGATCTGTATGCCGATACAATTGTTGAGGAGCGAGATGATGATGGTGCCGCTAGAACGTGTCGGTGTCGGTCACTCATCACATCAACGGGATCGCCGCCTCAATCTTGTAGCCATGACTGACCATCTTGCCGCCGTTCTTGTTCAGCATGGCCCAGATCTCACTTGGGTGGAACCAAGCGAACAAGACCATGGTGGCCAGCATCAGACAAGCATCGAAAACGTACAAGAACCATTCGTGCGAGATGAGGTATCCGTCGTTGCCCTGGCTGTACTCGATCAAGCGGAAGATCGATCTGATCAGGATGAGCGCACTGCCGCCGTACAGAGTATACAGATGCTTCTTCCAGGGGTTGTAGCTGACCATGCTGCGGCTGGTGGGTATCTTGTTCATGCGCATGTTGAAAGTGATGCTGACGACAATGAAGAAGCCGAAGAACAGGATCTGAATGACCAGACCGCCGATGGTGATATGTTCACCCGTTTCGAGTGCTTCGATCGTGCCAGACGCCATGATACCACCGCCAGCTGCCTGGAGGCAGAATGAGATGACATCGCCGATGACGAAGATCTTTGTGAGCCATTTCTTAGGAATGATGCTGTGTTGCTCTCCATCGGTAAGAAGAATGATACGTCCGAGCTCCATGTAGATGCTTGCGGCGAACAGAGCAGGGGCAACGAGAATCAGGATGGCCTGGATAGAATAGGCGGGGATGCTGAAGTTCGGAGCTTCCTGGGCCGATTTGGCACGCTGAACGAAAGAGATGAGTTGGTGTGGAGATCGTTCACCGAGAATCTACTTACTGCGGCAAATCCAACGACCTCGAATAGCCCTCCGATGACGAATGGAACGAAAAAGTACGTTTTTGTTCGGATCATCTGGTAGAAATGCAGACCGGTGACTGCGATGAACGCGATGACAAAAATGACTGCACCAGCCATGGTTGGATCATAGCGGTACAGCTTGAAGTCACCATATTGTGTATCTGACATCTTGACGGATATGGAAGGACTGTATGCTCGGCAAAGTCTTCGATGATTCTTGGTTTTGGGTTGGACCCTGAAGTCGATCGGTTATATGATGTCGAATAGAGTATTGTAGAAACCAGAGTATTCGAGAAAAAAGAGTTTAGTCAAGACCAAGTCGTGTGGGAGAAGAGAGGTAAACGATCGACAGGGAAGACAGGAAAGGCTACTACACCTACAGTGGAGGAGCAGACATTATAAGTGACTTCCTCAGACTATCAAGATCGAGGGTGCGGTTTGCGTATTGCGTGTGAGGCAGATGCGCAATCTCCCAAGCTCGCATCCTGCGCCATCATCAAGATAGCAACATTCGCTACAACCGGCGTGCTGCCGTTGGTTTGTGAGTTCTGCAAGATGGTAGCGAAAAAGCTCTCTGTTGGGCGTTTGCAAGACGCATTGCGCATTGCGTATTGCGTATTGCGGTTTGCGTATTCCGTGATGCGTATCGCGTAACTATTGCGCATCTTCTCGACGCGTGCACGCCTAACAAGAGTGTTGAATTACAGAACAATCCGCGACATGAAATTTGAAACCTCCGGAACCCTTCTTGTCGGCTCAGATATCTTCATATAGATGCAGGTGTGCTCCTTGTATGATTGATTCTCCATTTTACACGCGTTTGCTTGGCAGCACACATACCTTCTTTGTAGGAGCACCGCACTACTCACTATTTGGCAGCTAGTATTAGGGCACAATCAAGCGTTGTCTACTCGTCGGTCTGTTCGACTCCTGCTTCAATCTTGCACGCCTTATTAGTTTTGATGCGCACTCATGATCTGATTGGTCATGGAAACTTCCGTAGGCGGAGACGAGCCAGCAGACTACCTATGTCTTCTATAGAATCGCTCTTCGTGTTGGATACGCCAACTAGTACCTGAGTACAACAGCTTCTCGGCTCATCAATGTCGCAGCGTCGGAGTCACACCAAGTCTCGTCGAGGATGCACTCAATGCAAGCAGCGTCATGTCAAGGTCAGAATTCATGCTCGATACGCATCCTCGTATCGTGTTGACAGATGCGTCGGCCTCAACTTGAGCAAGCCACAACGAGTTCCATGTTTTTCCTTCTGACATGAGAACTTGATAGTGCGATGAAGGCACGCCCAGTTGTGGCTATTGCCTAAAACGCGAGGTCGTGTGCAGCTTCATCGATCCCAGCCGCGACAATTCAACGAGTTTGACCGCATCACCATCCGCACAATCCAGCTCTGTACCAGCTCCAGCTGCTCAGTCTGCCGAATCTAGAGTACTGGAGCTCAAGCTGATGCACAATTGGTCCACAAATGCCTTCAAATCGATGAGACAACATACCGACGAAACCCATTTGTGGCAGATCGTCGTACCGGAACTGGCTTTGTCGCATGGGTATCTCTTGAACGCCCTTCTAGCACTTTCTGCACGTCAACTCTCCTTCGAAGATTCTGTCTGGGATTGCGCTGCTTTGGATTATGAGAACAGGGCTCTCATAGGCTTCCAGCATGTCCTAGGTTCTCTTGATGAAAGCAACTATGAGCCGATATTTGCGTGCTCTATACTCATTATGATATTCTCCTTGGCTCAGTCTCATTGGCAACATAGTCGTCAGCTGTCCGATGCTCTAATCGATATTCTGGAGTTGCGCCAGTTCATCGCCGGTGTTGGCCTGGTGCAAAACAACTATAGTCACCTGCTACGTCTCTCGAGCTTTGGGACTCTCTTCAACCCGCACACACCAGGTGATCTGGATCCTGGAGACGGCACAGGCGCCACACTGCCTGATATGTGCCAGTGAGATTGTCTGGTGCTAACGTCGACAACCTCATGACTGACACTACCCAGTATAGTTGACACCACCCTGGAGCTCCTACGCGAGGAGGCTTCCAAGACCACCAACAGCGAGAAACACTCTAACGCTATATCTGGCCTTCAACAAGCCATGGGACCCTATTGCACAGGCGGCATAATGTCAGGGATCATGACGTGGCCAGTCATGATCCAGGACGACTACGTGAGCCTCATTGAGACGAGAGACCCCATGGCAATAGCCATACTTGCACACTATGGCGTTATCATTCATCTGCTCCGGGACAAATGGTGGGCCGCGGACGCTGGAAAGCGACTCGTGCATGCGATACTGCCGATTCTGCTTGAATCGAAAACAGAATGGGCTGACTTGGTACAACGATCGTGGAATGCTGTGGCAAGCGACCAGTCGTCTCAGAACACGCCGATGTCAGTACATTGAGTACAGCCCTGGGCATGCAGTACGATGAGTGGAGAGCAAGGATGCTCCTGGACGCGTCTCGAACAACCCACAGCCGTCCGGAAACTATATGTGCGACACTGCAAACAACGCCAACCTTAGTCTGCTTCGTTCTCATCGGCAACAGAATGAAGAAAAACACCGAAAACACAGAGGCAGACGCGTCTCTGTTCTAACATAGATCACCTCTCGCTTGTGGATAGCAAAGGCAGCAGCACACGAGACGCAACGTCTGAACAGCTACATATACCGACAACAACAACAACAACAACAACAACAACAACATTTGCTGGTGCGTATATATCAGAACCACGCTTCTACTAGGACTTCCTGTAGAGTTGCAAGCCATAATCGTACAAATCCATAGAGGCACTATCTGGTCTCCATGCCACGCACATGAGGATATTCTGTTCATACTATTGGATCCAAAATTGGGTTGATGATCTTCGCAACAGCTTCTGCCGTCGTAAACAGCACTCCTCCCGCAAGCACAGTACGTCCCAACCTCATGAACGTGCCTCTCCAAAAAGCACGAATGCCATCATCTTGCCAGATACCCGCAATAGCGTCCATCGTTGTCGTGGCCTTTGCAGTCTGCGACCTTGTCTTGATGACATCGAAGGGCTGTGTAGCCAATGTAGTGGTGATACCAGCAACAGCGCCATTCGCGAAATTGGTAGCAGTGTTTTGCTCAATATGGTGATTCTTTTCGTAGTCCTTGAGGATATTGTAGGTGCCCATGCGGAAACTGGTTGCTGAAGCTTGTTTCAATGTTGTTCCAGCAAATCCCCGGTAGAGACCTTTGAGGCCGTCTTCAGCTATAATTGTTCTGACTGCATGCATGGTGGAGGTGAATTGTCTGGATCCTCTTGCATCGTCGATCAAGGCAGTTTTGATTCGTTCCGTGGGTGTCACTGCAGTGGCACTTGCGACTACACCAGCGGCCATTCCAGCTAGCATGTTCCTCAATGGTGACAGAGTGCCGGTTTCGGGGTCCTTGAAGGCATTTTTGACTGTATCGAAAGACAAGAATCTGACTGCATCTTTACCGATTGACCCAACGGCCAATGCAGCACATCCTTTGTACAGTGCCCGTAATCCTTCTTGACTGTAGACCTGACCCACCACAGCGAATGGGTTTCTCGGGTATGGAACACCTGCTTTTCGGACATGCAATTGAGCTCTTGTTTTGGCGAATTCGAACGGATATGTTACCAAGGCTTCCACGCCTCCAGCAACGCCGCCGGATATCACAGACACTATTGGTTTGGTCTGTTTTTCCTGTTTGTTGCTCATCTTTGGTGATTTTGATATTATTGAGAGGACACGCGATTGGAAGGTGTGAATAGGTGATTACCGAGGTATGACGTCCGCGCGAACCATTCCCGAGCATTTTGCAAACGAAAAGGTGCTTTGCACTGCACAAAAGCAATTCTATCTTCATCCCTTCACTTATTGTGCCTTTTGCCAGGAGATATGAGTCCTGGTGTCTCGAGTTGCGCAGCGACCATGGTCTGTTGGTGCGCGACAGAAGTCTGCCGACGACGCTTCTGCCTGTTTCGCGACGGACACGGGCTGTTGATGCCTTGAGACCCATCTCGCCGAAGGCAGTGCTGCCTCCAGCTTTGATGAACCCAGGCAACACATGTCTAATCGAGGTAAAGTACTATATCTGTGCGATACAGTAAGAGTGATATATAATGCTCGTCAATCATCTATTATTTGCCTTCTTCACAATATCACTATCCACTCTATCAAACACTTCGTCTCTGCTCACTCTGACATTCAATCATCTCTCGTCCGGATATTCACGATGCGCATCTCAACAATCAAACAACGTGATGGATGTGGCACAGTCCGACGACGCAGGTCCAAGGCATGTTCACCTTGTTCCAAGTCCACCGCTGCTCCAACCATCACTCCGAACTTCTCTGAAGACTCCGAATCCGACAAGCTGGTGGTCAGCTGCAACGCTGGAATTGCTCAAACCAAAACTGTCAATGGTAGCGTCGTCAATATGATCAACTATGACTGTTCAAGGTCCGGCGACAAGACCAAATCAACAACCTTCGATCTGGACGAGTTCGACCGAGGCATGCCGCTCTACATAGGCGTACTCGGGTGCAACGGCAAAATCACACGAATGACGAATGTCTGGAAAGCAACACATCGAAGCCCCATTCGCATTGACAATTCAGACATCGTCTTGAACAAACAGTCGGTGCTTGCAAGCGACCCGGACAAGGGACACCAATGGACGGTGATGCTCAATGAGAAAGGTCCAGACGGCAAGCTGAGCAGAGCAAAGAAAATCGATTTACGCGTTGGCGCTGTTCTCGACGGCGCAGTGGTATACTACGAGGATGGACACAAGACACCCTGTGGATACCGCTACTATGGTAACGGATCTCCGTTCAACATGGGCGGTGGCAACTCTCAAATGCTCCATCTCCCTCCAGGCGTCGACATTGCGAAAGTCGAGGTAAAGACCTATGGGTGGAGTATGGATGTTTTGGGAGGCATAACCATGACTCTGTCAGATGGAACCAAAGCAGGAGCACTCAATACTTACCCAAGTCCTACGAGAAACCTCACCAAAGTGCTGGAGGCTGGACCAGGACAGAAGATTGTTGGATTTTATGGCACATCTTGGGATTATACGCAGGAATTCGGTATTGTTACGGGACCTAACGATGTGGAGCTTCCGCCGCAGACATACGATATGCCTCAGCTGCAGAATATCCAGGCAAAGGGCCGGACGAGTGACTAGCCGTGTAGTAGAGATAGGATGTTCCCAAATCGATGTTTTCACATGTGCCACTTGCTCTTCCAGATGGAGCCTACTCCTTTATCGCTGTTTCATGTTGTACTGGTTTTTGGACATGAATCGAGGAGCAGGATCTAAGGTACCTAGGCACTAAAAAGTGGAGAGTTCGGATATCGTGGTTCGGAAGTGTTTCATGGTGGTCCGGGGCCGTTGAGACCCATTCGAGATTTGTATTCGAGCATTCGGTCTTACACGATCTTTGATGAGAAGAATCTGAATAGTGGTATAAGAAGACAAAGAACAGAGCCAGAGCAAGCACCAAGTGTTTCCTGCAGGGCCGTTCTTTCTGCAAAGCAGATCCGCGTGGCCTCGAAAGAGATCGACGGCGCATTTTGGGCAAGAGCGGACCGAGCGTCATCAAACCCAGGGACCCTTGAAGCAGTTGAATGGCTCCACCATCTCAACATCAACATGACTCCATCACTTGATGCCATGCACTAGATTTTTTCCCTTCATCTCTGTGTCTTTCCGTTCTGCGATCTATTGGCGCACTTGTTTCGACCGGCAGTTGGCCCATCTCTTCTCACATCGTCTATAACTTTCACTTTAACCCCGTCCCTTGGCCCGGCTTTCGTATCACCTCGACCAATTCGACTTTCTCTTCTCTCTATTACTCCGCCATCACTGTTTAGTAGTCTTTTCGCACCATTCTCGACTCCTCCGTTCTTCCAAAGATATCTCACGGGCGGCTATCGCGCGACCATCATGGACGACAAGATCTCAATCACAATCTGCGGCGACGGCGGCTGTGGTATCTACTGACCCCCCCCCCCCCCCCCCCAAGTCTCATAGCAACCACTTGGACTAACGCAATGCTCCAGGCAAGTCCTCAATCACACTACGTATCGTTCGCTCCGCCTGGTCTCACGACTATGACCCTACAATCGAAGACTCGTACTCGGTCACACGCACCGTCAACGGCCAAACCTACTCCCTCTTCCTCACAGACACTGCCGGTCAAGAAGAATACCGCGGCATGTGGTCCGCCTCGAACCTGACCTCTGACGCCTTCCTCTTCGTCTACGACATCACCAACGCCCAATCCTTACAAAACCTCGACTTCTTTGCCGAGCTGATTGACATGGAAAGAGAAAACAGACAAGAGCAAGGAAAGTGCTGGCCTGCCATCATGGTCGCCGGAAACAAATGCGATCTTCAGGGTCAGAGACAGGTCAGTGCTGCTGACGGTCTGGAGTGGGCAAAGAGCAGAGGCTGTGGTTTTATGGAGACTTCGGCGCGCGAGGTCGTTAACATCGAGGAGACTTTTGCTTGTGAGTCGCAAGTTCTTCACGGCATCACAGTAGCAACCACTAACATCAAGAATCAGCAATCGTCAAGCGCGTAGTCGAGGCTAGAGAACAACACGCAGCAGGCATGCGACCAAATTTCCCATCCCTCATCAACCCGACGCCTCACATCCAAATCAATTCTCAACGCCTCTCGGCAGCAACTGAAACACATCAATCCGCTCCTGCCCCAAATATCACCAGCGAGTCCGAGAAGCTGCGTTTCTCAGAGTCCGAGTCAGCTGCCACATCGCCACAAAAGAAGAAGAAAAAGGGTGGCTTCTTGTCCAGCTTGAAGTGTTGGTAGATCGAACACATTTTCGACAACCAAACGTTTGTCTTCATTGCTATAGGCGCCCTGAACGACAAGCACCGGCAAGAATGGGAGGGAAAAAGGTGGACTGATTTTCTTTTTGTTCTTTCTTCTCGGCGAGCGATACCCAAATTCTCTGCGTTCTGATTTTCTTTGCTGTTTATGTCTTTTGTTCTGATCTGTTTTTGATCATGACTTCACTTCTCAACAATTCCTTTGTACATAGAATATTCAAACCTCCTCGAACTGATGCCTCGGTCGTATGGTCGAATGACTCATCATGCGTTGAGCGGTGCACCTTGTCCCTTGACCATCGAGGCTGTTCGTATCACCCGCACCGGCTACGGTCATAGCCACAGCATTAATGCGGTACGGCTGAGCCTTGCTACTTGATAATGCAAGGCAGAGTGAGCGGCTGTGCTGCTGCAGGTGACAGGCACAGCCTGTGTACGTGCAGGTGCGTGCAAAGGCTGCGTGCAGAGGAGGCGGGGTGCATACAGAAGCAGAGAGAAATAAAGGAACTGCGTAAGACAATCGCCACCTTCCAAGTCAGAGTAGCTGATGGAAGAGGCAAGCACATTCATCAAGGAAATGAAGTCGAGGGACAAGTTTTTTGGAAAAAGTGAGGGTTATAAGCATTAAGTATCAAAGATTTGGACCGCAAGACCACCGCTAAGTGAAGAACAAGAAAAAACAGGAGTAAACATCAACCCAGCGCTTGGGAGACCCGTTTATATACACCAATGAACAGTTTTATGTGGTATCAAAAAGAGAGAAAAAGGAAAAGAAGCATCGTCAAGTCTTAGACTGCAGACTTCTCGGCAGGGCTGCTGGCCGAGTAGTCCTCAGAGGTCTTGACCTGAGCGGGGCCGTGGGTGGACTCGTCGTACTCGGGGGTTCCGGGGACCTCGCCAGCAAGCTGCTCGAGGGTCTTGCGCTTGGTCTCGGGGATGAGGAGCGAGGTGAAGATACCGCACAACATGAAGAGAGCAAAAATCTCGAGGACATGGTTGAGCCATGGGGACGCGGGACCGTTGGGCTTGGCACCACGAACTCGAAGAGGACCAATGACGACCTGGGCGATGATGGCACCGATCTTGCCAGAAGCGGCAGAGAGACCGTGAGAGGTGGAACGGTAGCGAGTAGGGAAGCACTCGCCAGGGACAATGAAGGTGGTGGCGTTGGGGCCGAAGTTGAAGAAGAACTGGCAGAGAATGTAGAGACCGAGCTTGCCGCTCGTGCCAATAACATTGTAACCGAAACCGAAGATACAGAAGAAGATGGTGAGGAGAGTGAAGCCCATGAGTTGGATGGGCTTGCGACCGATAGTATCAACGAGAGCTACAGTGACCCAGTAGCCAGGTATGGCACCAGCACAGACAATGATCAAGTTGCCGACAGCGTTGTTGTAGTAGACCTCGTACATGTTCTTGCCGCCGGTGTAGCCGATGGCAGTAAGAATGACAGTGTTGTTGAGCGAGACACCGTAAAAAGCGACATCGAGGAAGAACCATGAACCGGCGGTACCGATGAGGATCTTCGCGTTCTTCCACTGACCGTAATGGCGGGCGAAGTCGGCCCACGAGGCCTTGGGGACCTCGAGCTGACCGGCAGTAGCCTCACGAGTCTGGACGCGGGTGATCTCATCGGGCTCACCTTGAGACTTGCCGTTGAGGTAAGCCTTGGAGTCGGTGTCGGCCTTGACGACATCGCGGGCGACATCAAAGGTGTAACGAGGAGTCTCGGGGATGGTAAGACGGTAGTAGAGGGCAATGCATCCGGGAACGGCACCGAAACCAATGATGACACGCCACATCTTGTCAACGGCAAGCTGGCAGACACCGTCACAAGCGGCGGGGTTCTTGCCACTGAGGAGCGACTCCTTGAAGCCGACAGTGACAATGAGAGCGATGATACCAGCAGCGAACTGACCAATACCCTGCATGGCGAAGACGGAACCCATCATGGCACCGCGCCACTTGGTGGTAGCGAACTCAGAGGTAATGATGGACGAGAGAGGGTAGTCACCACCAATACCGATACCCATGAGAACACGCCAGAAGATGATGATACCGACGATGGAGATGGCGGGAGAGTCAGAAGAGAGAGCCTGGGCGAGAGTTGCGAAGATGATAACCAGGAGTTCGAGACCGTACATCTTCTTACGACCGACAACATCGGCGAGGTAACCGAAACCGACCTGTCCGAGGACGGTACCACCGGAGGTAGCGACCTTGATGGCAGTGTCGGCAGTCTGGGGGATCTTACCGGCCATCTTGCCCTTGGCGTCTTGCCAGTAGACGACACCCAACATGTTGGTGACGAGACCGATGGCGAAGATGTCGTAGGCATCGGTGAAGAAACCAATACCGGCGACGATGATGGCGCGAACGTGGTACCAGCCGAAGGGAGCCTTGTCGATCTCAGCGAGTGCGAGTCTGCGGCGCTCGTTGGGGTCTTCGATGTGGGCGAAGTCATTGTTGAAGTTGTGGAAAGCGGCGTTTCCACCGACGGTTCTGTTGTTGGCGGCCATTGCTATGGTGAGATGCTATCTGAAGGAGATAGAAGCAATGAGTGCAGGGGAGAGAAAAGTCAGAATGATCTGACTGTGAACGATCGGTCTTCAGAAGTGAATGGCTGATGATGGACAAGACGAGACGAGGTAGGGGTGAGCAGATGGCTTCTTTTATCTATCGCACATTTACTCGAGAATCCGACTTGGCTGTCAGACGGATGGTTGCTTGTTCCTCAACTCATTGCAGGCCCAGACTGTGGCGCTTTGGGTCGGGGCCCAATCAAAGGACGGCATTGTATCACGCACAAGAGGGCCAAGGCCATGGCTTTGGATCTTGGGGTGCTTGAGAACGTCTTTGCACGGTCTTGACTTCTTTCTCAGGAAGCCTAATCTTAGCTCTGCTTAGCACAACGGCCCATTCGAGCAACATGTCGAGTGATCTTTCTCCGCGTGGGGCCCACGAGAACCACAGTCCATAGCTCGTGTTGGAACTGAGTTGCAACAATCTCAGAAGAAGAAACCTACGTCTACCATTGTATCTTCACCCTTCGTGGGTATCAACCTGTCGCGTGAACACAGTTTGACCGATCGTCGTCGCGCGACACTGCCCTCGCTTTCGCACATATTTCGCGAGACTGCACCTGATCTTCAATACTTCCCAAGCTGGTGGTACATGCAGAGTGAGGGCACCTCGATCCGGACCCATTACTGGGTAGTCGTCCCACTCACACGTGCTGCGGCAAGGCCGAGCGAAAAATCGCAGTTGGCCTGCGGCTTGTGCAATGTTACGCTGTGCTAGTTGGGTCGGCTGGCTGGTCCTTGCCGCAGAGTGGTGAGTCCGAGGGACGTTTATGGCAGATAGCCGAGCGAGACTCGAGAGGTTGCAGGGGCGAGTCGAAGGGTGAAGTAAGAGCGGGCCAATCACGCTCGATCATTTCTCCACGTTCGTCCCTCGTGCCTGACCATTCGGGGCTCCACGTTGTGCTTGGCAAAGCCGCTTCGTCCTAACTTTCCACTCGACTTCAGGGTTCGGTCACTTGGGTGACATCCAGTTGGCGAAAATTCTTCCTAAGGCGTGTGTCTTGCATCGAGTTGCGCTCCCAAACGGATCTCCCAAGACTTGATGTGGATATGCTCATCACCCGTGCAACCTATGTTGATCCACCAGTGCTGGTGACCATCTTCAACCAGAATCCTTTCGACTAATGAGCCTCTATTGAAGCACTATACTCGTGTCGCAAGCGAAGATTGGCACTCTCCTCAGCAACAGGGATACCTTGAGGCACGCATCTTGGCGGATTCTGTTCATTCAACGAACTTGTGTTCTTCGATTTCGTGGTCAAACGGCCGCGGCTATCTCGTCAAACATCACGGCGGTTGTTACAGACCAGCCATCGGGACAACACGCGTAGCATTGCCAATCTCCCGGTCCTCCACAAACTTATCAAAGGCTGGATTGGTCGAATTAGGAAACTATATGCCACAACACATGTGTTGATTCCTCCTGAGATGAATGGCTGAGCCAAACTTGGGCTGCGAATTGGCAAATAACAAATACCCTTTCGGACGGCTAACCAACAACAAGCTCGAGTCAGTTGGTGAATATCAGCCGCTGATGTACGCCAGATAAACTTCGAGGCAAATAGAAAAGAAACAGGGTGCAGAAGTGTTGTGGATCTGATTGATGATTTGATCGATTCTAGAAGCAGGCGAGCGCCGCCTTGTCGCTCATCGCCGTATTCGTCTGCATCTCGCGGGTCTCGGCGCTTACATCGTGAGGTTAACGATGCTCTGCTTTTTGCTCGGCTCTGATCATCTGTCGCTCATGTGGTCCATTGCACTTCCTTCTTCCAGCTATGATATCAAGACATGTAGTCAAGCATCAAGCAAGCCAAGAAGGTGGCTGCAAGTCAAGCATGAATTTCAAGCTCCTGGCCGATACTCCATGCTTCATTGGCAACCGCTCCCAACTCACTGGACCCTTGGCAGGCGACGGATCTCATGGCTGGCTGTCAAGCAGTTCTGGGCGTGACAAGCATCTGCCGGATGTGTGTGGACCTTGGGATCGTCTTGTGCTCTTGGCTGCTTCTTGTCTTGACCTCATCACTCTTCTACTTGAGCTAGATGAGCTCATCTTCATGCACAAGAGCGTGGACAAGTACCTCGCGGCGTCAAACACAGCTGGTTGGCGATGGGAGTGGAGGTGCGGGCTGATACGTGTCTCTCGATCATGGCCAAGGCGAGCTGTGGCTCTAGCAGCATAGTGTGACATTGACAATTTCACAGTACTTCGACTCGCTCGGTACAGATCAAGACCCATACATCCGCCTCACAACAACTAGTCCACGACGAGACTATGGATCGAAGCTCGATCGCTACAACTCCGCACCCATGTATAGTCTCTCAAAGGAGCCATAGAGCCAAAGAACAGTCCTCAGAACCAGCAAGAGCCCGTTGGGAGATATGATTCGAGAGTCGAAGGACGAAGACCAGGACATGAACTCGCAGGCGAAGTGCAATCATATGTATCTTCTGTTGAGAGCACCCCGAAGGAATCATCTCTAGACTTCATTTGCTAGACCGCCATAGCGATGGTCATCGACCATTAGCAGGCGATGAGATCGATCGCGAGACCAATGCACCAGTGCAGCAACGCTCCCGACGATACTCATATTTTTCTGTCTCTCGTTGGCCAAAACATTCCATATGCATGACAGCACCCAATAACTCGGCTTCGAAGGCCCGGCCCAAGCTATGCAAGCTTCATTTCATACCTTGTGATGATCAGCGGCCAGATATGAGAGAACCAGATCCCCAAATCCTTAGGGTATAGATTATGAAGAATGAACCGTTGATCGAACAGCAAGGCAAGTCTCATTTTCATTACTCATAGGACTTGATTCCTTCTTTCTTTCTCTTCTTTCCGCTGAATGTGACACCCTGCCTTGGATTAGAATACCTTCATCCCCTCGAGCATCCATCGCTAGGATGGCTGTTACTATACGGATGTCAATAGGCCCATTCTACTGTTGTTGTACAGGTGGTGGAGCGACCAGGGACTCTGGAGACGTTATGTCGTGGTTACTGCTTTGTAAAGCACGTGCTGCTGTGTGAGAGAACACAACTCGATCACAGTCACGTTGTCTGTCAGTACTCGACTTATGAGACAAAGTTGTAACTCTCAAGATGAGTGCTAAGGAACTTCGATTATTATCATACAGTGGCGGGGTCAGTCTCGTCGAGCGACCGTCGTGACTCGGAAGCAACGCAACCTCGAACCAAAGAGGTTTGTACATATAATCTGATGATAGCTAATCAAGCACATACGGCCACAGTCAGCTGAAAACTGGGCATCCCGTCCGCTCTGCCATACATAAGCAGTTGAACGGCAGATTAGTACTACGGTGGGTGACCACGTGGGAATCCCTGCTGCTGTATGTTTTGTCCTTTTGGCCGTCCTTCGTGATGCTACCACTATCATTTCTTTTTCCCAAGCCAAACGATTGTTTTGTGCCGATTCACAAATTGTGTGAAGCTTCTTGATGGGTCATTTCTTGTACAGTTGACACGATCGCGTCTCTCTGGCGGATGCGGAAATTGCACTGATCAGGATTCGAGCATCCGTCTTGGCTGAGCGCTAGGGTATGGTAGACTAGAGTGTCGTTTGGGGAATGTCCTCCTGCAGGGGCTCTCTGTGCATCCTCGAGTCGAAGGGTATACTCGTGTCGCTCATGATAAGTTCTGCATTTGGTGCTAGATGCGGCCTCATCGGTCGAACAGCCACAGTCCTTCGTTGTCGAGTATGCTGTGGCCATTGTGTGTTTCCGTAGTCCTTCTCAGGTATCGAGACCTCTTTGATCCTTTCCAACAACCTCTTCACATTTCCTCCTCACCTCATCTACACCCTTGACACCCTCCCACTTCTCCAATAGCCCCCTCACCTCATCCCACTCTTTCGTCATCTCCTCCTCATTTCCTTCCTCTTTAAACTCCTTCAACCTCTCCGGCGCCCCTAACACCCATCTCACGGTATCCTTTTGTGCCTCCTTGTCGCTTCTCACCTCCCTACTCCTCGCAATATCCCCAGCAACATCGGCAATGTGTTTCACTGCCGGCTCCAGCGTCGTCGTTACGGGCGCCATGGGATCCACGTTCTCCCTCATGCGACTGATCGTACTCGTTGCAGACAATAGAGTAGTGTAGTTATCATACACCAGTGCTTTCTTATCGCCTTCAAGCCCAAGCGCAGATATCGTGATAGAGTTCAACGTTCGAAGTAACGTTTCTGCATCCGCAGAGTGGAGTAGGTCATCAACATATGTTTGGGGTGAGAAAGATGGATTGTCGAGGGCGGAGAGGGCGTCACTGGAGCTAGAGTCTTCGGTTTGAGGTGTAGGTGCTGCTGAAGGGGGTGGCTTCTCGGCAGAGGTTTGGGAGGCTTGGAGGTTGTAGAACTCGCGGAGGGCAGCGCGGTCGCGGCGACGTGAGGATGATGGGACGGGTGTGCTGCTGGAGTCGCGGATTGAGGCTGGTCGTGATGTTGAGGGCGAGCGGGTCGAGTTTACTGTGCTGGTTGAGCCGCGACGGCTTAGGCTGAAACTCGGTCGTGGCGATGCGATTGACATTGCGAATGGTGTGTGTGTTGTTGAAGATGGGGTATCTTGTCGTGTCTTTTGAGTGGAAAGTGTAACACGCAGCTTGTTGATGTCAAGGGTCAAGTTGATGCTTGTCTGACATGTGCGTTTGTGGGGTAAAGATGGTCAGGGTGACCAAAAACCTGATGGTTCTAGAAGAAAAATGATATCTTATCATGACCGTTCTTCGGCTAAAGTCTATCTAACACATGCCTGCTCCCAGCAATGATCCCCATGAACTCCATGCCTTTATTTCCTGAATGTCATGCTCTTGCCAGCCCTCTCCTTCTGTTGTCTCGGCATACCCTTCATCGTGTCGAGTGCCTTGACGAACGGATTGAACGCCTTGGTCTTGGGTTCCTTCTTGTTCTTCCTTCTGTCGCGGGGATCCGGGATGCTAGCATCCAGCACACTGGGTGCAGCTGCATAGTCGAACTCTTCCTCCTCCAAATCAACCTCTGCAGCATGCTGTGCTGCCGCCTCTTTCTCTGCCTTCTTTTGTTCTTTACGGTGACGTTTGGCTGCGCGCTTAGCTTCCAGACTCTCATCAGCTGTGATATCAATTTCGTCGGCATTGGTTGCGAGGCTGTCGTTGCCAGCTGACATGGCATCCGAATCACGCTTGCGTCCGCGCTCCTTGAGCGTAAAGATACGGTCTTTGGGTGTCGGTAGCGCACTCGAGGGTGCAGCGGATGTGGGTGTCGCGCTCACGGGAGCTGGTGGTGCTGTCAATGGAGCTGACGAGGCAAAGACTTCCGCTGTCAACGGAGGCAGAGGAACAGAGAGCGAGATGTTTGACGAGTGAGGACGCGGCTGGTCGTTCTGGCTCTTGCCGCCAAACAGACCTCCCCAAAATTGAGAGATCTTTGCACGAACTCCCGATGGTTCGCTGCTGTCGGTACGGCTCAAGATTGGTGCTTTAGGTTCCACTGGAGTGGCCACAACCGTTTGCTTAGGCTGCGATCGCTTCAGAGCAGCGAAGTGAGAGGGTGTCTCATTGAGGGGCACCCCCATGGTCTGTGATTCGATCTCTTTCAGTGTAGTCACCATCTCGGGTCCGTTCTCGCCCTGCTCTTTGGCTTTGACGATGACGGACACTAGTTCGTCGGCTCTCAGTCGCAAAGTCTGACTAACGTTTCCAGCAACAGTGAACAGCTGGGCCTTTTCGGTAGGCATTTCCTTCGCGATACTAAAGATGTTGTGGTTTGGCAAAATGTAGTGAGTACTGTCGTCCTGCTCGCGAGCAACTTGGTCACGCCATTGGTGGATGGCGCGGAAGACGGCGAATTGCTGCTTGTCCAGCAAGGCAGGCGTGCGGCTCAACATTTTGTACCATCCTCCGGCGCCCAGACCTTGTGCTGCATCGTAGACGGGGTGCTCGTATCTTTGAAGAGCAGTATCTCTCGAACGTGTCAAGACGTCGTGAATCTTGTCCTGTTCATGGTTGGGAACGGAGAAATCGGACTTCTCGATGAGTTCGTTGCGCATGTTGTCGTAGATGTAGAGAAGGAAGTGTGTGTCGGATCGTGCGTACTCGAACATCTCCTGAGGGAGGGGTCTAATGCGCCAGTCGGCCGTCTGGTACTGTTTCTGAGCATCGAAGTTGACAAACTTTTTGAGTAGGAATGCCAGACTTCCTCCAGTGTATCCAAGAGCTCTTGATGCGAAATGCGTATCGAACAGACCCACAACGTACAAACCCAAATCTCTTTGCAACCAGGTAATATCCATGAAAGCGCCGTGCAAGACCTTGAGGATCTTCGGATCTGCGAAGACTTCGTTAAGCTTGCTCAGGTTTCTTCTCCAAGGCTGAAGAGTGTCGACAACCCAGTCTTTGTCGCGAGTGCTGATCTGCATCAACGACACGATACCGATGTATGAGCGTGAGTCGTGGTGTTCCAAATCAATAGCAATCTCCTTTGCCTTCTTGAGCTCCTGCAGCATCTTATCAACCTTCTCTTCTGTGTCGACATATGTGGCAGTGGTGGTTTCGTAGGGGTGGTAGGGGATGGGCTCCGCTTGAGTGTAGACGAATGTCGGGTATTGGTATTGTTCAATCTCCTTCTGGTAGGGATGCGGGTGGTGCTGGACATTGTTCTGGTCCTTGAACAGTTCCAGAGCTTTGGCATACGGCACGATGGCGTGAGGTTTTGACTGAAGAAGCGGCTTGAAAGGTCCCGACTCAGCGTTGGTGGGAATGTCGGCGAAGGAGTGTTGAGGTTTGGGAATATCTTGTGTTCGGAGAGCCTGTGAGATGCGCGAGTACTTTTGCGACTTGGTAGGTGTTTGTGCCTAGATGGAATCAGTACGCGTTGGAGAAGGGTATTGGGAAGAGTGCCTGACCTGATCTCTTGACGGGCTCAAGCGCTTAACGGCGCCCGTGTATTCATCCAGGCTTATGTCTGCCTTCTCAAGCAAGCTGTCGATAACATCAACGACGCTGCTCCACTGTGCGTCTACGGCGTCTGTGTCGGGCAACTTGGGACGTACAAGCTCCGTACTCGAAGCCGCATTGCCCAAAAGGCGTTCCGCAAGCCCCAGAAGCCGCGCATTCTGCTTGTCGAGAGCGCGACCGAGCGATGGATCCAGCGATCGGTGGAAGCCCAGGTCTTCGGAGGAGATAGCCTGTGATGATCGAGTGACGGCGACAAGGGATGCTTGGATCTGCTGTTGTAGAGTGTTGAAATCACTCAACGCCTCCATCGTTTATGTCGGCGCGGTGTCGTGGTTGCGTGAAGAGTCGATGTGAAATCTCGCACGCCTTCCAGAGAATGGAATCTTCAAAAGTTCGGCCGCACAGACGTTAGGACTTAGGCAAGGCCGCCTCTCCGCATTCCTTGGCACCTTCCTGGCGGTTGATGATTCCGCCTCGGCTGCTCTTGCTTTCCGATCAACCTGCACTCCTCCCGGAAACCTCATGCTGCTGATTGTCCGACGGCTTCCCATCTCCTTGGATGTTTTGGTGAAAGTTGGTGCACCGATTTTTGACAGTGCTGCCATAGATGTCCGCATATTCAACAGCTATGGGCTCGCCTGATATTGACCCGAGATTAAATCGTGCAGGAGAGTCTTGTAGACAACGCATCCTTGCAGTCAACTTTATGTAGGTTTACGAGACGATCAATGACGATCCGGACAAATTCACAAGTTTGGCCTCATGCACCCCTCAGTACATTACGAGGGGGACCATGGCTATCAAGACGGTATGTATGCTGTCTTACGTGACCTCTCATGGTTCCATTGTTTTCATCAGCCTTGACCATGGTGCTGTATGTATACTTCTTGCTGTCTGGGCTATGCCAAATTGAATATGCATATGCCAAAGCGCTTTGGGCGACAAAGCCAGCGAACAACTTCACAGACGTAATCAGGACCGCGTATCCGGTTGGCAATGGAAGATTAGCTGGTACGCCTCAGTTCTACGATGGCTATAACATCTAGCTGACTAGATACAGTACTCCCATTCGGCACTCCCGGGCATGAGAAACTCAGCCTGAACGTAGACTCTTTATGGAGCGGAGGCCCGTTCGAGAACTCGAGCTACAATGGAGGCAATCCTCGGTCTGCTGTGTCGTCAGCACTGCCAGGCATTCGTGACTGGATCTTCAAGAATGGCACCGGCAATGTGACTGCTTTGATGGGAGATAACAACAACTATGGAAGCTACGCTGTTCTTGGAAACTTGTCCGTCTCGGTCGACAACATATCAAACTTCACGGCATACAATAGATCCCTCGATCTGATGACTGGTGTGTACACAACGTCCTTCGAGGCGAATGGCAGTAGATATACAAGGTCAGTAACGACCCATACGATGACGGCTTGACCCGATATTGACGTAAAGTAGCAAGATATATTGTTCCTATCCAGACAGCGTTTGTGTCTACCAGCTGACCTCTCGCGACTCGTTACCGACTATACACGTCTCATTCGAGAATCAACAGTCCAACGCTTCCCTGGTCAGCTCCTCATGTTCGACTTCCTCTAGAACTGCGTCGTTCCTGGGTATTACGCAAGCGGGTATTGGCATGTTTTATCGTGCCGAGGCCAGAGTTGTTGGCAAAGTCGCATTACTCTCCTGTTCCTCAGGCATTCTCACAGTCAGACCAAGCTCGAAACAACAGTCTCTGACTCTTGTGATTGCAGCCGGTACAATTTATGCAGAGAGCGAAGGAACTGTAGCGACCAACTTTTCGTTCAAAGGTCCAGATCCTGGTGACTACATCACCACCGTCGCAGCTTCAGCAGCAGCAAAAGGATCTAAAGCATTATTACGGCGTCACATTGCTGACTATTCCGCCTTGTCCTCACGTTTCATACTCAACCTCCCAGACACAGCTGGATCAGCAGGAAAACCAACGGCAGAGCTTATAGCCGCCTACCAAGGTGCTGAGAACATCACTGGCAATCCTTACTACGAATCTCTACAATTCGACTACGGCCGGCATCTATTCATTTCCTCCTCACGTCAAAACTCACTTCCACCAAACCTGCAAGGAAAATGGGCGTATGGACTTGAGAACGCCTGGGGTGCTGACTATCATGCCAACATCAACTTGCAAATGAATCATTGGGGAGTAGAACAAACTGGACTGGGCGAACTGCAAGAGGCATTGTGGCGCTACATGAATGAAACATGGGTACCTCGAGGCACTGAGACTGCAAAGCTACTCTACGATGCTCCAGGTTGGGTGACACACGATGAAATGAATATCTTCGGCCATACTGGTATGAAAACAGGAGACGAATATTGGGCAAACTATCCCGCGTCGGCAGCTTGGATGATGTTGCACGTCTCCGATCACTTCTCTTATTCTCAGGACGTGGACTGGCTGCGCAGTACGGGGTATCCGCTACTCATAGGCGTTTCTTCATTCTGGTTGAGTCAGCTACAAGAAGACACATGGTTCCACGACGGAAGTCTAGTGGTTAACCCCTGCTCTTCCCCTGAACATGGGCCTACTACCTTGGGCTGCGCTCACTACCAGCAACTCCTCCATTCTCTGTTTACGAACACCATCTCGTCCGCTAGACTTCTCAACATCTCATCTTCTTTCGTCTCTTCTCTCACCCACGCACTCAAGAATCTAGACACAGGTCTTCATATCAATCCCGACCTCCACACCATCCAAGAATGGAAGATCACCTCTCTAGACACCACCTACAACTTCAACTCCACCCACCGCCATCTCTCCCATCTCGTAGGCTGGTATCCAGGCTCCTCTATCTCTGGCCTCCTATCCGGCTACACCAACACCACAATCTCCACCGCCGTCCGCAACACCCTTTTGATTCGCGGCCCCGGCATAGCAGACGCAAACGCCGGCTGGGAAAAAGTTTGGCGCTCAGCCTGTTGGTCCCGTCTCAATGCCTCCTCGGAAGCTTACTCTGAACTCCTGCTCACTATATCCCAAAACATTGCTTCCAATGGATTATCCATGTATTCAGGCAAAAACGAACCGTTCCAAATCGATGCGAACTTTGGATATGTGGGGGCGGTGTTGGCGATGTTAGTGACTGATATTGAGGAGTTGGAGCATGTTATTTTGGGACCGGCAATTCCGAGGGAGTGGGGCGGGGGTAGTGTAGAAGGGTTGAGGGTTAGGGGTGGTGGAAGTGTGGCCTTTCGATGGGATGGGGAGGGAGTGGTGAGGTCGGCGAAGTGCGTGGGTGTGAAGAGGAAGGTTGTCAATCTTGAAGGGATCGTGTTGTGTTAGATCAGATGTCAACGTGATCGAGTCGAAGTTCGGTCACTGATGTTTCTTTTTCCTATATTGATGAAAACATGACCATAACTTTGATCAAAAGCTCTTCCTGACGACAACACCAAAACATCCGTATAGTTCAATGTCAACCATGATCAACAAGGAGCACTGGCATAGAAGAAGGAGCGGCAAAAAAGGTGCCTCCCACACCACTCTCACCAACCGCCTTTATTCCGCTCCGAGCGGGAACCGGTACATGGCTATGGCATTGCGCCACTGCGCCGACGGACCGCTGCAGGGAATACTCAAATCCTGTTGGTTATGAGGGTTGTAGTGAAGTCGAGGGTCCTGGCGGCGTGTTGTGAAGTGAATTTTTCGAAGCTTGTTCTCTGTGTTATTCTTCGTCTTATAAAGAATGATATACTGATGAAGGAGAAGACTGTGGTAGAAAGGTATGATGAGATGCGGTAAAGGCTCTATCAATGGGACACGGATGTTTCTTTACTCTTTTGATCCTTTTCTGACGGAATGAAATGAAAAAGGAAGGTTCGATACACCTACCATGCATCGAGATTTGCACCCCTGGCATAGGACCATGAAAAGGAGAGACGTCATCATGCGCTCTCAAGGGCCTCTCTCCCCACGTTCTTTGCATCCCAAGCCTCATTCTCCAACCACGCCTTGAAGCTCTTGTAACTATCTAATTGAGCAGACCCACCACATGCCCAAGAGCAGCAACCCCATTTCAGGTTCTCCCACTCGTCCCAGCTGCCAGCAAAGTCATCGATCGCACGTGCTATGACTCGTTTACCATGATCATCCACCGCGTCGTATAACTTTTTGTAGTGATCCCGTATATGTTCCATGGCTCCAGGAGGAATGAGCCATACATCGTAGATGTCTTCACTGGCTATACATATGACCTCTGTAAATATGGGGAACTCGGAAAATTCGTCAGAGTCCAGTTCATTCTCGAGCTGTATCAGATTCAATTGGTCAAACATAAGCTCGTATTCACTGTAGTCGAGCCAGTCAATCTCCGCGGCAGATCGAAGAGGCGGGCCAGGAAAGTAGCCGTTCCAGATGCCCTCAGAACCGTTGCTGATACGCAGAAAGGCTTTGAAGTCTTCGGGGAGAGTCACGCCAAGTCTCTCCTCAAGATCAATAATTTCTTGCTCTGTGGCGGGTGGCTTGTAGAGCGAAGCGATGTTGTCTACTTCATCGTCGAGCGCGGTCCTGGTCACGGTATCATCGTTACAGGACTCGAGCAGTCCAGATATGGTTTCCGGGCCTCGAGTCGAGGGACCATGCCAAAAGCGTTGTCGAGATGCTTCGAGCAGTTCGGCAGCTCGGGAATCAAGTTCGTGGTCAGGAAAGCCCCAGATCCTGGCCAGAGCTCCAGACATGAACACCGAGACGTGATTCGGAGAATCGATAATACGGGAAAGTTCCCATGCTTTTGGAAAGCGCTCTGCTATGGCGGCTAGGACTTCTAGGACCCTGGTGTCGCGAGACGATTCGACACCTCGGTTCTCAGCCAGCTTGACTGCGATGTCCAAGGCAACCGTCTGAGCTGGTATTCGGTACTGTGGGTAGGGAATCGAAACAGGAGACAGAGATGCAGTGATGCCAGCCTCGTCTTCAGTACGCTGATCTAGGGGCGTGTAATGACACCATTGTAGACCCTGTTGCTGTTTTTCACTTGTGTAGTTGTCTAGATAGGCGTCTGTCTTGAGCTCCCCGGGTATCCCAGCAGGGAAATGCGTCTTGCGCCAGTACGGTACTAATGCGCGCAGACCAGATAACTCAAGGTTCTGAAGACGTGGACGCGAGTATAGTAGTTCTGTAAAGTCGCGAGCAGCATCTATACGACCGAGCAAGGCGAAACGAAGGGCTAGGCTCAGGATGTAGCGTTCGACGGCTAGTAGATGGGGTATTGAAAGAACGTATGGAGGCTCGTCAAGAAAAGCAGACAGAGGAGCCATTTTGCGTAATTGGTTCGAGAAATGGGAATGAGCAAGAAAATGAGGCGAGAAAGGAAGAGCGGCTGGTTCTGACCTACAAAGAGTGGCTTGCTATTTACTTTGACTGGTTTTGTGTTTCGATAGATGTAGGCAGCAAACGCGCGAAGGGTTGGCAGCGTGAGGTCGTGTTGATGGAGGTCGGGGGTAGAGTGCTCCGTAGCAATTTCGCGACAAGCAAGTCGAGCCCCCAGCGCGTCATCAGAAGCCTGGAGTCGGCATCAGCGAACAGCTTGCCAATTCTTCCACCAGACATGGCGCTCGACGACTATCATCAGAACCAGGACAATGATGTCCGCCTAGTCGACTTCCTGGACGATAAACTACAGGCCTTTGCCGACTTTGACTCGCTAGATACGCTACTGGATAGTGTCAAGGCCCAACAAGACTTGCTGAAGCAGCAGGTACGTAAGAGGACACTGTACATAGTATGTGTCGCCGTCTCTGATGTATTGCATAGCTCGATGATGCCCGTAACGATCATAACGTCGCACAACAAGCCTCGGATCAGCATGCCGCTTCAATCAAACAAAAAGGCGCCGCCTTCCAGCGCGACCAACAGGACCTCGACCGTCGTCTGCAGGTCGTCACCCAGTCAGAAACTAGCGACGATGCCTTGCAAAAATTTGACTCCAGTATGGCACGCCTGAGGAAGCTCGACATGGCCTCGGGCTATGCTGAGATGTTGCAAGAGGTCGACACGTTGCGACAAGAGTGTAGCGAGCAGCTAGGCAAATCGGACAAGGCTGCTTTGACCGCATACAAGAAACTGTCTACTCTGGCCACTGGTCTCCAGCCTTTGTCTGAGGCAGCTGAGGGTGCCGCTCCTCACCTCGTTCTCCATGTTCTGAGGACCACCTACAACGCACGCACTCAGATCGAGCAATCCTTTGCCGCCGACTTCGAAAAGACCTTGACCAAGATGGGTTGGCCAAAGCAGGCTATCTCGGTACCTCCGGGCTTGCAGTCCGAGTGGAACATGCACATCGAGAAACTCATCGACCTTCAAAAGTCGGAGCTGGTTGCAGCCGATGAAGCAAACAGTTCCAAGACATCAAAGAATGAGCCTGCTGTTCTGCTCCCTCTGGAGATTATGGTCCGCTCGCTGGAGCTTCGTTTCAACTACCATTTCTCTGGCGATCGCCCGACCAACCGTCTGGACAAGCCCGAATATTTCTTGAACCATGTCTTGGACCTCATCAGCAGCTACTGCGCATTCTTCCAGGCACATTTGCAACCACAGCTTTTGGCTAACTTTCGAGGCTCGGATCTTGCAATGATACCCGCCTACATCGACGCCACGTCGGCTCTCATCACTGCCTTGATACCAATGTTACAGAACAAGCTGCGTTCAATCCTCCCGCAAGTCTCGGAGCAGCCCCAGTTGTTCAGCAACTTGATGCATGAAGTCATGACGTTCGATGCCACTATCCAAGAAGAATGGAACTACACACCCCTGTCTCCCGCTACCGTCTGGCGCGGTCTTGCATATTACGTCTTGGAGAAGGAATCCTACTTCTCCAAGTGGCTGAACGTGGAACGAGACTTTGCTATAGCACGCTACGAAGAGATCATCTCGGATAAGGGGAGTAGAGAACTTGATTATGATTCGGTATCTGCGGACAGCACTAAACCTACCAAGGCTGCTGTTCGTGTCAACGATCTTCTGGAGACTATTACCGAGCGCTACAGGTCCTTGTCCTCATTCAGTCAAAAGTTCCGTTTTTTCATGGATATCCAGATGGACATCTTTGACCGGGTCTACCGTCTAATTAATGGTAGTCTGCAGACATTCTTAACCAACACTACAACTGTTGGACGTGCGGTCAATGGTGTCACTAAAGCGCAGCAAGCCGAACTCGCCGGCGTCAAAGGCATGGATCGTCTCTGTCGCGTATTCGGCTCTGCAGAGTATCTCGAAAAGGCTATGCGTGACTGGAGTGACGATGTCTTCTTCCTTGAGATCTGGGAGGAGTTGCAGTACAGAGCAGCCAACAAGATCGACATCAAGGGCGACCTCAACATGGTTGAGATCGCAGCAAAGACAAACGCCGCCATCAACAACACAGACGAGAATCAAGAGCTTGAGGGCGCTCTCTTTGAACAGATGGCAGCGAGTTACCGCGGACTGCGTGCTCGCAGCGAGAAGGTCATTTGTGATACCTTGATCTACGATCTCAGAGACGTTCTAAGGCCGTATGCTCGCATCAACCCTTGGGCATCTCTATCCGCTCCAGGCAGCGGCGGTGAGTCCAACTTGACTGCCGAGTTGGATCCTCCTCTCACACTCTTGGACACTCATCTTGCCTTCCTATCTCGCGCCTTGTCCAAGCCTGCACTGCGTCGTATCTGTCGTGTCGTCGGGCATAGTCTCCAGATAACTCTTTGGGACAGTGTGCTGCTCCGACACTCATTCTCCACTGCTGGTGCATCGCAGTTCATGTCTGACTTCAAAGGCATCTGCAGTGTGTTTGATCGTTATCTTGGTGCTGGTACTGGTCAAAACGTCATGCAGCGTCTCGACGACGGTCTGACATTGCTCGATCTGCCTGTGAGAGGAGAAATCCCTGTTGAAGTCGATGCCGAAGCCTCCGGTGAAGCAACTCCAGAGAAGAAGTGGGGACTTTTCGAAGTTGAGAGACGCGTGTTCATGGACAATGAGGCTGCTCGAGATGTGTTGGAAGAGATGGGCTTGGAGGTCTTGACTGAGAGTGATGCCCGTGCAGTGCTTGGAAAAAGAATTGAGCTCAGCAGTTAGTCTTGTTCACTGTATCCCGCGCTCAATAGTCACTGCAGTGTTCACTGCCTTTCGCTCTGACGGATTCATACTATAAAGCACTGTTTCCAGAGCTTCCACTTCCTCTTTCCTACATCAACCACAAAACCTCTTCCCCTTCCTGGTCCTCTCTTCTTATATTCAACCACACCGACAAACTTCATTGAAGACTAGAAAATTCTATCACGGACGTACCATAGCAGTTACCAGACGGTGCTTCGCTGTGAGGAAGGCAACAGACTAGATTCTCTCCCCCAGCCGAACGCTCACGACTTCCAAGAGTATCGCACCTAGTCTCGGCCATTGCTTACAACTTCCTGAGCTGTCGCTTTCGCTCAATGATTCTGTTCCCCCCACCCCCGCCTCACTTCTCGGTTTCACCACATCGATTTTTTGTCTTGTCCGATCTGCCTTACAACTACCTCGCTCAGCATGGCTACTCCGCCTTCTTCCTCGGGGCCCCCTCCTAGCCAAGACTTCGATCACACATCATCATCGCCATTGTCGTCGCCGTTGAGTCTCGATCGCTCCACACTGCCATCAGAATCACACACAAGCAACATGGCGACTTCTGCGCGCGATGCATCAGCTCTGGACACCACCAAATCCTCTCAAAGAGGGTTCCCCTTCTTGTCGCTTCCGCCTGAGATTCGCAACATGATCTACCATTACCTTTTCGCTGCAGTGAGAGACGGAACTTGTTGGAGGATCTATGCAGACCGATATGGGACTCGGCTCAAAGGACTTCGAAGAACGTGTCGTCTCTGTCGATCGGGCCAGACACACACAACCTGTTATGCAGAGTATGAAGCTGTAAAAGACATGTTTTCTGCCTTTCATATCTCAGGCTACCCTACCCGTCCTGCTCTCCTACAGACGTGCAGCACAATCTTGAACGAAGCTCTGCATCCGTCACTGGCCTCCATGCACATCAGCATTACATGCTATCATATGGCTGTGGAGCGTCGCTTCAGAGAATTGAAACTATTACTGACATCAATTCGTTATCCCACTGAAGCTTGTTTGTCAGTCTTCACGTACAACTACTGCGGAGATATCTATGGCAGTGATGATGACATAAGAGACTTCAGTCAGCTCATCAATAGAGCAGGTCTCAGGGTTGGCCATCTTATACTGTGTGTGGTCCCGCATCGAGGTTATCAGAATTTGGCCAGACAGCTCATCGCGATACTGGATGATCTCGATCACAAGCCAGCTAAAGTTGAATGGGTTACCGATTCATCACCCCAATATGAAAATCATAGGGTGGAGTTCAATGGAGCTGCTGCAAGATGGCTCGTGAAGCTGCACGAGGCCAAGGCTACTAGCACCAATGCTCGCTTGCCTCTCCTTCGAGACTCCTTTCCTCGGCTCTTTGGCTGAATGTATCAGATCGGATGGTCGTACACTCTCTTGCTGCGACAACGGGCGAAAGTATATACTATCAGAATGCACAGTATCTTTGAGAACACAAGCTTGACCATAGAAATACCCCAAAGTATCCTCTCTCTGTAGATTTTGCTCTGTTTCAGTAAGTATTGTGCATTTTTATAGCCAACACATTGTTAGCCTTTTGCATACGAGAAAGACCTGAGTTCCAGAAATTCGCTCGAAATGAATACAACTTCGAGTGTCCTTGCTCAAAGGTCTCCTGATGCCACGCGCATACTCTGAACGCTCCCGGACAAAGCCCAATCATGGATGTCTACCATCAAATTCATCACACTCTGCCTATACAGTATCCAGGTTGTCATGACTGACTCCAATTCCACGGGGCACAGCCAGGTGCGGGGTCAACCAGTTGATCAGGCGTGCAGAATCCTTCGAGTGCGTATCAATTTTGAATTTCTGACAACAGCTCCCCGAGCATCAATTTCTAGGAACTCTCTTGAAATGACGCACATAGTTCCATGGACCCGAGTAATACTAAGACATCACTAGAGACAGAGGGTGCGAACGAACGGCCGCACAATGCCATCTCATTCCTGCATCTTCCACGCGAGCTGCGCGAGATGGTCTACAAACACATCCCTCACAACTCTGGAGTCACCACCTACGATACTAAGCTGGAGCGTAAGAAACCAAACTGGCTATCAAAAGGCAAAGAGTCTCACCCAACTGGCAGTCTCGAATTCGAGAACAAGTACGGCAACTCTGGTGTCGCTTTTGGCTCCGATGAACACTGCTTTGCCATTCTCTCGACCTGTCGAACCGTCCACGCAGAAGCGATGCCAATAATGTTTGCAGCAACACCATTGGGCTTCTGGCGACCAATGTTCAGTGCTTACAAATATCCAGCCTTTCTGGAAAAAGCATTCTCTTCACTGCCCATGCACGCAAGCAAACACATACGTGTCATGCAACTCCAAGGCGAACTCTGGGATAACAACATGGTTCGCCTTCTCAACATGGCTGTCGCCAGGCTTCCTGATCTTCGGACTCTCCAAGTTTGTTTGGATATACCATACGGCAACTCTCATGCGCGAAGACAACAGTGGTTCGACGACCCTGCTATCCAACAGTATTCCTGGCCTGTGGTTTCTACTTTGCACCTCGTTGCCCAGCGGCTCTCATCCATCAGTATAACAATCTCGCCACCTTGCGACATGGTTTGGATCAACGCCAGTGGTTGGGGCAGAGCGCGGGACAGGCGACCCAAGACTCCCGTCACTGGCGCCGCATGTCAACAATTCATATGGCTGCAACATCAACTCTGGATGCTCCAATACGAGGTTACCATCTATGGAGCTTTGGTTCACGGGAATGCAGAGGAAGGCAGAAAGTTCTTCGAGAACCTACAACTGCGAAGACTGGATCTATTCCAGATGGGGCTGAACAGGTTGTTGGTGCGCTCGTGTATCGACGGCACTGTAGATTTCAATTTGGAAGATAAGAAAGATGGGTTGAGAGAACTCACTGGAAGGTCCTTTGAGGTGGACGAGAAGGAGAAGAGCATTATTGTGTTTTCGGGGGAGGATGCCGAGGTGAAGTGGTGCAACTTCATCTATAAGTTGAGGCCGAGAGGAGTGGCTGCCTTGCCAGCTCCAGCCACGTTATGGTCGCGTATAGAGGGTTTTACGGCCAGGTGGTCTGGGAGGTCTTCGGACCGTGTTGTACTACCACGACGTGATTAAGTACTTGTATGCACGAAAACAACTTTCTCGCGATTGGTCGCTTTTACAACTTGTTTAACAGACGTCAAAATTTTACAGTTGAAAAGGGAGTGGCAGGATGCTGAGCGATTCATTGGTCAGTACCTGCAGTTGTCCCTTTGTGATCTTCCATCGGGATCAAATACTCTTCCAAATACTCCTCAATCTCCCTTCCTTGGCCTTCGGCGTCAACGCTTCATCAGGCACAAGTCTCGTAGCCTGTTTCGCAGCATCAACATCCCCTCTCCTGCCTACATCCAAATCGATCTCCTCCAATCCGTGCCACCTAGTCTTGTTCCACAGCTTATACACCACCCAGATGACTGGAAATAGCGGTATCAGAATATACGCGTCCACAAAGCCCGCGGCGTCGAAGGGCACAAAGTTGCCCCATCCTTGTACGAGGGCAAGGAAAATGTTGGCGAACAGGCCGAAGTAGGCGTTCCAGGGATAGAAGAGCGATTGGAATGGAAGCTCAGAGGGAGATCTTCCTTGTCGTTTCCAGGCTGAGCGGAAGCGTATGTGGATGAAACTGATACTGCCCCAGACCAAAAAGGTGGACACGCCAGAGAGATTAACAATGTAATTGTATGCTTTGCCAGCTCCAGTGCTGACGTTCATCATGGAGATGGCTCCAAAGAGGTTTGTGAAGATGATGGCGGCGATGGGGACACCGCGTTTGTCCGTCCAGCCCAGGAAACGAGGTGCTTTGCCGTCTTTGGCCATGAAGAGAAGCGTTCGTGAGCCGATGTAGATGGATGCGTTTGTGGCTGAGAGGCAAGTGACGAAGATGAAGGCGTTGATGAGGTGGACGCCGCCGTTCCAACCTGCATTTTGGATCGCGACTGTCATGGGGGACTTCAGAGCTCTGCTGCTGCCATTGGCAAGACCGTCTGCATTAGCCGGACAGACCAGACCGAAGAAAAAGGCCGATCCCATGTAAACAAACAGAATGCGAGCAAAGACCTGTCGAATGGCCAGCGGCACCGCAACACCCGGATTCTTCGTCTCAGTCGCCGCAACAGCCACTGACTCAATCCCAGCATAAAAAGTGCTGCAAAACACAAACACCGTAGCCACACCCCTGAACCCATCCACAAAAGCTCCAGGATTGTGATAATACCTGAATCCCAGTGGCTCATCTTGTCCCACCAACCCACCACTCGCATAAACAATCGCAAACACAAAAAACGCAAACAATCCAGCCAACTTCAGCACCGCAAGCCAAAACTCGGCTTCTCCAAAGACTTCGACACCAAGCAATTGGAAGCCGAGAAAGAAAAACCAGAAAATCAGGAAGTAGCCCCAAAGCGGTACTTGCGGACCCCAAAACGTAAAAATGCTGCTGATGGTGTTATACTCGTTAGCCAACACACAAACCCAGATGATCCAATAATTCCATCCCACAGCAACTCCAAAGGCTTTGTCCACGAATCTCTCTCCGAGCTCTGTGAACGCGCCTCCAGAGGGATATAAAGTAGTGATTTCGCCCAGGGATTGCATGATGCTGAATGCAAGAATGCCAATGATGCCGAAACCGATGAGTAAAGATGCTGGGCCGCCATTGGAGAGGGCGCCGCCGGAGCCGACGAGGAGACCAGGGCCGATCACGCCGGCTAGAGCCATCATGGACAGATGGCGGGTTTTGAGACCGCGTTTCACGCCTGTGTTTGGGTCGAAGAGGCCGGCGTCTGCTTCCTGATCGTGGGGGAAGGTTGAGGGCGAATACTCTGCCGGAGAGGCTGTTTTGGTATCCATTATCGCCATGATGTGTTCCTCTTCGCGTCCAGTGTGGTCGCTAGATTTCCACAGAATGAATGAAGACCGCCTCAGAAGTCAATATAGATGCGAGATTTCGCCAGCAGATAACGAACTCCAGTGAGGATCGTCACCACAGAAGGGCCGTAAGTTATGTGTCAAAAGAAGGCGAAAATGGAGAAAAATGGAAGAACCCAGAGTCTTACTTGACCTTCTCAACAACCACACCCTCTTCCTCACCTGTTCGGCAGTGAAATTTCGCCCACCCTGGTCGATCTTCGGATGACGACATCTCAATGGTTTGTCGCGAAATCTCAACTTACATCAGAGCCCAGAAAGAGGCGCAAGTCTTGGGTCTTGGTATAAACTATGGTAGTATCATTTTTGTTCTGGTATCTGTGGTCGACAAAACTTCTCTGGGGATTCGGGAGGGAGAAGTCAGAGCAGAAGCGCGAAAACCTTTTGATTGAAGATGAGGCTGAAAAAGGTTATTTGAGGTGTAGCGGAGTTGAGCTCCGTGGTCACCCTGGCATGAAGTTGATTCTTATATGCTGACGCCACAACATCGCAGCTATCGTGCAAGATACTAGTCGCTTGATCTAAGTTGTCTGAAGAAGTTGCACATGTATCGCTATTGTTGCTCGCGTTCTCATAACTTGGCGCTTCTGAGAATCGGAAAATCAGACATCTTCGTTCTCGCTCTACCATGCCGATACTCAGTAAACTAGGTGCTCCCACAAGCTCACCATTGCCGCCTACTGCGATCGCTATCTGTCCCTGCAGATCGAAGTGTGTGTGTGTGTGTCTACCAAGGAAGTGCTGAACTGACTGCGTGGCTGAGCTCATAGCATTCGGATGCTGCTTTTGTTGCCCTGGTAGGTATTATTTCTCTTCAGTCATGGGCCGACGATTGTCACAGATCACGAAACATGAAGCAAGAGGTGAAAAGACGGGAATGACAAAAAAAAAAAGTCAATCACCGTGAGCAGGATTCGAACCTGCGACCTCCCGACCTTCGAGAGAGAGAATTAGGATCTTAGGTAAGCGAGCGTAGGGAACGAACGTAGGGACTTAGGATACCAGGTCGGGTGTGCTGACCACTGCACCACCACGGCTTTTTGCTCGAGGAGACATATAGAAGATCGTATATAAAGGTTGGTGGAATGAGTGGGGTGGTGCGAGTAGTGAGGTCGCGTGAGGGAATTGAATGGTCCGTAGAGTTTCGGGGCGCCACATTCCTGGAAGGCTTGGAAATCAGAAGTAGCGGACGAGTCTTGCGGCGGGAGAGAGTTTGAATGATGTAGAGTTCGCGACTTGACTTTGAAAGGATAGAAGTATAGGCATGATATCGTGAATATAGGTCTATATGCTATTAGTACATGATGGGGCGCCAGAAGCCTATTTTGGTCGGCGAAAGCTTCTCCGACAGTGGCGGTAGTGTACAGTATTTTACAGTTGGAGGACGAAAACTAGGACATGCGGACCATGTTCTTCCATCTGGTGGCAAGTCTCTGGAAGAAGGAACGGTCGGGGACTTGGTCAAGCTCCCTGACGAGGGTTGTGTAGTGTTCGGGAGAAGAGGCAGGGTGCATCATGGCATTGGACAAGGGGTACTATGCTGTGTGAGCTAATGGTCGTGAGATGTAGCGGAAGAATGGGTTGCATACCACAGTCGAGTATCTGTTCTCGAGCAGCGAGTAGAGTGCATTGATCTCACGGGCCTCATGCCTGGGCTTTGGTGGTTGTGCGCGAGCAGTGTTGGTCTCGTTGACTTGAGCGACGGGAGCAGCTTCAATTCGCTTCTTTAGCAGGGCCTGGAAGGTGAGCTCGGGACGCAGGCGGTTGACGGGCCATTGTTGCAGGATGCGGGTGTAGTGCTTTGTAGCTTGCTGTGATTTGCCTGTCAGTCGCCTTTGTCGTTTGACGAGCACAAAGAATGTCAACGTACAGCGCGTGACATGTTGAAAGACGTGGCTGCTGTCCAGTTGTTGTGTTTGGGGAGCAGCGACAAGAATTGGGGATGGCGCAAAAAGATGGTGACGAAGGACGCAATTATTGATCGTCGACATCATCAAAACCCTGCGATTCGAATTTCCCCGGATTCTTTGGCAATCTCAAGGCTGAGGCTGGAACACTGCAGTCAGTAGTCAGTGTGGCTGAGCGCAGCGATACGCAGACGCTCTCGGCTTCGAACGGATCCGCGTCGCGGACGCTGCGAGGCTGAAACTAGGCACTCGTTCATCCCATCACCAAGCGACCGTCTTGCGTCCATTCTCTTCTACCATCATCTGTTTCTGTCCCATATATCAAATCATCCTCCCGGCCCCGGCTCTCTCTTCACTCCTGAGATTTTGCGCCCGCCCATCCGTTCCTTTTCCTTTGATCACGACCTCAAATCCCTCGACTCTGTTTACTTTCGCCTCCTGTGCCCGACCCCAGCGACCCTAGCGACCCTTTATCTCTCCGCGCCCGTCGGCTCACACCGCCTGCTTTCAAGCGCCCGACCACTGCGCGAACACTCACAATGTTCTCTTCCAACTACGAGCGTGTACGTTCTGCCATATATGCCATATTCCTTATCACCTTATCCTAACTCGACCCCAGGTGCAAACCCATGACGACGACGACCATGTAGTCGGCCAGAACTCACAGCCGATACCTAACTCGCCTCCGCCCTCTTTCCGCTCTCGCAACTCTTCTCGTCGTAATTCTGTCCAACACCATGACGACGACGCCGACCGGGACATCGATGATGCTTTCGCCGCTCCCTCCGACGACGAGTCAGACCACGACGCTCCTGATGCCGACCGCCGGCGGCTTGTACATTCCAACGACCGCGACTCTCCGGAACCCTCGGCACCCGCACAACCTCCTCGATTAGGCCGTAGGGTTACCGAGATTAATATGTTCCTCCCTGGCGGCAGTCGCTCGAACAACACCAGAACCATCGGCGGTGGTAGCAGCGCCAACGACGGTGTCTTTGCCAACATCTCCGCGAAGCCCACTCGTGGCGAAGAGCTTGACGAGAAGCCTCCGGTAAGTCGTCTTGCATCTCTATTGCCTCATCCACCGCATACTGATCTTATCGCAGACATACGAGCAAGCAGCCGCTGATTCAGCACCGCCATACTGGGAAACCTCTATTCTGGCTCCTGGAGCCTTCAACAGCGATGACATCTTCGTTGATGGCCTCGTAGTTGGCAGTCTGTTCTCCTTCGTCTGGAACGCTCTCATCTCCATGTCCTTTCAACTCATCGGTTTCCTCCTCACATATCTCCTCCACACCACACATGCTGCAAAGCACGGCTCCCGCGCTGGTCTTGGTATCACATTGATTCAATATGGCTTCACCTTCCGATCAGTACCCGCAGACCCCGTCACTGGTGTACCAGCCAACGATCCATCTGGCACCATCCCTTCAGACCCCAACGCTCACGACTTCGACCCATCAAAGGTTGCTGGAAATGTCACTGGTGTGGAAGACGTTGACGGACTTCGTGCTCAAGACTGGATTTCCTACGGTCTCATGATTGTTGGTTGGTTCATCTTGATCAGATCTGTCAGTCAGTTCATCCGCGCCAGGCGGCAGGAGATGATCATTCGTGGCACCAACGATAGAGGTCTCGGCACGGCTGTTGTTGCAAGCAACGAATCGCCCGAGCAAGCCGTTTAAGCGCGCACAACTTGATGTTAATGGTTTCAGGGGGTATTTGGTTGGTATGGAACGTAATGGTGTACAGAAGGAGTTGTTTTCCTATGTGGTGATACCATATCACACATTTTTGGTTTCAGATTGCATTATCAGCGTGTGGGTTGGTCCCTCTATCTTCAATGGGGCCAAGGTTTGGGGGATTTCTTTATATAGCTGCCCCCGTTGAAGCAACAAACTCAGCTGATTTCTTATTGATTTTTTTCTCCATGATACGATCCTCGAGTGATCTAATCGCTGCTTTGTACGAGTCTGATGATATGTATTCCACATGCCCTTGCTCTCTGTTCCCTTATCTTCTAGAGATCATTCTCTGAATGTTTCTCCAAACCCCCATAGGCGACTTCCTCAGGAAGACCAGGTAGTACGCCGCACCATACACCAAACCGCCCAAATGACCAGCATGAGCGATTCCCGAAGTCGATGAGTCCAGGTAGTAGGAGTCTACTATACCGTAACCAGCAACAAAGACCCACAGAGGAAAAGGGATGGGTATCAACATCAACTGCATAGGTGCATTAGGCACCAAACAAGCCGTCAAGGCACCCACACCCATGACTGCTCCACTGGCTCCCAAGGCTGCAGAGTTGTAGTTTCTGGCCTTTGATTGCCAATCACTTTTTCCAGCCTCCTGGATCTTCTTCTTACGGTGATAGAGGAAGCCCAGGCCACCGGTTACAGCGCTACCACCTGCTACGGCGAAGAGATGCAAGCCGTTCATGCCAGGGATGAATGCACATATGGAGCAGAAATTATACAGGGACAGCATGTTGAAGGCAAAATGGAGAGGGTCGATGTGAGCGAATGCCGAGGTGATGATGGTCCACCAACGACCGCTGTCAAAAGCAGCCGGAGAGAGGAGAGTGTTGTTGAGAAGCTTCTTTTCCAGTCTCCAGTCTTTGGCATATTTTGCGTAGTTTAGAGCTCCAAATACCATGGCGTTTGCTGCGAAGAGGAAGTAGAAGGCAGACATCACGCCATTGCTTCTGGATCCATAGCTTCCGGAATTGTAGAAGCGCTGAGCGAGCTGGAGGCGTGTTCGGGTAATCGGGTCGAGTTCTCTGTTCATGGTGCGGGTCGTGGATGGGCTGAAGAAGGGGTGGCGTGGTTTGAGTAGTGATGAGGCCTTGCGGGTTTGGAGAGTTGGTATGGAGTTTACCAGGCCCAATCTCTGGCGTAACATTTGAGAAAACATTTCGATGGAAAGTCGAACAAGGAAGCTGAGTTGAAGCAATATATAAAGTATTCTCGGGGCATCGGACGTTTGCCTGCAAGGGTGCGGCACGCAACTGCTATGGGTGAGCGCTTAGCGGGAAGAAGCTCTCTTGATAGCTGTTTCACCTTTTGGATCTTTCTGCAGCTGGAGATAAATCTTCTAGATCAATCGATACAGTTGAATGTAGGAAGGTACAATTGATATAGAAGGTGAGCTTCCGTGATTGGCCGACGTGTGCCAAGGCGCGATTTCACAGCTTGATGTTCCACATGGCAAGCGGCGCGCACGACGACTTTCTACCATCTTAACTTGATCCTCCTCGCCGCCTTATCGTGCACCCCGCTTGATCTCTCACCACTTCGCTTCTCTCTCGAACACACTCTAGACTCGCAAACAACACCGCCGCTCGAACTTGCTACTGCATTGACGTGAATCTTGCGTGACACGACCACACGACGAATCTCTCCTTGTCCGACACAAGCGACAGCTCACCCACGCAAACTTACAACAACAAACTCATACCACTCTGACTTGCGCCTACCGTACTCGGCTCATCTCTTCACTGCGCGCATTCACTCTCGCATCCACGCCAACTCCCTCGACACCTTTCCTAGCATTGCGTGTCCTTCGAGCTCACCACTCTTTCTTCTACCCCACCACCATAACTCACACAACATAACATACAATGGCGGATCAACTTGCAAATCAGCTCGAGGCTGCCTCGCTCAAGTATGCCGACACCAATCTGTATCTTCCCCGGAACCGCACGCTGACCATACCTCCCTCAGTGAATCAAACCAGGCAGACGGCAATTGGAGGTCAGGACTAAAGGTGCCTGCCAAGGACGGCAGAGTCCAAACAGAAGATGTCACCGCGACCAAGGGTCTCGAATTTGAAGACTTTTACCTCAAGCGCGAACTGCTTATGGGCATTTTCGAATCCGGTTTCGAAAAGCCCTCACCCATCCAAGAAGAAGCTATCCCCGTCGCTCTTACCGGCAGAGATGTACTTGCCCGCGCAAAGAACGGTACCGGAAAGACCGCCGCTTTCATCATCCCCACTCTCGAACGTGTCAACCCCAAGAACAGCAAGATCCAGGCCTTGATCCTGGTACCTACGCGAGAACTGGCTCTCCAGACATCGCAGGTGTGCAAGACGCTTGGAAAACATCTTGGTGTCAATGTCATGGTCACTACTGGAGGTACTGGCTTGAAGGATGACATTATCCGCTTGAACGAGGCTGTACACGTTCTTATTGGTACCCCTGGCAGAATATTGGATCTTGCCAGCCGTGGTGTTGCCGACCTGTCGACTGCCCAAACTTTTGTCATGGACGAAGCCGACAAGCTCCTGTCTCCCGAGTTCACCTCGACTATCGATCAGTTGCTCTCGTTCCACCCTCCGGACCGCCAGGTCATGCTCTTCTCGGCCACTTTCCCCGTCATTGTCAAGGAATTCAAGGACAAGCACATGAAGGACCCCCACGAGATCAACCTCATGGATGAGTTGACGCTACGTGGTATCACTCAGTACTACGCCTTTGTCGAGGAGAAGCAAAAGGTGCACTGCCTCAACACTCTCTTCTCGCGTCTGCAGATCAACCAGTCCATCATTTTCTGTAACTCCACCACTCGTGTTGAGCTTTTGGCCAAGAAGGTCACCGAGCTCGGCTACTCATGCTTCTACTCGCATGCACGTATGCTCCAACACAACCGTAACCGTGTCTTCCACGACTTCCGCGCTGGCCACTGCCGCAACCTTGTTTGCTCCGATCTTCTCACCCGTGGTATCGATATTCAGGCTGTGAACGTCGTCATCAACTTCGATTTCCCCAAGAATGCCGAGACCTACCTCCACCGCATCGGTCGTTCTGGTCGTTTCGGTCACTTGGGTCTTGCTATCAACTTGATCAACTGGGAGGACCGCTTCAACCTCTACAGAATTGAGCAGGAATTGGGCACTGAGATCAAGCCCATCCCTCAGCACATCGACAAGGGCCTGTACGTCTACGACACTCCCGAAAACATTCCTCGCCCTATCAACAGCGCCCCTCAATTGCAGCAACAGCCTCAGGAGCGTCGCCAGCACCACCAGCAGGGCTACCGTGGCGGCCGTGGTGGCAACTACGAAGGTCAGCAAGGTCATCAGGGCCAGAGAAGAGGACCTCCTCGCAACCAGTACCCCTCCCAAGGCGGTCAGGGCGGTGGCTTCCAGCAACAGCAAGCTCAGTACAACCAGCAGGCCTTTGGCGCACCGTCGCAGCAACAGCAAGCTCCTTCTTACCCTCAGGGCGGCTTCTCTCAGCCCAACGCTTTCCCCACTCCTCAGAGCTTCCCTCAGCCTCAGGGACAATAGCCTAGTAGGTAATCAGGTTACGACTTTTTTTTTAATTGGGCTATCTGGCGTATTTCTGGCGTTTCTCCGGAGTTTGACTCAAGGGAGTCTATTTGCATTCTCACGACAGGAATGAGGAGAAGGGGAAAAGCTCTTTGAGAAATGGGTTGTTTTTGCCACGCTACCACGAAGTTTCTCTATCCTCCTTCCGGTCCAGCACAACGTCGACGCCCTCTATATTCAACATCACTACTCGCGCTTTCGCTCTCGCAGAGAGCAGATCAGAACAACCCACATCTTTTCGACCTTCATACGCCATCTCGACATGACGAATGCCTTTCCATTTCCCGACTGTTTTCATGCACATGTACCATTACGTTTTTGCCTCCCTTTTCTCCTCCATCCCACAAGACGGTCTGCGCTGAGACCCGATTCGGCTGTGCCTAGGTCAGCCAACTGTCTTGTTTTTGTCTTGCCCTTCTCATCCCCTCCATCTGTTTGTTCACATTGCACCCCTCACGCGGACCCTTGGTCGACACTCTCAGGTCAAGGCCGGCATACATTTTTTCGAATCCGACCTTGATCTGATTGCCGAGAGCGATACAATGTCGCCCAACTCTGCAGCGGCTTGTGAAAGCTGCCGAGTCCTTCACGCTACACCTCTTGAGACAACTACACACACCCATCACTCGCAATATCTCAAGATGAACTACATATCAACTGTTGATCATCAGCCTCGATTGTCTAGTTCAGCTAGACTTTAGAGGTATGAACCAGATCAGTACCAGGCTTTTCTCAACTCCGAGCACACTCTCTTGCAAGTCTTTCATTATCTAGACTATGCCAATGTCTAATTGAATGGGGAAGTAAGACATCACCACGGTGTGAGAACGAACCTGGTTAGAAAGAAACAACCGAGAAAAGAATTTTTGAAAGAGAAGGGAGATGGTGATTGGGTAGTGTAGCTGGTTTCGTATAGCTTGCTGCTGTCACTAGTCAATGATAACTCTTCTTCTTTCAACTGTGTTGCTGATGAAACGTGCTGGATAATGAGCCTCGTGTTCCAATGTCTCGTCCATTTGCTTTGCTCTGACATTCGCAAGCTGTGAGCGTCCCTTCACCATATGTATGGCTTCATAGATATCTTCCCGTCCAGTATCCACATCTTGCATTTATCCTATTATCCAAGGTGCAAGCAACACTTTAACTCCGAGGCATTAGTAGCTCCCCCCGGATGGTTCACTCAAACCCTATTCGAGTTCACGTCATCTCCAATCTGCAACCCATCAACGGCTCGCCCGTCTCAATCCCTTCTGACCCCTGTTCAACTCCTATATTTCCTAATTTCTTCCGTCAAACCTGCCAAATCGTCAATTCAAGCTCACCATGCCAGGCGTCTTTACCATCGCCTCGGTGGCAGCATTCGCAGCACTGACTTCCTATATCGCGCCTTCCATCCGCCACGAATTGAAGGTGGTGGGTGTAGGACGCGATATCTCTGTTTCCACCATTGCAGATGCAGCAAACTATGTAAAGATTGCAGATACCACTCATTGCGAGGATTTGCATTACTATGCTCCTGCCAACTTGCTGTTTACGGCTTGCGAGGATAGGCATACGAGGTTTGGATGGTTTCCTCCACTCGGGAGTTTCGAACCGCCAAAAGAGGGGACGAAGGGAAGTATTCATGTTGTGGATCCCGAGGTGAGTTTCTTCTTCCCATATCTCTCGACTCCATGATGGAATCAAGGAGGGCGGGGGTTCAGAAGAGGTAGAGGCAAGAGGCAGAAAAGCTGATGATGAGACGACAAAAAAAACCAGACAATGAAAAGCATACGCCTCTCCTTCCAAAACTTCGAGTCGACATTCGTCACGCACGGCATCGATGTCATCGCCGACCCCACTGCCAAAAACGCAGTCTACATTTTCGCAATCAACCACCATCCCAACCCTGAATACGTTGCTTCTCGCCGCGAACACATTACCAAATCTCACTCACGCATCGAGCTATTCAGACATGTGATTGGCAGCAGCACTGCCAAACACATCAGAACTGTCTCGCATGCAAGCATTGAAACGCCAAATGATATTCACGCGGTCTCGCCTACAGAGTTTTACGTCACGAATGATCACTTTTACAGGGAAGGCTTGATGAGGGAGTTGGAAGCTATTGCGCCTGCGAAATGGTCGAGTACGATGCACGTCTCCATTTCCGATCTCACTGCCACCGACTCTGCAGGGCTTTCGGTCAAGACGGCATTAACAGGCATCAAGAATAACAATGGATTGGGGCATGTATATGGTTCAGAGGAAGTCACCGTCATCAGTGCAGAGAGAGGAATTCTGTATCGCTGTTTTGACGATGCAAAGAATGGCACTCTGAGGGTCGAGGAGAGTGTGCATTTGGACAGTACTTTGGACAATCCGTCTTGGTATCAGGATGCTTGGGCGTCTGAAGGCGATGACAAGAGTGGATATGTTCTTGCTGGCCTTGCTCGGGGTATTGATCTTGCCGGCCATGCTAAAGATCCAGCAGCCAAGGATCCTTCCCTGGTGTGGTTGGTGCAACGTAAGGCTTCCAGCGATGATGCGGCATTCAAGCAAGATGCAGAAGTCAAGGGGGAGTGGAACAAGAAAGTGGTGTTTTCTGATGATGGAGAGAGGTTGAGAACGGCCAGTGCGGCGGTGATTGTGGGTATTGATCCAAAGAAGGAGGGTGGAAAGAGGAGGGGTTGGTTGTTTGTCACTGGGTTCATGTCTGAGAATATGGTTGCGACAAAGATTGATCTGTAAATGGTGGAGTTGCGAGTGTAGGTTAAGACATTATCTTATGTTATTTTTCGGAGTTGCCAACACCTGCTATAACTTCTGACACAATAGCAGGTTGCAAATGCAAATCACGAATTGATGCAAGATAGGCTTGAATTGAACATCAACCTTGTGGTGTGTGACGAATTCCTTGAAATGCTCCAAGCTTTCTTGCTCCGTCCATCATGCATCCAAATACCTAGGCCGCTTGTATGCATACTGCACATGGCGGTCCCAATCCTCCAGCCTCTCATACGGACTCCTCAACCAAGCCTCCAATTCATGCAAAAACAAGCCCGCAGGCCCATCTCCAAGAAACTCGGCGACCAGCGTCTTCGCCGAACCGCTGGCATCTTTGGTTTCAGTCGTCTTGAGGATAGCCACAATGTACTCGATCAGGAAACCCAGTCTGGCATTGTTCTCAGCCAGAAAATCAAAGACTTGCAGTTCGCGGCGCATAAAGAGGCGAGCGCGGGATTGAAGAGGCGCAGAGGTGGTGAAGGTGGTGGGAGTGAAGTTGGCGTATTGAGAGGTGCGGTTTGCGCCGACGTGGAGACTGTAGTTTTGATCCGAGTAGATGCGGCGGCGGAATGCTAGAGCAGCATCGGGGTTTGTGTGCAAGGGACGGTGCGATGGAGCTGCTCGTCGACGCGGTGGGCGGAGGCGTGATGTGGTCGTTACGCCAGCATGTGCCTTGGGCGGTTCCTCTTGCTTGGGAATCGTGTAGAGTTTACGATCAGTCGGCGAACGCCAGTCGTACTCGATGGCAGTCAAGGGAGTTTTGCATAGTGGGCAGCAAGATTGTTCTTGGGTCCAGCTGCACAGGCAGAGAAAGTCGAAGTTCAGGTGGTTGCAAGGTACGGCGACGGCGCGTTCGGTGACGGGGTCCAGACAGATGACACAAGTATCTTGAGGGGCATCTCGTAGTCTGGCCTTGGCCTTGATGCGGAAGCCGATTGATGGGTCGTGGTCATGCTCCAATTCCATGCGGCGGCAAAGGAGGACATGAGAGGGCGGAAGGACCCATGGACTCGGAACAAGCAAGTTCGTCAGAGGGCAACAGCGTCATGCAGGGACGGGCGATCGGCTTCGGTCTAGTGTCAGCGAATTCCACTCGCAGCTTCCCAAAACATTTTGTTCTCGTCATAGACACCAGATGCCATATCAGTTCGATCAATCGCATGCGCATCTCGCCCGTCGCTCGCTATCTCTCTTCCATCGCGCGCCGCTCGCCTAGCTCAACACTCACCATGGAACGAGGCGCAACACATACCGTCACAGCACTCAAGCGATGGTCATGTCAGGACCCCACCGTACTGCCCGACATGGACAAGATCAGGGCCATCCACGTCTACGACTTTGACAACACGCTCTTCTGCAGTCCGCTGCCCAACAAGCAGGTCTGGGCCAGTCCGAGCATAGGAACCCTGCAAGCACTCGAACAGATCTCGACCGGCGGCTGGTGGCATGATGCGAACATTCTGGCCTCGACGGGCAAGGGTGCAGAAGACGAGGAGAAGACGGCCTGGTCGGGCTGGTGGAACGAGAACATTGTTGATCTTGTGCGTCTGTCCATGGAGCAGAAGGATGCCCTTACCGTTCTCTTGACTGGTCGCAATGAGCGAGGCTTCGCCGAACTCGTCACTCGCATGTTCAGAGCAAAGAAACTCGACTTCGACATGGTCTGTCTGAAGCCTGCCGTTGGTCCTTCTGGCCAGCGCTTCTCGTCGACTATGCTGTTCAAGCAAGACTTGCTGCGCGACTTGGTCTGCACCTACTCGGACGCCGACGAAATTCGCATCTACGAGGATCGCCCGAAGCAGTGTGTTCTTCTCGGGTCTTAGCCTTACATGCCATGCTGACCTCTACACAGCACAAAAGCATTCCGCGACTTCTTCGCAACCTTCAACCGCTCCGTCTCCTCACGCTCCCCCATTCAAGCCGATGTCGTACAGGTCACTGAAGAATCCACAACCCTCGATCCTATGGTAGAAGTATCAGAGGTCCAACGCATGATCAACACACACAACCAAGCCGTACTAGATGGACAAGTACCCGGTCTACACCCCCTCTGCATCAAACGCAACGTCTTCTACACTGGCTACCTCATCTCTCCCTCCGACACCGAACGCTTCGCCGCCCTGACAAAGAACACCTCTGACCGTGACTGGCGCACTCTTGCCAACAACATCCTCATCACCCCACGTCCCGCACCTCAAAGCATCCTCAATAAGGTTGGAGGCCTGGGCCACCGCATGACATGGCGCGTAACAGGCCTCTCCCACTTCGACAACAAACTCTGGGCTGCAAGATGCGAGCCCTCCGACCCTCGAGCACGCTTCTACTCGGAAAACCCAACTCCTACCGTCGTGATCTCCCTCCGTAACAACGCTCGTCCGATCGATGCAAAGTACATCTCAAACTGGACGCCCGTCACTGCCGACCAATCCTTTGAATTCGAAACGGTAGTGGGAGAAAAGGTGCTGTTGCGCATTGAAAGAGAAACAGCCGATCAAGACGACTATGCTCACAAACCTCAACGCCAGCAACAACGCAACCACCGCGACGAAGACTTCCCACCTCTGGGCTCTGAAGCTAAAGATCCCCAAGCATCTCTTCCCTCACAACTGGACCCTACAGCAATGCAATTCGGTCCCAACGTCCCCACTGGCCCTGGCCAATCTTACAACAGCAGAGGCAATTACTCAGGCCACAACAACCGCGGTGGCGGAATTTCCAAGCCAAACGGCAACAACAGAGGCGGCAGAGGGGGAAGAGGAGGCAGAGGCAACAGATCTGGCGGCAGAGGCGGCAGAGGTAGGGGAAGAGGAGGTAATTATCGATCCTTGGATGATCGCCAGGAAAGTTATGGTGGTGCGGGCATGCAGTATTAGAGGTATTGGTCTTCGACTGAAGAGGATTACATATCCAGAGATGGGTATCGCGTCTACAAGTTGTGAGTATCAGAACCGAGATGTGGGTATTGGTCTCCAGGGTATGCGACATTCTTCATGGGAGTATGGATGGAGTTGGGAGTCTGTTAGGCGTTGGACGGGATACAAATATCTGGCGGTGTTATGGTGTTTCGGTCATGGTGGCATGAGATGGGTTGTGGCATCGCTATTAGTGTTGTTGCTTGCAAGGCAGCATGGATACACCAGTTTGTTATATATCACAAAGCATGGTAGCATCTCGGGAGAACAGAATTCATCTGTCTTCTCCTTTCTTGACATCTTTTCTCTTCCTCTCTCTTTGCCTCGAACTTGCAGTGGTCGCCGGCGCAATTGCATACAGCTCGCAATGAGTGTTGATATGCTGGGACGGAGAGTCTTTGAAGTCGACAAAGGACTCTCGATGAAAGAGCGCGTGCACGGCATGTTATATCACATACTGTAGCATCACTCAATCAAGTTGCGATACAGAAGATAAAACAAGCTGTAGCAGTGTGCTTTGATCCTAGGGTTGTATAATAATCATGAAAATTCCATCAGCGTGGTCCTGCTCTCTCAGACCTCATCGTCTTCTCCATCCTCGTCTTCGTCTTCCTCTTCGTCTTCCTCTTCGTCTTCCTCTTCGTCTTCCTCTTCGTCTTCCTCTTCGTCTTCCTCTTCGTCTTCCTCTTCGTCTTC